CCGGTATTTATTATAACCCTAGCTTATATAGTACACTTACTACTTCTCGTTACTATAGTCTTAGTGAGATATATAGTCTATATAAAATATAGCGTAGCTTCTAGTACTTACCCGGGATCTAGAACCCTTCTAGTATATAGGTATACGTCTCCTTCTTATCTAGCTTACTATTTAAGAATATAGTGATAGTATCCCGCTATTATAGATCTATATTAAAAGCAGTCACTAGTACGAAGATTATCCTTATTATCCTTACTACTAGTATAGTAGCCCTTTTCTCTTTATAAGAAATAGTTTTAAGATCTCTTTATATATAGATACGAGCCTTTAGTTTTAATAGGTAACTATCCTAGTTAAATTTATATAAGAAAACCTATAGTAGAGGGAGGATCTACTTCCCTCTATTCTTTAGTCTATTAATAATTTTAAATATCTCCTTTTTAGATAGCGAATTAATCTCTTTCTTTATTATTATAAGGAAGCCTTCCTAGTATAGGTGATTTATAATATCCTTCTAATACTTCGGCGGTAGAGGAAGATTATCTCGATAACGACGACTATCCGGTTTCTCTATATATAAACTAGCGGTAAAGGTATAGAGTAGAGCTGGGGGCTCTTTATCCTATATTATAGTAGTTATTATATATATAAAATTATTATCTCTTCTTACTCTATATATTCGTCTTCTATTTAGTATATTACCGGTATTAATATCACTAACTATCTCTCTATTTAGTGCTAGTAGCTTAGACTATAGCTACCTTTCTAGCTTATCTTCTATAGAATTAGGAGTAGGTTCGTACTAAGTCTAATCTTCGTACTAAGCCTAGTCTTTATATTAGGTCTAGTCTTAATATACTAGATCTTCTTAATTAGCCTATATATCTACCCCCCTAACTAGAGCTAGTACTCGCTTCTTCTTCCTATAGCGGAGTGATTAGTAGTAGTAGTAGATCCTAATCCTCCGGAAATATACTTAGTAGTACTATACGCGCCGGTAGATAGCTAGATATTAGCTAGTATACTTCTTCTCTTACCTTTTAACTTAAGGTAGTCTCTTGTTAAGCACTTACTTTACTAGTTGCTTCTTAAATCACTTCCTAAGAAATATTTTATATTTATTAAAGATTCTCCTATACTTACTAAAGACTTTCCTACTAAGGATTATAGTACTAGGGGTTATACTACTAAAGATTATCCCGATCTTATATACCCCGACTTTCCTCTATCGTACTAGTCTATTAACTAGTGATTTTATAGTTAATTACCTAAACGATCTCTTTAGTAGTAAGTTCTTATAGTTATTTTACTAAAGGTAATAGAATCGGCCGATACTAATCGTACTTAGATATATACTTCTAGGTTTTATTAATAACTATATCCCTAATATACTTTACCTTTTTACTATACGGAAACTAGATCTTCTAGATATTCGAAGTATAGTATCCTACTAAGAAGCTAATCTCTACTCGAGGGTATATCTTATTAGACTATACTTGATTCTTAATTCTATAGTACACTATACTTCTATATAGCCTAATATTTAATAGATTAGTCTTTAGTATTACTAGTGCGAATTCCTTCCTAACTTCTTCCTATAGAACTACCTAGCGGTTCTCGGTAGCGATATATAATAGTATACAATTTAATAACCATATAGTAGCGCTTACAAATTCCGGCTATAGATCTTTAGAGAGCTTCCCTTTAAAAGTAAGTATATATATATAGATAATAATTATCCTACTAGATCTCTCGGTATACCTATTTATTTCTAAATATCTAAGTAGAGTATAATATACTAAAATACTATTAGCTGTTAGGCTATACTGCTACTCTACCTACTATAGCTTTATTATTATAGTAGAAAGCCTTAATCGGTAGCTTTTACTAATTCCTTACTAGCTATATAAACTCTTTTATTATAAGCTAGTATTCCGGTTTAACTTTATATATTATAATCTAATAGAACCTCGGTCCTTCTAGATCAAAAATAAGATATCTAGCGATATCTATTATACGCCGGTAGTAGTTAAATTAGATTAAAGTATACCCTTCTAAATTATCTAAAGGATCTTCCGACTAGCTATTATAATATCTACCTCGGAGCACTTCCTATTTTATAGGTTTAATATAGAGATTACTCCTCTATCGACTTTTTATCTTTAAAAACAACGCCCTCTACTATACTAGGAAGCTTCGCTATAGTATATAGTTTAATATAGGTTAAGCGCCGATACTATAGTTCGGAAAAAGCCTTTAATTCCTATAGCTTTACCGAGTTCTATACGCCTACTTAGGTAGTATATACCTATTATAGAGGAGTTTCACTAGGCTTATTAAAAAGCTAGAGGTTAAAATAATCCTAGAAATATACACTAATAATAGGCCTATTATTAGGATCCTGTATATAATTCGTCTTTTAATACTAGAGGCTACCTTTCTTCTTTAGTATCGCGTATAATACTAGATTTATATAGAATCTAGGTAAGTATAGAGTATCATTTAATATAATCTCTATCCTTCCTTTCACTAGGTATCTTCCTACTAGGCGAGCTATACCCCTACCGAGTATCTTTATAGTACTATCTCTAGTTAAAACTTCTATATCGTCCGGGATAAAGTTAATAAATAAGCTTCTATTATTATAAATATACGCACTCGATCTAGTATTAAAGATCTATCGATTATATAAGGAGGGCTTATCACTTTTTACTATAGATAGTATATACTTACTAATCTATATAGCTTTATACTTTTAATAGATAGTAGTAAAGCTAACCTAGTTAGTATATTTAGCCTTTAGCTAAGCTTTAGTAACTACCTTATTAATCTATTACTTCTAAGCGAGGTCCTTTACTAACTTCTTCTTCGCTTTCTCTAATATACGCTTATTAAGGGTATATCCTTCCGGTCGAATTGCTTTATTTATAATATAGTAAGTAGTAACCTTATACCTTAGATATATACTACTATACGGATAGCGTCTCTTTTTAAATAGGAGCTTCTCTTACTTCACTTCCGGCTTCGCTTTTTAGTATCCTTACTAGGTTAAAAATGCACCCTTTAGAGTATTAGTTAAGATTATAGTCTAAATACCTATCTTACGATTTATAGTATAGAATAATTTAAAAAGATCTCGAGTATTATACACTTTCTTATCTATAATAATCTCCTAGTATTTCCCTTACTACTAGATAGGAAGTACCTCTTTTATAGCGTATAAGAAATCCCTATTTATATCTCTATTATTAATACTAAAGCTAATAGCTTACTCTTTTAATAAGTTCTACTATTAAAGCTATTCCTTAATATCCCTAGTCGGCTTCTATATTATAAAAACCTTCTATTTTATATAGATCTCTTCTTTATACGTAGTCGATCGGGTAAAGCGAGACTTTAAGTATATAAGCCTATTATACGGAGTACGATATATAACTAGAGAGAGATAGTAGATTAGATTAAGGTATATAAGGATATATTTATTTATATCGCTTAGTCCCTTTATCTATTTCTCCTACCTTATATACTTCACTTTATATATATCTATACGGTCTCGCTAGATCCTTCGGTCCTTCTTATCGCCTTCCTTAGGGTATTCGGGTTCTATCGGTTCTTAGAGAGGCTCGGGCTGTTTATTAGAGGGATCGGTTATTAATAAGATAAGGTCTAGATTGTATAGATCCTATACGTTCTTTTATATAGTATATAGCTATACCTTTATAAACTAGGTGCGCTATTATAGCGAGTCCTTCAGTTTTTCGCCCTTTATAGCGGAGAGGATTAATACTACCTCTATTACTAGATTTAGGGGTAGCTTATATAGCTTTAGGATAGCTTTAGGGGTTACGAGACGCTTCTAGCAGCGGGCTAGATACTATATTCCAACTATAGTAGTCTCATTCAGTGCGAACCGGGCTTATAACTATCGGCGTAGGCCGTATTGTAAAAATGTAGGGTCCAATCAATAGTGTTCAACTCTCTATATTGCTGTATCGACTTTCCTAACAATTTATATGGGCCGTCGATTACTAATCTAAAATTACAAAATGCATAGGATCAATGGATCCTCCGGTATGCCGGTATGCCAATGCATCTATTCCGACACAAAAGTGATGCCTGGGTGCCTGGATTTGGCCTGGCAGAAAAATAAGAATACCTGAATTACCATTACAGAGCCCTTAATAAGCAAAGTACAACCCCGGCCTTCACCTAGGCACCTGGGCATACCTTAATTCTTAGGGAGGTAAGATAAAGCTTTTAATCCTATGCAAATGTATGCATCTCCAGTTTTGGAGGTGGTTTACAAGCCTCCATGTAGTATGGGGGAAAAGCCTCACTTTCATATATGTAGAGAGAGAGAGCTAGTAAAGCACCTTTGAACACTGGCGATGCAGATATTTATATAGGGAAAAAAGCCTCATTTTCATACGTGGAGGCTTGTAAACCACCTGCAAAACTGAAGATGCAGGTATTTGTATGGGAGGAAAAGCCTCATTTTTATGCTTAATGGTACAATACACTGTAAATTGATGCCTAAAAGCGGTCTAGAATTCAGGCCAAATCCAGACATTAAGGCACTGATCCCGGGTTTTGAACCCTGAGCGCTATACACCTTCGTAGTCTTGGGTCATTGTGATTTCGATCGTCGTTCCCGAGTCAGTAGGCGGTGTGACTGGTCTTGCGTCTTGTGGGTTCATTGGTTGCGGAGAACCCCGCCTGCCTCAGCTCAGCTGCCTATCAACTACTCCGTACTAGTTATTCAGTCGCACTAATGTACCTAGTAGGTCGTGACACGTAGTCAGGTACATACCTAGACTGTTGACGGGATTTTCTGACGCCCAATAACTGCTTCAGCTTCTCGAGCTTACGACACGGTGAAAATTACACCTGTCTCCCGAATATGTCCTTAGTTCCTCTCACACCTTGTCTGAGAATTGTTTCCAGTACTCGGATTTCTACTCGGATTTCCATGTAATAATTAGAACAAGGATAGCCCTGCTATGGCGCCCTTTCTTACCACGGTAACAAACACCATTCGATCGGTTGATATCAGCAGTCCGGACACCACAGCTGAATACTTTGCTGCACAATGGGTGAATCCTGGAGATATCTTTTCGGTCCTCCTTCTTCTTGGGCCGGAGATTGTTCAGCAGGCTGTGGCCCAATTAGCCGGAAGATCTATCACACCAGTTGCGTTCTCCTTTGGGTGGGTCGCGTACTCTACGAAGGCCCTAGTCTCCATCGTAGGAGGCAAGTATCATCGGAATTCGCGCTCTGTTTCTTAGAAGCTTGCTCTAACCGAAATAGATGGTCGATTGATGCCCGACACCGACATGGCGAATACAATGGTGATCGCTGCCGGGACAGGACATGTTCGCACGACGAGTAATTGGATTCTTGGCCGGTTACTCCGAGATATGGACGATCGGGATGACAGCAGCGCGAAAAATGAACAGCCCCATGTTCCACCTAGTAGGGATGACTTGCCGACTGCCGAGACGGAGAAGAGGCTGAATCACAGCATGCCGTGGCAAGCGCTCAGAATCTCTGTCTTTGAAGTGGTTGAGGAGCCAGATTGCCTGCATGGCGTCCCACATCGCGACTGGCTATGGTTCTCCGGTTTCATCGTCATTACTATTCAGCTGGTCATTGCCATGTTGCCCTGGGTATTCCATGGTGAGTGGGGAACCTTTCTCATCACTGCATATGGGAATTTTCTTGCCCTGGTGGGGGCCTCTCTTCCACAGTGGAAACGAGAAAAATGGTCATGTCCAAAGCAGGGTGGGGCGACAGTCACCATAACCCAGGGAAATGGCAGCCGGCATGCAGTTGTCATTCTGGGCAAAAAGGGCGTGGGCTTGGATCTCGAGATCCTAGCTCAGGGGACCCGCACTGCGCCACCTTCAAGGTCCACTCGTTTCGCTGCCGGTGTTCTGTTGGTCCAGTGGCTCGGACTCCTAATAACAGCTGCTGGCCTAAAAATTGATACATGGTGTAAGTGATGGCCCTTCTTCGTCGCTTTGCCTGTATGTGGTGGAATGAACCTAACTTCTCTCTTGGCAGATCTCCTTGGAGTCGGAGCCTTGGGAAGCCTACAGAATTTGATAGCAGCTGGTGCACCACGACAGCCTAGAGCGCTTGGAGTCCACATCAAAGACACAGGCCGCCCAATATCGGGTACACGGGTTGCGCATGTTTTGAAAATGGCCGAAGAGCAATATCCTGGCGTGGGCATCTCATTGGTGCCAATATTCTTCCCTGGATCCATGAGGATCCGTGAGCAAGACTTTGCATTTTGGCGGGATGCGCAAGAGCGTATAATGGCCCCTAACCAGCATGGAACGCGGCTTGATAATCTCCCTCCCCTTTGAGTTAAGGATTTTCTGATAAGGAGATGGCTAATACTCCGTGACCGTCTTCACTCTCTGTCTCTTTCCTATCCCTCAGTTCTGATAAGCCTAAACTTGCGAGTATACTTTGTTGTATGTAACATATTCCAAAGAGGCATTATATTAGAAAAAATGAAATAAAAATAGAGAAAGAAACGAATGCCATTCAATCCTTTGATCCAAGAGAAGAAGGAGGAAATGACAATCAAAAGTAACTAAGAAAAGAATATCAGCAAGTAAAAGCAAAATGAATGCGTTCGGATATTGTACACTAATGAAATGGCTTGGTAAATTGTCACCCTATCACATCTTGAGCATCTGCCGCTCTCGCCTCACTTTCGAAGACGGAAACACTATCTTCATGCATGCGCCTCACGAGGTACATAATATCACTAGGAAAAAGCAAAATATATACGCTCGGATTACACCGTTGAAATAGCTTGGTAAACTGTCACCCTATCGCATCTTGAGCATCTGCCGTTCCCGCCTCACTTTCAAAGACAGAAACGGTATCTTCAGGCATGCATCTCACTAACGAGATGTAATATCACAGGATGATATTCATCGCTCGCTCAGATCCGCAGAGCTCAGCTGCCTGTGCTGACTAGTTGCCTACTTACCGCTGCAATGAGCGTCGCTAATCTCATACTCTATGCGTATGAGATGATAGCTTCTGCCGATCACAATAATGTCAGTGCAGCCCGGGTTAGGAGATCTCGTTTGCATCAGGCTGATTCGGCGACTTTTAGTATCATGTCAACGAGTCTTCCTAGTTCTTCAAATCACGTACTTTTTTGAGAGGACCAGATGATTCTCCCAGACAATAACCACATTAACATCTAGACACTGCTTAGCAAGACTTTGAACAGCATAGTCTAAGCTCCAGGAGTTACAGCTAGTCTGTTCAAGATGGTACGCATTACGATAAAACTGCAGAAGTGACATTGAACTGAGAATAGCAATGGACTAGGAGTTTGCAAGTTCTGATCCAGCCGTCAACATCTTCTATTACCATCGGCTCGTCGGCAGCGGTGATAACAAAGATGGCCAACAAAGACTACCGCACCCTCCCCGCCTTGTTCATGGCTATGAAGACCTGTGTCTGCCAGATACGCCTGCGATCATAGACCAGTGTTCCAATTCTCAGCCTCGAGGGAACTTGTGGCTCACCTGCCCGACTGAAAAGATTCCTCAAATCTACCGGGAGGTGGGCTTTCTTACCCAGCTCAGTCTGCTGTGCGCCGCAGCCAATCTCAAGAAATGCCACAATAGAAAATATGTGGAAACGTTTCAGGTTATGGAAGCGGAGGCTCCCCCCGTGCTCCTGGGGTCCCTTCCGCCAGTGGGCTCTTGTTGCGATGTCCTGCCAGGAGACGCTCGAAGAAATCCTTCGCGAGAGCCTGTCGCTTGGGTTGGCACCCGTCGACAAGATCAGCCGCCCGCATACTCACCTAGTCAACGCTGTGCATGGCTGTTGTCAGATCCTGGAGAATACTAGCCCAGTCCAGGATCTTTTTGTACCCGTGCACGATGGCTTTCTGGCACCGGCGGTAGACCTCAGCGAGATATGCAATATCATTTACTGGATGGCGCACATTCAAGCCGCCAAAAAGCTCTCGATTGCAATGCTACGTCATTGGGATCATCGTTACCTCCCAAGTCTGGTGACAGGACCAGCCATTCGCGAAGCATCCCAAAAAGTTCTTTCGCTGGAGCTGTGCAGCTTCCGATTTTGGAACCTTGTTGACCTTGCGGAACGGAAAGAGACCGACTTGCCAGCCATAGTAAACACGTTGAATGTCGAAGATCGTCGTCGAGCATTGCGCCATAAACACCATGACAAGTGTGCAGCCACAAAATGTCAGTACTCACATAAGGACAGTACGAAAGTTGATCAACTCCATATATGCGAGTCCGACTGTGGACGTTATGCCTTCCCAATGGATGAGCTGGGGGAGGCCTTGGAACTCGGACACACCACCGCCTGGTCCCGAGACGTTGGAGTCGTTAAGCCGCCGCACCTCCACAATCCAGATAAACCATACATCGCCATATCGCATGTCTGGGCGGATGGGACTGGTGTAGGTGTACAACAAATCCAGGGAATGGTCAATAAGTGTCTGTTTGACTATTTCTCAGGGATTGCCAAATCTCTAGGCTGCGATGGCGTGTGGTGGGATGCGTTATCCATTCCCTTAGAGCCCAAGGCACGGTCAAAAGCCATCGCAACACTGCACAAAAACTACTCGACCGCAGAGTACACTGTTGTGCACGATTTGTATTTGACAAACATGGCGTTCAAAGATCCTGCAACCGCCTGTCTGGCTATCGTGCTCTCTCCTTGGTTTACTCGCGGTTGGACAGCGCTGGAACTGCGAATGTCTACCAAGGTCGTGGTTTTGTTCAAAGGTCCCAAAAAGGACGAACCAGTGATCAAGGATCTGGACGCCGACATCTTGGCGAAAAGTCCAGGGCGTGTTTCCCGGACTCACTGGCTTGCATCGACTATCATATCCCGTCTTCGCAGGTTAGAGATCAACTATATCGACGACATCCTCGCAATCCTACGGCCTCGTAGCACTTCATGGGTGCGAGATAGAACGGTTATCGCTGCGCTTCTCACGCAAATTCCAAACTGCGATTTTTCTGGTAGTGAAGGCGCAATGACCCGCGGTATCATATTACATTTGGGCTTCGTGCCCTGACTCGAGCCTTCTTCATGGAAGGCCCACGATGTTCCCAAAGGGCCCATTTTCCTGGTGCCCTGCAACACTGGATGACATGCCAATTGACCTCCGTGTAGACTTGGAAAGCCAGGCAGCGAGGCGTGCCAGATTACTTCGTGTGGAGAATGGCGGTGCAGTCGTGGGAACCTGGCACTACGAGCTCGTGACCGCACTGCAAGTAAAAAAAAACCAAGTTCAGCCACATGGGGATCACATTTCAGTGGCTGTGGTCTTTCACAATGCACTGCTGGAATGGCAAAACTGTCTCATCCTCCGCGAGCGGAAGACGGACAATGGACTGGCCTTGTTAGTCACGACGGTCGGGTTGACTGTGGAAGACGCCAAGGTCTTATTGGAATGCAACTATGTCGGCGCTGCACGGATAGCGAAGGATGAGGACGAGAAGCCAAGTGCGCGGACGATCATAACAGAGTTTCATTTCCGCAGGAGGCGGAAGTGCGTATTGGCCTGGAATCGGGGCGATCTGAATGTTGTGCTCGGGACGTCATAGAACAACTCCAAAGCAAGAGGCAGTCTCTCGACAAGGGAAAAGCACACAGATCGAGTGTGAGCAATGATGTCAGCGGGTTCGACAAGAAGCGTGCCGACTCGGGTGACCAAGGCCAGGGGGTGGCGTCCACTCTGGCCAGAAGGCGATACGCGAAAGTGACTTCGACTACCCTTGGTATAGTCGTCCTGGCATAAGTCATCTCCCAGTTCCCTCCAGCGCCGACAACCAGGAGATAGAGGATGACTCAGACGAGGAAGCAACAGCGCTGCGAATCCGTGAGCATCTGAGTCGTGCATTCAGAAACGCGCATGCAACTGAAATACTGCATCTGCTTATATCGCAAAATATCGAGGTAGCGAGCGATGTTTTGGAGCAGCTGTCATTTTGCCAGCTGGCGAGTTTGAGCTTCGTTTATTTTTCCAATAATCTATCGAAGGAAGCCATCCTGACAAGTGAACGCGCTGCCAGTTTGCTGCCGACGCGCTCAGCCGATGGGGACCTAGCAACATTAGAGGCTTTGTGCATTTTGGGAAAGGTCTCCTGGAAAACAAAGCAATTCGACAACGCAGATCGATTTTATCAGACATTGATTGATCGCTGTGACCCCGCAAGGACGCAGGAACAGCAGTGGAAATGGCAAGCACATGGAGAGCAGTGTCTCCTCCTGATCGAATTGAACCAATTGACTCGGGCTTCTGAAAGTTACCGAAAGGCCTGGCGAAAGTTTCAAGACTTATCAACACCAGAAGACCTATTTGGATACGATGTCTTAACGCGCCTGAAAATACCTTAATTCTGTGCGCGATAAGGAGCAAAAAGCAGCGGAGACGGTGTACTCAGAAGCTTTGAGCGCTCTGGAACGAGATCTGGGCAAGGACCACGCCATTGTCATTATCACGGCGAAGATGCTAGCTAGCGTCCTCTTGAATAAAGGGGATATTGCTGCTGCAGAAGAAATACTTTCCAACATCCTTCCACACTTACAGCGGCTTGCAGGTCCGAGCCATCTGACGTTGACCACGAGGTACGATTTGTCTCGAGCCCATGTCTCGCAGCGAAGGATTACTGTTCCAGGTCCCATGCTTACCCTGATGGAGGATATCCAAGGGTACCTGGGACAAGAGCACTGGTTGACCAGGCTCACCGCTTTCACGACAGCCGGGTTCTATTTTATGAAGAAGGAACATGCGAGTGCAGTCCCGCTTCTAGAGAGCGCAAAGCAGCGGTGTACTACGCAGGACACGCCCCAAGAATTTCTGGCTGCGTGTGCTAAACGCGATCTGGGCATGGTTTACAGTATGCTCGGTAAGGATACTGCTAGAGGAGAATACGAAGCAGCCATGGAGGACCTACGAAATCTGCAACACTGCGAGCACGTGGAGTGGTATACTACCCTCTTCTGTCTCGGCATCGCACATCAAGCGACAGGAGATTACGACGCTGCAGAGAAAACGCTCACCGACTCGATAAGCGGGCTTGAGAGACTATGTGGCCCTCATTCATCTTGAAACTCGGGAAATTGTTGGCAAGCTTGGACGGCTTTACGCGAAACCTCTGCTGCGCTCAAGCCATGAGGTTCCGATTTCTCATGTGTACCGTGCCGTTTATGGACTCAAAGAGTTATTGGAGCGCTACGGAGATGTCCCAGGCTCAAAGGGCCGAGTCAAATGGGCCCTTCCTGATTATAAGACGGAATTCGGAATTGACAGCAACGACACAGGTGAGCGTGTCAGTCCAGGTGTGAACAATGGCGACACTTACCTTGAGGAAAATGAGATCTTGGTCCAGAATAAAGCCATCGCACTGAGGGATGATCTAGATTCAATAGAAGACAACGGTTCAGACTCTGAGGAATATGATGAACTGGGAGAAGCAAGCGACGTTTCCGGGGTGGTGGTACGTGTTGGCAGCAGAGAGGGCCCATTCAAGGAAGGGGACCGTGTGATGGGTCAGGTTGTCTATGCATCGACTAAGGCTCAGCGTCATGCTGGACGCCAGCATTACACCGTTCTGTTAACCCATATGACCGCCCAAATTCCGCGAACGCTTTCGTTCGATCGTGCTGCCGCTCTTCCCTCCAGTGCGTCGGCTGCCGCGGCGGCTTTGTTTAGCAAAAGCCACCTGGGGCTCGATCTCCCATCTGTGCCTTTTAAGCCTCCTGGAGACAAATTTGTTCTTGTCTTGGGGGGGGGGACGACAAGTGTTGGTTGCAGTGCCGTTCAGCTGGCTGTTGCTGCTGGCTTCAGGGTTATTGCCACTGCTTTGCCGAAGGATTTCGACTACACGCACGGAATAGGAGCTACCTTGCTAGTTGACTGCAGTAGCCCGACCTTGGTAGATGACTTGACACAGGAGCTCAGTGGCAAGCAGGTCGTTGGTGCCATTAACACCATCGGATCGCAGGGAAAGATGGACATATACGGTATGGATGTTGTTGCAGCGCATGACATAGAAGCTGTAAACATCAAGGACGATGATGACCTCAGCCGGCGTATCTATGGGTTCTTACACATAGCGTTGGCCGAGGGACGATACGTTTGTGCACCGGACCCGGGCGTCAACCTCACTACGACGGCTGTGCAGGCGAGCCTCGAAGCGCACAGAAAGGTAATAATTGCGCTATGAGATAAAGTATGCTGAGGCCAAGTGTAATCCATAGGATGTCGAGGATTAGAATAGTATAAGGTTCTGATAGAGTATTGGATGAACAGAAGGGGAATTGAGGATGGTCTTGCCAGTCAGGGCCGTCTAAGGAGATCCTGCTTGCTACCCGTAAGCACATGTGACGATGTGACATGAATGTAACTGCGGTTAACACTTGAGCTAGAACGCCAATATTAGATTATTACCGCCAGACGAAGTATATTTCTGAAGTATATGTCGCGGTTTTGCTTGCCTACTATCAGCTCTATACAGCGAGTCCGGCGAAAACCGCTCGATGCCCTTACGCGGACCTACAAATCCAGAAACGTGTTAAGGATTTAGTTGTCTTGCAGATCAAAATAAATAGGAATAGACATGAACAATTGATCTACCAACTAGATCATTCATCAAGAACAACCACCCCCAGCCGCCGAGCAGCCGTATTCATGTCTACGACCCGGGAAACGATCGTATCATCAGATGAAGTGTCCGGATCCTCAGACTCGTCCGAGTCCGTCATGTAGAAGTACACCCCAGCCTCTGAGACAAACTTTGCACGGTCAAGAACAACTGTGAACATGCGAAATCCGCTATCGTCGCATGCCCCCTGTGAGCTTTTAATATATTGGTCGGGTCCTTGAGGAGTAAAACGTTTTGCTGCTAGGGGTTGACTATCGCCTGTTGTGATATTGTGCAGGGCGCCAATAGAAAAGGGATTTTCTCGGTTCTCTTCATTTTGCTGGGCTAGAATCTCAAGAACTTCGTTCTGGGCGGGCCTGATGGCCGACCAGGAATTGGACTTTGGAATGAAGAATTTGAGAGCGAGGGTTTTGTTGGCCGGGAGGTTGGAGACCATTGACGCCGTAAAGAGGCGCGCTGTGCTTTCCAAGAAACCTTCTGCGTCGCGTATATGGCTCAGAAAGGCCGTATGGACAATGTATTGAATATCAGGGGTTTCGCCCTCAGGGGTATTAGTGACTGTCACGATGTTGGCTTCCTGAGAAATATGGAATGCCGGATCAAGAGAGAAGCCGCCAACTGAGGTTTCTTGGCCAAGCTGGTCACGAATCTGTTCTTCTGTCGGCATATCCTGACTAGGAGGCTCGCCCTCATCAATACCTAAGGCATCTCGCTCCGGATAGCGAGGGACATTATTGAAGATATCGAGAATCATTAACTGGCCTATATAGATCTGGTCCATAAGGCGCTCGATGACGAATTCAAATGCCTCTGACGGGAGTTTCTCTTGGCCCTCACGCAAATGCTGCGCCACGTCAACCTTAGTGCACGTGCTAGAAAATGTGCGATTGAAATAGAGCAAGTCTGGGCCTTCGCCTATCTCCTCGGCCTCCTCCGAGTCCTGCATATTGCCCACTCGATAACTGTGCGATCGTAGTAGGATATAAAACCACCCAACATTCGTAGATGAATATGGACGATTGAATCTCGGAATCAGTGGGAGGGGATTCTCGACCCCTGACTGATGTTGCTGCTTGCGACGGGCGATTTCAATGCGATTATGTTCAATGCAGGCAAAGCCATCGGGCGGGCGGTATGAATAAATCTCGAACAAAGGCTTGACTTCATCATTCCAGAACATCTGCATAAGGTAGTCTCGGAGCTCGTCGTGGTCGTCGTCCAGGGGAACAAGGCTGTAGACCTGAAAGGCAACTAGTTCACTGAGCTCTGGCTCGCATTCTGGGTTAACGTACTGCTCGAGCACGACAGGATGGCCTCGATGGTCAGCGTAAGTGCGCACTTGTTTCCAAGACCTAGACATGACGACTGGTCTTTGGGGGGATAAATAACACTTGATGGAAAACAGGTTTGAAAAAAAAGACCAGTGAAGTAAACGTGGGGAACAATGGGCTTAAATGGACTGGAGGGAAGAGGGGTTACATAACAGTTGGGACTAATCGACCAACGTAGACTGGAGTATCAAAATGCAAGTTACAGTCCCGACAACTTGAATTAACAGCTTGAACTAGTAATGGAGACGCGATACAGGTGGAGAATCAATGGAGAAAACACTGTGTGGATTGACTGTCTCGCACGAGGAGAGGAGGAAGAGAAGGAAAGGAGAGAGCTATCAAACTAGCGGGTTCTATCACATAGTGGTGCCTCAGGCATTCGACATAAGCCAAAAATAATCAACAGATCTTAATTTGTGACTCTATGTACGAATGACTGCTGCTATAAGCTGCGCACTAGCCTGATGCCTTGACTCGGCAAATATATGCAGCTTCAGTCGACACCAAACGGATTCGACCAGATGCATCGTGAAACCTATAATTAGAAGGTCCCATATTCTATCCCAGAATTCGGCGGAACCCGTTCTCGCTCGTTATAAGCGCCCAGTCCTGCTTCCACTCCAGCACCAAATTTGCGGCCCTCAATCGCTACAAAGACTGCCAACGTAGCACTGAAGAATGCCCCTGCAGCAGTAAGCGCAATGTTTATAGGAACCGGGTTCCCATCAAGGGCGAATCGGGTAACGGCGTCTAGCCCAGCCTGGCTAAGGCTGAATATTCCCGAAACACATACCACAGTTCCATAGATACGCCCGAATGAAGCGAAACCGAAAACCTTGGTAGCGTAGTCACTTTAAACAGTGTTATTAGCCAAGCCGTGGTATCAATCAGGGTGGACTAGGGACCTTACGAGATAGAAGAATAGTAAAGAGGCCGGAAGATCACGAATAATATAACGGTAGTATAGGCTGACCAGACATACGGCAGACAATTGAAAACGCCAATAGCAGTTATCAAGATTGTCAGGAGGCAGAATACCATGGACACACTAACGGAGTTGAGTAAAAGGCCAATGACCGGAGTTGAGGCAATACCTCCGACGGGCAAAGCAATATCAAACATGCGATTAATGGCCTCCGCGCGGCTTTCCGAGCCCAACATGTATAGATATTGCGCACGTATAGTGGCGATGAAGTAATTCATACGCAGCATTTGAAGGGTAGTTAAGAACAGCATGAGAATGAACCAGAAACTGAGCATTTGCTTGCCGGCGGGGGCACCATGTAAGACACCCCATACACCACTATTTCTCTGTAGTTCCTGGTATTTTCTCATTTGTCCTTCCCTGTGTTCTGCATCGCCGGCAATATTTTCGATTTCATTTAGCGTGGCCATGCGGTCATCTGCGCGGGCGCTCCGTACCCTAGACAGGTCATCGGCGACAATTATATCTTCGTCGGATTCGTGTATATCCCACCGATTATCCTTGGCTTTGTCAATCTTCCACTCTAGCTCGGTGATAGTGTGATAGGCGTGTGGTGGCATGTAGATAAACTCAGCAACAAGGATAAGAACAGGGACACTTATATAACTTAGGAAAAACTTTTTGATAGAAATATTCCCGTCGGTGGCATCGTAAACCAAGCTGTAGAGAAGGAATACAGCAGTAGATGCATCGAAAGAGCCCGTGACCATAGCAACGATAATGCCAGAGTGCTTTGGGAAGGCATAAGCGAGCTGAAAACTGGGGACAAAGATAAAGGTCCCCCCCCAACGCTAGAAATATATTGCCAGCAAAATATCCATCTAATCCGGGAAGTGTCAATGAAGAGCTCATAAATAGACAGCCTACGATCAGAGAAAAGCAGCCTGCAACCCAGCAGGCCCGTCGGCCGTACCTATCAAGAGCCCAGCCAGCCAAGAGGCACGAGATATTGGCAGCCACAGAAGCTACGACGAAGAAGAGGTTCAGGCGTAGATCTTGCTCGACGCAGGTTATTCCGTGGCGATTTTGACTATCGCTGATGAGGATCACATTGTCGGACCCACAAAGATCGCTATATATTCCTTCAGATATCAACACGGGCTTTAATGCAGCAAAGCCGAACACGATACCCGCGGATAGCCAGCACGCTACAACTGCGGTTGACACTTGAGCTAACACGCCAATATTAGATTATTGCCGCCATACGAAATAGTATATTTCTCAAACATACCGAATCGTTTTATAAAGGTTACTTTATATGCAGCAATATGAGATTCTTCGGAAGCTAAGCCAGTTGGTGTGAAGTGCATGAAGCGCCGCTCTTGATCCTCATTGATGGCAAACTGGTGATAATGGCCAGATGTTTCTCTTTCACGTATGTCGCCGCTGGTCGAATACGGATTTAGACTGGTAAAGCCTTGGTAGTCGAAGCCTTCTGCTTGGGTAACGTGCTGGGCCAACGACATTCTCCGTATTTGTTACTTGTAAAATACTTAGAACCCAGGATACCTGCTTCAGGCGCAGTGAAATAGGCTAGACCTGAAAATAAAAGTACTGGATTGCGATGCGAATTTATTATATATAATAGTAATGGCCTACGTAGGCTTCAGCAAGTCGGTTTGGTCACTAGGTAACTACCCAGTCTACCTACCTAGGTAGTGGGCTGTACTTTATAATCAACAGGAACAGGCTAACTCCAGAAGATCGTCAACCAGAAATGCAAATAATTCATTCAAGTGTGATGACCACATTTGCAATCAGTTTGATGGAATTCGGCAAGTGTACACGTCATTTGTTATGGTGTCGCCTGCAACTCGTATTGTTTCCAGGGATCATATGACGAGTTTGTATAATCACATGATTGGTATCTGATATTGAAGAATATTGAAGATATTGACAGAAATCAAGGAATGACAGATATTTTCGGCCAGAACCAAACGACCAAGCTCGCCGCTTGATGTAGCCGGTTTCGCTCGATATTACATCACGACCTCACAACAAGCTAGGTATATAAGATCAATACTTTTGTCACCTTTTGAAATGCAATCCTTAAGTTTAACACAATGATGTGGTCGAAAGATGTGAAGTATGTGTCGCGGTTTTGCTTGCCTACTATCAGCTCCACACAGCGAGTCCGGCGAAAGCCACTCGATGCCCTTTATTGGACCTACCAATCCAGAAACGTGTCAAGGATTCCCTCTCTACGAGAAGGACCTCGCTCCGCCATCGGTCGACTTTTGGACGACTATGATCGCTTACTGACAAGTCGCCCTGGACCCCCCCGAGTTTGGACATACTCTCCATCCTTCGACGTCCGCGAAACAGAGGATGCCTACCACCTGGAGGGTGAACTTCCTGGTGTTCAGTCCAGTGATATCGATATAGAATTTGAAGATTCAAATCGTGTCAATATCAAAGGTCATAGCGCGCGCGAGTCTCATTCCAATGAAGGCTCATGGAGGGTATCCGAGCGGTCCGTTGGAGAATTTAAACGAACCTTCAATTTCCCATCCCCCATCGATCAGAAGAATACCCACACCCAGTTAAAGGATGGTATTCTTTCTGTAACCGTACCCAAATCCGGTTCGGCCCCAAATACCAAGAAGGTCGATACCGATGCTTGATATTGCCTGGGAGATGCGGGTTTAAATATACGAGCAAAATGCATTCTAGGGTCTGGCGACGGAGTCAAAGATAGTTTAAGTGCGAACCGACCAATCCTACACAAAAGTCTTCGTGCCTTTTCGTCCTTAAGGGTCTACTATATTGGACATGTGGAGTATTAGGTTAAAGGAGTATATTAGTTAACTCAATTTAAGGCTTTGGAGAACTCCACGTGTGGTCCGCTCCCAGGAGTTCTAGTAGCTAGTTGCCATGGTTTCTCTCCTCTCTTTTACTCCTCCTCGAGTTCATACTTAATATTTCAGTACTACCTCCATTTCTCATTCCTGCAGTAGCCGCGTTCCTCATTTATCTGTAAAAGGCCATACTGCTTCCCTCTGGCTTCTCTCCTCACTTGTCCTGGAGTGGGAATTCAAGAATTCCTCCCGGCATTTTTCTAGCTGAACCCTGAAGTGTTCATAGTTATTGTGGTTTACCCAACCATCCCACCCTCGGTATGCTCCGACTTGCCCGAGGAATTCCTCCATTAGTTCAACACCACTAGCCCACTTTGCCTCGTCCAGCTTTCGCTGCTCCTTATCCTCCTCAGTAAAAGAAAGTGGACAGGGAATGGATGACCCAACGCGAGTCGCCCATTGTTCCCGCAGCCTTATGAGCATACCCTGGACAATGGGTTCTCCGTCACTAAAGAGCGAGCCTGAAAGACCCGTGATTTGGCCAGCGAGTGAATTTTTGAATTTTAAAGCGGCTGCAATCTCAGGGCACTCTTGCATCATCTGAATATCATAAAGTTTGTAGAGGGACTGGGCAGCACGAAGCTTCTTCGCCTCGAGCTGCTCTTCTGGACTGAGGTCATCGAAGTTGTCCGGTAGCTGGATCCGCTTCAGTCCCTCAGGGATAGGTCCCTGGAACTCTATCAGCGCTGGATGGCGAGCCTGGAGAAATAGAGGTGACAAATTCACGGCCTGCCAATCGATGATGGAAAGAATCTGTGTTGGCTGATCCGGGTTCACGAAGATGTTGTCCCCGTGTAGATCGGGGTGCCACAGAACAGGCTTAGATATCTCTTTGTCTTTTGGTGACAGAAACTTGGCGACCTTGAGGACATTTCGCAGTGTTTCTTGTTTTCGTTGAGCAGTAGGCTGGTATTGACCAGGCCCATAAAATAGCCCTTGCGGACGTGGGAATTCCGAAAAAGTCTGCAGACAAGCAAGTTCGCGGTTGGCACGAGTAGAAACATAATCCTCAATAGATGCCCCTATCGTCAAACTTCCATTAGAAAAGTTTTGTTAACGATCCGACGAAGACACTTACAGGGCCCTCGGTGGACATCAACAGCATCTCTGCCATCATCGAAGAAGGTTCGATTCGTGGTCGGACCAACCGCAAATTCCACACCAACAGTGTTCTTTTTATCCCCAAGCTCGATCATCTGATTTGAGTCGACAGGGCGTAGGTTATTTGCATAATATATGCTTCCATACATAGGAAACCGAGTGGATACAAGTACCTTCTCAAACCCAACGAGTTTCTGAACAATCTCAAACTTATCAGGACCAGGTAGATCATCCCACAGTTTGCCAAGTTCAACTCCGCGGCTTCTTTCCATAATGATATACGCGGCTCCAATCTCTTCGGTAGAGGGGCTCCAAGCATACACTGTTGGGGCTGGAATATTCAGTACATTCCGGACCTAAAGTTTGCCGTCAGACCATCTAGCACGTAGTAACATAAAGCCAAGCAATTCTCACATAGTCCATGGTCGCTACTTCACTAGCTGTGGTAAAGTATTGCGGTCCAGCATTGGGATTCGGGAGCTTTGCAATCACTTCTTTCCCATCGTCCATCGTGAGTAGGAAAACCTTGCTAAAATTTCCTTCTGGGAGTTTCTGTACTTCGACGCAGGACTTTGACCCTGTCGCATGGGTTGCGATATTGACGAGCTCTGCCAGATTAAACTTGACATAGCGACGGGACAACTGTTCTTTCTCATTCCAAAGCCATCGCCCAGATGTGTAGTGATAGACAGTATCCTCATCACAGTCTGAGGTATATATTCCTTGGGTTAGGGTTGGGTTGGTTTCCGACCGGGGAGAAACGGGCGTCGAGGGTGAGTGCGTCTGGCGCGACGTCAAACGTCGTAACCATTCCATACTGGTAGCATTATGGAAGGGAACAGAAGGCAAGACAGCTTGGCCGACTTTACAAGTGACTATACGAGACCTATACCGAAAGATCTCGCAAGCTCTGCGTGCGTACATTTTGTCGAGGAGGCGAAGTGGACGCGAAGTCGCATTCAGGTACCAGCCTCCCATCACATGACCTTGACAAGATAAAACAGGAGTTTATCGACGACCTTTGTGTCATTGGGGAGAAGGAGAGGCTGAGTCCAAGCGGGCCCTTCGGGTCCTCCGCCTGATTTGCTGAATTGGTTGCCTTGGAAGGCAAGGCATCTTTGGAAGAGAAAACAGGCTCTTCGAGCTCTTGGTCGATTCACGACTACTTGAGGAACTGCCTGGATGTAGTTCGGGTTTTGCGCCACACTGCTTCCGAAGAAACTGGTACAAGTCAGCAATCAGGCAGAATCAAAGGTTGTTGTACAATATAGGTTATTGGTGTTGAGAGCCAACCATTGTAGCCCACAACGCTTAGTGGGTAGGACGCCAATCCCCCCAATCCCGGTTTCCGGGACTCCCTCATCCAAGGTAGTGTCCGCTCTGTCAATTTGGAGAAGAGAAGAGTAGTTGCATAATGTATTTTTTTCAGGAGAAAGGGTGCTAATGTCTAACACCCCAGGATCAAAGGACGAGCACCCCTCCTAAACTCCCTCCTACATGCTTCAACCTACCAATCAGCTTATTAGTTTAACCGCTCTTCAATTGCCCCGCAGGCTCAGGAAAGACCGCCACGCATTAATCCTACAGAGTACCTGCATTCAAGCTGCACTTCTTAGCCATTTCTTGATGGCGCTGTGTTGATTTGGTCCGTGTGAGGGATGGTCTGCGCATTGTGTATCTCAAAAAGCCATTTACCATGAGTTGCCAGACTAATCCAACCTTCCCAGTTGGGGATCATGAGGCTTTCATGGATTTCGCTCTCATCCAGGCGCAAAAATCACCGCCAGGTGCCAACAAATTCTGCGTCGGAGCTGTACTTGTCGATGCCGACAACGGCAAGGTCCTATCAACAGGGTACTCGCTTGAATACGCCCGGGATTACAAGGGAGATCCAGGCACCACACATGCAGAGCAGTGTTGTTTTATCAAGATTGCCGACCAGCACAACCTTCCTGAGGAACGTATCTATGAAGTCCTTCCGGCCAACACGGCACTGTACACAACGATGGAGCCATGCAATAAGAGACTTGGCGGCAATATGACTTGCACGACCAAAATTTTGAGACTTAAGAGCGTCATAAAGACTGTGTACGTGGGAATCAAAGAGCCGGGGACGTTTATCGCACACAATGACGGACAGGGGAGGCTGGAGGCAAATGGTGTCAAGGTCATCTTCCCTGTTGAGCATTGGCGTGAGAGGATCACCAAAGTCTCCATAAATGGACATTGAATTTTCTAAGACGTCCCGATGTCCTGAGACTACCCAGGTACCTGTGTGGGTTAGCTAGGAAAAACTCGGAAAGAATGAGCGGAAACCTTGGAACGCGCGGGCCGGACCGGGCCGTGCGACCATGCGGATCACTTTCATTTGCTCTTTATTATGACTTATTTGTAAGAAATATACGGAGTAATCAGATTCGCCATTCCCAACTGGGGTCCAGTCATGATGATGTTATTCTGAGATGGTGAGCCAGGAAGCCTCTCCAAGAATCGTCAGAGCCGGCTAGTGAAGCCATCCAGGGAGTAAAGAAACCACCTTTACTGTAATGGGAATGTCGCGAAGAGGGCCGCGGATGGTAAGTTCCATACTTGAAGTTCGAAAAGAATCCAACAGCAAATCCACCATTATATTCACCATTGTGACGGTAGTTTTCCTACCATTATCATTTGTGACTTCTTACCTTGGCATGAACAGGGTGGGTATCAGAAAGGGTATTCAACCAGAGCTTGTTTTAGATGATCTCCCTTGCCAGTGCGGCCGGCTTAATCTTCTTTCTGTGGGCCATCATAAAATTCAGACGGAGAGTGCGGAGATTTTGGTTGCTTCTGCTGGAAAGGGTCACCTCGCGAGTGGCGTATACCCGGGCAAGACCATAGCAACCTCGGATAAAACTTGAATAAACTGGCTGCTCTATTAGGCCTATCTTCCAAGGTTGTTTAATAACTACGGTTAGATCACTCTCTGCTAGACTACTGAGGAGCATAGGGAGAGGTATGACACTCTTCTATCGCGTAGACCGGTTGGTAATGGCTGCTCATCGTAGGCACAATAAGGCTGTGGACTTAGGTTGAGGGATCGTTCTGGGTTTAGGAATATAGGAGCGGATAATCTTGGGGCAGCGTGTCAGACACGCATGAGCCACCCTGCCAGTGCCATCGAGGTGGTCTACGAGACTACCCACGAATATGACCTTACAGAGAATTTCACGGGATAGAAAAGTGATGGAAGGCCTCGAATTAGTGTGGTCAGGGTGCTTGATGAATTCTGAAGAACTAGAAGGAATGACTATTCACCCATGCTGCCCCTTTCACGAACGTGGAGGAATCCGAGGTGGTCCACTTCCGTTGTATCCTCAGCCTATCGCGAATACCTTCCAGGATCACATCAGCCTGGTAGGACTTGTAGGCACCGGAGCCTTCTTCTTGCTGACATACGCAATCTAGGTAGCGCAACAAAATGGCGGGACAAAGTGACGGTCTCCATGTTTTCCCTTGGGCCTGTAGGTCTTCGACCCGACCCACAGCGATTCTTCGAAGGTTATGCCCATTGTGCTAAGATTCGACTTGACAGCATGGGCAAACGGACCGGTAATCACTTCATGTCGACCGGAGCGGGTAATGACTTTAATCAGACCTGTTGATCCGTCGCTCTAGAAGCTGTATGTAATCCCCTAAGGCTCGTGTAGTGATCGTTGTCGAGCTTCCAATGATCCGTGGTCGCAGACCAAGGACAATAATCCACTAGTTTTCGTCGCCGTGTTCACCCTAGGGTCTCCATGGTATTGTCAAATTCGGGCGGTGCATCTTTGATTCAAAGACGCCTTGGTTTCCAGTTCGGTGGTATAGTTGTGGGGCTTGTGGGTTGCGGTTATTTTGCTGGAATGTCTCGACCAAGCTGAACGAGGTGGTCTTGGCGGGAGAGGATGGCGACGCTAATGGATAGTCGGTCTGGTGTGATGGGTTTTGGCGGGCCCAGCGATGATCTTCTGGGTGAGTGTTGGTCTGCCATGTTGTTTGGCATGTCGAGAGGCAAGGGAATTCTTCCCAGTAAGGCTGCGAGTTGGCTACTGCGTTCATGTTGACCAGAGCGATGGAATAGAATTGAGAAGGATGGTGGGAAGGGAAAAAGTGTCAGCAGCGTGAGGAGAAGTGTAAGACCCAATCTGCGCTCGTCGGTCAACTCTGCATCATGCTCTTGACAATATTTCCACTTGTCACGTTGTGCGAGGACCTTCTGCGTGTGTGCTGGTCTGCCATAGTGGTTGGCATATCAAGATGAGAGCAAGCCCTTCCCAGCAAGGCTAGGAGTTGGCTACTACGTTCATATTGACCAGAGCGATAGAATGGAAATGAGAAAGAGCGTGGGGAGAGAAAGAGTGTCAGGAGCATGAGATGTGTAAGACTCAATCTTCGCTCGTAGGTCAACTGTGCATCATGCTCTTGATGATATTTCCACTTGTCGCGTTGTTATGTTTGGTGTAAAGTAGCTCAGTGTAGTCAAGGTGCTGCTATGAGAAATGGGTGAGTGAGAAGGGTGAGCTTATGAGAGGGTGAGAAGTGATTGGCAAGCAGGTGAGAAGCATGCCATGTCTTCAGATGAACTTGGAATATCATTTGCACTGTTCTTCCCCAAACGCAGACCCAACCTGTATTTGATTTCCTCAACCGCTTCTTAGCTTTTCCTTTTAGTCTTAGTGCTTAGGCCTTGCCCGTTTTATCTTCAAACAATTTATAGCACAGTTGCTCGTATGAGCTGCGCATGGCTGAGTAGCATCGACAACCTGGTACTTAGTTTGCAAGAAAGGTGAATACAGATCCGGTGCTACCAAGATCATCCTTCTAATTTATCTGTCCTACACATTTACAAAGAAGTGACGCGGTATCTCCCACTCTTTTCTATTATTAATGAAGGGGGTCAGACAAAGCCTTCATGAAACAACCTGGGAACGTCATGCAGTGAGCAACGAGAAGACAAAGAAAACATCCAGGGGGTCAACCTTCGAGTGCAACCCCTCTCTGCAATTTGTTTTGGTACCATGCTAATGACACTGGTCTAGCATCATAGTTCTTTCATAGAGCGTTCGCCCATCCATGGCAGTGTTATATTCAATCATGCGTATACCTTGAACAGTCTAGCGCATTTTCACCTCTCCGACCGTATAAAGACAGACCCTGTTTCCTTTAAAAGAAAATAAAAATAAGAGGGAGAAAAGTAAACTGCGCTGTCAAACAGTTTCACAGATCATGGGGTGCTTCCGCCTTAGCAACTTCATCGCTCTCATCGGCGTCCTTTTGGTTGGTCCGACGAAAACATCAGGTGCAGCTGTTTCCGTTGTACCTCAAGCAAGTAGCGACGGTCTTTGTTATAAATATGTTGTCCAGGCTGGCGAAACTTGTTCTATGATTGCTCAAGCACACGCTATCACCGCGGCGGATATCGAAACTTACAACGCTCGAAGCTGGAAATGGCCTGGGTGCGGACAGATACCACAGGGTACTTTCATCTGTCTCAGCGCCGGAGAGCCTATAATGCCAGTTGCCCTTCCAAATGCTGTTTGTGGCCCCCAGGTGCCTGGGACAACACGTCCCAACAACTGGTCTGAACTGGGATCTTTGAATCCATGTGCGGCCAATGAATGCGTGAGTCGTGTGTTTGGAAATTTTTCTGTCAGTCTGAAATTAATATTTAACAGTGCTCTTCGTGGGGTCTTTGTGGAACCACTCCTGACTTTTGCACTTCTGTGACTTATGCCACTACAGCATTATCTATATCCACCGGCACCCGTCCCAATGAAACAAAAACCTTACCGAAGAAGTCTACTGCATCTACTGGCACGACTAAATCTGTTCAGCAACTTGTGGCTAGCAGGGAGACCCCATCCACTAGCAGGGCCATATTAACTAGTGCAACCAAGTCTGTCCCTACCACTAAGTCAACCACCACGACCACCAGGACTACTTCCACCAAAACTACATCTACAAAGCCTGCCAAACCATCCAAAACCACATCGACAACTTCAACTAAATCACCCCAAACAAAAACAAGCACTAGCAGTAAAAGGCCGGCACCTGTTGATCCATGGTCGCTCACAATGTACAGCAAGGACTGCGTGGGCGACTACTACGTACTCCAGGGACACAATGTGGGCTACTCAAATACCTGCCTGAATCTGCACAGTGGCCTAAGCAGCAAGTACACAGAGACGGGTGTTTCCTGCAAATGGTTTACAGACGGCGGCAACTCCCACACTAATTGTGATGCCGGCACCCTCGAAGCACCTCAATCCTGGATAGTTCAGGGTGGTATCTGCACTGTATATGATGTTAAGAATTGCGGTGATAGTTTGTTGTCTAATGCTTACACGCAGAAGTCTTGTAAAAATCGGGACAAATTTGATACGCCAAAGTTTCTTTCTATGAATTGTTATGCTGAAGACTAAGGTTGAGGGCTTTTTGAGTTCGGTCCATGTTATATAACTCATACTTGTACTAAGGAAAGGTTAAAAGCAGTTTGTCTTCCGGTAGTAGGTGAAGGCTATCTACAGGACTGGGATATCGTTGTTTTTCAAGGGAAGCTCAACTATTCTGAACCCTGAGGGAATACAGAAGGACGTCTAGGACGTCTCTACATCATAAAGTCCAGGTTGATTGGAAATCAACTTTGTTCTCCGTATAGATAGCGCTGGAATTATTTCCGATGTTGCGGCTTCGTTCCTGGCTAGCCGGTATCCATATCTTGATAGTTTTTGTCCCTGTATCAACTACCAAAAACCAGAGAAAAAATGTTGCATCAGCAGGATTAAATGAGTCATGTGCACCTCTGCCTCCAATAGGGAGTTTTTCAGAACAGTAGGCAAGATGGAACTATTAAAGTGAATATTTGATGTCTTTGAACCACGGTTCCAAGGATAACCCCACATTACCACATTGCCACTTGAACCATGGAACGCCAGCATCTGGATGCCGAGCGAGGCAGTGCAAACGGTCCGGAAAAACCGATCCGATCAAGTCGTCATAGTAAATGTCACAACCTGTCTGATCAGTTGGGGGACGACTGCTGGCTTTCTAGGCACATACATTGTCCAATATGCTGCTATGGTAGTTCCGGTTTTCTGGCGATTCTGAAGCCCAGGTCATGCGGGATCTAACACAGCCACGATCCTGATGACGGAGACTCGACGAAGTAGGCAAGCTATAGAGGTTGTACCATGACCAAATAAATAGCCCAGCTCCGGGTTTATCAAAGGCAAGCCGATGAAGAAACTATGGGCAACCCACCCACATAAATATTGTACATCGTCACTGCGTCAATGTCTGACAAAGACGAAAACGAATTCTGGTCTGAGGCTCTCACTCCAGAGCCCCGCTTTGAAACGGACTTTCGCATTCCCGATAACAAGTTTGCCTTCTCCCCAGGCCAGCTGAACAAACTGTTCAACCCGAAGTCCCTTGCCGCTTTCTATGCCCTGGGTGGGCTGCATGGTCTAGAATATGGACTCCAGACGGATCTCACCGCTGGGCTATCAGCAGATGAAAAGATCCTAGCTCGGTATACAACCTTCGATGAAGCGAGACAGGTTGCGTCCTCACAAACGAATGGGACCCTGTCGCACTCAGGACAATATTCGATTTCACCAGTTGAAACCGCTCAGAGTGCATCCCAGTTCGCGGAACGATGCCGGGTCTTCGGCACAAATGCACTCCCTCAAGCCCCGAAGAAGACGTTTCTTAAACTTCTTTGGGACGCGTACAACGATAAGCTCATTATCCTCCTCACAATTGCCGCGATTGTGTCGCTCTCCCTGGGTATATATGAAGCTGTGTCCGGGCAGTCGCAGGTGGACTGGGTCGAGGGCGTGGCAGTCTGCGTTGCTATACTTATTGTGGTTTCTGTCACAGCGGGGAATGATTGGCAGAAACAGAGGCAGTTTGGGAAGTTGAATAAGCGCGTGCGTATTTCGCCCATGTCCAAGATAGAGTGTAGATTTGAGTAACATTGTCTCCTAGAAACTTGACCGCGAGGTTAAGGCTATCCGCTCCGGGAAGACGATGCGGATGCGCATCAGTGATCTCACTGTTGGCGACGTCGTGTGTCTAGAACCGGGTGACGCAGCTCCTGCGGATGGAATTGTCATCACAAGCCAGGAGATCAAATGTGACGAATCCCTTGCCACAGGCGAGTCCGATCATGTCGAGAAGTGCAGTGGGTTCAAGGCTTGGGATACTCGTGCAAGTGGGTCGGAGCATGATATAGACCCCTTCATCATATCCGGAAGCAACATCCTTGAGGGTATAGGGACGTACCTGGTTACCAGCGTCGGGCCACATTCAACGTATGGCCGAATTATGGTCTCTCTAGGGACCGAGACAGATCCGACACCGTTGCAGGTGAAGCTTGGGCGGTTAGCAAGTTGGATCGGATGGTTTGGGCTTGGGTATCACCTTCACTCCCTTGCCCACGTGAATGGAGTAGTAGTACTGATGACGATATAGGTCTGCTTTGTTGTTGTTCTTTGTCCTGTTTGTCCGTTTTCTGGTACAGCTGTCGGCGAGCCAAGAAACCCCGGCTGTTAAGGGACAGCACTTCATGGATATCTTGATTGTTACTGTCACGGTGATTGTAGTGGCAATTCCAGGTATGTGCCTTCCCGTAGTCCATGTGTTTGTGGCTTCTGTTACTGATCAGTGACTAGAGGGCCTGCCACTTGCCGTGACACTCGCACTGGCTTTTGCGACTGGGCGGATGTTGAAAGAGAATAACCTTGTTCGACTATTACGGGCCTGCGAGACAATGGGCAATGCGACAGTGATATGCTCTGATAAAACAGGGACCTTGACGCAAAACAAAATGTCTGTGGTCTCGGGATTCTTCGGCTCCAGTGAGCCATTTGGTAAATTCCCTTTAAACACTACTGGATTACCTATCTCGATATCAGACACCCTGAAAAGGTTCTCAGTATCTTTTGAAAAGTTACTGCTTCATAGTCTGGCACTCAACACAACAGCTTTCGAAGAACAGCAGAGTGAAGGCACCAAGTTTATCGGAAACAAGACTGAAGTCGCCCTTCTTCAGTTCGCACGTCAGGACCTCGGATTGAATTTGTCTGAAGTACGGACAAGCAACCACATAGAACACGTCTATCCCTTTGATTCGGCCCGCAAGGCAATGGCAGTGGTATATGCTAGACCAACGGGATCAGGATATCGATTCCTCGTTAAGGGTGCACCGGAGATCCTTCTCACTGCTTCCTCTCACATGGTCTCTCCAGGGCCAGAGGGGGAAAATTCAGCTGCATGTGTGATCTCCCCAGATAACCGCCGCTTGATATCAGGGATGATAGACGCCTATTCCCGAGCCTCGCTTCGAACGATAGGACTAGCGTATAGAGATTTCCCAACCTGGCCTTCAGCCCTTCAAGACCGCCAGCCCACTTTCGATGACTTCTTCCATAACATAACCTGGATCGGAGCATTTGGGATTCACGACCCGCTAAGGCCCGAAGTCACCGGAGCAATTCAGACTTGCCGTGCGGCCGGAATTCAGGTCAAAATGGTCACAGGTTCGTTCGCTAATTTTTACATGGTATGTATGTGCACGCATTGACCAGCACAGGCGACAACATACACACGGCACTCTCAATCGCCGAAGCATGCGGTATTAAGACGAATGACGGCATCGCGATGGAGGGACCTGAACTGCGGAAGTTAGGAGACAACGAGCTGGCCATTGTCATTCCCAAATTGCAAGTACTTGCGCGGTCCTCGCCGGATGACAAGGATCTTCTAGTAAGACAGCTCAAGCGCCTTGGGGAAATCGTCGCTGTGACTGGGGACGGGACGAATGATGGCCCGGCTTTGAAAGCTGCGGATGTAGGGTTCTCGATGGGACTAAGTGGGACTGAGGTTGCTAGGGAGGCGAGCTCGATCATTCTTCTAGATGATAACTTCAGTTCTATTGTTACAGCCGTTGCATGGGGAAGAGCTGTGAATGATGCTGTGGCCAAGTTTTTACAGGTAAGCCTCCATATAAAATCGGAATATGAGGATAGGTGCTGACCAGATAGTTCCAAATCACGGTCAACATCACCGCCGTCATTCTAACAGTTGTGACGGCGATCTATAATAGCAAGAACGAGAGTGTGTTCAAAGCCGTGCAGCTGCTTTGGCTGAATCTCATCATGGATACGTTCGCCGCACTAGCTCTGTACGCCTCTATCCATCTCCACATGGACGTTAGGAAACTAATCAAGGCAGGGCAACTGATCCCCCGACATCCGACATCCTCAATCGCCCTCCAACTCCCCGCAGTGCCCCTCTCTTCACTGTGATAATGTGGAAGATGATCCTCGGCCAGTCCATTTACAAACTTGCCATCTGCTTTATGCTCTACTTCGCCGGTCATTCGCTTTTCAAGTTCGATAAATCCAACGAAGTCGACATGCTTGAGTTGAACACAATAATTTTCAACACCTTCGTCTGGATGCAAATCTTCAACCAGTTCAACTGTCGGCGGCTGGACAACAAATTCAATATATTCGAGGGCATACACAAGAACAAATGGTTCTTCGTGATTAACCTCGTCATGGTCGGCGGCCAGATACTGATTATTTTTGTCAGCGGGACCGCATTTGGTGTGACTAGGCTTTCTGGTTGGCAGTGGGGGGTCTCGCTTGGATTTGCGGTGTTTTGTATTCCTTGGGCGGCGATATTGAAGCTAGCTCCGGATGCCTATGTGGAGGTTTTGTTGGACGTGTTTGCTAAGATGATTAGGTGCGTATTGACATGGGTTGTCAAGGGGTATGGATGGGTTATACCGGGGGTAGCAAGGTGTTTTCATGCAGCTACTCCGTGGTCAAAAAAGGGACGAGGGAGGGCTGTAGATGAGGAGTCTGCAACTGGAGTCAACCATTGAGGCCAGGCCTGTACGGTCTGAAGCTCGGCTATTTCCGAATGCTTCTTCTATCCCAAACTCGGAAAACTTGAGTCAGGCTGAGGTATTCGATGTGCACAACATGCCAGTTGACTTTGAACAGAACGTTGCAACACGATGGCTTTTCCGAACTTGAGTACACTTATTGAAGAATATATAGATGGCGATTAAAGTTGGGGAACGAGCTTGGACACTTTGCCCCACTAGCCTTTTCTCTTTAATGTGTGATTGGTCCAACCTGAATTACTCTAACCGCAAATGGTCAAGTTCAATATACCTAGGTACTTACCTAGGTAGGTAGATACTTAGGTAGATACTTAGATAGGTACTTAGGCAGGTGCTTAGGTAGGTACCTACCTAGGTACTTGTAGGTACATATGTAAGTAGCATATAATCGTGGCACCGCCTTTCACCAACACACTCGTGTGTTGATGGGCTTGGCATTATAAGGAGATATATAGACCTATAATTTCTCTACCTATATAGGGTGTTGAGGAAAAGAGATATTTTGGAACCGGTATCCTTTGTATCTTTTATATAGGCACACCATATAAAAGGTACCTAGTTTCATGATTTTATTGTTCAGTGGTATTTATCGTTGACATCAACACTGGGTACCTAGTGTGTTGGCGAAAAGGCAGTGCCACGATTACCTACATATGTACATATGTAGGGTACCTAGGTAGGTAACATTAATTGTCACCCTGGTCCTATCATTGTCACACTATATACCCCTGCTGGGGCACAGCAAACAAAGAACCTGGTGATGAACAAACGATCCATGGGCACTCCGCAATATTTAATCGGCCGTCCATTCCCCATTCCCCTATTCCTCGCTATCTTTCTTTTTAATTTTGACATCTTCAAAGCCATATAGCCATCTTTATCTGAGTTTATCTTATTATGAGTGACAATCGGGGTCGTGGACGAGGCGACCGTGGAGGTGATCGTGGCCGTGGTGATCGAGGTCGCGGTGCCGATCGAGGTCGTGGTCGCGGGGAGAGTCGCGGTGATTTAGCTTTCCGCCCAGCCGGTAGAGGTGATGGAAATCGTGGAGATTTCCGAGGTCGAGGTGGTGATAGAGGTCGTGGAGGCGAGTTTCGTGGAGGTGATCGAGGTCTTGGCAGAGGCGGGGGTGATTTCCGCGGCGGCCGTGGCGGCGGCCGGGGTGCTACGAACTTTGGCCCGCCTATCTTCAGGTTTGCCCACTCCCTATTCGCTGCTCATTGAAAAGAAATCTAATCTTTGTTCTATAGACAAGGCGAACCTATTCCACCTCCTAACCCCACCGTCACCAAGACCGAAAATGACCTCGCCAAAGCTCTTGCTGTGAGCAGCCAGAAGGCACCTAGGCAGGCAAAATATCCCGAACGTCCTGGTTATGGCACAGCTGGCAGGCCGGTGACTTTGTATGCAAACTACCTGCCGCTGACCCTGCCTAGCAAGCAGCTGTTCCGCTACCATATTGCCATCGCAGCCGACTCTGCAGGCCGAACTGCTCCTGTGGGCAAGAAGGCCCGACACATTGTGCGGCTGCTGTTGGAGGAGCACTTCCCAGAGCAGAAGAGCAGTATTGCGTCAGACTTCCGGTCTACCCTAGTATCGTGTGTCAAATTGACCGAGGGTAAATTCGATGTGCGATACAAGGAACACCTGGATGATGACTATCTGGATCCACCCCGGGTTCACCAGGTTACCTGCCAGTATACTGGTGAGGTTAATCCTGCTGACTTGGTCAACTATCTGACCTCCACCAGCGCTGGTACCATGCTTGAATCCAAGTCTGAGATTGTAGCTGCTCTCAATATGATCATGGGGCACCACCCCAAGACGGACGACCAGGTCGTCTCGGTCGGAGCCAACAGACACTACAGCCTGCGTCAGGATACCATGGAATCGTTCAACCTTGGCGGTGGCCTGTCCGTCCTGCGCGGATTCTTTGTCAGTGTGCGTGCCGCGACTGCTCGTGTGCTCTTGAACGTCCAGGTCAAATATCTGGCCTGTTACAATGAAGGGCCTTTGATGAACTTGATTCAAGGCTACGGCAACAGGAACACTTATCGTTTGGAGAAGTTCCTCAAGAGCCTACGCGTTCGCATCACGCACATTACCCGCAAAAACAGTCGCGGCCAGCCCCGGCCGCGCATCAGGCCTATCTATGGCCTGGCCAACCGCGGTGATGGTGGCTCGTCGCCCAACGCACCCAAGGTCTCCCGGCACGGCGCTGGTCCCCGAGATGTGCAATTCTTCCTAGCTGAATCTAGCCCTCAGCCCGTCGCCGTGCCTGGTGCGCCCGAGCCCAAGGGAAAGAAGGGAAAGAAAGCGCGCAGGGCCGGTCCTGCGGAAGCCGGTCGCTACATCACCGTTGCAGACTTCTTCAAAAAGGGTCCGTCGATCTTGAATTTTTCTTTCACTCTTCCTTCGACTCCCTTCGTCCTCGTGTTATGCTGACTTCCCTCTTAGAATACAACATGGCTTTGGATGCAACCCTCCCAGTGGTGAATGTCGGGTCTCGTGACAGACCTGTCTATCTCCCTGTTGAGGTCTGTGACGTCGAGGCAGGCCAGCCAGCTAAATCCAAGCTTTCAGGTGATCAGACAGCACGTATGCTCCGCTTCGCCGTCATGGGTCGAAAGCCGGGTCAGAACGCCCAGTCGATTGTTACCAAGGGTGTGGGTGTACTGGGACTCGGCGAGCCATTGAATGCCACACTAGTAAGGATACCCTCGCTCCCAAGATCTGGTCGAGATATCTAACCTTTTACAGTCTGCTTTCGGTGTGAACTCTTCCACTGAGCTAATCACGGTTCCTGGACGCGTTCTCCCCGCCCCAAATGTCACGTACAGAGATGGGAACAGGACCAAGGAAATCAGAACTCAATTTGGCAGCTGGAACATGCGTCAAATCCAGTTCTCTAGGGCTGCGCCGATGAAATCCTGGACTTATCTCTACATTGATAAGGAGGGCTCCCGGCCTGTTTTCCAAAATCCAGATCAGCTCAACGCGTCCCTGGAAGGCTTCAGAAAGACCCTCAAAGATATGGGCATGTCTGTGGACGCTCACAAGCCCGGCAAACGTGTTGTCCTGACCGGCAAGAACGACGCCAACGACCTTGAAGAAGCCGTCGTCGAGCTGAAAAATAAGCACAACCCAGTCTTCATCCTGGGTATACTGTATACCAAAGACACTGGCATATACAACTGCGTCAAGCAAGTCTGCGACGTCCGCGTAGGCATCCGCAACGTGAACGTCCTCGCAGAGAAGCTCGTGAACTCGAACGACCAGTACAATGCCAATGTGGGCCTGAAAATCAACCTCAAACTCGGCGGTGCCAACCAAGCCCTCCGCCCCAGGGACCTCGGCATAATCTCCGAAGGCAAAACAATGCTAGTCGGCATCGACGTAACCCACCCCTCGCCCGGCTCCGCCAGCACAGCCCCCAGCGTCGCAGGCATCGTCGCCTCCGTGGACAGAACGCTCGCCCAATGGCCCGCCGAGATCCGCGTCCAAGGCGCCCGCCAAGAAATGGTCGCCGACCTCGAAACCCTCCTGGCCGGGCGTCTCCAGCACTGGCGCAAGCTAAACAAATCCCTCCCGGAGAACATCATCGTCTACCGCGACGGCGTCTCCGAGGGTCAATACAACAAGGTCATCGACGAGGAACTTCCCCTTCTCCAGAAAGCATGCAAGAAAACCTACCCAGCAGACCAGACCAAGAAAGGTCTCCCACGTCTGGCCATCGTCGTCGTCGGAAAGCGCCACAACACCCGCTTCTACCCAACAACAGAGCAGGACTCGAACCGCGAGAACCCAATCCCCGGAACCGTCGTCGACCGCGGCGTCTCCGAGGCCCGCGACTGGGACTTCTTCCTGCAGGCTCACTCGGCTCTCCAGGGACAGCCCGTCCAGCTCACTACTTCACCGTCTGGGATGAGATCTTCTACCGCCGCTACCCGGCTAACAGCGGCGGCCCCGGCGCGGCTGATGTCCTCCAGGACCTCACTCACAAGATGTGCTACATGTTCGGCCGTGCGACGAAGGCGGTTAGTGTCTGTCCGCCGGCGTACTATGCCGATCTGGTGTGTACGCGTGCTCGCTGCTTCTTGAGTGATCTGTTCGATCCTCTGCCCGTTGACTCGACTGCGGGTAGTACCAGTGGCACGGAGGGCGCGACGGATATGAACCGCCGGGATGATGTCAACATCCACCCTAATATTGCCGAGACTATGTTCTACATCTAGGTGATTTGGTTGAGGATGTGGTTTGCCATTTATTTGATATCTATTATGCGATTTGCGTATCTTTTGGAGTCTTATGACTTGGATTGAATGGATTTGGTGGAAGTGGAAGTGGAAGTGGAAGTGGAAGTGGAAGTGGAAGTGGAAGTGGAAGTGGAAGTGGAAGTGGAAGTGGAAGTGGAAGTGGAAGTGGAAGTGGAAGTGGAAGTGGAAGTGGAAGTGGAAGTGGAAGTGGAAGTGGAAGTGGAAGTGGAAGTGAAACAATTTGGTGGAGGGATGAAGGATATCAGATTTTGGACCTAGGAGACCTACTTACATTCGCTCGCTCGTCTTTGGTCTTTGGAAACATTTGAAATATCGTTTGGGATATTCTATTTCGGTCAGCTTCGATACTTGGATATCGGACACTGAGCGAGATTCACATCTAGTTTACGATTTTGGATAGTGGCTTAGCTGCGAGACTGAATGAATCTTCAAACGATGACATCTACGATCCCTTAGTAGGTGTGTAGTATGTTCTTCTGGCTATACGGGGTAAGAGGTTTACGAATCAGCTGAAGGAATCAAGGTATAGTTAGCATAAAATTGACGAATAAACGAATCCCGCTCTCATGGAAATAACTTGTACACTGGTAACATTTTGAGGGCAAGGTACAGAAAGATAAAATGCAAAAGCAAGATAGACAAGAAGGCAAAAGGGTTGAAGATAGTACACGCAGGCCAGGCATTCCACACTCGACTCCAACTGCGTAGTCCGAAGGCGCGAAAGGGGAAGCCTGGCCTCTTTTTTTTTCTTTTTTCTTTCTTTTTTTGTGATTTTGCAGTTTCAAGGACAATGTCCAAAATTCATGCGGGTATCGATACATATTGCTCGTGATCGGAAAGAGTCGGCCGTTGCTTGTCGTATAACGGGAAGACGGAGCTTAGATGATTTCTCCGCTGACAAGGGATACAGTGGTAGTATCAAGCTAAGCCCCAGACCGGCGCTGGCTCACTTAATTGCTTTCATGGCCCCAGCTGGGCTGGTTGTGGGTGTGAGGGTTGCGCTGCGCGGTGGCATTTCTCTTAACCGGCTCAGGGGACGCCTCGTCGAAGTTATCCCAGTGGGACTCCATAGCCTTGTTGTGGGCGACATGCTTTTGCTGCAGGGGGACGGGGACTGCTCATCGTAGTTATGCCAGTGGGATTCCATCATCTTATTGTGCGCCTCGTGCTTTTGGGTAGGCTTGTTCTCCTTGGCATCAGGCGATTCATCCGTCATCTCGAATTGCGAAACGGAGTTCTTCTTGCGGTTGGCAACGTTTGCAGCTGTTGACAAGGGCTCGCTCTTCTTCTCCTGCTCAGGCTTGCCTTCTTCTTCCTCGAAGAGGCGGTTCTCGTAGAGGCCCTTGCCGCGACCCCCGAATGAGCTGATGATCCGTCCATCGTCCTCGGTTTCTTCGTCGGTCATCTCGAAGTGACGGTCTGCATCGCGACGGGGCTTGGTCACGTTCAGCTTGGCATGGGGGGGACCCAGTGCCTTCTTCATTATCGCCGAAGCCAAAGTGGCGCACTTCGTGTCCGCGTGGGGCGCGCGATCCCTTCACAGGAGTCTCGGCGTCGTCGAAGTCCCAGTGGGTTGATTGTTTGGGGTTGGCCTGCTTGACTTCTGGCTTCATCTCGCGCTCCGAGTTGTCGCCGCCGATCTCGAAGTGGTCGTATTTTCCGGGGGCGGACTTGTAGAAATGACGGTCTTCGTCGACAGGACCTGGGCCGGCCTTTTCTTCCTCTTCGAAGATCCGGGGAGCCCTGGGCTTGGACTTGGAGGGCGAGTCGGGCACATCATCATCCTTCATGAAGATATCGCTGAAGTTGCGCGCGGCAGGTCGCCCAGACCCGGGCGCATAGGGAGCCACAGGGGCAGGGACTTTCTTGCTGGGGGACAGAATCTCAGTCAAGGAACCCGCTCCGTAGGGGTCTTGGGTATATCTCTTGCTCTTGTTGGAGGAAGCAGGTCTGGGGGGTTCCGCGCGGCTTTCGATCTCAGCGACCTCCTTGCTCGGCGAGAGGAGCTCAGTCAAGGACTCGGCTGCGTAGGGATCTTTGATGCGGCGCTTGGCTGGGGACGAGGAGCGGGTGGGGAGCTTGGTCTCCGCATTCTGAGAAGGCTGCGAGGGTGTTGACTGAGCGGTCTCAGCGTTCTTGAGGAGACGGAGTTGGTCTTTTCCATCGCGAATGGGCCATTGACGTCCGCGCGCTCCAATAACCTCGACTTGCTTCAGCAATGAAGCCTGATCCCAGTAAATTCGGATCTGCTTGATCTGTTGATTGGCGTCGAAGTGGACGATGTGGACCTGCAGGATGTATTAGCTTTCGATAACGCGACGCGCGGCGGGGAATTTACCGTGGGGAAAATCGCGACACGGTCGGCCAGGAAATTATCGTCGAGAGAGGGGAGATAAACCCCACCACCCTCAGTGAATTCGAGGGTGGTTTCCATGTCTGAGACATAGCGAATCCGATCCTTCAATGGCGCTGATGACCTGGTTCGACTTCGTCTTGACCACCTTGGCGTTGTTCAACACATGAGTGATCACATTGTCGACCTGCTCGAACTTCGTCGTGGTAGGAACATAGATCAAGGACACATCGTCGGCCAGTTTAGCAGTCTTGGGGTTATCCAGGAACCGCTGGTATTCTGTCTTGCAGTAGGACATTGTCAACCGTAGGGAGGTTTTAAAAGAGAGGAAGATATTCCAGAGAAGATACTCTAGAATAGTCTAGAAGCTAGACGGGATTGAAGTTACAAAGAAACTATTTGCAATTAAGAGAGAGAGAGAGAGAAGAAGAAGAAGAGAAGGAAACAATTGCTCTCCAAGTGCGGCCCCGGGGGAGTGCAATGCACTCACAAAATATACAGGGGAAACCCCGGGACGCTAGAACCAGTTAGTACTCGGTACCTTGCATATCTCAATGTATAATTGTAATAAATATCAAATGAGAATGCAAAGAGAAAACGCGTTGATATCCCTGAAATAATCTGAAAACACGCCAGTGTTTCACCATACGGGCCTAGGCTTGGGGCTTGGCCCGTCTCTCCGGCAACTGGAGAATCTGGAGAATACACTTCAAAGGACTTCAGCCTCTACAGGGGGTACGGATTGTACAGGGTTAGACATGCAACATGTACATTGTACATTTCAAAGTACTGGCAATGAAATGCCCTGACACAATCTCTGGCGAGTCGGTCATTTCAGTCTGCAATGCCGACTCAAATCAGACTCTCTCAGGTAGAAGACGTGATCGGTCTATCATTGAAGTATAGCCATCCAAGTCAAAAGTATGGCATGTGTGCCGAGCAGGGACTTGTCAAACTCCAGCTCCTGACCGGCCAATTCTTTTTTCTCTTTTCATCTTAGGCAGTAAATCCATCCCAAGCACTTGCCGTATCTTTGGGGGACCATAGATGGCATGGTAAATTATCGTATTGGTGAAAAAGGTGGGTATGTGTTGCAATCGTGTCTCATTACAAAGGTCTATTGGAGAAAAACGGCGTTAGAATAGTCAATGCGCTGGGCACGGTTCGCGTGACTTACCCAAGATAATCCTCCTTGATGGTGCCAATGGCATTGATAGCGGCCACGTCGGGCTTAACACCGAGGATCTTCAACCGCAGACTGGTTCCTTTCTCAATGACTTGATCGGCATGATCAGTGTATTGCGGCGGTACGGTGTTGGGCTCCCACTTGATATCGGAGGGGATGTTCTGATGGGCTGTCAGCAGTGAAACCCAGCGATCCATGGGGAAACAAAAACATACCTTTCGCGCAATGAAGACAGACAACGGACCCGCGAGTGTGAAGATCCCCGTAGGCTTAACGGAAGTAACAATAGCATCGACCTAAGCTCAGTCAGCAGGAATTCTTAAGAGCGACAACCTCGGATCCCAAGCGCATACCGTCTCGCCACGGAACGGCTTCCAGATGATTGCACGATATCTAATGGTGTATTCCGCCTGTCCGATACCAGGCATCACCCGCCCTTCGCCAATATCAACCATGTCCATGACACAGATCACAAAGTGATCGCCTGTGCACCGTCCCTCTTCCTCCTCGTTGAGTCGACCGATGAGGTACTCTCGCATGTTCGGGTCCGAAATAGGACGGGTGCATGGAGATCACCTTGGTCTCTTCTTTGAGGAAGAACATCGTCGCGGTTATGATTGGATGAGAATGCGCTAATGTCGAAATGCAGAGTAGAAAGATTCGAGTCGGTTTCGGGACAGTGTTGCTGTCAATCGAGGTCGAGGGACGGCGTTTTCGACCACGCGCTCATGACCTGCAACGGGAAGCACAAACAATATGTCGTCGTCAAAAATGAGCGAAACGGAATCCGAGTAACCGTGGAGGTGGCAGAAATTGTATCTGCCTTGGATCTTGAACGAGGAGGCAGATACAGGTGCTGCAGGCGCAAGCTTTCCCTTCGTAAGAGCATCGCCGGTCTGGTGGGCCAAGTTTGGGTCGGTGGAGTCACGTGGTAAGATCCTTGAACGGTGGGAGGCTGACTTGATACTTGCACGTTTCTAGTCATTGAAACTTCATTTTGTATTTGGTACGTTATTCACTGGAATATGTTGTCATCAGTGCACTTGACGGATAATTTAGCCTTGACCGGGTGGAGGATTGCTTCTTGAATGAAGAATGATTGGATGATCTATAGCAGACCATAGATGTTTGACAACAGGTACAGAAGTAAATAACGAAATTTTCTGGCTTTGCATCTCCGGTTCGGCTTATAATAGCATTTACATGCTATATATAGCCTTTCCTGGTTGGTTTTGACTGGTCATTGAGCTTCAAAATTAGCTTCAATATATACCGTAACCTATATATATATTCCCAGTGCCATCTACTTGTGTCCTCAACTTTCAACATTAATGCCGTAACCAAGCTCTAAATTGACAATTAGGGAGCCCGTAGTAGGTCTTAATAAAGGCATTGAAAAGAAAAACACCTTAGCTTGTAGAAAAATATAGACCAAAGCCTCACCGGAACACTCCATACTAGACATTACAGTATTATATACTCCGGAGTTAACAACCAATTCAATAGAGACACGGAAGAGAACTCCAATCATAACAACATAATTCATTACCTGAGATGTTGCATACCCTAGCAAAACTATAATGTAGATGATCTGATAGGCCTGTACATGGCGGGTGGCCATGCCTGGGGACCGTTACGTTGCCAAGACCAACGTCTTCCTCGGTCTAAGCACATGACGCCAGGACCAGGACCTTGTCAATTGCACCATTCAACGCTTCCCGATAAAGATGATGCCACTTGCTTGATTCCCCTCCCCCGCAAAACTCTTCCCCAGGATTCCCCATCTTTTTGTCCCCAGCTAGGCAAGATGGCGCTTAATCTTGAGAAACAGTTGCTCTTCGTAAGCATCCATATCCACTCTTGGAACTCCCAGAACGACCATGGCTGACTTGACTGCGATTTAGTACGGAGCCTACCATAGCAATCCCGTACAGCGGACCTATCCCCATCGCCAATAACGTACGCTCACTAACAGCGCAGGTCAACGTCGCAATCCATATCACCTGCGTCCCAATCCTCCTGTTTACCGGCATCATCCTCGTACGTGTATCTCCGAATTTTCCACCAACCAAACAAGATATCCCAGTATACAAAGGTACTAACTGTGACTCCCAAGGCTTGCAACTGCCCGCCGCTATTCACCCTCCCGGACATCCTCCAAATCGAATACCTGCCCGCAAACGCCGGCACAATCGGCGCTCTTATCTACGCCACATTCTATGTCCTCTTAGAGCCCATAGCCGGCGGCCTACTCGCACCCGCCGTGATCGCAGCTGCATACTACGGAAACTACTTCCTCAGCACGCACGGCAGCATCGTGAACTACTGGGCGGGGCATCCACGTCGTGTCATGGCTGGCGCAGTTTGTCGGACACGGCGTGTTTGAGAAGCGTGCCCCTGCTTTGCTGGATAATCTTGTTCAGGCTTTCCTGCTGGCGCCGCTATTCGTCTGGATGGAGATTCTATTCTTCTTCGGTTATCGCCCGGAGCTCAAGGTGCGCTTTGAGAAGGGCGTTGAGCTGGAGATTCTGAAATTCCGGAAGCAGGGGAATGGGAATGGAAATGACAAGGGCAAGGGCAAGGCCGAGCAGTAAATGCTGGCTTGTGCGTGCAGCATGCAGTAAGGGGAGATATTGCTTGCCAAGACCAAGGGCGATACTCTGTATGTCCTCGGGTTGTCTTGCTTGCTGTTGGAAGCTTCAGTGGCTTCTTGGACGCGTTGGATTCGTATGCCTGTTATTAGCAAAGCGATTGATTAGGTCTTTTTTATCCTTTTGCGAGTGTTATTTTGCTTTGTCTTTCGGGTATATTGGTATGTACTTATCCCTTTCCTGTAGAGAGTGGGTGTTGCTGTCTCGCCCAATGCGTGATTTTATTGTATAGTAGTATCACAACACCAAGTAAATAGACTTGGAATCAAAGGAATAAGGAAACAATAACATAATAACCAAATACTAAGCATACAACATATAATAACAGAGACCCGTCTTCGGTTGCCGTGACGAAAGCCATGACATAAGCGATTCACCTGACCAGGAATTCCGCCGATCCGAGAAGAAAAAAACGGAAGGGCAGTGGCCCGTGGCACACTTTTCCGGCAATGCAAAATGAAGTAACTCATTATGGCCTCCTATAATATTCTGAAAAATTTGGTAAATTTATAGAAATAGAAATAGAAGAACAGTTATATAAAAAAAGAACCCATATCACATTGTAGTAATAATAAAAGCGTAAAGATACACCGTGGCCTCACACTAGGGCCACCTCGGAGGGCCCAGCGTCCGAAACGGTTTAGCGCGAGTCCTGAGAATCCAATCCTCCCCCCCCGACGACAAAGCTCTCCCTCCCGTCCACAATCCTCTCTCCTCTCCCGTTCTCTCTCCCCAATTACATCTCTTCCTCAGAGAATTCATCCTCCCATCCTCTGAACCCCCTTTCACAATGTTCAGAAACGCTCTGCGGTCGTCCAGCCGCTCCGTTGCGGCTGTTTCGGCCACTGGCCGCATCGCCTCGGTGAGTCCATCCCATCCCAGCCGCCTTCATCCATCGCCAGTTCGACATCCTTCATCTCAATCTTGAGCTCGATCGATGCTCATACCTCATCACACCTCGACAACGATACTTCAACGATGGCTCGGACACATTGTCCTTCTCTGGGATGGTCATTAACAGGTTTTTCGTCCATTACAGGTCCGCGCGGCTGCTGCCGGTCCTCTTAACGGCGTTCGCTCTTTACGCTTCCGAGGCCAAGGCTGCCCCTACCGAGGTCTCCTCCATCCTTGAGCAGCGCATCCGTGGTGTCTCTGAGGAGGCTGGTCTTGCTGAGACCGGTCGTGTTCTGTCGGTCGGGTACGTCAATTGTCCCTAGGCGGCTGGGGGCCGCGAAAAAATTCGGTCCCCGGCTACAATTCCATCGAATCCGCCATTGTCTATCAACATTCGACAAATTACCGATACAGAAACTGATTGAGCTTTAAATAGTGATGGTATCGCCCGTGTCCACGGCATGTCCAACGTCCAGGCTGAGGAGCTGGTCGAGTACGTGAACCCCCAAAGTCTTGGCATTACCCAGACATAGAAACTAACTCATCTTCAGGTTCGCCTCCGGCGTTAAGGGTATGTGCATGAACCTCGAGGCCGGCCAGGTCGGTGTCGTGCTTTTCGGTTCCGACCGTCTCGTCAAGGAGGGTGAGACCGTCAAGCGTACCGGCGAGATTGTAAGCACTTCAACTCAACCCCTGGGCCCATTCTGATATTGGACCCTGAATCAATCAACCCCTTGGCAACGTCTCTAACACCAACCCTAGGTCGAGGTCCCCGTTGGCCCCGAGCTGCTCGGCCGTGTCGTCGACGCTCTTGGTAACCCCATTGATGGCAAGGGTCCCCTTAACACCAAGGAGAAGCGCCGTGCCCAGCTCAAGGCCCCCGGTATTCTGCCCCGTCAGTCCGTCAACCAGCCCGTGCAGACTGGTATGAAGTGTGTCGACTCCATGGTGCCCATTGGCCGTGGTCAGCGTGAGTTGATCATTGGTGACCGTCAGACCGGTAAGACCGCTGTCGCTCTCGACACCATGCTCAACCAGAAGCGTTGGAACAACAACAAGGCCGCCACCGAGGACGAGAAGCTCTACTGTATCTACGTTGCTGTTGGTCAGAAGCGTTCCACCGTCGCTCAGCTCGTCAAGACCCTTGAGGAGCAGGACGCCATGAAGTACTCTGTCATCATCGCTGCCACCGCCTCTGAGGCCGCTCCCCTGCAGTACATTGCTCCCTTCACTGGCTGCGCCATGGGTGAGTGGTTCCGTGACAACGCCCGCCACGCCGTCATCATCTACGATGACCTGTCCAAGCAGGCCGTTGCCTACCGTCAGATGTCTCTGCTCCTCCGTCGTCCCCCCGGACGTGAGGCCTACCCCGGTGACGTTTTCTACCTGCACTCTCGTCTCCTCGAGCGTGCCGCCAAGATGAACAAGACCCACGGTGCTGGTTCCTTGACTGCCCTGCCCATCATTGAGACCCAGGGTGGTGATGTGTCCGCTTACATTCCCACCAACGTCATTTCCATCACTGACGGTCAGATCTTCTTGGAGTCCGAGCTGTTCTACAAGGGTATCCGTCCCGCCATTAACGTCGGTCTGTCCGTGTCCCGTGTCGGTTCCGCCGCCCAGGTCAAGGCCATGAAGCAGGTCGCCGGTTCCCTCAAGCTGTTCTTGGCTCAGTACCGTGAGGTCGCTGCCTTCGCCCAGTTCGGTTCCGATCTTGATGCCTCCACCAAGCAGACCCTTGCCCGTGGTGAGCGTCTGACCGAGCTCCTCAAGCAGAAGCAGTACTCCCCCATGGCCGTTACCGACATGGTTCCTCTGATCTTCGCTGGTGTTAACGGTCTCCTCGACGCTATCCCCGTCGACAAGATCCTCACCTGGGAGGCTGACCTCCTTGCTCACCTCAAGAGCTCCCACCCCGAGATCCAGGCCACCATCGAGAAGGAGGGCCAGGTCTCCAAGGAGACTGAGGCCACCCTCAAGCAGGTCATCTCTGCTTTCAACTCCACCTTCAACGCATAAGTGAAGAAATAACTCGGATGATCCTTCGTGGTCGGCTTTGTTTTCTTGACTCTATGTGTATAGACAAGATAGCCTGTACAATTTTGAGCCCATTGTTTTTCTGTTCTTCTTGGTGCCGGTGCCTGGCAGGAGATCCCAGTCTGCCCCTGGATGTAGCGATGTAATTATCTGCATGATCCTGGGGGGCGGACCAAGGATTTCCCGTAGTGCTGTTCGAGCGAGAACTAAAATGACTATGGTCTGCCAAAATGTGATTATATCCTGTACGTTTAGATTTTATCCGCGCATCGGGGCGCGAGATGGGTGGACGACCGTTCTAATTCCGTCTGGTCTCCTTATGCTCTCCGTGTTGGACCGCAATTATTTTCATTTGTTCAATATTTTAACTGTATATTGTAAACGGTTAGGTTTAGCGCCTCAATACGCTGTCACGTAACCTACCTTTAATACCGCCGACATAGAAGACCCGTCTTCGCTGCTCATCCTCTCTCACTTTTCATTCTTCCTACCTCGCTATCCTACACTTATCATCGCCGCTCCCTTTCTTTTACTCTGGCCCCCACCCACTACTACACATTTGCTCTCAGCCGGATGCACTGCCCCTTCCATTTTTAACGGAGATGCTGCTTAATCTGACAGCTTGCAATGCCTATCACCCCGAAGCGTAACCACTAGGATGATACAGCATCGTGTCCTTTCGTGTCGATGGTCCTACTCCTTCCCTAGGGTAGTGAATGAGCACCATGCTAGAAGATATCTAGGCCTCTCTGCTAATACGCCTTTTCGTCTCTGATTCCGCGGGCCTCCCTTCCTACATGTATAAAGCCTTCCTACAAAGTGCTAGTATACCCTCGCCAGGGCCTACGGCTTCTGTGGGAAGAAATACGGCGTATTTTACCACTAGACCATAACAAAAACCAAGGTTCCTGTTTAGGGCCTAGGCTAGGGGGGCCCATATCCCAGTCTGACAGCTTCTTGTACCCCGAAGCATCCCCACCTAAGTCCCTTGGCTAATAGGGTCAGGTACTCCCATGGGCGATGAAAGAACAATAACTGGGGCGATAAATTCAAGGCACTTCTGGACACCTGCATTGTTTGTTGATACATGGATTATTAGTTAGCTAAATTTAGTTCCCTAAGCGCTAGTCTAATACTGCAACCGCTTCAAGAGAGCAACGACAGCTGGACCTGTGTGGCCGTGATTGGCCGGATGATGCCGATTCTGCCAAGACAGCCACGCGAATGCACATACGGAGGGACCTAGCCAGGACACTCCCGTTGGATTCTATTCACAAACAACCTCAAAGTTGCGCTATCTGTTCTTGTGAGCTTCTGACCATGAGTAGTTGGTACTGAGGAGACTGTGAAAAAGGGGCAAGACCACTTACGTGATCGCCTCAGCAGCTTCTGAATACATGAGGACAAGGAGTGGTGAAGGTCTGACTAGCTCGCTCCACACTCTGCCAAGCCGCTTGCTTCGCTCAGCTCGCGCCTCACGCCTGGGCGTTCGCATGCCTGTCCATAGCAATGCGCTGTTCAAGCCCTGTTTCCAAAAGTGTATTTCTCAAGGCTGCGCGTGTGGCCTAAATTGATTCGGTGGCCCCAGGACAGGCCAGGCATCCAGATCTTTTTATTTAATCAAGCTTCCCAGGCACGATGCTACAAGCCTAGCCTGCTGGTCTGGTTATTTGTTTTTGCTAAGTCTCTGCCGGCCCTTGACCAGCAGTCATGGCCAAGCTGCTCTTCATCTGGTTACTGTTCACTGCCACTTCGTGTGCTGCTCCTGATCATTTCAGGCTGTGGTTTCCTCAATATCGCGGGATATTGACAGTCTACATGAAAGCATGCATGCCCACATATGACGCCTACAGAGAGGATAGACCCTGTCGACCGAGCAACTATGGCGGATGTCAATCTGGAAGGATGGTCCATTGCTTGCTAAGCCAGGCCACCGAGTCTTTGAAAGCAAATATGGCCGCTGCCGGTGTTATTTTGGGCCTCCTTCCCACTACATTGTGTCTGGTTGGGTCGAGCACTGCTGAGACTGGTCTTTTGGCTCTTCGGCGACCTTTACTATCGCTGCTCCTGGTATGCGGAGCGCCAGTGGCCTCTCCCATCCGAACGTTCGAGTATCGGGGTCCGATCGATCTAGTTCGAAAGAGGTCTAAGAGCATCGACGCGTCCAGATTCACACCATTATCAGCGGCAGTCATAGTCGCCCTTCAGTACATCTTCGCATTTCTTGCCGTCGCCAACTTGGCCCACGTCAGCTGGGAATTGTGTGTCAAAACAGTTTGCAGCTTCTCTTCGGACACAGGCTTTCATCCCGCTCTTTGGGCTTTCCTAACAGTACCGCTCCATCTTATAGGATGCCTGGCAGTGGTACTCCGTTTCCGTTGCCAAAGTACAGAGTCAAGACCTGGCGAGCGTTCATGGGCAAGGAGGCTCCAAGCGGAATTCCAACTGACTGCACGACAGTCGCCTGCGACACTCCATGACCAAAAGGAAACGTTTTGGTTCATAGTTTGCTCCTGGTGCACGTCGACTGGAACAGTCTTGCACATTATCTACGGCACACTTGTTTTCTCAAGTATATTGTTCATTAGCGCGCAGGACGCAGTGAAGGTAGTTGCGAGATATTTATGCTCCGCCCTTGTGTGTAGGATCATTCTCATGTTTGAACTTATGGGGATGCGTGATATGATGGAAATTTAGGAGGAAGCCGAAACATACTTCAAAGAACACAGGTCTATGCATGAGGCGAAGAAAGGTTGTCAAGATAGCGCTCCTAAGAACCCTTATCATACTGCACTGAGCTGGCAATGGTTGTCATCGCGAGGCGCAGGCTACCTGCTGAGCATCGTCGTAGTACATCGAGTAGACGTTCCACGCGGGGTACCTTTGGTGTAGTTACTGCGGCTGCATCGCCGCCCATGCACTCCATGTCCTCAGACTTCACCTTGGCGGTCTTGCCGGCACCGAAGGGCATCATAGCCGCGGACATGATTTTGGTAGTTGTGCTCTACTTGTCTATGTTGACCGAGGATGACAGGCTCGGCACGCCGGTGGTGATGGTGATAATGGGCAGAGCCGAGGCCCAGAACGCGCAGTCGTTGGACAGGACATACTGCTTTGTGGAGAGGAAGTGTTGGAGAACCCCCCCTAGATAGGATGATTCTTTATGTCATGCATACTGAGCCTTTGCTTTGTCAGTTTGCTTGTTCTTTGTTAGTGCAGGTCCTTATAAAGGCCCTGCTTTGCTAGATTCCATAGCAAGAGTTTTCTTCCTCCTCCATCTCCCTGGTAGCATATAGCCTCAAGAAGACATCACGAAGGGCTACCTTTCTGTAGATACTACGCCGAAGCCAGCACATAAAGTACGAACAAGGTGCAGCACTTGTTCGATCTCTGCGTTTTCGTTAGCTGCGCTAACATTGTCACCGTTAGAGCCATACCAGAACCCAGGGATCCCACGATATCTCCAATACCGGAGATCAGAAATCGCGATATCAAGAGTAAGCTTAGGCTTAGGTCAGCCCAGCTTCGTGACAATATCCTAGAGAATGACTAGCATCTCATGATCTGTGGCTGATATATTCCCTATATCCGCCCCTTCCAACTCAATCTGAACTTCAGGATATCGCTCGACAATAGCTTTCGCCTTGTTAAAGACTACCTCCGGATCCATACCGGTGGGTGTGACAACAGTCGCTTCAAAGAAACAATTCGGTGAGATCACAGAGAGAGTTACCACCTGTAATGGTTCCAAAATCACTTCAGCGCTTCCTTCTCCGTAGATACTATCGTACCATTCCCGATACTACGAATCCTCGAGCAGCTCCTAAAGTAAAGGGGGACTTTAATAGGAAGATTCTCTAGCTCGTCCAGATCACGAATAATATCGGTAGCGATACAGATAGCACTTTTAACTTTAGTTCGGGATAACCGGAGATAGCGCCGGGGTGGTAATACTAACGTTAAACTATAGGTAGCCTTTAGAGGAGAATGTGATAGCCTCTGTGCTACCTGGCTCGGGGGACAGAACACAGTTAGCTTCCATCTCGCTCGGAATTTATGTCGCGCGTAATCCATTCATCGACCTTTTGGGTGATGTGCTCTATATTGAAGTTATAAATATAAGGTTTGTTGATCGTACTATATGACTTCCCCCGTTAGCGGTCAGATCAATAATATAATACTATAGGGCATCTTACAAGGCACGATGTTGAGTCCGGGGTTCGATGCGGAAATAGAAAGCCCTTCGAAAGCTATTATTAATTCGTTCCAGTCGCATTCCTTAAAAGTCGAGAAAAGATAGTAGAATTTCTCATGACTCTATACTTATAATTAGATAGAATTATTTACTAACATTTGGGGCCGTAGCTCCACAATTGCAGGACACAGAGTCCGCGGGCGCCGACATTCCTGCCTACCTAGGTACTTAGCCTAGTACCCTTAATAGTTGGCCTTCGATCCTCTTAGGCCGTGGAACCTTTATTCAAGGGGTATTAGGAGATACACGTGATGCGGTCATCGTTTATTTCTTTTCACCACTCTCAATGTTCAATTGATTTGTGCCTCTATCATTCCTCATTTAGTTATTGAACCACCAAAAGTCATCCACGAATTCATTTCACTAGTATACGCGCGCATCAGCTTTGTCGAGGGCTACAAAACTAAGCACTAGGGAAAATCAAGAAGAATCTGCTGCATTCAATCTATCAACAGAAGGCCTTTTATAGAAGCCCTGGAAAGCAAACAAGGTAGCAAACTAGCAAGCAGCAAGGCTCAGTCTGCCTATCATTAAGGCATCTCAATTTTCGGCGTTATTTTCACAGTCCTTATATTCTATCTGTACAGTGGGACCTCCGAAATATTGGGCTAGATCTTTGTACCTACATTTTACCGCCATGCATACCGCCTGCCCGTTATATACTTTCATAAATAGGTACCGCCTCCCTATTGAACATGCTACCGTAAGAATATATGGTCAGCCGCTTATCCGGCCGTAGTCTGCTGAATAGTTTCTTAGGTAGTCTTTTTAAATGTCTTTTTAGTGGTCCTTTTTAGAAGTCTCCTTGGGTACATACCTTTAACTGCTAACCGTTAGTGTTAAATCACGTGCCTACGCGCCAACTATATTAGGAGTTTTAGACTGGCAGAACTGGCAGAATTTGGAGGGCGGTACATTTGGCTACAAAGGTTTAGCCCAATATTTTGGAAGTCCTACTGTAATTGTAGACTACTAGGTAGCTTGTAAGGGATGTATTCGCATACATCGGATGGAGACGGGTTGGAGATATGCCTAAAGACAATAACTCGAAACTATACACACCTAAATCGACCGAAGGCAATCTCTATAATTATCAGTATCATCTAGATTCCATGCTTGATGTTCTATATCCCTCGACATTTCATGCAAAAGACACGGCAACAGAGGCCGAAACCGGCATCCGATCTGTTATCGATAAGCGATCAAGATTTTCCCGGAGATCACCAAGTCCCCCGCGCGCAAAGGAAATTCACTCTCCCTCTCTATTACTGATTATATTGCTATTAACGTTCTCTTGCTGCCATGTCTGCGCCTACCGATAAACCTCCCTCCTCCTGCAAGGTGATGTTGAGCAAGAACGTTGCCAACCACCTCCTCAGCGAAGTTCACGAGGGCCTGAAGACCCTCGAGAAGCCGCCTCACTTGGTCGGCCTGTTGGCTAATAATGACCCTGCCGCGCTGATGTACGCGCAGATGACACAGAAGACCTGCGAGGAGAAGTGAGTCTCTACAATATTATGATTATCTGGCTTCAATGGCTTCAATGGCTTCTTTGGTGGGCTGTATGGTGGGGGTAACTAGTATGATTCATACATACCCCTCGGCCAAAAAAAAAAAACCAGACGATCCCAAATTCACAGCCAACAATTTAATTGAAACAACTAGCTAACGCAATGCCTTTCTCAGCGGCTTCAAGTACACCATGCGCCAAGTGTCCCGCGACGACATCGAACAAGCCATCCTGAACGCAAACACCGACAACAACGTCGACGGCATAATCGTCTACTACCCTATCTTCGGCACCCGCCAGGACCAATACCTGCAGCAGATCGTCGACGTAACCAAAGACGTCGAGGGCCTGAGTCATCGCTACATCTTCAACATGTACCAGAACATCCGCTTCCTGGACGGCGAGGCCAAGCGCCAGAAGTCCATCCTCCCCTGCACCCCGCTGGCCAACATCAAGATCCTCGAGTACCTCAACATCTACAACACCATCTTGCCTTACGGAAACCGTCTCTTCGGACACACGATCTGTGTCGTGAACCGCTCCGAGGTCGTGGGTCGTCCGCTTGCTGCTCTGCTGGCTAATGATGGTGCTTGTGTTTACTCGGTTGATATTACTGGTGTGCAGAAGTTTACTCGTGGTGAGGGGTTGCAGAAGAGAACGCATGAGGTTGTTGACCTTGAGGGCAAGACTTTGAAGGATGTTGTGCCGCTTTGTGATGTGGTTATTACTGGTGTTCCCAGTGACAAGTACAAGTTCGATACTAGCCTTCTGCGTGAGGGCGCTGTTTGTGTCAACTTCTCTAGCGAGAAGGTGTGTTTTCTTCTGCGCTTTCGAGTTTGATTGAGACGTTGTGGTTGCTGACTATTCTGATATAGAACTTCCCCCACGAGGTCCGAGACAAGGCCTCGCTCTTTGTTCCCTCTATTGGAAAGGTCACCATTGTCGTCCTGTTGCGGAACCTGCTGGTATGTTTCATCCTTATCCTTTATTCACATGCTCCGTGGTTCTTTGCAACATCATCTAACTTGACGAATTACAGAGACTTATCCAGAACAAGCGAATGGACGATGTCAAGCCTGCCGAGGCCACAGAAAGACCTGGCACCCTTGAGGCGTCATCGTAGGTCGCTTTCCACCCCCGTTCACATCTCAATCTCGATGGCCATGCCCTGAGCTGGTCATTTCGTAAAAGAATTTATAGATATTCTGTTTGTTATTAGCCATTTCGATTATACTCTGGAACTTTATGTTTCTCCTTTTGTTTCCTGTGCTTAGATATCTCCCTGTCGCATTCCATGTTTGGAACTTATAGATTGCCCCGGTTGACGTTGTCTATTATTCTATGTATAAACAAAGATTGTTTCTTGTTTACTATTATAATCTACGCATAATACTGTAATGAAAAACTGTCCCAACCGGGCTTGAAAGATAATATTAATATATACCGGATTGTCCTGAGAACAGAGAAGTCAAACCCATACAACGCGCAAACAGCCATGGAGTCCACCTTTACCTGAATAAAACACCGCTGTACAGACAAACAGACATAACATCCTGGCAGTTTCAAACTGCGGCATCGGGTATTTCCACACCTCGAAGCTTCCAGCGCTTCGAGGCAGCAGCATTAAAGCACACCACACCCAAAGACCCAAGCTAACCGGCCAATGAGTCGAGAAAGAACAAGCCTATCAAGGCAAGACAATCACTAGGATAAGCAAGGGGAGAAACACCAGAACAAACCCAATCCAACACCAATACGGTCTCAGCAGCATCAGCCACCAGAGCAAGAGCTCCCCTGCGCTGCTCTCCCAATCAGCAAACTGATCAACCCCAGCCAGCACATGCGCCAGTGACTGTCTCGCAGACATAGTGCTGTTTTCGGTGATTGTGATCTTCTGCAGAAGCCCGGGAGGAAGCACAGGTGTTATCGGCATGGCAATAGTTGTGGCTCGAGTGATCAAGGCTCGGACCCCGGGTGCTAGGTCTTGGACCTCATCGGCTATGAATTGAAGCCTAGGTGGCAGGACTATGAGCCGTACAAGACTGACATAGTTGATAGACCGGCCGAGTATCTTGGTTTGGATATAGTAGATTTGACCTTGTTGGGGTTTTTCGGCAATGGGCTCCGCCTGATTTCCGTCAGTCTGAGCAGTGGACGACGTGGCTGTTGCATTGGTCGTTGATGTCGGAGTGTATGTCAAGCCTGGAGTCCGTCGCTTGATCGCAAGGGTTTCGGTGGCGTTGACGAGGGATTCAATTTCCTCGTGGGGAGCCCAGACAATGGCTACTGTGATCTCCGGCAGACCTGAGATGTCCTGATGGTTAGTTCATCCACTCACTGGTATTCCTGGTTTCTGTGGATAGGAGCTTACGTCGAGGTCGAAGGAGAGCATGTGTTATACGCCGCATGATGGATGTCTTCAAGACTGCGGGAGGTAGATGTGAAAGGAGTTTGATACTGAGAGTAAAACCATATAGTTTAAGAGCAGTTTAGCAGTAAGGTAATATGCGAGGAGAGTAGATCATGGGAAAAAGTTGTCCCAAGTCAAAATTCTTGTTGTGCCCTGATGCTCTTCAAGTTTGGCAGGTGCAGTAGAGCTCCTTCCATGATAGTAGAGATCCACGTGAGCTCAATAGCCCTAGATGGGACATCTCTAACGGACAAGATAAGACGCTCATCTGAATCGCTCACATATCGAGTGAGGCGGAGGTGCTGCATACGAGATTGATTTCACTGCCGGTCAATATTGAAGAAGTCACGTACATGGGCACTGTTGGAATGCGTCTGATTAACTATGCCCAATAGAAAGAAAGTAAAACACAGAAAATCCATCACTTCCTTGCTCATTTGAACATGTAATACCAATGCACTCTTCTTAGTCTCTTTTAGGGGGTGACCTAGCTTTGCATTTCGCAATAGCCCCGAAAACATAACCTGTGATAGTAATTGCTAGGTAAACTAGCCAGACTTCTTTTCATTCTCCTTCGCCGCCAGTCTCAAAACATCAATCTCACTGGCCACCCAGCGACGGAAAGGCTCGGGGTGGAATACACCATCTGCCGAGAACCAAGTTGTGAAAGGCGCCTCGCACCGCTTGTCCTGGAGGACCTTTCCAGAGGCAGACTTATAAATGACATGCAGCTTGTAGAGCTTGGAGAACTTTTTGGCCGATGACGAGACAGATATCTGTGAACAGGTTTGTTAGTAGCCTTCCAAAAAATAGAATCTCGAAAGAGCCGAAGATCAATTGACATACCGTCTCACCAGTTTTCCTCTTCCCGGAGTATACCTCGCCAGCCTCGACGGCCCAAATCCAGTAAGTCAAAATGCTGTTCAAGAAAAAGTATGTCCCTACTGCCGCGATAATCCAGGGCGAGGTAGTTGCTTCCCAGCCAAGCGTGCGGTCTGCGTAGAAAGTAAACCCAGCGATTGCGACAGCGCTATAGCCAAGCAGAAAGCGAATGTTTGTCTTCGAGTAATCGGGTGTGAAAGCGTATGGCGCAGGAAGATTGGTAAGGTAAGGGAGGAGAGCATCGTCGCTTGTAGACTTGAGATCTGTTGCTTACTCTGTTAGTGCTGTTGCTGTATAGAGTAGATCGAGATTACGGACCATTGGTCGAGTAGACCGGCACCTTGTTGGAAGCCATGATAGATTTGAGAATAGATGCAAGTAAAGAAATTTTTAAAAACCAAAATATCGAGTGTGGTGAAGTATTCAGTGGCCAAGACAGGACTGTTGTTTATCGCAGGACAAAGATGCGGCGTGGCCCTTTGGAGAAAGCTGGAGCTAACGCGGGCCAATGACATCCCTCTCCGCCTGGCAACCTCGACTTCGCGGCCCCTTCAACTTTCCATCCCCCACCTGCAGCCACCACTGGATTATTGTTTGGTTCAAAGGAGGCACTTCTTTGATTCTTATTCTGCCTCAATATGGCAATTCAAGGGGCTGAGCAGACCATCCTTAGGGATCCGGCACTATTGTAAGAGAACATCATTCGATCAAGCGGAAGTTGGACTGACCATTTGCTTATAGCTATTGGATTCTGTTTCCCATTTCAATTGTTATGGTATGGTCTATAACGGGAGCTTGAAGCTTGAATATTTGCGATGGGCTCTGAGACTGAAACTAACCGCTCTTGTTGAATAGATCCTGACCGGAATCCTTCGCCACTATGCCACAGTCCTGATGAACACGACCCCCAAGTCGCCATCTACTCTTGCCGAATCCCGCGAGCGCCTTGCTCTTCTCCGCGGTGTGAATCTCCGCAATAACGCCTGTTCCGTGCTCGACCGCGAGTCGTTCGAGATGCGCAAGAACTACATGGTTACTGGATTCCGCAACGGCGCATTTCTAAAGGACCCCAACAATCGTGGCCAACCGCCCGCGAACCCCATGACCGACCCTGCTGGTATGGAAGCTATGATGGGCATGCTGAAGGGAAATATGATGATGATGATCCCGCAAACCTTGATCATGAGCTGGATCAATGCCTTCTTCTCTGGCTTTGTCATCTGTATGTTGCATTTTGATATAAATGGACATGAGCAACGAGCTTACGATTTTCACAGTGAAATTGCCCTTCCCTCTTACTATCCGCTTCAAGTCGATGCTGCAGTCTGGTGTTATGACTCGCGACCTTGATGTGCAATGGGTCTCTAGTCTTTCGTGGTACTTCCTCAACTTGATGGGCCTTCAGTCCGTTTTTGGATTCATCCTCGGCAGTGATAACGGTATGCATCTATCTGAGCCTTGCCAATAAGAACAGTCACTAATAATATGTAGCTGCCAGTCAAATGGCCCAGCAGATGGGTATGGCTAACCCTGCCGCAATGGTCAACCCGCTCCAGCCCGGTCAGGATCCCGACAAGCTGTATCTGAACGAAGCGGAGAACTTGGAAGTGATGGAGCACTTCTGCATTCTGGACGGAGTGGAAGAGAGAATCTTGCAAAACTTTGCTCCTGCGGGGATCTAATATTCCTTTGACGTTGCATGTGATGTCTAGTATTGGTGTATATATCTGTCTTGAGGTCATCGCTGGCTTTGGATAGCATGAAGAATAGAATGCGCCATGTTTCTTCTAAACAAGCCGCAATCTTGTAGATCTACATAATTAACTCGAGTGTTCTTCAATGATTGCACAATTTCCATAAATCGTAGTAACTCATAGCCAATCACCCTTGACGGTAATTAATAACATCATTCAAGACCCAGACTTCCCCATTATGGACCTTCTCCGCAACTGAATTAACTTCAATGTTGCCAGGTTGGATCTATAGACAGTCAGTGACCTACCAACGACTCCGAGAGGACAGAACCTACAAAAATCTTATCGCCCTCCTTCGTCCATTTCAACTTCTCCCCTGCAAGTGTCTCAACCTCTTCCCCAACTCTCCAGGGACTAGCAGGGATGAGATGTGCCTCCACAAATCGCTGCAGATTGCGCTTTGCCCGATCTTGCCCATCCTGCCCCTCATATGCATTTACCTCTCCGAATTTCTTGTAGTCCTCTGGATTCTCCCAGGGCTTCCGGGGAAGAGCTTGAATTGCACTGTTGCGTGGTGCTAGAACTGTAATATTCTTCGATGCATCGTTAAGGCGATTGGCGACTGGCTCAAAGTCACGGGTCAACCGCGCAAAGATATTGATGCCCTTGGTCTTGGGTAGGACATCTGAGATGATAGGGCTACCGCTGTCTTTCGCGTTCAGATCCTCGTCTGGAGCTGTCTTCTGTGGCTGGACAATACCAGGGAGAATCTTATCCATTATTGATTGGTGCTCTTTGTGCTCGAGAGCTATTTGCTGTTGCCGTGAAGGGAAGGGAAAAGATAGGGCCCAGAGTGCAGATGCTGAGCTGGCGAGAAGAAATGTAAATAAAATGGATGTAGTTAGTCGATTAGATCTCATACTGCGGGTTGGAGTCATCTTGCTGCCAATGACGCCGGACAGAGGAGCAGGTCTCACTACAGCCATGACGCAACACGCCTTGGCACGTGACGTGCAGAGTAGAGATAACAGAATCACCTGACCGTTATCGATAAGGGCATCCGGCCACAAGAAATTGGCCGATGCGATCTTAGTCTTGCCCCCGCAATCTACACGTCGGGCTCTCCTAATTGATAGATCGGTATCATGTCGGCCCTCCAGACCTTCATGCTGGTCGTGGACCACGACAAAGAAGAAGCCAAACGCATTGCCGAGGGAATCGCGCATGGTATGCCAATTCGCCCCGCACTCGGGACCACTTCAAACCGTTGCATTACTAACGGAAGTGATTGTAGATATTGAGACTAGAAAGACGACTCTGATCGATACTGTCCAATCTCTTTGGCGAATATATCAACGACGAAGACCCGATTCTACGCGGAAAAGCCATTTCCTACCTTACGGCCATTATCCAAGCTCTCTCGCCGAAGTACCTTTCGAGACAACAGATCCAAGTCCTTACTACATTCTTCTGTGATAGAATTGAGGATGGAGGTGCCGTTGATGGGCTGCAGGCCTTGCAGGGTCTGGACCGGTTCAACAAGTTTTTGGCCACCCAAGTAGCACAAGCGTAGGTGCTATACTTTCTGATTGCATGCGACATCCCTGTGCCGGGGATAAAGCTTAATTCGACAATGACCCAGTGCTGATACATTGATATAGACTTTTTTCCAACTTCCAAGATCTCCAGTCTCGATCTCAAACACAACGGTTCCATGTCTACCAATTGCTCAATGACTTGATGTCAAACCACCGCGGAGCTATGCGTGATATGGGAGATATCTCGCTTCTGGGTGTTGTTGATATCATGACAGGAGAGAAAGACCCGAGGAATTTGATGATTGTTTTCTCGATCCTGAAAGTCATAATGATTGAATGGGACATCTCGAACCACGTTGAGGTATGTGTACTTTTTCTAAGGTCGGGGATTCCGCTAACACTAGATAGACCCTATTCGACTCAGTATATAACTACTTCCCAATCACATTCCGACCTCCGCCAAACGACCCCTACGGGATCACTGCGCAGGATCTGAAGGGTCGTCTTCAAGAATGTATCTCTTCGACAAGGCATTTTGCACCTCACGCTATCCCCGCCTTATTGGACAAGCTTGATTCTACATCTCCCAATGTAAAGGTAAGATTGCTAAATACCCTGTGATCTTGAAGTCATCTAACAGGTCTATAGAAAGATGCACTTAGTACATTGATCGCGTGTATCCATTCATACGACCCCAACACAGTGTCCAAGTTTTCCATTACCATATGGGAAGTCCTCAAGTTTGAGATTCTCAATGCGCAAGAGGAATTCTTATCTGAAACCTCCCTCGAGGCGCTGCAAGCAATCGCCCAGCGGCTATCTGAAGGAGTTACCGAAGTGTCACAAGAATTGCCTCTTGCGAAGTACCTTCAACCAATCACCAAGGAGTGCAATGAGCAACTCCAGGAGCCTCAAAACAAGCAGGCCAAGCCGGCCCAATCGATCCTCAGCCGTGTGTCTGCTGCGTCGCCTGTTTCCTTTGTCCTTGTTGTACAAACAGTCGTACCTCCGATTTTCACTCTGTATCAAGAAGCGGATGGAATTGTCAAACAAAGGGCACTTCTTGAGACTTTGAACGTTTTGTTCGAAGCTGCTATAACTGTATTCGGACAATGGACCGCCCGAGGTGGTGAGGCTGCTATCGAAAACCCGCTACTTGAATTCAAAGACCAATTCTCAGACCTTTTCGGTCAGGCATTGATGGGTGCAGCAAAGGAAGAGGTCTCCTTCCGGGTGACTGCTTTGAAGGGCTTCTTGCGTCTGTCGACTTTGCGCGATTTCTTCCAGGAGAATGAGATTGGACTTTTCGTGCAATACCTTGATGAAATCCTTATCAAGGAGGAATCTGTGGGCCGGGACGATCTCAAGAAAGAAGCAATTGCTGCTCTTGCTGAGATTTCCAAGCACAAACCCCGCCTGATTGTGGATATCACTTTCCCTGCGTTTGTGGCAACACTGCCAGAGGAAGATGAAGGATCGGATGCCCGGTATATGCCGACCCTCGAGACCCTTGCTCAGATCAGCGTCGAGAGGGATATTTTCGAGACACTTTTCCGTCGTTTGTTTAGCAAACTCTCAGTTCTGCTGCAAAAGGAACAACCCGGATCAGTTGCTTACCCACGCGCGATTCTTGTCACTTTGCTTTATGTTATGCAACAGAGAAACATGGAACAAGACCAGAGTGTGGATTTGTATTTCGACAAGGTTGTGGCTGGACTTTGCCGCGATGTCGCAGCATCGGCCTCTGGCAAAGCAAAGAACCAGATTCTCAAAGATCCTACCGTGCTTGACACTTTGGGTCGACTTTGCAATCTGCTTGTGCGGTCTGTTTCTACCCAGAGGCAGGGACAAGTTGCCGAAAATGTCTACAGCCTCTTCTCTTCAGCTGAAGATTTCATTCCCATTCCATTCAGCCAGACTACAAATGCGGACCAAGAGCGTACGATCATTATCTCGACATACCTGCTTGCGGGGATATCCAAGGACTGCAGCAACAAAATCCCGCATACCAACCCAGACATGTCGGGTTTGCTATTGGACCTGGTCCATCGTTCAGTCTCGAGCACCGACCCAGCAACACACCAAGCCTATCTGCGTCACCTTGCCTTACTTGTCAATAAGTTCCTGTCAAAGCAGGATGTCACAATCGCCGAGAAACTCTTCGATTCTCTTCTCGAAAGCCAGGACACAGAATCACAGAGCCTCAATCCCGCAACCATCCGTACCATTTTCTGGCTGTCTAAAGCTTTGGTCCTCCGCCTAGCCCCCTCAACCACCCACATCCTGACCTCTCTCCTCGCCCTCCTCTCCTCCCCCGATCAGCAAACTAGCGCGACAGCAGCACAAGGCTTCTCTATAATTCTCGGCGAAGACGACATCCTTTCTGCAACTAACGGCGCCACAATCCGCCTCCTCTGCAGACAGCGCCTCTTCACAACAGTCATCCCCCTGATATCATCTCGCATCCGCGAAGTGAACATCGCCGGCACAGATGACTCTGCCGCCGCCAAAAAATCGCCCGACCACATCAAACCAGCCCATCTAACCGCCCTCGCGGGTATCCTCTCCACAATTCCCACGGCCCTCGTCATGCCAGAACTTCCCACCCTGCTCCCTCTCCTCCTGCAATCCCTTGATCTCCAGACCGCCGATTCTGTTGCAGTCCGCATAGCAACACTCGATACCCTCGCCGTCATTATCCGTGATAATGGCGTTGCCGTCATCGATCAGTGCGGCCACGTCCAGAGTCTTGTCACGAGACTCCTCAAAACAACATCTACGAGTACCGGCCCTGGCGCTGTGAACAGCCCCCGTCTCCGCGCAGATGCTTTGAAATGTCTCAAGCTCCTCGCTACGAACCAGGTGCCTGGCGCTGCGGCTAACGCGCGTGCACCGCCGGGTATCTCGCCTCTCTTGCCTGTCAAGGCTCAGGTTCTGAGATCCTTGCGGGCGGTTCTTGATGATCCTAAGCGTGATGTGCGGAAGGCGGCGGTTGATGCTAGAGCTGCTTGGCTGCGTGGTGTTGATGATGCACCGGAAGAGGACGAATGATTATTCTTGGGTTAAAGGGAAGAATATACTCGCATTAAGTTTAGAGGTTGTTTATTATCATACATTGAGCATAGAGTATAAATTCTCCAGAGTCCACTCTACGTAGGGAACTTCAGATAGAAGAAGTGTACTTTGTAATTTTTGTACTAGGGCTAAACTAAGTGATTACATGAAAGCAGTTACTCTACCTCCTAGGTAGGTAGGTAGGCTAGAACAACAATCGGAACGTCCGACCATTGCTGCAACAGCATATGTACCGGATAATGCCTGGCAGTCGGGACCTTTCCCTTTCCTTTTTAGTGCTCACCTCTTGCCGCTTTTTCGTCTCTGAGTAAAACTGAGTACGTCCCTAAGTACCCTAACTTGATCACGGGCCATCATATAATCAACATGATCTGCTCACTAAGCATCACCTGATCATACCCTAAGCCCCCTGATCCACTTACTGATTATTATCTGAGCATCCTGATTTGCTCACTGAGCATAGGGATAAGCGGCCTAAGTAAGCTCTATTAATAAAATGTGGCACGCTAATCCTATCACGTATAACCCTTTCTATTTAGATCGCCTACCAAAAAAGGACTAGTAGTTAGCGTGACCGTTTATCTTAGCGGTCTCAACCCTATCTAAGTGAAGAACTCGTAGTGAGGTTATCCAACTGACCTATTATTTTCCTATTTTAGCCTATGCTCTTGGGAATACCCGGAATACTTCGCTTACTAAGGGGTATGTTAGTTAGAAATATACCTTTCCTATCCTATCCTTTATATATTTACACTTTATAAATAGTAGCTACTTTAGGTATTATTTATTAGCCTTAGAAAGTCACTTACTAAGCTTAGTACTACTTTATGAGCCTTTAATATATTAAATAGTTGAGTACCTAGCTACTCTCCCTAATACACACTTATTTCACTATTCAATCTGCCACTTGCTAGAGTTATAGTGTTAGTTCACCTCAATTCGTATCATCCACTCTCGGTATCACCGTTCAACATATTAACTTACATCTATTATCCGCAAATCGCGGATATAAGGATCGATCTGATATCCATTAGAGCGGATATGCCGCAGTCTAAGTCGGTCTAATGATCTCGGCTACTAAGAAATAGAAGTTGCCGCGGAGTCTCTTTATCTTTAGCCTGATATCTTTTTCATTTACTTAACCAGATCCTAGAATCCCACGTAGATAGAGGTCCTTTCATCATCCTTCCTCCATAGTAAACGTGCTCCCTTGGCCCCCTACAGTAGGCCCCCCCGATTATTCGGGAATTGCCGTCGGCCTGGTTATTTTCTTCGTTCCGCACGTCATACTTCAGCGCCAAGTGAGCACCAGAAACACCAACAACTACAGCATACCACTACCCATCTACCCTCAACCCAACTCGAAGCCCAATTCAAAGTCCTACTCTCACTATAGATGACCTATACCGCCGCTTTCACAACAATCCTTCACCACTTACAACAACCGACTTTAACAATCACTACTTTGCCATATCACAACACAAGCTGGTTTCAACGGCAACGAACGCTCTATCAAACTTTCCGCTCTCAGCCCTTCCGGCCTTTATAGGATACCTATCGAACATTTAGGTTGGAGGATCTGACTGTCGTCCCCCTATACATAGAAAGTCTCGAGACGAGAGCGAGGTAATTCTTAGCCAAAGTTTAGCAAGAGACAGTGGTCCACACTAGGGCGAACTGACTTAAGCTAAACGGACCGTGCTAGACAATACAGAGGACAATGACCATATCTTAAGTTATCTCAGCAATCCTATAGAGAGAAAAAGGTAAGGTAGTCTCTCTATAGACATCTTGAGGTTTCTAAAACCGCGCGCCACAGGGGCAGCCTAACAATGGGAGCGGCAACTAGGCCACGAGAGGCCGTCATGAGGCTCTAAGTTCGTTTTTAGGAAGTGGAAGACTCTACATGTACGTAATCAGAGATATTTATATTTGTTGTAGCCTGCGTATCGCTTTGCGAGGGGTCAGGGTAAATGAGATCATAATCGTCATCGTCACTGTACGACCAACACTGAGACAAAACTCATTTCAAAACAGCAATACTTTCCATTCATCAAAGCCGTATTCCGAACCTGCCCACCACTCCGTACAAAATGTTCGTACAGTATACGAGACTCAATGCTCGAACTCGGCATCCTCCTCTTAGAACTCTGGCACGCCCAATCAATCGAGTCATTCGCAGCAGATAACGGACTGAACCTCGCAAGTAGCTCACTATCCCCGCCCCGAGGTCGCGCGGAAATGGATCGAACACAGCGAAGACGAGGGAGACATGATGCCAATTTATCTAGATGCTGCGACACGGTGTACAGAATGCACATTTACTACCTCGGCGCCGAAACCGGATTGGAATGATTTCACGTTTCAGAAGTCAGTCTGCAGCATGTATTCAAACCGTTGCTGGATATTTGTCCCACGAGGTATCGATGAGAACGCATACAGCCGGAATAATATCTAGAAAGTCGGGTCAATATTGATGTCAAAAGATATAATCAAGCATAGAAGCAAGACCATAGCTGCAGCATCCCCCTCTGTCCATGAATGCTCGTCAATAACTACTATCACCCACATATACCCGACCAGATAGTTCCTATACCCTGCGCTTACCACGGACTTACATAGATCCCACCAACGCCGTGATTAGACGCCCAGAAACTGCCAAGTGTCCCGCCCAGACACTCGGCCAGTAGAACCCCGCGAATGGCCCTCTCGGCATATAGCCAGTAAGATGAGCGAGTTCTCATACGGCTCGTATCCAATTGCATTAGCGCACGGCGTTGCAGTGCCTTAAAGTAGGACGGTCGTCCCAATAACCTCGCAGAGTAACTCCTCCACTTCACCTCAGGCAATAGGCTTTCCACGCCCCATCTCACAGCAAAGATGAACAGCATCAAAGCCCGATTCAAGAGGATGTCAATAGGTCGGACCGGGAAGGATCCCAATGCAAGTGGAAAGACAGACGCCGCAGCCTCGGCGGAGAGGACGCCAAACGAAGGCCGGAAGAATGCGCCAGCCAATTCCAATGCCGCGAATGTTGACAGTGGTCTCGCTGCCGCGCGGATGTTCATCAAAGACGAACGGGAGGGCAGTTTGGTGTTTACCATCCAGGTTGCGACCGCTTATCGCCCGCGCATCGCGGTGGATGTGCATCGGTTTGGCGAGGAAAGGGGACGGGCCCTATGGAAAGCTGGCCGGCTTGACGAAGATGTCGGGGGCGGAGCACGGGTTCGTGGAGGCGGAGCATCCGTCGTTTGGTATATAGAGCTACGCTACCTGGCACATTATATAGGCTTGAAGACAGCTAACTGCGACCAGAACTCTACCGAATCCAGAGTAAATACCTCCGCCGCCACTGCGAGAGCCCAAACGAGCTAAACGAGGAAGACTGCATCCTCTTCGACCCCGAAGCCTCACCGCTGTACGACCACGCCCATGTCAACGGGACGGTTACAGTCGAGGGCTTCGGCCTCGATCTCTGGAACGCCGAACTCGCACACGGCCGGATGCCCCAGCGGGTACACCCAAACCTCCTCCTCGAGGTTCCCGACCTAACCTTCGACCCGGCGACGCTGCTCTGCAGGATCGAGGAGATCCGATCCGGGACTGTGCCTGCCGATGACTCCGAGGAGGAAATCGCCGCGTTGGTTGAGACGGTTGGGAAGGCGGCGTGGGAGGGTATAGCGGGGTCGTGGGAAATGCAGGAGATGGGGCACAGCGAGCGCGTGCTCGAATTCCTATTCGCGTTTCACCACGAGCAGGAGGATCTTTCGGGCCGCTCGGTTATTGCCGAAACGATGACACGTTTCCACGAGGGCTCGTATGAGGGCGCGTGGGCCGACTGGATGCGCATGGTTATGGCGAGGGAGCTTGCGCTGCGGCTTGCCTCGGGGGCGGGGATGGGGATGCAAGGTGCCGGGGCTACGAAGGGGATATATGCTCGTTTCACGCGTGCGATCCTTGCGTCGTTGATTATCAGCGAACGGTGGTTTGCAAACACAAGGATCCACGTTGGCGGGCATGGCGCGCTCGCGCGGGAAGTGCAGGATGCCAAAGCGGCTGGCGTACCCGAACAGGATCGGCAGAAGGCACGAGAGCTGGTTCGTCTCGCAGAAGAGGCTACCGAGGCGAAGCAGTTTCAGCGTGCTGCGGTCCTCTTCTACGAAGCGCTCGCGATTAATCCGGCAAACTACGACACCGTCCAGGCGAGGGGCGAGTGGCTGCTCAGATTCCAGAACTACAGGGATGCAGCGAGGGATGCTGTGATACTGCAGCGACTGGACCTGGATCGTCCGGCGGGATATGTCCTCCTGGGCAGGGCATGCCTGGGCTACAAGAACTATCTCCGGGCGCAGGAGGCCTTCCGCGAAGCCGTGCCCCTCGCACACACATTCGACGAGAAGCTACCGATCCTCCAGGACATAGACAAAGCACAAGACGCGCTCGGCGCGGAGCTGAAGGCAATCGAGCAAGCCGCGAGCGAGAAAGAAAAAGCGGCGCTCATGCGCGCTCGGAGAATCGCAGACCTGGACCCCATGGGCCGAACGATCGCGCCGCGACCGGCTAAGCACGAGCAGCAGCTCGAGGGCCTGTTCCTCTTCGCAGAGCGGATGCAGTGGCCGTACCTTGAAGCCGTCCGGCGTTGCGCTAAGAAGGCCTGCGAGGACTGGCTTGCGTTGCACGAACCCATTTACCCTGTCCAGATGGACTGGCTCTTCGCCGTGATGCTCCCGGGCAAGCACTTCGCACACGTCCTCATGGCGATGCTGGTCCTCAGCACGCCGGCAATCCAAAGCGTGGGAATGGCGCCGAATAGCGAATGCGGCGTCGCGCTGCCCGAGTGCAGCTACTGGCGCAGCCGCTCAGTCCTCGGCCGCGTCCTCGGCTGCCTGCCTGGCGTCACCTCGCTCAACGGCTGGGTCGGCCCATGCCCAACAGCAACGTTGCACACGCAGACGGACGAGGAGGCCCCCGCGGCACACTGCCTCATCACGACGGTGGCGTTCAACCCGGCCTCTGCACTGCTCCCCCCGCCTTCTGCAGAGTCAACTAGAGACATCGTCATTGCGGGAAACCCGGACCTTGCGCCACTCTGGCGCGTCACAAACCAGCCGGAGATTTTCAACTTGCATCCTCCGCAACGGGACACCGCCGCGTGGGAACTACGCTCGCTGGATCTCCGCCGCGCCTATCGCTCCCACCAGTTCGAGCCTGGGGGTACCTGGCTCTGGAGCGCTTCTCTGGCTTTTAGACAGCCCGGGACGGGGAAGGAAATCACCTTCGCCTTGGAGCATACCCCCGTCTTTATCACCCTCCCGCCCTGCTCGCTTTCCGGTCAAGCAAGGGGCCATAAGATCCACCGCCGACAACTTGATGATTACAGGTTCCGGAACGTCTCGATAGATGAGATAGCGGAGGTAACACCGGAGTCTGTGGAAGAGGAGATCATTGTTATCAACGCATCTGCTCCCGGGGCCGAGGTGGTCGCGCGGGCGTGGTGTGCGCATGTTGCCAGGGCGGCCGTTGTTCGTAGGGCTGGGGGACCGTGCTTCTGTTGCACTGTTAAGGGGGCGGGGAGGCTTGGGTTGAGGGTGGGCGTCGTTATTTGGGTTTCCTAGGCCACTGGGAGTGGTTGAGGCATGCTAGTTTCCATCCGCATGACATCCGCGATTAAGCAGCAGTGTCAACATGTTCTTTGGTGGCCTAGGCTAGATGTAGAATAATTCCTGCCTCCCCATTGAGGCCCACTAGCATAGGGGATTCTCTGGCTCTTGGCAGCAGTTGCTATTCGGGGCCACATATAAACAGCTGAGATTTCTCCTTAATGTGCCACCCCGCAGACAAGGCGGGCTTGCTTGAACAACAATCTCGAATGGGCATGCATCCACTGGTACCCTGTAGTGGCGAAGCAATGGTAAGCTCAGCCTGGCAACGTCTTATTTTTCCTGCAAGGCTTGGGTGAGGGAGAACCTGATATACTTTCCGAAGCGCTTGCGGGCCAAAAAGCTTCCTTACTCTATAGAGACCAGTATAGTGCGTCGTGCTTGCTAGTTACATTCATCCCTCTATACTGTAAGCTACGGGGTATCTCTGATGACCCTTGCCATGTTTTGGCTGATCCTTTCTGTCAGGACGGTGAAAGCTGCCTGATCCGTTGGCGACTGGCTAGTTAATTCCCATTAATACTGGCCTTTTTCATAAGGCAACGCGTTTCTGTATTCAACAAGGTGGCTACTGTCTGTAAAGCGTAAATATATAAAGGACGGGACGGGAAAGGTGTATTTCCGGCTAACAGATTATCACTGAGAAATCAGGGAGCACCCAATCAGCACTCGCTGAGCAATACTCACTAAGCATTAGTCATTCTGCACGTGACTGAACTGAGCATGATCACTGATTTGATTCCGTGCTGACATCTACTTAGTGAGCCTGAGCCTGAGCACCCTCATAAAAGCGGCGGTAGATCGAATAGGAAAGCCCCACACGCCAGGGAAAATCCGGTACGTATAGGTACATATATATCAGGCCCTACTCTGCGCTGGGGGCCACAACTTTAGGGGCACGTGATGTGTTCACTGATGTGGCTGACCCTAATTGGTATATAGTTAATCACATACATATGTAGTTAGCAGCTGGGCAGCTTTTGTCAACTAGTACATCAACCCCGCCCCACCCTTCACACTCTGAGCCTGCAACGACAAGACATATGGGAATGCCATTTTTGCATGTGTATTGTGTATTAGAAACAGTCTAATGACTCTTCAACTATCTTCGAGAGCAGGAGCGCACGCGGAAGACGCAGACCCTACACAATCCCTCAATACAGCATTGAAGGATTTCCAGAATGCCTTGACAGAGGAGCAAAAACGAGAATTTCAAAAAAGCGCCACGACTCCAGATATTGCGAGCGTCATAGAGTTTGTCGCAGAAATCGATGCTAGAAATAGCAGCACGACGAGGAGGTGCGTGGCTCCACGGCTATGTACCTTCTTAGAGGCAACGCAACAGTTCACCGGTGTTGTGGACACATTCGTTAGCTCTAGTCCAATAGTGGCGGCCCTCGTCTGGGGAGGTGTGAAGACTGCTATATTGACGGCGAGCAATGTGGCCTCTTACTTTGACAAAGTAACGAGCATGATCATGCGCATCGGCAAATTTTCTCCGACATATCAACAATTTGGCCTACTCTATCCCGACTCTATCAGTCTCCAACGTGCCCTTTGTGACTTTTACGCCATCATTATCAATATGTGTGTCAAGATAATTCAAGTCTCCCGTCGAACCGCCCTCAAGCAAACTCTTTCGTCGATCCTAAGTCCTTTTGAATCCGAATTTAAGTCGTCCTTAGACCTGCTGGATGAAGCTACAAACAAGATAAACCTCGAGGTATCCCTCGCATCAAAGCAAGCAGACAAGGAAGCGAAAAAGCTGCTAGAATATGAAAGCCGAGAGAATTCAACATTCCGACCAAAAGTCCTAGGTTTCTACAAGAAATCACTGAAGCAACAAGCCGATGCAAGCGAGTGGCGAATAAAATTGAAAAAAGGGGAAATGGCGAAATTGAAGACAAGCATTCGAAACAACCTTTCTGCTATCAACCATGTCTCTCCTTGGAGGCAGACCATGAAGCAACGTGTTCCAACCACGGCTGAGTGGTTTCAGAAAGAGTCGGTCTTTGATGAGTGGAAAGACGACCCAAGAACCGCGATACTCTGGTGTTTAGGCACCATAGGCATGGGCAAGACAGTGCTAATGTCTAATGTGGTGGATCACTTGCAGTTACATGCGGCCCGCAAGAGGAATGAGACCGTATCCTATTACTTCTGCCGCCTTGACAATGAGGCATCTTTATCCGCGAGGAACATTCTCGGAAGCCTTGCTCGTCAAATACTCGATACTCAGATTGAGCAAAGCGAGTATGAAACTTTGCTCTCCTTGCAGGAGACCACCGAAGATATTAGCAGCGCGACCGACGTCGTTCGGTTCTTGTTATCTCATCTGCAGGCTGGCAAGGGTACGAAGTACTATGTTGTCCTGGACGGACTGGACGAATGTGATGGCAGTCAAGTTCAAGCACTGGCACAAGCTATGATTGAACTCTGCAGCAACTATATCGGTTTCAAAGTCATCTGTGCGGGTCGACCTGGTCTTGAAAAACGGTTCAAATCGACCGCACCGCAGTATAGAATCATGGTGAACGAGGAAAAAGTCAAGTCGGATATGGATCACTATATTACCGAGACCTTGTATAAGTGTCTGGACGATGAAGTTTTGACTCTCGGGGATCAAGCAATCGTCACAGAGATATACGACACCTTAAGGGCCAAATCAGACGGAATGTAAGTGTTAACGCCGCCTAAGCGAAGATATGTGTTAAGATAAGGCCATATGACCACGCAATCCAAAATGCTTTGCTAACATACTTTGAAAAACGTAGGTTCCTCTGGGCAAGCCTCTGTATCGAAGAGCTTTGCGCACAGAATTGTGATCATGACATCTTGGAAGCATTGAAGCAGCTTCCACACAGCTTGGCTGAGCTATATGATCGAAAACTCCGTCGTGTCCGAGAAGGAAGGGCCGCGGAGCAGGCAATGAAGCTACTACAATATTGCGGGGCAGTGAAGCGGCCATTGACAGTCACGGAATATCGAGAAGCCCTTAGTCTTTCCCTCGAACAAAAGTCCTTTGACCACACAAAGGTTCCCAACGACATGGATAGGATCATCAATGGCTGTTGCGGATTGACATTCGTTGATGAAGAGGAATACACCGTACACTATGTTCATCGTAGTGTGAAAGAATGTCTTTTGATCACGAACGGCCCACACACGGCGCAATTCGACATGGCAAGCGTCGACCGGAATTTTGGGTTCCTTTGTATGACGTACCTGGACTTCACCAACTTCAAGCGTCAGTTGACGAAATTTAAGAATGGTTCTGGTATACCTATCAAGCCCGTTCAGTTCGGTACTAGTACTCTTCCCACCCACTCTTCTAGAAGAGTTACTGGCCAGATGGTCCAAAGGATTCTTTCACGTCATCGCGAGCTGCGGCATTTCAGCACTCGAGAGGTAGAGAGGACGGCGCAAGAAATACTTGAAGATGAGAATTCTTCACGCCTGGAGCTAGAACTCCGGAAGCAAGGATTTCAGTTTCTCGAATACGCTAGGGCTTACTGGCACAGCCATCTGACTGATTTCACTCCCGATATGGACTGCAACATGTGGCGGTTGTTTCGCCGGTGCATAGAAGGCGATGATGTTCCTGCATATAGACCATGGGAGTCGGAGCAGCAGACCCACAACAAGAGAAATGATATACCAGAGGCTATACATTGGTTATTGGCCCATGAACATTACGCATTGCTTTTATACTATGCAAGACATCAGTCTCACGTTTTGTCGGAAGATGTGAAGAACGAAATTTTTCGCAGCGCCGACATTCACAATCGTTGTCAATACACTGAGGTGCTCGTCCGCTTCAAAGATACCATAGACAACTTGAATCATGCATTGTCATATGCTGCACTAGATGGATGCACTCGTTCCCTAACAATGTTGCTTCAAGCAGGGGCTGACATTGACGCTCAAGTAAATCACAGAACAGCCCTCCAAGCGGCAGCAGAACGAGGTCAGCTTGAAGCGGTGCAGACACTGCTAGCAGCAAATGCCGATGTCAACGCACCTCCTGCTGAATTTCTTGGCCAAACAGCTCTCCAAGCGGCCGCGGGCAAAGGCCATCTTAAAGTGGTGGAAGCACTTCTAGCGGCAAAAGCAGACGTTAACGCATCTCTTGCTAAAGGTGGCCAGACAGCCCTCCATATGGCAGCAAGAGGAGGTCACCTACATGTATTACAGGCACTGCTAGCAGCAGAAGCAGACGTCAACGCATCTCTTGCTGAAGGTAGACAGACAGCTCTCCATATGGCAGCAAGAGGAGGTCACCTACAGGTAGTACAGGCACTGCTAGCAGCAGAAGCAGACGTCAATGCATGCCCTGCTTTAGATGGCTTAACAGCTCTCCAAGTGGCCGCAGCAGGAGGCCATCTTAAAGTGGTGGAAACGCTTCTAGCAGCAAAAGCAGACGTTAACGCCGAAAATGGCGCCCAGACAGCTCTCCAAGCGGCCGCAGGAGGGGGTCATCTTAAGGTGGTGCAAACACTTTTAGCAGCAAAAGCAGACGTTAACGCTGAAAATGGCGCCCAGACAGCTCTCCAGGTGGCTGCAAGAGGAGGTCACCTAAAGGTGGTACAGGCACTGCTAGCAGCAAAGGCAGATGTCAACGCATCTCCTACTATATTTAGGGGTGAAACAGCTCTTCAATCAGCCGCAGGAGGGGGCCACCTTAAGGTAGTACAAACAACTTCTAACAGCGAACGCAGACGTTAACGCTAAAAATGACATCCAGACAGCTCTCCAAGCGGCCGCAAGAGGAGGTCACCTAAAGGTGGTACAGGCACTGCTAGCAGCAAAGTCAGACGTCAACGCATCTCCTACTATATTTGGGGGTGAAACAGCTCTTCAGGCAGCCGCAGGAGGAGGCCACCTTAAGGTGGTACATGCACTTCTAGCAGCAAAAGAAGATGTCGACAAAATTCCTGCTCGACGATTCGATCAAACAGCTCTCCGACACGCTCTCCAAGCAGCGCGAATAGGAGGTCACAGTAAGGTGGTAAGAGAATTGCTGGCAGCAGACGACAATGCAAGCCTCTCTAGGTTGGATGGTGAAACTGGTAGGAGGAGCCCTCTTTGACGTGGCAGAGAAATTGAAGTAGTCTGGCACGAAGGGATAACTGCTTCAGGCTATACCGACAGTGATCAGGCAATGCAATGTCTCATTTCCTGATGAAAGGCTATGCAAGGAGGAATGGAGATAGACAGTGATGTATGCCGAGCGAAGCCCTCACTGAGAGAGAGAAGAGAAAGGAAGAGAGAGAGAGAAAACGAGCTACGTGGTGGCCTCAGGCAGCCAACATTTCCGCTTGGTATGATTTCACATTAGTGTTACTGAACAAGAGTTCTCCGTAGGGGAATTTTCATTGAGATGTCTGATCACTGTAGAGAAGGCGAGGTGGAAAAGAACAATGTGTAAGATGGAGCTGTTGACTGAGGAGAAAGAGGAAGGAAGATCAACTATGTGTCCTACCTGCGATAGGCAGTAAGGCTGCTTCAACAATTACACAGAGATCGTCATGATCACAGTAGTTGGTTTGCTGAGCGCGTTGTGGCCGTTTGACTTGAGAGCTTGTGAAATCCATAACGCACGACGCGCGTAGATAGAGACTCGGCGAATTTAACAATAGCATGAGTCTCATAGGAACAAAGTCACAACTAGCCAATCAACACGAATGCGTACAGATTGTCGGAAATGAATGTCAGGGATACAACTCGAAGATCCGCTAGAATGCTAGTGCATCGAAGTGCCCTATCCTACAACCTGATATGAAGGAGGCCGCCACCAAGCCCTATTTTGACTACATATGGGTAATTTTATATCAATCCTGACCCTTTTTTCTGATTACTGATCCGTCAATACACCTAGGCACGATGTAGACTTCATTATGCATACCGGCTTTATTTCAGCTTATAACCCAGTTCATCTTATACAAGATGGACTGGATAGCTAAGATATGTGTATCTACTATAGGCCTAACTTTGAACCACACAGAATAACCACATGGAGATTAAAATATCGAACATTGATTCTTTTTTTAATACTTTTTTTGTGTTATCAACTTAAGTGCAACTTCATGTCGTCCGGGTACACATATGAACCCATAAAGATCCTATGAACCATAAAGATCCTATGAATCAAACGACAATAACAAGGATACATCTGTCACATTTCCCCACTCCAGAGATCCATCCATCGTCATCCTCTCATCACCACTTGTGCTTTTCCTTAGTCCCAGTTTGCGGAACCCAGGGCACCATTTGCTTTCCCAAGTAAGTAGACGACTCCTTGACCGTACCTGAACCACCCTGGCTGCGGTCGTTCGACGTGTTCGTGCGCTTGTCAAGACTGGCCGGACCTCTATTGTAGTAGCCCACAGCGTCGATCTTCTGAACGACGGTTTTGGCAAGCTGGAACATTGCGCCGATTCCCGAATGACCGACTTCGGCTCCGAGGGTACTCAGCTCTTGGTCTGCAGTAGAGGGGACGACATTCGCGACGTCTGCACCGAGGAGATCTGTCGCACACCAGGACTCATTGCGGTCACCAGGTTGGAGGAAGGAATTTGATTTCATTATGTCGTCCACTTTGCTGCTGACAATCGAGGCTTGCCACCACTGGTTTCCATCTTTGACCAGTTTCTCAAGCGGGACGTTCTGTAAAACCATGATACCCTGATCCAGAACGGAAGGGGTGGCAAGGAGCTCTTGAGTTTCGCTGATTTGGAGAAATATATCCTTGCTCTTTTGCGAGAGGTAAGAGTGACGGCTCCACCGTTCCATGAACACCTTGTCAACTTTGATCTTTGACACAGGAGGAACACGGACCAGCATACGAAGATGTTTATTGTTTGGCTCTATCTGGATGCTTTTCGCCATCATTCGTGCAGCTTCTTCAAGCTCTGGGTCAGCGCCCGTATTGTACTCGATAAAGCCTCGTACTCTGGCAGCTGCATCCCAGACTTGTGAAGGGAAACTCAAGTGCACCGTGCCCAACGAGACCTCAGGATAGCGGATCATAGCATCTCCATATTCATTGACTGAAACGACAATGGTCCTGTTCGGACCGACGCGGCACCAGAACTCGTACTTTACGCCTCGGTGGCTGTATTTTTGATCGAACAGGCGACTTTGGTTGACTTCCAAGTCGACGAGGAAGTCAATGTCCGCAGGAGATGAAGTCAAACGTTCGAAGAATGAAATCGGAGGTGGTGTCAAGTTATGCTCCGAGAAGAACAGCTGGTGAACTTCCTTGTAACTCATCTCCCTCTCTTTAGTTGAAGCTGGCAGGCTGGGCATGAACATAAGCCCGAACTGGATTTCCAGGCTCAACATTCCAGGAAAGCTGCCAACCGAATCAAGAATTGGTTGAAGGAAGCGAAATAGAGTCTCTGTTGACTCATGCATGTGCTTTTCTCTTGATGATTTCACAGTCGCCTTCGTGGGCAATGCAGTGCTTTTTTGTGGCTGTGCTTCTGTTGGTTTGGATCCTATTCTTCGCTGCCAGAAGTTAGAAATGGGGGCTTGAACTTTTTCCTTGTTCTCTGAGTTGGGCCCAACATTTTCCTTCCGCTGCAAGGCATTAGCAGTCTGAACTTCCTTCGTTGCCTTCCGCACTGCCTTGGTTACTTCATCCACCCATTGAAAGGTCTTGTCAGGAGGCCGTTGATGGAACATTGTCTCGTGGAATTCTCTTGTCTGAGCTTCATCTGAGACAGCCAGGTTTTCGGCAACCTCTGTTCCCGCATCTTGCTCACCATTTTCGGACTCGGATTGTTTCAAAGAGTCACGACCCAAGCGAGGGGAAAGCATATGAGGTGAGATATCAATGAGGTCAGGATGAAGAAAGGGCACTCTCTCAGTCCCCTGACCAGGGTGTTGGCGTTGCTGAGTATTATCGCGAGGAGCACTATCACGGGGAGCACTATCACGCGGAGCACTATCACGCGAGATAGAAGACAGAGCTCGAGGTGCAGGATCAACAATGCTAGCATCAAGAGGTAGCGCAATCTCCTCAATGCTAGAAATTTCCGGGGCAGGATTATCCTTGATCTGCCGAAGCAGGTATTCCAGCGCTACCTCATCGGCCTTGCTGCGGAATTCGCGAGCCTGTTCGTGTTTCTGTTTGTCTTCGGATGCGGCTCTCTCATCAGAAGAACTAGCAACTTCTGAATCAGGCAATGTCACACTTGTAACGAGCCCTGGTTGGAATGGTTCGCTAGTAACAGACGCTGGAGTTGTCGCACGGGGCACCATCGGACCTTGGGTTGGCTCAGGACAAGGAGAGACGTCGTGAGTTAGCTGAGGTTGCGTAGTTGTCTCGTTGATATTGGGCATATCGAAAATATCACCAGTTTCAGTAAAGGTGGCAGCCTCGCCATGCTGGAATTGGCCATGTTGAGCATCTGTAGACTGTTCCGGAAAACCACTCGATGAGGCCGTGGCCAGCGGATTGAACGCGGGAATGTGTTGAAAACCACTGTTGAGGCTTGTCACTTCGCAATCAAGATCAATCAGGTCTTCTGTTTCCTCTGGAGTGCGATCCGGCCGAGTGGATGTGGTGGTTGGCTGTTGATCCGTTATCTTTGGCTTGCTGGACACTTCGTCTATTCCGGTTTCCCTCGGGGTCTTGGCCGTCCCAAGCATTAGCTTTATCTCCCCCATCACTGAATCAACACTTCGCGCTGGAGGCTTCGTAATCACCTTCAAATTCATTGTCTCGGCTATGCCGAGGGCCCGGACCTGTCTATTGTTGGTGGTCGGCGCCGAGTGCTCAGCTTTGCTGCTTGGTTAGGAGAGATAGGCAAAATAGTTGCATTTGGCGTGTCTCCCGGCTGTTTGGGGGTCGCACTCGGAGAGGATAGAGCTGCGAGACGAGGTGTAGCAAGTGACTTTTGTTCCTCAGTAGAGGTAGAATATGTAGAAGAGACAGGACCGGTTGCCTCAGACATTGTTCCCGATGTTTGAGAAGCTGCATTTGGAGCAGTGCAGTCGGTCGGCCTACGAAGAAGACTAATGGGTCCTTTCTGCTGAGACAGTGAGACAGATGAACCGGTTACCTGTTGCTTCCTGTTTCTCTCCACATAGCTGAGTCTACCAAACATGGAGGTACTTGGTCCACGAGGGGTGTCTGTTGGCTTTTCTTGTCGAGACTGGCTAGAGGTTGCTACGGTTCCATCTGGTAGCATAACCACGCGTCCTTTGACGCCTGCGGGATTGGGCTTGAACGGACCAGCCTGTCTCCGGTCCAGTGGCACAGAAACGCTGGGCTCAGGCTTGGGCGCAACAAGCTTAGGGGAGGTGGGCTGGTCTTCCAGTGGTCTTTTTGTATGACTTTCGGTTGCCAATGGCCGTTTATCGACACCCCGAGAGATCCATTTGTCGACATCCTTTGCCTTGCCAGTAGATAGATACGGGTGCCGAGAATCGCTCTTCTCATGAGAGGTCTCACCTTTAGGCGCAAGATGCTGGTCAATTTTCGCTAGAGGGGGTTCGGCTTTCCGACCGATCTCTGGGAAATGATAGTCTTCCCAGTCTCGGGTAATTCTCGCATCTTTCAGGGGCACTTGCGGCGGCTGCCGAAGTTTCCGAAGTGGACGGAACTCATTGGCAAATTCGTCGAATTCGCAGACCACCAGGGTCATTATCTTTGGGAGACGAAGAGAGGCATTTCGGTCAATTAAAATGCGCCCCAAGGCAGTGGCGCTGATCTGCGAATATGCCATGATGCGAAAGGTAGCATCTTCTCGCTTCGGAGTGAAGATAATCACCCCTCGGTTTGGGTTCTCAATGAGATCCTAGAAAATATTAACATAGAGGACTTGGAAAAAGAAGACTCAGGACCATACCAAACATTCTTCAAGGGAGTCGAGTATATCCATTGCCTCATCGATGTGGTCCATGTGTTGTGCAGAAATACGGAGCCCTCGAGCTCCCTGCACTTTGATTTGTGTTTTCGTCATTTTGGAAATACGAAGTAGGAGAGGGCCCGAGGCATGAGAGATTGGACCCAATCCCGCCTGCGAGGGATACCAGAACTTGACAATGGATCCATCGTCAGTGGGTTGTGTCGGCATAATATCCTCCACTAGGGTTTCCACCTTTGGCTGCGCATCGCTTCCATAGCCAGGGAGGGGATTGCGATCGAAGTAGGTCGAGGCTGGAAGTTGACGAACTCTGGGCATCTTGAGTAGAGCACACGTTAGTACAATATAACTTGGATGTTAGGGATGCATCTCCACATACCTCAAGTAGATCATCGTCGCGGTGCTCTTCGATATAGCTTGCAAGGAGCGACGTGATTTGGACGTCAAGTTCCTCATCGAACTGACCAGTGACGACCAAGATCTGGGTAGGGGTTAGCAAAGCCACCATTGTAAATAGTGTACAAAACCCACATGTTTATCACGTTGATACTCGACCTTGATCGAAGCACCGGGATTCAATGCCCTATAAAAAAGTCAGTTTTCGTTAAGGTGAATTTGCATAAGTAATATGGCATACTTGAGCTTATCTCGGATTTCGGGGATCTATATCGAGTCTAGTCAGTCCCGGCCATGCAGAATGACAAGTATGCGGATGGTAGGCTTACCCCTTGATCCTCCAGTGACCACATTGAAGTCAAATAAAGGGTCCGGTTGTTAGCCATCTTGGTGCCGTTTGGGAGCTTTGAGTGGACTGGCGTGATGATGCGGACTTGGATGGATTGAAGATTAAAGTAGGACGGAGGTAAATGAATTGGAGCCGGACGTCAGTCGGACGGATGCGAATAAATTGGGGACGGAATGCCGGGCCTTCAATTGATTTGAAGACGGGGATTAGAATGAAAAATGAATGGAAGCAATTCCGCAAGAGGTAGATCGATTGACCCCGGGAAAGCGACAATCGATTAAGTAAGAGGCTGGTGAAAGCAAATCGATTACACAAGGCTAGGAAAACAGCGCCTAGACAATCGATTGATAGAGCACACCGTAGTTAACGATGCATATGAGACAGAGATGAAGATGGCGGAGGAAGAGCGGCGAAGGGCGACGAAGAGAGAGGAAGCGGGGGGGTTGAAGTAAAAGTCGAATGAGATACGGTTCCTATTATGGCAGCGGCAATGTTCAAGCCTTTGCGAATGGAAGGAACAATCGGAGTCTCGGCGTCTATCAACTTTGGAAGTCAGTGGCAGGCAACGCTGCGTGAAAACGCGGTGCTATCTTAGATCTAGGACGATGAGATTGAAATACAATTCATGGAAGATGCAGGGTATGTATAGAACAAAGCAAAGCAAAGTAGAAAGAGTATAAATTTCAGAGTTAAGCATAATAAAACGCCCATAAGTTCTAGGCCGAAAGGAAATAGGTAGCCACTCCTTAATGGTGTCTTTAACATAAGCAAGAATCAAGACTTGCCATAATGTCCACGGTGTAATCATATCCAGGCAAAATAATGCAGGTCATCAAGCGTCATATCTAACAGGGGGATAACAGTACAACATTGAACAGGGAAAAGTGAAAATGCAGGTGAAAGTAAGAAATACAAAAATCAAGGGATACACGACCGAATTGAACTCTGCCACGGGTATCTGCTGCAAAGGGAAACAAAACGCCATGCACCGGCCAACAATGGTCTATGAGAAACGAAGAGGAGTGGTGGGTAGGGTGTGGGTGGTCAAGACATGGGAGCGAGTGCGAAGGTGAAATCGGGGCGGGAAAATGAAGTTGGAGGGCGGTCTGTGGTTTGGCGGTAAGTATTGAGGGGTCCGAGCAGAAAGCAGAGAGAGGAAGAGGATGCTGATAGACAATTCGCATGACTGGGGTTGAGGTTTGGCACAAACAAGAGACAAGAGACAACGCTCGGATTATTCCGTGCTTTGTCGACTTTCATTGAGTCGGATCGCCCATTTCATTTCTGTCTCGGTCTCCTTGAGCTGAGCAAGAACCCCAGCGATCATATCGTTATTGGATTTGGCCGACTCAATCGTGTCGCGGAAGTCGTTATCCTTCAGTTCCTTATACGCAGAGTGCTGAGCGAGCAGCTTCTCATAAGATTCCTTGAGGGAGTCGAATTCCCTGTTCTTCTGATCTGCAAGAACCTCCAGCCGCTCAGTAGAGTGTATATGTGTTTTCTGCGCATTGGCGATAGTCGTGAACTCGGACCAGATGGCATTGATGCGTTTTGTAAACTCCGCCTTGTCGCGTTTTGTCGTGCTGGACAGCACCTCGTACTGTGTCTCGTAGTGCTTGGCGATCTCTAGTGACCGGGCTTGTTCACGGTTGTGGTTCTCGCGCTCCTCACGCATCATCTGGTTAATCTGGTTTGCGTCCATTTCCGCTTCCTCCCGCTTGCTGCGCTCATGCTGGAGCTCTGTTCTTAGTTCATCTAGCTTCCGGTCTTTCCGTGCAATTGAGTTGAGGTTGGTCTCGTTGACTTGTTCAAGGTTCCGTAGGCGCTCGTTCATGTTTTGTTGCTGGATCTTGTACGCCTCGTTCGTTCTTTGGTACTCCTCCGCACGGGACTTGTAGAGTGTACATTCACGCGTTAAACGTGCTATTTCCTCCTGGAGATTGTGGATAACACGGCCTGATTTCCCTGTCGCTGCGTGGCCGACTGCTGACCATTCTGATGTGGGGGGATCGCCATTACTCGTCTCGGCGGGGGTCGCGGAGGGGTTCGGATGGTTCGAAGGAAACGAGGAGGCTGGAGTATAGTCACCTGGAGGGCGGGGATTGTAAGTTTGAGATATAGAGGGAGTAGGATCGGGATTACCAACCATTCTGGCCTTCGGCGGCTGGTTCGTCGAGGAATCCGTTATGCTGGTGCATATTCAATTGTGTGTCCACATGCGGGAGCTTGACTTGCGGTGCTTCTGCACGGATAGGGGGGTCAGCAGCAATCGGTATAAGATTTTTGCTAGGGCTGAGACGCTTCATGACCCGTTTGAAGCCCCCCCATGGTGACCGCCCGCGCCTGTCATGAGGAACCGGATGGGAAGAGCAAGATGGGAGTAAAAGCCAGTGGGCCTGTGAAGGGAAAGGCTCATACCAATATTAGAAGCCAATTGAGCTATGATGCGAGGTCGTTGTCTTATGATTTCGCTTATTCAGCTAGACATCGCAAGGGAGACCTCAGATCAATAAAGGCGCTGTCTCATGCGATCATCAAAGATCATCGGAGACTAAAACAAAATGATGCAGAATATTCCAAAACAATGAAGTAGCGGTAAGAAGAGTTGAAGTTGGGAAGATCGGTCATGGTTCTTTGTGGTCCAACTCCGCGTCTGTGACGGAATGCCATGGCGCTAGCGGAGAACGACAGGTCTTGTTTTCTTTCTTTGCTTTTTCTTCGTGTTTCGGTCTTGGTTCCCATTTCTGATGCATTGAATATGCTAAAAGTAATTGATTGCTTTCTCAATGCCTCAAGCCACCTATATATCAACGATATCCAGGGGTATTCTATATACAGGAAGTTATACCAGTTTTCCGCAACTCCACCAAAACACCCAGTCCAAAGATGAGACCGACAACGCCAAAACAGATGAATGAACTAGACAAGGTAGGCCAACAGACCGACAATACCCATTACCAACTGCACGGAGTATTGCGGGATAGAAGCAGCGCCAGTCTGCGCGCTTTCGGTGGAGGATGCTTCTTTGCCATGGACAACCTCAGTGCGGGTAGCCCTCAAGCTGTCCGAGGAGCTGGCAGCGGCAGAGCTAGAAGGGCTGCCAGATGGGCTACCAGATGGGCTGGCAGCAGAGCTTATGAGGGCCTTGCTGGCAGTGCTAGTCATTGTGGTCTGGGTTCCTTGGGTTGACGCGGTAGTACCACCAGTGGTCTGGGTGTTAGAGGCGGTAGTGCTGCCAGTGGTTGCAGCAGTAGTGGCAGCAGCGCCAGTTTCAGAGGTGGTATCCTTAGCTTCGGGGAGCGCAGCGGCGGGGTTGCTACCCCCCTTCAGCAGAGCGGTATAGTTTGTCTGGTCTTTCTGTTTGATTTGGAAGGCGTATGTATCGTCCTTTTTGACAGAGTCGTCAGGGATCCAGGTGAAAGTGCCCCCATTGGCCTGGCCAGTGATCGGCTTGACGTCCTGCAGATTGCCCGCGTTACCTTGGCGGAGGAGGATGGTCACAGGCTAAATGGGGTCAGTTTTTTATGATTGAACATCAGGGGAGATTTGTGTTACCTCATCAGGAGTAGCACCAGTCCATGTGAGGGTGACCGGCTTGCCAGGTTCGAGGGGCTCCTTGGGCCAGGAAGTGAAGGATAGAGGGTCGGCGGCGAGACCAAGGGACACAAGGGAAGCCGTGACGGCGACAACACTCTTGGAGAAATGCATTGTGATTAAAGAAAGTCAATAGAGGGTTTGCCTTTAATGAAAGTGATGTGGTATTAGAACAATTGTGTGATATTCGCGTAGTAGGTGAGCTGGGACGGAGAACGCGATACAACTTTTAAGAAATTCGGTGGCGCATCGCGATTCTTAACTGGCGGCAAGAATTGCCTGGATCTCTCCAAGCCCCACAGAAGTGACATTGGAAGTCGCTTGTTGGTATTCTAATGCTGAGACCAAAGGGCGTTTTGGGAGAATGTTGCATTCCGATAGCCCTAATAGTGAAGCATCAACACGCCTAAGGAAGCATGTCGTCCACCTTGGTTGGGGAATGCCTGCTAGCAATTGGGAATTCTTGAGACGAATTTAGTTTACGACTTTGCCTGGGAAAGTTGCAATGTTTTTGTTGCAGAGTATGGGAGTCATACTGTCACCCCAATATCATCGACCGAACTGACTCGGTGACTGCGGCTTGGTTTCACTTTCTAATAGTGGCTGAAAGCCTGCAACAATGGTTCAGCAATAAAACAAAAAGCTCATAACTCATCGATGAGAAGACTGAACTCCCATGGCCCAATAACATGACTCGCCGGGAAATGCTAGAATGCCATCCCTTTCCGGTTTGTTTTGGTGGGGACTAGTCTATAGGGCTATGGCGATCAACAAGATCATCTCTTACACCCCATAAAGCATTTCTCGAGCCTTTTTCTATAATGGATCTCATACCAAGGGGTGCCATATGCTTAGTGGTATGATCTGGAGGTTGGGGTAAATTGATCGCCATCCATACAGCACGGGGAATACCGGATCTTTCCCAGCCTTCCACTCAGTCATCTGTTTATATCGATAGAGTTCAAGCCGTAAGCTTATATGGATAGGAAATGATATTACCAATGTCAATAATATCGCGGAGTAAATTGAATCCGAAGGAATGTAGAGGACTGAATGTTGCGGGATTAAAAAATATATATCTGACTTTGATCACCACAACATAAGCAGGAACTGAATTGGCTTCATCCACCTATGATAGTTATAGAGCATCGATTACTCCCAAAACCTATAAAGTATGTTATACCTGTCATTGATTTGCTACGGAGTATATGTTGCAGAGTTGTCCTGGAACAGTTGCCGCGACGTGTATATATCGAATGTCTACTTTCTGTGTTGGGACCGCTAGGGTTAGACTTGCAGCAAGGGATCTGTTGGTAAACGATCATTCCTTTTCCAGGCAGGGATACGACTATACCCCACAATATCTAATTGCTTGGTGTAACTTCATTGTTAAACAAATTGAATTGGTATACGCTGATATATGAACCCTCAGAACTCCCACAAATTCCGCATGAAACACCCTGGACCAGAGTCCACACCACCATCTTCCTCTAGTAGACGATCTGTGAAGATACGCTTGGGAATCTGGTACTCGACGACAGGAATCTTCTTGAGATTCCTCTCTTCCACTCCAAGGTCTGCAGTTACCATGCCGGCATATGTGTGATCAAGGAAATCTTCCAAACTGTATGCTTGCTTTGTGAACTGCTCGGAGATGATCCGTGCAATGGCCGCAACGTTGGGGTGGAAGTGGGATTGAAGCGTCACGATCTCCCAAAGACTGCTCTCAATAGCGTTGGTCATGAGGGGATCGGACTCGTTTGGATCGAACGGATCGTCCATGCCTTCTTTTTCCACCTGTGCCAGGAGATCCTTATCCCGAATAGATCGATGCATCATGAATGTAGTTGTGGGGTGATTTTTGAAAAAGTTGTACATGAACGGAACGATCACCACAATAGCCGGGGGAGGAGCGTTCAGTGCAAGACGAGCGAGACGCTTGATGAAGCTGGCCACCAATGTGGACGGGAGATGGGTTGAGGACAAGAAGGTGTTCAGCAATCGGAAGAATCGTGATCTGTGCTTTGAGTGCAGCAGCTCGGAGTCTAGGAGAGAGTACAGCTTGGTGTAGAATTGAGGGTAGTCCAGGTTCTTTTCCTGGATCAGGTAGAAGAGACCAGACAGTGCGAGGAGAGATGTCGCACCTCCGACATTGTATGAGTCCGTCAAGAAGTCCATCAGCAGTTCCGGTCGGTTGAACCACGGCTCGATGTTATGCACCATCATACGCAGCAGGCTTTTGCGCTGCGACTGCGAGAGGTTGTTTCGTAGAATGGCCAGCCATGCCTCCTGCGCCTGCTTCCTGTGGGAGTTTGCCGAAACTAAGCGCTTATTCTTGGTATCACGTTTCGCGTAGAAGTTCTCGAACTTGTGTTCCGGTCCAGGTACCTCATCGCAGGTCTGAAGGATCTTAATCAGAATTTCAAGGATTTCGGGGGATCGTGTGGTAGATGCATAGTCACTGGTATAAATTTAGTCACAAGTCTCGATAGCAGGAAAAAGGTACACATACGCCATCTGTGTGAAAGTGTAATATCTCACATCCTCATACTCCTTCACAAACTTGGCTACGGCTTCGGACTGCAGATCCTCGCCGTTGTGGGCCTCAATGATGGCCGCAAAGATATCCTTGAAGAAACCCGTTGACCAAACATTATTCTCGGCACCTGGGATATGAGCGAGACGTTCCTTGACAATGCGCATGCTCAGCGTCAGAGCGGCAATCTAGAGATCGTCAGTAATAGTAACCCCCGCCAGATCAGGGCACACATACCTGAGAGGCAGCATCTGCCTCGCGCATGATAGCCACAAGAGCATTCTGATAATCAAGGCAACGCTCCTTCAACCATGCCACAATGATCTTCTCGTTCTCGGCGGCGCGGCTTGACTCGGTCAAATTTCCTCCGGCGATCAATCGGCTGAACACACGGCAAAGAGAGACGGCCACAGCCATCTCGGGGTTCTCAGCCGACTTCTCGACATTGAGCATGGAGAGGAGAGTCGCAATATTGTTATAGCCCTTCCGCGACTCCGCAATTTGATTCTCTAGCTCTTGAATAGTAGACAGTTTCTCGGCGAAATTGTCATCGGCGACAGCGCGGCGTTTGGAGGATGGGCCGCTGGCATTCTTGCCACTCTTGCGCTTCTTAGAGCTCGAATCCGTAACAAGTGCAGGCATTTTGGGCAGGTGTCTTGTAATGCGTGAATAGTTTATCTGCAACTTTTTTTTATCGTTTGGACCATCCCGGAAGCTGGTTTTTCCGAGGAACGGAATCACCGCCCGAAACGGCTAGCGTCTTCACCTCCTAGCCATCCCGAACCTCAAGTCTCCTCAATTCCGTTCACCCACCCCATTGACCAAGACTCTTCCATCTGCAACAATGGCTTCGCGTCTTGCTAAGAGCGCCATTGGTACGCTTTTTACGAACCTCGACCGTCTGATCGACTCGATGCCTTTAGTTACTAACTCACCTTAGGCGCATCCCGACTCCGGCCGGCTCTTCCCGCCCGTGGTGTCCCTGCCGTCACTGCCAACCTGACCTCCTCTCGTCAGGCCTCCAACGTTCCCGCCGAGGAGCCCGCTAAGAAGGCGCAGTCGATCCTGAACGCCGTCCCCGGTAACTCCCTGGTCACCAAGACCGCTACCCTGTCTGCCGCCGCCGGTCTGTCCATCGCCGCCATCAGCAACGAGCTGTACGTCATGAACGAGGAGACCGTCGCTGCTTTCTGTCTGCTGTCTGTCTTCACCGCTGTTGGCAAGTACGGTGGTCCCGCCTACCGCGAGTGGGCCGAGGGTCAGGTCCAGAAGCACAAGGACATCCTGAACGCTGCCCGTGCCGACCACACCAACGCTGTCCAGCAGCGTATCGACACCGTCTCCCAGATGTCTGGCGTTGTTGAGGTTACCAAGCAGCTCTTCGCTGTTTCCAAGGTAGGAATACTCGGTCGCGTACGTTGAGATTTGGGTTGTTGACAGTTCGTTTCAGGAAACCGCCCAGCTCGAGTCCCAGGCCTACGAGCTCCAGCAGCGCACTGCCCTCGCTGCCGAGGCCAAGCAGGTCCTCGACTCGTGGGTGCGTTACGAGAACCAGGTTAAGCAGCGCCAGCAGCGTGAGCTTGCCGAGTCCGTCATTGCCAAGATCCAGAAGGAGCTTGAGAGCCCCAAGGTTCTCCAGCAGATCCTTCAGCAGAGCGTTGCTGATGTTGAGCGTGAGTTCTCCACCATCTGACCTTTACATAGAATAGTGCTAACAAGTTCTAGGCATCATGGCGTCCAAGGCCCTGTAAATGGGCTTAGTAGCTCACTGCATTCGGCATTGTGTACAAAACTATAAGGGCTATTTGCATCTGCCGAGTTAGACCTTGCAATACCATTTTGATTCTTACTCTATAATCGGACACGCATGGTTTCATGACATGTTCTCAAGCGTGGGTTTCGGAAATGCCCACCGGCTGATGTCTGACATATGAATCTGTTTGGGTCAGTTTCATCGTAGAACACTTTGACCAGAATATGATACGAAGAGATTCTCAAGAGTGTCCATTGATTGTAGGTGACTGGTACCACTCTAGAGCTATGTAGTATGTACTTGGATGTACTTGGATGTAAACAGTGGCCATTTTATTCCCCGGGGTAATGGCTGAGTCCATGCACCGGAGGCGCCCTATGATATGCAGGGTCCGATGCAGCACGCCACTGCCGTGGAGAATGCGATAAGATCTATAAGCTAAGGTTACATCTATCTGGGGAATTCTATGTCGTAGCATATGTCCCTAGGATATCCAAGTACTTCAAGTATTTAATCTATCCAATTTGTGTGCACGCGGGATAATCAGCCAAGACCCCGGACCCCAGTCATCAGCCCGTGTAAGCCGCCCTACACAGCCACCGTTATTCTTTGTGCCTGGTTATTTTAATGTCATATTGATCCTCAGCCCTACAAGTATTTCTGACAGGACCTCCCACCTCCCTAACCTTACACCCGACTATCACATATATACAAGCCCAGATCCACTCCCCGCCAACATCCGATAAGTAGAGGTACATCATGCCCTCACTCCGCAACATCCTCCACAAACGCGACGATCTCAGCACCGAACCATCCCAAAATGCACCAGCAATACCCCCAGCACCCGAGTTCAAGCTCATCCGCTCAGACACGCACACCCAAGAGATAATAACCCCACCATCCGACCCAAACGACCCAACCCCATACCTATCATCACCAACCCAAGACGACCCCGTATCTCCACGCCGGAGCTTCCAGCTCTTCAACCGCTCCCCAAGACGCCCATCTACATCGTCGCAATCCCCGCCCCGTCGCGAACGCCGTCTCTCAAACCTCCTCCATCTCGACCACCGCAGTCGCAGTCGCAGTAACTCGCGTGACTCCTCGGCTAACATCCCCGCGGACCTGCCACAGATCGATGATGATCACGGCGCGAGTAAACAGGAGCGCGAGGCGTTGTGGGAGAAGAGGGCTACTGTGCTTGTGCAGCAGAATCCGCAGTTCGCGCACTCCGGTGCGTCCTTGCCGGGGCGGCAGGGGGAGGGGGAGGCTACGCTGGGTTTAGGGTTGGGATTGGAGCAGGCTAGGTCGAGGAGCTCGAGTCAGAGTCGGGTTGGTGTTGATCCGGATCAAGATGTAGGTGCTTACTGACTATATATTTGCGGGATGGTTGGGGTTGTGGTTGGAATGTGGGACTAACGGGTTATAGATTAATATTCAAGAGGCGATTCGACTGCATGAATCAGGTGGTGAGTTTTGTTTGCTATATCGGCTGGACATATATGTTGATTAACATTGGATATAGATCTCGAGCGATCAACTAAGATGTTCGGACAGCTTGCTGATCCAAATGGCGCGAATAATCCTCTGAGTCAGGTTCTTTACGGCCTTGCGCTACGGTAACAGAACGCCCAGCTACTTCTCAATGTTCTAGATGCTGATAACTGTCTAGACACGGATGGGGCTGTCCTGTGGATACCGCACGAGCCGTGACTTATCTCTCCGCTGCTGCGGCCAACTCGGCCGCGGTTGAGGCGGAGGCCCTCCGTGCTGGTGTTAATAAAGGGGGATCTGCAAAAGGCGAACTCGTTTTGGCCATGTTCGAGTTGGCAAATTGCTTCCGCAATGGATGGGGAATAGCAAAGGATCCTGCTGCTGCTAGACAGTATTACGAGACCGCTGCGAACTTGGGTGATACTGATGCCATGAATGAAGCGGGATGGTGTTACCTTGAGGGCTTTGGGGGCAAGAAGGACAAGGTATGTGTAATCTCTGCTCAGGTGCATATTCTGTGCCTATTCTGACTTAAGGTTGTTATAGTTCAAAGCCGCCAAGTATTACAGACTCGCCGAGGAGAATGGGTGCCCTACTATTGGGAATTCATGGTATGTTCAACTGACTGGATATTTGTATCTTGGATCTAATGGGATACTATAGGATCTGGAAAGACAAGTACAACCCAAAGTGATCTGCTTCTCTAAGAAAGGCAGTATTCATTTACTCCAGCGCTACGACGGGGGTTGTCATTATCACCTCTATTCTACGATTACGTGTTTCACGGTCTCACTGCTGTATCTTAACTTTTCCTACGTGGCACGTCAAGCATTCATAGGAGATGTCCTATCTGAACATAAAGCAAGTTCTACAACTTCCAGATCATCATGGTGACTCTATATTCCACATCAAAACTCTGGAGGTTCATTTTTCCCTGTACTTCTTTTCTCGGTAACATTAGCATCTATACCAGTAACACGCGCGTCTTCTCCATCAAAAATAAAAGCAATGTCTTCAAGCGACCTGCCTCTAGTTTCAGGATAAGTCTTCCAAACAACAACCAAGACAACAAGCAGCACGGCCAAAAACACAAAATAATATTTCCAAGAAATCCTTTCAAACGCAATAGGGTTAATAAGCTGGTTGAAAATTAGTGCCATATAATTCGAGATCGTGGATATAGCGACGCCCTTAGCACGCAGCGAGGTCGTCCAGATCTCCGCCGGGTACGCCAGGAGCAGTGGCGTGAAAGCGATGTCGTAGCCTGCATAATAGATGAACAAGAACGGAATCACAGCTGTTCCAACGGCACTAGTACCCGTCGTTGTGAAGCTGGCGGAGAGAGCAGTAATGAAGATATAACTGATCAGCATGATCACAGTCGATGTGATGAAGAGCGGACGGCGGCCAGCGCGGTCGACAAGACATGCCCTACCACACTCATAATCAGGTTCCAGAGCTGGAGGAAACCGTTTATGAGTGTCTGGTCTGTTGACGAGGTTACACCGATTGTATCGAGGATAAGGGTTAGGTAGTATGACACCACACCACTAGAGCAGATATCCCGTCAGCAATGGATCTCTCCACCAATTTTTCTCGCAATGGTAAAGCCAAGAGCAATACTTACCCTCCATTCCACTGAGCAAAAACACCCAAAGAAACACTCAAGAAAAGCCGGTACCGATTCCCACGAGTCTTGACACAATCAATCCAGCGCGCCTCCCGTCGAGCCTTCCGCTCCGCCGCCAGACCTCGGCTAATCTCCTCCATCTCAGAAGCCACCAAACGCGAACCCTCATCCCCACCAGCATGGAACCTAACCAGAATATGCTTCGCTTCCTCAAGTCGCCCACAGCTAATCAGCCACCGCGGTGAATCCGGCACACACAACGTCCCCGGCAAGGCAAGAAGCGGCAACGCAATCTGCATAAGCACAGGAACACGCCACGACCAGCTACTCTGCACATTCCTCATGCCGAAGGAAACCCACGCCGACAGCGAGGACCCAACATAGTACTGGCACATGTAGATGGCCGTGACGAGCGAGCGATGCGATGGATACGCGATTTCCGTGACGAGGATCACAGCGCACTGGAACCAGGCGCTGGCGATACCTACCAGTAGACGGGAGTAGATGAATGAGTTGGCGTTTGGGGCGGCTGCTTGGAGACCCACGCCAACGACGATGAAGATGTACCCCGCAAGGATTGTGGGTTTTCGGCCGAAGCGGTTGGCGGACCATGCTTGGATGGGTAGGAAGAGTATGCTGCCTATGCTTTGGATGGCGTTTATGAAGCCGAGTTTTATTCCTTTTGGGTGGTTCATGAAGGTTTGCCATTGGGGTAGGGATTGGAGGCTGTTCATTAGGGAGATGTCGTAGCCGAATGTGCTGGAGAAGAGGATTAGGCTTGCTATTAGGCTGTTTAGGTGGATGAGGTGCTTGGTTTTCCACCATGGTTTGGCCTAGGTTTGGGTTGTTAGTTGGGTTATTGGTTATTTGACTCGATGGGCAGGGTTATTTATACCAAAGCGAGTCCTGGGGGCAACTCTTGCTCCAGGGCTGTAGGCTTGTCTTTCATAATGCTTGATTTCCATCAGGAAAGGAGGCGAGGATATTGCCGAGTGTATCTTGCACTGCCTGAATGCACAAATTCCAGACATCAATCCATCTTTTTCTTTAACGGCATCCCGAGTGACAGTACGGATATCCGGGGAGTTTTCCAGGAGACTCCGGGGATTTGCGGAGAAGTGGACCTGCACTCAACTGCGCTAACTGTTGGCTCTGAGATAATGTCCGACTTTGATTCCTCAGACGCCAAGGGTTGGCGGAGATTAGCCGAAGGAGTGGAATGTGGGATGTTGGGAGGCAAGTTCTGATTCCCCTTGGTGGGGACCCCTTGTCTTATTAATTTCTCGACAAACAGCTCTACATTCGGCAAATGAAGTAACATTTCCCTAACCTCTTGTGAAGAAGGGACGAATTAGATATAAGCTCAATTCCAAGGTCCGCAACACCTTCAGAAGATCTCCACCTATACGAACTTCTCCAACATCCCCACCCTTCCAAGTGCCAGTACCCGCGATATCCGAACCAACATCAACCTTGTCCTTGCTGTTGGTCATATGAATGCCCAGGTGCCACACTCATCAGAAACTAAGCAGATTGAATAATCCATCATTTCTCTCAATATTTGTCAAGTCCGACGCAAGAAGCGCTTTTAGCATTCCCCCACACTACAGGGCCCCGGGGCCCCGCAATAGGCTTACCAAATGGAGCCAGGATTTTGCCCTGCCTAACTGCTCTGCCCGCCACAAGACCCGCCTTCCCCGAAGCGCTGGTCTTGCGCTTGCCTTTGCCTTTGCCTTTCCCATCGGTACGGCAAGCGCAGCCGACATACAATCCGAGAGTCGGACGTGCTTGCCATCTTCACTCTCGGAGGACCGGATCTTCCACATCGATGCCTTGAGTTCGTCGCGGCTCAATGCCCGGCTGACCTCTGCGAAGCCTTCTTGTCTTGGATTGTCGAGGCCAGTGATTTGGTTCTAGCCGCCCGTTCTATTCGAAGGACCTATTGAGTCTGGATGGAACTTTCTGAAGGTCGGTGAGATAGATAAGCTGCCTTGTGGTTTGCGCGCCATGAGATCGGCATATTCGATATCGAGGGTTGTAGTTTTGCCCATGCTGGTTTGTACTGGTATATTCGCAGGTCTGAATTGGTTATAGCCACGGATAGTCGTGGGGAGCGGCAATAGCTCAGGTTAAATACGTAGCTCCATGGCACGTTATTCCTTAATCTGAGTACAGCACTCGGTACATGATCTCATCGTGGGCCCCAGATGTGAAGAGATCAAGATATGTCCGGTTTCCCCCCGCTTCTTCTCGGCTCAGCTCACTCAACCTTACGAATGTCAGGATGCATGTCCAATCGCTCTTTGAAAGCCATGGGTTATACAACATTTCATCAGCCGTACATTCACAATGTCTATCCCACTAAGACACAAATCACAAGAATCGTGGAGGCGCAGGATTTCGATCGGCGATGTTGATCACTACCTTTCAGAAGCGGCTCTATGGACATGGCACGACAATCAGTAGAGTATATGGGCCGGGAAGTATCTATTTTTGTGGTTTTGTATACTATATACATTTTGGGACTATACTACTTCGGATCCCTTTATCTGGCTGAAGTTCAATATTTGCAGCTTGGCCTCTACACGGTTATTTACTAGCATCGTCCACGTCACATCTGGCCCGTCCCCACCCTCCTGGCTTGCAGCTCCTGGCATGCGATACGCCATATCATACCTAGGCCCCGCGGCTATTGTTAGCCGATGCTCTCCTATCTCTAGGAATTCCCGGAAGACAATTCCAAAGAAGCAACATCGCCCCCGAAAGCGCTATGGTAAACGGCATCAAAACCAGCACACCCTTAGCCTGCGCAAGCACACCAACAATAAACGGGAGAACAGCCGCGCCACAACCACCGAAGGCTGCCGCAAACCCAATGGCGCTGACATGCAAGTGTTTTGGCAGGAGTTTCGTGGTGACAACCACAACCGCCGGGAACAGCGGACCCAGAAAGAACCCCTGCAGGGATATCGCGACAGCGCCAGCGTAGAAGTTTGGAACGAGGTATTAAATGAGACAAAATGCTATCTCGAGCGAGATATAAGCCTACTATAGGGTGAGCTTGTGGTCTGACTTGGATGAGATTTGCTAGGAGGGCCTACCGAGATGGCAACCTTCTCGCCAATCAAAGGAGTCACAAAACCAAGGATAACCCGTCCAACGGTTATTCCCAGCCAGAATCCTGTAGAAGTCATGCTGCTAGGAAACGGTGCAGCGTGCCGCACTTCTTTCATGAATGTCACAATCCACCCTCCTAGCGCTACTTCGACGCCAACGTACCCAAGTAAGAAGATTGAGCAGACCCAAGTGATTCGCGCAGATGGCATTGTGGTTAGGACTTTGCGCAAGCCTGCTTGTTCGGATGTATCGCCGGGATGTTGCTTTTTAGCGAGTAGGAACGACGTTCCTGTAGAATCCCAGAAACACGCAACGCAGACGAGAACCTCGATTGCAGCGCCTCCAATCTGGAAAATCAGTCAGCATGAGCCAACCCATGCTATGACACTAGTGAACAAAATACCACGTACCATAATGTAATAAAAATAATACCACGGCAAACCAGCGTCCGCAACAAGTAGCGATGCAATGAGAGGGCTGATAACAGCACCTACACCGTAAGATCCATGAAGCAGACCGAGTAACTGATTCGCATTATCGAGGTTTCCAATCCAGGCGTTCCATGCCGAGTCAGCGAGGCCATTCCCCAGACCTGCGAACATGAATGACACGACGAGGACGGGGTATGGTGGATGCACGCAGTTCAAGATGTATGCTATCAGATGGCACATGGATGAGACGAAGGCCACACCTCGTCTGCCTATAGCGCAATGCGCTCGCTCGTTCACGACTGCGGCGGTAGCATAGCCTAGTGCTGGAGAGAGGAAGACGAGGGAGACGGTTGTGTAGGAGAGGTTGTAGTAGGTTTCGAGCTGGGAATGGATTAGAAGTAGAAGAGGATTTGGGATTTGGGGGTTGAAGTACATATGGAAGAAGAGGCTGGATATTGGTATTAGATCAGTATAATATTCCAACTGCCATGTATATATATCCAGGTGAGATCTTACACCGTATGCGGAGTCATTTGCTCCCATTATTAGGAAGCTCCAGAATGTCGCCAGTGTCTTTGCTATGTTAGATCGTGGGTGGTTCCATTGTTCGTTGGCGATTTGGCAAGATGTCTCAGATGGCGATGAAGACTGATTTTCATCCTGTAGGCTTGGGCTTTCATATATCGAGGGTTGTGGACTGTCTTGCACTCCACTAGACATGGCTGTGCTGTTAAATCGACTGATTACCTCAAGAATGAGAAACACGAATAGACAAAAACACAGAACAAGTAGGCCAAGCTCTCTTATAATATTTATCTAAACGCACTACAAAAGCTTTCATGGATATCAGCTGGCTTTTCATGCAGCGAAAGTTGGGGAAGCTTCCTAATCAGTACCGGAGCGGGGATTTCCGGAATAGGCAGGTCCGCCAGCAAGCCCGCCTCTTGTATATCTCCCCGGCCACGAGGAATTTCATTGTGACAGAACCTACATGTAGTCACTTTGAGTTCCCATGCAGCACTTTATTATATAAAGCAAAACCCGAGCAATGCTGGAAGGCTCTGCTTCGGCTCCCAATGTGACAAACCAGGCGGGATCTCTAACTACCCGCCTCAGACAGCCGAACGAAATCCCAGACAGTCCGCTTGCGCACATTATGAGTAACCAACATAAACCGGTCCTAAATTGGTCATTGTCATTCTAGTGGAGGATATGCTGCAAGATTAAGCAACTGTCTATTGTCCTGGCCTCTATTAAGCGCCTAAACCATACCACACGACACCACATGTTATACATGCATGGCCGGTAAGTGGGTCAGCCAGATGCACTAGTTCCAATTGATGCTACCTAGTCCACCCCCATACTAATCCAGCTTTTCTGGCTACCATCGCCATCTTCCTGGATATTGATATCGGCGCCGGCATCGAGGAGTATTCGGACTATCTCGGGACGCCCTTCTAATGAAGCAGTTTGTAGGGGTGTGTCATCATACCAACCACCCTGGGCGTTGACATCGGCGCCGGCATCGAGGAGTATTCGCACTATATCGGCGTACCCTCGGGCAGCAGCAGCCTGTAGAGCGTTCCTACCCCCACACTGGGCGTTGACATCGGCGCCGGCATTGAGGAGCATTCGCACTATCTCAGGACGCCCTTCTAATGAAGCAGTTTGTAGGGGTGTGTCATCATACCAACCACCCTGGGCGTTGACATCGGCGCCGGCATCGAGGAGTATTCGCACTATATCGGCGTACCCTATGGCTACAGCAGCCTGCAGAGCGTTCCTACCTCCACACTGGGCGTTGACATCGGCGTTGGCATCGACGAGCATTCGCACGATCTCGGCGCTCCCTGCCTGTGAAGCAGCCCATAGAGCATCAGCATATTCCCCGTCTTTGGCGTTGACGTCGGCGCCGGCATTGAGGAGCATTCGCACGATCTCAGCGTTTTCACCCAACGAAGCGGCTTGTAGGGCGTTGCTGATGTGGCCACCCCGGGAATTGATGTTTGCTCCGGCTTCCAGAAGTAGTTGCACCACATCATGGTGCCCTTTTTTTGAAGCTAATACCAGGGCACATCCAGCCATCGTTTCCATGTTAACATCTGCCCCGTTCTGCAAAAGCCACTCGACAAATTCCAACTGGCCACAGCGTGCTGCGTCCATCAGAGGTGTGCTTTGATATTTGCTCTTCGCCTCCAAGTCCGCTCCGCTTTTCAAGAGTATCTTGGCTACTTGGATATGACCCCATTGTGCTGCTAAATGCAAGGCCATGTTTCCATCATAGTCCATCTCTGTCAAGTTCTTTTTCTTGGACGACATACAGTCTATGATATCAACCAGGTTACTCGCCGCAGCCAAATGAAAAAGAGTGGTTCCTTTTGGTGCGTACTTCGCCTTATGTGGGTGCCGCACATGGTAAAGCTGCGCCCATCGGCGAACCAACTGTTCCAGTTGCTGTATTTCATTATGTACCTTGCCTGCACGGCATTCGCCAGCTTTTTCTGCATGGACAAAAACATGAAGGATCGCATAGTCAAGTAATGGTCTCTTGGTGAACAAATCCCGTGCTGCGAAATCACTTTGTCCACGCTTGCAGGCGCTCTCTAGTGACCCCTCTCTGGCAAGGTAGACCAAACAAGATTGATAAAGCGACGCTTGGCATTGAAGGAGGATCTTTTCGCCGCCAATAGGCGACGTGCTAGCACCGGCAAGTTGGCCTAAGAAGGCAAGTCCTTTTGCGTGTAAAAATTCATTGACCGATTGGTGGACTACCTGTATAGTCTCGTAGCCATTCAGAGTCGACATTACTTCGGCAAGCCCACCGGAAAGCGCCTTGATCCTATGCTCCATGCATTCGTCGGTTTCGACAAACCCCTCAATCGTCTCCCATCGTATTCGGTATCGTGCCATCTTACAATTCTCCATCGCTAAGGCATAACGCATCTCTGTCACGCTCAAGGGCCACTCAGCTAGTAACACCCACTGAAAGAATAAGAACACCTGGGCCCGTTCTGCAGGGTCTATAACCCACTCCAGTATGTATTTGTACATGTCTTCCAAGTCGGTTGGGACGGCGGGTACCCAGCGATGGATATCCTTAGGAGAGTGTCCGTCAAGAAGTTTCCGCTGGACGAGAGGTGTGACGACATGTGCCCATTGAAACACCGACTCTGTGCGTTGAACTAACTCATCTCGTAGATTCTGCAAGGCGTCTTGATCAAAGGTGCGCGTAAACCTCGGGATCTGGGCGAGTTTGTCATTGATGTAGGCGGAAATGTCCCCGTGATTATGATTCTCGACAGTTATCTCCCTGGCCCCGTAACTGTCAACAATTGGATAGTGTCGACATGAGATGCATATTTTGACAGCGACTGTGGGCCCGGCAGCATCATTGAGGCGGTAGAAATAATCTGCTATGTGCCGGGCAGCCTCGGCGCCAGCCTCATCCAGGGCGTCCACGAAAACAGTCACGCGCTGACGGCTGGCCGATGCCAATATAGCTTCAGCCAATAGCCTCTCGAGCCATATCTCTGGCCATTCCCACTTATGCGCACCATTACCGAACTTCTTGCTTCGATCCGAGTAGAACTTGCGTAACTGAGGGCGCACAGCTTGATCGCTGCGAAAGATTTGGTTTAGCAGCGATCTGAACATCCCTAGTGGTCTGCGCTGCAAGTCCGTTCCTCGGGCATTGAAGAAAAAGTCAAGCTGAATGCTGTTGCCAGTATCCTCCGATTCCCTTAGCTTGTCGTGTAGGTAGGCCATTAGTGTTGATTTGCCGGCGCCAGGCTTGCCCTTGATCCACAGCAGACCGTAGGGGTCACTCCTCCAAGACATATATTCTTCCAGTCCTAGAATCCACTCGCACGTATTTCCATGACGTTGTTCGATGTTGTCTCGCCGATCTAGCATCTCGGGGAAGACCAGTGATCCAAGGATGTCTGCGAACAGAATCAGCGATGGGCTCCCGATAGGTATTTGAACGATACGAACCGTCATCGATCCTGTTTTGGTCTAAAATGTGTAAGCGCTATAGATCATATAATGAAGGAGGCTCTGCGCGCCAGGCAGTATTAAAACGGCGGACTAACCTTTTTGTTGGGCCTCAGGGCTTAGACTCTCGCCAACCAATGTCACTACAAACGGTGGTTAGGACAGGTATGGCCTCTTGACTTGCATTCGCCCTCATTGCCTACCTAAACAATTGTTGTATTGCGTCCCATGGGAGTTGTTATTGTTTTGAAGTCCACTGCCGGCATTCGTGTTCTGCGTGCCATCGCCTTGGTTGTTGAAAGTGAAGGGTGGCGGTATTGCTTGGTTCATCGTACTCTATCGCTCTGGAAAGCAGAGATCTACTGTGTAACTCATGGGAAATCAAGATTGAAAAAGTTCAAGGTGCATGAGGAGCAGCGGTGTGTGTGGCTGAAGAGAGTATGCCCGGGGGCTGAGGCGTCCCGTTGGGCCTCATCACATGCGAGTGTGATCAATCATGCATATATACACAGCCCAAATGCTACCCAGTGGCCATCCATAACCTCAGCAAATTACAGACTACACAGATGTGCTGATCCTCGTATCTTGCATCGGCGGCTTCGGTATTATCTGCATCGAAGTAAAACAACAAATGTCTTATCAGTTCGAACAACATTGTTCTTTCGAATCTTCCAAACTCTAATCTTGGTGTTCGAGACACCAAGCTAGCCCAGCTTCGCGCATGGCTTTTTGTTAAGCCGGGCTTTCAGTGGGTGTCGTTTCTTGTACTCCAGCCTTTTTCAGGATGCGCCAGACAGTAGTATGAGAGATATCATGTCCTTCGAGGCCCATTTCTGCAGCAATATCAGCGCAGGTTTTTGCACCGCCGTCCTGGTCAGCATGTGCTTTTGAAAGCACCTGACTTTGCACTTGTGAAGTCTGCTTTGTCGGCCTCCCAGAGCGAGGGGCGTCAGCCAGCATAGCGTCAGAAATATTTCAAGGATGCGAGTTCGGGTCAAAGCCATGTTCAAGGGCTCTTTCGTATATGCGGTTGACAGTACGCTTTGGGAGGCCACATAGCTCTGAAATAGTAGCAGTGCTAACACCAGTAGCTCTGCACGCTACTACAATTGCGCGCTTAGAAACATCGTGGCCCATGGCAGTAGGTGGTAGGTGGTAGTTAGGTGGGAGTAGTATAAGGGGGCATAAAAGGGGGTTCCAGATAGGGGTACTGGTATGTATACGTAAACTATTCCGTACCATTACACACTAATTAAAAAGCAAATAAAAATACGCACACGAACTTTTCAAGTTGAAATGGACTTCAATACGAAGTAATACCCTTTTTAAAAAAAAACTAATGAGAAAAGTAAATCTGCATTAAAGACCGATGAACCAAGATCCAATCTCCCATAGTTGTTATCTCCGTACCATGCCTGATGTGTTTACTCAGTACAAGAAATTCGCAAATACGTAACGCCGTTGAAGACAGCACTAGTATTCTTCTAATTTTTTGAATACATAAGCCAACTATATACTTGAAAGATGATCGAGCCCGACGTGACACTGATTTGTGTCCAAGGATAGTCACCATATAAAATGTGCCAATGTAAAACGCTAAATTTGCTTCACGGTAGCTCATTTCCTTGAGCTGCACCAGTATTTTTCTCATCAGGGGAAGCAGTCAAGCCCTGGCCAGAATCTGTTCAACTCTCGGGTTTCTGCTTGGCTGCTCTCTGCTCAGCCTGTGCACGCATCCGGTCGGCCATTTCATCCAATTGCCGGGCAGACTCTGCAGCGTATTGGCAGTGGCGGCGAATTGCTGGGCCGTATTTGTAGAAAATCCATGGGAACGGTAGACAAGCTACAGCGAGGAAAGCCGAAATTGAGGAGGCCCAGTGAATGCCAAGGTTCTGGTACATTGGCGTTGTGAAGAGCGGACTACATAGATACCAAGTTAGTTTGATACTAGGACTATGATCGGGAACTAATGAGGGAAGACATACAATGCCGCGCCGAAAAGGGCCCGGATGACAGCATTACCTGCTAATGCCGATGCCGCGTAGATAGTATACCCATCGACCAAGTAGTTCACCACACTCAAGAAGATGGAAACATGAGAGAACCCGAAAAGTACTGTTCCAATCTCGCAGACGATCCAATGGATATGTGGGAAGTTGGTCCAGGCGAACCAAAATAATCCCACAGGAAGAGTAACTGCTCCAACCATCGCTGGAATGAGTCGAGCTTCGGGAGGTGGGCGACCGTAGGCTGTGCGATCGGCGACTTTCTTATACCGGCCGTCTTCGAAGATTGAATAAGCGCATCCGAGAATCTGCCCGATCATCATGCCAAGGAAGGACAGGCCGGAGGTGCTTTGGGGCCATTTGAGATTCTCTTCAAAGACAATCGGGAAGGCAGCAAATTCCATATACATCGTTCCGTAAACTATTGAAAACGATATTAGCCCTTGATAAGAAGAGACGATGATACATATGGGAGAACTTACTGATAGCCATGTAGATAGACAAAAGCAGCACGATCGGCTCCATCAACAGCAATATCCAGGGTCGGACCATGGTCTTGGTGAAGATCTCACGAGCAGTTCTATTTGCATTTCCAATGTCTAGACGACTCTTGTAAACTGCTCCGGTCAATTTACCAAGCTTGACAGCGCGCTTCTGCAATCAGGACTGGGGTGTAAGTCTTGGGGATAAAAGCAATCCCAACCAGGAACACCACCCCGTTGAAGATAGTTGTAAGCCCTTGGACCCACTTCCAGCCTTTTGACACAGCTAAGAAGTTGCAAGTGATTGGTCCGAGACTAGGACCTAAGAAGGGGGCTCCAATAAAAGCGATTGTAGCCAGCCCTCTATCACGGGCTGTATACATGTCTGAAACCACACCTCCAGCATTGGAGATTGCCGAAGAACCAAATGCGCCTGCGAGGAATCTTAGGACTAGCAAAGTCGCAATATTCGGGCTTGCAATTGTTACCCCGGCAAATAGTGTAGTCAACCCGTACGTGACGAAGTAGATGATCTGACGGCCCCAGAGCTCGGAAAGTGGAGCCCAGATAGCTGGCCCGATGGCAAAGGCGAGAACAAAAAGTGAGGTGTCGGCAACAACTAGCTCAGTGCTGGTACCGAAGCGTTCCAGGATCTGGGGGTTGGCTGCTGAGAGAGCAGACGAAGCAAAAGTAATGGACAAAAAGGAAGCGGCTTGTAGAATTGTGATGGACCATTTTAGCCAATCTTGCATTTGGTGCGGATCGCGGGCATCTTCGTGAAGCCAGTCCACCAAGTAAGGATCTTCAGGCGTGCCATTTCCCTCCCATTCGTGGCTGACAACGTCGTCGGTGATGGTGTCTTGGGACAGAACTAGCTGATATAGCGGTATCCGAGAGCGACCGCTCGTTTCATTTATATCTGACATAGTCTGAGGGATCTTCCTCTTCAATACTAGGACACTCAGGCAAATCGCGTAAATAAGGATGTTCTGAGGAAATGGTTGGGGTACAACGTCCTTGCTTACGGTAACCACGACTTCTTCTGGTCGATCCAATGGCTCAAGAAAAAGGAGAAAGCACGGAAGCCCGAAGTTGCTGCCAAAATAAGTCTGGGAGGCGGTTATTTAAGCATCTATCGGCAATGGCGTTGAAAAGAGAAAAGGAAACTCATACACCCCATTAATAATGATCAGCTTCTGAAGGTGATTTGAAATCAGGTTGTGAACGACCTCGGAGACTTTTGGACCGGGATATGTCGAAATTTCCCTTAAAAGCCGTGTTCGTGCATTCTTTGAAGCTGTATTTTTGTATAAAAGACGATGCCATTATTTCCAGGCTCTGCCAAGCTTTGTGGCCATGGAGTCTGCGCAAAGTTTTACCCAATCACAGGCCAGTTGTAGACCCACCAGGTCTCGTTCCCGCTAGTACCCGCTTCCCGAGCCGCTAAGCTGGTCGGAGCAATTCCACTCCGTCAGATGGCTCTGAGAAAGACATTTAACATTCCGACAGAAACTTCCAGGGGCTGTCCGTTTCTCATCAGGGTGGAGGCTTGAATGCAATACACTCGCCTGATATGATCAATCGAATCGTGCGACCACTTCGTTCCAATCAACACGCGACATCACCACATCAGTTAAGCGCTTGTTCGACTTACGGGATCTCAAAGCTATATACAAGAACAGTGCGTAGACAAATAAGTGTCGTCAGTAAGCCACTTTTATATTCACTTTGTCGAAAGAATGCCTATTGCTGCTGCTGCTGCCCTCGGTCGACTTAATGTTACGCGGAAAGAAAAGAGCACCTCGACCACAGGGTACGAGAACTGATCTAGAAGTGGCACCATTCTCTACCTATGTGTCCCATCGAGATAACGTCACTTTGATTTTTGCAGTTATGCAGACAAAGATAACGACCTCAACTGTGCGATTCGAGCTTGAAGGACGTGAGTGGATGCAGCCTGTTATCGGTGATTATAAGCAGAACAAGGAACAATTACAATGCCATTATATTGAGGTTATGGCGGACCTAACTGTTTAGTTGGTTTTGGCAATAGTTGGTTAATGACACTGGGTTAGTACGGAAGTCGTGCTCAATGACTTCAGGCAGCCAATATGCCAGGGCTACTTTGTTCAGATATATTGTACCTTGGACCATATATGTATGTAGTCTTTGCGAGAGAGTATGTATCTGTCCCATATATGCAAGTGTATCTTTTATTTTAGACACCAAGGCCGGTGCCACGATGTTCCGTTCACATTTCTCTTATATGCCTGAGCCCCAAGGTGTCTAGCTTCAGGTGATGATGTATCACGTTCACCATATCAATTGCCCATTGCTTATACTCCGTACTGTCTCGCATATTCAAATCGTGTCCGCCCCTGAAACGATATCTCATAAAAGCACCAGCGCAGTACGGAGTACTCCGTACAACATACCGGTGTCATGGCCCCAGCCCCCTATCTACCATGACCCACCATGCAGTATATCCCTTCCCATCTGGGAGTGCCCACGCAAGCTTCGTGTGTCACCGCCAAGCCTGCAAGAACACAAAGCTCAGCGGCTGCACCACCGAGGACTCCTTACAATTACGATGCCAAGCGGTTGATGACATCGCCAGCCACGTTACTAACAGCCCCATTCAAGTCACACCTGGGGTGTACAGAGTAGGAAGCTTGTGTCCTTCAAACCACGAGCACAGCGTCAGACATAGATCATCAACCTAGTTCAGGTTGCACAAGCTTCTTCATCCGCCACTATCAATGACTTCATACTCCTGAATGAAATCAGTGGGTTGTCTTATTGATGTTTCTGTTCTACACACCATTCCCCGCTCTACATAGCAGGAGACAAAAACAGCCCCTCCTGAATAAAATCCTCATTAATCAAACAGGATCAAGCGACGTCGTATGTACTCGGAGGTTGCATCCATCGACGCAAGCGATCCCGCTATAGGGCGTCCGCCTCCGAGAACGACAAAACGGCCCCAGCCATCATCCAATCAGTGTCGATCGATCCCACAGCTACCCCTGTAGATCCCCCAATTGCCCTGTTTCAGGCGAGACAATGATAGATCATCGCGCTGGTGCGTGGTCTGTGTCATTGTGGTGCTCCACGTCTGCAAGTTATAAGACTTTGATGGAGCCTGATATGCGTTCGTCTTTACTTTTCTAGTTTCGATACTAAAATAACCCGTGGTTCGATCTTCACTTTTTTGCTTTGACTACTGCTATTTTGCAACGTATGTTTCGTTTACACCGTTTCCTTGCCCTTGCATCTCGTCTAGACCCGCATATTGCGGTGTTTTCGCCGGATCTTCTATTATTATACTTGACTCGGTCGCTGATTTGGCCCTTTCCTCGATTTTAGATATCCATTTCCAAGTCTTTCCAGTTCCATCCTATTCAAAATGCGCGCGTCGGTCATCATCCTCGGCTTCCTTGCCACTCTCACTGTCGCCCTCCCCGAACCATACCCTAAGGCCCAAATCGCATGCCAATCGGTCAGTCTGGCCCATGTCTACGATGTTCGAGAATGTAGAGAGGATATCTAACAATGTTATTAGGACACCATGGTTTGCACGGCTGCTAACTGTGCCGGCGAAGGATGCTGCTGTGAGGGACTTACTTGCGGATCCAACGGTGTAAGTATCTAGCATCCCTAATGGGGTATCTGCCGAGTGTGATTTGCTTGTTTAACATGCTAATGAGGACAGACTTGCATGCCACTATAAGACGTTTTTTTCTTGGAGTTACAATATGGTAAAAGGAGGGATTGGCCTACCTGGTTAACCATGGTGTCTTTTGTTGACATAAGGGCGCAACATGGACAGGGAACCCCTTTCGGGCCATATGGTCAATGCCTGCACTTGTATTTATCTAGTTTGTTAATGGTATATAATTCTGGAATATCACAAATTCTCAATCATTGCATTAGTAGGGATGTCCCTGTCGTGCGTTCCAGTCAAGCTAAAAATATAACTGCGATCAATAGCTCTAGTTTGATGCAGCTATAACAAAGCGTATCCCCTGATATGGTGTCCCTTTTCCCGCGCTCAGCATTCCCTCGACAGACGACGGTAGACCACTCCATAAGGCGGCCCAGTAACGCAGCCCTCTCCCAATGAAATATCCATCAACTTCCTGAGCAAAACATTCCATCCGACCTTGCTGCCCACATTCATAAAAGCATAAAAGAAAGAGCAAAAGGGTCCCATCCTTGCTCATCGTTTCGTACCCGTATCCTCCAGCGACAAATAATAAAAGACATCAACTTTTGTTGCGGTGTCGACAGGGACTTCAAGATTTGACTCCGCCAGCCTCTAGGTCACGGAGACCAGCCAAGGTCCGGTTTTTATCGTCACTTTTCTTTCGTGTTTCATTTCCACCCTTTTTTAGGAATCTTTCCCAAATCTTCCGGGTCAAAACGGTTACCAGTACAGCGGCTCCGGTCAGGATGAAAAAAACGACGACAAGAGGCAAAAGAAAGTAGAAGAACAACTTGGCAACCAGTATGAGGAGCGGTGCAGTCAGAAGCACTGGACGTAAAAGCATAGGCAATTCGTTAAATTCGAGGCCGAAGAGTTCCACGAAGAGGTCCTCCATGTTGAGGGGTGTCTGGATGGCCGGAAGTGGGTTCAAGGTGGGATTTGATATATTCGTTGGATGAATGATTGGGTTCGAGATACAAGTGATAGGAGTACGTTGGTAACAGCTGGGGTTTGGATGGAGAGGATGGATGGTAGTCTTAGCAAGAAGTCACGTCAGCGCCCTGAATTTTGCAGTCCATTCAAGGTTGAGATGAACCCTGGTCCGGGGAATGTCAGATGGCGTTCTTTCCTATTTAGGAAGTATAGCTTTTCCCGAGACGACCTAACAACCTTGGAAAGTACATAGTTACCTACAGAGGAAAGTACTAGTCCTATTCAACCTTCTCCAAAACCTCCAAATCCGAAGCATCAACCCCCAACTGCGTCTTCTTCAAAGCCTCCAACCTCTCCTTCCTAGCAACTACCATCTCCCTAAGAAGTTCAAGCTCAATCTCAAGACGCTTCTGCAGGTCGACGGTACTATTGGAGCCGCCCGCAGTTACAGGAAGAGACGAGGTAAATATTTCCGCATCTGGTTTTCCCTGATTCACCTTCTGTTCTCGCTCGTTGTTCTCTTTCCCCTCCTTCCCTTTCTCTCTCTTCCCTTTGTCCTCATCAGAACCCAGATCCCAACCAAACAACGCTGCAAGTATGGCGAAGGCCAAGAAGGCGATAACGAATATTATAGCCAATCCGACAGCGATTGGGATGAAGAAGTGGATGGCCAAGTGGACCCAGAGTTCGAATAATCCCTTGATCAACAGCAGGGGGCGCATGTAGAAGGGCTCGCATTCGAATGGTATTTGGAACGGCATGGTGAGATTAAAGAGTGGGATGTAGCTTGGATTCGGATTTTGATCCGGTCTGGGACACGGGCGTTGTTCTGGTTTTGGTTCGGTTTGATAGGAAAGAAGAGCGGCGCTGGTTCTTTGGTACAATTTTGCCTTTGAGGGTTTGTCTTGGTTTGAGGGATGGCGGAATCGACATTGGTTTGACGTCGTGTCTGGGCTTGGGCTGAGCCTCAGTGCCGGGGCGTATGCAGTGGCCCACTTTTTCGGGCGCAGGTTGCATGATGCTCGTGGACTGATTGAATTAAGATCCCAAGAGGGCCAAAATATATAGGAAGAGCTCGACATAACGAACACTATGGACAAAGATCACCTGGCCAGAGTACACACCCGGCATAGCACATACTGACTACATATACAGAGGACAGACTACCGGTATCAAACTCGTAAGAAGGCATAAATGAGCAAATATACACAGGACTAAAAACACGCACAAAGAGATCAAAAGGTGCAAGGTCAGTAGACAACGTCAAATAAAAGGTGTATCTACCACAGGAGTCAAGTTTAAAATAGAATCCAAGAAGGGAAGAAAGGGCCGATCAAAGTCCGTAGACACATCACCAAGCCAGAGAAAGGTAAAACTCCAAGTCCTCCTGTACAAGTTTTGCATTTGCAGAACTAAACAAAATATTTCAAAAATCCATCACGAGACATGGCGCTTAGAAGACACCAGCACAGCCCCAGTGCTGCTCGACGTTGAACTCACCAGGGTTCTTCCAGGTGTCGTCGGAGTAGGAGAAGAAGATGGACTTGGAGCCAACCGCGGCGGCGATGGACTTGATGGCGGTGGCCTGCTCAGCGGTACCGGGGACAGCGGCACCGTTGGCGCTACCGGCGTTGGGCCAGCCAGTCTCGAGGTTGATGACGTCCTTGCCGCCACAGATCTTCTCGAGGACCTCGAACTCGCCCTTGGTGAACTCTCCGGCCTTCTCGGCGGTGACATCGGCGTTGAAGAAGGGGTGGATGTTGGCACCGACGACGTCGACGGCGCTGCACAGAGTGCTAGCGCCGTACTGCTGCCAGACGTTGATGGGCTCGGTGGTGGTGATCAGACCGGAGTAGCCGGCAGCCTTGAAGCTCGAGGAGGCAGACTGGATGAAGGTGGTGAGGGTAGCGGCGTCGATGTAGCCGGACTGGATGGCCTCGTTACCGACAACGATCAGCTTGACCATGTCCCACTCAGCCCACTTGGAGATCTCGGTGACCTGCTCCTGGGCACCGGTGATGCCGGAGCCGTCGATGTAGACACCCATGATGATGCTGAGGCTGAGCTCCTTGCAGGCGTCACCGATGAACTCGAGACCGCTGCAGTCAGTGGAGTAGACACGGATCAGGTTGAAGCCCTTGCCCTTGATAACCTTGAGGTCCTTGAGAACCTCCTGCTTGGTCTTGCACTCACCACCGGCGGTGTAGGGAGAGTAAGTCATACCGTACTGACCCTCACCGAGGACGGTGGGAACGTTGCTGGGCTCGCTGACGGCGGAGGTGGTGGAGCTGGCGCTGGAGGTGCTGACAACGGGAGCGGCAGTGGTGGTGGCAGCCACGGTGGTGGGGACAGCGGGGGCAGTGGTCGAGGCCAGGGCGTCGGTGGGAGCAGGGCAGATGTAGGTGTAGTCAGTGCGGGTCACAGTGACGACGGACTCATCCTGGGTGTAGGTACCGGGGACAATGGTGTGAGGGGTGGGGTAGACCAGAACGGTGCTGGTGGGCACAGAGGTGGTGGTAGGAGGCACAACAGTGTAGGTACCAGCAGTGGGGCAGACGTAGGTGGTGGTCTCAATGACACTGGTCACGGTGCTGCCGGAGGGCTTGACGGTGGCGTAGGGGCAGGTGACAGTGGTGGCAGTCTCGACGACGGTGGTAACACCACCGTAGGTGTGGGTGCCGCTGGGGACGTCAGTGGAGGTGGCACCGCAGACAGTGGTGGTGTCGTGGACGGTGATGGTGGTGGCCGGGATGGTGTAGACACCGGTGGTGGAGAAAGTGCTAACACCGGGAGTGGGCAGCTCCACGGCGGGAGTGCTAGCAACGGCGGTGCTAGAGGGAACCGGGGCCGAGGAAGAAGAGGCCGAGACAGTCACGGTCAAAGTGCTGGTGCTGGTCGAGTGCACGGTGCTGGTGAGAGTGCTGGTGGACTCGGGGAGGGGGAGTAGAGGTAGAGGTAGAAGAGGGAGGGGCAACAGTCTCGACGGGGACCAGGGTAGCGTCGCCGTAGTAGGTGATGACCTTGGTGGTGCAACCGCAGGTCTCCTCAGGGGCAGCGGTGACGGAGGAGGACCAGACGCTGGATGAGGCCTCGCGACGCTGGTGGAAAGCGTCATGGCGACGGTGAACACCGTCGGCCATGGCAGAGCCGACCAAGGCGGCGGCGGCGAAAATAGATCCCTTCATGATGGAAAGATAATATCAACCACGCGAAAGAATGAATGCCCGCTGAACGAGTGAAGCGGTGGTCAGTGATAGAATCGAAGGAACGTGGGTTGAGAAGGTAAAAGGAGAGTGATCGGGGGCACGCAAGGCCTTTTGTTGGAGAAATGGTTACCGGGGGGGCGGTTAGGGGGAAAAGAGAAAAGGAGAAAAAAGAAAAAAGACCTAAAAAAGGGCCCCAGTGTGCTAGCCTCTGCATAGATACAGGTCCACCGATCGTGAATTTCTTTGAATTTAATTTACCCTAAAATTACCCCTGGACGAGTCTAGATGTGTATTCAGGGACAGTATCAATCTGATTGGTTGGGCATTCGATACCCGTACGTTGGCTGGCTGTGGTTGGCCCACACGGCTCGGGCAAGAGTGGGGATTGCATGTAATTGCGTTGTTTGGTACATTTGCAATTTGAGTCTGATTCCATATATCAGGCACATGCAGGTACAGAGTCAGATCATAACACTCCCTACTCGTACACAAACATTATATTCTCGCCCAACGGTCATTTCATAATAGGAACCAATACTGTGTACTCCGTACGGAGTACGGGGTACTGACTCAGTCCTCCGTATCCGAATACTATTATTATCAATACAACACTGCCCGCACGGATCGTCCACAGGTCTTCTCTCCTTTTCCTTCTCAGCCTTCGGCCCAGCGTCAAAAATAGTGATCCTGTCTCACACCCAGAATTAGCCCTCCCCTTACCGCTGTGAGGGTCGTCCAGCTTCCGTTTTCCCAACTCCTATCTGAAAAGCCACATTGTACCTAAACGAAGCCAAGGTTTCATCCATTCTGTCATACCATGCAAGGCACCACTACATCCCCTCTATGGCTTACTCGGTGGCAAGTCCCCGTTCAACCCTCGGTTCCTGATTACCCAGACCAGAAAAATAATGTCTTCAAAGCAAAGCAGAGAGTTGGTGGAGTAGAATGGGCTTTAATTCCAATGTCTCAGTGCAAAAGTCAGACAGAGAAATCCCCGGGCCAAAAGCCAAAAGTCCCAAACCAAAGAAAAACAGGAAAGTCTCTTCCCACGCCATGTGGGGCTAACTGTCATAGCGCAAGCAGCCAGTCCCAAAATGGTAAGGTGGCAGCTGAATTGGGGTATAGCCCGTTCTCTGATTGGTTGAAATGCAGCCTCTAATTTCCGCCCTGCCGATCTTTATTATAAAATCACAATACGGGTATCGTTCAATCTTATAGATTACCAACAATATACAAAGACTTCTGCTCATTATTGCTTTTCAATACCAGTCTCGGATTACAGCGGAGCAGTCAACAAACATTTTCACCGCCAAGAGTATCGCAAGAATCTCGAACCCTTGTGTTCGCCCAAACCCAATTGTTTACTTATATCAAGATACTTGCCCTGCTCGACTCTGTATGGAAACAACACACAACATTTGTTCGCTGTTAAGTATGCGTTGTTTTCTGCCCCGCCCCTGACGATCTCCATCGAGTCAGCGGTACACAATATTGTCCACGCACTCATGAACTAGCCGATCACCCGCTTAAATAGAGTCAAAAAGAGTTATTAAACGGGGCAGGAAGCTTGAACCTGTTCAATTAAGTAATCGCACCAAATACAATATCGGAAGGCCCGTCTGGTCGACGAGCCACCTTCTCCTCGGAGTATAGTCATTTACGCAGTGTGGTTACCAGAACAAAATAACACTGTAGCCTATCCGATATAACCGACACCCACAATGGAAGAGCAGTCTTTGCAAGTATATATACGGCGTACAAGCAATGGAAGCAGCAAGGCAAGTATAAACGATAAACGAATAGATCCTCTGCCATCCCATGTCCTGAGTGCTGATCACAATGAGAACGAAGTCTGGATCTCTTCGACTGGCGATCGCGACTCATCCATGGGGTAGATCACAACGGATGCTGGGGCACAGCCGAGGGTTGTTTCTTGTGGAGATTACCGCTATGTATTATTTTATGGAACCATGACTAGCGTCTGACTCCTGAATTATGTAACTGTGCGATAGGTTTCTGCGCTCGCTAGTCTGGTTGCTTCGAGGCCAATAATTACCTTGGTGGTTGAATTATTGACAGTGATGGCTTTGGTAGAATGTGATGTAATCGTGTATTGATGCCCAGTCCGAACAATCCGAAATGAACCGTCGACACTGCCACGTCCCTGCTTTGGATTCGTGTGGAAATGTAATTGAAATAAATAACCAGAATACGAACAAAGGAACTGCCCAAGTCAAAGACAACTCAACGATCCAGACCGCCGAAATACTCTTGGCCAATCTGACAATTCCAATGGATCAAACGGCCAAGGAGAATAGCGGATCTGGGCTCAGTTGGCATCGATGTCGAGGCTTGGCACCGTTTTTGAGGTTGTTCAGGGGCCAGGGGTGTGTTGGCCTTGTGGATTTTGGATCTGGAAAGTCAGTGCGATTCGTGCAGAGGCTATTGTGGGATTTCTATCAGCCTTGCTATTGGGGGTTTCTTTGTTTCCTATGTCGTATAGTACAGAGTACAGTACAAAGTTCCAAGGACCCAGTTCAACGGTGGGTTTTTGTTCCGGGGAAATTTCTGCAGCCGTTTCTTGACCGGGTTTCCCTGCATATGACTTGTGACTGTTTTGATATGTCAGATTTAGGGCTAATTTATGTCGGCATTCCACATCTCAAATATTCGGGAGAGATCTGGACAGGCCACATGGAGAATGTCACTTGTGGAATGTATGCCTCGATCTTCAGGTCTCTTCGCTTGACCAATCACACCAATTTCTCATCAATTCTCATATTCTCATTGTTCTGATATACCTTACTTCGTAGTTGTTACTTAATGCAATTTAGAAGTAACCTTGGAATTGAATAGTATATTGGCCTCGCCATACCGGCCTCACAGAATATATATATCAGGACTCATCAAAAAGTGACCCAAAAGTCATGAACTCCGATCCAATATCCTTGTCCTAGAACAACAACAATCGAAGCAGATAACCCTGAACATATTCCACCCGTAATCGAAACCAGCTATTCCCGCAGCACTGTGCGACCCCAACTGCTTGGGTGGCATACGGATATAGAGTGGAAGGACTATCAAGGGCTCGTAAGGCAGGCGGTAGTAAAGACCGACATGCCCCCGGTATCTTCCAGCAATATCCGACACGCCTTTCAGTCATTTTCATGTCTTGCTAGAATCAAACGGAGAATGCGAAGCCGACACTGCTTAATCATCGTCTCTTTTCTCGGTTCTACATTCCGATTTTAGATGAGTCTCACGCATCTAGATTACCTATTACCTACCTCGTCTTTGGTATATACCTCGACTTTCGTGTGGCTAGAACAATTTCGTATGGGAATATAGACGTCGAGGTACGGGAGCGGCGACAGAAGGATGTCATATAAGAAGTGATTAGAACTGGCGAGATGAATTTGTTGGACTGGCATATACTGACAGTTTCATCGATCAAATCTCTAGAATGTCCTCTGCCATTGTAGTTATGTAGAGCGGCCTGCATACGGCGGATTTCCTTGTTTGTGTGCTGGTTGTGTCCAATTGACTCGCAGCCTGGAGCAAGTCGTCTCGTTCGGATGAGAAAGCCCAAGGGGCATGGATGTATCACGGAGGGATTAGGGGCGACGGCATAGAAGATAGAGTACTATTTTGCAATAGGATTATCATATTGGAACTTCGGAGTGAGATGCTCTGAATATATCATGCAAGTTTCAAAGTTGAACCCCCAAGACTGTACACCATAACAGACATGTGCTTCAAAATATCCAGTAAGACTATCGCACAATATGAAAATAGATCACAGCGACTCCAAGCTATCCCAGCCTAATTAAATCAAAACCAAAGTAGGACTTTCCCTCTTGTTCCTATTTTTTGCCGTTAATCAAATCTGACCATCACCATGCCACCCGATCATGCCACCACACCACACACAAAATGTCCCACCACTACCACCGCCATTCCCCAATCATCTGATCCCGAATAACAATCGGCAATAAGAAGATAAACAGGATTTACTCTGTACCTAGTATTCCGTACTAACCCCAGAAACGGAGAAACCCGCATTCAATCGCACCATATCCCCGACGTCACGACTCAAACCACCAACCACATGCAGTATTATCTCAACCCAACCCGGATAAGATGAATCCGAGATATAAATCATGATCATGCTATACAGACTATATCCAGAAACGGATAACGGCCACGTCCCGCGATCCAGCCTCTCGGAACTGTGATATGGTTCTGTTCGATGCTGTCAGGCCATACTGCGATGCGGCTTGGAATCTTGTGGTTATGGATAGATGGGGGTGAGGAGTGGTGTATATAAGGATGGAATGTTACACATGGAGTTTGTTTTGTTCCTCACTCAAAGATATCTTCATACAAAATACACTTCAGTTATTAGATTCTTGGTTCGATACCATACATCTACACCAACACAACAGCCCAACCAAACTCCAACCAACATGCCCACCCAACCCAGAACAACCGATAGCGAGCACGCCCGTCTGCAAAATGATTACGGCGCAGACTACTGGGTTCGCAATTCCGCTCAAGAGCATCGCGTACGTATACACATCACCACCCACCATCCGAAATCCACCATTAGATCCATAACTAATACACCCAAAGCGCGCAACAGCCGGACGAGGCCTCTTCGCTGGGTTACAAGATGTGAAGCACTACAACGTCGACCACGGCTGGGCTCGACGGAAGTCCGAGACTCCGCAGCCTGGTATTCTCGGGTCGCTCTGGAGTCGGTATGTTTATATGATCCCATGATTTAGATGTAATTGTGAGGTTTGGGGCATTAATGCTGACTTTATATAGACTCACTGGGCTTTGATATGACTTGGATATAGACCGTGATCTTTTAGATGGATTACTGGGTTACTGGTTGTCTAGTTCAGAATCGATGCCGACTCGGTTTTTGTTGCTAGGACCTGGGAACTAAAAGGGGATTGAGATGAGATTGATATGATTGGATGTTTTTCTTTTGGAGTTGGCCTTTTTCATTTTGATTGAGCATTGCTTTGTTATACCATGCTTTCTTGATAGGAGTTCTGGTGTGGCAAGATTTGGTTTCTACACAATTTATTTGTCTGGATATCGTTATGGAGTCTACTAGACCACTAATCGAAGATACACTTCTTATACTGGTGCCTGGTGTTTACTATCCCAGACATAGCTGCATAGCTTGTCTAGCAGCAAGCTACTTAGACATACATCCATGTACCTCCCCAGCTACGACCAAGCAACAATCCAGAGGAAAAATTTATATTTCAACATTGAAGTATATGTACAAAACCGCTAATAGATGTACCAAACGCCCTAACCGCGCACCACGTCAATTCTTTACTCCCAAGAATCAATCTTCATGGTACCCTTCTCCTGAAGATTCTTGTGCATATTGAAAGCCTGGAAAAGCATATGCGGCTCATGACCCATACCCTTACGCAGACACTCGAATTCCGCCCGGTCAAGGTAATCAGTAAGAATAGGCGTGTAATCCGGGTGCGAGCAGTTCTTAATAATAACACGGGCACGCTCACGCGGCGACAACCCCCGCACATCAGCAAGACCCTGCTCAGTAACGACGACATCGAGATCGTGCTCGGTCTGATCGATGTGCGTAGCGAACGGCACGATACAGCTCACGCCGGTGGGATCGGTCTTGGTGGGACGCGCGGACGGTGTGTGCATGATACTGTACTTGGAGTTACGGAGGAAATCGGCGGAGCCGCCTAGTCCGTTCAGCATGCGCGAGCCCATGACGCAGGTGCTGTTGGCGTGGGCGTAGATGTCGACTTCGACGGGGGTGTTCATGCCGATGCAGCCGAGGCGACGGATGATCTCTGGGGAGTTGGAGACTTGTTGGGAGCGGAGGAGGAGCTTTCCGGCGTATTGCTCCCAGTTGTCGTAGAAGCGCTTGAAGCCGTCTGGGGAGAAGCGGATCGAGGTTGCGGTTGCGAAGTCGAGGTTGCCGCTGTCGAAGAGGTCGAGGAAGGAGTCTTGGAGGACTTCGGTCCAGACTTTGAGGTTCTTGAAGTCGGCGCCGCCCTTGCTGAGTCCGCCCACGACGGCGTTGGCGATGTTGCCGATGCCCGACTGGATGGGGAGGAGGTTGGGTGGGAGGCGGCCGCGATGCACCTCGTGCTTGAGGAACTCGATTAGGTTTGAGGCGATGGCCTGTGAGCCTTCGTCCTCGGGGGCGTTGGGCAGGGTCTGGTCCGGGTAGTTGGACTCGACGATGGCGACCACCTTCTCGGGGTCGATGGGGATGTAGCTGGTTCCGATGCGGTCCTCGGGGGCCATGATGAGGTAGGGCTTGCGGCCCGGGGGCAGGTCTGAGCAGGTGATGTCGTGCAGGCCCTCGAAGGAGGGCATGGAGGTGTTGACCTCGATGATGACCTTGTCGGCCATCTGGATCAGTTCGGGCGAAGCACCGACGGAGGCACCGGGGATGATGCCTCCGTTCTCGGTGATGGCGGAAGCCTCGATGACTGCCACGTCAATTGTGGGCTTGGCCTTGTTCAGAGTGTACCAGCCCTGGCGGAAGCGGAAAGGTTAGCGGTCGATAGTTTTCCTCGGGGAATGTCGAGACTTACATAGACCAAATCCGAGGGGAACATGCTCAGGTGCTTATCGAAGAACTTGATCTGGCCATTGTTGATTCCCTTGGCGATCTCTTTTCCGACTTGGTGAGGGCTACGACGCTCAATCATGTTCAAGCGGGCCCAGCGGTTCTCGGTCTCTGCGCCGGAGGAGGCACCGACAAACAGGTTGTACTTCAGCTGTCCCTGGAGGTTGTTCTTCTCGACGTGGTCTGCGAGAGCAATGGGAGTCATCCTGAATTGAGGTTAATGTTCTGCCCTCACTATCTCATCTGTGTTACATACTTGGGGTAACCGACACCGGTGAATCCGGACCAGCCGATGTAAGTGCCATTGGGGAAGTAGTGAATGAGATCCTCAGGTTTGGCGAGCTTCTTCAGATACGATGGGCGCCGCACACGGCTCTTCAATAGGGCCGAAGCAGACATGATGCAGAATGGAAGAGGGGAGAGTGTCAAAGATGTGGGAAAGAAGAAAGGGGATCTGGGGGGTATAAGTAATTTCTTCAACCCCACGGGCAAAGGTCTCCACAAAGGAATGCGAGGCCGACAGCTCCGGGAGAATGGAAGTGTTCTTTTTTGGATTTGGTATTAGGGCTATATAGGTATGGACTTGGCAATTGTATATGGGATGTTGTATATTGTATAACTCCTTTTAATTGAATTCCAATTGCATTCCTATATATATCTCCCTATCCCCAGTCAATTCCCATCTAATCCATTAATCCCCTAAATACCCCTCGATGATGCTTATCGTCAAAATAATTCATAATGACGTCAACCACGTACTTTCCTCGGCCTTCGTTCGGCTTTCGGAAATCTCTCGGTTTTACCTTTTCTATCTCCCTTATATTCCCTATATTATATTCCCTTCCCTATATGTTCCTTGCATACACAGACTGATATGGAACATCTTTTTCAGCTTAATATACCCCACTTAGCATAATAGGATCAAAGATACATCCCAATATACAACATAGAAAAGACAAAAAGGAGATCCTAGTAGATCCCCAAGACCGAGTTTCCCCCGGCTCCACGTCTCGGGACGGTGTCGGCTATGCAGGCTCGGCCACACGGAGATTTCCATACTACACATTGGATAATCCATTCCACACCATTGGATATATATTGCCGCTAGTAGAGGATTATGCCGATGATGCCGAGTTAGTAAGACCGGACGATGATCTGGAGAGATCCCATTTTTGTCTTACCCCGGAAGTTCGAGTCGGTCGCCACATTAGGGTATGGCTCGAATGGAATGTGCAATATGATATTCGACTCCACTGATGTTGGAGATAGGTTTATTAAAGAGGAAATTAGATATGGGAGCATTCATACAAATCAAATTAGATTAAGAATAAACAGGCCAATCTCTCCATGGCCATTTCATTTGTGAGAATAAAGTAAGAGATACTTGAAAAAAGAGAGAGATACAAATACAAACTACGGAAACCCGTGAATAAAGAAAAGAAAAGAAAAGAAAAAAGAAAACTATTTCGTCGCAATTTCCTCATCGTGTACGCCGTCCCCCAATCAACAATAATGCATGTCAGTCCCCCCTGTCGGGGGGTCTGACCCCGTCGTAAAAAGTTACACCCCACCCCTACGCCTCGGTGGGCTCGGCATCGGTCATCTCAACGTCTCCGCCATGCTCCTTCTCCTCCGCATTAGCGGGGGCGGAGCCAGAGCCAGACGCAGAGCCCTCACGGCCTGGACCAGGACTGTCAGAGAGGGTCCCGTCGACCCAAGACCGGAAGCGCTGGTTGCTCTCGTCCACCTGGTCCTTGCTGAGGCCGCGGGCCCAGGCCGGGTTGTTGACGAACTTCTCCACGAAGCGGTCGTGGCGCTTCTCCTTCAGGGCGGCCTTCTCCTTGGCGAGCTCCTCGGCCTGGGCCTTGATGGCGTCGGCGTCGGCATCTTTCTCCGGGATGGGGGCGTTAGAGCGCCAGAACCAGTCGTAGGTGGGCGGCTGGTACAACATGGTGTAGTTGTTGGCACAGATGCGGATGGTCAGGCCGTCGTGGTGCTGCAGGCTGCGGTAGTAGCGCTCATACTCCTCATCTTCTTCGAGCTTGGGAGGAAGATTGCGCTTCAGCAGGGGCATGCGCATCTTGGAGAATTGCACGCCTTCGGTGGGGTCACGCATCGAGTAGGCGGTCACGTAGTAGGACCAGCGCTCCTCGGGAGTAAGTTCATCGTTGTTGAGGGTTGCGTCTTCGCTGGTCATCACTTGGACGGTGACACGGCGGTCGGTGGGGTACTGAAGAATTTGTTAGTTGGTGTCAGGGCTTCGGAAATCGAAAAACTCACGAAAGTAACACGGTAGATATCACCATCCTTGACCAGTCGCTCAACTTGTTTGCGGTACTGGATTTCCTGGTGATGGGTGGTCTCCTCCTTCTCCCGTTCCTTGAAGAAGAGGTTGACGATATCGGAGCTGCGGTCGCGAGAGTCACCGGTGAAGATGGACGCCACGAACTTGGAAATGGAGGAGAAGATACGTTCCAGGTTGTAGAGCAGGTATCCGCTCTGCATGTAGAAGCGACGCAGGGTCTCTTCCAGGTGAATCTGATCGATATCACCTTTGATGACCTCATCGCACATGCGCACGATCTGCTTGTAAAGGTTGGCCTTGGGGTCAACATCATAGAAGAAATCACTTGGGAATCGGTCGATCAAGCACAACTCGTGGGCCGCCTTGGGTAGAACACCGCGTCGGACTTGTTCGCGAGCTGACTCCTCCTGCTCCTTGATGCGCAGGAGACGCGAGTAGAGGATCTCGAAAGTACGCAAGAAGCACAAGATGTTCAGGTTGCAGTACATGTGGTGTTCCTTTTTCTTGTACTTCTCGTTGAGTGTGTATTCATGTTCAAGGTTGAAGTTGCCTTTTCCAGGGTGCTCCATCCAGCGCAGTTCAGCCACGTCAAAGGACTCCTCGGAGTCGGACACAGTGGAAGAAACCTGGACAACAGGGGGTTCATCATGGCTGTTCAGAACACCATCCTCCTTAGCGGGCTTCTCGGCCGGTTCTCCACGTTCCAGGGCCTCACGCAGAAGATCCAGCTTCTGCAAGTCTGCCCCCTTGCGGCTTCCGTTCGAGGCATCCTCAGTGGCGTAAGTGTCATCGTCATCATTGATGGCATTGTAGACTTCGTCCATGTACAAGTTGAAAGTGTAACGATCAAGGCCGAAGAAAGTAGGAATGAAATCCCGGATAAAGTTCATGAGGCGCTGGGGATCAGCACCAAAGCCATTGGTGTTGCGGTCCAAGTACAAGAAAAGCAAGTAGACAGCGTCCAGAAGGACCTGAGTATCGCTGAACTGGAACTCAGCTTGGTACTTGAGCGGGGTCCGGCCACTCTTGCGACCAGCCTGTGCATCCTCAAGCTTCGTCTGCAGATCTTGCTGGATGTTCTTGGCGACAAAGAGCTTCTTGTCAGTCTGCTTGGTTGCGATGGCTTGGTGGTCAAGACTGCGCCAATATGCGCGCTGCATCTGTTCACGCCAGACCTTGTCCCACTCGCGCTGGCAGGCCTTCCATTCCTCCAGCTTCTGCTTCAAGCGGTAAAGGACAATGGGAAGGACGTGGCATGGACGAAGGAACATGTCTCGAATGACCTTCTCGCCGCGTTGACGGTCGTAAATCTTCTTGATGACACGCTGGTAGATTGCCTCACTTTGGCCACCGAGACCCTGCGGCAATTTGAATGACATGCGTTCCGCATCACTCATGTAAAGGAATTGCTGGCAAATGGGCTCAATCAGCTGGATAGTACGTGTGCAAGCCTCGATGTGGTGATCGTAATCATGGCGGTCTTCTTCAATACGATGCAAAGCGTCTTCATACTGGTTCTTGCGGTGCGCAACAAAGCCAGAATCTTCGGAAGCCCAGGTGGGGTGTGAAGCCCAGTCATCATTAAGAACGCCGTTGCACATCGGATCGCGCCCACTGCAGGGCTTTTGGCGTTCACGCTTGGGAAGAAGTCGATAACTCGGTCCTAGAGACCGGCAGTGAGCCAGGTTGACGATACCTGATTCCGGGTTCGCCTTGGGGTCGATGATCTTATCCTCGGGTTCTTCGGCGCTCATGAACCGTCTGAACCAGCTCATGAGCTCAGCATTGGATCCGATGTATCCCTCGGCCCTCTTGACCAGGACGTGACGGTCGAGCAGATCCGTGGTGTACAGGTTGCAAAGCTTCAGGAAGTCGCTGAACACTTGCTTGTTGGCGATGAACTTCTTCACACGGTCAAAGAACGCGATTTCTTCCTGACTAGGAGTCATGGAGACCGAGGGAGGAAGAGGCTCCGGGAGAGCAGGAACCAAAGTGGGAGAGACATTTGCCATGTCCATAGAAGGCTTTCCATGGTGGTATTTCGGTCTCTTGCTGGCGTTACCGAACTGCGAACTCTGGCCACCTCTGCCTGCCTCAGACAAGCGAGCAGCTTCGGAACCGGCAGGCCCCGAGATAGAGCCAACACCGCCACCTGGGCCACCACGACGTTTCTTGCTTTCCTTGGGGTCCTTCACATTGAACTGGCCCAGAGGAGGCATCTTGACGTCACGGTTAGGAGTCTGGGTGAAACCTGCAGGTTCGCCACGGAGGTTGCTAAGAGGAGCTTGCTCTTCGGCTTGGCGCTGCGCAGCTACTTGTTTGGCATGCGCGGCAGATTCCGGCAGGAACTGTTTGAAATCCTCCAAGAGATCCGGTGCAGTGTTAAACAACTGAGTAACCTGTCCATAAACATCCTGGATAGGCTTTGACTCCCGCTGGTAAGTCTGGAGTATCTCGAGGAACTGCTTGTAGATCTCTGGTGCACTTGAGAAGCGGTTCTTTATCTTGTTCACATAACTGATGGCGTGGTTGAACTCCACGGGGCCACGCTTGTTCAGATCCTGAGCACCCTGGAGCATACCAGTCCCGACGCCAGCCAGGTTGTTCATCGGCTGAGTGAGATTAGCGTTCTGTCCAGCGGCCGAAGCTCCCATGAGAGACGACCTGGCAAGTCCAGCGGAGGCTGCAGAGGCGGCGCCTTGCAGCTGTGCCACTCCTCGGTGGTCTTGCTGATGAGTCATGGCGGATGCAGCTTGTTGCTCCTGTTGAGTGGGGTAACCATAGTGGTGATCCTGAGCGGGTCCAGGTCCATCCTGCTGATACATGCCGCCCATCATCCTCGAGCCAGGAGAATAAGATCCAGAGGCGGGACCTTGCTGCTGATCCTGCTGCTGCCCTTGTTGCCAGCCAGGTCGCGTTTGGTCACGATAGAAATCAGACCGACCATGCGGATCACTGGAGGGGGGTGCATTGGTAATTGTCTCAAAGGGACGTCCTGCACGTGGCATGCTGAGTGTATTCGTGCCAGACGGGGTTGTGACCCGAATCGCATCAGGGTTGTCTTCGGTACCGCACTCAATACGATAGCCGGGGGGGCAAAAAGGTATTAAATCCCTGAATAAGAGCGGGATGACCATTGAAAAGTGTCGAGACGCGTTGAATCACACCAGGCGTGTCGATAGCCTGACTCTTGAAGTCCTTCATGATGTCCAAGAAACGGTTGTAGACATCTGGCTGGTCAACGAAGCGTACCTTGACCTGGTCGAGATAGCTGAGAGCATCATTTAGAATCGGTTGTTGGCCCTGGGCAAGAGCTGCAACATTTCCTGGGATCTGCTGCCCGGCGGCATTGTATGCCATCATAGGCTGTCCTGGTGGACCACCCGGGTGCTGCATGTACGAGCGAGGTGTGCCTTCGCCGTGCTGCATTTGAGGACCGAACAAGCCAGCAGCAGACTGAGGTCCGCCCTGGTGGCCGTTCTGCGGGTTTCCGCTGAGGGTTGAGAGGAGTCCACCCGGGCCGTGAATGGAGTTGGGGACTTTATTGGCCACGGGTTGATGGAGGGGGATCGAGCCAGTGTGGCTCTGCACAGGGTGGTGGGGTTGTTCGCGGCGTTCTAACTGCCGTTCAATTTGTTCACGGTGGTCGCGCTCGCGCTCACGCTCACGGTGAGCCATCTCTTCCTGGCGCTGACGCTCGATGATTTCGCGCTCCCTGGAGTCCCGCTCCCGCTCGCGGTTGAGCTGGGGAGAAGCGTGTTGCATGGCTTGACCAATCCCGGGAAGAGAATGGCCACTGTTATGCGACGGGCCTGCTGGGTGCTGGCCGTACGCGGAAGGTTGGTGCGGACCTCCGTGGGTCTGACTTAATTCTGCCAGTCCAGGAAGAGAATGGCCACCTGACTGACTAGGGTGATAGGGTGCTATAATAGAATGACCAGTTAGTTTGAGTGGTTTCTTTTTATTATTGGATTTCCCACAAGGAAATCCATAGTTCGCAGAGAGCCACTCACCACCTGGAGGGGGAAGTACCGGGCCCGAGGGCTGTGAAGCCTGGCCTTGCTGAGAGGGATTTTGACTGTTGAAGCGCAAGAATATCTGGTTAGTCTGTGATATCAAGATATGAAGCCACTTGTACTATATACGACTGCTCGTACCTGAATGACCCCAGGGGCCGAGGCTGCTGGTTCATTTGATCGATGCCAGGATGCGACGGCGGCCCACCGGAGGAGTGCCAGTTATCGCTTCCAGAGTTCATGGTTTATGCACGAACCCCAGGAGGAGAGAAGTGGAAAGGTAGGTTTGAAGGATAAGAAGGGTCGAGGAGGGGAGAAAAAGTAACAAGGTCTGGTAATCGAAGAGCTGGAGCTCGTAGTCTCGTGGGTAGGAATCGACTGGCAACGCTCAGGTTGCAGTAGGGTCACAGCATGACCCGATCTCTTGCAGATAAGAAGACAGGATCCAACTCCACGCAGCAAGAAAGAACCGGCAGAGAAGTATGATAGACAAGAAGGAGACACTGGGGTGATGGAATTGCGCGCGACCGATCGCGGGCTCCTGTGGAGGCTTTCCTCTCCGGAACTAACCTATTGTGGTTTAGTGGGTGCTTTACGGACATTCGATTCTCCGAGGTGTATTCAGAATTCATTCAATACGGTATTGTTTGTATCTATTGGCGGGATTTCCGTCAATGGGAGGCGGTACAATGGTCATGCATGGTATTGTGCGATAGGTCAATTTCAGTCCGCCTTCGTCATCGCCCGCCATTGCCGGCAGAAAAACATGACTGGCATTGAGTGGACAGGCGAACAAACGTGAATAGCATGAGTCATGAATGGGGATCAATAGTTTGAATAGCGTTGCAGCTTATTGTCCATTGTATAGCCTATCTCCTGTATCAAACTGCATAATAAGGCTCGTTCTGAAGGCTGGGGCTGCCTCTCGCTTGTCATGCCTCGGAAAGGGGCGGAGGGCAAGGGCTGGCTAACAATGCCGTGGCCTCTCGGGCATCTTTTCAAGGTAATATACATTTCGAGTTACCGTGCTGGTTTCCTTTTCTCCTATCTATTCAGAGAAATTAACAGAAAAAGCAAGAAAAGCATGCCTAAACGGTAAAACTATACAGGGAAGGGTGTCCAACATCCAATGCTAGTTAGCTACCAAATCTATAGAGGCCTTTCAGTACTAACTATGGAAATGGCCTCAAAACAGGCATGACATTCTCTATCATGAGTTGGCCACCATACAACGCCTTTGGCAACTCCACCGCAATAGTAGGAAAAGAGTAAAAGGGGACATAGGTAAAAGAAAACTAGGTCTCCAAAACTCGGACAGAGTTCCACAATGAGTGCAGAGATAGGGAAAGGGGGGAAGGGAAAGTCCTGTGATTATGGAACCTGTGGCTTGCTGCTATCATTATTTTCTTGGTTTTCATTCTTCATATCTTGCCTGTTCACCGAGGCCCAGCCACCCGATCCAAACCCCAGATGCGCCTGTCCATGGAAAATGATAATGGCCTTGTGACGGTACGACGGTACTTGGTGCGATTAAAGAGCGGAGAAGACAAAGAGCTGTATCCACTATTAGCATTGTGGGGATTTGGACAGAGACAAAAGAACTTACATTGTTCGTCGCCGCGATTGCAATGCTGTCTTCGAATGGATGCCAGCTCATGTGCAAGATCTTCTTGTTGAAGTCGATCTGGTCGGCATCGGTCTCCTTCTTCATGCGACTGCCGGGGCCGGCAGGGCTGCCGGATCGCGAACCGGCCTTCTTTCCGTTACCTTTGCTCATTGGCGTCGGTACACCAACCTTCTTTGCCTTGAATGCCGACTTGTCTGCCTGGAGCACAATCTCCGTATCCTTTTGTTCTTCTGTGGGGTAGATCATGAAGTTGTTGTTGTAGCTACCGGTCATAACGTTCTCCGCATCGCCTGAAAAGACCACCTCGAACTTGTCGAAGATGCTATCGTTCTCGTACGTATCGCAGAGGCGAGGGCGCAGGTGCTCGTGGATGGGAATGGTCTTGATTGGCTGGCGTTCCATGTTGACATCCCAAATCTTCACTGTCAAGTAGTCCCTGGACACAATGTACCGCCCGTCGTTGGAGAATCGCACGTCGGAAATGGAGGAGATGATCTCGGAGAAGAAAGATCGGGACGAGGCATCCTCTTCTTGTTCGAACTCTGTAATAAAACAATCAGTTAAAGTAATTGGCGCAATTGCCTAGATGTACGTACGCTTGGCGTGTTCGTCACACAACGCCCGTTGCCGCATATCCGCAAGCTTGATTGTGCCCTTGGAGCTGGCATACATGAACCAGTTACAGCTAACCGGGTGGAACTCCGCCGCAGTGATGACTTCCGTGAGTTCCTCCATATTCGCTGGCTTGATATCCACGATGTTGAAGCTCTGATCCTGGATGTTGAGATTCCATAGGTTCACTCGCAGGTCGTCGCTGCTGATAAAGGTTTCACCATCGCTGTTAACGGAGATGCTATTTATATGGTACGCGTGAGCGTTGGCGTATGTTCTCCGCGGAACAGCGGCAACAACAGTGTCATGGTGTGTCAGACGAGGCAGCTTGAGCGCAGAGGGGTCCTTGAAGGATACGCGGGTGCGCGAGCCATACCCCCACCTCCAACCGTGCTCGCAGGAGTGAGTTCATTCGATAAGTTGTTCTCGGCGACCACTTTCAGCGACTTGTCGAAGACCTTCCAAAGCTTTATCGTCTTGTCGTTCGTCGAAAGGAGGAAATGGGATGCATTCTGTCGTCGGCACCATTTTATCTTGTTGATCTTCTCTTCAATCTCTAGCGACTTGAGATAATCGAACTCTGGCTCGTGTGACTGGAACTCTGTGTGGAACTTATACTCGCAGGTTTTTTTTCTGTGCTTGATGATTAGCTCAAGGCAAGACAGGCAATGGAAAAAATTGCCCAAAGAAAAAGGCCGAAGCGGGGTGGGCTACCGTCTCGTTTCGCTCAAACAATACCACCCTTCCTCCCTTGTCACCAGTGGCCAGATAGTTACCGGTGTGGTCAAATTCGACGGTTGAGATGATGTCCGCTGCAGAGTGCGTGTCAGTTGATGCACTCTGTGGAAATTGACCAGATTCGGCCGAGTAGTGCGAGGGAGGCTGCCAATTACCTTCTGTAATATCTTCTACATCGCCTTTATCGCCGAAGCATCTGAATCCAAGTCAGCTGCCATTCAATGAATCTTTGTGGTGATGCCGGGCCGATGGCGCCTGGACAATCGGAAGAGAAAAATGGAAACCATAGGGTGGGAAGGTCCAAATGGTATGATCCGGGCAAACTTACTGTGTGAACTTCCAGGTAGGTGTGCCTGGATCTCTGTCTACCATTTTCACGTTCTAGCTAGCCCTTGAATGCGACAAGGACAAAGGACCAAGATAGGAGGGACGGGGACAGGCGGGTTGGTAAATGCCTCCGAAAGTTCTATTGTCGACGCAAAGAATCACTCAGGTTGAAGCGAAGTAGGTGAGCCGGCACGAAAGAATTCGGGTCGGATGGGAGTAACGGAGAAAGCGGAAATTGAGGACAGTCGGTCACCGGAGATGGTGTGCGAAGGGTGAGGGCGGATGGCGGTAAGGCAAAAAGAGGGGCAGAGGGCGAACAGCTAAAATCCAAGTTGGGAAAGACGAGCTGAAGAATGAAGAGCTGTTGCCGAATGAGATGGCAACCGTTGATGATAGAACACAGTGAATGTGCTTGTTATGAGTGGACCCGCAGCAGAAGAGCTTGATGAGGGGATCATAAGAGAAAAGTTTCTATTTGGCCTTTTCATTAGAACAAACAAAACCTAGAAAAAAAGAGGTAAAGTGGGGGGGGATGGGGGGGGGTTGCGTACTTGGTCCGGAGATGAAGGAAGACGAAAAGAAGTTGTGAGGTGAAGTTGCCCAGATGAGTTGAGGCGGTGGTGGGGAGGTTTTACGGACCAAGTGACGCTCTCTTGGGCACCGTCAATATTAGAGTATTCTAGGATTTCTTCTGGAATATGAATGATAATAATAAATCTAATTATGAGAATTGAATATTCTGTATCAAAAGAATTCAGATCGGGCACCTGCAACATGCTGACATCAACACTGCCATCGACTGTAACATTGCCCTGCGCCCCTCTCCGGCCTTGCAACCCGTATACGACTGGCAGCGGGTTAAAGTTGGAATAGCAATTGAAATGTTGGATTATTATCGAGCTATTTGCTCAGTCTAAGCTGAATCTATCTCTTTTAATTCTGTATTTAATCCTTTATATGCCTGAAGATGTAGTATGCGCCTCTGTCGTCATCCTTGAGGCCCAAGCAGGTCTCCGCCAAATTAAGCATTGGCATATATCATATGTTTTCTAGCAGATGCAAGAAAGGTAAAGATATTCAAGTCGAGAGCGTCCATATGCCAATGTTGAGAAATAATTGCGAGTACATATGTATAGTCCTGTAAGTATATATTTGACCATCGACATATCTGACTGAATGCCGAGTTCGAACATATTTTCTAAATAAGCCTAAACTAAAAGATCTATAACTAGAAACATTCAATTACCCGATCAAATGTTATATAGATATGTAGTATACCATCTCCCCTATTCCAGCCCATATAACCCAATATCCTTCACCCCGACCTTCACATGCTTCCGTATATCTCCCGACCCAAACAATTTAAGCCGAACACCAAGAGCTCCATCCCGAATCCCAATTACATCCAACCTCAACCTCAACTCTCAATCCATACTCCAACCCATGGTCCCTAACCCCTAATCCCAAAACAACCCCAAGCCATGACCAACGAAGAGAACATGCGGGGCAATCCCACCTCTAACCAAAGCTCCAACACCCCGGCCCCAGCCCCAACCCCATCACCCTCAACCTCAAACAACCCCTCCAACCAACCCCCTCCCAACCCCGCGCCTCCCTCGCTAGCAACCCGCATCCAAACCTCCGCAACAGGCCTAGCAAAAAGCGCACTCAACCCTCGCCCCGACCTCGCCCAAACCCTAGCATCCAGCACGAGCAACAAACAATCCGGTCCAGCCACCCTCCCAAACACACAGACAAGCAGGGATCTATCCGCAACCACACCGCACGGAGGTCCCAGTTCCGCGTCCGGACCAGGGTCAGCACCTGCAGCGCAAGGTTTCCGCGAACACGATGCGTCCACGCCAGGAGTCGCCCTACCCGCCTTGACAGAAGACGAGTTCCAGCATGGACACGGATACGAGAGAGAGATAGATCTGCTACACGCAACCACAACCACTAATTCAAATACACTACCCCAATCCCACGAAGACCTCCAAACCCCCTCCTCAACCTGGAAAGGCAAAGCACGCGCCTCCGACCCAACCCAACACCAATTCGAAACCATCTGGCAGCGCCAATACCCGCAAAACCCGCAAACATCTACCCCAACCGACGGCGCAGCCGTTGTATCTCTGCTATCCGATACAAACTTCGACCCGAACTTCGAGGATCCAACGACGGTACCGGATACCGAGATTGATATTGCCGCTGCGCCGGGTCCGCTTTCTGCGGCGGAGAAAGAAGCGCTTGATTCTTTCCGGAGGGGGTTGGGACTTGATGAGGAGAGAAGTGAGGGGACACGGTTAACGGCGACGAGTCTTGTTCCTGATATTGATGTTTTCTTGAGTCAGGGGGCTGCGAGTGGGATTGGGATTGCAGAGGGGAATACTACGGGTTCTGCTTCTACTGCTACTGCTACTTCGCTACGTGATGCTGTTCTCGCGAATCTGCCTGGTGCGGGTGACTGGGTTGGTGTTCAGGAGAGGTATCATGATGAGGTTTGGGGGTTTTTGCAGCCTGTGCTTGAGGAGGCGAGGGCTGAGATTGAGGAGAAAGGTGGGGAGGAGGGGTTGGGCGCTGGGGAGGATGGGCCTGCTGTGAGGCGGTTGAAGATGATTTTGATGCATATGAAGGGGTGATTGGAGTACTAGGCAGGGTTTGGGTATAAGTTCTACGTGCTCTGTAGTAGGGCTCTTTGGATTGATCTTGATATACCATGTACATGTATTTGTAAATATTAGGTTAGGTATGCATACGAGAATTAGTAGGGAGTGAGTATGGCCAGATAAAATATTGGTACTATTTCTACCTCGGCAATTATCAGTATCCAGGGTTAGTTAGCTGTCTTCTGATTATTCCAAGGTTGGGTGTACCATCTGGACAACAGCTCCAAGCCCTAGAATAGAGGGATCTAGTAACTCACCACAACTTACAACACAACTACACTAACCAAAACAGATCTATAATTCCAAAGAATATATTCCAAAATAAGCTATGTATGTATGTTACACAAGAACCAAAGTTGACCCAAGCATGGATCTCGGATCTCGAGGACTGGAAGCAAGCCAAAGCCAGCAAGAAACAACAGAAAGGACAAAACGGGGGTATGAGAGATCACACGCTGGAGGATCATATTTCATCGGAGGAGAGCGGTCGTGAGGGAGAAGAGGCATAAAGGAGGAAACGGTTTAATAGAACCTTTACAGCTCCAAGCTGGGGGTCTGACCCTTAACACGACCGATCACAGTTTGAGCGGCGTACTTGGGGATAACCTCGTCATCATGGAGCATAGCGAACTCCTCGGTAGCATCACGACCCATGAAGTTGTACAGGGCATTTGCGCCACCGGGGTGCTCGTCGACCCAGTTAGTGAGATCGAGGATGATGCCCTTGACCACGACCCAGAGGTCCTCCTTGGAGTTGTGCTTGGCGACTTCCTCCATGGTGTACTCGGTCTCTGGGACCTGGAAGTTCGCGGGATCGGGCTTGGAGGCGGGGGCCTCGGCGGCAGCAACAGGGGCAGTGGGGGCAGCGAGAGCGGGCAGGTTTCCGCCGGTGGCGGCACCGCCCCACTCGACAGAGACCTTGCCGGGCGTGCTTGGGTCGATGTGGAGGGAGATCTGGCCGAGACGCTGGGAGGCGGCGGAGGAGCCGTTGGCGAGGAGCTTCTGGAAGAGGTGCTGGGAGGCGGAGTCACCTGCGACACGGCCGTAGACGACACAGCCGAGGAGGGAGGAACCGCCGAGACGGTTGGCGCCGTGGACACCACCGGCGAGTTCACCGCAGGCGTAGAGGCCGTCGAAGGGCTTTTGCTCGCTGTTGAGAACCTGGGCGTGCTCGTTGATCTCGATACCACCCATGGTGAAGTGGAGGACGGGCTCCATGAGAGCGACGTGGAACTCGTCGTCGAGCTTGAAGGGCATGTTGTGGAAGAAGCGCTTGTTCCAGGGGTCCTTCTTCTTGCCGTCGGCGATGAGGTTGTACTCGTCGAAGGTCTTCTTGAGGGCTGCTTCGCCGCAGCCGATTTCGGCAACGAGCTCGGCGCCGGTCATCTTCTTCATCAGACCGCGGCCGGAGTAGTGACGGGTGTGGAAGTCCAGGACCTTGGAGGCCTTGCTGTTGAGGATGAGACGGATGGGCCACTTGCCCTTCTCCTTTTCTTCCCACATCTTGCCAGAGACGTAGTCGCGGTGGCCGAGCTCGTCGGAGAAGCGCTGGCCGTCGGAGTTGAGGAGGAGACCACCTTCACCGCGGAGGGCTTCGGCAGCCAGGAACTTGAACTTGGCGCCTGGGTCCTTGGGGTCGACGAGACCGGTGGGGTGGACCTGAACCTTGTCCATGTCGATGCCGTTGGCACCGATGGCCATCAGCATCTTCTGGCCGTCACCGGTAGCGTGGGTGCCGTTGGTGGAGGACAGACCGAAGGTGTCGGGGCGGTGCTTCTTGAGGAGGGAGGTGTCACTGAAATCAGCGGCGTAACCACCGGTAGCGAGAACGACGACACCGTCGGCGACCTTCTCCTCGCCGTTGATGGTGTAGGTAACACCGGTGACATTGTTACCGGACTTGTTGATGGAGGTGACGTTGGCCTTCTTGACGATCTGGACACGACCGGGCTCACTTTCGGCGAGATCTTCCAATCGCTGCATCAGGGCGTAGGTGATGGCCATACCAGGGAACTTGGCGTCATGGCCACGGTGTGTGCGGGGGTGAGTGTGTCCTCCGAGACGGGAGACGAGGGTGAGATCGAGGTTGAAAACATCCTGCAGCCACTCGACGGCGGAGGCGGACTTGTAGGTCAGGACCTTGATCAGGTCAGGACGGGCCTTGTCACGGGCGGACTTGAGGGTATCTTCGTAGAACTGCTTGACACTGTCCTGGATGCCGAGATCGGTCTGGGTGCGAGTGAGAGCACCGTTGATACCGGAGGTGGCTTTGGTAGAGTTACCACCGAAGAAAGCCTGCTTATCCAAAACGAGGACGTTGCCACCGTTGAGGTAGATGGTGTGTGCGGCGCTGAGGCCAGAGACTGGAGAGGGTCAGCTGGGACAGGGAGAGATGCGGGGAAAGGATATCCTTACGGCCACCACCGACCACAATTACTTGAGGTGCAGCCATTATGTTATGTGTAGAGAGAGATAAAGGGGAATATGAGGAAGAAGAGGAAAGGAGAGAGGAAGGAAAGGATCTTAAAGAAAACAGGGTTTGGGGGGCAGGTCAGAAGCCGACGGTCTATCGGCCGAGGCACAAAATAGTGGAAGACGTGGGGAGATGAAAGATGGGGGTACCCGCTGGAATACTAATTGGCCACCTCTGGTTTGTCTGTTTTTTTCATTACAGTCTGGGGAAGTTAGACGGGATCACATGCGATATAATATTCAACTACATCTTGTTACATTCAAAAGTCTAGAATGTTTCATTTTCATTTTCACATGCACCTATGTCATGTCACATTCCTGTTCTTTCAAGGAGTTGAGGGAAAGGGAATAGCGGGAAAAAGAGACAGAAAACACATCGGAAATGTCGACGGAACTAGAACATACATACTCCATCAATGTGTTTTTCAGAAACAGAGAAACTGACATTGAATTCCGGCCTCGGTCCTTACGGTTCTTGCGGTGCGGTAGGGGATGTGAGCCTCGGAATAACAATTGCGGTCCGCAGTTTCCGAGGTGTGAATGGCATGATGAGGAGAAAGTCCCTTTTGACACTTGAATCCTTGAATCCCTCTATATATTCAAGGTATACAACCATGTATGTATATAACAGGATCTGATATTCAAGTCAAAATAGTCTGGAATACCAAAAAGATATCCGTGGACCTTGGAAACGATCGAAAAGCGGCAAAAGCAGTTGCCGGCTGAGGAACCTGTGGCCTCTGATTGGTGGAAAAACAGTGTGGGGCTGACCTAATCCGGGGATGGGAATTGCCTCAGTGGGCCTGATGACCTCATGTGTCACCGTGTCCATTTCACGTTTTTCGACTCAAATGCCGACCTTCTGCATTCTGTAGATAAGCTTGGAGAGTAGCTCCATCAGCTTTCCACCTCACTAGACTTTGCTCTTGTCGAGACCAACAGCACTTTGACCTATTCTGAATCTCCAATACAATCGCTCGGGTCAATGCCGACCGAGAAAGTATAGTCCACGCGTCAGCGAAAAGACCGCCGAACCAGGTTTCTCAGATGAGACGAGTGGGCTACAGGCATGAAAACAGACACGCTTGATGATACGTGTATATACGCTCTACAATATATTAGTATATGCCCTGAGAGCAGGCTAGGAAAACCTACAATGCGTATGTGCAGCTAAACAGCGCTACAAAACAAGAACCAAATCAAACGCTTATGCCAAATCCAAAAATCTCCTAATCCATCCAGGTCACACTCTTCGTAACCAAGAACTCATTCAATCCCTCATCAGTGTTGAACCGGCCCCAGCCACTATTCTTCACACCGCCATGAGGAAGAGCCGGCTCATCATGGATCGTCATGCTATTAATATGGACCGCCCTACAATCAAGTCAGCACACAGATCCACAATCCACCGAATCCACCCAGAATCAAAACCAAAACGGAATCTAGGTCTGGAACACCCGACAACATACCCAGATTGAATGCGCTTGGCCATCGCCAAGCCTTTCCGCAGATCCTCCGTGAAAACAGACGCCGAAAGTCCATACCCACTCCCGTTCGCCAGACGGATCGCCTCGTCCTCGCTGTCGAAGGGCATACACGCCGCAACAGACGCAAAAGCCTCCTCCTGCCACAGCGCCATATCTTCCTTCACACCGCCTAAGACGGCGGGCGCCATGCGGACCCCCGAGTCGGTGGGGACGTTATCCGCAGACCCGGAGATGAAGTGTGCGCCTGCTGAGACAGCATTGGCAATGAGGGCTTCGACGCGGGTCTTGGAGGCAGTATTGACGAGCGTTGGGGGCTGATCCGAGGCTGCAGCGCCAGCCGCGAGGGCCTTTTGCAGGGCTTCCGTGAAGGCCGGGAGGATGGAGGAGTGGACGAGGATTCGATCAGTTGCCATACAGATCTGGCCGGACTATTCACGGAAAGTAAAAAAATTAGCCATTGACTCGGAGAGGAGACAGATATAGATAGATATGCGTGCGACAAGCGCAGTGTAACCCAAACTCACATTCAAGAACGCCCCCGCCAACACTCCCTGCACGGCAGTCTGCAAATCAGCATCGTGACAGACAATCGAGCTATTCTTCCCGCCCAGTTCCATAAGACAGGGCTTGAGGTTCTGACCGCAGGCGCGAGCGATCTTCCGACCAACAGCTGTGCTACCGGTGAAATTGATCTTGCGCACGGCGTCGTGCTCGATCATCGCATTGACGACCTCGGGCGCGTCCTGCGGGGCGCAGTGGATGATATTCAGACAGCCGGCGGGGAGGCCTGCATCTTCGAAGGCGCGACCGATGGCCCAGTAGCAGCGGGGAGTTAGTTCGGACGATTTGAGGATTGTTGTGTTACCAGCTGCGAGGGCACAGGCCGCGGAGCGGATACCGAAGACGTAGGGGGGCGTTCCTGTACCAGCGATTAGTCCGATTAAACATTTTATGCATCTATACCCATGGTAGAAATATAAAGTTCCCCGGAACCATGAAAGACAGATCAAGAAATACTAACCACGGCACAATCCCCAAAATAACACCCATCGCCTCCTTAAAGATAATCGCGCTCTGTCCTTCCGTCTCGACGACAGGTACACTGCCACAGATCGATGTAATGCGGCTCGCAACCTCGCGCAGCATGCGCACTCCAAGCGGGACGACGAATCCCGCGGAGGCGCCGACGTCCGCGCCCATCTCTTGGCGCATGTACTCGGCATTGGTGTCGAGACGGGCCTCGAGGATATCGGCGGCTTTGAGTAGGATGTCGCGTCTCACAGTTGGTTTTGTCTGCGACCATGAGGGGAAGGCGGCGTCGGCGGCTTCGACGGCGCGGATTGCATCCTGGGGTGTTGCGGCGGAGGCGGTCCAGATGGTCGAGTTGGTGTAGGGGCTTGTTACAGGGAAGGTGTTGGGGGTTGTTTCTTCCTGACCATTTATGATGAGGGGGACTGTGAGTCCGGTGTTGGTTGGGGTTGTCATGGTGGAGGGGTAGGTAGAGGTAGGGTAGAGAGAGGTATGGAGTATAGAATGTGTGCTGGTCCAATGTGAGGGGAAAACAGAGATTACTATTCGGCCTCGGGATAAAATTTCCTACTCTTTTACTCTTTTACATTGTATTCGATCTCGGTTCCACCCCCCTATTGAATTGACAGAATTCGGATGTGATTTGAGGCCGATCTTTACCAGGAACCGCATTTGCCCAATGGTACTATTCCGAGCTATGCGACGACTATTTGATTACGGAGGTAAGCTTTCCATGGTTAATGCTCCTGCTGGTTTTTCATCCATTGTGAACCAATGAAGATCCGTGTTTCATGTACACAATTCGGCAAATGTGTACATAATGCGGCACTTTCAGGAGAGTGCTCCAGTGATCGACAGAGTGATGAGGTAAACCTTGGAACTGAAGAATCTGACGTTCAATAATAACCTGGGTCCACCGTGTGCCATTGTCCTTGAAACAGGGCTTTTAAGCGGTTATCTGAACCCCCCACTGGTATGACTCTGCATGTATACAATATACGTGCATGAACCCCTCCATATCAATTTCTGTTTCTGGAGGTGTTCGCGTAAATGCCTCTACACGTGGTCAAACTCTGTTTTTTCAATTTAGTACCTAGGTAGGGCGGATTTTCCACGCTATTGGGCGATCTACATGTCATGTTTACCCGAAGCCCGAGAGAAGAGAGAACCATGGATGAGATCGTGGTGGCGTCCAAAGTTGCGGGTAGCTTTTCCAGGAAGGTTTCAAGGTTTCTTCTGTGGAGTTGATATATTGGAATTCATGAGAATCCATGGATATATATACGAAATACAATGTAACATTGGAAGGGACGGCATATAGATAGTCTAGAAGGCAATAGTACAGCAATAGTCAGTTTCTCGCAAGGTTGCCTGACACGTTCCCAGCTGCTATCAGATGGCGATCGTAGGGATGTCCTTCCTAATATGGCTAATGTACATACCTGTTAACCCCACCTTGGATCCACTGGCCTATTCTGTAAAGAATGCATTTGTCATTCTCAGATAGTCCAAGGGTGATAGATGATAGGTGATGGGTGAAGCTACCTAGGTATATTTCTTGTATTTGTACAGTTGAATGGCACAATACATTGTGCCAGAAACCCGGAAACTAGAGGTGCTCATCCAGTAAATCTTTGTAAATCTTTGTGATAGTTTTGCGTCATGCATGTAGGTCGTATATCCGCACGAACCGAGATCCCTATCAGGACAAGGATCGGCCACTAGGGCTTGTGTGTGAGTGGATAAACAGTGGATGGAATTTCAAGCTGGTCCAGGGTACCAGCACTCCGAGCTGATCTTGGATATACGCGTGGTACTCTGTACCACACGTTTTATATCGGTGGACGCCCTCAGATCGTGCGTTTCCCAGTCATTCCTTTTTTAATTCACACATACCCTACCTTTTGCTTTTCGGTTGCAACCCACACTCTTTTAATATTCGGTTGCGTTAGAAAAGTACAATGGCGCCAAGCAAGAAAGGTTGGCAGATGATTGAGATCATTTCGGTCTTGGTCAGTCTCTGCCTGATCTCGGTGGTGATGCGAGTCTTCGCTCGCCTTCATAGAAGAGTTAGGTTCGGCGTCGATGATTATCTGAGCATGGTATCCATGGTGCTCCTCATTGCCATGTTGATCGAGCTCATTCTTTGTATGTTCTTACTCCACCGGATTGAAAGTTCAATACTAATAGGTATCATAGGGTGTTCAATTGGAGGCAATGGAGCCCATATCGCGGATCTCTCTCCAGAAACCCTCATGAACTACTGGAAGGTATGTGTCCCACCAGTATGCAGTATCCAACAAACCCAACCTAACACCGCCCAGATCTTCCTCGCCAACCAATTCACCTACTTCCTGCTCTGTCCTTGTATCAAAATTTCCATCATCTGCTTCTACCGACGCCTCTTCTCAACCCCAAAGTTCCAAACAGTCACCTTCGGCCTAAACTGCCTAATGGCCGCCTGGGGCACCGGAATCTTTTTAGCCTGCGCAGGACAATGCCGACCCCTACGGGCGTACTGGGACCACAGCGTCAAAGGAACATGTTTCGACGCGCAAGAATTCATCATCGTCAACCAAGCCTTCAACGTATTCATGGACTTCGTCATCCTCATCCTGCCCATCCCAATGATCTGGAACCTCCACCGCGCGTGGCAAGACAAGCTCGCGCTAAACGGCGTGTTCGCTCTCGGCGCCTTCGTCTGCTTCGCCAGTATCTATCGCATCGTCGTGCTTTTCTGGATCAGCCCGACCGACCCAACCTTCACCGTCTACCAGGCGACTTTGTGGACGCACATCGAGCCCGCTGTTGGTCTGATTTGCTCTAACTTGCCGATCATCCGTGGATTGTTCCCCGCGCTCAAGTTGGGCTCGCGCAATGGAACGGGTCCGGCGTATATCAATACCGATTACACGAACTCTATGTTCTTGTCGAAATCTAGCCCCCGCTCGCCGGACATTGAGTATGTTAAGATGTACAATGCTCAGGTCGAGAGCAAGTCGCCCGGACCTGGACATGTTGGTGATGATCTACACCCGCAGATTATCAATGTCCAGACGGATATTTCTATCCTTCCGGGTAATGACTCCACTACTAAGCTGAACCAGTGAGGTGGTGTGCTGTTGATTTACGCCGTTACGATGTGATGACACTTTTTACCTTCTCTTCTTGGGACGGACTGTTGGAGTGAATGGGGTCTATATTCCCTTGGGAAGGCTGAATCGGCTTCGAGAGAACCAAATTATCCAAAAAGAAACGGCACTGCTGTCTGAAATACTCTTGGCTATTGTCACTTGCAGTCATAGCCAGGAGCGAACAGGGGCACGGTCTCCCAACCCTAAAGTGAGCAATATCAGACGCCAACAACTCCTTCCATCCACTCTCCATTTTCTACATTCTTTCCTTCACTTTTACGTTCATACATATACGACTTGCCACGGCATTTCTTTCATTCAATTACCCTTATTGACTTTCCCACCTGTCATTCTTTATGTTGATGTCGGCTTTACCGACGACTTTGGCTTATGTACACAACGACGCTCTTTTGACTTCGCCTATACCCTTCATAATATACCTTTCTTGTTTTATATTATATACAATTGATTTCCTTTTCTAGCTTTGGTCCCTTTAGGCTGTATACAACTTAATTTTCTGTGCTCTTACATCTTTCATCGAGTTACGCGAATTATCCAGAAGTGCATTAGTTAAAAATTGAATGTCTATGGAGCCACGGATACTGCTGTACAAGGACAGCATTATATATAAAGTATAGACCTCGAATATAGACGAGGATTATCGGCAAATGGAGCTTGACTTTTCATTTCTCAGGCTGGCTAAAAGGATATGCAAGGGTAGGTAGAAGGCATGAATTCGTAGATCTTTCATCAGACGGCACACAACGAGATACAGCAGAGCATTCAATGCACCATCCGGCTGGTAGCAAATTCCTAGAATCGAGATATTAGCGACGAAACAACCCCACAGAATGAAAGCCAGCACATACCGGGAACTGATCAGCAATACTAGTTGCAACGCGCTCTACATCCTCCGCAAGATCTTGCACACCAAGATCCCACTGCCTCAGCTTCGTCCCGTTAGAAGCACCCGCTGAGGCGCCACCGACAGTCTCAGCATCAAACGAAATAACCCCATCAATCTGATCAATCCGACCACGCAGCCGTCCCTGCTCAACCATGCGCGCCGCATAAGCCTCAGCCTTCTCGCCAGCAGACACATCACCCGAAGACTGCAATCCCAGAATCGAGCCCAGGTCATCAACGTGGATATTCTCGTACAGCTTGCTCGCCGCTACGAGATTGTGCTCGATAACCGCCTTATCGAGAACGGTCGTGCCGTCCGCCGTAACAGCGAGCTGGTGCGGCGCAAGTTTCTTCGCGAACGCGGCGACTTCGTCCGCCGTCAGAAGCCTGTCTCAGGAACATCTTCTCCAGGATACCGAATTCGTCAACGGAGGGCGTGCGGTCGTCTTTGTACAGACGCGCGAGTGAGCGGGACCGCTGCGGGCCAGCAGGTGCGAGGACGGCGCAGCGGATCGCCGCGGACAGGGCTGTCAGACGGTCTTCTTCGTCGACGCCCGGTGCGAGACTCACGATGAAGTATTCCTGTGCGGCGTCGAGGAAGCGACGGCGGGCATCGAGGATGCGGGCCTGGGAGAGCTGGAAGTAGAGCTTTGCATCGTGGTCCTCTATTTTGGAGGGGAGGTTCTTGATGCGGTTGAGGAAGGCTTCGGCGCTGGTGGTGTCGTCGTCTTCGAGGTAGTAGCGCACAATTCGGATCCAGAGGCGGGCTTTGGCGGCGTCGGAGACTAGACGCTGTGAGCTGTCGATGTGGATGCCTTGTAGGGCGCGGGCGGCGGATGTGTATTCTTCCTGGGATTCGTAGGCGTCTGCGAGGATCTCGCGGATCTGCGAGTCTTGTTCTTCGACGGAGGCGGAGCGCGTCTGGAGGAGGGTGATGGCGTGCTGGCCGACTTTTATTTTTGTTTCCGCGGGGAGGGATTGGAGGACTGTGATGAAGATGTCGAGGAGGGGACGGGCGGCGACGATGCTCACTTCTTCGCTGAGGATTGAGTCTAGGTAGTAGACGAGATCTTGGGCGAGTTCGTGGCCGCTGGAGGTTGCTACCATCTCATTGAGGAGATCGGTGTATTGCTGTAGCTTTGTTGGTTGATGTGAGTTCGTTTCGATGCCCGATAGGGCGTTGGTCATCTTTTGGGAGGCCATGCTGGTGAACTGTGTGAAGTAGTGGTAAAGAGAGTTGGAGAGTTGCTGTTCGACGTGGAGTGGTGGGGACAGCCGAGCTGTTATCGATAAGAGCTGCTGGATGAGAACAATACAGCTCATTTAGTCTGGTCATAACGTAGGTAGAATACGTCTTACGAAGATCCTATAGTCGCGACTATATAGAGCTAAAAATTTACTAGCACCGGGTACCTTGGCCTTGCGACTGAGGTGGTTTGTTATTGGCATCTTTACTCAACAACCACTTATAGCTCTTAAACTCTACACGAAATAAATCCTACATATCATTTTACCCAACGCATTGATGTGGACATTTAATCCTCCTACCGAAATTATCATATGCGTAGGGTACCTTCATGTCCTTTGGCGCTTTAACCCTGCTAATTCTGTATTTGGCAGGTGATGGAACAGTAGTGGAGTCTTTAGTTCTTCGAGTTGAGAAGCCTCATCGTGCTACATGTGTCCCATGCTCGGTTGAACTGGATCATCCCCAACAGATGAATACTACTATGCTTGGCGATACCGTGGCTTGGGGGGTGCCATGTGCTCTCCCGCTGTAAATGCGGGCTGGACCATGGTCCTTTTGTGGTGCAAGAGAGAAGAAGAGAAGATGGATACGCCGCTGACAAAAATCGAATTGTACTGGTAACAAATTCCAGACCGGGGAAGCAAAGAGATCTTTGCGTCTGCTGATGGCAGGGGACAATGGAACCTCAGCCCGTCAGCAGTTTCATTTGCCTCCGACGGATCCTTACTCGTCCAGGTCGACCGAGAAGGACTTCAAGTACTCTATAATCTCGACCTGAATGTTTGACCGAACCAGCCGACTCCAGCCGACTTGAAGCTATTTGACCGTCTTATCCCGTTTGGTTCAGTGAGCGATGTCACACCCCTACCTGGGAAATCAAAGCAGGCCCTAGTGTCTTGCGACAGCTTTGATAGCAGCAGTCGGCAAGATTTGCCGGCTCAAGGTTCTCGCAGTTTGCGCCTATCAGCGCTCAGTGAAGGAACTTTTGGTCTTTCAAAGAGCAAAATTGGCCGGATATGGTTTCCGAGTCACGAACAGCGTCATATCCAGGCTTGGGTGGTTATCGTACTTCAATCCAAAGCAGAAGTACCTGCTGCTCTATATTATCCATGGTGGCCCTCAGCATAGCTGGAGAGAATGCTGGGACATGCGTTGTCATCTTGCACTTTTCGCCGAGCACGGCTATATCGTCGTGGCGTCAGATACTACAGGAAGTACGGGCTATGGAAGTGAGTCTACTGATGCAATACAAGGACCATGGGCTGGAAAGCCGTCCTCAGACCTAGAAAGAGGCCTTGATTATATCTGCCAGTCCCTCGAGTACGTCGACACCGAGTGTGCAGTGGCACTCGGTCTCGGTTACGGAGGCTACATGGTCAACTGGATACAAGGTCATGACTTGGGCCGCAGGCTCAGAGCATTGATCGCAGATAATGGCACCTTCAACCTGCTCTCTCATCTAGCTAGCAACACTCAACATTTGATTTTCCACGGAATGGGTGGATCACCTTGGCTGAATCCAAAGGCGTGGAGAAAATGGGACCATGCATAAGACGCTGGAAGACGCCACACTTAATCATCCATGAGGAAGTGAATCGTCAGCATCCGGTCTCTGAAGCCCTGGCGGAGTTTAACACCCCCAATTTACAGTCAGTAAGAGCGCTCTGCTCATATTTCCAGATGAGGACCATCGCATCCGGAGCCCTGAGAATTTGCTCTTGTGGTATCGCACTGTGCTTGGCTGGTTCAAGCAGCAGACAGGACAAGACGCATGAATATCACAAGACATGCAGCAAGTGATACGAGGTTGCCAACCCACTAAACATCGTTCCTTTGTACCCCAGGTGGCACTTTTCAGGTATTATCTCCCGTCATTAGTCTTGTAAATAGAAGTATAAGAAGAACAGACTGCAAGATACATGTAGTAAAAAGGGTCATATTTTCCATTATAGCTTGTGAGAGAAAGACTCGGATATGGTATCCAGACTTTCAAACGCCATATATTCTGGGTAGTTTTGCAGACTCTATATGTAGACGCCACAAAAGAACACAAAGAAACTTGAAGTATGAAGATGCACGTTAGTAGGCGGGGTATTTGTTGACATACATGGGATGTTTTTGTCTCTTTGTGCAGACTGAGCTGTTCGTTAGTTTGCCATTTCTTTGTTAGTATAGGCTTATATACAGCCTGCTTTCCATAGATTTCATATCACCTCTCTTCTTCTCGATTTTTCCATGCTAGTGCTATTCACTAGATCTCCAGTATTGTAACCCTCAACAGTATTATATTTTACATGTAAAATACGTATATTACCGAAATCCGAGGTGACTCACACTACGAGCCACCACATGAACTTCAACTTGTCACCAACCATTGTCGCGTCAATACACGCCTATTAACCGCGTTACAAGACTCTCAAACTCTATTGACTTGATCATTTCTTTGATCTCACAAGATGGCAGAAGCAGGAGAAGTTTTGAAGGGCTTCAATGACATTCTTGACCTAAGACAGGCCTATGCCTGGAATGCGGATTCTGTGAGTAGACTCATATCGCTTCCCAGAAAAGTCATGCGCAGGATTTTGCTTACTCGAGTCCTAGATAATGAAATTCCTTAGCCATGTGGTCACGTATGGGTATCTGTATGATATCCGAGACCACCAAATGCTAGCTCTTCGAGCCATGGTGGCTCAGATTGAGATGCTACGGTAGGGGCAAAGCTTATCTCTTACGCCTAGCACGGCTCTGACTGATTTTGCTTTTATGTAGTCCTCAACAAGGTAGCATGTTTGCACCACCCGGGTCAGAGCCAAATGAACCAATGCAACGTGTTTTGAACCCCGGCTGGGATCCATCGATCCAATCAAGGATAAAAGTTGCCTCAAGATGACTTTATGCATGATGAGGTCCCCTTTCGGGGACTCTATGATATATTGGGCTTACTTCTCTCATCGATGGGTGTTGCACCAGCTGGTGCAAATTCGCACACTTTCTACCTCCCGCTCGTGGCCATGTATGGACGGTGGTGTAAAGTGCTCGGGGATCCTCTACCATGCCCCACAATGTTCAATTGCACCTGGATATCAGAGGGTGAAGACCGAGGTCGCTTCTTCTTGGGAGCATCGATTGGACGGTACAAGCAAGCGAATGCCTCATGGACGCAGTCGGTCAAAGAAGCAAGGTTCTCTTTGATCAATGATGCGGATATGGCATTAAAGGGATATACCATGGTCGATTGCCCTGCCTCTGCTAAAGGGATCTGGTTCGGAAATTGCGCCGAGGTATATCCGTTATTACACATGTTGAAGTAAGTTCACCCCTGGGATCTATATAGTATTAAAGCTAACAGGATAGGGGCAATACCAACCCGGGCGCTGTTTATGGAATAGCTGTGCATAGGAAAGGCGTGCTCCACAGCCAATATGAAGATGGTGTCTCGGGATGGGTTTGGAAAGCTGTACGAAGGCTGTGTGCTAATTGCGAAGAGCTTGTCCATATGTGGAGTGGATTGCCGGCTAACTTCGAGCCGTTTGCTGATGTAGGGGGGTGTCACTGCAATTTAGACTACTAAGTGATACTCAATTGACGATGGTTACTTGGTTGATACTCACCATCTTCCCCTCCTTATTCTTCTACAATTCAGTAGTTAAGCATTAATGAAGCATATTCAGAAAGCCAAGGCCCCAGGGCTTGTATCCATGACTACGCATTCGAGGGTTTTAGATCTGATTACAGTTGATAATACATATCACAAGTTAATTATGCATGTAGTCTAATAATAGTGAAGAATGAGTGAATGGAAAAGCACGTCGTCATAATACAAATAGAGCTGACTCTCACCGCCTACCACACTGGGTTGAGCGAATAGCTCCAGACTTGGGTGGCGCGGGCTTCATCAGTCATACGCGCTTTTCACCTCATCCACCACGTTCTCTTTTGATAGATTCAGTGGCACATCGACGGTCGCATCTTTTACTCCATCACTTCCTCCAAAACTTGACCGTCCTCGAGCGATCCCACACCCAGTATGGCGCAGGTCAAGCAAGACCCGGATCGCCCGTACTTCAAGCAGGACCCTGACAGCAAGGATATCGCCCTTAGGGACATAGAAGAAGAAGATCTCTACGAAGATGCTGGAGATCTGGACTTCTCGCAAGCAGGTCAGAATGTATGGCTCTCCCGTCTGCCTCGGTCGCTGTGGGAGCACTGGGCCCACCTGGACGACGACGAAGAGATAGAGCTTGGCACCATGAGAGTGGAGGGGACACCGAACGACATCAAGAGGGTAAGTGGAAATCTATGCGCCAGCAGAGTGACTAGCAGATTCTAACATCCGTCCCCTTTTCAGGTCAGTTTGCGCCTACATGATCGTCCGGATAATCGGGAAATTCCCAAAGACTACACACTCCAGCGTCAAACCGTCGACCCATCAGGTACTGGATCACACCTCACCCACAATACATACGTTTTTACCGAGAAGGATATCCCCGGCGTCGAGAACCGCATGGCTACATTTGGCGAAATGCGCTCGGTTCTGTACGAAGCCCAGAAACGTGAAGCGAAGCGGCGGGAACAGGGCAAAAGATGGGAGCCTTATGTGCGAAAGACGATACCAAGTATGTGCCGTTGCAGACATGGCGAGTTCTATTTGCTCACAATTTCTAGAACACACTGCCCTCGCCGGCGCGGTCAGTGAAGAATTCAATTGCCTTCCCGTGGAGAACGAAGAATTCCGACGGATCTCCGAGAAGCGAGCGCTGGAAGCTCTGAAACCTCGAAAGGAGACTGTCTTCATTGATAAAATTCCCGGGAAGATCATCCAGGCGCGCCATGCTCTTCCCACCGAAAGGGGTCAATTTGTGGTATGTCTTGCATCTCTGTTTATTTTTCAAAGCTAGATTACTCACTTCGTCTGCAGCAAGCCACACGACCCATCAAAGGAAAATCCCAAGAGAACAAGTCCACCCGTATGCCACAAAACGAGCTTCTGGATCTTATCTTCCAGTGCTTCCGCGAATTCAAATACTGGCCCTTTAAGACACTCAAGGCCCGATTGGCACAGCCAGAGGCCTATCTCAAGCAGACCTTGGAGATGGTTGCGCACCTTGTCAAGGCTGGTGACTTTGCTATGACTTGGGAACTGAAGCCCGAGGCCACCCACAGTCAGTACTCGAATGCGATGGACAATGCAAAGGCAGAGTTGCCACCAGGTGTCGACGATTCTTTCGAGTCAGAGGATGATCCGGCTTCTGGAATGGCCACGGATCAGGACGACGTTCAATTTGAGAACGTTTAAACAAATACAGACAAGTAACGGCTTCGATATGTTGCATAAGCAGGGTCCTGGCGTTAAGGCTTTCAAGGAGGAGCCGGAGTCCGGTTTCAGTTCGGAAAATACATAGAATTGAATGAACAAATGAGCTACATACAATGTTCGACGTGCCAAATATTGGTCTCTTTGATTGGTATATCTGAAGCTTATATCTTTCTATCTCCTTGGCGTAGTCGGAAGCTTGTTTCGTCAAATTGTATATATTTCTTGTTGAGTATTGGCTTAAGCACGTTCAATATTGTCGGCCTGGAAGTGGTTTTTATTGACTGGCTTTGATGTAGGCTTCAGATCGTCTTGTAAGGGTGATATATCAATATGCCCATCTATTGCGAACTATAGCAGCAGCGTGTCCGATTCTACGGGGATTATGTACTTGTACTCGAGGAACGGAGTATTTTGTTGGTGATTGTTAAGTCGGGGGTGGAGCTGCTCTCCAGTGAGACTAAAATTAGGTGCTAATGCTGAAGCGGGTCTTCATATAACTGCACAGGCCTCGTAGAGGCGTTTTTCTGTCTCAGTATACTCTCACTGTTTAGCCTGATGGCTGGTGACGTCCTCGTCCACCTGTGCACGGACCTCTTCGCCACTTGGGATTTTCCGCCTAAGGCACCAGAAGCATGCAAACAATACAAACCAAACTCTCGGGAGCACACCAGCGCTAAATGGGCGCGTCTTTGCTTCCTCTGCATCACTGGCTCAGATCTTCTTCTGAAATATCCAGCTTTTGATCTTAATCCGAAAAAAATCCCAGATATTTTATCTGCCGCTCACTTACCTCATCTAGCTTCTGATAGTCGCCATGAGCGAAAACGACGATCTACTGGCCAAGATCGGCCAGCTTGCAGGTGCGCTCACTATCAGCTCACCGTCAATACAAAGCTAACCTTCGAAGGCCAAATAAACCGCCACAAGACGCAAGAGACCCAGCCAGCTAACCACCAGTCTCAACACGTGTCTCGCCATGTCCCTTCTCACCCAGGATGGGCCCCATACTATAGGGGACGCGGCCGAGGACGTCGAGGAGCAGCTGCTCCTCACCGTCACCGCACACTTGTTTTGAATACTGCGAGCGCTGGCTCAAATTCTAGCGCCAACTCGTCCCCCGCGCCGATAAGTGCGAACAACAGCGCAGTGGTTCCGACACCATCTTCGACTGGCAATGGTTGGGTTGTGAAGCACGATCGCCACATGCAGCTCATCAACCCTGCCGTCTACGAACGGAAAACACAGGACCGGTCAAAGGATATGGAACGAACGCGCAAGCTTAGAGAACAGAAAAAGACCCAGTACGAAAAAGGGAAAGTACTTCGATATGCACAGGGTCCAGGTGCTAGTGCGATGGTATCCACCACTGCAAATCCTGCAGCTGGACACCAGATTCTTGTCAATGATGTTGCTTTCAGGGTCGCAAATGGCGGAAGTAAACTGATTCGTGTTTCAAGTTCGTGTTCCCTTCGCTCTTCCCCTTGAATTGGCTTACCCTTCATAGATGACCCCAGTTCTGCCAACAATACCCCCAAGCGCGTCACAGTGGCCGATGTGCCCTTTGTGCGAAGCAAAAGCGGAAACCTGCACCGCCTCGGTGCTGTGGCCATGAAGAAGTAAGTTTTGGTTTTGGCGATGCTTACCTTTGTACTGACCATGTCATAGAAATCATACCGTTAAGAAACGCGATGAGCTTTGCAAAAGATTCACAACAACCGGTATTTTGTTTTCCGACGGACCATGCTGCTATGTTCCATTCTGTCAGCATAACCAAAGACTAATACATCCGTTTTTCCAGGAACATGCTACAAAGGCCCGACCTGCCCATTCGTCCACGACCCCAGTAAGGTCGCTATGTGCAAGGACTTCCTCCAGACAGGCCAATGTGCCGCAGGTAGTAGCTGTGATCTATCCCATGAGCCCTCGCCCCACCGCTCCCCCACCTGTATGCATTTCCTTAGAGGACGCTGCGCCAACCCGGAATGTCGCTACGCCCACGTACGCGTGACACCCGGGGCCCCCGTCTGCCGCGCCTTTGCAACACTAGGATACTGCGAGAAGGGCGATGCGTGCGAAGAGAAGCACGTCCACGAGTGCCCGGACTATGCCAACACTGGCGCCTGCCACAAGAAGCGCTGCCAGCTGCCGCATGTGGACCGCGCCGGCCAGATTCGCAAGGCTGCTGCGGCTGCGGCTAGTAAAGCTGATTTGGGTGAGGATGAGTCTGACCCCTCTAGCGAGGAAGAAAATTATGACGCTATTGATTCGGACGATGTTGACTCGGATGCGTTCGATGACTCCCCCGAAGAACTGATCGAAGGTGTGGATAGCGGCGAAATGTCGCAGCAGCAAGACTTTATCCGCTTCTAAATCCTAAATCCTGCCATTTGTAGTTGATTGGATAGTTGTCTTTCTTGCCTTTCGTTTGCTTTGCCCATACCCCGAAAACATGTCGATAACATTCAGTTGAAAAGAAATTGAAAAAGAAAATTGAAGTTGAATACCTTGAAGTTTCGTCTCGTCTCCGTACTTAATTCCTGAAATTCTACGTTTGTTGATCTTGCACATGTCGACTTCGGTTGGGTATACTTCGGCAACTAACCCAGGCCGGGCCATGTGACACTGATAGAAACAACTGCAGGGCCCATGTCCTGCTGACTAGTGACATGAAGTAGGAAGCTGTGTGACCATAGAGATATGGATAAGCCTCACTATTGCATGATGTTGTCGTAGGGAGCGTAATATTGAAATTGGCACCCCAGGATATCCTCCCGAGACCTCTGATGACCCCCAGCCCGTGGAACTTACCGACGCCACAGGACCAATATTAGAAGCAGGCTGAGCAAGACATAGCCAGGGTCTAGAATCATTTGCTGTACTTGTTCATTGCAGTATATATTTAGTATTTTGACAGTGTGGTTGGCGTATCAGTCTCCTGGAGGAGTCAAGCACAGCCGTGGAGGGGTATGTCAAATAGGACCTAGTGATATAGGCAGCAACGATGGGGGTTTAGGTCCAAAACACCAAAGCCGAGAGCACGGAGGGGAGCCATAGTCAGTAGTTCGGAGTTCATGTTTAAAACATTTACAAATATGTAACATCGTGACGGTTTGTATTGAGGAAGTCGAGATGATGACTACCGAATGAAGTCAAGGACTTCCTTGTTCTAATAGGAGACAGTCTAGGTCTGGCCAGAATAAAATAGTACGTAATTACTTTGGAATCAAGTGATTTATTGTTGTGCGAGGTCAGTAGTCGACATAATCCTGGGCTCTTGACAATCCAACAAACTATGTGTATCACCAACACTTGCAAGCGTCGGCGGCTAAGTTAAGCCACACATATCGACCCTTGTCTACCAATTCCATCTAATGTTGGTTTTGGTTCTTGGGATTCGTTGAATCGCGAGAGTAACCATCGTACTACGTTGGAATCGCCAGTTGGGCTTTAGTGCAAGACAGAAAATCTACTCAGACCAAGACCAGCAACGTCATCAAACAAAAGAATATGAATCCTTCAGACAATATAATAGTTGAGAAAGACAGTCTCTCGGACGAGAGCAGCAGTAGAAAGGGATAGTGACTCAGTCAACCCGAGATACTGAATATTAGCTTCTTTGTCCCAATATTGCGATCATCGACGACATGTTGGCTATCCATAACCGCAGCAAGCGACAGAAACTCCCAAATCCTCTCCATATCTCGCCCTGCTAAAGAATGAGTCATTAAATCGGTGAACGAAGGTCCCCGACACAGAGACCAAATGTCCTTCCATCAACGGGTCCAAGAAAAGACGGATTCCCCGATAGGTAGGCTACAGTCCCGAAAGACGTCAACAAATCCCCAATCAGGCATGTGGAGTATACCAGGAGTCCAGTAGTGTATCAAGTGGCCCAGTCACATCCAATCCCAGACATTGCCTTGTTCCCATATGATGTGCCCAATGTACCCGGTGCACGGCATATCAGGCAGGTACAGGTTCAAAGTGAGGCTTTGAGATCGTATCCGGCTTAGCCTGTACCGGGGATATGTTTTAGAGACCCTTGGGCACATACCGTGTATTGAAGTTGTATGGAGCCGTGGAAGAAGTGGGCCATTGACTACATGAATATTAGAATGAGAGTGGAGCGGTGGACCTGCCATGGCCTTCTAGCTCGTTGAAAGAAGGTAGATCACCAGTTTCATTCTGAGTCATATGGCTAAACAGTGGTTTCAGCTTCACCGCAGGAAAGGCGAAGGTGTTAGTCTCGCATTGGGAATGTATGAGACGCTTGATATATTCGGTCCGTACACAAACAACTAGCATGATACTGATCCCAGCTTCTCAGATGACTGTACTTTTTGTTGTGGAATCGTCATTGGCGAGCAGAAACAAAAATGTCATCGGGTACCTTGCGCTGAAAATGATTCCCTGTGTATGACTAATGTAGGAATGAGCCGACGGGGTGACCGATGGCAGACTGGATCTCCATTGGACAGACTCGGCTTTTTCACCGCCAGATCTTATCCGGGTTAACTTGCCCACCCGCGGACTTGCCGCCCAGGTGACAGGCCTATCATTATCACAGGCTCCACGCTGTGTACTATGTATAGACTGCGAACAGACTCAGCGGCTGCCGCAGAGGGGCTTGTGCTCCGGGGAATTGTCGAGACGAACTGACAGGAACAGGAACCGGGTGTGCGCTTTGGGCGGCGAGTCTCGGGTCTTATTGAACTATGGGGAAAGGAAAAAAAAAAGCAAAAGCAGCTGAGTGAGAGCCCAAGTCTAATCCTGGTATAATTTGGAGATATTGGGAAATTGAAATTGGGGGGGTAGATTATGGGTGTTCACCCCGCAGCGTAAAGACAAGCCGGAAGGCACCCGTCAAATACGACGGCATCACGTCCCCTGCACTCCGCATAGTTGATCATGGATTAAATGTGGTCTGTGGGCCTGGGAGGGTTGGATGAATGGCTGCTTCAGCCATCTGGGAACTGCAGAGAGACCTGCAAGTACAGTAGATCACGGCAAGATTGAGCAAGATCAGGCGTGGGATTTCCAACCCAAGCTCTTGCTCTAGGCAGAGCTTTAACCTCCAGGGTAATTCCACATAGGGAGTTTGATTTTGGAGGGGTGAGGTCGTCATCTGGATGGGACGAGTGATCAGTGCATGACATCCGTGCATTGCTTTTTCTTTCTTTTTGTCATCCATGGTCGGCCCAACAGTGGATCGGCGGGCCGAGCCCGTCCCAAAGATTCATTCTATAGAGAAGCACCAAGGACCATTCGGGGGGAAGGAAATGATAGTGAACCCCAAAATAAAGAACAAAACAAAGAGGAAAAGCAAAACTTCAAACCGTCAGGGATCGCAGCCCAAAGGATCGTCACACTGACTCGGGAATGATTGGCTATTAGCGACGGATAGAAAAGAGGATGACATTTAGACTGAACATCTGACCATTCACGGGTGATGAGTTTAGTACATAAAAAGGTACAGAAAGATACTTCAAAACACATATTTCAAGTATACGTGCAGGTCAGGCTCTAAGTAGCAATTAGTATTCTATGTAAGCGCCGTGAATAAGGTATAGCACAGACCATATACTCCCCACGACAGGGGTTGTCTCAAGCCGGCGGAACGAGGATCGATCGATAGGCTATCGTTTATCGATAAGCACAGCGTCTGATTTCCCCCACTTAGGATTGTTGGTGATGGGTTCGGGTTTACAGAGTACATCGTACAGGAGAGGAAAAAGGGTACTCTATGTATACAACATCAGGTACATACTCCCGAGGTCTGTACTAATGTTGCATAGCCAGTCATTATTCCGTGTAAATAAGCGAATGACTGCCAGCATTACCATCGAGACTGGCTAAAGACAAAACTAAAACAGAGAAAAAAACTTCCGATAAAATAGAAAATAAAATAAAACCCAAACAGAAAATTAAAGCCGAATAACCAAAATACCAAAATACCAACCAAAATAATCAAACATCAACAGATGCAGGTCTGCCCAAGCAAAACAATGCAGCCAATAACGGAGATGCTGTCTCGGGGGCCACACTTGCGCTCCCGCGCAGACCGCTGGATGAGTACTGGGTACTTGATCGACAGCCTATTCTCCATCACCCACATCGGTACTCGGTACCTGTGGGTACAATGTCAACCGCACGAGCGCTGCATCTGCTCATACATAGCCTGCGTTTCCCCCCCGGAACTAGATCACAGCATATTTCCCCCCTCTTCATGATTATATCGTCATCTTCATCTTCATTTCTATATACCTACTCTTTTCCCTCTTTGGTGATTTTTACTTCTATACCGATTTTTCTATAAATCATCCTCCCCCCCCCACCCCTCTCTCAAAAGACACACACCGCCTCTTCATGATGGCACAATATTTCCAGTCTGAATTCTACCAACAATCACCATCAACATTAGACGTGGCACCAGAAGACGACGAGATGAGCGTGTTGGACGACAAGATCCTGGACCCGAATTCCGAAGACCATCCCGACAACCGCCGCGCCTCCTACGACGCCCCAGAAGGCTACTCACATCGGGATTCCGTCTGGTCGAATTACTCAAATACCAGCTCCAGCCAGTCGCAGTCAAATTCGCATTCTCAACTCGGGCACTCCATGCTGAACTCAACGGGTGCACCCTTCATGCCCATCGACGGCCCGCAATCAACCTCCTACCCGCAGGCATCGTGGTCCATGCCGCGCTCGGATTCAGGCTCATGTACCCCGACCGTGGGCTATGATCAGTATGCTGCCAACGGAGACCAGAGTGCCATCACTCCTTTCTCTGGTGGTGCGGTTGGGCCCGTCGGCGCTATGCCCATGAACCCCATGTCGTACCGGGGAGGTATGGCGTTTGCGACTCCCGGTAGTGTTGCCATGTCACCGCAGTCAAGCCAGGGCTGGATGCCGGCGCCGATGGATCTGGCTGAGGCAGAGTTGCACTCGAGAAAGAGCCCGAATTATCGGATTGTCAGGCCGTTGAGGCGGGGGGATGGGATTCGGAAGAGGAATTCCCGCATTGAAATCGCCCCCGAACTGACTTTGGATAATATCGATGAGGCGATCAGGGAGTGCGCGGACGAGGAAGGGAAGAAGCGTCTCAAGGCGATCAAACGCCTGCTGCGGAATCGATACGCGGCGTAAGTTGAGATCGATGAGTTGAGTTGGGTTAAATGCTAACACCATTGTAATAGGTTGCAATCTCGTCAACGCAAGAAGAAGGATGCCGAGAATGAAATCGAGAAGAATAAAGTACTCGAGGCGTTGAACACCCAGCTGAAAGAGAAGGAGAAGAACCATATCATGAGAATAAAAGAGCTGGAGTACGAAAGTCACCAGTTGAATACCTACAATAGGCAGTTGCAAGAGCACATGCAACGCCTGGACATGGAGAAGGACGAAACTATCCTCAGACACACGCGGGAGACCGCCGACCTGCTGAAGAGAAACAGCATGCTGGAGGAGAGAGTTAAGCAGCTTGAGCGTGGCGTAAAGCCCGTTCAAGACATCATGGCCGGTGACTTCACCGGCTTCGAGAACCCCACCATGCAGAACCACTCATGGGACGACTTCTCAATGGTCCCTGGACCCACTTTGCAACAGGAATGTGTGCAAACTCCCCGTTCTCAGGTTAGCCAGCAGGTTAAGGTCCCGGAGAAATCCAACGGATCTGAGCTGCCGATCAGCTGGAACGCCTTCTACATGTTCCTGCTTGTTGGTGCCTTCATCGCCTCGAACAGTACCTCCTTACCGGCCAACTCGCTGCCCCAACTCTCCGAGGAGTACCGGGCGGAGTCAGCGAACGTACTGAAAGCAGTGCTTGCCTCGTCACCTGGCCACGAGCTCACCCACTCCCACTCCATCAACCACGGGACAACAACCGGGCCTGCGCCGGCAACTATCAGCGGCATGGAAATGGCGCAGATGAGCTCGATGCAGCCCGTGCCATCAAATCTAGACCAGCTGCATAACACACTCGTCATGCCGACAGAGGAGCAGGAGCGCGAACAGGTTTTCTCAATGAACGCGGACCAGTACAACTCCCTGACGACGTTTGAGGATGACGGGGACTTTAAGCCACAGCAGCCATCTACTCTGCAGCAGGCGTTTGCTGCGATGGCGCAGCGGAGTCACATGCACTCCGCGCTGTCTTCGGATGTGTATTCCAGATCATTGATGTGGGACCATGTGCCTGAAAAGGTTGTTCGGGACTTCCGTCGCATGGTGCAGGGTCATGGTTACGAGACTCCCGTCAAGGAGGAGGGTATTTTCCACTCTTGATGATTTTCTTTCGGGATTAGTCCTGCAATTTTCGACACGACAATATTTTCTGATTCTTTTCTTTTTTTTTTACCTTTCTTGCATTTCTTGCAACGTCCTTTGGGTTGTTGCTTGATCTGACCCCTTTTCTTCCTTTTCTTTTTTTCTTCTTGAAAAATACGGGCTAGCAATGGCCCTTGAAATACTAGCGTGCAACGATAGATCACGCAACACTTTTTATTGTTCTCTTATTTGTGTATCTTTTTTTCAATGTCTTTTCTTTTCTTCGAGTTCAGTCCCAGGGTCAGGTTCACTCGGGCATAGGGGGCTTTGTTCAGCGATGTGATTTTAGCGATTGGCTTCGGAGCGTGTTTCTGTTTCTTTTGGATGAGAGGGGAGACTATATTATACGAACGACAGGGTGGACACCTGAATTATGTGATTGTGTACAGGCCTGGGATCCCCCCTGCAACATTGAAGCTGGGATGGGATCTTGGGCATGGGATATGAGAAACGAAACGAGTTATGAAGAAACCTTGCATGTGGTTGCATTCAACTGTGCTGATTATGACTTGTTTTATGAACTGTGTTTTATGTATTTAGCGATCTGGGCTGGGACAGTGACAGGCATTCTGGAAATGGGATGGGATGGTCTCGTGCTTTCGGGCTGGATGAACTTGCTTTTTCGTGTTTTCAAATGTGTTCTTTTGGGTTTCGGCCCCTTGGCTGGAAATCCAACTAGACTCCGGACTTAACGAGCAGGGGTTGTCTTAGTCTGAGTGATTTTGTGCTGAACCCACAATGGCTGGCTACGGATGTGATGAAGGGATGACAATGTGATATCTCACCACGCAACACGAACCACTCTTACGATGTAATTGCTATCGTTTAATCCATTATTGGATCGGGTCTACCCGGCGCAGCACACGTTTTCCGCGTTTGACGACGGAAGTATCTCTGCGGATCGGAGACATCCGGTTAGTGCAACATATGTTGATATTACGGACTACATGTACCCACTTCTCAAAGTACGCACGCGACGATGGAACGACATCCGAGCTCCAGTTACTACGCAGCAACTACCCCTTTGAGCAATATCCCCTCGATAGAAACCCACGATGGCCGGGATTGACCCACGCGTAATCTTAGTTGAAGGACCTTCGGGGGTAATTCGTGGCGCTAGCACCCAATCACTACCACGAGATTTGGCCCACTGACGGGACTTGCGTGGAATGCTGACCTTCCAAGGTTGTTCCAAGCTTTGACAAGCAATTATCCGAGCCTTGGTTTTCTATCAAGGTCCGTAGGGCTGTCCCGTCTGGGCATTGATATCCAAAGGGAAACCTCAAGTTCTCAGCACAATAGCAGCACATCACGGTCACCAGGAACTTTGAACACCAATTAGACACCTTAACAACATTAGAATTATTAAATATCCTAGCCTATAATGAAACCGGTGACAGGAAATACAAACTAACCACCAAGCTAACCACCAAGCTAATAATATAACTGGGACTAAAACGTCCCAAGGTCCTCATCTCAACGGAGGACCCGAGGAAACTGCCTCTTTCTCTAATATAAAACGGTCGAACAATTCCTGTCATATGTGCCAGTCAAGATCGTCGTCATAATTTCCTCTTCCTCAAGCCTTTACTTCGGCTTCTCCCATCCAACACCGGGGCACGGTCTACAAACATAACCGGCCAAGATGTCGTTCGACCCTCACAATGTTGACCTGGACACAGTCGACCCGGCCGAGATAGTTTGCTACCTCAATGCCGAAGGCAACGAATATAACGGCCAAATCGGCGCACGCATCTCCGCCATCTTCGTAATCCTCATTGTCTCCTCGGCAGCAACCTTCTTCCCAGTGCTAGCACAACGCGCCCCACGCCTCCGAATCCCAATCTACGTCTACCTCTTCGCAAAGTACTTCGGAGCCGGCGTAATCATCGCAACAGCCTTCATCCACCTCCTCGACCCGGCATACAGCGAAATCGGCAGCAACTCCTGCGTCGGAATGACAGGCCACTGGGCAGACTACGCATGGTGTCCAGCAATCGTTCTAACCTCAGTGATGATCATCTTCCTCATGGACTTCGGCGCCGAGCGCTGGGTCGAGCTGAAATACGGTATCTGCCGCGACGACCCAGAGCCCATGATGGCAAATGGGGGTGAAGTGCGACGTGTTGTCTCGCGTGCGTCGGCGCGACACCCGGACGATAAGCTCGTCAAGGAGGTTGAGTCGCAGACTCAGGAGCTGGACATCGAGCGCTCGGTTAGGCAGCAGATTGCTGCGCTGCTGATTTTGGAGTTTGGTGTTATCTTCCACTCTGTTATTATTGGTCTCAATCTTGGTGTTGCTGGTGATGAGTTTGCTACGCTTTACCCTGTTCTGGTCTTCCATCAGTCTTTTGAGGGTCTTGGTATCGGGGCGCGTATGTCGAGTATCCCGTTCAAGAAGGGGAGTTGGTTGCCTTGGGTCTTGTGTGCTGCTTATGGTCTTACCACCCCGGTTTCTATTGCTATTGGTCTTGGTGTGCGCACCACTTATAATCCTGGGTCTTTCACTGCCAATGTTGTTTCTGGTGTGCTTGACTCCATCTCCGCTGGTATCTTGCTATACACTGGTCTTGTTGAGCTGCTTGCTCGTGATTTCTTGTTTGATCCTCATCGCACCCAGGATAACAGGCGGTTGACTTTCATGGTGTTGACTATGATCCTTGGTGCTGGTATCATGGCTCTGCTTGGAAAGTGGGCTTGAACTGGGATCGATCTACAGACGGTGTGTGTCTTTGGTGACAGATGTGTGAATTGTAAGATGGTAAACTGTGTTATTGGATATAGATTGGATATAATTGGCAGTATAATTTAGTTCCGAGACAAATGATACCCAAGGTGGGCTGGCTTTATGATAACTTTGTGGATTCTCTTTTCCGCCACAAGTAGGTTAAACAACGAGTTGCCGAAGGAGAGATTTGAACAGTAGTAATACATATAGTATAAGTGTTTACGGCAGTGTATAGCCGCCGGTGCGCCATTTTGACTGTGATACCGCTAGTTTACTCCTACCTACAAATTGAGGTCTAATGGTTGATTCCTACAATATCAACTTCTATAGGGTCAATTTCTACAATATCCCAATTCCTATAATAAGAATAATTGGCCGCTTATACAGCAATAGTCTTCTTAGGTAGTCTTCTCCGATAGTCTTTTTATATATCTTTTTAGTGGTCATTTTTAGTGGTCTCTAGATATATCGTCATGTAGATATCTTCTCTCCCTCCTTAGTTCATTTCGTAGATAGTAGAAAAGGGCTAAAAAGGCTTAAATTATAAAAGGGATTCCTATATATAACCTTTGATATCTCAACCTGTACAATACCTCAATTCTATAGTGTCAATTTCTATCAATTTCTATGGTTAATAAAGTACACGTATACTAGTTTAATGAAATGTTCTGCTAGCAAAATACGATATGGCGCAGTGGCGGCTATACACTGCCATAAACTGTTATTTAATTGGTCCACTACTGAGATAACCCGAGTTCTAATATAAGACTGTTGGTTTGCTCGTAGATGTTGGCTGAGACCAATCGATAGACGCCTAAAGACCAAATCACTTCTGCGGAATTTGTTTGATACATATGTACCTACTTTGACTATTGTGACTGTTTCCACGATATATGAACTGGTTCACGGGCGCAGGCTTTTCACCCCTCGATATCGGCCAGGAAGTTTCACGCACATCGGCCCTTGATATTACTACGTACTACGTACGTTGAAACAACATCATTTTTATCGCAATCTTCGCGATTCGAGACTTTTCTTGAATTGGAAAGCTAGATCCCCCCTCATTCACGAGAAAGCAAGACTATGTAGGTCCAAGCCTTCAATACAGCCATTCAAGTCCGCGAATAGGGATGTGAAGGATGACCAAGAACAAACGTGACGGGTGGCATCCCCATACACCGGATATGACGATACAGTCAAACTTGACCATTTTGGTGACCAAGAAGACAATACCTTCTGCGTGACATCTTTGTAAATCAAATTCGGAAAAGGAGCCGCAGGATCCGGGGAAAGTAGATGACTTGACTGCATTCGCATGGTAAGAGCTCCGTACATGATTGATCTGCACTCAAAGCCACATCCATATTTGCCGCTCAGGAAGGCCTCGCGTGTTCTTTGAAGACGGAGAATCAATTTGTTGATAGCCCCCTCTCTCGTTTTGCTCATTGATCCTGTGATGTCGTTAGATATTACGCAGCTTCAGGATTTGTCTGACCTTACCCATGACCTTTTCGGGGATCGGGAGCCCCCAAGCATTGATCCGATTTCCACTGCATGACATAGCCGTCGATGTTGTCTGTTTGAACTGGGAAGGAAGCTGGAAGAACCAGGAAACCCATAACCACAACATCAAATCCCGGTTATCCGTTGTGGGAATCTTTTCCTCCAGTTTGTTGATCCAGGTATCTGTCATGACAAGCAGAGCTTCCTTGCATTCATAGTAATCCGCTATGACTGCAACTTTGGCGAGCATCTCGAGGGTCAACTTTCGCGGTATGTGGTAGTACTTCCCATGAATAGCACGGAGTACAATCAGGAACTCTTCGATGCCCCAGCTCTCTGCAGTAAGTTCAATTGAGCCCTTCTGCTGAAACTCAACGCTTTCCTTCCAACCACTGGTGAGTACGCTTTTGAACACGCAGGATGCGAACATCAAATGCTTCGCGGATACTTGGATGTAGAAACAATTCTCGACAAGCGGTTCATCGATTTTCTCTTTGACAGCAGGGTCTTCAGGAGGAGGGTCTTTGATCGGTTCTGGTTCGGGGGATGGTGGAGTGGCGCTCAATCCTTTTTTTCTTCTCTTGTTCCTCGAAGTCTCTGAATTGGTTTGTGGCGATTCGATCACTTCTGCAGGACTCTGAGTACAATGGCCGGGCTCTGGAGGGGTCATGCCAGTGATAGTCTCTTCAGGCGGTTGTGCGAAAGGAGAGTCTGCATTGCGTAATATTATGATCACTTCACCGTCTGGATCGATGATATAATCTGGAGCTCGTCGATCCATTTTGGTTATCGGATGAAGGAATGAAGTTGTCGTCGAATGAGAGAGAAAAGAGTTGATTCTCGGCTGTAGATAGAAGGAGTTGAAGGCTATGAGAGTGGGGAGGGAGTGACAGGAGGTAGGTCAGCTAGAGGGATCTTGGGAAGTGGAGAGCTCAGAGAAGCAACAATGGGTAGGACATGAAATGGACTGGAGAGAAGAGGAAAGGGAAATAGAGAAGAGAGAATAAGAAGGAAGACAAGTATTTAGAACTCTTGATAGCAAACAGTCGTGGATAACCTCAGCCCCAGTCTTTCCAAGTTCAAGTCTTCTCAGTTGTCAAAATACCTAGGTAGGATTGACGTGGATAAGACACAAGTCCTATAATATCATTACTCGATTCACCTGGGAACTACTCTTGATGCTTTGAAAGTTATATCAAGTGATACCTTAGCCCCAAACCATTCAGAAACGCACCTTGCAAAGGCCTTCTGAGTCAGAATCTTCTCGTTGAGTCCTCTTACTCTAAGTAAAAGGAGAGGTGTATAGCCAGTGCGACATATCGTGTTTTGCCAGAATATTTCACAAAATTAGTATATATGTATTTGCTAAGGGCTACGATGCTGGACATCTAGTGAATACTAGCATAGGAAAATCAGGAAGAAGAAAAGGTGATAATGAATCTATGGGAAACCGGCTGTATATAAAGCCTGTATGAACAAAGACAATGGCAAACTAGGAAAAAGCCTCAGTCTGCTCACAAAGACATCCAGGATGCAAAAGATGTCCTAGAGCCTAAAGATTGTGGGGCTCATATTAATATTAAATCTAACTCATCTAGACATAGTGTTGTTGTGGGTGTTCTCACAAATGCCCCTATTGAATAGACAGCCTGGACCCGAGGGGCGATCGGCAAGTATCTCATATCAGCTCCACAAAAGTACTCATAGTCAGCGTGCAATTTTGGCTGCTTTGTCAAACGCGTCGATCATTCCGTTATAAAGGGATGCGGTGCCCTGTGTTGTATGGTCGGTTCCCGTCCACAACTTCCCGTCTCTCATGGGAAAAAGAAGTTCTCTAAGTTCCTCCGCTAAGTCGAAAAGCACCTTGAATTCGGGTGTAAACTCGTCCATTATGGCGCGGAAGCTTTCGGCATGCATGTCCTTTGTCTTGGTCCTCGCCTTGTCGACAGGTCGGCCTCTGCAATGCGCTTGTTGCTGGTAATTGTAGTTGGTTTTCGCCCACCGGAACTGGCCTTTTGCATATTGCAAGGAAAAGAAATGTGTAAAAGAAAGATTCTAGGTCGTGCCTATAAGTATGAGGGTTATTGGGTAGGTAGGCCTGCAGCACACCGATCGCCTGGAAAGGTGGTGTTCCAACGCTTTCAAATTGCTTCGATGGGGTCGTCACCGGGCTTGCAAGATCCAAATCAATCAAGACACCCTTGGGTCCTTGGAGGTCATGCTCCATGCCATGCGCTGGGATAATGATGTTCCCAGGAGAGATGTCTTGATGAAGAATTCCTCCATCTTGATACAGTGAACGATGGCCCTTTAATGCGTCTCGTAACGCGCACAGAAGTCCTGGAATAGATTTAAACCGATGAAGCGATTCGCCAAGCGGTGCAACAACGACATATTTAAGCATCTTTTCTCCGATAGTTGCATGTGGCGCATCGCCGGAATTGCCTCCTCGTCCTTTGGGGGTCCCGATATATAGTCGCATGCAGACCCAGGACTGACATGCCTTGCAGTCTCTGTCTAGGATGAGAGCTTACAAGTGTTGTCAAGGGTCAATCCACGACGCCAGTCACCCGTACCGCAGACAATTCGGTGTTAAATCAGTCGAATAACTCCCCAGATATACTTCTCCGTAGCCAGCTCAAGCATTTCAGTCTCAGAACCTTCGTCGAGCTCACACCATTTAATCTTAACAGCATAGTTCCAGTCATTGGCGCTCTGTAACTGAGCGCGGTAGCAAGTAAGCCCGTCACTGAAAATAGTCTTGTTGACTCGTGCAAAGATCGGCGAATCATCTAGGTACAACCAGCAAGCCTTCGCTGCACCACCAAATTCGCACTCAATATAATTGCCCCGGTAATCATGTTTGATCAAATCACTCACACCAAGTGAGGCATCGTCCATGAGTAGATAGCTAGCAATAATTTGGGTCACAAGATCGGGTGTCTTCGTGATGTTGAAAGCTTTGCTCCCATATATCCCTGCCCGGTCGAATACCCACATTTCCAAAATACCCTCACAAAGATAAAAACCATGCAGAAGAATACGGCCGGGTTGATGGGCGAAGACTTCGTCGCGCGAGCACACAGATTGCGGAAACCGACCATGAAGGGACAATCGATCGTTATTTCGCCGAGCGCAAGAACGCTTGACCACGTGGGACTACCGGTACCGTTTGTGAGAACGAGGGACTTCCGTGGTATTGTTTCGAGCCACATGGGCTGAGTGGCATTTTCTCCTAATATCTGGTAAGGTCGAGCAGCATTTTGCACATTCTTGATCCAGGTAGCAAACGCCTCGTATGATTTGATTGCCAGTCTGTGTGATGTTGCAACTTCTCTGGCTATTGCGATCGCTGGGCCAGACCAAGGCTGGTCTTCGAGGAAAATCGCAGCTAGCCCTTCAATATCAGCGTAGATATGCCCGTCGAGACCATCCAGAAATTCTTCAACCGTGCCCTGGATCATAGAAGAGTCATTGACTTCAACCATGCCTTCACCTCGAATCTGCTCTCGAAATGACATAGCTGGTAACTCAGAAGAAGTTTCGGGCGAGGAAAAATTTGGTGCGAGACTTGAGGGTTTCTAGATCTGCGGGAAGGAAAGAGGGTATAGGTATCGTGGATCAGCAAGTTGGCGATGGCTTTCCTGTTTGGTGCTAGCACAGACCCACTTCAAATAATCATTTTTGCTCCTCGAGCTCTTTTTAGCCTATTTAGATCGTATAGAGAAGACATCTATAGCCGAATTACTACTATAGTAGTATCGAATAGGTATATACTAATAATATATCTTAAAAGCTCGCTATTATTATTACCTCCTAGTGTTTATTTTTTCCTTTATCCTTTATTGTATAGGGGGCTTTTGAATCTATGTGCCATCGATCGTGGGGGGTGTTGAATCTCCCTGTCATATGACGTTGCCCTATGTATGTAGTTCACTACTATCCTTCCTTTCCTCCTTACATAGGTTCACCACTCAAGTACAATACATCTTGTACAGCCTTTTCATGATCTCTCTTACGTTGTAGATCTTATCACATCCCATGTGGGAGCACCTCTTCCGCCCCGGTTTGCTAACGTGGCTACTGATTCCATGCTCTCTTCAGGAGTTCTTGGACTGACATGGGCTTTTCAATGGAGTCCCCAAGGAACTCGACAAGATCAGAGGACCCTTCGATCTTGGCAATATCAAAAGCCCCTAGACCGACAGCTGCATCCATGTCGCAAAGCAGGGCACGTAACTGTTCCTCGCCACCAGGGAATTGATGGGCAATGGGCTCATTGCTGGGAAGGAGGGGGACCGAATGGTTTAAAAAGTCTTGAATCGGATACCTCTTGACCTCAATTTCCTCGGGGTTCCCCTTGGCCGCGACTGCCACGTCAACCAGGTCGTTGAGTGAGATTTGTGACCCGATGATGGTAAGGACCTTGGGCCATTGTGGCAAGTCAACCGCAGCAGCCACATATCGCCCAACATCCCTGGCCATGGTCATTGCAAGGATGGCCTTGCCATTGCCAGGGACCTTGATTTGGTTGTTTTGCAGGTCGAGAATGGAGTAGGTTGGGCGCAGGGGACTCTCAATCTTGGGCATTCCAAAGTAATCCATGAACATGCCACAGACAAAGTAGGTATACTCAAGCCTCGTCTTCTCAATCGCTCGACGAGCGACGCTGTGGAAGCGCTTCTCCGGGTATGGCAGGACAGAGTCAGGCAAGTCGTAGTCGACATTAAATTCCGACGGCGCGAACCGCTTGACACATTTCGAAGCGGCAGCGGCACTTATCAGCCGTAGCTGGGCGTTAGAGACATCTTCAAAATCCAGGCCCAAGGTAGAGATGATGGTATGGACGTTTTTCTCTTCAAGGGCCGTAGTGATGGACTTTTCCTCCGCGTAATCTGTTTGGATAATGGGGAGATATTCCTTTCCGCCTGGACCCTTGATTGGCTTGGCGGAAGAAGGAGGCTATTTCCAAAAGAAATTTGCCACGTTAGCGCCCTTGTTCTAGCGACACAATTCGGAAGTGACGATGCTTTACCTTCCGAGTCAGCGAGTAAACCTCATGTTTACCTGTCGCTAAGAGGGATTCGACGATCAATTTGCCCAAGTCGCCGAAGCCTCCTGCTACCGCGATAACGACCATTGTGGCGATTAGACAAAGTGTAGTGAAGCACGAAAAAGCCCCGTCAGTGGCAAAAGATAGCTATATTGTCGGCAGCACGGCGGCATACAGCAGCACCGGTTTGAGAAATACCCATTTTTGCTCTGTCTGTCAGGCTTTAACGGGAAGCACCCATGCTCAGCACGACGGAGAAGAGCCGAGGTGGGGGGGGGGGGGGAGAAGGATAAATCTGTGATTGGTAGGGTTTCCCACATCAGATCTTCCGCTTCGGCCCACCACGTTCCTGACGCGGGAGGGAACCGGTTGCGCTGTGTCAATGGTTGGTCACCCACCCGCGGACTTGGATCCTCCACATTATTGCGAGGCAGGCTTAACTTACTGCGCAGCCGTCGGTGTGGTTGAAGGCGCGGAAAAACCATGTGCATCAAGCCGCTGAGGAAAGCCTCACGAAACTAGATAGATAATCCCAGCCGCCAGGTACAAAGGAACTTCAGCTTGCAAACACGACGCCGCAACTACACAGCATCACACTTCTATTTCTTACCGCTTCAACAAGATTGCGACACACTCATCACACTTGAAAACGCCGGCAACATGGCTGAGAAGCTTACCGTCGTTATTGTTGGGGCCGGCTTCTGCGGTCTCACCGCCGCAGTTGAGTGCAAGCTGAAGGGCATGAACCCCATCCTGTTGGAGGCCTATCCGACCAGTCGTACCCAAGGAGATGTTCTTGATTTTATGCACAATGGCGGCCGACATCTCAATGCTTGGGATAACGGATCTGTTGGCGAGAAGCTCTTGAAGTCAGGTGTTCATACTGCAAAGACGCTCGACTACTACTCCAACAAGGGCGAGTTGCTCCTGGCCGAGCCATGGATCTTCCGTGACGAGCACTACCACACACAATATGCCGGGCACCGAGGACTGCAGCATCAAATCATCTCCGACTACGCTCAGTCCATTGGAGTCGATATGCGCTTCGGCCCAGGCTTCTCTGTGGTGGAGTACATCGATACCGAGACTGAGACTGGTGTCGTCACCAAGGACGGATCAAAGGTCCTCGGCGACGTTGTTCTTGGTTGTGATGGCCCTCGCTCGCTTGCCCGCACACAGGTGCTTGGACTGCCCGACAACAAGGTCAACAGCGGTTACGCAATCTACCGAGCCTGGTATGAGCTGACTGACGAGCATCGCAAAAACCCTCACATTCGCAAGCTCTGTAACCCGGATCAGGACCAGGCTGCCATGCTCTTTGGCGACAACATGCATTCCTTTATCTACACCTGGGGCAACGCAACGTACGTGTCCATTTCTCTTGGTGTAAGAATACATGTATCTAACTAGGTTCTCACAGGCAACTGGCTTGGGTTTTGACACACAAGGTGAGCAAGCATCTCTTGCAACCTCGCCCAGCGCAGGAGCTAACAGCTGAACTAGGATGAGCAAGACATTGGAGAGTCGTGGTCATTCCCTGGTGACCTCAACGAGGCCCTGAAGCATATCTCGGAGGGGGGATTCTCCGAGACCCTGAAGGAAGTGGCCCGTAACACACCTGAAGGCCGACTAGTCGACTACAAGCTCGTATGGCGGGACCCCATCGACACCTGGTTGTCCAAGTCCAGGAAGATTGCTGTCATGGGTGATGCCGCCCATTGCCATCTTCCCACATCAGCCCAAGGTGCTTGCCAGGCCGTCGAAGATGCTGTTGTCATGGTAAGTCTCCCTTCCCTGTGCTGTCGTTGATTCACCGTCGTGGCTAATCATTATTCCTATCATTCTAGGCCAATTGTCTGGAGAAGTCCAAGGGGGACGTCAAGCTTGGCCTTCAGGTCTTTGAGCGCATCCGTTACAACAGGTCGCATGTGATCCACATGTCGTCCATCTTGAACCGCGACGTGGCTCACGCTACCACCTGGACGCCCGAGCTGGCAGCACAGTTTGCTGACACTCTCTCCATCCCGCACGATGACTGGATTGTCGAGTATGACTGCAAGGCGGATACCGACAAGAACTTTGATCGCCTGGCTGAGGAGGTCAAGAGTGGAAAGCCTGGAACCCTGGAGGAGCTCAGTCTGCCGGCTGGCGGCTCGTTCAAGCCAATCCCAGAGCAACTCAAGCGGAAAGGAGAGGTGCTGGATACAATTACCATCGCAGAGGCCAAAGCCGTAGCTTCGATAAAGTAGTTCAACAAATGCAAGCAAATGCAATTATCTTTACCAAGCTAGTCCCGAGCGAGCCCTGCTCTAGGTTCCATATCGTGTGATCTGTGCATGCCTCTCCAGAGTTGCCTAAAGTATCAGCTACCTGCGGGCGAAACATTCTCTGTATTAGAAATGCTATCATCTTGTATCGGAATAATGCATTACTATTCTACTGCTCCTGTGGTGATCGATTGCCACGGCATAGCTCGCCCTGGAAGCTCAGCTTCACGTGGTAGAAGTGTCGTTGTGGTACCCCGCGTTTGACTAGCACACTCCAAGGACATAAAAAGCTGTAATATACCCGGATCGGCCGACTAGGAGCCAATCATGCTCGCTCACAATTTCTGCGCCGCAAACAACACAGCAGCCACCTGGGACAGACAGGATTAGTTCGGAGTGTGTACTACACCAGAGGCTGTGAACTCGTCAGCGCAGCATTGACACATGCTTTGCATCACACGAGATAAACTTTATGAGCTTCCAGTGATAAGTATGAGACGAGCATAAAGACATCAGGGGGCTGTTTATTTGCACGGTACGATATGAGATAAGTGGTGCCACTATGGATGCGCTAGCTCTTGTACAATGGTCATGATAAGACCTCTAAATATGGGCACGCGAGAGCTCCTTCGCTAATCTATAACCCCCGTTTTGGTCACCCTGTGTGCGCTGTAGTTGGATGACATGGCGAGCAGCCTCCATGCCAGCCTGGACAGCACCGTCGATCCAGCCGCGCCAGCCTTCGGACCAGTCGCCGCTCGCAAAGTGGACGTTTCCGTGGGACTTCTGGAGAGCGTCGATATATTTGGTTGTAAACCCTGGGCTCATGTAGCACCAAGTGCCCTTGGAGAATTCATCCTTGTTCCAATCGTGAGCGACCTATTTCCACAGGGTTAGCCAGATAATAATTTTCCGGGGCAAGAGCCGGATCAAAGCTTACGATGCGGCTTATAACTGCCTCATTCCGCTTTTCCTTGGGCAGGAGGTGTCTCAGTGCCTCCTTTACCTTGTCGAGATTATCGAGAGGAATACCGCTGGGCCCCGAAGGATCAGGCCCGAAAGCGACAAGGTGAGAGTTGTTGGCCGGGGTCAGATGGTCTCCGATAGCGCAGACCAGCCCCTTTCCCGGGGATGCAAAGGACGTCCAAGACAGGTAGTCAGGGCCATCAATGTCGAAATGGATCTTGTTGCAAAGATTGACCTGGCCTAGATGGGAGGCCTCAACCTTGGCTGCCGGAAGGGGCGGCGAGAACTCAACCGATGCCAAGACGTTGAGCGGGATGGTGGAGATGACGGACCGAGCCTTCCAGGACCTGCCATCCCGAGATGTAACGGTTACGGTACCATCGGCTTCTTCAACGCGAGAGACGGCAGTCTTGAAGCTGTAGGACAGGTTCCCCGAAGAGACTGCGTGCTCAAAGATCTTGCGGTGGAGGGCGCTGTTGCCTGACCTCAGTCGAGTGTGGAGCGCAATGTCGTTGAGGCCGGTGGGCTGATGCGAGCCGAGGACCCACCAGCGCAAGGCATTGAGAAGACCCATCTTGTCGAGCGAATTGCCACCCATCTGTATGAGGAGCGCCTCCAGCACAGCTATCTCCTCGGTGCTGAAGCGGTGCCTGATCTGGTCCAAACGATCCTTGCAGGATAGCTTGTCCCACTTGGCGGAGAGCTCAGGCGACTGCTTGGTGCCAAAGGGGTACTTCCAAGACTGACGCAGGTCATCGTCGTCCAGGTTGCAGAACGCACGCCATACACGGCCGAACATGGCTTCCTAGAGAGGTCGTTAGCACTTGATGTTCGCCAAACAGGCTAGATACTCCATCCTACCTCGTCAGCGTGGCTGAAGTTCTGCTGCCTCACGAGATCTGTAAGCGTAAAGTAGTCGTTTTTGGACCCGGGATTCTGGGTGACGATCCAGTCGTCCTGTAGACCGTAGAGGGAGATCTCGCGGTAGATGTGCGGCATATGCCAATGGACCCAAGTGCCGCCCATCTCGTAGTTGAAGCCATCAACTGTGGCGTGCCACGTCCGCCCTCCAAGCCTATCACGGCCTTCCACCAGAAGCGTCCTTTTGCCTAGTCACGGTCAGGCTTGAACGGCTCTTTTCCGTGTAAATTCAAACACCGACCTTGTGTGGCGAGATCGCGAGCGGCTATCAGCCCGGCGTAGCCAGCGCCAATGACGATCACGTCGTATGTTAGGCTCTCCTGCAACGAGGCAGCAAAGTGAGTCAGAGGCTCGACGGCGCCAATCGTGGGCAGGCCGTGGCGAACCCCCCCCGCCGCCGTCCAGGCGAAACCATCCTTGGTAATAGGCATGATAGATGCACTCAGAGAACAAAGTGGAATGGAATTGACGCTAAAGATAAAATCAACTAGCCGTCTCAGCAACGTGCACTCCTTCGGGCATAAGATTCATGATATTTATCTATCTAGTTAACCCTGCCAGCCCCAGGGCAATGTGGAATATCTCGAAGCGTACAAACGACGCCGCCCCATGACGGGACGTTCGCAATTGCACATCCGGAGTTCTGTACATGTTCCTCTCGCTGTAAAGGCCCATGCCCGCGGCATTAGCGGAAAAATAGATCCAATCAGAGTGACCTCGGGGCATAGGTCCACTTGAGCAGTCAGCGCGAATAGAACCAGCTAGTCCCGGCACCAGGGAACGCATCCGATAGTAAGTCCGGGCTCGTCTCATTGGCTGCGCGAGATGCACGTGACCGTACGAAGAAGTGGCGGCGAGGCCAGTTCCCTTCGTTGCTTGTTCCTCCTCGTTTGGGTTACACCGGCCGTGAGGATCATCGTACACCATGCCGGAAGCTACGACTCCGCTCACTCCCCTCTACGGAAGATATAGAAGAAAAGTCACGCTCGCGTGCGAGGCGTGCCGGAAGAAAAGGGTGAGTGGACAGCCGAGCGAGCCCGTTGTGCAATTTGATGTTAAATCCAAGTGTCTTTTTTTTCTTTACTGAACTTGAACTGAACCATTGCAGGCCAAGTGTAGTGGCACCTTTCCGTGTTTCTCTTGTACAAAGAACCAACGGACATGCAACTTTGACGATACAAATCGCGGGCGACGCGGGCCAAGGCCCCATTCCAACACCCAGATCCCCAAAGTGACTCGAGAGCTCGCACCAGGGCCTCCAAGAAGGACCTCTACAGAGAACTTGACCGAGAACCTGGCAGACAACTTGGCAGACAACTTGGCCGAGAACTTGGCCGAGAACTCGACCGAAAGACTCGCAGGCGCAAAGCCAACCGAGCCGGCCACGGCCGTCGTCGACGAGGACCAAAATGACGATGACTCCGACGAGGACAGCTTCGGCAGAGACGACATCCCCCCACCGTCGGCATGGCAGTCTGGCTTACAGCTGATACTGCTTGATGAAGCAACTCCTGCGTCCGAGTATGCCGCATGCGCCACCTCGCCATGGTTCGCCGCAATGCTAACCATGACTCTCTTCAAGATGCTGGGACATCCCAAACGTCGACCTGATGGCCCATCTCGTCGAGCTGTTCTGTAAGCGCGCGAATGCACTCTTGAGGTTCCTCCTGCCTCCGGCCGACCTACTAGACAAGGTTGCCCTGGGCCTCTGTCCGCGCAGCTTACTGCTGGCGGTGTGCGCGTGCAGCGTCCGATTCTCCGTTCACAAGGCCGCTCGGGGGCCGTCAACACACAGGCTCGATGAGCAGCTCGAGCAGCGCGCGAGAGCTCAGCTTGCCGTCTCGTGCCCCCTCGGGCAAGACCTCGGCGAGCTGCAGTCGTACTGCGTTCTAATTGAGTACGCCGCCAGCAGAGGCAACGGCAGGCGTGCCTGGGTTGATATCGGTTGGTGACGCCCCAGCCCCCATCGACATTGACATACCAAAGGATTGTGGCTAACGGGCACTCCATGCATAGCTATTGCTCGGAGCATGCTGCAGATCGCTAGAGCAAGAGCCAACATGAGCACCCAAGAGCTTCAGGCGCTGGATCGCGTTCAGCGGTATCTCGACATCGTCGAGGCGTCTCACTGCATCGGCCAAGTGACCCTCCAGCCACCCTACGGAATCTGGGATGCCCAAAGGAAATTGAGTCTCCAAGACTCTCACGAGAACGAGTCATTATCGCGGTTTCTCGAGTTACTGCACATATTCACCCGCATACAGGGGCTCTGCTCGATATCATTTTTCAATCATGACCCACCGCCATGGAGTATAGACTCGGCATTCCGAGGCATACAGTCTGAGCTGGAAAGGATTCTTCTTCACTGGCCTGATCAGTTCCGAACAACCACAAGCAGCCCGCCGGACTGGTCGAGAGACAATGATGCCGAGAGTGCCTTGTGTTCTCTTATATGGCATTGCTGCGTCATCGTCCTTAATCGAACATTCTTGCCGATCCCTCAGATTGCGGAGGCGGATGGTAGAAATTCGCAAGGCACCAGGAAATGCGTCTGTTTCCCTGGGGCGCCGGGGCTCTTCCTCGAGGAGAGGATCCATCGGTGCAAGGCGAGTGCCGCGGCGATATGCAACATCTGCAGTGATCTTATTGCTAGCGGTGACTTCTTTTACGTGAGTTTCCGATATCACTTATCTTCTCTCCTAAAAGGGGTGAGCGGCTTACTGATCATGGCGAAGAACGCCTTGTGGGTTGGCTATGCCTGTATGCAGAGTGCAGTGGTCTTGATAAATCAATTACAGATGTCTCCTCAACCACACGATCCTCTCATTGCGAATAACCTCAGATTTATGTTCATCGTGTTGGGAGCAGTGAGCAAATTCTATGCTCCGGCGCATGATTGGGTGAGTGTTCCTATTTCGTAGCATATCGTGTGTATCAAATTTCACGTTGTGCATAATTCGGCTGGCTGACACCATATCGAGATCGATGTCTTATTCCGCATTTACGATATCAACACAAGCTTGAAGCATGTATCCAGTACATGCAAAGAAGCTTTCCTAAGTTATTATAACCGATATACTAACATCAAGGAGCCCGGTTTCGTTCCGCTCGACCCAACAATTAATGTCCCACCACAAGTTCAGCCACCGCAGGAGTGGAATCCATTAGAAGTTCAACCATCTACCAGGACAGCAGTTGCCCAGGTACAGAACGATACGTTGCACGATGAGGAGGACTGGCTTCGGGACTACGCAAGGCGCCTCTCAGAAGACATCAGCATGGATGGCGAAGAGCGGGCGAGAGCCGACCAAGCAGGCGGCGGACCCGTGATACTTTCATACGGCCAAGAGACGAGCAACGCGCAAATGCCTGTTATGGCGAATAACTCGGTGGAAATGGCTGATACATCCATGACTGGAACGGCCATGCCGCATCCTGCAATGGAAGTTGGGCAGACAGTTGAAGGGTGGAACGACGCATGGCTGGGGTTACCGCAAGGCATGCTTCCGATGGGCGACTTTGATAGTGACAATGGTGATTACGGCGCGAAGCTGTTGGAGCAGCTGATGATTGACAGCCATGAGATATGGATGGATATGCTACAGAATCACGGGGCTGATGAGAGTATACCACTCACGCAGTAAGGATTCATAATATAAATACCCAAGAGTAATAACTAACATAAATCTTAATGATCTGCTAACTACGCTCGTTGTGACTACACAACTAAGCTTTCAAATCCCTTTGGTTGAATCCTGGTAATGGTTAAGAAACCGGGTTTATATAGACAGATAACTATTTGTTGGGACAGGCATGCCTACTCAACTTTATCGAGTACATCCAGCATCTCTGCGCGATTCAACAACACAGGGTTCGCGGTTCCTGCCAATCTAGCCTAGAGACAACGTAATAGGACACTCTCAAGACCTTCAATCGTCCGCAACCTCGACTCGCATCTATCGCTAGATGTCATTGCAGCAAAAACACATCGAACAACCCGAGTGCCGTGTGCGGACACGTCTGGGAGGTCGAGTGGACTTGGAAAAAAGGGGGTCATGGGACCGGCCCGACTCTGAATTTCGATAGAGCGACAAAAAGGGGAGAGTTTGGGAGTGGAGTGCAGGAAAAACATATCACTGGTGAAGTGCAAAAGGAATAATCCAACCAATACAGTAGCAAGAGGCCCGGTTTCGCGTTCGATATACGTACCATCTCCGTATCATGCCTCACTGCCCTTGCCTCCAGTCTGGTCCAGCCATATCTTCGCCCCGCAGAGTTTGTCCGCTAACCTGTGAGTTCTATCCGGGATACCGGGTCTACTTGCGGGGTAGCAAGGTAACCCCAGATTGCCCGCTTCAAGAGTCGAGATTGTGTATAATAGCACGGCACGAGTAGAAAAATAGTCAACTTAACTTCCGTGGGTACAACAAACCTTGAGTCTTTGCAACACGCAATCTGCTCAACCATACCTCATACATCGCTGAACTTCATTCAGACGGAGTTGACTATATCCGTCCCTTACCTACGAAGCCTCGCCCTTCAACCAACCGAGAATGGATGAAATCCCCTCAAAAGAGAAAGGCGTTAGTCATGGGACCAACCACAAAGATGAACTCCAGCTCGAAGCTACCTTTGGCATTCACCAGGAGATGAAACGCAACTTCAGTCTCTGGTCGTTGCTGTTCATGTGCTGCTGTACCAGCACAACCTGGGAAGCCTTGGCCTCGACCATGACACAGGCCCTCAGTTCAGGAGGCAGTTCCAGCATGGTCTGGGGTTTCTTCGTCTCGGCCATCGGCGCCTTTCTGCTCTCTCTCTGCCTTGGTGAATTCTCAAGCCGAATCCCAACAGCCGGCGGGCAGTATCACTATGCTGCTGAACTCTGCCCGCCAAAGGCCCGACGCGTTGTGTCATGGTTTGCCGGATGGAACACCCTCTGGGGCTGGATTCTCATCACTCTTGCCGGAAACTTCGCCAACGCTATGCAGCTGCAGGCATATTTGATTCTGTTTGCGCCTGGCTATGAGCATGAGCGATGGCACACGTCCCTGGTAAGACTCGGCAACGCTTCAATGGTCAAAGAATGTCCACTAAGGACATGAACAGATTTTGATTGCTCTGACGACGTTGTACCTCGCGGGCACTTCGATCAGCAACAAAGTGCTATACTACACTACCTTTTGGGGCATCACCTTTCACATTATTGGCTATTTCCTGACCATCATATATTTGCTCGTCTCTGTCAAGGAGAAACAGACTGCGAAATGGGTTTTCACCGATCAAACTAATTACTCCGGCTGGAACAGTGGAGTAAGTCGACACGAAAATCCTCATCCAACATGAAAATGCTGACAGGCCTGTAGATTGCGTGGTCAATCGGAATCATGAGCAGTGCTCTCAGTCAGATTGGATGGGATGCATCGACGCACATGAGTGAGGAAATGAAGGACGCTGCCCGCGATCTCCCACGGACCAGTAGGTGCCTCAAGGCCAACAGCATAAGTCCGAGTCCCCCGCCCACTAACGCCATGCAGTGTATGGCGCCGTGCTCATCACAGGTCTGACAACGTTTCCATGGGTCATTGCTCTCATGTTTTGCATGGAGGACATCGGAAGCGTTGTCAACGGACCGGCCGGAGCAATGAGCCCCTTGGTCCAGCTCATCTACAACGTCTCTGGTGGCAACATGGCTGTCACCTTGGGTGTGACTATCCCCACTCTGGCACTCAACGTTGTTTCCGCAGGCCCAGCCTGCCTTGCTGCGACATCTCGCCTGACGTGGTCTTTCGCAAGAGAAGGCGGCCTGCCCAGCTTTCTGGCCAAGATTCACCCGAAGCTGAACCTCCCGCTGAACGCAATCATGTTCGACTGGTTGCTCGTTACTCTGCTTTCTTTGATATACATTGGCAATGAGACCGCCTTCTACGGACTCAACTCTGGCGTTACCGTTGTTGTTATCCTCTCTTACGCGTTGCCCATTTTCTTGCACATTGTGTATGGGACCCAGCACTGTAACCTTCCGGCGGGACCTTTTACGCTTGGAAAACTGAGCATTCCCATCAACTATGTCGCTCTGATTTGGGCCACCTATTTGATCATCTTCTTGTCTTTCCCCAGTCGTCTACCAGTCACGGCCGTCAACATGAATGTAAATTCCCATCATTTCCACCGCAAGGCTGAGACTAACAGTTGTCCCAGTACACATGCCTGGTTCTGGCTGCCGGCATAGTCATACCAGCAGGCCTGTGGTTTGCTTATGGAAACAACAGGTATTTGGGTGTGGTGCATGAAGTCTCCGGCTCACGCGAAGCATCCAACCTATCACACCATCCTGAAGTCCACTATGCAGATGCGAAGGCGGCGGAATACATTGAGAATAACAACCTCAAGTCGGAGATTTCCTGATTCCAAATGTGTCTGACCAAGAGTCAAGCGTCAAAAGCTCGACCAGAAGGTGGGTGACGCTACTTTGGGGATACAAGTAGCCACGGGATGGGATCAGAATGGCATTTCTCTTGACTTCTTTATGAGAAACTAAAGGGCGTGCTGGCCATATTTTCAGTTACTTTAGTTTCAGTTCACGCCCACTAATCCAGTTGCTGAGGCTCCAAGAATTATTGGAACCATGCTTAGTCCATTGCCACTCTGGCACACTAGAGTTACAATGACGAATACGTAATGGCAAAGTTCTACCATCTTCTAACCTTCTATAGCTGCGGCCCAGATGACCTAGATGACTTGGGATAGGAACGGACTTGTCCAGGGCTAGGTACATGAGACGGGCTTGAATGGATACTTCTGTATCAAGCTACTGGACGATAGGATAAACTCATGTTAGAAAAGAATGGATTGCCAAGTAAGTAGTGATAGTGGAGCAGCCGTGGCGCTATGCAATGGTCAATAAATAGTAACTCAGAAGGCGCCAGTGCGCTCCTGAGGATTGCCCATTATCGATGTAACCAAAGCCATCAAGCGCCAAGTCATTGCAAGAAATTGTCGGTGTCCAACCTCGCCGTGCTTCTAACTTTGCTTTAGCCTTCCTTGATTCCTGTTACAGTCTCGACATGTTCTTTTTTCAAATGCGCCCGTCGCACAAATAAGCCAGAGACAAGCGCACAGCCGGCTACACAGGTGTACATGATAAACATGTGATTCAGGCTCCAAGCGAATGCATTCTTCACGGCCAGCACCTGCATAGAATCAGTCAGTTGCTTTGAAAGATCTATATTGGCAGCTGCCTCCTTCCCAGAGAGACGTTCAAGGATGTCCGCAGGCAATCCTGCTGATTCCAGGCTGTCATGTTGTTTTTGCATCGATTCGTTGAAAACGACGCCACCGATGATGATTGAGACGGCTAGCGCGACGCAACGTGTAAACGAAAACGTGGAGATGGCGGAGGCAATGTCTTGCTGGGACACCGAAGTTTGGATGGCGATGATAGGGGGGCTCTACAAGGAGGCCGCTGCCAAGTCCAAACAAGATCTGGCAGCTAATAAGTTTGACTGTCGAGGTGTTCTCATTGAACGAGATAAAGGAGCCTGCACCCGCGCAAAGGATAATCGAGCCAACCCAGATGAGTTCCAGGAACTGACCAGTCGTGCTGATGATGACGCCGGAGATAAGACCGCCCGTAGCTGTACTGATCAGCAGTGGGAGAAGTAGAATTCCCGATCTCAAAGGGGGGGGCCTGGAGGACGGATTGGAGAAAGAGAGGCATGAAGTAATCCCCACCCATCAAGCACTTGAAAAAGATGCTTCCTGTCAGAATGAATAGATAACAGTCACGAGATTCGGGTATGTACGTACCAGGCCGTGAAAGAGCCCAACACAACAGCAAGCGACATTACTGCGGCTCTTGAACAGTCCCAGCGGTATGATGGGATATTTGGCCAGTCGAGATTCGCTATACGCAAAAGCGAAAATAAATGCTCCGCCAATGGTAACCATGGCGATCACCGTGGGAGAGTCCCAGGACAGAATGGGGCCAAAATTGAGTCCGAGCAGGATGAGGACCGCAAACCCGAGGAAGGTAAAGATTCCACACCAATCGATTGCCTTTAGTCCAGTCGACCACGAGGTTTTCTCATGTTTGAGATCGAAGCAGAACAGAAGAAGAATGAAGGCTGTGCCGGCGATTGGCAAGTTTATCCAGAAACAAAACCGCCATGAGACCAAGCTTGCAAAGACACCACCAAGTATAGGACCGACACCGCCAGCAAGAGCCCAGACAAATTCGCACAAGCCCATGAAGAAGCTTCGACGGCGCATGCTGAACATGTCGCTGATGCTAATATGTACAAGCAGGAAGATGGCTCCGCCACCTGAGCCTTGAATTGCTCTCCCGGTAATCAGAGTCTGCATGGTGCGAGCAGTTGCGCAGATGATCGAGCTCACAAAGAAGATGGCTATGGCGGTGAGCAGGACTATCTTGCGCCCAACGATGTCCGATACCTTTGCCCAGACGGGGCCACTAACGGAGTCGGCCAGGAGATATGCACCACCAATCCAGACATAACCGTTCGCCGACTTCAAGTCGTGGGTAATGACGGAGGCTGCCGTGGCGACAATAGTAGCATCTAAAGCAGAGACGAAGAGGGAGAGCTGATTTTAGTTAATAATGTCCTTCGCACGCCGATGTAGAGGCATACCAGAAGAGCAACCAGTATAGCGGTGCTTCGCCACTTGCCTCGTTGTTTTGCAGGCGGCTCTGGAAATGCCGATGGCAATGTGTCCGAGTGCGGGATATCATCACGGGGTTGAACGGGTGTGGCGTGGTACGCAGTATCTGGCATGTCGGCGCCTATTGAACGCTGGGATAATGGGGCCACATCCTGCTGAAGCTCATACGCCGACGGTTGATCCATCGAGCTTCCGCCTGAAAGGCCAAGGTACGTGGGACCCGAAGACTTACACAGGATTCTCAGTCGATATGCTCTGAATAGAACAACAAGGCTTTGAGCTCGATAAAACCGTAGAGCTAAGGGTAGGTATCGGAGCTTGCACGCTAGACGGAACTACAAGCAATTCGGGAGAAAGCGTAGGACGCGTGTTGCACCTCGATTCAATAGGCCATTGATGAAAGAAACAAGATTGCATCTGCATGATGAGAAGGAGTCCGTTACCTCCTAAAAGCCGCAAAACGGCGCAAAGACCAACCGACCGACCAGTGCCTCTCCCTGACAGGCAGTGGGCCAGAGTCTGCAAGGGTATCACACACCGACAATATTCGTCCGACCTCGGCTCGAGACTCTTTTCAGGATACGACGGGGTGAGTTTGATTTGAGCTATTGTGGGTCTGCGTGCCCCATTGGGGAAGTGCCAAAGGAATAATACGAAGCAGCCAATCCCATATTGTTCCAGTGGTGGTACCCCTTGTAAGAACACGGCCCTCATTAATATCCGTTAAGGCCTACGATACTAGAGATCTGGTGGATCACACTAGCAGAGGAAAAAATCGGGAAGAAGAGAGGTCGTAATGAATCTATGGAAAGCAGGCTGTATATAAAGCCTGCACTAACGAAGAAATGGCAAACTAGCAGAGGCTCAGTCTGCATACAAAGAGACAAAGACATCCTATGGATGTCAACAATATCCGGCAAGACCTGGCGCCTCGTTTAACCGGCAATTGACTCTCAAGAGGGACTGTGTGAGGAAGAGGTCTACATGGTGGACGTCGAAGTGCATGGTGCAATGTGAGATGGATTGTTGTTGAAGCTAAGAGCTAGACTAAAAAATCCGACAGACTGATTCTTACCAATTCAGTTTGGAAGAAAGGCTTTGACTGTGATCTCAAGATGCAAGCCCGGAAACACAAGAGCCTTGGCTTCTACGCCGGTCCAGACGGGCTTTGTGTTCTTCAAGTATTTCCTCGCTGTTGCCACAACAGTATCCCCAACTGCCTTTCCGTCTTTTGCAACCTCGAAACTCTGGATCTAAAACAGAAATGCGTCAGTTTGCTATGTGAATTCATGCGTAATAGATCATCTGGCCTCTGGGCTTCTCACCTCATACACGTACTCCCAAGCATCCTCCCCCAAGCCCGCAGCTTTCAAGCTCATCTCGACACTATGGAAGGCTTCGTCTATCTCGTCTTCCAGCTTATCCGGGATCGTACCGTCGGCTCTAATTCCGAGCTGGCCACCGACGGTGATGGCGCGTATATTGGGGGGGACGACGACTGCGTGGGAGATGCCAAAGGACTCGGCTGCCTCCTCGCCGCCGGGCCAGTTGACAAACCGGAACCCGTGCGCTACCAGCTTAGAGTCACCCATGTTTGTGGCAAGTAATAATTGCTTTATGCTCCGGGGCGCCCGCTAGTTGCCAAGTGGTTGGTGGCTGTGTCCACGTCTCGATTTCAGGCTATCAGTAACTCGTTCGAGGAAGGGGGGGGTGCTTGGTGTTATCTGGATAAAGCCAGTCGAGTGAAGACCAGCGTGGTTTTATGGTTACACTAAGCTAGCTAACCCTGCAGGCTAACGAACATGGCGCAGACTGCAAGTTTTTCCGCCCCATGGCTCGTGACTGACGTGTCAGGCATTTTGTACCCGATGCACAGCTTGCAATAATCCGACGGGCTGCCGATTCGCTCCTGTGCCGTGCACGTATACCTGCAACAACGTGAATTCCAGTTAGTTCAATCCTTCTGTCAGCTACCGAGTGAGTTGTCTACCCTCGATTATTCAGCTTACGCGAGGCTGGCACGGTTAGATATCTGGCGTAGATGAGGGTTGACAACCAACCTATCAGCCATTCACCAAATCCAATACGCAATTCAACTATGGCCACCTAAGGCTGTTCGTCACCATGCTGCAAGATGTATCTCTCTACTCGCTCGTCGGTGCATGCCTCGCTTGGGCCGTTTTCTACTTCCTGAGTGAGTAATCCGCGCCAGGCGTTTGAAACATTACTGGGCCGTTTGCCGCCAAATTCACCAATCTCTACTGACTTCTGGATGTGTCCAAAGGTCAAAACCACGTGTCTCTCAACAGGCTCCCACGACAGATATGGAGGTAACGTGCGCTTTGGGCCACCAGTCGTTAGCCTCTGCGATCTCAAGCATGTAAACCGAGTCTATGGGATAAAGGTTGGGTATGCAAACGTTTGTATTCTCCGAGTTAATTTTAATACGTATTCATATGTCCTACCTCATGATACCACCTAACCTAATACTCGGCTATAAGTATAACTTGCTCTACAAAAAGAATTAGGTCAGTATATTCAAATCCACAGGAAAATTATATAATTGGCCAGACTGACTTCCTGACATATCCGCCCCAGCAGCTTGCATGACCGCTCAGCGTCGTATAAGGGTAGCTTCGACTGCGGCTCGTTCTCTCTCAGTTGATCGATAATCGTAGCTGACCTGCGTCATATTTCAAGAGAAACATCGCAAAGCCACAAGTACAAGTGCTCTCGCAACTAAACCACAATGTCCTCAATTACCTTGACCGGTGCCAACGACAAACAAGTCACGTGTAGGCATCCATCAACTTAGCGGCTCTATTACCGCAAATATGATTGTTGGCTGACACGTCATAGTAAATACCGGCTTGTTCATCAACAATGAGTTCATGCAGGCACAGGAGGGATGTACCTTATCCATCGAAAATCCTTCCACTGGCGAGGCCTTGACATGCATGTCGGCAGCCCAGAAAGGGGATGTTGACAAGGCCGTCGCTGCCGCGAAAGCTGCCTTTGAAAATGACTGGAAATCAGTGTCGCCATCCAAGAGAGGCCAGCTCCTTAACCGGCTTGCTGACCTCGTCGAAAGAGATGCCGATGATCTAGCTAGCCTCGAAGCTCTGGACGCCGGCATCTTGTTTGCCGAGTCCAAGAGTCTACACATTCCCCAGGCGGTGGAAACTCTCCGTCACTTTGCTGGTTGGGCGGATAAGATCACCGGGCAGCTTCTTCAGATCCCTCAAGGCGTCGCCTACACTCGAAAGGAACCCATCGGAGTGTGTGCGGCGATCGTGCCATGGAACTCTCCACTGTACGTACTATCCCAAAGCAATACAAGTACTGAATCCACGCTCACGTGTCGCTTAGTATGATCACCTGCTGGAAGCTTGCACCGGCCATCGCGGCGGGTAACACGCTTATCATCAAGACTCCAGAAGCCGCACCGCTGTACGGGCAGAAGCTGGCAAGCTTGGCTCGTGAAGCTGGCTTCCCACCAGGTGTAATCAACATCATCTGCGGCGAGGGCCATGTTGCCGGAGAGGCCCTGGCCGAGCATCATGGCGTGCGAAAGATTGCTTTCACCGGCAGCACTGTGGTAGGCAGACGTATAATGCAGGCTGCTGCAGCATCAAACCTTAAGAAGGTGACTCTCGAGCTCGGAGGTAAAGGACCTTCGATCGTTTTTGCCGATGCAAACATCGATAATGCTCTTTTCTGGACGACGCTAGGTTTCACAGCCAACAACGGGCAAGTGTGCGCATCCGGATCCCGTATTTACGTTCACTCGAGCATTTACGACTCCTTCTTGAAATCCTTCGCTGCTCGTTTGACCGAAGCAGTCCACGGAGATCCTCTTCTTCCGGACACAACCAAAGGTCCGCTCGTCAACTGGAAGCAGCACGAAAGGGTACTCGGATATATCGAAGGCGCAAAGTCTGAGGGGGTGCGACTGCTGACGGGTGGTGATCGCCTGGGGAACAGCGGCTACTTTGTTGCCAACACTGCCTTTGCTGACGTTCCCGACAATGCAAAGATTATGCGGGAGGAGATATTCGGTCCTGTAGCAGTAAGTGATTCATCTCCTCCATTGAGGACCCCGACTTCGGTGCTCCAATACGCTGACCGCCACTGCAGGCCATTGCTAAGTTCGATTCAGAGGATGAAGCCATCACGAAGGCTAATGACAGCGAGTATGGATTAAGTGCAGCAATCTTCACTAACAACGTGAATCAGGCCAACCGGGTGGCAGCCGCTATCGAGAGTGGGCAGGTGACTGTTAACTGCTGGGGTCTACTCCACGCCAACGCTTCGTTTGGAGGTGTCAAACAGTCTGGATTTGGTCGTGACTTGGGCGAGGAGGCTTTAGATGGGTGGTTGACAACGAAGACTGTAAAGTTCAATACTCTTTCGGAATAGCATAGTGTTAATATGAACATACTATTTACTCTTATCATTGATTATCTCGTGAGTCTTCATAACCCTCCTGTCCGTATCCTACCATAGTGTTATACCTACGATAGGGTAGAATCTATCTGCTAGCGCAATTATACTTACTTCGTAGGTATATATCTTTAATATTAACAGACGTAATTAAGACGTAACCTGTCTAGATTGCTACCATAGCACATGGGATAGGCACAATGATTTACTTTAAAGTATGATTTATATAAGATAAGGACAGGTTGACATCAAACATCTGAAAGACTGTCACCTTGTATACTAAGGCCGCTCTGGCACATAAGGCTGTGTGGCATACGGTATCAGACGTAGGTAAACCTGATCGTGCGACAACACCCGTTACAGCTGACGAACACGACCCTATCCAATGAAGGATAAAACAAAAATAACTCCAGTCATTCATTTAGTTAGAAATCAGGAGCTTCAATACACAGTCAGAATCCCTCGTCGAAGCGTAACAAAGACTATAACTATTTCACATTTCAAACTTGTAGAGTCAAGACTTTTGGCTCTAGAGGAGACTCTTTAGCTATGGAGGAGAAGTCGAAGATACATTCGTGGAGGCATCTGTCTCAGTAAACCTTACTACGGCTCTGGAGATTTCATAGAGGATTCTCCTCTCGACAGATATCTTCTCCTACATGCGATGGCGTGATGCTACCTTGTACGCCACGGCGTAGCGGGGAGTAGAGAAGGTAATGGTGCTCTTGCGCTGGATAAAGAATGTATCGCCAGGCAATAACACAGCTGTCTTTCCAGCCTCATCCTTAAGATGTAATTCACCTGTAACAGAATTAGCTATTCGTTCCTTAGATATTACCATAAGAGACAGAAATCCTTACCCCGGAGGAGAACCCCAGTTTCCTCAAAGTCATGGTAGGGAGGGGCTGGCTGTGGGTTCTCATCGTATTTGAGATAAAACATGGAGCCAGTCAGGGGGGTTAGAAGCATCCCTGGTGGATGTCGAAAAGACGTCGCCTGCAGGTTATTAGCATGCGCCATCCTCCACGCTAGCTTAATCCCTTAACCAGGTAAAAAAGTAGCTGGAGTACTATGATAGACATACTAAAGTACACGCAGGCGGGAGCACCCTCCAGTTTGGGGACACGGTGGAACTTTCCCTCGTTCTGGTATTCGAAAGGCATGATTGGTAGACTTGCTCTTATCTCTGTTAGGTTAACTGAATGGCGGTAAACCCTTGGAGTTGTCTACTGGGTCAGAGGGAGGTTCAGTCGAATATAGTATGTCTCTCAGTGTGGGGATGCAGTAGCTTGAGGTCGACCAATACCGTAATTATCCGCGGCTCGAAAAGACCCACATCTGACCTTCCTATGCCTTAAATCCGATGACCGGACAACACGGTTGACCGCAAAAGCCAATGCAAGCTGGATCCGAGGTGGAAAAAGATCGAAGAAACATTGTACTAAAACACACTCTAGGTGAAATTTTCATAACACCTGCCAAGCAGAAGCAAAATCCTGGGAATGTGGATGGTTGCAGACAGGGAAATCGCCACCGCTGCCGTCGGTGAATTTGGTATGGTCAAAGATGTGGATATGACGATAAAGGGGGGAAAAGCGGCTGGACCTTGAGAGCACAGCTACAACTATTCTTGATCAAAACACAAGAAATGCGAGATAATTAAAGCCTGCCTTATTTATCGCAGTGCTTGCTCAATTTGTAATACATCCTATACTCACGCTGGCCGTTTGAAGTGCGGTTTCAGGGGCACCCACGACTCGGCGTTATACTCCTTTTGGACCTTCTTACATTATTTAAGGCCCCATTCCGTCACTCCAATCATCAGCGGGCTCTCAAACATAAAGGCCATGCTGCCCTCACCAACTTTTGTAGGACTCAGCTTTGCATTACTGGCCTTCTCGTGAGTCTCGGCGTCTGGCCCGTGGGCGCTCATAACATTGTGAAGACTGGCGCCGGCAGCCTTAAAGCCTCCGCCGGCTTTGGCGTCGTACTCACCCCTGATCAGGCCCATGAACTCGGACATGGTGTTTCGGTGGTACCACGGTGGTCGGAAGGTATCCTCCTGCACAAGCCAGCGCGGAGGGAAGATGACAAAGTCGGCGATTGGGTTATTGAGCACGGTGTAAATGCTCAGATCAGGGTGGTCGAAGCTGGTGCTTCCGATGACGTTGAACCGACCAAGATCATACTTGTAGGGGTAGTAAAGCCCATGCCAGCCGACAACGTCGAATGGGGTTTTGTTCTGCATAGCCTCGAACATCTTGTTATTGTACTTACAGTACACGATCCATTCTGAGCTAGTATCCTCGTCAAAGGAGGCGGTGGGAACTTGGAAGTCACGGGCATTCGCCAAGCCATTCGATCCGATAGGGCCGAGCTCTGGCAGCTTGAAGTGGCCATCGTAAAGCTCCATGATGTAGCCTCTGACAGCGCTTGATGGTTGTGTGACTCGATACTTGATACCACGCGGAATGACGGCGATCTCATTTGGGCGCAAGAAGATATGGCCAAGCTCGGTCTGGATGTCCATGACGCTGTGCTGTAGCACAATTAGGAAGTCTCCGTCGGTCGAGTAGAAGGACGTCTTCTCCGGCATCGACTTTCGAGCGGCGAAGATGAAGATACCTGAGACCAGTCTTGGTGGCCGGGTTTCCGACGCCGCCGAGCAGCTTCAGAGAGGTTACCCAGTCATGTGAGTCGTCGAGGTCGAAGGGGTCCCATCTCAGCTGCGTGGGGATATGGTGGGCCTTAGTCAAGTCACCGAGAGTCGCTTTGTTCTCGCCCACAGACTTGTAGGGGAGATGGGCCGCGGATGGTAGGATCCTGTACAGCCAGGTCTGCTGGTTCTCATTACGGGGGGCGATGAATGAAGTGCCTGAGAGCTTCTCGGCATAGAGCCCATGCGGAGGTCTCTGGGGCGAGTTTGCACCAACAGGCAGCGTATCGGGAACTGCTTCACTCCTGTCTTTTGTGTCAATTGTGCTGTTAAACTTGCTGGGAAGGCTGCACACGGGAGCCATCATGACGAGAATTCTTTGGGTTCTTATGTAAATGGGAATTACATCCAGACTAGCAGTCCTGTGGCCAGGAAACTGTTCTTATACCACCCACACCAACCAACACCTGGCTATTTACTACTTGCTTGTAGCCAATTCACCAAAAAAAAAAAAAACAAAAACATACAACAGTGAGGATTCGCTGGTGGTCACCCACCCAACTACTAACTCACCGGCGTCTGGCTTGAGTACGGCTGAGCGGACGGGAAGCCCTATTTTCCACACCCTATGGTCGTATGTGCCAGATGAAGGGTTGAGAAGACTCATAGAGTAAAATCAGTACGTAGGTAGTGAAACTGGAACCGCTGCAGCTCCCTGATAACCCGGGCTGTCTGCATATGTTTGTCGAAGTTGATCACAGCCATGTCGTCCCCGTCCTTCCATGGAGTGCGGAGATCCTGACTATTCCTATCAATGAGGCCGAGGTTGGCTAGGTAAATACCAACGAAAGGCAGGCAAGGATGAATGTTCTTCAGCCGCTGGGGTAGCATAGCGTGGTCTTCTTGGGAATCGACGATAGGCTTATATTCCAATCCGAAGACGGTAAGGTGAGTCCAAGGGATTCGGCACGCTGTGGTGCATTGCTAAGATTTTGACAGCCATGGATCGCATTGGGCTCAATTCCTCAATCAAAGACCAGCCCTCCGAAACCCCAGAAAACCCAGTATATGCCGCTTACGGCGAGGCTGAACAAAAACCTGGATACTGGGCCGGAAGAGCGATCAGATGCCACTGGCCGAGAGGTTTGGCCCATTCCAAACGGCCCTAAACATTGCTCTACAAGCTCCGCCAGATGGACCTGCAACGGGAGCCAACGCTGCAAATGAATACCAAAAACCTCAAGCGCAAGGTGGGGGACAGCTTGTTATTCAACAAGCAAGTGTCGAACCGGAGGGAGAACGTTGAGGCCCTGCTAGGCCAGGCAGTTGGAAAAAAGCTCCTGCATGGCCTAGACTGCCAAAACTGCCGGACACTAGATGGCAAATTTACGTCTTGTGTTCGCATGCTCTGGCATGCAACACTGTGCAAATTGTCATTGGGGGGGGGGGGCGAGTATGGCCGGTGCAGCTTGTTGCAAACATTCAACGAGAACCCCAACATTGTCCGAACAGACGGAAAGATGCATGAGGACGTCCTTTCGCTAGATGCAGCTCTAGCAGCCCTCGAGGGCAAAGTTTCCCGCACTATGGGGACTATCAAGACGATCCGAAAGCAAAAGAAGAAACTAAAAACCACATTGAAGGAGCAGCCAAAGATCAACTCGGCTCACCATGAAGATCTGCGCTCATTACGCACAACCCTAGCAGCCTATGAACAAAGGCTCGCTCGCACCCGGAAGACTATGAAAATGGTCCGAAAGCAAAAGAAGGAGATGATGAAGGAAATCAAGGAGGCGGGTGAAAATTGAGTTACAGCCATGGGAGCTTTTGAACATACACCCATTGCCACAGATATAGAGGGTGATAAGGTGGGGTATTCATAAAGAACACCTACCTACCATATATTCCCTATCAATGAATACCATTGGCCCTAGCGGCAGCACTAGTTCTAGGCGGTGTATTAGTAGATGCCTGAGTCTGAGATCGAGTTGATATAGGTGCACTAAGAGCTAGTGCTATCAGCCTAGCCCTAGAGGTTGCTGTTGATAGCCAATGAAAGTATGGGTGCTGCTATTATCTGATCGTGTGGCCCACGTGAAGGTTTGAGCAGAAGCTAAAACGGATCTTACGTGCCAAGGGCTTATATGGGAGAGGAATCACGACTTGTGGCTGTGGTGCCGGGTAACGGTTTATGCCTTTGCACGCATGCGTGCTCTACCGCCGGCCGCGAGCATGTGGTCAAGTCTGAAAGAGATAGGGCTTTCTCGTGTCCATCTCCTCGGACCGGGTTCATTCCAGCCGCTCCAAAAAGCTTTTCCTGCCCCCACCTCTCGCGCCGGCCGTAGATGCGGGGGACTAGGGTAGGAACAGTACGCTATTCGCCACACATTGCTGTTCGCGGAAAAACGAGTGGTTTGCCATCCGCTGTGGTTGTGGGCTAGCAGGGATAATCTTTTGATTCGATGGTTTGGAACCGTCCCTGGCCAATCAAACTGGCGTAGCAGCAGTATTTTGTCCATTTGGAGAAACCCCGCGTTACCGTGCCTGAACCCGGACCCTCGATCGCTGGGCCCCCTGACGGCGAAGGGGAGGGGAGGGCATCTCTAGCACGACCGATCAGGTATATCCACTCGACGTCATGGTCTCGGCCTGACTGTGAATGGGTTTCTTGTTGAAAAACACTGTGTGAAGTTCTGGTCTTTTCGGCTTTTTGACATATTCCACCCTTGTTAGTACCGTGCAACGTACGACACGGCGCGACACAACACGACACGGTACGAACCGACGTCATAGCGATGCGACCCTGGCTTCCGGTGTCGCGAGGCTCCCCATTCTCGCTGGCCAACATCCCCTTTGGCATCATCTCTACTGCTGCTTCCCCTACGCCTAGGCCCGCAACCATTCTCGGAGACAATGTGCTGGACCTCAGAAAGTTTGCCGAGGGCAACGGTTTTGCCAACCTCGGCCTGATCCAGCCTCACCTCGCCGTCTTCTCTTCACAGAGCCTCAACGGCTTTGCCGCCCTCGGCCGGCCGGTCCACAGCTCAGTCAGAAAGTATCTCCAGGACGTCCTCTCCGAGTCGACGTCGCATCCTCAGCTACTCAAGGACAATGAGGCGCTTCGGCGCGAGGCCCTCCTGCCGGTCAGGGACGTCGTGAACCATGTCCCCATGGAAATCGGCGACTACACCGACTTCTTTGCCGGCATAAACCACGCCTTCACCGTGGGCTCGCTGTTCCGAGGGCCGCAGAACGCCCTGCAGCCTAACTACAAGCATTTGCCGGTCGCATACCACGGGCGAGCATCCTCCGTCGTCGTTTCCGGCACGCCTGTGCGACGTCCCTGGGGCCAGATCCTCGAGAACCCCGCCGCCAAGGAGAAGATACCCGTGTTCGCCCCATGCCGGAGGTTGGACATTGAGCTTGAGCTCGGTGCCTTTGTTTGTAAGGCCAACCCCCTCGGCCAACCTATCCCAGTGACCGAGGCGGCAGAGAGCATATTCGGCTACGTCCTGATGAACGACTGGTCCGCGAGAGACTTACAGACCTGGGAGTATGTGCCTCTGGGACCTTTCAACGCCAAGAACTTTGCAACGACCATTAGCCCCTGGGTCGTTCTCCCGGACGCGCTGGAACCCTTTGCTACGGCTGGAATCGAGAACGACACAAAGTTACTGCCGTACTTGCAGGAATCCGATCCCAAGAGCCAGTATGACATTCGCCTGCGAGTAGTCCTCACAAGTAAGTTGCATCTCACTGTTGAGTGATTCCTGTATCTGACGATTACGACAGCCAGGAACGGCATCGCTACTACCATCACGGAGACCAACAGCCGCAACCTTCTCTGGTCATTCCCGCAGATGCTTGCCCACCACACCATCACCGGATGCCCCATGCGCCCTGGCGACCTGCTCGGCAGTGGAACCATCAGCGGCGAGGAGGACACTGCCCGAGGCAGCCTGTTGGAGCAGAACAAGGGCGGTAAACAGACAATTCGACTGAACGGAGGAGAGGAAAGAAAGTTCCTCCAAGATGGAGACACCATAACCATCGTTGGAATCTGCGGATTAAATGATGATAGTCTTGTTGGTTTTGGAGAGTGCTCTGGCCAGATTACGGAGGCCCTGAAGCTGGGTTAAAAACCGGAAACCGCCAAGTCAAGCAATCTGCGGGGGTTTGAATTGGTGCCCCAGAGCGTCGAGCAGTTGGCGCAACGCCATTCACTAGCAGCTCAGTGCGCCCTTCTCAATAGACCAAAGAAACTTATCACGAAGCAAATGTCCGTCGTGCCTGCTGATTTGTAGTCGCACTAGGTCATGTTCATATTGAGTCTAAATTCACTCTAAACGTACGCCTTGGCTAACCTCTTCATGCGGGGCCGCCTCCGTTTCCATACATAGGCAACTCAAGGTGTTCCGAAAGTCCAAAGGCGGGTGGACGGGCGTTTAACTGAGCAGGAAAGAAGAAACTGAGTAACCAGACACTCATTTCAGCACATCCTGGAAATAAACCATCATGGCACCATTGTGCAGTGTCTTGGCGACCTTCTTGAGCGCCTGGTGCGCCTCACACTCGTTGTCGTAGTACTCCATGTCTTCGACCGATTTGAAGGTGGAAATGACGGCGAGAGTGTAGCCCTGGTTCCGGGCGTCGTCGAAGCTTGGGCCAGCGCAAACGCCGAGTATGTACGGCTTGCCATCCTTGACGGCATCGGACAGCATGATGCGGAAGATGTCGAACAGTCGCTTCTGATCATCCGGCGAGGGGATCTTGAACAAGGTGATGCGGTTGATGGGTTTGCTTCCGCCCATCTTGTCTGGTGCCTGACTTGTTGTGATGGCTTGAATTTTGGGGATTAATTGACTTGCGTCATGTACCGAAAGGTTTATCTTGGCCAACGAACGAATAATAAATGCAGACAGGGGTAGAGGGCGAGAAGAAGGGAAGGGTCACGGCGATGAGATCGGAAATATAACTAAGGGTGGATGTTATCAAGTGTGATATTCCGTCCCGCCGCGGAGTCCCAGCGGGAAGCGAAAAGAGGTTGGCCCCATTCTCAGACGAACTTGGGCCAGTAATAGGATGATCAGGCTTCCTGCGGAATGTGGGACGGCTTGAAGTCTGGGCCAAATTCCGGACAGGGGCGGCAAGGCGGGGGGGGGGGGTGAAGGAAGCTTTCGATAGCTACCTAGTTCACCTTCAAAACCCAAGTTGCTGTACATCGGATAGAGCACGCCACGAACATCGGCGTATAAAGCTCTTTGGCCTACAGACAAAGAAGCACCATTCCGCACATTACGTTCCCCAAAAGCTCGGAGAGACAAAGATCAAAATATTCAGACATCCCCCCACCCTCTTGCCTGAAATGTTTGTAGAGTTTGACACCCCGTATCTCATGCTCTCCCAGGGAGCACAGTATGGCCGAGAGCTGTGGTCGCGAATATTGGGGCGGCACGCCTCCTGCCAAGACTGGTAGAGAAAAAGAATCACATTCATTTCCTCTACCAGGGAAAAAGTTACAAAGACAAAACATGGACCGTTCAACTCAAGAAGTAGTCGAGAGGTTAGACCATAAGATCAATTTTACTCGCGCTGAGCCGGATCGTTAAGCTCGCGGAGGAGGGAGGGAAAGTGTCAGATGCCTAGGATAAACACCCAGTATGGCGGAGCAACGATTTGAAAAGGCTTCCAAGACAATCCGGGCGCCTTGGATTCATGGCGTAGCCTCACGACTCTCGTAGACGATCTGAGGGCTCACGCGGTTTGCGTCGCGTATCAATTTTTGAAGCGATAGGGGCGGTGTACAATCGCATCCGGAGGCCTTGCCAGAATACATACGCCTAGTTTCTCAGCACGGTGCCAAGACTCGATACCAACTACCTCGGAAAGTCGGGATAGAGCACCGTGAAACAGGAACAAGAACCTCTCACTGGTTCCTTTGATGATGGATAACGACGTCATACCAGGATCTGGGATTCCCCGATGCGCTGCATGATATCCTGCCATCGTTCGGGTATCGCCTGGCCGTTGTTGACCCGATCGCGATGTTTCCATACTTCTTCGAGGATTTTCTGCCCATTCTTGCTGTTGTAGATGCCCAGGAGATGCAAGCCCTCCCATCTTGCCCGGACGTAATCTCGCTGGTCGACGGGATCCAGCTCTGCGCCGATCACGACGAGGCACCATCCCAGATTGGCTCCCGGCCCCAGCGCGTCGGGCACGAGCGTGAGGAGTTCGAGGGAGGAGCGCAGAGAGGCCTGCAGGTCCTTGGAAAGGGGTTCTTCGGGGCCATGTGCGATGCGGAATACGTAGATGTGCGAGGCGTGTCGGAAGATCTCAGCTGTTGCTATCATCCGCCGGCGGAGCTCTTCCTGTTCCAATCCCACAACATTCGCAGAGTAAGTCTGGCTGGAGCGACGGCACAGGATGCCCAAAGATAAATCTGAATTTGCTACAATCTGGGTCGCCCGGATCTCTTCCTGCAGCTTCTGCGCACGCTCGCGTATCTCTATTGGCTGCATGTTTAACCGTTTGGACTCGTTATATAGGCGTGAAGCAGCCCACTGCTCTCGAGTTAGCACCTAGAGGGTGAGGAGGTTGGGGATAAATCCGCTCACCATAAGCCTAGGCAATTTCGCCGAGCACCCGAATAGAGCATCGATGAGATGGCCCTGGTCAGAACTAACTCCTTCTTCAAAGCCCATCCACGATTCGAGCTCGTCCATAGCCGGTGATCCAAGGTTCAGGGCGCATTGCGTACCGATAAGGCACACCCAAGTCTTGAGGAAGGGGTTCAAGTCCGAACAGTCGCCCCGGCTCTTGATGAAACCTCGAATCGCGTTGTAATGCCCACTCCATCGACTCGACCCGGAGAATACCTAACGATTATACCGCGTCAGCTGTGTGCGTGGCGCAGACCTTGGGCAAGAGGGTTTTGCAGAGGCCACAAGCGGGAATGAGGGGTATACCTCGTACGATACCAGTAGGAGCATGGCAGCCAGGGTTTCTTGGCCCTTGCGCAGGGCAACATTGCTGAATCTGTCTTTGAGTGCTTTTGAAGCGGCTTGAAGATACTTGCGTGAACTCGTATCATTGATCTGTTGCCATCGACTGTAATGCGACGCTGCGACGGCAAGCAGCCCGTTCATCACCGCAGGCTCCTGCATCGCCATGGGGAACAAGGAGCGATAGCCATTCTCATTGTAGTCGATGGCCAACGTGATCCGCGCGACGTTGTCTGCAGGGATCATTATGGTGAGATTGTGATAACGTGGGCATGCGGAACAAGGGCCACGTACGCAGGAAGTGCTGCATGAAGAAGCTGTCCTCGGCAGGCAAAGCCAATGATGATACGCCCAGAGGCAACGAATTCAACTGGCCAGGTCCATTTTCCCCTGCGGCCGGGACTGGTGGTAGTGTAATCGCTCGGCGTTCTCGAAATCGGCGGCGGGGTGGCTTTGAGCTGGTTCCATCGAGTTCGGCAGGAAATCTCAACTTGACCCCGAATCCGCCGCATTTGACGCCTCTGTCGACACAATTTCGGCATCCTGGCGAGGGAGACAATTGGTCAGTAGGCGACGCATATCCAAATGCACGACGAACGGTAGGTGTATGAATGGGCCGGTGGGGGGGGGGGTCGAAGTTGTGGCTGTCTTCGCAACGCGTAACTGCGACGAGTGGGCTCGGAACTTACGCGGCAAGGCGAGATCACAGGGTCGATTCAGCTTGAGACATGTCCAGCAGGAGCCATTGTCGTTCTGCACGTCTGTCGGAGGAAGTACGGGCATAATGGTTGTGTTAGCAGGGTCTGAAGTCATTTCGCGATCGCCATCTTTTAACGCTTGACGCGAATGAATGTTACGGGGTGAGGTGCAGGAGGGGAAATTGCTCGCTTCTCTGGGGGACGCGAGGGCAGGGGGCAGACAGAAGAATAAGCCCGGCTCGGGTTAGCCTGAAAGTGCCCGGGTGGGACAGGGGATTACTAGGCCGCGAATTGCGGGGTAACAGGGTGACCGGTTGGCACATGTGGGCCCCGGCAAGCACGCCGGATGCTGCTTGAAAACGCAGTAGGACGAAAGCAGGCGGTGTCAGTAGCTGCGATATCTGCCAGCTAGCGCTATCCAATAAAACCATGCGATCCTTACAGTATCTCATCATATGAGCATGCTCAGGTGGAGGATTCCCGAGGTCCCGAGTTATCTTAGTTAAATTCTACTCCGTATATATCGTTTTAATCTCTAAACTATATATTAATTCGTGATTTTATTCCTAATTAGGACCCTAGCCCGAGTTTATAGTAGGTCCGGGTTAAGAGTTGTAACCTAGAACCTAGCGCTAGGTCGAGATTTTGGACCCGAACCCGGCCCGGTTGGGTTCTGCGGAAGCCTACTCAGACATCCAACAACCCTGTTTTTACTAGGGGGGCTAATCGAACCACACCATAACGACTAACCCCAACATCGATGGAGGTCAACCTCAGTTGAGCCCCATACAATTAGCATAATAGAGGTCTTCAGTCTCCTTTCGCATAGAACATACTCATACTGAGAACAGATACGACCACATGCCAAGACTCGGGAAATTGAGGCGACAATAGCGCCTCCACGCTATAACTAGTACTTATCTTTAACCGTCTGGAACCACCGGAAGTGGATATGAATTATTTGGGCCACAACCTCGACTGTTTCCCTGGGTAGCCCTATATGTCCATTCTTTCAACTAAAAGGTATAGGACGATGAATCAAGGGCCTAAAAGAAAAACAAAAAGCAAAGAGAGTGAGAGATCGTGGAGCACAACACGAAAATGAGAGAAGATCTAGGCTCATGTATGGTAACCTCCGCAAGTGGAGCATCCCACCCGGCTAGTGCAAGATTCCCTCAAACTCCAATCGGCAAGCCGAATTGCCTTGGCGGTCCTTGGCGCTCCGGGTGAGGTTACATGGTCGCTAAAATAAGGGAGTAACAAAGCACCCACAGGGCCAAAAGGTCATTGTCAGACACCAATGACTTCAAGCAGGGAGATCCATTTTGCCACCTTGGATCACTTCGACTCAGTTCCTCGCGCTGTCTGCGAGCAAGAAAAGGTTGACTTTTCTGCTGATGGCAATGGCAATTACGGCCTAGATTACGGTGAACTTAACACCCCGGTAAAACCCATCTTATCTTTCGATATCAGGAAAACAAGCGGGAACAACTGTCCTCCCTTTCCTGACTTTTCTCCTAAGCAAATCATGACGCCGAAATCAAAATCTGTTTACAGAGATTCGCTACGATTATCAACTCGTGTAAGTACCCCATTTAGTGGAAATGGAATCGCGCTAATAGGGTGTTGAAGGTGATACGGCTAGCAATGGGCATGATTACTGGAAGCAAGGCGGCACTTTCACAAAAGACTGTATGCAATGGTCCTTGACGCCCTACTAGGTATAAGGCCCTTAATTTTGAATCAAAGTGGCCGTCTATTTCACTTCCGACGACCAACTTCAAACGATTGGCACCTCCTAAGCGAACTGTGCGATTCATGCTCACTTGGCTCATTCGCCTTGTGGTTTACGGATCATGATCCGATCTTGGGGCCCTGGTGAGCCACTGAGTGGTTATGTAAAAATGAGAGAGGCGCATTTGACTTAAAACAAAATAATGAATTGGATATTTATGTTCGGCAGAAAAAAGGACCCACACCCACAGACACATACAACAATGGTTTTCAACCCCGAAGCTATACCTAATGTCGGAACAGTAGATCCTTCGGGAGCTGCTAGTGTCTAGCGTTCTAGTATGCAAGGACTTAAAGCGAGAGCCACAGCGGAGACCTTCGCTGTTTCTAGTAATTAATTCCTTGGCATTACCTATAGGGAGTAGTTCTGGCAATTTGCATAGGGCGGTAATTACAATAACGAAAGAACCTTGGGATGAGAAACAATTGTGGATCCACGGATTGTGGCCTTGGCAATAAATACTATTCCCTTTCGCGCTACAGATATTCACAATATTCACGGATTTATTAATCACGAAGATGGATCCCTTCGCAAAGTTCCCAACCGAAATTATTTGTCAAATTCTCGATTCTTGTTGCGACTTCACCAGCTTGGACGGTCTTCAACAAATATCTCCCAAAGTGAAGGAAGCTTTCAACGGCTGTTTCAAAAACATCACCGAAAACGTCCTGAGAAATTGCTCCCTCACCTCGCACGGGCTTCATTACTATTTCACGCTCTTAGCCTCTATTCTATCGACATCATTTACTCCGCAAGCCCTGCTAGAAGAGCTCACTAGCTCACCAGCGGATGTTACACGACCTATTTCCCTTTCCACCACCCACTCACTAGCCGCGGTCCATCAGACTGTAAATACAGCAGCGAAAATACATCTCACTGCCTGTGCCTGTCTTCAGCGTTTCATCAGTCGTCTGGAGTCCGCAGAGCCCCGCCGTCCTATGGCTTCCGATGCCAATGTTATAGATTGGGTGAATAGAAGACTTCCACCACCGAAAGGTGGCGAGCTTATCAAATTCGATATTGATCTACCATCATGGATCGAGACTTATCGGACGCATCGAGGTCTCTGGAAACTTGAGCTCTTCCACCAGATCTATAATGCTGCAACAAACCATTGGCTATGGTCTACGTATGATCTGGACGGCTTCATTGAACAATATCTAGAATGGTGTCGGAATCCGGGGGGAATAGAAGAGCTCCAGACAATTTCGGAGTGCGTGGTCGATCTATGTCCCTCCAAACCAACAATTCTCAGCTATCGGGCTTCATATTTAGTTACCATTCCGCCACCAACCGATTTGGCGGTACAGACATGCTGGCCTCTGCCAAATATTCAAATTACACAAGTTGATTCGACATGGCGTCGGAGTCCGAGGTTTGCGAAGGGCAGAAATGCCGTGCTTGGTTCTTTCAATGCCCTTCGTGGCGGTGAAAAAGGCCGCAGTTATCACGCTCTCTGGAAAGTGGATTTCAAAGCATTTCGACGACTTGGTATACCTCTTTGGGACATGTGGCGATTGTACCAAATGAGACTCATGGCCCAACCTCGCAGTGTGCTTTCTCCACGGGGGAACTTGGTTGGCGGAGAATCAGAGCAAACTGAATGGCCCCCTTGGATTGAAGCCTACGTATGGTTTAGTCTATCAGAGGAGGGTGATGTGATTGTACAGCTTACAAAATGAGACCTGAAGTCCTGAGAGGTCTGAGCGATATATTTGATCAACGTGATGGATCAACCAACAGCACATGGACATAGTATGAATCGAGCCTGTGACAAGATGCATAAATAATTTTAGTATTGAGGCTCATCACAATTACCCACGGTTGACCAATGTGGAGACAAGTCTGGAGACACCCACACCCACACACAGAGATCTAAACCTTGGAACCACCCTGTAGGAGTAGGTAGGATCCGGAGGCCTCACAAAACTTGGTAGATGCCGGGCATCTTTTTCTTATGCAAATATTTTAGTGATTAGATAGTTACACTATGTTCATAGTATAACCAGTTAATATATTTGGGTTGCCCGCATCAATAGACAGTGGTGAGGCCTTGAGATTCCAACTTCTAAGAAAGGTTAATTGGACCTGACATTATTTCGTCAGCTACCTTGGCGACACCGACGGCCGATACTCGCTATATAAAGCGGTCCGTCTCTAGACCTCCAACAAACCCCGCGAAGAGACTTCGTTTCATGAACTTTGAACCTTCGGCTCAAACCTAATAATTCGTTAAAATCCTATACCACGGTGCCTACCTTCTGCCCCTCTTCAGGCCTCGTCGACTTCATCACTCCGCAGTGACTAGAGCTTGAAAGAGTCTCTCCGTGTCTCCAATATAGAAGGCGAACTTAGGCGGCTCGGTATAATAGGCTAGATCAATTGATTGATCCAGTCATGGGGGCAATCCTACAATAGATGTTGTGTCCGAACTTGTAACGATCATATTTCCGTAATGAGGTAAACGTGAAGATGAAACACTATATTCATATTATGTAAAAAAATCAATTAAATTGCCCGCACTCCGATTGTATATCTGATCCGTTTGAAGTAATAATGAAAGAAGCCTGTGTGGAATGGGAAGATATAGAGGGGGTGCCCGCACGAGCTCTTGCAGGAGTGAAGAGTCCCGCAGGTTTAAGCTTCCCGTAGGAGTGTAGGTTCCCGTAGGAGCGTATTGATGGGCCCTCGCGTTCCTGGGATCATATTCGATGGTATGACCCATGGCATGGTCCATAGGTATACTACTGACAGCCCCTAGAGTAGGAATCATAATTTCTAGAGGACCTACAGCTCCTAGGATTGAAATGTATAGCTCCGGAGAACGAAAGGTGGTACCCTGGAAGGTTCGCTCTTATGCTTTCTTCGCCTTGGAGGCGGTCCTATACCGTCATTTCTCCGACTAATCGGACTAAAAGGGGGACCAGATCTTTGTAATTTACTAGGAAGGGATCTTAGGCGCCTATAAGATACCCCTCTTAGGACATGTATAAGAGCGTACTATAGATAAGACGTATGGCACCCCGAGAGAAATCTAATAGGAGTGGTACTGGGATGAGAGACTGCTTTGTCACTATGATAGAGCCATGTAGAGTATCCTGGAGGTGGTAATATGAAAGGAAGTTGATGTCAGACTGGGATATGGGCCTAGGCCCTAAACAGGAACCTTGGTTTTTGTTATGGTCTAGTGGTAAAATACGCCGTATTTATTTCCACAGTTGATACTGTTGGAGCCTCGGTCATGTGACCTGAGTGGTTGCCTGGTTTGTCAGGCTAGTCATACCTGGTTGCTGTCTCTCCTCTCTCTCAGTGTCTCTCGAGACTAACCCAACATCGATGCAGGTCAACCTCAGTTGAGCCCCATGCAATTAGCATAATAAGTTACCGTCGCAGGCCAATCCGAGAAGATCCCTCGCACTCCGACTTTGCGCGCCAATACATCCACGATGCGATACAGATCCCCATCCTTGCTAATCGCCGATGCCACCGACTGCACGTAGTACTCAGACGTCTTCGCCGCCTGCTGTAAGGGCCCCGAGCGTTCCAAGGACCAGGTGATAAGATCTAAGCCCGCATCCTTCGCTGCGACGGCGTACTCGGACGGGACGATCTCGCCGTCAGCGGTCGCATTCAGCAGCGCAAAGATCGGAGGCGCCATAATCTTCACCCCGCGCTTGGCCAGCTCGGGCAGGCTGTCCACCGCTGTCTGGTAGCCGTCTTTTGTGTCCACACGGTCATCCAGGTAGATAGCCTGTCGGCCGAACGAGGGCTCGTTGTCGATCCAGTACAGGATGTCGGCCTGGAGGAAAGATTGGGGCCACACGCGACCGGGATCAATGCCATGACGCTTGTAGTCGTCGATGAGCTGCTGCGCATACATCTCCTGAGTGTAGGAGCCCTGGAAGGGCATGGCGACAGCCGGTGTCTTTAGCTCGGGGGAGAGCTGCAGCCCAAGCGAGTCGATCAACTCAATGTATTCGTTATGTTCCATCGGTTCGGCACAAGTGTCGTACAGCTCGGTGCGCCAGGCCGGACCTCCGTACTGATATTCCTGCGGTGTGGTCGCTGCGGCATTGCTGGAGTCCATCTTCGCACAAAGGGACTTGAACTCGGCGAGAGTGATGTCGGAAGTGCAGCATTGAGCGGACGCCGGCTGGCTCGCCGTGGCCGGGGTAAATGGTTTGGAGCACTTGGCCGCTAGTTCCGGGATCATCAGGATGTTGGTGGTGGTGTGTAGATCGCACTGCGAATGGCGACAAACGAGCTCGCGGTCCTTTGTGAAGGCAACGTCGCATTCGATGATTCCGGCCCCCATTCGCGCGCCCGCGAGCATACCCTGGCGACTGTGCTCGGGGAACTGTAAGGGCCCTCCACGGTGGGAGATAGAGAAGGCTGGCGCTTTCTCGATGGGCTTCTCGCTGCAGGAAGCCAATTTCTGCTTCAACGGGCTCTCATTCATGTCGTCTACCAGGTAGAAAGGACGCGGTCCCACCTGGATGTTTGACACGACGGTCTTGCCCTGAGCACGAGAGACGGCCGGCATAGCAGTGACAGCACCGGCCGTAAGAAGTAGAGGGAGTACAGGTAAATGCATGTTTAGGGGCAATCGGAGGCCGTGGATGAGGGTTGATACGAATAACAATATTCACAATAGCAGGCAGGGTACTCCGTATTTAAGCAGTAGAAAGCATTCCACCCTTGATTAAAGAGTCTCATTATTACTCCTAATAGTACTATTGCTACCATCTAAGCACAATCTCCTTGCTATCAATTTGGCATAACGTTCTTGTGGGGACTACAGAATATATCCCGTGCAGAGTTCCCCGTTCCTAACTCGCTGCTTCACGCGTCTTGGCCGGCATGGCTAAATACTCCGATATTAGCATGCAAACACGTGGTTCATAGAATGGATAGCATCCCTGCCGAGAATTGACTACAGTTAAACGGGGTTTATGACGGATCAAGTGAGACAGCAACCATACTGCTCCAAAACCGCGGTTGTGCTTGCGGTTGTCTAACAGTACTGTAAGGAGTAAACAGTACAAATAGTTGTATATCAAGCCTCAAGAGATTTCGGACTGTGCATATGAACGGGTACTCAGGGGACCGACTTTCTTCGAACGGGACTAGGGAAATTCTAAAATCTCTTGGCATTGTCTTGGCGCGGTGCTCCTTGCACGTTTGGGAATCATTGGCTGATCACTAAATAATGATCGCGACTTGCATACAAGTGTCGGGTTGACGCTGGATGGACCATATTGGATAAAGGAAGAGAATCCGGTGAACTTGGTTATGGTAATATTCTCCAAGTCGACCCAGTTCAGATAGCTTACTCGGCCTTGGAGCACACAATGTCAACCCTGGAGTGTATGTATACTTAGGTACGTGTCACATGAAAAACATCCAAATTTGTACATCAAAATCCTGTCTAGCTATCTAATTGCAACTGGCCTGCAGCAGCTTCTTAGGTAGCACGCTGATCGTATTTCTCTCCAAGTCCCTTCAAAACAACCTTCACCAAACCTCCTAATGTACCTGCTCGGTTGATTTCCACCGTAGGAATCTCCACGCCAAGAGATCTCCGCAGCCAGTTCCTGACCTCTATGGCCATGAGGGAGTCAACTGCCATATCGGCCATTGCCTCAGTGTCATCCGCAGAATCCTGCCCTTGATCCTGCGTCTGTCCTGTAAGATTATGACTGATGAATCTGCCCAGTTCCATCAACAACGCGACCTCAGTCTCTTTTTTGCCCGTCAGCGAGGGATCTGCTTGTATCTGAGCAAGGAGAGCCTTTAACGCATTTGCATGAGAGGACTGATCCCCACCAACGCCAGCACTGGCGGAGTCAAAGTTGGGATAAATCGAAAAACGAGCGTCGCGTCCACCGAGGAACATCTCCTTGGGGATATCGGCCACGCGCCTTGTGTGCGCGATTCCGATTGCCATTACCCCATTCGCGTTAGAACCACTAACTGAAGCTATGTTTATTGCTGCGGCGAGCCCATCAATCACTTCAGCTTCGTGGAGCACATGTAGCGCGCTTGAATGCACTCGCTGCAGGAACCGGGAGTTGCGACTTGCGGCACCAACATCTCCAACCACCCCGAGGTGCAAGATAGAAGAAGGGAGTCCTTGCTGTCGTCGATACCGGGTGAATGCTTCCAAAAACGTAGTTGCTGCTGCGTAATTGGCCTGTCCGCTGTTGCCGCATATCCCGGAAATAGACCCAAACACGATAAAGAAATCGAGTGAGTGCTGCAATGTGGCATGATGCAGGTTCCAGGTTCCAGCGACCTTCGGAGCCAGTGCTGCATCCCATTCCTCATGGCTCATCTGCAAGAACGGCCGATCCTAATATGAAGTTAGGTATTAGATGTTGTGTTCGGCATTGCATTAGGGCGAGGAAGCGGGAGATGGGCTTACCTTCAAGTCAACTGCCATTTGGAGGACACCAGCAAGAGGCCGCGTGGATCTGGCAACAGCCTCCTTTACATCCTTGAGGTTCGCCACATTGCCTGGCACGCAGATAACTTGACAACCTTGTGCCTCAAGTTCCTGAATAAATGCTTGATCCTCCTCGGATTTGCCAGCTGACCGCGAGAGGAAGATGAGCTCTCGCGCATTCTGCTCGACCATCCATGTTGACACGGATCGCCCAACACCACCGAGCCCGCCAATGAGTAAGTATGCGGCGTCGGATCGGAATGACGGGAATGTCTTCACGACAGGGGAGGCAAGCTTTCCACGGAGGATGGCATACGCACCACAATCTTACCTAGGTGAGTACCTGCCTGCATATACCTAAATGCACTGACAATATCGGCCGCATCAAAGACTTTGACAGGATGGATAGGTCCGATTTTCCCCTGGCGATACCAGTCTGAAAATGTTACCAGCGTGCTGCGATGTATTAGTTACCATTCCTTGAAGGCCCATCCGGGACAAACCGTTTGAGAACCTCCGGAGTTTCCTTGCAAACGTGTGCGAGGTCAACGCCGAAAAACGCTCGGTTGGCTTCGAAAAGGCCCATATTAAGGATTCCATGACCGATGAAGTCGCGTTTTCCCAGTTCAACCATCCGACCGAACTTCGCAACGCATTCCCACGAAGCGTGTAGTAAGTTACCGGACAACGAATTGAGCACTACGTCAACTCCCCGTCCAGCGGTGGCACGCATCAGGTCTGGTTGGAAGGATGTGTTGCGAGAGTTGAAGATCCGTTCCCGAGGTAAACCAAAGTTCTCCATCAAATGGGCTACCTTTTTGTCGTTGCCAACAGTGGCATAGATCTATATTTGACTGATGATCAGCTCCGATAACCATATCATTTACAGGGAAGTGGACTGACCTCGGTACCAACAGCCTGGCATACTTGCAGAGCAGCTAGTCCAACCCCACCGCACGCCGAGTGAATGAGAACGGACTGTTATCAAGTCAGTTACCATCAATATTGGAAGAACACAGTAGTGACTCGCCTGTCCCTTCTTCAGCGCACCAATCTCAAGTAGCGAATAGAGAACAGTTACGTAGGCTGTTAGCATCGTGGCAGCATCTGCCATTGACAACCCCTGCGGTAGCTTGATACAAGCTTCTTGGGGCACTACAACATTCGAGGCCAGAACACCAGAATGCATCAGCATCACGCGATCTCCCACCACGATATCGGTCACATCAGGTCCAACTTGAAGCACAATACCGCTACCTTCAAGTCCTAGATCTTCTTTGTTCCCGAAGAAGCCCATTGCAACCATCATATCCTAGAATATAATGCTCAGCGCACCATTCGAGATCAATGTGGAGTGCGGAAGTCTTACCTTGAAGTTGAGTCCAACGTAGTCCATCTCGACCTCAACCTGTCCCTCACTCAACTCATAGGATGGCTCTTTCTCAGCCCAGTGAAGGGTATCCAACAGCCCGTATGTCGTCAGAGTCAGCTTTCGAGACGCATCTGCACGAGATGGACTTGCGAGGTGCTCGACGAGAGGTGTCCAGTGGTACCGGCCGACCTTAATCTCGCCTTCATGCAATGTATACTCATACTCTGAATCGGGAAGGGAGTGAGCGCGGGACCTCTGTATCCTCTTGCACACTTGGATTACAGCCTTTCTGTCGGCAGCATCCCATGCAGGAAGCTCCAAAATTGAGAGATCAAGCAACAGCTCTGACCGTAAAGTGCGGGCTAGCCCATGGATTAAGCCAAACATTGGATCCGAGCAGGTGTGAGAGGTTGACTGCGTGACCCACAAGATTTGACATTCTTGCGCTTGCTCTATGTATCGTCGGAATACCTCGTACTCATCCTTCGGCAGGGAGCTTATTGGGACTCCTTCAAGGTCCAGCAGAGATACGATGAATTTACCTTTGGGTGGCTCTTGATCCAACGTAGTCCAGTTTGTGGTGTAGCCTTCGTTGCGGAACAGTGATTCAACATCACTCGCCCGCTGGGATGGGGTGGAATTGCTTGTTAGCAGCCAGATATCGGTAGGGATGGAGATATCGTCCACCGGCCGTGACAACATGCTGGCGGATATATGATATGGCGGCTTTTGGTCATAAGCCGTTACATCAGCTCCAGTGAAACCTGCAGCTCGTAGCTCCCCATCCCATCGCTCGGGTGAAATGTACGGGTGCTCTGCTCGGTCATCATTCTCCCGAGCCACCAGCCGGTGAATACACCCTATAAAATATGTAAGCGAAACAGATAATGTGAACTAGGAAAGGAAGGCGCCTACCATGGTGAAATCTGGCATTAAAATTTCTACACCCTAGTCAGCTCAATGCTCCAAGCTTAAGGTTCTTAACATACCTGGGCTAGTGTCATGCAGCAAGAAGCGTCCGGTGGGCTTTAGAAGAGAATGCACATGACGGAGTGAAGATTGAAGACTGGGGGTGGCATGGAGAACCTGGCGGAGAAGGTGAGTCAGCCCTGTTGCAACGGGACATTCTAGTCAAAGACTCACATTGGAAGCGATGATCAAGTCAAAGCTATGAGGGTCGAACCCTTGTTCAACAGGATCAAGGGTGATATCGAGAACTTTATATTCCATGCACTGCTCATTACTGAATTTCTCCATTGCCGCAGCCATAAAGCCCGAGGAGATGTCAGTAAAAACATACTGGCCGTACATACGCTCCCCACTCGTGGACTTAAGAAACTCTATAGCCATCGCCGTTGCGGAGCCGGTACCTGCACCAATCTCAAGTACTCGTAGACCAGGGTTGGAATGACAGAGTAACGGGAGGAATGGGTTCCAATTGGCATACTGCGTGTGCGCACCATGGAAGTGGTGCAGCAAGTTGTCTTTCATGAGAACCTCCAATGGGCTGCTTTCACCAGATATAAACTGTTTGGAGTTATCGAGAACGACTTGTATGCAATCCGCAATTGGAGCATCAAAGGTAAATTGGGTCTCTGCTGTCACCTTCCGTATCATCTCCTGTCTGTCTGCGGAATCCAGTGATGCCCACTCAGACGACTCCGGGTAGATGGATTGTTGTCCGTTTACTTTCATGTTGAAAGCTGCGTCCTGGATGAATTTCTTCCATTTTGCGAAATGTGGTGATATTGGGTCGATGTCTCGAATCTGCTCCGCCGCCTCCAGAACAGAAAGCGCGGATAGCTGCCCCACGGCTTTGATATTCATAGCATGTGACGTATAATCGGGTGGTGTAGACAGAAGTGCTGCTGAGGGCAAAAAGTCAATGTCCGATTTCCACTCCAGATGGGTTACCGAGCCCGCGGCGCCAGTTCCAGAATCTATATGATCGTTTTCCAAGTCGAAAAGATAAGCCCCTTGAATGGAGAGCACCACCCGATCATCAAGCATGGCAATGGCATCTCCCAGTTGGCCATCCCTTGTGCCACTCTTGGTTCGGGCGCTTGCTGGCATAGGTGGGCCCCCTGGTCCAACGAACAAGTAGTCTATCATAGCTGGAACATAAATGGTGGTGAGGTTCCGCGGCAAGCCCTGAGCACAGGCCACACCCATGAGTTGGAGACATTGATCAATCGCCGTGGGATGCAGCGAATACCTACTCCCAGGTAGTCCACGGTTACCCAGGACAGTCGCGGTTGCCCTTGGTCCAGTGGGATCTGCTGTGATCTGCTCCAGGCCTTGAAACTGAGGACCGTAATCTATTCCGCTCCTTTGAAGCACTCGATACAGACCTTCAGATGGCACAGCCCGCTTATACGAAGAGATTGGGAATGGCTCTGGGGGATGATCGAACCCAGGTCTTACTTGACCTTGACAATGTAGTGTCCATCTTTCCCCGTCATGGACCATGACTTTGAAACTGTACCAACCGGATGAGACCCTATCAGCCACTTCGACCGGACAGAGGCTAGTCACTATCTCGATCTGGTCTCCCTCGTGAAATAGTAGCGGCGTTGTAAATGTTGTATTGCGCACTGAATAGCTGTCGTTGTCCGGATGCAGCTGTTGGACCGCCTCGCCTACCATGGCCACAAATCCAGCACCAGGAAATGTGACGGCCCCTTGGATTACATGATCCAAGAGCCAGGGAACATTGTCCAGCGTGACTAGATTGCGCCAAGAAGGCCCATGATCGGTTGTATCGACGACCCGTGAACCGAGGATCTCATGGTGTGGAAACTTGCGCTGCCTCCACTCCCTACTCAGTCGACTCTCACTCCAGTAGGGGCGATCATGTTGCCAAGGATAAGGTGGAAGGTCTGTCAACGTGTTCCCCGGTTCTGTTATGCTTGGCAGATTCACTCCCATCCCACTTGCATAGGCCTGTCCCGCTGTCCTGAGTAGCTGGCTTTGGACATCCTCGTCATACCTAAATAAAGTGGGGATGTAGACCGGTGACCTCGCTGGCAGAGTTCGGAAGAGTTGTCGCAGGGGAGCGGCAAGGGCTGAGTGTGGCCCAACTTCTAGGAAGACCGGTGTCCCACTAGCAGGTAGACTTTGGATAGCCTCAGTGAACAGCACTGGTGACTCCAGATTTTGTCGCCAGTATGATGCATCTAGTTTGCGAGGGTCGGTGATCGTTTCGCCAGTCACGCTGGAACAGAAAGGAAGCATCTCCTGTTCATGCTCAATATGGTTAGAGATACAATATTCATATTCAGAGCCAATCTGTTTCATGTGGTCTGCAAGTAATGTAAGCACAAAGGTACCAGAGTAGGTCGCAGGGGGTATCTACCAGAGTGATAGGCAATTTTCACTGCAAGCCGCCGGCACAGTGTATCTGGATTTGCCGTCTTAATGCTTTCAATCACACGCTCAACCGAATCTTTATCTCCTGATAAGGTGACACTATGTGGACTATTGTGGCAGGCAACAACCACTCCAGGTGTTAAGTATTGGGTCACTTTATCCGGGGCAAGGCCGACAGCCACCATAGCGCCCAAGCCTTCCATCGGTTTTGCAACTTTACCTCGATAGTATGCTATAACAATAGCAGTTCTCATCGAAATGGCTCGGGCAGCATACGCAGCCACAATCTCTCCGCTCGAATGCCCGACAACTGTGGATGGCTCGATTCCCCAGGCCCGAAGGATATTTACAAGGCCGATTTGAAGGGCAATACAGAGAGGTTGAGAGAACTCGGCTTCGTGAACCCGGGAAATTGAACTCTCTTGGGTTAGTTCGTCTGCCAGCTATATTAGTCAAAATATTCTCGTAACTTCAGTGGTAGGGCCCTCAATCTGACCATATAATAACCAATCTGGGGCGTCGGGTAGCTGCTGGAGTGCCTCGTCCATCCTTTTGATATCCTCCTTGAACCCTGGGAAGCTAGACAGAAGCCTCAGGCCCATCCCAGGCCATTGAGCTCCCTGGCCCGTAAACACAAATACGACATTTGAGGAACTAGTGTTAAACATCAAGAACGCTGTATCATCTAGTGTAGGGTTACTCGGCTGAACCACCGCGAAAGCCCGGTGGGAGAGATGCGACCTCCGCGCAGCCAAAGTGTACGAAAGATCATGGAGGCGGTCCGGGTGATTCTTTACATAGTCGGTGATCTGGCCAATGCGCTTGCGAAGCGTGTCTGCAGTGTGCGCAGACAAGACCAAGAGTTGTGGATTGGAAAATCCAAGCGGTGTGGTTTGAGACTTCAGAGAGACTGTTGAGGCGGACTCGAGAATGGCGTGGGCATTGGATCCCCCAATACCGAACGAATTCACGCTGATCCGTTCGGGTCTGCCAGCAGGCCAAGGAGTCGGTTCTAGGGGCACGTGGAGATTTGCCTCTTTGAATGGAATCTGGGGATTCGGCGTTTTGAAGTGGGTATTAGGTGGGATCGTCTTGCGTTCCAGTGACAAAACGGACTTGATGATGCTTGTGATACCTGAGGCACCCTCTGAGTGACCGACGTTTGGTTTGACCTGTGAAATGTACAGCATAAGTGACATGCTTCGCCTTGGGCAGCTCTGGAAATAGACAATACTAACTGCAGTGATATATGTTGCGTCTCCTTGGGTCATCTTTGCAACTACTGAGGCTTCGATGACATCGCCGACGGCTGTTCCAGTCCCATGGCATTCAAAAACGGGTGTCTCGTGAACTGCCTCAATTCCCGCAATCTGATACGCGTGTCGGATCAATTTTTCTTGAGATATAGGACAGGGTTGAGTAAGGTTAGGGGTCTTTCCGTCGTGGTTGCTCACTGTGGAGCGGATGACAGCACGGATGGCGTCGTTATCACGAATGGCTCCCCGCAGTGGTTTGAGATATATGCAGTTGATCCCCTCGCCACGACCGTACCCATCTGCCTCAGCATCGAAGGTATGAGATATACCACTTGGTGATAAAACCATGTTTTTGGTCATGGCATCTGTCATGGTGGGGCTCCATATAAGGCTTGTCCCGCATACCAGAGCTGAGGAGCACTCTCCAGATCTGAGTGCTTGACAGGCCTCGTGCAGACAGACCAGGGATGAAGAGCAAGCTGTTTGAATGGTCATGCTACAAAAGGTCAGAGACTTTTGACATAAAGACACCGGACCGCACTCACCTCGGGCCCGAGATATTAAAACGATAGGATATTTGGTTTGCCAATGCGAAACCACCGGTGCCGATGGGATATACCTGATTCAGATGCTGGGGATCTTTATGCGATATCTCTAGCCAATCTTCCCCAAAAACCCCGACAAAGCAACCGATATTTTTCCCGCGCCACTTGGTCTCCCCTGAGTTCTCCAGACACTCCCAAACCACCTCTAGCAAGAGCCGTTGCTGGGGGTCCAGGCGCGCCGCCTCGTGGGGAGGAACAGAGAAGAAGGAAGCGTCAAAACAAGCTGGATCTTCTTGCAAAAAGAACCCTTTTCTCGTTTCGCTCAGGTCTCCACAATCGGACCTGCTGGACGCCTCTCTGGAGCAGCGCGAGGGAGGTGCTTCACAAAAGCCGTCTCGTTTTTGCACGAGCATTTCCCAAAATTCATTTCCACATCGAACATCGCCCGGTAGCCGCATTGCCATACCAACGATAGCAATTGGCTCCCCAAAATCCTCCACATGGTTTCTGCATGATGATTGTCCTTGTCCAGTTGTTGAGTTCATTTTGGTCGAATGATGGATAGTTTGAGACTGGATCAAGATGGCTGCAGAGCAGACAAAGGAAAAGTTCAACCAGGGTTTCAGCTCTGATATTACAATGTATGGCCTTTTGACCATCGATAAAATTAACGCCTAAGTTAGCGAGTAGGCCAAATCACACACAATATGTACCTACATATCCTGGTTTTGCAAGATTCAAGAAACACATTTCCTCCGAAATCCTCCGCTACCGGAGGAATCATATATGCCTGAATGGCTCCTCGGCTGTATTGCCGGACGCTGCGGAAGTTGAAGATGTGTCAGTCTGCAGCTTGCCCTCGGGAAACATGGCTTTCTCAATGTTGTTCAACACTACTCCAATCTAGACCCGCATATGTGCGACTGCAACACAACTAGTCACCGAGATGCTATCTATATTTTACTGCCATATTGAAACAGGTATATGCAAGGCCGAGTGTCAAGGAACCAAACAAGCGGCCTCATTAGAGGTGGTGTTCTTGTTGGAGAACTTGACCTTATATCTAAACCAAAGGCGAGGGTGAGCATACAACAATATATCACCACATCAGGTAGTAGTTGTCGTCACTAGATCTGGTACTACAGAGGCTAGAACAATCAGAAGGAAAGGTCGGCACAAAGGAGCCTTCAACCCTCCGGATGTCTAACCCAATCTCCTCCGCTTCGGGTGTTCAACGTAACCCACCCTCATCCAGATATTGAGTCTCTGGTGTGGCACACAAAAGGTACCTCGTGTCGGATAGACCCTGAGGCATGGCCGAGTACGACCCAACATGCCTTGAGGCATAATGCTTTGGGCCGATTAAGCCGTTGCATTCCGTTATTCGGAACTCAGAAGAAGTGGCGGTCTCGACTATTTGTTTCGATTTTACTATATGCCGATATGGAGGGTACTGCATTTCCCTTGACACGGAGGCGGGTATTCGTTCTTTGGATGGTATGGATTGTTTAAGGGTGAGACATATCCTAATATGCTCAGCACTAAGTGGTTAAATGCCGTAAGCGGCCGTGAGGAACGAGGCCTAAAATCAAAATAATAATGTATTACCACTAGATGTTAGATTGTGGCTTACAGCGGTCATTACAGATAAAGCATGAGATGATATATGGTTATATATCTGGTCCTCTAGTACTTTAACCTGCCGTCTGACCGACAACTACCGGGTACATTTTCTCACTGTCCTAGGAAATCTTGTTAGTGCAACTCCTTTTATGTTGTAAAGATACCCATTACTTCCAACCCAGAAGCAGCAGACAACTTTTGATCAAAATGGACCGCGAATGGTTTCGAGGACAAGTCGTCTTCCTCACCGGGGGAACTGGGAATCTTGGCAGTTGTCTGCTATACAAGCTAGCCATTCAACTTCCAACAGCCAAAATATTTGTTCTGGTACGGGGGTCTGTCCAAAGGGCAATCGAAGCATGGGAGCAATCGATTCCAGAGCAAGTGGAAGAGATCATCGCCACTTGCAAGATCCAGTTCTTCCTCGGTGATATGACCCAGCCTAACCTCGGTCTTTCCGCTGAAAATATATCACGATTACAAAATGAGACCACGGTGGTGATAAATGCTGCTGGTGACATTGCTCTATCTCGAGATCTCGCAGAAACTATACCAGTCAATTGTACTTGTCATCTGACACTTGCCTCTCTACTCGATAGTTTCACTCAGCTACAGCGCTTTCTACACATATCAACCACATACGTGTCCAGCTTTCTCCCCAACGGCGTGGTCAAGGAGCAAATCTACCCTCTATACAAAGACCCGGTAGAGGAACTAGGGAAGATTCTCGTTACAGGAAAATCGTCCTATACCAAACAATTCGCGGCCCCCTACGCATTGGCCAAACACCTAGCCGAGAGTTTGCTTATTGGGGGCAACCACAAATTTCCCATCCTCATCGTGCGGCCCTGTCTCATATCACCGGCAATCGAGGAGCCCTACCCTCTCTACGGCAGCGACGGCGCCATACCCGTACATTCCTTCCTCCAGATACTCCTTGGAGACTCGGAGCATTGGTATCTGAAGCTCGAGCAGAGACTACCTTCGCACGCACCCTGCAACGAGATTCCAGTTGACCTCGTGGCACGTACATGTCTGGCTCATGTTGCGCAAGGAACGACGGGTGTGGTCCATGCCAGCGCGGATCTGTATGTCTCTCGAACAATTGGGGGATTCCTCGAGCGAATGCGTCGCTACGCGCCAGAGGGAGCCGCCGAGCAGGTAAAGAAGGCCGGGCTTCACCACGGAGACGTCACGGCTCCTGAGTTTTACTCCATGATCCAGCAATTCGCGCGGGAGTGGAAGATTGAATGTACGCGATCTGCTCATCTGAAGCACGTGGCAGGCCCGTTGGGGCTTGACCTTGGCAATCATGATCCGGAGATATTCTTTAAACTACGTATCGAGCGACTCGCCAAGAGTATTCTGCCAAAACTTGAAAGTGCTACTGTGGCCAACAACAAGGTCTATCCGAAGTTCTCTCGATAGGTGACCACTGGGTCCACTGGCTTTAGTTGGAGTATCGTCTATGGGCTCTTAAATGGCTTATCTTATGTATTAGAGTTAGTGCCTTTGCAATATTCTCTTGGAAACTCATAGTATGTGATGTCGAACGGCTCTTTCGTAGAGTTGCGCCAAGCCAAGATTCTTTCTAAAGGAAAAACAAATAAGGCGTATAATACCGGCTGGGCGCTAATGGGCCGAAGGTCCGACAATATATATGCTTCACAATCCATTGAAGGTGTCATTCTTCTCAAAAGTCCCCCCATTATGCTTTCAGCCAACGCCCCTGCAGGTATACCTTGCATGGGTAGACCGTTGGCTCTTTTGTTGATAGGTCATCTGACCTGGTTTGCTCCCACACAAGTAGTCTCTTGCTAGTAGATAGTTTCTTCCTTCTCCACGCAACTATCAATTGTCCAGAGCACTCTAATTCTTCATAGTAGATCCTCTGTACCCTCCATCAGGTTATGAGCGCCTGTATCTTGAAGCCTCTTTCTCACGATAAGCTTCAAGTCCTCTGATTGGCGTCCTGCGTCACACCAAGCCCGTAAAATCCACTGTGTGCGGTCCCAACTGGGTCAGTCGGCTTTGTCTCGAATGGCTCTGCCAGTCCGCCCAAGCAACTCATTAGCTTGGACCAACTGGCTGCTATTTTTGGGCAAAAGTATTCAAATTCATTGATCCTGCCCGCTAAGTACTAAGTTTCCCAGAAATATGGGGCATAGTACGGAGTACCGCTAGACCAAAGATTTCTTAATGTACTCCGTAGTGGACGGTCATAAAGCAAAATAGGTCCACTACACGGCTTAATTGTTGTTATCGTACCTGGTGGCTTGCAGGTGGCGTCCTGGCGCCGAAACAAGCCAACATTTTTCACGAGTCATAATGAGTTAACCATATTGTGGATAGCTCGGAATTACTCTTATGGGATTTAGCGGATTTGACGGTTAGTTACGTGCCAGTGTACGCAGCGAGTATAGAGCTGCCATTTCCGGGAAATACTGATGCCTTAATGCCTTGTTTTGGCCTGGTCTTTGCCTCGTTATGTCGCTCTGTACAATGTATTGTAGACCATGAGCTTGTAAAATCAGGCTTTTGTTCCCTGGCCGATTGTATACACCTTCAGGAATACATCGTACAAGGATATATGTTCTAACATAGAAACCTGCATTAATGACCAGTTTAGGAGTTTGTTGTCGAATCTGTAGCATTTGCGTTTTCCTACGAACATCGCGCGATATATAATTGACCACCCGAATAGACTATAGCATACGGGGACAGCCTGGGATGTCTCATAACAAAAATAGAACAAACCAAACGAGTTATCCATCTAAAATTGTGTATCTGAAGAAAATGGATCCGAATGTTTCCGTGACTAAGTCGCTTCGCGTGAGCCTTCCAAGGTTGGCATTTTCCTTCGGACATTCTCCGCCTTTTTTCCTCCTTCTACCCCAGAAATCCCCAGACTCTCCAAACTCCACCCCTGAACATTCAACATGGAGGAACCAGTCCCTCCATTACGTCCTGAATCAAGAATGCCGGACACTTTCAACAGCGCCACCCCGCTTATCGAAGAAGAGGCCTTCTTATCACCGGGAACATTCTCCAGCGCGGATGACTACGCCGCCAACCCCAGGTTCCTTGAATTACAAGAAGAACTCCGCTGCGTACTCTTTTCGGCAGTAGCAAGCCTCGAGCCAGCAACGTACACATCCCCAGCTCCGCTAGAACCAACAGAGGGACCGCAGCCCCGACCTCCACGCCAAAGCCTAGACTTCACACGGGTTATCTCAATCCCCAAAATCAGACTAATCTTCTACCTAAAAAACTGGATAACAGAATGCGCGCCTTACCTCGATAAATTCGACGAGGCGCGCCATTTCGGCGTCCACATCCCAATCCTAGCACAAGGTTCACCAGCCCTGTTCTACGCAATCCTCGCCTTCTCCGCACGGCAGACAGAGCGAAAGGCCTGCCTGGACAAAGCCTACGACAGCCTCGAGCTGTACCAAGAGTCCATCCGTCTCCTGGCACCATTACTCCAAGCAAAAGACCCCAATGTCCTCGTGGCAGTGTGTATCCTAGCCGTGATGGAACTAATGTCCGTCAGCCCGCGCGACTGGCGACGACACGTGGAAGGCTGCGCCGCGCTCTTCGACTCGTTCAACGTGAACGGGCTCTCAGGCGGACACTTGCAAGCCGTGTTTTGGTGTTATGCGCGCATGGAGTTGTGCGGCGCGATCATCTCCAACGGCGCTGAGAGTACAGTGCTCCCCCTGGAGAAATGGGTCCCCGCCATGCCGCAGGATACTTCGAAGGAGGCACAGGAAGATATCATCCGCGACTTGTTTTGCGAGAAGGGCCGTGCGTCCGCTGATATGCACGCCAATTGGGCGGTTTATCTATGTGCGAAGGCTTGCGACCTCTGTTGTCGCCGAACGCGGTTTTTGGAATTGGGTGAGGCGACTGATGATACGCGTCCATTCTCGGAACAGTGGAGTCGGCTTTGGGAAGAATTGCAGTACTGGCTTGAGCAGCGCCCGCCTGCTATGCTACCTATTAAGACTACGGGAATGGGCAGCGGGCAGATCTTTCCGGAGATTCTGTTTGCGCATTGGGCTGCTATTTCCGGGAATCAGTTGTATCATGCTGCGTCTATCATGATGCTGGATATGAAGCCTGTTGAGAGGGGACCGGCTCCTTCCAAGCCGCATTTTTCGGCTATCTGGCATGCTCGCAGGGTTTGCGGGATTTCGTTGACGAATCCTCACAGTGGGAACTTGATCAATGCTATTCAGCCGCTCTACATTGCGGGCAAGCTACTCAGCCACCATAGTGAGCATGTTGAGGTTGCGAAGCTGTTCAAGATTATTGAGCGCACGACTGGATGGGGTGCTTTGTGGCGACTCAAGGATCTTGAGAGAGCTTGGGGGTATGAACCCGGGGAGATATCAGGTGTGATCTGAGGGATTTGGTACAAATGATACAGTTCCAATTATGCTACAACTCAGTGCCTTGCATTTGCTCCGACGAGATTGTGACCCTACCATGTTCGAGCGGCAGTTCAATGACCGGCAATCAACATGCGAACCCAAGGTCACACAAATGATGGAATTGGTGGGATAAATTGCAACTGATCCATACACCGATCAGTGGCCTGTCTCGGGGTTCTAGCCAGTCCAAAGTACTTGCAACGCAAGACAAGATCCGTCCCAAAAAACCGCATCGACCGGTCCCACTTCGAATCTGCAGAAGTGTGGGGATACTACAGGATGCATGATGCGCCTCTTGAACCTCAGCATGAATTTGAAATACATTGTCACCTGCCGAATACCCCGAGGTGCAACCGCCCGCTAGTACACGTGGATGGTCCCATAGTTGGGGCTACAGGCAGTATCTACGTCCCTGGACGGGAAGGACTTCTCCCACGAACTACTCGGTCGAAACATCTGCTTAGCAACATTGTTGGGGAATCAGCTGTCAGGGCGATGTTGAAGGCGATCATGAGATTGATCTATTGAAATACATTCATGTCAGCGATAAAACCACAAACCAACCTTGGATTCAAAGCAGAGAAAAATGACCCATATCTGACTTGCAAGTTAGTCAGCGTAAGACTGGCAGTCACTCCCGGCATATTAAAATCAACGTATCCACCCATAATCATGAGATCCTTGGCAAGTGACGCAAACTGCGGATCCATACGTGCAGCAAGCGGGATATTGGTCAATGCTCCAGTGGATGGATACCTACTTGTGGACCATCTACAGCATGAAGATCCACGCCGAAATCGAATTCTCCGGCCGACCTGCGGGGAAGCTATGAAAGCCTCCTTGACATACGGTTCGGATCATCCGAAGTCCGTTGCCTTCGGCTTCCAACGCATTATTCTCCCGCCCGAATGCGCCTTTTAGGACAGCTTGGCGTTTGGTTGGGCGTGTTGCGCCCGGGTAGGAAGCTTAGGTTTCCGGCCTCCAGGGTCGCGACAGGATGAAGCGACGTATGGGGCTCCTACCTGTTGACCGTGTTTGGGGTTTGATTAGAATTTAATCATTGCACATTACCGCGATGATATACGATGTATGGTTCAATATCTCAGCAGCCGCCAAGTCTAGAATTTCTGCGTTGCTATCTCAAGCTACCAGGTACAGCACAAATCCTGTCGTATATGTTGTACCAATCATCGTCTACGATGGCGTAGTGTTCTTACCGGATATGGGGTACTGCAAACCCGGCAATGAGCTACATGGTAGCGGAACCGATGGGGACCAATGCTTGTAGGGCCAAGGAGGGAATGTGGCCATTACGACGAATATTGTATACGGCGCACCGGTATATCAAATTAATTCAACAGGTGTCTTCACTACTCCGTATTTTGATAAAAATTCGAAAGTTTATCTCAACCCCAGATATCAGGAATTAGCGGTCCCGAACCTGCTTGGATATCAATTTTACCTCCTTAGGAAAGACAGTGGCTCCGTTCTTCCAAAAGGAACGACTCCCTCCACATCCACATTTTGCCGAGGCCGAGTTCTATGCTTGGTCCGGCTAGCCCGTTCAGGGCCCGAAGGGCAAAACAGCAAACCGATTCATCCCGAGGATTTCCACTTCTTTCCTGTCTCCACCATCGGAGCCATTCTGGGAGATTGGAGGCTACGTACCGCCCAAAAGGGTTTAGCGAGCCAGTTCCTCCACCATTTTGCCTCCACAAAAAACAACAAAATTCGGGGTTCCGGGGTTGTTGACCCATGAAAAGACAGAAGACGAGAAACTGGAGAAGTTCAATTTACTCAGGTGAGGGTTTTTTTTTGCTTTGCACGTGGTGCCACTCGGACTATGACAGAATTAAATTCAATCAATTCAATTCCAATGGGCATATATATTGAGACCCTCTTTCCCCCATGTTTTCGATTCCCCAGATTTCATCTCTTAGCGCTTGGAAATTCTCTCTACTCCAATATTGCCCAACATGACTGAGGCGGAATCCATCCCGCGAGTCCAACTCGCGAAGAAATCCATGTGGCAGTCTGTCTTCGAGAACCCCAAAGTGCTAGCCATCGCTTTCTTCGCCTCGTAAGACGTCCCTCTTTTCAAACGCACGAACCAAATACTAACAACCCCAGATTCGGTGGTTTCGAGTATGGCTACCAACAAGGTGTCCTCGGCCAGTCCCTGGTCATGACCCGCTTCATAGAGAATTTCCCAACAGTAGTAGCCTCCTCCACCGCAACAGGCTGGCTAACCTCTGTCCTCCAATTGGGCGGTGTCGTCGGCTCCCTGTCAGCCGGTATCTTGGGCGAAGTCTACTCGCGCAAATACACAATGTTCTTCGCCTGTTGCTGGGTCATCCTCGGCAGCTACCTGTACATCGGCGCGACAGCCGGCAACCCGTCCCTGCTGTACGCGGGCCGATTCTTCACCGGCCTTGGCGTCGGTCTCTTCAGTGGTGTGGGGCCTCTCTATAACGCCGAACTGGCCGCACCTGAAATGCGCGGTCTGCTCGTCTCCTTCTATCAGTTCGCTACTATTCTCGGAATAATGATTTCTTTCTGGGTCGGGTATGGCAGTAACAACATCGGCGGTACGGGAGATACGCAGTCCGATCTTGCTTGGCGTCTGCCTTCTATTATTCAGGGTATCCCTGCTGTTGCGCTTGCTTGTGGTATTTGGTTTATGCCTTTCTCACCCCGCTGGCTGGTTAAGCAGGGTCGGGATCAGGAGGCGCAGGATACCATTGCTTGGATGCGTAAACTCACTGTTGATCATGACCTTGTGCAGATGGAGTACCTTGAGATTAAGGCTGAGGCTGTCTTTGAGGAGCGTGCGTTTGCTAAGGCTTCGCCGAAGCTTGCCGATAAAGAGAAGAAGAGTGTCTTCATGAACCAGATCGCGCAGTATACCAACTGCTTCCGCTCGATGGATAACTTCAAGCGTGTTTGTATTGCTTGGTTGGTTATGTTCTTCCAGCAATGGAGTGGTGTCGATGCTAGTAAGTTGGTCTGTTTGAATATGTCGGGAATATTTGGCTAATCATCCACTAGTTATTTACTACGCCTCAAATGTCTTCGTCAGTCTCGGACTGACTGGTGGTACCATTGCTCTGCTGGCAACCGGTGTGACCGGTGTCGTCTTTCTCATCAGTACCATCCCCGGGATGTTGGTCATCGACAAGTTTGGCCGCAAGCCCATGCTTCTGGTCGGATCTCTTGTCATGCTTGCTAGCATGGTCATCGTCGGCGTGATCGTGGCCAAGTTCCAACATGACTGGCCTCACCATGTGGCAGCCGGCTGGACCGCAGTTGGTAAGTACCAATTTCCATTCCGATTCCATATCCCAGTCGCTAACCTAACTTTTCTAGCTTTGATCTGGCTGTATATCGCAGGCTTCGGCGCCACTTGGGGCCCCGTCTCATGGACTCTAGTTTCCGAGATCTTCCCTCTGTCTATCCGGGCAAAGGGTGCCTCCATCGGTGCCTTCAGCAACTGGATCAACAACTTCGCTATTGCCTTCTTTGTTCCCCCTATGCTCCAGAATTGGGAATGGGGTACTTATATCTTCTTTGCTGTTTTCCTTGCATGTGGTATTGTCTGGGTTTGGTTCTTCCTCCCTGAAACCAAGGCGCGTCGTTGGAAGATATGGATCGTGTTTTCAAGAGTAATGCCGGCGAGCAGGATGCTGAGCTCCTCCGTGAAGCGCAGCGCGATGTGGGTTTGACTTCGTTCCTTGAGCGTATGTCCGGAAATAGCGGCGATCTCGAGAAAAATGAGGCGTTGCAGTATATTGAGAAGGTTTAAGCGGTTTCTATAAAGGCTCTGTGTGGCTGAATGTCGCATTTAGTTTATAATTCATTCAATGTTTACGAAGTGATTGCTTTCATATGCACATCTGTTTAGATCCACTTTGTAGAACCCTATGCTTGGCTTGATCATCTATAGAGGACAGTTGAAGCAAGAGTGATAGCATGGAGATCTTAGAGTGGAGTTCTAGTGGTCATGGCTGCCCCAGGCCATCGCGGTCTTTCAGCTGCGCCTTCCCGGGTTGGAACCTTCCACAAGGAAACAAACCTGACATAAAACCCTTCTTCTTTTCCATTTTCACCTTTCCTTTTTTCTTCTCTCGCACTCCACTCCTACTATCCTCTTACCACCCTGTCTTTCCTTATCCTCTCCTCCTCATCAACCCAGGCCCACGTCCAAGTTGATGGCGAGACCCGCACAATCTTGAGACATGGTGCAGAACTTCTATACATCTCGATGGAAAGGGGAGAGGGAGCTCCCTCGCGTCTAGGGAGGAGGAATTCTCCTAAATTTCAATCCCGAGACACAAAATGGCTATCCAAACTAGGGGTGGTCTGCGAGCTTGAAGGAATGTCGGCCCTCAAATCCTTTCTATATAAATCATATAATGTTCTTCGGCCACGAATGCAATTACCGAAAGACTTGAGACACCGAATCGATTATAATGGTCTCTGGCGTGCGGCATGGACTTATGTGACTTATTGGAGGTTGGAATGCCCCTACAAACCACGACCAGTCTGAAATGGGAGCAAGAGCCAACCATCCGCAAGACTCCATTGGGATCCCAATCCAACTCAGCAACAAACCATCACACCTGTCAAAATCCTCAAACCTGTCGTGCGCGGCGGAGCTCTACAACCTATTGGAGCTGTGACGTTCTTGCGCATCATCAGCAAAAACATGCGCTGGGACGGTCTCACAGAAGTGGACCCCCCAGGCGGGTGTGTTCTTTTGAAAACATCAAATATGCCCGAGCTATTTGGTGTTCCTGGGCAACAACTTGCACAACTGGAAAATTGTCTCAAACGAGTTTATATGGCTCTCCCTCCCTAACCGGTTGCGACCTGGGAGCTGACAGAGCTGCCCGGCTGCAAGCTGCGCAGCGTGCAGATCCTGGACATTGCGCCTATACTTTGTGCACTTGCCTCTCCGCCAAGCACCGGTTTCCGGATCCCCAGGTATAGTGTTGCGACAGCGCGAATCGGACCATGTCTCAGGCACAAATCCATCTGGCTTTCCGACCGAAGCAGTCTAAGCTTGCTGGAATTCTCGTCAGTTGCGCCAATTCCATCCGCCTGATAACATCTGCCTCACATTACTCAGTCTGACCTACTTTAGTCCGTCTCCTGTCATGAAACCAGGAAAGGAGTAAAGTCACCTGAGTACGAGGAACGACTTGCCCGGTTCCTATCCTAGATACTTCTAGTGGGTTTTCGCCTCTCTCGTTAACGGCTGCTGGAGGTAGGAGGTGGAATAAACAATGTCCACCACCGAAATCTGGCTTGTCTCATCAAACTCGTCAACGCTCTGTCTTGTCTTATCTCGCATAGCTGACTGTGCGACTTCGCGCCTTCATGCTGTTCTCATGAGTACATCCCATCTTCACTTCACTTCAGAAACAAGATACGTTTTTGGCAAGACTATCACTCAAGTGGATGGATTGTATAAAATGGACTACCAGTGATGTGGGAGGGGGTACCATGAGGATGTGGTGCACGTTGGGCATATGATGGGCCTCCAGGCGAAATGTAGAAATCAATTGGCCAATCCTTCATCCACTCACGGGGCTGATCCTGGTCATTGTATTCGTGACATGGTTTGTCCGGTACGTAAACCCGCTGGATTCTCTCTGTCTGCATCTGTCATTCTAATATGTATGTGTAGCTTTCGTGCACGTCAGGCGCAGCTGAATTACTTACCCTCAACGGGTGATGATTCTGGAATGCTCCGCCGATATCCATTTCAGAGAGCACTTTTCCTACAGAGCTCATCAGGATCATTGCAAAGTCCAGGCCAGGCTTGGATATCGTCCACCGACCAAAAAGGTTCGAAGGAGAACACCATGTGCGGCGGCATCAATGAGCTAAGGAGGATATACTTGTTTACGGTCAACTATCGCCCGTTCTGTCTGACGTGGCATTCTAGTCCACGACGATAGAAAGCAACAACAAAGGCAAGACGCCCCCAAAACTAGCTAAGGTGTGCCCTTGGGTGTGTGTTTGGCTTCATAAGCATCTCTGACCAGTTCTGGAGACCCACCTTTCACCACGATTCTCAGAGCAATGCTTGTTGGATATGTGAAAACATATAGAAGGAATGGGATAGGGGAACCAGAGCAACTCCGAAAGTGGGGACATGTGGTGAAGGAGACCCGGACCTGCTATGGCCCTGGTGGCTGTCTAATGGCCAAGTCCCCAATAATTATGGTTATGGCCATCGAAGGGGTTGTTGGATACAACAGGGACATGTAGTAGGTGTAATTTGCCATTGTCGCTTGGGATTTTGCTAATATGATACTCTAGGACGATAAGTCGCAGATTGGAACTGTCCGCCGTGCTCAGGCCTTCCTGGCTAAGCCACGCAAGTAACCTTGGAAGAGGTCGAAAAACACCCGATGTTATTCCGCTATCTTATTGTTTTATCCCACACAGCACCCCAACATCTGCGTTTTTGACTTGACTTCCACTTTCACATCACTTTCACAAATCATCCCAACCCAGAACCGTCAAAACCATCATTCATCTCAACCTGCCTCGCTTCAAATGCATCCCCCTTCGCCCCGCATGATTCCTAAGCACTTTTTGAAGCCGGGAGGTCCCGTGGCTGAATTGGAGGGCTCTGGTGTGGGGACTAAATTCACTGATGTGAGGTCTGAGAGTTCTGAGGCTCTTGATGCGTTGCCGGATGATGACAGATGGCGGTGGTTGCGGAGCGACACGATGGCAAAACGTAAAGCAAACCCAAACGCAATGCAAGCCCGAAACGACAGTCGAAACAGAAAAGAGCGATACAAACACACATACTAAGCCCTCTTACTAAATTGAACCCAACTATTATGAATTCTATTGGTCACTTAAGATTAGATTCCTCTACTTGTATGACCACGCCGCCGAGTCCCAAACGTCCAAGCTCAAAATCCTATCATTACATGAAAACCCAGGGGTGCGCGTTTCCCGAGGTCTCCATGTTCAATTAGTAATTACTGTCCTGGATAAAAGGTAACTTAGCTAGCCCAAAGACTAGCCGCTCATCGTACGGGTACCCGAGGCTGTATTTGAATTGCACGCAGTTCTATGCCTGAATGTGGTATTTGTTAAGCCGTGGGAGTTTCTGGCCTCCATATGATCTTCGACCACTTTCCAATCCCACTTTCTCGGCCCGGTATGATTTATCGTGCCGTCCCTGAGACCGGGAGCGGGACAGGGCGCAACGCCATGGCCAAAGCGGAGGACAATCAATGCACGATGACGTAGAAGCCTGTTTATATAAAGTGGTGGAGCCCGCAGTCATAGATCAGTTTGTTATTAAAGTGAGACCTCCTCCAGCCACCCCTCAGCCCCTTACACGCTCCTATTGAGCAACGAGGGCTAGGAAAAATAACATTTATACTTTTCTCATTTACTTCAATATCCCCTCATGTCTAATAGATGACAGACCTCTCCGTTTTAAAGCACGATATACTTAGTTCATGACATTGCAAATTATTTACGTACAAAACGTACGCAAACTCCAACAACTACCCCAATGATTGCACCAACCACAATCCCTATAGCTGCCCAAACCACATAGTACTTGATCACTCTTTTTTTTAGAACCGGTATGCCACTCCACCCTCACGTCTTTCATAGTTATAATGGCTCGTTTCCTACGTTGCCCATCAGGCTCTTCCAGATCCATGGAATGCGTTACATGTGTGCTCGGATGAGCTTGTTCGGGAACGCTTGGCCCCATGATGGCAAGCAGGGCAGCGCTAATCTGGCCTTGCCCATAAACGTCAAGCTTGGTCGTTGTCAGTAATCGCGTCTTTCGGCGTTCTGAGGAAGGTGCTTTATATTGAAACTGACATATTTCCTCGGGTGCGGAATTTGGGGTCATCTGTTTTGTGTGTCCGAATCCCGCAGGGTATGCTATTCGAGAACTCCCTCGGGACTCACCCAGCGGTGTGTTGCTGTGTATAGAATGAGTCGAAAACCTTGTGTGATACAGGGGCATGGCTTCTGCGTACCTTGTTAGATCGATTCAAATTGAAACTGCTATCTCAATCAAACGAATCCGGCAAACGAAGGGGTTCTGTGTAGCGGCGATACTCGAGGTATTTTACCTAGGTAGACCCCGGGTTGAACATGTTAAAAGTAACTCACAGGATCCAACAACACTCGCTAAACCGGCCAAGCCGCTAGTTATCCTGCTAGTTATCGACTATTGCTACAAAAGAAAATCTACGGACAACAGGTACATACGGGACCCACACTAGAGACTTCGTTATACCCCGTATAGAGGCCAGGATTCGGAAGTCTCCCGAGGTCCACAGGCGAAACAGACTATGAGGAATCCTTGATTGTCAAAGCACGAAACTTCATATTCTTACATGCAAACAAGTGTGCGATTTCAACTTAGTAGTGTCCCATATTTAATGTAACCGGCGACCAGTGATTGACAGACTGGTAATCTAATTAGCCCAGACACTAGCTAAGACGTAACAATATGGGTAACCGAGACTTTTATCGGGATACGCAGATCTATGATATATAACTGTATCGTTCCTGGCCCTATATGACGGGAGTTTCCGGTGTGGGTATCCAAGGAACGCCCCTTTCCAATTTCCACCTTCTCGGCCCTATGTTGTATTTAATTTATGCCCTCGAGAAGAGGGCATAACCCCATGGTCAAAACGCAGGGCAAGCAATGCACGATGACGTACCTGTTTATCGGAACAAAGTGGTGCCCGCAGTTAAAGTGAGACTTTCTCCACCCCTCAACCTCTTCCACCAACGCTCCGGAAGAGCGATGAGAGCCAGAAATAAGGGGGGGAAATATTCACTTCCTCATTCGCTTCGTACCTCGTCGGATGCTCAACCTCGTATGTCCTTCCACAGCTCCTTAAATGCTAGTGCTACAAGCTAATATTGCGTTGCCGCCTTAGCCAAGGGATAATTCTCGCTTCTTATCAAGCCAGTCATCGTTGCTAGTCCACCAGTTTTCTATCCTTCTATCTATTTATATCCAATCTTTCGATCAGGTTACACTTGGAAGAGATCCCTTTACTTCCCCTTTAAGCAACTATGGATTGGTTGAGGAAGCTGTTCACGGGGAAAGGTTCTGCGAAAGCAGCAGAACAAAAAGCAAAGAAGCGAGCGAGCAGAAGGCACAGTAAGCGAGTTCGTGAGCGGGAGAAGGAGCTCCGATGTGCGAAGGAACATGATGGATCCAAAAAGCCGGCCTTTTTCTGGGGATCGCCAGGCCAGACATATGAGAATAATGTTCGTGGTCCGGATGAACAAACCTGGGTTATAAAGCCTTAAGTCAGATTTGCTGGAGTAATTTTCAGTGTATATTGAAAGCCCAACCCCGGCTCTACACCGATGTCTTCCAAACTCGGCGCTGAGCCAACGTCGCTCGCCAACCACGAGAATCGCGCAGCACTCGGCCATGACTGCTGGACTTAGACCCAACCTTATTCATTGCTTGCCATGTTGCAAACCCAGGGCTTCGCTGAGAATCCTTCTGCTCGGATCCTTATAAAAGCAGTCATACCCCAAGTTATTGCACGTAGCACAAGGGCTGTGACCATCCCATCTTCGCTTCCGTTTGCGGTAGGGGTTGCAAGCAACCAGGGAGGGCTGCCGCTTGACTTCAATGTCTTGACGACTTATAGTGCACCGACATGGAAAAGATGCAGAATGAAACCAGTCTCTCCAAGGAACCTCGCGAGCCCCCATTCCACCAGGGAAGGAACAAGTCGAGGGGTCCAGTCAGGCAGAAACGATACCCCGCGAGCCCGCATGGATTGGTGGTTTCTTGGTTCTGGGTACGCGGCTCGCTTGGGAAATACGTTAGTTAACGATACCGATATAGATCAATCCCAATCTCATCATGTCAGATCCATACACTGCCGAAGAGGGGTTACAATCGTGGCCAATCAGCGGGCTTGTCGCCGCGGTTACTTGGGAAGGCGGTGCGTTTGCAGAACGAACTTGTCCTAGAACCACCATGAGCGCTTTGCTGCCCTGTTACAAGAGTCGTGCTTCTGCATGGAACCACGCGGTTCGACGCCGGGATTGGTCATCGGCGCTCGGCCTTCCCCGAGTTCCGTATGGGTCGTCGGCGCTCGGCTTTCCTCAAGTTCCGGATTGATCATCCTCTCCGGCCCAGACGGCCGATTAGGGCGACGAAAGGGTAACGACAGGGTTGACATAAAGGTCGCTCTCTTTCCATCCAAAGCCTGTGAATCCACCATCATATGGAATTGCTGAAACCACACGCTTCATTTACTGGAATTCACTTTCGAGCTAGTATACCAGGGTAATCAGAATGGACTTCCGTTCAGTGATTGTTTTCGGACCAACTGGTGCTGTGGGCTCCGCGACGGCAAGAGCCGCCCACCACCATGGTGCCAAAGTTACACTGGCTATGCGTGATACCACGAAACCTATCCAAGGGCTCAGTCCCTCGCAGGAGGCGACTGATGGCTACGAGCGTGTCTATGCCGATCTCTCACTGCCAGACACCATCCGCTCAGCGGTTTTGCAAACTGGAGCGAAGCATGCCTTCATCTACATGGTCTTCGACTCCTCAGACCATATGCGGGCAAGTTTAGAAGCCCTCAAGGATGCCGGAATCGAATCGGTAGTGCTGCTTAGTAGTATCAGCGTCCATGGCGATCTTCATGCTGTTCCATCCAACGACCTGATTGGCTTCGCTCATGCTCAAGTGGAGATAAACCTGCTGGAAATATTTGGGAAGGAGGGATTTACGGCCGTCCGGCCGGCCTTCTTCGCAAGCAACTCATTCTGGTGGGCACATCAGATAGCTACTGAAGCTGAAGTGAAGACCGCTTTCCCTGATGTGCGGCTGGATTTTATCTCCCCGGAGGACATCGGCGCTGTCTGCGGGGCGTTTCTTGCCGGCGCTGCTCTTCCTGCTGAAGGCGACCAGGGGCAGAACATTGCTTATCTAGTTGGGCCGGAATTGCTCTCAGTGGCAGAAGCCATCGAGACCATTGGACGTGTCCTTGGAAAGAATGTCCGTGTCACCACTGTCACTGACGAGGAGAACCTCGAAATCATGGTGACCAAGAGCGGGATCCCGAGACCACTTGCAAAGCACCTGATTGCACAATTCGCCCAAACGCGGGATGGGGCGGGCTCCATTGGGTCCGGAGCTTTCCACCAACATTGTGCAAACATTGAGCGATACCTGGGGCGGCCTCCAACGAGGTTCGAGCAGTGGGTGGAGCAGAATAAGGAAAATTTTGGCTCTTGAATACCGGAACAAGGCGGCCGGTCACAATTGGAGGAATAACACCAGCCACGAGACACCCCGATGACATAGTTAAAGTCGTGACGCGGGTACAAGACTTACTGGAGGAGTGCGTATATGGAATTACACGGATTTGATCGATTAGACTTACTTGAGCAATTAGTCGCAAGATTATTGTTCGCTTTATCCCGGGCGCTAGTGTAGCCCTGGTGAAAGCGTTAGTGTAGAAGATCGACCTCACGCCGGTTATTGGAACTTCTGCTCCTGGGGCGTTGTATTACTGTCGTCGGATAAGGAGAACGCTTGACGGGTGCAATAATTATGTGATGTTTTGTCTGCGTACTAGAAGCATTTGATTATTCCAAATGTATTTCAACTAAGAACTATGTAGTCTCGTATTTCATATAAAAGGCCTTAATGACGAGCCCGTCGCAATGACCCACCGCATCCTTCGGCTCGATCCCATTGGTGCTCCGCAAATCATCGGCCACCTCCGGCAGTTGCGCACATATCGGGACTGCGGAGCCTCCGATCCTTCTTTTTGCAACATCTGGGGTAATGCCGTTTCCCACGTCTCGACATGCCCAGAAAACCCACCCCAGCGGCCAAGCAGCGGGTTCGCACTGGTTGTCTGACCTGTCGGAAAAGGAGAAGAAAATGTACGCGTCACGTGGTTTGGTCTTGTTTTGCAATCAGAACTGACGGTTTGACATTAGGTGATGAGCAGAAACCGAGCTGCGCCAACTGTGAGGTCAAGGGCTTCACGTGTAAATATAGCTCTGATTTGGCGTTCGTGTCGCAGCGCGATGGGGTTGTTCCCGGTGCGCCGAGACAGGCGTATAGCAGTATCACAGTAAGTACGGAGTTCTCCGAATCACCTCGGGTTTCAAGTTCACCTCACGATGCCGTGATATGATAAGGATGTTATGCTGATGCTGATTAGTTTGTCGATGACTCTCCCCTTGCAGCTGCGAATAAAGAGAAATCAAAGCCCCCGCCAAAGTCTACAGATGATTCCCAGAGCGATGCCAATACTGGTTTTTCTTTCGACGGGTTGCAGTCTTCAGCTGACGGCCCAGATGATCACGGGGATGTGCGCCGTGCCTTTGAATTCCAAAACATATTGTCATCAGCAGCGCCCAATGTCGGCTTTTCTGAACCTCCTCCAATTCCGTTTGTCGGAGAACGGAGTGCGCCGCATACTCGCTATATGAACAGTGCTCCATACTTTGGATACCGGTCTGCCACCAGCAATAGAACAGTCGAAAGGCGAGGCGACCTTGCGAGTGGCAACCATGAGACTGACCTGCTTCGACATTTCCGCTATCACGTCGGTCCTTGGATCGATACCGGGGACCCTGAGCTACCGTTCGGGCTACAGGTTCTTCTGCTCTCGCGAACCAACAGAGCTCTGCAGGCTGCGGTTCTTGCACTGTCTGCAGGTCAACGACTCCTCGTGACATCCCCAAATAGCATGGACCTGGAAAGCAGCCAGCAGTTCCGAAAGGAAGCGGAACAGAGTCTTGCGCTTGAATATGACCTGGCTAGATATGCTGGCCATACCCTCTTGATGCTTCAAGACGCTCTGCCTGCAGGACCGCAGCAGTGGAGAAGCCTTCTGGTTCACAGAATTGAGCACATAAGTGACTTCGCTTCAAGAGCAGTAGGAGAAGAGGTTGGGGAAGCTTTGTTGTGGCTTTACTTTCGATTCGGTAAGGGAACTTCTAATGACTCGAAAGAACCAGCCAGCAGACTAACACTGGGCGCCTTACAGATCTCGCGGGCTCAATATCCTCTTCAAAGCCGCCACTTATGCCCTTTCGATCGTTATTACGACGAGATGGCACTTTATTACACCACCAACAATCCATGCGACCCCAGACGGTCAATTCCGTATACAAGCATATATTGTGTCTTCTGGGACACTGCTTAGCCTTAATACACGGTGATCGAGAAACGTCCTCTCCCCATACGGTCGCATCACCAGATCTGGCAGCATTCCCATCTTTACGACAGTCACACTCCCTATCACAATGGACATTCCTCTGGTCAGACTGCCAGAAATGGTACAATGAGCGACCAGTAGACGTTCAACAGATCGTGGATATTCGCGGCGGTGAAGCTGACCAGATTGACCCTGACCACGACTCCTCATTTCCAATCCTCATCTATACGACTCCAATGGCGCTGGTCGCTAACGCTGTCTACCACATGATCTCCCTCTTATTGCTTACGCATAAGCCACGACTCCTGAAATCACTTCCCGGACCAAGATCGGTCACCTCGCACATCTGGCACGCGCAGTCGATCGCCGGGATCGCAGCATCCAATGACTCCCCTGAACAATGGGATCCGATATTGGTTGCGAGTCTTCTCACTATCGCCAAAGAGATGACACATGAATCACAACAAGCAGTTCTACTAGAGCGTTTTTCCAGGATCACAGCCACAACAGGCATCAAACTGGACCGAGAGACCGAGGCACTTCAAGCAGGGTGGAACCTGGCACGATACGAGGAGGAATTCGACGATGAAGCTGACGCTATGATTTCATAATTATACCCAAAACGCCATCTCTATTATTCTGTTATATCATACTTTTTCATCAATGGTACACGTATTCACATTCCATCATTCGATTCCTTCATTCCGTATCGTATGCAAAGGGGATACTCTGCATAGCACCCCGTCGCTGGACGCACATAGCAGCAGCAGCATTCGCCTTCGAAACCGCACCCTCAATATCATCATCAAACTCCCCCAAGCTCCGTCCGGTCGCCAAGAAACGCGCGACAGCAGTCGCAAAATACCCAACAAACGTATCCCCCGCCGCAGTGGTATCAACAACCTTAGACACCTTAACACCAGCAACAATACCCGTGCGACCCGTCTTCGTCGAGAAATAAACCCCCTTCGCGCCAAGCGTAATAAGAACAATCTCAACACCCGCCCGCTCATGGAACCGCGGCGCCAACTCCTCGGGCCGTAAATCATCACCCTCAACAACATCCCCAACAGGAAGACCCTCAATCGACCTGGCCATCTGCACAACCTCCGTCTCATTCATAATAAGCACAGCGGTCCCACGCAGCGCCGAAAGCGGAATTCCCTCTGGGAACACAGGCGCCGGATTGAAAACGACTTTCGCGCGCTCCTCGCTGGAACAGTCATTGAAGTACTCGAGCAAACCCAGCGTCGTGGTGCGCGGGATCTCGCCCTGCAAAACGACGATATCGGGTGTAGACGGGTAACTCTTCAGCGCAGAGAGAATATTTTCCACGGAGCTAAGCAATCCAGCATGGTTTGCGCCGGGAACGACGAGAATCCTGTTCTCGCCACCGATGGCTTCTTCCACGATAATGCTAGCCGACCCCGTCTGCGCGACGGTCGATTGCTCGATGGATGTTGTGTCGACGCCGGATTTCTGCAGTGCGGGCTGTAGGAGGGTCGTGTAGTACGGGTCTTCGGCGCCGACGGCGCCAATCATGTTCACGGATACATCTTGTGTTGTTTGTGATGTGAAGGAGGCACGGCCGCAGGCTACGGCTTGGTTTCCGCCTTTGCCGCCTGCTGAGACGGTTAGGGATGTTGCTGTGAGGGTTTCGCCTGGGCCTGGGCAGCGCGGGGTTGCTGTTACGAAGTCGATGTTTAGGGAGCCGATTATGCTGATTTGGGGGTTTTTGGCGGATTGTGGGGTTGTGGTGGTCATTTTGGTGGGTTGAGGTTGTTTTGTGTTGGGATGTTTAGGGGCCTTTGATGTGGGTTTTTGCGGGTTAAATTGAATTCGAGGATGTAGAGGGTTTAATTGTTTCAATATATGTCGCGTCGCATGACCTTTCTTATTTTTTTATCGGTCGGGATCTCGACTATCGGCATGTCATAGCTCCATCTCCCCACGTCCCGAAGTCTTCGCGTGTTGCCTGATGTGGGAGTAGTAGGCTATGACTGTCCGAAATAGGCTAGCCCGTTCAACTTTCGGCCAAATGCGGATTAGCGCAGGAACCGTACTGACTGAGAGGGGAAGGTGGCCGCACGAGGCCACGTGCTTTACACTCCTTCCAAAGGCTATTATAGTCGCGGCGTTCGTCTTAGAATCCAAGTGTTTTGCAGCGCAGCGGGTTAATCTTCTCAACGCGACCCATAGGTTGGCACGAGACAGTAACCTAAGGGATTTGCAGTTCTCAGACCACCGCCCCAGAAAGGGCATAAACAGCCACAAGAAGTGTGGCAGTTAGTACCCAGCCTCGCAACCGTCCTTTGCATCGATGGGAGGGCCGGGGATTTTTTTTATACCTATAGCTAATTGTACAGCACATTCTTGCATTAGTTTCGCCGCTCTTACACAGATGTCTTGGCTTGACAAGTGCGGAGATCCGAAGGCTCGAACCTTCCGTTCTCCATGCCAAGCGCATCAACCAGAGAACACGCTTGAAGGCAACCCGAGAATAAGCCGATACATCAACAAAACTCAAAGACAATAATATCCCGCATGATACTGTCTCAGCTTGGCGATATCGTGTTATCATGGGTCGAAGACGCCGAGCACATCTGGCACGCAGCCACAAAAGAACGCAAAGTTAATTAAGTAGGAGACCAAGCCAGAGATATAGACTCTTAACGGAGTTTACTTCCCCATTCAAGGACATATCCTGTCCGTATGCCGCTTCATTCGAACTGGCTGCCAGCCAAGCACGGATTGCGAGGCTGTGCACTCTTGGAAACTGGAAATCGACCAGTCCTCGGCTTTGCAGATTCCAAGAGCTCTTGGTTTTCTTGTCTTTCAACCTTCAGCTTCGGGTTCCCTCCTTCTTGGAGACCTATTTCACCCGACATCGCATCGGAATCCTGACTCGGTGTACTTGCTAGATGCTGGGCATGGCAAGACTGGGCCCGTACATGCCGTTCATTGGATCTCCGTTGTCTGGTTTAGCTCTTGAGTTGAAACTCAGTAGTCTGATATAACGGGGCCCACGTTGGCAGGATGCGGGGTGATATGTCCGGGGTAAGCCAGCTTGCCACGCGATATGCTGTGAAGCTACCACATCCACCACAGAGGCGAAATCATATAAAGCCACCTGCCAGGTCGGCCAAGATGAAGGAACAATTCAAGTTGCAGTCCCACTACATCCTACTGTCAGTCTCCCTCTGCAAACAATCTCGGCGCCATGACTGGAAACAACATCTCCCCGGAGATTGATGACGAAAAGCCTGGTGTCTTGCACCGTGAAGACACCATCGATCAAGAGAAGCAGAAGCAGCTGAAGGATGTCGACTACTCTGGCGCGACCAAAAAGACCGATCTTGCTGAGATTCGTTTGGTTCGCAAGCTCGATTTGTGGATTATGCCTACTTTGTGGCTGATGTACTGGCTGAACTACCTCGATCGTAATGCCATCGCTCTGGCACGGTTGAATGACCTTGAGGAAGATCTGAACCTCTCTTCATCCCAGTACCAGACCTGTGTTTCCATTCTCTTTGTCGGTTATATCGCTGGGCAGGTTCCTAGCAGTGAGTCTATCTGTCCCCAAACGCCTGACACTGTCTAACCACCCGCTTTATAATAGACATGTTGATCACGCGACTACGGCCTTCATACTACATGGCTGGTGCCATGGCCGCATGGGCTGTTGTTAGTGCGTTGACTGCGTTGGCTAAGGACTTCACCGGCCTTCTGCTAGTTCGCTTCTTCCTCGGTGTCACAGAAACACCATACTACCCTGGTGCCCTCTACATGCTCTCGATCTTCTACACACGCAAGGAGATCGCGACCCGCATTTCCATCCTCTACACCGGCAACATTCTCGCTACAGCTTTCGCTGGCCTTATTGCTGCCGGTATCTTCCACGGCATGGATGACCTCGCTGGCATCGCCGGCTGGCAGTGGCTCTTCATTCTCCAGGGTGCCGTAACCTTCCTCGTAGCCGTCTGCTCCGTCTTCGTGCTACCAGACGACCCTCTCCACACCCGCTGGCTCACCGAAGACGAACGGCAGCTCGCCCACGAGCGCATCCTCGCTGACACCGTCGGAGCCCGCCACCAAACCAGCACATTCAGCGGTGTCAAAGAAGCCGCAAAGGATCCCCGAGTCTGGCTATTCGCTTTCATGCAGCACATGCATCTCGCAGCCAACGGCTTCAAGAACTTCTTCCCAACAGCCGTCGAAACCCTCGGCTTCAACACTACAATTACTCTAGTCCTCACATGCCCGCCTTATCTCATCGCCGGTATCATCTCTGTATACTGGTCCTGGAATTCTGGCCGCATGAACGAGCGAACATGGCATATCACCTTTGCGAAGGCGGTTGCGATCTTCGGGTTCGTCCTTGGATGTGCGACTCTGAATACCGGTGCGAGGTATTTTGCCATGTGTGTCTTTGCGGTTGGTACTTATGCTGGTATGGCACACTGATGACTACTTTCTTTCTTTGTCTCTGGTTACTGATTTGCCGGAATAGTCAACTCAATCATCCTCGGTTGGGTCTCGAGTACCTGCGGTCAAACGAAGGAGAAGAAAGCTTCAGCTCTGGCTATCGTCAACACCTGTGCTAATATCTCGTTTATCTGGACTCCGGTTTGTCTCCCTTTTCCTTCTCTTTTCACGCTTCGGGAAGGAGACTTGGTCCTAACTGTGAGCAGTACCTCTGGCCATCCTCCGACGAACCACGCTACACAATCGCCATGTCATCCAGCGCCGCATTCTCGATTACCTGCGCGGCTTGTGCCTGGGCTATGAGGATCTGGCTGCGGCGCGCGAACCGCAAGATCCGCCAGAATAATGACGAGTCAAATCTTTATTATGCTTACTAGGTTGAACCTGTGAGGTAGCTCTACTTGAACAAGTTTATTACATCTCACTGTATCGGCGTCTCGATGTGTCAATTCAATGATCTGCTTTCAGTCATTTTTCCTTCTTGTTAATTCTCATTGTTTTTTGCTGCTCCTTTTTGATCTGTTATATCGAAGGAATACGAAAAATAAGCATATAACTACAGACTTCTTTCCATTGTATGACGAGGTTAGACAATTCAATTTATCACTTCACAGTATACAAATCATAAGTGCTTACCATAGTGTTTTCCGTAGTGCTCACTTTACAAGAATTTCTCAACCAATACATGCTGTTTAGACCTCTGAATCTGTATTCAACGTATATTATGTTCGAAAACGTGGTTTAAAGTAGTCGACAGTGTACGGAGTAGTTGGAAGCCATATAAAAAGGTGAGGTACGCCAGCCACTACTCCGATATTTACCTATTAGACCCAAAGGCTATAACGAAGTCAGTTGAAACTAACTTATTGTAGTGGTATATATATATGCAGGTGCCCCACCATGTATGCTAATAAGGATCACGAAAGGTAGTCGAACATGAAGGTTTTACTATAGGGGACTACAATATAAATTGGTATACATAGCGTAATCGGCTAACCCTAGCAAATTGCCTATATAGATAAGGTGGTTTGGGAATGGCTTCATCTCTATTCTATACAGATCAGGTAAAGGGGGGAATCAATATACGGCCGATTGCAGAAGTAAGATATGGCTAGGGAGATTCGGGGGCTGTGCTTTTTACTACGGTGATACATAGAAAATGGCACTCGTATTGAAAATTGACTGCCAAGGGGTACTATACTAATCGGGTTAGTGATTCTGTGCCAGCTGTGTTTTTCCTATTCCAACAGCGTTAAACATCAACATTCTGTTAGCTGAAGAGCTTGCGTAAGCCTAAATCTGCCGTACCATGGGATTCTCGAAGCTCCTCCGATATGAGAGGTGGGGACAAAAGACACAGAAAGCCCACCAGGAGGCCGAAGAAGGAAAAACAGACTCTACCAACCACCCCGCCGCTGCTGCCGTCGGTCGAAAAGAGCCGCCGAAGAAACCCGACACTCCTACACCCCCGCCCATCGCCAACGTTTCGAGTGATACTGAGGCTAACACTGGAGCTCAGAAGCCGAGTATTGCGCCCGAAGCGAAAAGATCCCCAGATCTTTCGACTTCCCAGATTGTCTGGAACCGCGCATATGATGAGCTTGCGAAGGACAAAGGGACATCGGATCTTGTTAAGAATTACATGAGAATAATACCCAGGGCCACCGATCCAGATGGCGACGTCAATGAGGGTGTCGGTGACGATATTTTGCCCGATATGAACGATCCAATCCGCAGACAGGAAATACTGAAGGATGCCATCAAAGCAGGCCAGGCCAAGATTGCCAGGGTAGAAAAATCCACGAATGTAGTTGGCAATGTTGTGGACTTCGTCAATAGATTCAAGGGTGTGATTGATGTGGCAGTCAAAGCCAACCCGCAGGCCGCACTGCCATGGGCTGGTGTTTGTATCGGATTGCAGGTGGGTTCAGTCTAATAAATTATTTCGGGAGGAAAAGACAACTAACATTTTTGTTCAGTTTCTGTTGAATCCCGCCCATGCGTCAGAGTCTCGAAGGAATGGAATCGCCTATGTCATAACCAGAATGGACTGGTATTGTTCACTGACAGAGCATCTACTCAGTCAAGAGAACATCGACCTAAAGGGTCAGTCCTACCAAGCTGTCGTCAACGAGCTAGAGGGAAGAGTTGTTGCCCTGTATAAGGCACTTCTTCTCTACCAGATGAAGAGCGTGTGCTCTTACTACAAGAACCAAGGCTTAGTGGTCTTGCGGTCTACGATCAATTTAGATGACTGGGATGGTGAAATGCAAGGCATCAAGAGCGCCGAAAAAGCTGTGCAGGATGATTCTGACCACTACTGCACTCTATATTCGAAGGATGCGCTAGGCGCTCTAGTCCAACAGGGCCAGGAGGAGCAGAAGATTCTAGGTGATTTCCACCAGACCTTACAGGAGTACATTACTTCTCAGCGGAAAGCGGATAGGGATAATAAAGATACAGAGTATCTTCAACAAATCTTTGTCGTTGACGCGCAGGGAGAGATAGACACAATCCAAGGAAAGAATGACAAGCTACTGCCTGCAGCGTATAAGTGGATTGTTGATACTCCAGAATACCGTGGATTTACCAATTGGAGCGACCCAGAATCATGCCAGGTGCTATGGTTGAATGGACCTGCTGGTACTGGAAAGACCATGCTAGTTATCGGGATCATCTCTGAGATCTCTCGACAATCGTTCAACCTGGCACCAGGGCTTGCATATTTCTTCTTCCAAGGATCCCAGAAAAGCATGACCAGTCCCACGGATGCCCTACGATCCTTGATCTGGATGCTTCTTATCCAACAACCCCGTCTTTTCTCCTACATACGGGAGACCCTTAGAAACGCCGGTGCAAGCTATTTCGATAGTCCGAGTGTCTTCTGGCCCTTGGCTGAGATATTCAAGCAGATGCTAGCTGATAAAGACCTTACACCGGTATACCTGACCCTTGACGCTCTTGATGAATGCAACGAGAGGAACTCTGGAGACCCCGGGCGCCCCCATCTCCTCTCGCTGATTTCGGATACCCTCAGCATCACGAACAAGGTCAAATGGCTTCTATCTAGTCGACCCGAAGTCGATGTCTACAAGAAGCTCAAGGCTAAACCGGCATTGGGAGCTATTGTCGAGCTGGATGTCCAGAGTCGGCCAGAGCCTGTGGATGTATACATCGAGCACAAGCTCTCTGACCTTGAGCGGTATTACGAGTACCCAAGGGATGTCTTAGACGAAATGTCGCAGGAGATCCGCCCACGTGCGCAAAACACCTTCCTATGGGTCTCTCTTGTGTTTAAAGATATCATGGAGAACAACGTGGCGGAATACGATGCTGTCGATTGTATCAAAGCCAATCCTTCTTCTCTGACGAGTCTGTATGAACGCTTGATGACCCGTATTGAGAATTTACCCTCACGGGATCCGGGCTTTTGCCGCTCGGTCTTGGCCGCTGCCTGTTTCTCATATCGTCCGCTCTCCTACGCAGAGCTTCACGTCGCTTCTGGTTTGCCAGCGAATGTGCGACCGGCACTTATTGTTCCCAAATGTGGTTCCTTTTTGACCATGCAGGACAATTGTGTATACATGATCCATGCCAGCGCCAGAGAACATCTGGAGGACTACTTTAAATCTTCTTCCCCTGGAAGCGGAAATTGTCAGCATGATGATATTGGCAAACGCTCGATCCGGGCAATGTCGGACACGCTAAAGAAAAATATGTACAATCTGACCCCTGACACGGAGTCAACGGATGTCATTGTGCCTGAGAACGACCCTTTGGCCTCTATTCGATACTCTTGCGAGTTTTGGGTGGATCATCTTTGCGAGGATCGTGGTGGTCAGCCTTTCGACGATGAAGGAGTGTTTTCCTTTTTGGAAAAGCACTTCCTCCACTGGTTGGAGAGTCTCAGCTTGATGCGGAAGCTCACAACCGCGGTATCATCGATCAAAAAGCTTTTAATAAACAGCAAGGTATGTTATAGCACCTATGATTGTATTCAATTATTAATATTTCCCATTTGTCTCCGAAATAGAGACCTGAATTTGCAAACTTCTTAAAGGATGCCGAGAGGTTCGCTTTGAGAAACTCGCAAGTTATGACACAAGCTCCGTTACAGATATATGGCTCTGCCTTGTCTTTAGCCCATCCAAGAGCGAAGTTAGATCCCGATACTGGGAAGAACGATTACAATTTATCGGCAACGCCTCAGGCAGAGATACCTGGGATTCTTGTCTGCAAATGTTTACTGCCCACTCCGGATCAAATTCGATCCTTTTCTCGCCAGATGGTAAATTTCTGGCTTCGGTCTTGTCATTCGGTGGGAAGGTGCAGCTGTGGGATGTTACTACTGGTATAAGTCTTACCCTCAATACCCTCAAGACTACAGAGGACTTTGTTCTCACAGTGGACTTTTCATCGGACAGCAAAGTACTTGCTTCAGCCGTCGGCGATAAAGTGCAGCTTTGGGATGTTGCTACAGGGACATGTATGAGGTCCTTTGACGTGGTCTGTGATTCCGTCCAATCTATTCGATTCTCACCGGATAGAAAGGTTCTTGTTCTGGCTACACACACGGTGGAGCTGTGGGACATAGCTACTGAGTCGTGTATCCAGATACTTGATGGGCACACGGAGTGGGTTGCGTGTGTCGCGTTCGCGCCAGACGGCAAAATACTTGCTTCAGCCTCGTATGACAAGACAGTAAAGCTCTGGGACTTTGAGACCTTTTCCTGCAGGCTGACCGTCGACTTGGCCGGGTCTCCGCGAACTATCATATTTTCGCCTGATAGTAACCTTCTCGGGGTAAGCTTATGGAATCGCGGTACCTATGTTTGGGACACCGCAACCGGGAACGAGGTAATGGGCTTCGAAGGTTGTCTCGATGGAGTCTTCTTAACTGATGGAAAGACAATGGCAACAATCACAGAGGAGACGCGATTGGAATTCCTAGATCTCGCGTCGGGGACCCTCAAACTGATACTGAATCATGGGGAGGAGATCCGTTCATTGTCAGTCTCCCAAAACATTGTTGCTTCGGCCACCCGGGGCGGCATGGTGCGTGTCTGGGATACCACCGGAAATTGGGAACGATCTCTAGGAGGCTTCGGTGACGCATGGCCTGGCCTGACCTTTTCGTCAGATGGAGAAAGCCTACTCGTACGATACGATAAGACAGTGGAGATCTGGGACCCCCTTAACAAGATTCGCAAGCAAACGCTGGCGGGTCATGATGGTCGAATCAGCGATGTTGTATTCTCCCCAGACGGTAAAACCCTTGCCACGGGTTCATTTGACTGCACAGTTCGGCTGTGGGATGTTGCGACAGCAGCCTGCACAGAGATTTTATTCGATAACAAGATATTTTGTGTTAATTTCTCGCCCGACGGCACGATGCTCGGCGTAGGCACAATATTTCCAATCGTTATTTTGGATCTTGTCACTGGGACACACAGGCAAACGCTGGATGCTGGGGGTTACCCTGGTGGTTTAGCATTTTCCCATGATAATACGGTCATTGTGACGGTAACGGGTGAAGAGGTGCTCTCGGACGGAAAAGTGTCCCATCGTGAGGTGGGTTTACAAATCTGGGATGTTGCTACTGGGGCGCTCAAGATGACCATCAAGCACCCAACCGGTGGTAACTTTTACTCGGTGGCAATTTCACCAGACGGTAAAACCGTCGCCTCGAATTCATTGGAGCACCACATACGAATCTGGGATGCTGCCACTGGGATTGAACAGCACCTCATCGAATGCGACGTTGTTCGTCTTGGTTTACCATTCTCACATGACTGTCCCTATCTGGAAGGGCCCTACCGCTTGATCCCCGGCGAGCTGGCCACAAGCCCTGATCCACAGTCTGCCCTATATGTCGAGTCACCGTGGGTGATGAGAGGTAGCAAGCCGCTCCTTCAGTTGCCACCTGACCATTTAATCAGCTCTTTCGTTTCTCGGGAAAACTTGATTGTCCTTGGAAACGTTGAAGGGCTGACATTTATTGAATTTGAAAATTGCTGAAATGGTCGTTTGACACGTCTGTTTGATACTCCATTAAACAGTCATCAGGGTGATCCCACAAAATGCACCGTTTTATAAATACTCGTCAGGAAAGCCAACTGAGCAGTCTCCAAGGCAATGGACAAGTCGCTGCCCTCTGTAAAAACGTTATTTTGGACATGCACTAAACCTGCGGGGAAATGAAACCTTTGAACTCAACCACCTAGTTAGTACCCTGGTGATCTTGGAAGCTCACCAGATAATGCAAGCTGTCACATGACGGTCAGAGACCCGCATTGCCCCTCAATCCCGGGTGTAACCTATTTGCTTTATCTATAGTGCCGCCCGTTATCGCCTTCCATGTCGGAGGACAAAGAGACGTTCTTTCAAACCATGGTCACATGGCACGCTAAACCTTATACGGCTGTTTCCGTATTTAAAACGTGGTCCAGGTCGTAACCACTGTTTTATATCCTAGAATAACCATCCAAACCACTATGGCGTCGCTTGTTCACACTCCTCCCAACCTAGTAACTGCAGTCACCCAAGCCAGTTACAAATGGCAAGAAAAACCTATGCCTGGTAGCGTAAAGGAAAGCTGCCTCTGTTGTATAACGTGGTCATAAACTCTCTGATTTTTGTGAAGGGCTAACGGCCATAGCTAGCTGAATACAGACTTAGTTACGTATTCGCATCTCCTAGGTATAGTAGTTCAACCTCGTCGGCGATGGGCTACATTCAGTGGGCTAACAACGCAACAGCATGAATGCGGCTACGCTATCTGCCTTCCCTGCTTTTCTCGGCATCCTGGCGTTTATGCATTTCCATTTGCTTCATCGTGCCCCTGCCCGTTATTATCTTCCCAGTGTTATCTCTGAAACTATATTCCCATATGTGTTCGTCTGGATCCTCTCGGGAAAGGAAATCTGGGGCCGCCCGAGGCGGCAGATGAGGATCGGTCGTATACCGCCACTTTTTCTCGATTGTACGGCGTGCGGCTGGTGTCATCGCTGTCATTTTGTGTGCATATTGCTCCTGCAGATGGAGGAGGAAATTGCTTCGAAGGAGCCAGGATTTGCGGTAGTCGGGACACGAAGGAAGCTTGCATGGATATGCCCATACGTGTCCGCAAGGGAGTTCAGCATCGGCATTGTCAACCTCATCATCGAATTCGGAAGGAATAGAAGGGCTAGAATTTGAGGTAGTCATGCTCTGTTCGCCAGCTTGTCTTGCCGGAGAGTGGGGAACAGTCTGTTACGCTTCGATTTCCCAGCGCGGGGATCAATGATTTACGACAACGCGCACGGGGACCTCGAAGGAAGGTGGCCATATGACCTGCTCCGATGTATTCTTGGCGACAGCCAAAAGCACCCACCACATACTGTAACATCTGTCAGGAATTTTACATGTTCGATACAGAACCTGTAATTTACAGAATCATGTGATCAGGGAATGAAAGAGCAACTCCATGTCTCCGACATGGAAGGCAATAACGGGCGGCACTGTACTATAGCGATCACTATTATCACTAGTTCAACTTCGACAGGGAGGCTTCTGGTCATGAATGCGGATGAGACGAGTCCTCCGGAATGGGTGGAGCAAAGATTCAAACCAACTCCATCACCCTGGACGGGGATGAAAGCACAGGTTTTCTGTTCCTTTGCTCGCGCTAGTAACACTCCAGCAGCCTCATATGGCGATTTGGAGAGATCTTCAGCATTCTCAGACCCTGATACTAGCGGTAAGTTCAAAGGAGGGTTATGCGTGTGCATGATTGTCAGATACCTTGAAACCCCAGTCGGTGAGACCCCTTTGTGTTCCTTTCATGAGCGGAATGACAATCCTAACCATCGATGTCTTCAGGGCCATATGACGAAATTATATGGTCTCCGGGGGCTTTCCAAGACCCTCGCCAAGACACACCGAAGAAGAGATATAGAATTACTAGAATATATGTCTCTACGAGGGAGTCGGTTTACAATGGTGAGTTATCCTATTCTCCTGATCTCTCGCAATATATGGGGAGAGTAACTGGAATATAAAATCCCATAGGCCGAAAAAATTGGAATATACCAAAGACAGTGAGTGGATCCTCTCAGTGGCTAAGGCATGAATCTCTATCTGTTTACTGACTGGTATATTCTCTACTTCAGCTAGCCAATTTTGAATTTATCCCCTCCGACTGCATGTATCCTCCATATCGCCAGATTAACATATCTCTTCCCGATAAACCCAATCAGCCATTTGTGTCATTGAACTTCCAACCAATTTCCCCTTATTTCGAGGCCTATCCTTCCAATTTCTACGGCATATATACCCATGAATCTCGATATTGTGATGCCCCCGATACCTCAAAGCGATGGCTGGGAAGAAAGCGGACTGGTAGGCACTGATGAGTGGCGATCTGACGAGGTTGTTATTTCTGGAAATGCGGGTATAATTAAAACGAAAGGCAAAGTAGGAGATGGAGACGCATATCCGGAGCTAAAAATGAACGGGCTTTGGTTTTGGGTGGATGCCAAAATAACATGCAGTACAATAGAAGCGTAGCCAGTCTGATGAATTGATATGCTAGCAAGTCACACTTTTTGATTAATTCGATATATCTCAGCTAAAGTGCAACACAGAGAACGAGCCAGAACTCCCATCACCAACCCAAGACTCCAACAACGAGCAAAAGCAAACAAATCAGTTCATCTTGACCTGGAACAAATAGCGCTGTCGGATCTGGGCAACATCATACACAATGTACTCGTTGTAGTACAGACCGCGATCTTGGGCATCCTTGGAACTGCCGATAGCCACATCAGGCATCGTTACACCCTCCAAAGCCGGGTTCAAACACCCAGCATCCTTCCACCCACCAGGGATATTTCTGCCCCTGCCGAGCGTCGCAATCTTGCCAGCCTTGTGCGCTTCCTCGCCAGCGTTGTAGTTGCTACTGTCAAGCTCCAACATGGGCGCACCAAGCTCGGTATCGCAGAGAAGAAGCAACCCCATCCCCCGGCTGTTGTAAGGGCAACAGTAGTTTGCGGATTTGCTCGATGTATCAGCTAGATACACGCCCTTTCCAAACATGTATCCGTTGACAGGTGCCTCGGGTGGTGCGATGCGAAGACCCTGGCTGAGGATACCACCGAAGTTTGTGCTGCGAGATCCGTGCCAGAGGAGGCGGCGGTCGCTGTTTTGGATCTTGGCATATGGGGAGGAGTTGAAGCGATCGTTTTCACCTTGGCGCTCGATGCGGAAGATGTTAATCACCTTGTAGCTCATGCTGTGTGTCTCTCCCCGTGAGTTCTGGAGGTAGTTCTCGAGTTCGCGGAACTCGGTTGATTTGTGATCCACTATGAGATGTCAGTTTGGTGAAATATCGCGGGGTTGTGGATTTATACTCACGTTCAGTCATCTCTTCCATACCCAGACTCTGGAACTGGCGATCCAGCGGGTGGGTGTCATCGTCTTCCTTGGACGATACCATGATTTCATTGGCAACGTCCATGTCCGTCAGTGCCTCCAGCAAATCGACTTCCTTCTTGATCTGCGCGTTTGTGTTCAAGGTTGGGGGCCTATTCCGGCCAAAGACGTGGGGAATCAAGGTGAAATATCGGTTGCTCAATGTCTCTATGGCATTGCCATATGGTTGGCCGTATCTCGCTTGCGCCACGCTTGGTGTAGCCATCAGCTCGGATATCTCTTTCAGAACCGAAAACCCGCTTTTCAAAGTCCTATCGCTCAGCTTTCCCAATGGGAGTTTGTGGGCGTCGTAGGACATTGCGGCCAATGTGTCGAGAACATCCTGCCGGTTGAAGATGAAGGACATCAGGTCTTGAAGTCCTTTGGTCAAGGAACTCTGTGCCGCGGGCTTGTCCTCTTCTTCCTTGGTACTTTTCTCCTTTTTCACAAGATCCTCCTCTTCGTCGTCCTCTTCATAGTTGCGCTCAAGGAACGTGTACTTTCCGTTCTTAGGAGTATCGAGCCGATTCTCCCACTTGAGACCTGACTTGTCTTTGAACTTCTTCTCATACTGCCGCATCGCGTCTGCCAAGCCCCCGTCCCCGAGACAGGCCGACTGTCCATGCTCCCCAACCCGACCCCAGCGCGTCCAGGCATAGTACTTTGAGTTGGCACCTACCAGCAACTGGACACGGTAGAATTTGTTGGCATTGTTGGCTGCCACAGTCTGGCTTAGAGTGGCATCCCAAATGAGGCCTGCGCCGTCAATGTATACCTTGGGGTCTGCGGCAAAGCCTGTCAGTTCATCTTTCACACAAGAGTACTCGTATCGCAGACTTACCCTTGAGTTTACCCAGTTCCTCAAAGCCCTCGTCAATTGGGACATTGATTGCCTTTGTGGCTGCCTTCTGAATGTCCTTTGCCTTTTTGTTGGAACCATTTTTAACAGGCTCTTCATCCGCCCCTCTTTTCTTGCCTGCAGGCTTCTTATCCTCGGAGGGTTTAGCTTTGCCGTCTGCACCATTCTTCAGGGTGTCGCTTGTCGTTCTTGCGTCATCATTTTCACCAGAAGCCGCCGCAACTCGCTTTCTGGTGGTACGCTTGTTATCCGCAGGAAGTGCTGCGCTACCATCCACGGTTTTCTTCTGTGTGTCATTGTCCGCCTGGGACGACTGGTTGGCCTGGCCAAAGGAGTACTTGGACTCCGGCAGCGGCTTCTTGGCCTCGTCTGATTCAACAAGCCACGAAAGTGGAACAACGTGGCAGTTGGCGAGCTGTGAAGCTTGTTTGTCTATTCGGTTGATCAATAAAAGGTCCCAAAGTTGTAGGGTGAAACCTCGAAAGTTTGAAACAGTGCTCACTGCTTGCCATCGGACATCGTGTAGACCTGCCACGTTTGAAAGTGGTGTTTCGGGGGCCAAAACAAGCGTCTCAACTATGGTCATGGTCACTAGCACCCCAACGCTGGCCATCACCGTTTCGAGTGTTGACATGGCGGTATTGACCTAAGAAGTGCGCAAGGGTTCCAAACTTCCGAGGTCTCCTGGCCTGTGGTAGTGCACTCACATTTGGTAGTCTGCTTCTCCACATCCTTTTCAGTGGTCACCAGATGGGTACAATCTTCCGTGACCGTGGTGGTGTATGTCGCACCATTCTTCTCAATCAGCGCTTTTAAGTCCGCTAGGAGCAACAGGGTGATCAGCATACAAATTGAGGTGGAGGTAAGGTAAATAGAGACCGCCTGGCGAATAGGGGGGTTCATACCTTGTCTGAGATTGGGAAAAGTCCCGCCCACAGCGATGACAAGCTTTTTGAAACTTTGAACCGGCATTATGTCGCTCAATTGCAAGAAGGACTGGGTATCAAGATTAGGTGAAAAAAGAAAATATGAAGGTAGAGAGATTGAGGAGGGAGTCGAGTAGGTTAAGGGGAGTAGGTAGAAGGGGAAGAGCTACCCAGGTGGGAGGACAACAAAATGAAAAGCCAAGATGAGATAAAATGAAAGTAGAAGAGAGGAAGAAACAAGTTAGAACGGAAGAGACAAGTTGCCTTTTAAATCAAAATACGAGCTGGGGTTGAATCTCACTCAAGCTCTGTGGCCTGAAGGATCAGGCACCAATGAGGCTGCTGCCTGGCTTAGCGTCAGGCAACATCAAGGCAGCACACCCTGTTTGGTGGAGATTAGGAAGATTAGGGGGGTCGACGGAGTACAGAGCATACAGAATATGTAACATGTTGAATATATTTCAATACGCTGGCTTAAAACACCGTCTCATTGACTCAACTGGTCATGAAGGCTGAAAACTACTCCACGGCCAATAAGTAAGACAATGGCTACGCACAAACTACCTTGCAACACTCCCCGGGTATAGACCGCCCCAGAAACATCGGTGCGGTTACGGGGTTAGGATTTCCTACTCATTTGCGGGTTGTGCCTATGCCTAACCACGAGGGCAACTGAATCGCACTGTTCCCGTCCCTTTGGCTCTCCGCCTAGCTAAGTTAGCGTGGGAAATTACATCCGCCTCCCACTCCGCAAAGGACTTTCAGTTATATGCCAGGCGAAACTCCACAGCAAAGGATCACTAAGTGCTCCACTCAAGTCCCTGCTCCTTTATCACCTGTGTCTGGTCTAGAGCGAAGGCCACCATGAGTGTGCATGTGTCAAGACAGGGTCTTCCAGCAGGCCCAGAAGCGGCGAGGACTGTCAACGCGTAAGCTACCACCGGCCGACATCACAACCAGGTCTCAGTGTGCTGAAACTTGTAAGATGCGATGCCTGCCGAGAGCGCAAGGTAAAATGCTCGGGCTCTCATCCGTGCCGCTTCTGCTCACGACGCCGCTTGGAATGCGTGTTTCGTGAAAATAGGAAACGAAAGCTCTACTCCGTGGAGTACGCTGCATGCTTGATGGTAGTCACAGCGCATGCTGATGAATCTTGCAGATACGTTAAGACCCTCGAGTCGAAACTTGAGGCTTCCAATGCGGCCATGCAATCCCCAGGCGTTTCGTCGCAGCTCCCTCGACGAACCTCGACCCCGGAATGTGCGCCATACGATACTGAAGTAATGAACGCCAACGCCTCGCCTGCGGCTCTAAATGAAACTGTTGATGAAAATGTAAGGTCAAGTCAAGATCGGATCGACTTTGACCATGCTTTCCCACCCCCCTAGTTCACGCGCAGATGTCCAATTAGAAGCACGAGACAGTGGCCTTACAGATCAAGTCACAGACCCATCTCATTCAGGTCAGCACCTTGCATCTATACCCATCCAGATATCTAGAATTGTTTCAGCTAACATATCCATGAAGCCATTTTTACCGATCCTTCATTATCCTCCAGTGTCAATTTTGGATGCGAAGTCAAAGCAATGCCCAGAAACTCGTGGCCAACTGCAAATTCCGTCAATCACCAAATTGCAAAGAGCCCAGATAATGCGTACGGGCTTCACTTCGAATCACTACGATCCAATGGAGTCGCTGAGAGCATCGTGTTGCCCAGCGAGAGTGATGCTGAAGACTTGCTATCCACTGTCATGAGTTCCGTCGGAAAACTACAACACCTTTTTGATCCGCGCGCTTTTGCAGATCGCTTCTCTCGAGATTATGGTCGGATCGTGGATGGAACATACTCTGTAGATGCTTGGTACGTGGAATTGCTGCTAGTTCTCGCCGTCGGAGCCCTTCTCAAGGGCCGCAAATCGGGTACCGACAGTCTTCCAGGTGCGCGGTTTTTCACGGAGGCCACCATGCGCTGCCCCGGTTTGATACAACTGCGGGCCGCTGGTACCTTGGGAGTGGAGATAAGTGGACTATCCGCATTCTTCCTACAGTGTGCTGATCGCAAGGACGATGCCTATATCTATGTATGCCATTCTAATTGGTCGTTGTTGAAATTGACCTTCTCTGATAATTTCGATAGGCTGGCACTGCATTGCGTCTTTCCGTGTCCATGGGCTTGTTTCGAGAGAGCCGCAGTAGTGGCGATCTACCCAGGTCTGAGATTGTCCATCGCAATAGGCTTGCGTGGAGTATTTATATGCAAGAAAAGTGCGCCAGAAATCCTTGTCCCTGGAAACGTACTGATCATATTATAGGAGACTAGCAGCCGCAACAGGTAATCCGAGCCTAATGCCAGACGAAATGGTCAGCATTCCACGACCCATGGAGTCACCTGGCTTCTGCTCCGCCGTGATATTGAACGCCAACATTAGCATTGCGACTATCACTGGACGCATAATCAAAAGTAAGCCCAAGCTCTCCTCGACACCGTGCTGCCGTTCTAACATAACGGCAAAGCCGTATACAGTCACAAGAAGCAGTCAGAAGAGAGGTTTGTGTCCGAAGTTCGCGAAATTCTTCAATCTCTGGGGCATGCTAGACAGGGTATGCCTTTGGATTGTGTAATGAACTTTTCATCTCCCTTTCCTCTCACCCGAAACTGCGTCACACTGAACCTCATGCTTTCTCAAGTAATTTACCCATTTCACTCCGTCATACTCAAGTCTAAAACGTCGCAGGCTATCATTCTTACCACTCGTCCGGCTCTTTTACACCTCGCCAAAGCAAGAATCACGAATCAAGGAATTTCTACAAGGAATGACGTGTTCGAGAAATTTTCTAGGACGTGCATCGACGCAGCTGAAAGAAGTTTGTTTGTTCTCTGCGCGGCAAAGGAACAGAACCTCATCGGTGAGTCATATATGTGCAGCGTCATCGAACATCTCACTAACCACACATCAAGCGCCATTTGGTTTCTTCGATCTCGATGCTCTCTTCTCCGTCGCATTCGTATTGATCCTGGCTGGGAGTGCCTTTTCCGACGCGCAGCAAATGCGAGTGGTTCACGGCTTAAAACTAGCCATGAGTTTGTTCGACTATCTTGCAGAACGCGGGAACAAAGCTTCCTTATGTCGCAAGACTGATATTGAACAGATATGCAACCACGTTGGGGTCTCATTAGACGGAGCTAGCACGGCTTCGGGTGATTTACAAGACACCCCGATGCCCACGCAGCACCCTGCAATTACGCCACGGTACGACCAGGTGGCTGAAATCATATGGTCGCCCACACAGCCGGACCAGTCAGGGAATCAATCTGATTATCTTCATCCGCTACAGGACCCGGGTCTACATCCATTGTGGCAAACCGAGAATAGCCTTTATGATTCCTTCTCTGGTTCTGTGCCTCGCGACTTGTACACAATCTATCAAAACAATGACCTGGCGCTTTCGGGGTCTGTTGAACTTGACTGGGAGGAGCTTGAGAGACAGCTTTTGCTGCACCAATGATTTCTTGCTTTTCTACTCAATAATCAAAGGAGAAATAAAGAAAACTTTGAACTTATCATGCTGCCAAATATTGCACGCAGCTAATCGGTCAGAAATTTATAAATTCTGTCCAGCGCGGTGGTGGCAGTGTGGACCTGTGTTTCCTTGGTGGTGGCTCCAATGTGAGGAGTACTGATAACCCGTCCAGTGGCCCAGAATTTCTCGTAATCCTTCAGCACCGGCGGCTCAGTCTTGTGACAATCGAGTCCGGCACCCGCAATGACTCCTCCCTGAAGCGCCCGCAGCAGGTCATCCTCATTCACAATTCCACCACGAGCAGCATTGATCAAGATAGAGTCCGACTTCATCGCCTCGAGCTGCGGCCAAGCAATGAGATTTCTGGTATTCTTGTTTAAAGGCAAATGAAGCGTCAATACATCAACATGCGGAAGAAGCTCCGCCACCTCCTGGACCCGCATGTGAGGAACATCTTCCCACGCATCCTTAGGTGCAAAAGGGTCGTAGGCGTAGATCTTGACATTAAAGGCGCCCCGGAACATCTGAGCTACTGCAAGACCGATACTACCCATCCCAATGACTCCAATGGTCTTTCCAGTCAACATCACGCCGGAGCAGTGTTCTTTGCGGACTTCTTTCCCGACGGCCTGCTTCGATACGATTGGTCCCAGCTGTCTTGCGACAGCGAGAGTCAAGGCAAGAACAAGTTCGGCCACAGATTGTGCATTAGCTCCCGGCGTGTTGAGAATCGGAATCCCACGTGCGGCGCAGGCATCCTGGTCAATGATATCAATTCCAACTCCTTGCTTGCCAATCACACGCAGATTCGGGGCGCTGTTGATGTCCTCGGCGGAGATGGTCTTCTCGCGGACGAGAATCGCGCTTGCTTTCTCGCGCCAGTGATCGACCTCCGGGTCTGTTGGTAGAACGGTGTGGAATCGCTGCTGGCAATACTCGACGGCTTTTGGTGGGAATACTTCAAGCAGGTAGATTGTCGGCTTTGGTGTGATAGAGCCCATCTTGTAATGTGTATTTGTGATGTAAATGTATCAGACGAGCTGCAAAGCATGTAGGGAAGAGCTCAAGCCGTTAGGAATGGCCCTTTTAATTCAGGCTCGGAGCCAGATGAATAACGTCGGTCCGGCAAGCGTTGGCATTGGAACAAACGTCTTTCCCGAGGAACTGGGCGTGGATGGGATTCATGGACCTAGCAAACATGTCAAGACTTGACCTCGGGAGTATGTAGACTTGATCTCGGTTGATCGGTCGGCCCCACTATAGTGGTCGGCTTCAACATCCGTGGAGCGTTTCCCCAGGCCTCAGGCGCTAAGCCAAGGTGGTGCAGTAGCGGCGATGGGACATTGCCGCTGTACGGCGCTCAATCACAAAATCATGACGACAAGCAGTGTGCGGAAAGGGCACCTGGGCAGATCGAACCGTTTATGCAATTGAGAGGAGGGATAGATGTTTCAGTTATAACGAAGATTTCTCGAGACTACCAATTGACGCGGCGTTATGTCCAACTCAAAAGCTCCCACAGGACAATGTAATGTATATTATCTGATTGTGGATATTACGGTGCTCTACAAAAGTGGAAAGAAAGAATATATCTGAGGTTTGGAATCGCCGATATATAATTCTGCGGGGTTTTCAAGTAATTTACATAGATTGCCTAAGTGCGAACCAATGGCACAGCGGCGGCAGCTCTCTTCCCTCCACCAGATATCAAAGAAGTGTCCTGCTGTACAAGCATGAATCTAACTCCCAACTCGTTGATGGCCCAGTCTTGGATCACAGGGTCGTCGTAGATACCAGCGAGTCCAAAGATCTTGCTGTGTGTCCGACATGCCTTGCTGACCGTCTCGAGTGCGGTGCGGTACTGCTCGCTATTAAATTGACCGGGTACTCCAAGCTCGATGGACAGATCCAGAGATCCAACCAGAATAACGTCCACGCCTTCAACTGCAGCAATCTCATCTGCCCGCTCGACAGCATCGTGGCTCTCAATCATAGCAAACACGGTCGATGCGGACTGATTAGCCTGATGAATGGTCTCTTGGACTGGGATGCCTTGGAGTCCGAATTGTGGGAGTTGACCAGTCATCGAACGACATCCCTGGGGTGGGTATTTGCAGATGCTGACGGCAGCCTTGGCGTCCTCTGGGAGATTGTCAATTTCTTGGTCATTATATGTGAGACTCACTACTCACCTGCTGAGTGGATGTGCGGGAAAATAACGCCCATAGCACCACCATCTAGAACTCGTTGGACAAACCCATTACCACACTTATGAGGCACACGGACGAACGGAGTGATACCAGCCAGGAGTCCAACATGGCAAAGGGCAGTGGTCTGATCCAGGGATAGCCATGCATGTTCCAAGTCGATGAAGAGTGACTCAAACCCAGCATTCTTTGCAAGCTGGACGATGTGTGTGTGCGGGATACTTTGATGCCAAAGGCCTTACACAGCTGATTGGAGGCCGTTGCTTTGAAGAGATTGTTGGCGTGCAATGCCATTATTGTTGCAGTGGATAATTCAGATAACCAGATAAAACTGAAAACGAACCCGGCACAGGTGCCTCGTCCTTTTATCTCCCTCCATATTCTTTTCTTGTGCTCGCACGGTTAGCTTAGTACTTGTTGAAACCCGACAAGTGAACCAGGTGGGTCCAAGACAAAGTGCACCTCGGATGTTGAAGCCGTCGTCTCCACTTCCTACCCAGGTAGTTGCTCAACGGCATCTTTGCACACCTTTACAAGTCGGTTAATCTATCAATGACCAGGAGATTCGGGTATTGGTGGTCAAGGTTGTCAATAGTAGTCTCGGATATTCGACTTGGTCTCGCCATTGAACTTAGTGACCTGATTACGAACCCGGCCTCTATATCCGAGGGCCTACAAATTTTTACCCCAGACCAGTCCTTCCACTGATCTGGTTCCCCACTTCCCCACGGGGTATGTGGAAGTACAATGCACCTTGATATAAAAGTCCACAGCACGCTGCTCAATTCTTTCTACGAGCTTCTCAGACTATCCTCAAGAGAATACGGCGTCAACCATTTTCAACCCCTGATTCCACTAAGCGCTCGCACCAATCACAATGTCAATCTTGGAAGATAATGCAGGGTCGAAAGAGGTCGAAAGCCATACCTCAATCGTGATCGACCCAGCAGAAGAGAAAAATGTCCTGAAAAAGCTCGACCGGGTCATCCTTCCTTTGATGGCTCTCGTTTACTTTTTCCAATGTATTTACTCGAGCCCTACTGTTGATCATCTCCTAAGCTAACGACAATAGACCTTGATAAACAAAGCATCAACTATGCTTCTGTATTCGGGTTATCCGAGGATCTGAATCTTTCTGGATCACAGTTCTCTTGGGCCATCTCACTTTTCTATTTTGGCCAATTGGTTTCTGAGTATCCCGCCGCTTACTTGATGAGTCGTTTGCGCCTGAAAATATTCGTTGGGATCTGCATGTGGGTTATTGCCTTTCGTATTTTACACTATCGCTTACCTCGATATAGTATCTTATGGGGCCTCTGCGAAATGTGCCTCGCAGCAACCCATGATTTTGCCGGTATTGGTGCGGTTCGGTTCCTGCTCGGCTTCACTGAAGGAGCTGTGGCCCCAAGCTTCATGATCATCACCAGCAACTGGTACTGCCGCCGCGAACATCCAATCAGAATTGCGTATGTATCAAAGAGACCTCATATGAACATCAGCTGATCGAGATTCCCAGATCATGGGTTTCAATGTTCGGTGTCTCGCAAATCGTCGGCGCTCTCATGATGTACGGAATTGGCCAAGGGAATTTCGCTATCGAGACCTGGCGAGTGATGTTTCTCATCTGCGGCGGCCTCACTGTTGCGTGCGGTATTGTATTTATAATTTTCATGCCGAAGGATGCTTCAAGCGCCTGGTTCCTAACCGAGCGCGAGCGGAGGATTGCAATGGACAGATTGATCCTGGATAGGGCTACGCGTGACCGAACAGACTTCGACATGAAGCAAGCAAAAGAGGCACTATCAGACCCAAGAACACTGCTCTATGCGGCCATGGCATTGTTTATAACCTTGCCAACAGCTATAGTGAAGGTGAGTCCTCGCTCCCAATGTATATATATTCCAGGGATCTGACAAAATGCAGTTTTCCTCACTGGTTATACAAGGATTTGGCTATACGCCCTTCCAAACAATGCTAGTGGGTCTTCCCAGCGGAGCAGTCTCATTTGTACTAGTGTGGATTGGAGCCTTGATTCCTCTGTATTTCCCGAATGGTCGATGCTTCGCCGGTATACTCCTCGCACTCCTACCCATGATTGGCACTCTATTGCTCCTGCTGCTTCCAGCTTACGCTAGTTGGGGCATAGTCGTTAGCACTTGGTTTGCAGCCAGCAGCGCGCCACCCCTAGGTATGGCCGTGGGTCTTATGTCTTCTAACGTCCGCGGAAATACGAAGAAGTCCGTCGTCGGGGCTATCTTCTTTGTTATGTACTGCGTTGGATGTATTGTATCTCCACAGCTTTGGCAAAGGGAAGATGCACCGCGCTACTACAAAGGCTGTATTGCAAGCGTGGTGAGCTGGGGTTGTCTCATCATTACATTTTCAATTGCGTGGTTAACCTTTCGGCGGTCCAATGCGAAGCGGGATAGGGAGGCCGTCGGTGATGGAAGACACGAGCAGCTTCCTCCGATAGTTACAGTGGACTCCGATTGTACTGAAAAGGAAGACAGGAGCTTCAGATACAGCTATTGACGAATTGGGGTGTTCTGGAAGTTGAACCTCAGAAGCGGTCATAGTATCCGCAAATGGATGCATCCATGTTAGAAGATGAAGGAGCCTGGAGGATTATATTGTCGAGTCTACTGTCATTGTGTTAGAGATCTTACCATTGGTTTCAAACCATACCTTCCTCGTACCTAATTAACATTCTTCCACGGCAGTAAGCACTTCTAATCCCATACTTTAGATCCCTACTAGCAGGCTTAAGCAACTCCTCATTTTTAAAATACTGGAAATATATGTATTAAGCGATGTCCATATATTAATTAACGATTCAATTATAGTATTAGGATTAATTTCAATGTGCTGACTCAAAGTCCAGGGCTCCAAGGCTCCAGCTGTCCTATATACTTTTGTAATTGGTCACTACGAAGGCTGAAAAGCGACCACCACAATTAATCAGATACCTACACGGCTAAAATTGCCATACCTCTATACATTATAAATTAATTTCCTAGTGACGGGCGTGCTACCGCGACGCTAATTTCTAACATCCGGCCTATAGATCTTAGCGTAAGGGGATCTAGCTTTATCCTCCGACAACTACATTCAGGGCTCTAGAGAATAACCCAATCTCAACCAGCCGTTATAACGACTCCTACTTCGACCTTCACTCTTAACCATCAACCACTGGGCAGTCTCACCGGCCGCCTGATCAATCACCAATATGCTGATGGACAGCCCGTGACTACTATCGTGCGTATTGGCCCCAACTTCCTCTGTTTCGAGCAAAAGTCCGACGGTAATGTCGTGGCCTTTCATTGCTGCCAGTAACAGGGGCATGAATCCATATGTAGGATCTCTGACATCTACACAAACTCCTCTGTCCACCCGCATCTGCACCGCTTTTTCATGGCCTCTGTATGATGTAGCTTGGAGTTTGGCGAGCTCTCCACCCTGAGCGTTGACGTCGGCGCCTCGATCAGTAATATTGTATATGCAGCAGAACTTGCACAAAAAAAAAAAGAATATTACCCACGTAGCCCTGTAAGGCCTACCGGCTATTTTTCGTTCTGAAATTGAAAATTTGGAAAGACCCTTTAGTACTAGTAGCAGTAGCTTCTTCTTTTAGTAGGTCTTTAAGGGGTCGTGGTACTTGAACCAAGAAATCGGGGGCCAACATATGGCCCACATCTGTGTTGTTATTAGAAATATATTTTTAGTGGCTTTTCCAAATCTAAAAAGAAACGTTTAGTGCGGAGGGAATGCCGTCTAAGCGAATGAAGTTGGATTTGGCTCGGCGGGAGTGCTCAGCAGAGTGGCGATACCCGCTGGGTATTGTCCGAAGAGCTAAGGGAATCTTTAATCTAATTAACTAGATTCCAGGCTCCTAAGCTGGAAACTAGGCTTAAAGCGAGCATCGGACTTTCAAATGCAAACCTTTCTCGTTTTTTCAACTCTAATTGAGTCCCAACCAGCCCCCCCCAAAGTCTTCTGGTCAGATCCTAACAATCTTGAACTTACAACCATGTCACTGACACTGAGACCTGTATGTGTGATCAATTCCGACACTTTCAAGATTATTGCTAATTCTATTAGAAACATCCAGGGCCATCCGGCTTTACCAGCTGCCCGGCGGACATCTTATACTCGGTATTCGAGTTACTATCACCCGCCCAAATTCATGTACTATGTCTTGTCAATAAGAAATTTCGCGAGATCGCTGAGAAATTTCTCTACGAGAAGATTCAGTTGACTTGGCAGCATCCTTATGATCCTCCCCCAGTCACTCAACTTTTACGAACTTTGATATCCAGGCCTTATCTGGCTGCTTACATCAAAACCCTTCATCTCGCCGGCAAAACCCCCACCCTGGCTTCACTCGTATCGAACATTCGAACAATCCCCGTCTCTATCGGCGACCTGAATAAACATATTGCATTCATTCGGAAGACTAGAGTCCCGTATATCGACCTTTGGATACAGGAATTAAAGCAAGGTACAATCAATGCTTTTGTCGCCCTCCTTCTAGCACAGGTTCCGAATCTGAGATGTCTGTACCTGAGCCCTGCTTTCACCCAGCGAAGTGAAATTATCGGAATGGTTCTCCGTTCAGCCATCTTTGAGCCTGTAGAGTACGGGCTACCCGACCTTCAGCATCTCCGAGATGTGACATACCGCCTCAAAATTGGCCATGACCGAGCGCGTGATAAAATGGTCAAAAACACCGCGGATGTCTTGCCCTTCTTTTATCTACCAAATGTCCAACGCATTTCAGTCTCGCTCGAGAGCCCGCTCGCGATAACGTGGCCTACACCACAATTGCCTGTCCCATCAACTCTGACATCGCTGGTTTTGAACTCTGTCCGGGAGAATTATCTCGGTAATCTACTCTCAGTCACACCTCATCTGAAGTCACTTCGCTGGAGATGGTTTTACGATTTTGGTATCGACGATGTAGTCAATATGCCTATTGTAGATCTTGATGGGATCGGCGACGCGATATCTTGTCTTAGAGGTACTTTGACCGACCTCAAAATCCTAGCTGAAGTTCAACTCGGAGGCAATGATATAAATCTCCCTGGCATCAAAACCGAGGGCTCACTGAGTGCGATGGTCAATATGGAAAATCTCAGGACACTTCAAGTCCCACTGGCATTCCTCGTTGGGTTTGCACAAGACACAACGAAACGTTTGCAGAATGTGCTCCCAAGGTATCTTGAACATCTCACCATAACGTACGACTTATGTCTACAAAATGATGAGCAAATGGAACCAGACTGGCCTGAATTTGAGTGGGAGGATCACGCCGTTTTAGGCTTGCTGAAATCATGGCTAGAGGATCGAAAAGCGTTCACGCCGAATCTTCGTGGCATTTCTCTGGGACTAGCTAGAAACGAGACTTCCGATGAGGAATGGGACCCTATCATGAGACACCAGCTCACAGAGCTAGGTGCTCAAGCCGGAGTTCCATTTGACGTAATCTTCACAGATGAAATATAATCAACATAGATGTAACACCACATATCAGTCACTTCCACGTAGCCAAATGGCTGGTAAGCAGATGCAAAATTACCTCCACCCTTCATTGAAGAAGAGAGAAATAACTCATTGCCAACGGCGAGAACAGTGAAGGCTCTGAGTCGGTCTTTTTCACTGGTAACATCGTACAGCTTCATATTCTCCAACATCTCCATGTATCCATGATGGCCATTTGCCAGAGTTGAGCATCTGTAAGTTTGCTGACCTCGCTGTCGAATTTAAGATGGATGCTCCATAGGAAAGTTTGGCTAATTTACTTGCCCTCCTTTAACAGTGGTGTCGGCCAAGCATTCGCGAGATAGAAATCGAGCCTCACACCCAGAGAATCTTTAGGAGGTGGCTGTTCCTTGCTGAGATCCCACGCATTGCTCACGGTGCTTAATGCGCACCACATCGCAAATATGACTCGAGAAAGTCCCAGAACAATCATGATGTAGAATGTTTTCTTGTATCACTATTATAGCAATCATTAGTCAATAAAGGACCCCGAATGTTGTACACCAAGGAGGGAACTTTCGTACCAAGTCAGAGGTAGACGAGAGCGTCCGCAGACACAGACCCCACGAATGTCTTTTGCGCGATAAACCTATTCAACCAGCCAGATGTCTATCGGTACGGTAATGGTAACGGGTATTGTCTCGCGCAAGGGAGACAACGGATGGCGCAATGTAGAAGGCATGGTCACGGCTCTGCGGTCTTATTGATAGTGCAGATTCACACAGCTGACGCGATTTCCTCTCAAGGCTTTGGAAGACGCCCTGAATACACTCTGTGCAAGGTTAACTTCGCTAAGAGCACCTTCGCCGACCAAGTGGCTCCTCCTTCGTTCAGCAAACGTGACCAGGATGAGTCGATGGGCGGGAATTATCCATGGAAGATTGAAAGTATGTGCCATCGACTCGTAATTTGGGATTATAATAACTATATACCTTCTTTTCCGGGTATTGAGCTGCTTGTTGAGGAGGACGGGTTCCCTCTGTGGGACGAAGTGGACTGGGAGGACATCAAGTTTGAGCATGCAGCAGAGTCAAATTAACTTGAAACGTCTTGTCTCTAAGAGCCAGATATACTGGCTTGAGTACAATAGACCTTTCCTTATGTCTCTTATGTTTCCTCCAATTTATTTTATACAATTTTCTTTTCTCTAGCACGCTGGGTATTTTTCATGGATCATCCATCACCCGACGAGAATGACTGGCTTTATATCTACATGTACTAGCTCAGTCTCACGCCTTCAAATAGTGTATGGGGGACCCCGGCTTCCACCCTCCTGATAAGCAGGACTGACTTCTCCACGCTCGCCTTCAAAGTCCCCTTTCCAAACACGCTCAAACCAAGCGCCATCATAATTGCTCTCCAATCCATCATCCTGCACCCGCCATTGCCTGACCACATTCCCACGGTCGTCCAAAAACACATGCAACAAACCGCCGCCATTCAGCGCGACATCATCCTCCACATACATATGGGTAACAACACACTCTGCCTGATACAGAGCGTAGGGCTCAAGAGGGTTTTCATCCCAGTCGCCTTCTTCGGCATCCTCTATCGCGTCCCTGAGGCTCTCCTCTCTGGTCTCGAAATTGACTCGCTCATTTGCGACACGCTCAGGAAATATTTCCAGCGCAGCTGCCAAATCCAGGCCACCGAAGATACTTTCATCGTCAAGGACAACCCCATCATAAGTTACCCATTCTGCGAGTTCATTGGCAGACCATAGAGCATTATGACCCTCTTCATTCGTGTAGCAGAGACGAAGCCAGCAGCCATTGTCAGCAGTGGTGTTATGACCGTAGACACGCAGTGCTTCAGGCCTTGCAGGCCGAAGAATATCATCTATTTGAGCTTGAGTAGGAGAGAGTGGTGCATTGCCTGGTCGATAAGGCTAATAATTTGATATTCAGTTAGTTCAATGTTGTGGTCTTTTACGAGGCATAGAGGGCATTCACCTGTCTTCCTTCGCATCCCAATGCGAGAAATTGGCGTAAAAGCCTTTTGGGACGGTCGGCGGGGGGACTCAGTGGAGACTGAGGGGTCTGGGTGAGGTTTTTCCCATTCGGAAAGCAAATAAATATCCAATCTAGTCTTCCCCAAGCAGGTATCCGGGGGTTATGTTTTTCAATGAAGTGGAGTGGCATTTTGTCCTTGTCGCGTGGCGTGGGAGGCTGGAAAGGGACTACCACAATTAATAGATATCTGCACGGCTACCTAGGTAAAATTGCCATACGACATCTATACGTTGTAAATTAATTTCCCAATGACGGGCGTACCACCGCGACGCTAATTTCTGACATCCGGCCCGTGGACCTTAGCGTGAGGGGGTCCAGCTTTGTCCTCCGAAACTATATTCTCACCAGGGCTCTAGAGAATACCCCAATCTCAACCAGCCATCATGACGACTCCTACTTCAACCTTCACTGTTAACCACCAACCACTGGGCAGTCTCACCGGCCGCCTGATCGATCACCAACATGCTGATGGACAGCCCGTGACTGAGCCTGTCGTGCAGTTCCGTTCCATCCCCTATGCCACCATCCCAGCCCGTTTGAGGCAGAGCGTGCTGCTCGATCACATCCCAGATGACTTTGATGATCGTCCTCACGGTGACTTTACACAGTATGGTGCTGCGTGCCCGCAGGTACCACAGCCTACCGGCAAAGGTAGCGCGACAGGCGGATTTGTGCCTGGTGAGGAGCCAATCACGTATGACGAGCAAGCCTGTCTCAACTTGACCCTCTCTACACCAAAGAATGTCCTCGGCGAGAGTGGCCCATCACTGCCCAAGAAGCTTCTCCCTGTTCTGGTCTATGTGCATGGCGGTGGATTCGTCGAAGGCAAGGGCCATGTCAGCGCCCTCCATGACACGACAAAGATGACCGACCTGGCAGCTCACGAGTCCATGGATGTGGTGATTGTGTCAATAGGATACCGGTTGAACTGGCAGGGTTTCGTCGCCTGCTGCGATCTACTTGAAGAGGCTAGGGAAAATGGCGAGCATGCATTCAATTACGGGATGCGAGACCAACGCAACGCCTTCCTCTGGATCCAGAGGCACATTGCAGGGTTTGGCGGTGATCCAGGTAACATTACGGCCTTTGGCGAGTCGGCTGGAGCTGCCTCGCTCTACATGCACGCCTGTTCAGACGTGCCTCTGTTCAACCGAGTCATCATCCAAAGTGGCTCGCCCAGCGTGGTAGGTATGTGGAGCCTTGAGCAGTCCGATGCATACTATCACCATCTGCTGTCATATCTGGGCATCGAAGGAGCGACACGAACGGAGCGACTAAAAGCCCTCCGTGAGGTGCCAGTGTCGCGCTTGATTGACTATATCCGTGACAACAATGTCGCCACAATGAAGCCATACCTCGGCCCGGAGAGTGAGTTCTTTCCTCCGACTCAGCAGCCCTTTTGGACCACCCAAGGCGAGATTCTGGCAAACTGCCCATGGATCCACGAGATTATGATTGGGGACGACTCGCATGAGGGTCTCGGGCTCATGATACCGCTGAAGGACGTCTCCGCTAGCCAGTGCATTGCTCGAGTCCGTACCATCATGGGTGATGAGCCTGCCCGCTGCGTGCTCGATGCATACGAGATATACGACGGTATGGATGAGGGCCTCTTCTGGCAGAATTCGGTGATTATGATTGGTGACTTGCTCATGACTGAACCCACGCACTCAACCGCAATCGCAGTGGCTAAGAGTGGTCGAAAGCGTTTATATCGCTGGCAGTTTGGTCTGCCAAACCCCTTTCATGGGTCGGTTTTTTCCTATGCAACGGGACATCATTTTGTCGAGCTCATGTACCAGTTCATGACACTCGCTGGACGTCTCCCTACGCACCGGAACCATTTCTTGCGGCGTCAAGGCGAGGAGATGGCGCGTAGTTGGATCCGGTTTGCGAACGGACTCCCGCCGATGCCTGGTGCAAAGCCGTATGATATGGAAGAAGGCAGCATCATGATCTGTGATATGTTGCATGGATGGACAGTGCGGACCAGGGCGGAGGATGAAGTCATCAGCCAGCAGGATCCGTGGGGTCCTCGGCGGTACCGTCAGTGGGAAGTTTTGAATGAGGAGTTGAAAAGGGCCGGACGGGCCAAGGACGGGGCTGGCTCCGAGAATGAAAAGATTGAGGCAACGAGAAACGGGTTGCTAGTATTTGGTTTGTCTGAGATGCGTTAAGACCAGCTGTTGATTCATGCGAAATAACTTTGGAAGAATGGTCCGCCTCTGCCATACACTATCCTATTCAGCTGGTTCAATATTAGGTACCTGGTTCAAATACGCAACATCATCTTGCACAATATTTTGTTTATGTTTGTATCGATGGTCATCCTCGTAAATGCTGTGAATTCGGACTTTCCGTTTCGGGACGGTCCCCGCTCCTGTGGCGTAGTTCTTGTTCCCGCCCCGGAGATGGAATTCCCCCGCAATGACCTGCCAACAAGATGAATCAGGCATTTGAGAATCATCCACAATGCAGCTGACTTTCTTAGTTAGTCGCGATGGAACGAATGCCCAGAGGGGACACGCACGGCGTGCGTGTGGCTCTTGTCGTCACAAAAAGGTGTCGCATTCTGTCCGAGATGGCCCTCAGCAACCGGACTTTTGCTGATTTTGACAGAAACGGTGTTATCACAACACCTCCCAGGAGCAATTAGCTGATGCTGCTTCTTCACCCGACATCTCAAGTCTCCCAAGTAGCCAAAGTCCTGCATCTCATATTTCTAGGCGCGATCCAGCTGTCCGAAATAGATCTGCATCTCCACGAGGTGAGCGATCAAGTGCCTCCTCGCTCCAGAATCCAGTGGAAGAACACACCGGACCCTTCATCTCCCCTGGCGCAGGTACAGCTGCAGATGTCGACCAGGACCAAGAATCTCGTCGTTTTGCGTGCGACTCAAACCCTATTGCGACCCTCATAGAACAAAACGAGTCAAGGTTGCTGAAGGGCCGGTCGCAGAAAGGGGATGTAGGCGCATGGTTGAGTGCCGAGGAGAGCTCTATTGATCAGGGCGACACACCTAGCTCCTCTTCGCAACCAGCACTAGAGACCCATGTTCACACGGATTGGCTGCCTCCTAAAGACTGCCAAGAGGTCTTGATGGATATATATTTCCGTCGGATCCACCCACTACTGCCTCTCCTCAACGAGGACAACGTCCGGACCCAGCATCGAGCGGGTAGTCTCCCTCCGCGGCTTTTGCAAGTGATTTGTCTTGTTGCAGCGAAGGACCGGGCTGCGGTGCCTTTCCTATGCCTTGGTCCCAACTCGAGCCCCCTTCCACTGGAGAGATTCAGCAACATCATCTACACTGATGCTATGCAAAACATCTCGAGAAGGGCTGAGAAAAAGACACTTGCGATACAGATCTTAGCGCTTCTGTCGCTGCACGAATGGGGCTCCAGTGGATCCGAGGATTGTTCTTTGAATTTGGCCCAGGCTATTCACCATGCCCACACCATTGGGTTGCATTTGCTGAGGCCAGACGAACACACCGATCCATCTGCCAAGAGTCTCTTCTGGTGCCTGTGGAGCCTAGACCGATGGAACGCTGCTATGAATGGGAGGCCCCTAATGATACACGACGGAGATAGGAACCAGGTGGTCGACGATGTTGTTTCAGCGTTTCAGTCACCGTTCCGTGTCTGGCTTCGAATTGCCGACAAGCTGGGAGAAGTGATCCACTTCTACCGACCGATCATGAAAGGCATGGATCAGGCTGAACTCGATCTTCCCACTTTTGAAGACCTTGTGGACCACTGTGAGGCCTGGGACATGTCTCGACACCTGCTTGGTATGAAATATTCCATCATTTAGTGGCAAGATCTAACCCCTAGACCGACAGAGTCCCTCGAGCTTGTTTATCATTCTGTGATTATTCTCTCAACACATTCCCACGGTTTGCAAGGCCGATCACGGCCACGAGAATCGAAAATCCGACAAAGCCATTCAATACTTACCATCGCGTCACTCAGTTGCAATCATGATATTCGGAATTTCCTGCCGTTTCCCATGATTGGTTACACCATCTCGCTCGCCTTCTCGGTCACGTACAAGCAACTAAGAGAAAGCAAACTGCCCAGTTCGCGCCACACAGCCATTTCCCAACTTCGTCTATTCCATCAATGTCTCAAGGAAATGGGCACCACATGGTGGTCGGCCGCTGTGATGACTCGTCTCAGGCCAGCGTGTGTTGAACAACATTCAACCCACCATAGACCAGGAATGTTCCACAGGTCCAGAAATCAATATCGCCCGACTAAACTCTCACCATGAATCGAGTGATATATCCTCACGTCCACAGCTTTCCACTGACGACATGGCGCATGTGGGGAGACGGATTGATGCAGGATCTCAGAGCACACACCCTCTGTCTGGTCATCGACTGGGATCGGACAAACCTTCGAATTTCGAAGTAGACGGCACACCGTTCTTGACGCCAACTGAAATTGAGGATTTTGATACCTTTTTCGGCAATTTTCTTGATGTCGGTTTTCCAAACTGTGCGAATGATCAGTTATTGGTAGATCTCGACATGCCCGACTTCGAATTTGTTCCTCATGGTCTAGCTTGATGGAGAGTGTATCGACGTGAGAAGAGGCCTTGGTCGCAAATCTTGTGTGAATGCACATTTGAGTGTGCTTCTTCTACTCTTTTTGTATTCAATATGCCGTGGGGAAGAGTGGTATGATCATCGTGTTACGGTGTACATAGGTAAATATCAGAGTCATGAGATGTAAAGAAGGGCTACACACACCCCGCTAACTCACCTCGGGTATGTCTTCCGGTGGCCGCTATTCGACGCCTAGTTGTTGTAGTTATTGCGGTATCAAATCATAGTGATGGACGGGTCGGGAACAGCGGCCATCGGAAAGCCTACCCAAAATAGCTTAGTGGAAAATGTATATCTGGATAGAGACTTGTCTCAGTCGGCTTTCTCGTGAAGAAATTTTCATCAATGCAGTGTATGAGAGCCTATTGTATGTATTCTCCACCCTAACATTGCTCAGGTTGAAGGATATGATAGATTATGTATTTCCAGAAGTAGCAGTCGTAGGAGCCAATATAGATCAAGGAACGCCTAGTAAAGTCAGAACAAATCTCCAAGGACCGGCCTTGCAAGCTTTTCGCGACTTATTGTAACATACGTAGTTAGACAGCGTCACAGGAATGTCGGTAATTTTCTCCCGCGGTGAAGAGCTGCGCTTGTAGGGTTCGAGTCATTGGAATCAGCGCCCCGACCCCGTTTAGGAATGTCCGCTCCGTCGCGTGGACACGAGTATAAAGACACACAATGCGCCATTATTCGCCTATAAATTTGCCAGCTGGCATTCAATTGCATTCTTAAACTACCTCCCAAGTTAAATATTGCTCGGATACTTGATGATGTTCCGCGAACACATTACCAGCGCCGAGTTGAGGTATGATTGTTCCCGTTAGCCTATCCACATTGACCTAACAAGTTCCATTAGTCTGGACCAAGCATGCATTTTTATTTCAGAAGAGCGGCATCCCGCGTCTGTTACCGGCAGGCTCAATCTCGCTCTTGCACAAGTCGTCTCGGTCAAGAGTATCAAAGTGAGATTACGGGGAACATTTGCGATGTAAGGACTTCCACATAGTTCGTTATTGACTAACCTCTTACGCCTCCTATAGACCTATTGAGGGAGTGTTTAGTTCAGAAAACCGTGAACAGATCACATTCGAGCGAGAACAGCCACTCGCTTCTTCGAAAACACTCAACGCATTCCAAATGCCGGCAGGAGAGCACGCCTTTTTATTCGATATTCCACTTCCAAGCAAGATTTTCGACACGGCGACTGGCGCAAACCATCAATATCACACATACCGCGTAGAGGCCATTATCGAACGGCGCCTCAAAAGCGATTTCGTGGTCTCGCAGCCGGTTAGGATTTACCAGGTTTCCGATTTGGAAACAAGCTATTTAAGACCACATTGCCCGCTGGTTAGTCCATTGCATTCGATATGTTTTGCTACACGCAAGTTACTGAAGATATCTAGACTCTCGAAGGTCACTCCAACGAAAATATCCAGTATTGTCTCTCCATCACTGATCGGAATGTACCCTTTGGTTGCACATTTCCTGTGGAATGCTGGTTTGCACCGCTGTTGAAATACGCCAAGCTCAACACCGTTACAACGAAAGTGATTGAGAAACAAACTGCGCGGATGGAAGCTACTGCTGCGGAATCAGTGCGACACAACATGCGGTTTATCACTGCTGCACAAACTCAAACTGTGTTCTCCAAGACCATCGATTTCTCTCGAGAGGAGTCTCCGGTAGATGGTTCGGACATTGAATGGCGCTTCACTACTCCAGTCTCTCTGCCTCAGAGTCTCGACGCGTGCTCGCAGAGCATGTCGACCAGACATATCAAGATCACCCATGAACTTTCGATCACTGCTGAGTTCCGCGATGAGGAAGGAAATGTAACAGCTGTGGTATGCAAGTAACCGGTTTACAGATTTATACATACAGCTAACAGGGAAGTAGATCACGGAAGTTATGCCGTTTAAGATTCATATGACACCCAATGTGATTGGAGAAGATGCGTCCGTTCATGGGCAAGATATTCAACACATCCAGGGAAATCAAAGTCCTCCTCCGGCTTACGGTGATCGCTTTTCGGACTCGATAGTAGCGGTAGCTACTCAACTGAATCTTTGTGGCCACCCGACGATAGCGGAGATCGATTCTGCGCGATCCTCAAATGAGCAAAGTGCGAGTATTCACGCCACGCAGCCTGCTCCCCGATATGAAGAGGTCGCATAGCGTGTTCGTGTTTGGACCCCCTTTGCGCACTCCTCTTCCACCCCGGTGTTGATGTTGGACCATTTTAATAAATCCCCGAATATGGTCCGGAGCCCTGGAGAGCTTCATATTCATGGATACCTTCTCTTTCTACCTGTTAAATACCAAATTCAAACTAATCCATGTCGACTTCCAAGGATCATTGCATCTTGTAGACCAATCCCTCTTCAGCCCTGACTTGTCCATGACACAGTCTATCCCACCCTCCCTCGACACCATCAGCTCCAGAGACGCCGCTGCCAAACACAATCTGCATTCCCGGCACGCTCAGGTGTCGATCATCGAGCCATTTTTCCCACTGTGCGCGTCTCGTTGCAAAGTAAGCTTCCGGACCGACAGACTCGAGTATTGTGTCTTGAACACCAGAAGTGTTGAACTGAACCTTTCCGAGCTCCTCCATCGCTGCTCCCCCAGCAATCAACTCCTCCATCGAGTATACCTTCTGCTCATTGCCAACCTTGACAATAACAACCTTGCAAGATTGCAACTCAGCATAATTCCTGATCAGGGATAGCGTGTCATCGAGAGCATTCCCACGACCGCCGAAGTCGATGATAACAATTTTCGAAGCCTTGCGGCTAGCAAGCCACTCCGCAGATTCCTTAGAATTAATATCCCCATATCCAACGACCTTAGAAGCAACAGAAGAAGGCAGATTCCGATCCGCCTCTCGGATACGTGACACAGCTGCTGTAACCTGTAACAAACCAAGGGCGCCGAACTACCCGACTTCCGCGACAGGTAGTACGAGAAAACCCGGGCCGTTTTAGTCGACGCGGCCAGGTTTACCACGACCGCAGATGACAAATCCCCGTCGGACAGGGTCCAGTGTAACCCAGCTTGGTTTCCCAGTGGATGGATGGGAGGTTGGGTTGGGTTGGACGAGAAAACGTACTCGCTAAGAACGAACCCGGCTACCCCGCCAAGGAACAGCGCGGTCCAGGCCATGCGGTCTAGCTCGTCCCGTGCAGAGTCTGAGAGGGGATTGAGCGCTGTCAGTTCGGAGATTGGGTTCGATGTCGAAGTTACCGTGTAGCGGTTGTACAGAGGCATTAGCTGCTGGCGATGATCGCTGGTTTCGATCCAGTGGCCTTCTGGTGAGCCGCGTTTGAGTTTGAGATCGGTTGGTGTGCTGGCTGTAGGCCAGAATCCGTAAAGAAGGGTTCCTTTCGGTAATTCTGGGATGGTCGTGTCTTCGACTGTTGCATAGCCCCAGGCCGGAACGATGCCCCAGGCCGAGGAGTCGTTGTATGGTGCAGGATAGTCTTCAGATACGGGGTATGCGTCCCACCTGCCAGCATTGATAAGGATTCCATTTCAGGTCGTTTTCCCACAATCCCAAGTGGCGTGGGTAAATATTAGGAACATACCAATGCAAGAAGTCACCCATTAGGGCATAGGTCAAATTGTTTGAAGTGAGACTGATCAGTTGGGTGCGAATTCTTACTGAAGACTCTGATAGCTCCTTCACGGCGACTTCGAAGTCGAAGCTTGCATGCTGGCGGTTATCCAGCTTTGAAACCACATGAACACCCATAGCTGATAAATTTGGTGAAAGTTTTTGGATCGGATTATTCTTCTAAGGTTTTAACCTGCTTGATTACTGATCAGAGACATGAAGTTCACCCGGCGGGGAACCCCCACCGGCTAAGCAAGGCAACAGTCAACGGGATGTCAGACTGGGATATGGCCAGGCACTAAACAGGAACCTTGGTTTTTGTGGTTGTCTAGCGGAATAAACCCGTATTTTATTCCTTCTTAGGATTATACACCTTGGCATGACAACATATATATTGGGATTATTTTGATATAACAGTTGCACCCCGTCGAAATACGTGAATATATATAAAATAATTCCCTACTGGTCATCGGCATAAAGAACAGCATTTACCCCATCGATGGCACTTATTTTAGGAATAGCACCCCGAGTCAGTAGCCTAATTGGACATATTTCATTAGCCAGTTTCAAGGGATAAAATAAGGAGACTTGCGGGGATGGTAAACAGCTGGGTATTCTAGCTTCACGAGGAACTCATCAACGCCGGTGTCCTCGTTAATAATCCTATACTAGTCCAGCTGCTAGTTACACAGAAGCGAGCTGGGTTGTAGTTCGGATGATCCTTCCCATAGCATACACTGCCAGTTAGCCGAGTTGAACAACTAGCTTTGGAGCGTGTTCGTTCAGCTGCGCCCGAAATGCAACACGTCAGGACGATAGTCCAAGTTAGTCCTCGGCACGGCCCGCGTGGATTCGGGACCAGACCATCGGTCAATGACCGCGAGAGTAAAACAAACGTTGTTCTCGGGTTCATGATAGACAGAAACCACTTATGGACACGGTTTTAGACCCAGTCTTCCTTGGCCCAGTGCCCACGCGAACCACACCACGTCTCTACCATGTCTTGGAATGATGCAAAATCTCAGGTCGGGCAGCCTCGATTCAAATCAGGAAGGCCGATGATGGCCGAAAATCTCGAAAAGGATTCAATGCGGGCCATGCTCAACAGTTTAGTAAAAGAAACGATTGGCCCGGATGAAATCACTTCGAGAATCCCTACTGCCACTATCGAGTGAATAGAAGCAAAAAAGGACGCTATTATGGCAGACATGATTGATACCTTGTTTGCCAGGCTTCACATGTTTGCCCGCCAGTAGTATATTAACTAGTCTCACACTGTCAGAGAATTCAACCTTCTTCTCTCTCTCCTCTTTCCATCTGGCCTCTGTCAGATCAGCTATAATCGTGACGAAAACTCGCAGAAACCAGTTGGAATCTCCATCTTATTTCCAATGGCTTTCTCCAGATGTGGAAGAACCAAGCGAGTTGCTTCACCGTGCCTGATTGCCTAGGTGGGAAGGTAGAGGGTTGTGGACGTGGTTTTTGTTGTCTCTTCTCTTCTCTTTCTCTCTTCTCTTTCTCTTTCTCACTTCTCTTCTCTCTTCTCTCCTTATCCTCCCACCCGAACTCTTTCTTTCTTTCAACCCTGATACATTTCGCTTTCATCTATCGTTCACGGGTTATCTCAACGCTTTGCCATTTCTTCTTGAACCCAGGTTATTTACATACTTGAGTTTGTATTGACATCAGAATTGACTTGCACTGGGGGTCTCGACATGGTAAGTGGCATACCCGTCTCACACTTAACCCTTATCCAGTCACGTCCTCGAGATAAATGCGTGACTGTCCCGTCTGAACCGCCCACTAATCCAATACAGGCCCCCCAAGCAAATATGTCTTTAATCAAAGACCCTCAAGACAGGACAGTCGACGAGGTCGTCCCGTTCTTTTGCCACGAAAAGGCCTGCGACTGGTCTTACAATTTGGCTTGCCCAGATCTCGTGGCTCGCGAAAATTCTCTCTGACGATTCTGTCGCGACGAAACCTTAAGTTACAACATATACAGCATTAGAAATACCTACTATGTTGTATAAAAATCTTAGGTTCAAAAATGACCTCGCCAAGCATGCGACTAGAATTCAGATCCTTTAGTTTGATCGAGCGCCGGAGCAGTAAATGTCGGTAAGGGAATTAGTGTGATGCATGATATAATCACTAATGCAAGCGCATTGCCAACGGAAGACGCATGGGCAACCACGAATTTGCGCCTGGAGAGAGATATCATTGTTGTGCTGTTGGGCCCCATATTGTACAACATTCCCTATACATAGATCAATCGTTGGATCACGTCTACTGTTGTATCGTAGAAAGACCACGGCTTTGGCCGGAGTTTTGGCCATTAGAATTAGGGAAGCATGGTCTGTCGTGGGGTGCGAAGCGAAGCATAGGTTCACTCGCACCCTGCCCATGATAGGGCACACAGGGAGAAGATTAGTGTCGTCTGATTACCTCCAGGGCCAGATATAGCGGGACAAGGTAACGTCCACGGGTATGCGGGCATGATTGAGGAGGGCTGTCCTTCGATACCCAAATCATGCACAAGACTAAGTCAAACATACCGTTTCTCTGCGCCGTCACAATATGGAAGCGATATCTACCCCACCCATGACAACAAACCTCCGCTTCGAAGGGAAGATGGATCTTCAACATTCGCATCGTTATCGAGAACTCTGACCATACCCGTTTGTTTCCAGGATTTCCTCGAGTGACGAGGTGGAATTTGGTGATGGGAAATTGACGATTGAGCGAAATGGACGCTTGTAAATTATGGAGAGTACGAACGATCTAAAGCGATTCCTGTGGAGTTCCCAGCAGATTAAAGTCCATATTTACAACACAAATCAAAAGGCGCAAGATAGCACTAACTATGCACAAGGAAAACCATGATGTAGGCAAAACAAGTCAAGCTCAGCTCTAGGAATTGACGAGAGATACCTAGAATACGATAAAGATGCATACAATCCTCAGTAGAATGGTAGATTGGCAGAATAGGAGTTTACAATGCCGAGAACAAACAAATCCAGGAAAATAGCGAAGAGTAGATTCATGCGAAGATGAGTGTGAGCAAAGGAATGAAGGCAGAAACTACCACGCAGATGATCAGATGGCTGAGAGATGAGATGGAAGATGTAGGATAGGTACGAAAGGAGAGTGGTATAAACAGATCCGAGGTATCAGGTCGATACTCGGGAAACGCGAAGATTTCAAACAGGGCATGTGAATTGAAGATTCGGATTCGGATCGCTTGTAAATGACAGGTCTCATGCTCGCGCTTTGCTCGTGCGGGTGTGTATGCAGAGGTTGTGGTGGGGATTATGTATGTATTGTTCGTAGATTATTCTCGTGATGCGGTGTTCAGTTGCATTTATATTTCAATGCTTGCTTGGGATCGGGATATTGGAAATGTGCGGTTTAGATCGTTGGCGCAGATCAGGTCATAAATGGGTCTGGTTTGACGGTGAGATTAGAAAATGACGAATCGTTTCTGTTTAGCTGGCTTCTCGATTTCGGTTTCTGGATAATTCATGTTAGTAAAATGTTCAAACATAGAAACCGGGTTTGGTTCACTCACCCTGGCCATGACCTGGACTCCGATCCTTGCGCTCGGCTTTCTTGAGCCGGCCTCCACTACGCGTCGCTTCTTTACGCGCACCCACGGATGGATGTGTACCCTCTGCCGCAGCTCGGATGGTAGCGATTCGGTGCTTGGCTCGCTCATCGCCCTGGTCCGCTGCCTTGACATACCACACATTCGACTCGAGCGGATCACGACGGCAGCCAATGCCCATTTCAGTGAAGTAGCCGACTGCATACTGGGCCTTTGCGAGGCCAAGATTCGCTGCCCGGAAGGCCCACTCATACGCCTCATGCTCATCCTTCTCGAGGACAGGCTCCGCACCGACAAGATACCACGCACAAAGCGCCATCATCGCCACCGGATGCCCATTTTGCGCGGCACTGGTATAGAAATGGATACTGAGCGCCGGGTCGCGAGGACAATTCAATTTCCCATGCTCATACGCATCCCCAAGTCGATAGCAAGCCTCGACATGGCCCAGCTCCGCGGATTTAGTGAATAGCTGCGCTGCATAAGTAGCATCGGGGAAGACATCATCTCCGAAGCCTCTCTCGTGCATCACGCCGAGCTCGTACGGGCCGGAGTTATACTGCGTGTCTGCGGACTCAGTCGCGCGCTTCATCCACTTGACGCCCTCGCGGTACCGCTTGCCCAATCCCATATCACCAGCAATGCAGGCATTGGCCATGCGCATCATGGCGCCCGGGTGGTTTTTCGACGCTGCTTGGCGGTAGAACTGGACTGCGCGGCTGCCGTCGACACGACACCCCCAGCCGAACTCGTAGCACAGCGCTGTGCGGTAGCAGGCTTCGACGTGGCCGTGTTTGCTGGCTGCGACGAAGAGCGGGAAGGAACGGTCGTGGTCCTCGACGCCTTTGTTGAAGAGGCCTGATGCGTATCCATCGCCGAGATAGTACTGCGCAAAGGGGTAGCTGCGGTCTGCTAGGCGCTGGAGGATGGATTTTGATTCCCGGAGGAGGCGGGCGCGCGTGATCGGGCTGGAGTCTTCGAGGTCCACGGCTGGCATCTCGCGCATCGAGTTTACCATGAACACGGCGAATTCGTACAGTACTGTTGGCTCGTCTGTTTTCTTTACGTTCGCTAGGTACATCTCGAATGTCTCTTTGTGGCTAAGGAGGGAGGCGTTGTTTCCGACTACGGCTTGGAGACGCGAGTTGTCGAATTGCGCTGCTGTTGGGCCGGGCTGCGGGTATGATGTGTTGAGCAAATCGAGGAATGATGAGGACCTGTTTTCGGGGGTTCCAATCGAGTTTCGTGATGAGGACCGCGCATGTAGATACGGCGATGCGGAGAGGTTGCGTCGGTGACCACCATCTGAGGCTGAGGAATATGTGGAGAGAGGCCGCGAAAGCCTTGATCGCCTAACCGCCAACTTATCCGTCGAGCCAGATGGGTTATCTCCAGCATTGGGTGCGGGTTTCCTTGCGGGTGCCGCGCCAGGCTGTTGCTGGTGGTGGTAGGTCAGAGGTTCATAGTTGTCCGACACCTGCGCCACGCTATCCAAGCTTCCCCGTGAAGAGCTGTTATAGCTCTGACCCTCGCGCTCTAGCGAGGAGCCGCTCTTTTTCGGGTTTCCGTGTCCGTCATCTTTCTGTGGCTCTACTACCGACCATGAGCCGCTGCTCGCTGGGGTGTGCCCATATGGATGCCTGTGCGTGTAGTGCGGAGCCTGTGCCGAGTCTCGCCGCAGGGGGTGGGCAGGATTCCAGCTTTGCTCAGGCGGCTGCACGGGGCTGCCGAGCGACATGTCTGCGAGCTCCGGGAGGTCCAATTGTGGTGTGGTCGGCCCACTGGATGCGTCTTCGATGGGCGCGCTCGAGGCATCGGGGATGTCTGCGCCATGTGCGATTTTGACTGGGGAGCGCGGCGAGTTTTGAAGGATGGGAGAGTTTTCGGACTGTGCTGGAGGGACTGGTTTGCGGCTGAGGTTCAAGCTCTGGGGTCGGTTCGGGATGGTCCGTGGTGATTGTGATGGGGGGAATGGCGGTGATGATCGGAGGTAAGCTGGTGGGGGAGAAGGCAGGGCCTGGCGGTGACCAGGGGCAGTGGCCATGCTGGAGATCAAGCAAAGTCGAAAGCGAGAATTTCAAGATCCATGAAGAAGATTGATTTAGTTTATGGGGCAATCCGAGTGTGGAGAAATGCGATGGCGTTAAAAGAGTGGACACAGATAATTTCATAGCACATCAAGGGAGAGACAAGCGAGGGGAATAAAAATGGAAAATAAGACTAACAATACTAGTTCCCCGTTCAAATCCTTTTCTTTCATCTTTTTTATTATATTCATACGCGCTCAGCCTAATATGGTCAAGTGGGGATGAACTATTATTATGTCTAGCACATTCTCTCGTATAACCGAAGACCTACAATGTTGTAAGCATCGAAAGATGATGCCTATCGGGTCTGAAAATAGGGCTTTCCGAGACATATTAGCCTAGGTCTAACAGCACATAAGACATACCTCTAGGTCTACCTATAGGTACTCAGTACTCCGTACTTCAACTGTCAATTCCCCTCTTTTCACTGTGGAGACACAACTCTAGACATTTGCCGCTTGCCTTTTCGTCTTCAGTGTTAGTCTCCTTAGTGTCCGACCTTTCCGGGGCTCTGTGCGTGGCAGATGTCGTTGGAAAGTGGAAGTACCTGGAAACATCGGGCATTTCCACTCGTACCTGAACTTAGAGAGTTCAATATTTAGTATTTAACTTCTATTTGAAACAGAGGCTTGAGCGTAACTGAAAGGATATAGTATCCCGAAATCCAGTCTCACAATTGAGTTTAGTCAATTCTCACACATAGCTACATATGTATCTGTCTATGTATACTCCTTACAGCAGTCAACCACACCGTCAAAGCACAGACAAAAAGCAACTCTCATCTCATATGACGACATGACCTACGCGCACTCTTGACCTGATAGTGTCTCCCTCGCAGTATTGAGTACTGGGTACCCGGAGTGGAAGCTTACTGTCCTACGTCTGCTGATGCGGAGATTACCAACCTTGGAAATATCGTCAGCATTCCAGTAAGAGCCGGAGAACGTGGGCCGACAAGGATATCGGACTCCGCGGTAAAGATCTCCTAGTAAATCCGAAGCCAAGTCGGGTTCTCAACTGGTTATATTCGACGTGAAAAAGGCAGGAATTGTCTAGAGGTGATATATCCCTTTCCTGGTTGAAGAATGTGCATGGAAAAAGATATGGTCTTCGAATTCGAATCGGAATAGTGCATGTGCACTATGGGGCCGTGGACTGTATGGGGTACTTGGATTCTGGAAACAGCCGTGATGATCGGCGGCCAGTTGTCGATCATATTGGTTGGATTGGCATTGGGGTACGGAATAAATGGTACAGGGTTATCCTGGGTTTTTATATCTCTGATCATTCTTGTGTCGAGTGCTATTGCACATAACACCTTCTGCTGGGTAGAATATAGACCGGTAGTACAATCCTGAGTGTCTTGTCAAGGGTCTATACATATATTGCATTACCGATTATTATGCTCTTGAGTCTAGATCACTCGAAAGCGGTTACTATTTGATAGGTGATAGGGGATCCATGGATGGATTAAGGATGAAGCTTAATCTTTTTTCGTTATTCAAAGTTCTCTTGTTTACTAATCTAAATCGGAGATTGTGCAACAAAGTGGCAATTGGCCCTTTAGCGTGGCAGTTAGCCCACCTTGACCAAGACTAAACTAAGTAGGAGACTAAGCATAAACTGTCTTGGCTCGAAATAGAAAGGACCCCGTGATCAGAAAGGAAATGCCTCGACTCCGTAGGGCCTGAGCAGTTCCTCGGCTGTTGTTTCCATTTCTTATTTTATCTCATTTTATTCATGGGAACCATGGAAGATACTTGGTTAACCCGTGGAAATGAGATGTGATTTAATTAATCTGATTGGGTGGTATTGCCCCTAGCGACAAATAGATTATTTATTTTGTTTTAATATGGCAAAACAAGCCTAACCTCTCCTAGGTCAGAGTCCCGTGTAGGGTCTTTGTCTCAGAATTTCCCTTTTCCCTTTAAACACATTGCTACTTATTATTACTACACAGAGTACATTCGCTCTTCTCTGTGTTTTAGACCTTTCGATTTCTTGCATAGGTGGGGACTTTGTTTATTCTCCACCTCGTTGCACAGGCCGACCGTACCACTTTCGTTGAGAGCTCTCCCCAATTTGCAACTCTAGTTGCTGGATATAGAGAAAGAGATTTGACAAATATTTGACAAATATTTGACATATTTGAAACGGAAACACGAACCATAAGGTCGCATTATCGAGGACCGGGCGCATTTGACATGTTTCAGTCGGCACACGACAGATCCATATCGTGAACAGTCTACTCCACACAACCTGCTGCTGATGAGCGGCAAATAATCAAAGTGAGTGCGCCGACTGGAAATTCAGATCCAACAAGCAAGCAACCTCCGAAAGTCTAGATGGACTGACATCAGGGACCTTCATAGGAGCGATATGTCTTTGCCGCAGAGGCCAGGCAAGCCCTCGCCCCGGCGTGAAGAAGCCCGCGCATTTCGCGAACCCTCTCAGCGCCGTCGACGGGATACCGAGTCGGGCACTTACAGCGACGACCCCACTTCCACCTCCCACCGACACCGCCGCCGACATTCCAGCCATCGAAGAGCAATGGACACAGACGAAGAGCGCATGGATCGGGGCGGCGAGGTGAGACACAAAAAGCGCATGGTCAAACCAGAGCGCAGGAAAGATGACCGTGACCAACCCAATTATCACTACCGTCAGCGATCAAACCACATGCCCACTTTCCCCTCGTCGACGGGAAACGATCCGTTATTGGACAACAGAGATGCCGAGGCGGAGACCAACAGCTCGCGCAGCATGGATAAGAGCAAGGATGGTCTATACGGTGCGCGGGGTAACGTCAACAAGCCCATGGAGCGGGTTCCTAGCAGACATCGTTCGAAGAAGAAGAAGAGAGGCTCGCGGAGGTCATCGAAGGGAGCTGCGGATGAACATAGACGCCAGAAGGCTATCCAGCAAAGTGGCCCGCCCGAGTTGTGGCCGACATATTGTGCAGTGCTCACATTCTTCATTCCGGACTTTGTGCTGAAATGCTTCGGTATGCCACAGAAAGAGCAGCGCAGTGCTTGGCGGGAGAAGATCGGCCTTATCAGCATCATTCTGATGATCGGCGCTTTTGTCGGTTTCCTGACTTTCGGTTTCACAGCTACGGTTTGTGGCTCGCCCCCGGTTCGGTTGAAGGTTAACGAAGTCAATTCCAACTACATGATCTTCCACGGAAAGGCATATGACTTGGCTGGTTCGAAACACCCCGCTGTCGCTGGTATCCCAGGTGATTCAAATGTTATCTATGACTTGCCACACAAGTATGGTGGACAGGATGGTAGCTTCTTCTTCCAGCAGGTCAACGGCGCGTGCAAAGGACTGATCACTGCTCAACCTGATGGGGATATTCCAACAAACTCCGCTGGAGATATGGGATGGTACTTTCCGTGTGCGCCCTTCAACCAGGATGGTTCATCCTCGCCGAATTTGACCGTTGAACATTACACGGGCTGGGCTTGCCATACTAGCAAGGCAGCCCGTGAACCTTTCTACTCGCTGAACAGTGATGGGGATGTGTACTACACATGGGAGGATACGAAGAACAAGAGTCGAAATCTGGCGATATACTCCGGAAACGTGCTAGACCTCGACCTTCTCGCCTGGTTCGACCGCAGCCAGGTTTCCTACCCCGAAAAGTTCGACGAGCTCCGCACGAACCCTCATGTCCGAGGTGTCGATCTTACCTACTACCTGCAAAGCGGCGAGGAGAAGAAGATTGGCAAGTGCTTGGCGCAGATTATCAAAGTTGGCAGTATTGATACCGATACCGTTGGCTGTATCGCATCGAAAGTGGTGCTCTACGTGTCCCTGATCTTCATTCTGTCCATCGTGGGTGTCAAGTTCGGTTTCGCCCTGCTCTTCCAATGGTTCCTGGCACCCCGGTTTGCCGCGCAAAGCACGAGTATGGCCTCCGACGCCAGAACTCGCAATCAGCAGATTGAAGACTGGTCCAACGACATCTATCGGCCCGCTCCACGAATGGCCGAACCCATCATTCCGGATCGCATCAGCAAACGTGCCAGTTTCCTCCCGACCACTTCCCGCTTCTCGAGCCCGTACAATGTCAACAGCAGCACCGGTAGCAAGCAAAAGCCGATGTATGTGACGATGGCTAGCCAGAACTCGACTTCTCGACTCATGCCCAGCTCCACCCCCGGTACTATGTACAAGCTGAGCCACAGCGGTAGTGGAGGTACTCTGAGCGCCGACAACTCTCGGCATAATCCTGCTGCCAGTCGGACTAGCTTGGTTCCTACCAGTCAGGGTCAGCAAGATCCGGGTTACGCCACACTATCGACGGATCACGAGGGTTTGGGTCCTGCTGGTTTCATTCACGAGGCTGTCGTTCCTCAGCCTCCACCTGAATGGCAGCCCTTCGGCTACCCTTTGGCTCATAGTCTTTGTCTGATTACTTGCTACTCTGAAGGTGAAGAGGGTATTAGGTCGACTCTGGATTCTATTGCCATGACCGACTATCCGAACAGCCACAAAACGATCTTGGTCATCTGTGATGGTATTATCAAGGGTAAAGGGGAGGAATTCTCCACCCCTGATATTGTATTGGGTATGCTCAAGGACCCCGTTGTTCCCAAGGACGAGGTCGAGCCCTACTCCTACGTGGCTGTGGCTACTGGCTCCAAGCGACACAACATGGCCAAGGTCTACACTGGGTTCTATGACTACGGTGATACTTCGATCATCCCGGTAGAGAAGCAGCAACGTGTTCCCATGATGGTGATTGTCAAGTGCGGAACTCCCCAGGAGTCGACCCAGTCAAAGCCTGGTAACCGAGGCAAGCGAGACAGTCAGATCATTCTCATGTCTTTCCTCCAGAAGGTTATGTTCGACGAGCGCATGACAGAACTCGAATTCGAGATGTTCAATGGCATGTGGAATGTCACAGGCATCGCGCCGGACTTCTACGAGGTTGTTCTCATGGTTGACGCCGATACAAAGGTGTTCCCAGACAGCTTGACCCACATGATCTCGGCCATGGTGAAGGACCCAGAAATCATGGGTCTTTGTGGAGAAACCAAGATCGCCAACAAAACAGACAGCTGGGTAACAATGATCCAGGTCTTTGAGTAGGTCTTCCATCGTATTATGGTGCAATTAGCACAGTAACTAATGCTCGATAGATACTTCATCTCTCACCACCAAGCGAAATCATTCGAATCCGTCTTCGGTGGTGTGACCTGTCTCCCCGGATGCTTCACCATGTACCGAATCAAAGCCCCGAAGGGTGGCCAGAACTACTGGGTGCCCATTCTCGCAAACCCAGACATTGTCGAACACTACTCGGAAAACGTCGTCGACACCCTCCACAAGAAGAACCTACTCCTTCTCGGCGAAGATCGCTACCTAACCACCCTGATGCTCAAGACTTTCCCGAAACGCAAGCAGATCTTCGTCCCGCAAGCCGTCTGCAAAACCGTCGTTCCGGATGCATTCCTAGTCCTGCTCTCCCAACGTCGTCGCTGGATCAACAGTACCGTCCACAATCTATTCGAGCTCGTCCTCGTCCGCGACCTTTGCGGAACCTTCTGCTTCAGCATGCAGTTCGTTATTTTCATCGAGCTTGTCGGAACCCTCGTCCTGCCAGCCGCCATCTCCTTCACCATCTACGTCGTCGTCGTCTCCATCGTCAAGAAACCCGTCCAGGTCATCCCGCTGGTTCTGCTCGCCCTGGTCTTGGGTCTGCCGGGTGTTTTGATCGTCGTCACTGCACACAGACTCGTCTACGTGCTCTGGATGTTGATTTACCTCATTTCGCTTCCGATCTGGAACTTCGTTCTGCCCATGTATGCGTTCTGGAAGTTCGATGACTTCAGTTGGGGTGATACCCGTAAAACGGCGGGCGAGAAAGATAAGGGACACGGCGATGCCGAGGGTGAGTTTGATAGTACGAAGATCACGATGAAGAGGTGGCGTGATTTTGAAAAAGGTATGTTTCTCTTCTTGAATTCGATTGATAAATGTGTTCTAATATTTCTGTAGAACGCCGCCTACGCAGTGCCTGGTCACAGCCGCATGCTTCGACGGATCCTTATCCATCACAGTATGAGACGTATTCACATTATTAATGAAAGCGATAGCGCTTGTTCTTTTTTGTTTTTATTCTTCTTTATCGATGTTTCCGGATGCACATGATTTATTGTACCATTTACATACTGGCGTTCAGACATTCTTATAATATAGTTCAGAGCGGGCGTTGCACGACTGACGAGTTGATTATTTTCACGAGTGCTGATATCTTGATTTATTCTTGTTTTTACTTTTCTTTTCTTTCTATTTCAAGCATTTACTGTCTTCTACATCGATTGGACTTTTGCCCTTGTTGATAAATAAATCGCCATATTAATCCACATAGCGTAATTGCAATAGCGTCATGAACCCTGTAAACCGACATGAACTATCAAATTGGGACTTTTCACAGGTCACTTCAGCCCAAGCTGTGCCCAACAGGATCAAAGCGCAAGTCACCGGGCTTGTCCGGGATCTGCATGATATACTTGCATTATTTTCGTACATATGCGAGGCTCCAATGTATGAGATGGCTTTAGAATTTGGTTTGCTAATCCTTGAATATCTGATCTTCCAAATAAAATGGATAAAGTGGATGAATGTTAGGCTGAGTCCTTGCATTCTATATGCGATGTATCATCTTTTGCTACATCATTGCTTTTTTTATCTCCCCCCGAGATAAAGTGGAGAATGTCAACCCTCACGTTCCTCCCCACGTTCCCATCTGGCTGCATGAGACTGTTAATATCCCTTTCTTCCATTTCGGATTCCTTGCATCTGCTCCCGGAGAAGTCTACTGTTTCCTCTTCCCTTTGAATCAGCCCACTGTTATCGGTGTTTCATATCCCACTAGCTCAGTCATACATTATAAGATTCTGGATTTTTAACCTCTTGCCATCTTTTCCTACTCGGCTTCGTCTTAAACAACTCCCCTCGGTTGGACTCGGAATTTCCGTCTCGTCCGCTTTCCGCTCTCCGCCTTTTCCCTCTAAACCACGAGGGCTTGGAAAACAACGCCACTGCAGTGTGGGGTTGAACTCTCCGACACCGATCGCTGCAAAAGAATCCTGGAAATTATTCCTGTGGGTAAGCTGGTTCTGGCTTCCTGATTACTGGACTGTTTTCCTCCGTGCGACCGCCACCTGTCATCCCTGCCCGTTTGACCCTTTTGGGACGTGATCATCCGTCCCGCCTTCCAAGGTTGCTGCACGGTGCCTCGAATAGGCAACCAACACTGAGACTCTGCATTCGAGGTCCAACTTATCAGTTTTCGAGTCGGATGTCCATGGCGGGCGATGCTCGATTCCAGCAACTGTAGCTCCGCGAATAACCCCTCCGACTATCCCGCCCGCTCGCAAGATCCCGCATCGCGCCATGTGTCATGTGATATCGACGACCCTCCAGTTCCCCGAGTCATGAATCCTCCTCCACATTCTAGTAATGGGCCGTCTGGTCGGGAAGACGATGCGACGGCCTTGAACTCGACTCTCGATTCGGATCTATCTTCTACCGATCGATTTGCTTCGCCGACGAATATGACTTCCGAGATCGATCGGCGTTTACATGACGTGGGCGTTGCAGCTCTGGCTGCTGTGTCCCAGTACCCACGTGCGGTGGATAATGCGCACGGTGACTCTTTTATGGTGTCGGAAGTCGTCAACGCTGTTACGAGTGCTGGCAGTCCTCCGGATTATCGGAATTTGGACTCGGGGGTTTCTTTGCTGCCGGGGCACCGGAGCCGTTTTCAACAATCTGGAATGGGAGGTACCCCTTCAGCTGGACCGGAGTTTGTCTTTGGCTCGAACCCGAGTGGCGACGTCGATATGGAAACTATTGTCCGGGACTTGCTTCACCGCACTGGCGGCCGGCAAAATATCGCCATCGCCCCAGACAGTGACATCGAGGAGGCTCAGAAGGACATGGTTATGGATTACGAGTCTGCTACCATGGAAGATAAGCTGTCGCCGTCGTCGACGTCTGATGATGAGCTTGAAGACTTTCTCCGGTTCTATCCGGACGAAGAGGAGTATTATTACCAGCGCAAGGAACGCCCGACGCAGGAAGCCGAAATGCCGGACTGCGACCTGGATGATTTTTATAACAGTATAAGTTACGACGATATCGATATGGATCTGCCCCAGACTATTGGTTTGTCTATTACTGAACCTTTGGGAAACTATACTGAGGATCAAATGGACTTCGGTGGGCCACATCCTGCATCTATAATCCACACATCCAGTAAGGCGCTATGACTTCGAGATAAGAGCCTAGCTAATTGCCTCTAGCATACGAGCGGAACCTCACTATCGATGAATTCATCCAGCGCTGGATGGTGTCAATAAACGTCATTCCCCAGGGCTTCCATTCTGAAAGTCGAATTCCACCACAGCTCCGCCCACTCTCAAAGATGATTAGCTGGAAACCGCCACTGGAGGTTGTTCGGCCGTCTGGATGGAGACGCGATTTTTATGATCTGCAGCAGATCCCATGGACAGAAACCTTGCGAGTGACGCGGTCAGATGCACGAGCTGTCCGGGACGCCTGGTATACCTCGTATCACAACTTGGATTACTCGCACCTCAGTCATGCCAAGCGCCTTCCACAACAAGAAAGCTTTTTCCGCGAGAGTTCCATGCACACTTCACACAAGGCATCTATCGAGCACTTCCAGCTTCGAAATCTGATGTCGACCCCTGCATCCAACACCGTACATTTCGCCTCCCGCTCGAAAGTGTTTTCGTGGACTCCAAACACTGGCGACGCACGGTGTATAATCGACATGAGCCAGCCAGACCCAGAATCAGGCTTCCTCGGACCGGTCAAAATCTCCACTATGAAAACAGCACACGGCCTCACAATCGCAGGCGGCTTCTGCGGCGAATACGCACTACGCAGCACCAGCGGATCCGAACCCGGCATAAAGGGTCTAGTAACACCGGACTTCAACGACGGCATAACCAACCACGTCGACATAATCCCCAACCGCACCGGGCCCTCCCCAACCGGCGTCTTCGCCTCCAATGACAAACACCTCCGCATCCTCGACACAGAAACCAACATCTTCACCTCCGACCAAGAACTCTCCCAACCAATCAACTGCACCGCCACCTCCCCCGATAGCCGTCTACGCGTGGTAATCGGCGACTCACCAGACGCATGGGTCATCGAATCCGACACAGGCCGACCAGTGCACCCACTCCGCGGCCACCGCGACTTCGGCTTCGCGTGCGCCTGGTCCCCAGACATGCGCCACATAGCAACCTCCAACCAAGACAAAACCGTCATCATCTGGGACGCGCGCACCTGGCGTCCGCTCGAAACCATCGACTCGGACGTCGCGGGCTACCGATCGCTACGCTTTTCCCCGTTGGCGGCGGCCCACGCACTCTCCTCTGCACTGAGCCCGCGGATCGGATTTCTATTGTCGATGCACAGCTCTTCCGCTCGCGACAGGTGCATGATTTCTTTGGTGAAATCGGTGGCGCGGATTACGCGCCTGACGGGGCGGAGATCTGGGTTGCTAATACGGATCGCCATTTCGGTGGGTTCATGCAGTATGAGCGGAGGCAGTGGGGGCAGCGGGTTGGGTTGACGGATTTGCCGTGTGAGTGGGTTACGGAGGAGGAGTTGGGGGTGGATTCTAGGTGTGTTTTGAGTAAGAGGGAGAGGGGGTTGAGGTTTTTGAGGAATTTGTCGGATGAGGAGCATGATGCGTTGATTCTTTGATTTGTCGATTTGGTGGGATATCCGTCTTGTCTTTTGGTTCTGTCTTTTTCTGCTTTTCTCTTTTTATTTACGGGTTCGTATTCTTTGCGCCTTTTCATCTGCATCTGATACCCTGGGCTACGGCGTTACAGGTTCTTTGTATTCATTTCTTTTGTTTTTAGAGTTTCATGATGGACAAATCGCCCTATATGTTGTTGGTTTTCTCAACAAAGTGTTATACCCAGCTTTCCTCAACATGACAGTGCAGATATCCTTCTGATCCAACCCGACTCCGTTAGTCGGGCCGAATGCTAAAGATCGAGTCACATGATTGCAGAGCTTGGGTTAACATATAATTCGGTCATCTTCTTCGGACTAACTGGGCACCTGCATGGATGCCCATTCTATTTTGTACAGCCTATGATGTAGTAGTAAAGGAAACCGTGCTTCTACAACCATTTCCTGCATTTTTATTATTAGATCATTCTGCTCCATCATGCACCGTTCATCTGTTAGCAAAAAGATGAGCTCACATCCTAGTTCTTCCAGATAAACTCCGAACTATCGCCTAAGCCACACCAAACGCAGAAAACAAGCCACAGTCAATAGTCAACCTCTCAAACCAACCAATCAAAAGGCCCGCTCATAACTGATTGGCCACCTCAGCCACCTCAGCCACGATCCACCCCATCCGATCGAACAGCGAATCGCCCAAAACGGGATATGATCAACAAAAAAAGCCCCGCAACCCCTCCTCGTCTAACCCGAGCTGAAGCTCTTCCATTCCATTCTGTTCTCCTGGTCCTCCTATTAAATTCATAGCACATCCCCATTCCCATATTCTTCTCAAACCACCTTATCCCCATCTCACTCTTACTCCCCTACCTCCTCCATCCCCAATCCAACCATGTCTTACAGCGATAACCAATACGGCGGCGGCGGCGCCAGCAACAGCTACTACAACAACAACGAGGATTTCTCCGGCCGTAACAACAACAACTCCTACGGTGGATCGGGCGGCGGCTACGGCTCCAACGAGGGCTACGGCAACCAGAACCAAGGCTACGGCAACAACAACAACAGCTCCTACGGTGGATCCGGCGGTGGCTACGGCTCCAACGAGGGCAACTACGGCCGTCAGGAATCCCACGGAAGCTACGGCAACAACTCCTCCAACCACCACTCCAACTACAACGACGACAACGACTTCAGCGGCGCCGCCATGCACGCACAGGAACACCACAGCAACGAAGATACGTCCCTCTTCAGCAGTGCTCTGAACTTCCTGAAAGACCGCAAGAACGACGACAACGACGTCGACGAGGAAAAGGCGGCTCATGCCCACCAGGCCATGTACGGCTCTGGCTCGTCGAACCAGCAGCATGATTCCAACACTGTTGGTGCTGGCGCTGCTATGCAGGCTTTGAAGATGTTTGCTGGTGGCAATGAGAGCAGCGGTAGCAGTGGTGGTGGTATGGATAAGAATAAGCTTATTGGGCTTGCTATGGCTCAGGCTGGGAAGCTGTGGGATGAGAAGAATGGTTCTGGGGGTAATGTGGTATGTTTCTCTTGTTCTTTTGACTGGGGATGATGAGGTGCTAATTTTGTTTATAGTCTGGTGATAAGCAGTCGGCTGTTAACTCGGCTGCTGAGATGGCTCTTAAGATGTACATGAAGAACCAGATGTCCGGTGGTGGGTCTTCTGGTGGTGGTGGGCTTATGAGTCTTGCTAGCAAGTTCCTGTAAATGTTTAGTCGTTGCATGTGCCAGATATGTCTGGCATTTCTCTTTCCATTTTAGTGCGCTAGTCGCTTTTTGAGGAACATACAATCCATGGAATCAACGAAGTAAAGATAACACATACCGTCTAGACTGAATGTAACTGTATATAGCAGTCCGGTTTACCTGGGATGTACACCTGGCTGGCACCTTCGGAACGGCGCTGTTAGAGTTGCCGCAGAAGCCCTCCCAGAATATCACTTTAGATCTCATGGCAACCAATACATTGGGGAGCAATTATGGGAAGATGAATTGTGCGTAGGCTAAGTTGACTGATGCTATTTCTGGATGCGAAGAATGATATCTTCTTAGTAATGTTTCCTTCTAACTAAGGATATAAAGTCAGACAGTCCAATTCCAAGGCCCTTCTGAGCCATGTCTCTTCATTTTCTGGGCTTCAACTGGACCATTAAATCCTTCTTCTCCCACAAGAAGAATGTTTTCTGCTTTCCCCAACCGACAGACTCAGGGTGAAGAGAAATCTCAAAGTTATACAGCACCTTGGCCAGAATGAGACGCATTTCGTGGTATGCCAGACTATTCGATCATTAGCTACCTTCGAACCACGATTCAGAGAGCTGGACGAGTACACACTTCTTGCCAATACAGTTGCGAGGGCCGAATGAGAATGGTTGGAACGCAGCCTTATTATCCGAGGCAAACTCATCGCCAATCCAACGCTCAGGAATGAACTGATCTGGTAGCCTAAAGTTTCGAGCGTTGCGATAGGTAGCCCAGTGATGAACCGACAGCGCAGTCTATTATACCATTCAAATGTTAGAGATAAACCATCGAGGAAACAGAAACACATACTCTTCCTGGGATATGTTCTCCACAGACAAGCAATCCCTCATCCGGAGTGACGCGAGGCAGACCAACTGGAACTGGAGGGTAGATGCGCAATCCTTCCTCAATGCACGCATTCAGATATGTCATATGCTCCAGAGTTCTCATGTCAATATCAGAGTCCTTATCAAATGTCCCGCGGACTTCCTCTACAATGATCTTCATCTTGTCAGGTGCCATTAGAAGGTGATAGAGCAAACCACTTAGCGCAGTTGCAGTGGTCTCGGTACCTGCAACCATGAAAACCTGGGAATTGGCATACATCTCTGTGCGGGTAAGACGGAGGTCCTCCTTCTGACTCATGACAATACCCCAGATATCAGGCTTCTGCAGCGTACGGTTGACGTCCACCCTTTTGTCAACACGCTCCTGAGAGGCCTGGTAATGAGCGACACTTTGTTGCTCCAGCTCCTTCGGAATAAGCCTTTTGGCGATTGGAGCAGTCCAAGGGACGTAGCGAGCCAGTCTGCGCAAGGAGTTCGTTTTTATACTGACGTAAACAGCGGACACCCAACTGGTATTACCAGTTCCAGCTAACAGATTCAGGGAATCACCGAAGGTCAAATCACCCATGATATCGAACGTCGTCAAATTGAACATTCGGACCATATTGACTTTGACCTTCGGGTCCTCCTTGATTGCTTTTTGAAGGTTGTGAACTAAACTGTCCGCATATCCACAGATCAAGGATTGTTGTTCCCGAAGCGCGCGATCTGAAAATGCATGCGAGAAGTTGCGGCGGAAACGGGCGTGATCGGGTCCATTACTTCGGATGATTTCTGGGGATCCGTTGAATGATGGACCGTAGAATCGGGTATCCTTCTCTGTAACTGGTTTTCCTGCTGAAGCATGGCCGTATATTCCCTTCCATGCCTCGCCAGTTGCATAGCTCAGCTCGTCTGGAGCCACACGGACTATATCGCCGTGTTTTGCGTGCAGTCCACTAACCCATACTACTAGGTCACCTTTGAAGGTATGATAGAGTTGAGGGATGCGTGATGTAGCTGCAAGTTTTGGTCCGGGGTATTTGCCAAGAGGGTTGATGAAGACTTGGTAGTAGAACTGTGAGACAAATACCAGTAGGATCTAATCAGAGCTCGTTAGCATGACTGGTTTAGTAGAAGGGGAGTAGCAAGTGTACTGAAGTGGCGAGGGTCGACAAGTAGTGTTCGTGAATCAAACTTGAAGCGGATTGAAGGAGCATCTTGGATTACGAGAATGTTCTTCTGGGTCAGAGGGAATTGGGATGGCAGGAACGCAAGAAAGACTTGGGAGATTATATACTAACACCTTGAGCTTGGTACTATGTATTTTCATCCTGGATTGTGCAGGCCTTTTCCTGCATAGTTATGATCGTGCTAATATTTGATACCTAGCTCGGTTTGGGCTTGCAAGGATGTATGCCGGAGTTCCAACACACTATGAGCGATAAATGCACAGTCAAGACCCATTGTAACTGATCGACGTGTTGCTGCAAGATCTAGGCATGTTGGCGGTTGAGACGGGAGTGCTTTATGCCACCAAAACTGGGGATAAGCTCAATGCATAACTCGCGCCCCCCGAGGATATTCCGTATGTCTTCCTAAAATTGTTATCTTATCCCATACTAATGCAACTGGCTATCAATTGAAGCTTTAATTGTTTGCGGGTAAAGGGTTTAAGCTTAGTGTTTATTAGCTATCCGTACCATATTTCCTTTGCCGGGGCTTTCTTATCTTAGCTGCCGCTTTTATGAGGGCGCCCAGAGTCAGGCTCACTGAGTATATTTGCAACCTACGGCTCCTATAAAAATTAGGGCCCTGGGAGAGATACATTATGGATGATGATTTTAGTCGAATTAATTTAGTGACGTTTCTGGTTGACAGTTAGATTCAATAGGCTGGGTTGGGTAACCGGCTTACCGACTAAAGTTGGGGTGTTCTTAATCAACCTCTATACGAGTAAGGATATAATGCCACATTAACTGAATCCCGGTGACTTCCAATTTCTGTATCTCTTCATGATATCCTGTTTGTTGTTGGAAACCTAAATCATAGACCATGAAATATGATAACCATGGAATGGCAAAGGATGTTCGTATTTCCTCGGATATTTTATCTTTCCACTTGCTACCTTAATATATTTTTGCTTTTAGGAACGGATATGACGACAACTGAGCAGATGACATACATAGCTATCGTGACTTTCGCCCAATCACTGAACCGGTCTTGCACGTCATAAGAATGGAAAGCAGATTGAGTGGCCAATGCCTGTATTGGCTTTTTTTTACAATCATATGACTTCCTCATTATGGCGTTACTAGGTATCAAGTAAAGTCTAATCTAGTACGAGCCTAATTGGGGCAAAACATGGTCTAGAGATATATAAGCCTGCTGTTACTGGACTTCCCTTCCAAGAGGAAACAACTCGAATGATACTATCTTATTCCAAATCACCTTCTAGCTTTTTACTACAACCCAACACCTACTATGTCGAGGTTCGTACACAAGGTCAAGGATGCAATGGCTGGTCATGAAAAGGAGGCACCTGGAGCCCGCGGCAACCGACCTCCTCAAGAAGATACCCGGACCGCAGGATCGAATCCGGATCAGTACAATTCTTCTAGTATGAACCCATCTTCTGGCATGGGCTCTAAAGATTCTTACGGCTCTGGCCCTCGCTCTCGGGATGAGCCTGGTACCTCTCGGGACTCCAAGTTCACTGGTTAGTCTCCTAGCACATTTGTTCTTTCTACTTTTTCTTCCTTGGTCTATGATCTATATGCTGATTGGATGTATAGACACCCACGGTGCATCTGACCCAGCCAGTACTGGGATGGGAAATAGGGGCGGCCGTTCTGACCCCGACACCTATGGATCAACAGAAATGGGCGGAGATAGTTCAACAGGGGCTAGCGCTGGCTCAAGCGGCATGAATTCCGGTCCTCATGACTCGAAATTGGCGAATAAGATGGATCCTCGTGTCGATAGTGACATGGGTAAGCTAAGCTAAATTCCCCTGCAGCAAGAAAGCCAGGCTAAGACTATATACAGACAACCGCGCTCAATCCTCTGGAGCTACCAACCCTCAAATGTCCAGCAATGCCCCTGGCAATATAGCCCACGCACAGCCTCGCACTCAAGGTGTCGACAATCATGTATCCAGCGAAGATGATTATAACAAATCGACACAGGAGAAAAACTCGCAGTCCCGCCCCTCCGACAAAAACTCTCAGGGTCACTGGGCTAGCGAGGAAAGCCACGAAACCTCTACGCAAGAGCACAAATCCCACTCTGCTACCAGCCACGCCATGCCGTGCCAGACGAATTTGCAAGACGAGCCAGGCTTTGATAACCGTGCTGCTGAGCCTAAGTTTGGCGGTAACGCAGCTGGTGGTAGTAGCAGCACCGCAGGGGTCAGGGAGACAACTGGTAGTCAAAACCCTGACCCCCTGAACAAACTTGATCCTAGAGACACCCGATCGAAGGAGAACCCTAGTTATGCTGATCAGCGGAGTGGATACTAGGCTAACTTTTGTTCATTTTGATTAAATAGTTTCTCGTTGTATGTTTTGTTTTCTGTACGATCACCACTACGAGAATGAATGGCACTGAATAGTCTGTTTACTTTGTGACTCCAGAACGATGACCGTTAGGAGAAAGTACACGCGGAAGCGTGGCCGTTAACGCCTCGACGGACTTTGACGACTCAATATGGCGTTGAAGTCTTATGTCAATGGGAAATTTCAAGTAGTAGTTCTACTCAGTGAGCAAAAAGCTGCAAGGTCAGGGCACTAAAACGGAAATGGAAAGCCAAGAATTGGCATAAATCAAGTACGTAAGGAGTGATCAATACCAACAAGATTTGATTAGACAGCGGGCTAGCCTTTACTCGTCTAAGAGTACCTAATCACGGTTTTTATTGGAAGGAAACTAGGTACCTGTTGCGGTTGGCTCAGTGGGTTCGGTGGGCTTGCAAAGAGGTTCCCCATTGACACCATTGGCTGACAGATCGAGTCATATACTCCGCAACCAGCTCGGCTCTCTCTAGAAGTCTGTCCGCGACGGGAGCCCACTTGCCTTGCTATATAAGTAAATTTGTTTAGCATTACTCGAAAAGAAACTAGACGTCGGGAACCTACCTTTATATGCCAACCATGCTCTACTAGAGTAAAGTCTACCGGCAGTTCCTCGAACTCGGCCTTGATATCAAGTAGATCTCTGCCAGTGTCACAGATTAGATTGCTTGCTTCTTGCAGCTCTGGCCAGGCGATAACCTGTAGGCTTTTGTCCAGCGATGGGAATGCTAATAGTGCGGTCTGGATTGTACGTCATAGTGGTGATGATAGGATCAGTTCTATATTTTCCGATACAGCGAGCCTGGTACTCAAGGCCCGGGCTTGCTCTTCTCTCCCAGGGGTGTCAGTTCGGGGTCGGGTAAATGGTGGTTTGCGTGGCTGAGGTTGTGGACGCCTTGCGCGTGGCGCACGCAGTGAATTATTGGTGACATGCAATCCGAATAGCTTTCCCTGGGTATGAGAGGGTGGTCGGACTGCAGTTAAGCATTTCAGGGAAGAATCAGATAGACAGGCACAAAGCAAAGCGGGGTTTTCTAACAGGGGTAGTCGCGCTAGCCTACTATAACTACATGCGCTCCGTATATGTACGTGTATGAAACTAAGTGGTAGTTTAGATTGATCAGCATCCAGAATGACATGACAACCTTCCGTATGATTTTGATTCGCGCGAAACGGTATATATTGAACTCGTCTCTACTGCACAATGTAATGACAAGGGGAGAAAAAACAATGACTCGCTGACCTGCACATGCACATGCCACGGGCCCTTAACGAAAACAAACGCAAAAGGTCAACGCTAAGCGCAGAAATGTCCAACACCGCGACCGACCATAAACAATACGCATCTCTACTCTACCACTCGTCGTCGTCATCGTGCTTGCCCTGCATCGCGCTTTGTCTTGCACGCAGTGCCTCGGCCAAACCACCTGCCAGACTAGCGTTCGATGCACTGTTGGGAGTACCGCGGCCGCTGGCGCCTGATGAGTCGCCCGACTGCACGCTCACAGCGCTATCCCTGGGAGCTGGCGGGGGTGCAGGTTTGCGTCCAGCCATGTTGGGACGCTTGGCCGGGGGAGCTGGCGGGGCGGGCTTGGTCTTGGCGGCTGCAGCTGCCCCAACGCCGTTTGGAATAGGGCTGGGGGTTGCGCGCGGCGCCACCGGGGGTGGGGGTGGAACAGGCTTTGGCGCGGGAGCGACAGCTACTTCTTCAAGGTAGGACTCGGGGGTCCATCCTTGTGCTGATGTTGTTGTGTTCTTACATAGCCACCATCCTAGGACAAGTTAGTAAAATGATCAAAATAAGTATGCTGTGGGGACGTACCATTTCCTTCCCTGGATATAATCTCCACAATTTCGCCCTTGACAATGGAAAGCTCATTCGCCCGGTCACTGGTGTAGTCATACTTGACCTTTGCTGCGGGCTTTCTTGAGGCAGCAGGAGGTGCGGCAGGGGGAGGTGGTGGAGGAGCCCTCGTGGAGCCAGAAGATCTCACGGAACTATAGGACTCGTTGCGAGAGTGCATAGCCGCGGCAGCAGCCACAGGCTGAGGCACGATGTGCGACTGGGCAGCAGGTTGCGGTACTGCGGCAGGCTGTGGGGGTAGACCGGGGTAGAGGCTGGGCGGCAGGTACAGGTCTGCGAGCAGCTTGAGACAATTTCGAAGGGCCGCCTGCCGGGGCCACCAGGACGAAGCAGCTTGCCTTTTGTAACCGGGCGAGCAGCAACCGCCTTTGGCCGTGGGGTAGGTTTTGAGACAGAGCTAGGAGGCTCACCAGCACTAGTGTGAATTGTGCTACTCTTGTAGGTGTCGACATTTCCAGCAGCCGGATCTTTGACTGCCTTGACAGTCGCCAGCTTGCCAGGCTTCTTATGGTATTCGATGGTTTCTCCAATCTTCAAAGTCAGAGAGCCACGCAGGATATTGGTGAGATGAGTAAAGAATTCAGTTTTGAAGACACAGTTGATGAGCGGGTCAGGTTCCTGAGCCCCAATAACCAGCGAGAACCAGTCGTCTTTGAGATTCGAAGTGCTGACACTCTTGATGGCTCCAACCGGAATGGTTCGTTCGGCCGAAATAACAAGCTGGTTGTTTTCGATGCTCTGTGCAACAATGTAGACATGACGACTCGTCAAGACAAGAATCCGCGGGACAGGTTTGCTGGAACGACCGAACTTAGACACCAAAAGCTCGGCACGGCAAGAGAAAACAACGTTGTCTGAACCGCTGATGCCTGCACCATTGCGGATCATTTCACCAGGGCCACCGGTATTCCCGACACCAAGATAATCGCCCAGAAAGCGACGAGAGCCGAGAAGACTCATTCTCCGGCGTTCCTTGCGGCCCTGGAGCACTTGGTGTCCCTGATCACGAACCTTGATCAATTCGAGTCCACCGGTCATCCGGCGCCAGAAGCGCTGAATGCGGATGGCGCATTCAATGCGGTATCGGAGATAGTTTCTCCAAGCACGCTGGATACGGATGGCCATATTGTGCCAGTATTTGTCTCGCATAGCTTCTAGTGCGAACAGTGTCTCAGGAGTCTTGACAAAGACCTTCGTAATACCCATCTGGTACTCCTCAGGGGGGATACGGGTATCCTTCAAGATCTGCTTCGCGCCAGATTCCACATCACCGGTCCATGTGTAGTCACCGGCATACGAGGTCTTCGGAGACAAGAGGTAGAATCGCTCGGTGAACTTGTCGAAGGTCTGACGGTAGGCAAAGCCAGCACGTCGAATGCGGACGTTCTCCTGGAGACCCAGGTACTTGATCTGATGCAGGACATTGCCGACGTTGTACTCTTTGGGGGGCTTTGTTATCGTTGGGTTTGATGGTACGAATGTAAGATGGTTGCGCCTTCATGAGCGTGGCCACAAGGTCATTCGCAGATGCCTTGATCTTATCACCGGCAGTAGGTGGGCGACGCTTGTCATCCTGATTGACCTGGTTGGGGAACAGCGTGTGGACGAACTCGTTGCTGCTAGATTGGGCAAGGTTCAACAAGTCCTTCAACAGCTGATCCTTGTTCTTATCCGTCATTCCCTCCACGGCGTAGCCGACGTCACCCGCGTAGTGCTTGATAATGAACTGACCCTGGCGACCTTCGAAGTTGGGGTTCTGTGACAGGAAGTTGAGCCTACCGACGAAAGTCTGATCGGCCGCGCCTGAATCGGCGTGAGCAGTTGCGCAGGCATCGTTCAAAGCGGCGAAAACACCAGGAGGGCGCTTGTCCTCGATCAACGAGCAAACCACCTTGTTGTCAAAGTACTGAATAGGAGTCCACTTGATCTGCTCGCGGGCATACTCATCTTGTTCTGCCTTGAGAGTCAATTGAATGAAAATCTGCTGCAGCTTCTCGTTGACATAGTTGATACACAGCTGCTCGAAAGAGTTCTTCTCGAAGATTTCAAATCCGTAAATATCCAGGATACCAATGGAATTGGTGATGGAACCTCGAGCAGTCAGTGATTGGTTGACGCGCTCCACAATCCAATCGAACAGATTGAAATAAATTCCCTTGGCCAAAGCGTCCCGAACGGCTGAAGCTTGGACCCTGTTCAGTGGCACTTCATATACGGAACCCCTGCGTCCTCCTCGGGCAGTCTCCATCAGACGAATAGTCAAAGCCTTGTTCACTTGAGCAGAATCGACCTCCAACAGATAGGCGACGAAATCAACAACTGACTGATCGCTAATAGTAGCATTTCCAGAGTCATCCTCGGTGAACTGAACATTGCCAATCCAGAGAATAGCTGCCAGCATGCGGAACACGTTGTCCTGCTCGGGATCGCTCATTCCAATCACCCTCATCGCATCCAGTGTGTCCTTGAACTCGGCTACATCGTCAATGCCCGGCACATCGAAACACTTAGAACGGCTCGTATAGAGGTAGGACTGGGGTTGCTGAAGACCGAAGCTGTCGCGGTACTTCTGTGGAGCACCCTTTGTGAGTTGGTAGAAGATGTGGAAATTTCGCTCGTTCGTAATTTGTCCGACGACTCGTGACTTCTCCAACAGATAGTTCGTAATGTTAGCTCCCACCGGCTCACCGTTGGCATTGAACTCCAACTCTAGGTATTTTCCGAATCGGGACGAGTTGTTGTTGCGCAGCGTCTTCGCATTACCGAATGACTCTAACAACGGGTTCGTGGCCAATACCATGTCCTTCGTCTCCTGAATAGACGAATCACCGCCGCCAGAGACACTGGCAATGTATTGCATGATCCGCTTCGCGGCCTCGGTCTTTCCGGCACCAGACTCTCCGGAAATGATGACACACTGGTTGTCCTTGTAGGATTTCATGTTGTAGTATGCGGACTCGGCGACTCCGAATACGTGGGGAGGGACTTCGAGGCGGTTCTTGCCACGATACGAATCGAGGACAGTATCTGTGTAGATACCCACTATGATGATCGTTAGCAAGCAGGAAAACGAATCCTCTTCGCGGAGTTACTCACAGTCTCGGAAAGGGTTCACTGAGACCAACACATGGCCAATATAAGTCTAGTAATCTCCTGTCAGCCTGTACTCCTGTTCGCGCACAACCCCGCAGTCCGCGTGCGAAAGCGATCCCTTACATAAATCTCGTCATGCTCGAATCGGAGCTTCAGATTGTCGTTGATGGCCTCGTTGGAGATCTTGCTGAGCAGTGTAAGATCTGACACACCGATCTCCTTCTTCTTAGTGCTCTCGAAGGCGGCCTTCCTAACCTGCGGCCTTCCCCCCGCTTGTCGACCATCGCCAACATCTGCGACTGCTTTGGAGCGCCCAAACCGGCTCTTCTTTTCTCCGCCAACGGGGCGTCGTGACTGACCCTATATCGCAATCATTTGGTTAGTTTGGTTCTTATCTGGTCGTTGCGCAAGTAGGCCACCTACCATCTTGTGTCAACCTCTCGGGGATCTCGCGCCCAGGCGACAAATGTGAGATATGACCTGTCAACTGAATAAAATTCTAGTGACAAGTTAAGAGTCAGGAAGTGGAAGTGAATAGGAAAATAGTCTACCTAGAATCAATTCTAGGTAATTGTAAGAAGGAACCCAAGGAAGTGACTCTGGGCGGACTTACGTACAACCAGTCAAACCGAAGCAAACAGCTGCGCCACAAGTCCCTTTTTCTGGTTCCGTTGCTGCCTCAGGGGGCGAAATTTGGTTATCAATTCACCTGACTAAGAATATGATCTGTTAAGACGGCATTCTTATTGCTCGGTTTAATTTTTTGTTCCATGGCAATACTTTTCTTCTAACCTCTTCGGTCAGCCACGCGTCAGGGTTTGTGGCTCGTGCGGTTAAGAATAGATGCACCGACGTCATTGGGCATATCTCATATACTCCTGCCTAACTGCAACTTTCTTTGACCTGACCACAACTTGAAGCGATAGTCTATGGAGGGTACTTGCGATTTGGAATTCCGCTGTTCATTGGTCAACTACATATATATCTCGTTCAAGCCTGCTACCGTAGAAATTGATCGCAGCTTAGTAGTTTCAAGGGCATAGAGTTCGTCCGGTGAGATCTCACGGTCTCCCTGCTTCTTCATGAAGAAATCGGCCGGTGTTATGTGTTATCGTCCTCCGGTGCATCGGCATGTTCAACGCGACGAACCAGAACCGTGGACGGCAAGAACACAGATTGTTTATGAGTAGATGAATGGACTCACTACTGATCCTCTGTTTCACGAACGCAAGGGATATAGTACGAGAGAGGGGAGTAAAGTTTGAGATGATAATAGGACATGTTTATATCCATATTGTTCGTATTAAAACTCACAACAGCAGGATTCAACCCTTTCAGCAACACCCACGAAAAGCAACTGACTAGGTTTTGTGTTCCCCGTGCAGCAGAACAAATATTCAGCGGGGAAAGCACCAGTAAAAGCGATGAAAAGGATATGAAGATACGGATACAGATGGGTGCGGAATCATACATGCTTGATCGAAGAAAATGGTCCACCCCTAATTCATATAACACTGTTGGCTCCATTCAGGTGCAGACCCCTGGGAGGAGGGATATTGCCCACGAAAGACAACAGGTCTTTCGAAATGCACGTGCATGGAGAATCACTTTTTCTGCTGGTCTGAAATTGACTTCTTCTCCTGAGCAGATGACTTCTTTTCCAGGTCCGAAGATGACTTCTTGTCTTGGGCTGGAAATATCATTTTCGGAGGCGCAAATGATGAGAGGGCAGATGCAGGCAATGACTTCTTTTCCAGGTCCGAAGACGACTTCTTCTCCTGGGCTGGAAATGACGTTTTCGGAGCCGCAAAGGATGAGTGGGCAGGTGCAGGCAATTTAGGCCACAACGGTTTATCTCCAGGGGCGTTGACTGGGACCTAATCGTGATATATGAGCAAATGCCCAACGCAAAGCAAGCTTGTCATTCGCATGTAACTCACCGAGTTTGCCCGTGTGACACTTTTCATATAAGCGCTGATGCAATCCAGGAGGTATGATGCGTCAGACACAACAAGGACCGGGGGCGGTTCTGAGAAGCCCAGCGAAAGGCAGTGGTGCAGTGCACCCAGAGACTGCACTGCCTCAGCCTGCTCGTTACCTGACGATCCCGCGTCCATTAGGTACACGATCACCCCCAATGAGTTTTTGTTCGCCTCTGTAAACTTCTGAATTGCAGTTGCGGTCTGATGCCTCGTAGGTACCTTCAGTCGACTAGGAGATAACAAGAGGGCGTTCAGCTTGACGGAGTGCGCCTGGTGAAGGACATCAAACGCTGACACGGTTCGGTTCTGGTATGTAAGCTCGAAGCTAAAGTCGGCATCTCGAGCAGCCCACAGTGCTAGAATGAGAGTTAGCGTTTAGACATTTGTCAGGGAATCAAGGAAACCCACAACTGAAATCAGTTTTCGGGGTCCCGGGCGAAGCTAGAGATAGGGTCAGTCCTAGACGTTGAGTAAATGGATAAGAGTACTATACCTTCTTTCATTGTCTCTAGTGCAGTGAGTGTAGCAGCCAGCCTGGCCCATTCCTCGCGTTTTCGGAGTTCTGGGTTATATTCGCCCCGAAGACCGAGCGTTGGCGGAGGCATGGTCATCGCAGCAGTCGACATGAAGGCAGATTGTTGAATCTCACTATCTGTTGTTTGAGGGGAGAGCGCAGATACGGGGATAAAAGGGACTGTTGAATTGAGCGGGGAGGCAGCGGAGCGAGGAGAGGGAGGCACGTTGTCAGGAGGAGATTGAGCAGACATAGCAAAGAGAGCAAGACTGGAACCCAGCGATTGAGGATGGAAGAGTCAAGCGCAAATAGGCGATGAAAGAGAAGAGAATCAAAGAGAAGAATGAGAAGAGTTGTTGCCTCTATGGACGTGATGTGTGTATGTACATTTCAGGGAAGGAGCGGAGAGAATATCAAGTGACTCCGCCTTGCAACCCCTACTCTCGAAAACAAAACCACTTCTTATATTATTTCCAGTGGTCTTTTCAATGGGGTATCTCGACGGAACGTAAAAACAAATGCACGCCTAACCTTACATTATAGAATATCGCTAGATATTATGCGAATATCAATCAGCAATCACGAGCTTTTCGATGCAGATGATGGGGCCTGACTAGCCGGTGCAGCAGACTGGTCCGGAGACTGAGTTGTCGATGCAGCCTTTTCTGTTGTGGGCTGGGTATTAGGCGCAGACTCGGTCGTCGTCTCGGCACTTTGACCAAAAGAAATGTACGAGGAAATACGTGAGAGCCACCCCTGCGCGACTTCTGGTGTATCTGGCTCCGGGGGTTGTTCGTATATCTCAGGAGACAGAATCCTCTTCGTAGGCAACTTGGGCAAGTCGCCGTGCTTTGCTCTTAGCTGGAGCAGCTCCTTTTCTAGTGCCACCAAAGCTTCCCGTGCCGCCTGCTCAGATTGTTCCAAATCTGCCAACCTTCCCTCGACACCTTCCCGACGGGTGCTTTCCTTATTCCGTGAGCGCCACGACTCAAAGAGGATCAGACCTCCAGCAACGACAAAGAGGAAGGATTCAGAGATAAAATTGGCACCGGACTCGATAGCTTTAGACTCGGAAAGGGGACGGATACGATAGTGGTGGGGCTTCGCTGCCTCTTCTGCCGCAGCTTTGGCCTTGGCCTCTGCCTCCTCTGCAGCTTTTGTCTCGGCCTCGTTTCGAACGGTGGGGCTTGAAGGCTTATGTTTTCGAGCCTCGGCGGCGGCGGCGGCTTGACGTTGTGAGGCGGCAGTATCGCGTAGGGTGCCTAGTCTGAGACGCATATCGAATCGGTGAAGAGCTTGTGCCATAGACACGCAGACCTTGCGGAATCGTTCATGTTCACGGGCCTGGGCTTTGATTTGAGACTGCGTGGGTGAGTGTCAGTCTATGAATTGGGCAAGGTTGAACTGGAGATGCAAGCTTACAGCGATTGGCTTGGACAGGGTCCGGATCACCAACGAGGAGAGCTTCAATGTTAATGACATGGCTAGGGAATGGAGAGAGTGAACACATTAAGCTTGAGTCACTTTCTTACCCCCGTGGTCCACTGGACGCCCGGGGGCCGCATGTTGATTACTCAGCACCGTGTCCGCCCGCGCTGACCCAAGGAAGAGGGGAACTATACAGCGATCATAGGGCTTATTTCCAATATTTGCTTGGCAGTAGAATCCCAGTTACTAAATATTTATGACGTTCAAGTAACTATAGGTTGAGCTACTCGAATTTGAGATATAGCCCCATCCTTCAATATGAGAGATAAATAAGCTGTTGAGTAACACAGAAACAGATAGCTTCTTGGTCTACATGTGGCCAATGATATTCCACACAGATTGCATCGAAAAAAGGCCTCACACTAGCGTTTGGGCAATAAATATTCCACATGTTGCATCGGTAGCATATATATTGCAAAAGACGGACTGGAGTATGTACGGGAAAAGCCACCCGGTATCACTCATATTTAACACAACATAGGGCTAGCCTTTCAAAGGTTAATTTACAACAGCTCAGAGACCTTCCGAATGTGGGGGATCATAAAAGTTGCACATTGTCTTGCGTTCACTTTTCTTTCCTTTCCGACACATATTGCCTTTCTAGTACATATTCCTTTTCCATTGAAGTTGCAACTTCCTGCAGCCAATAATGACCCAATCATCTCATGCATGTTATTTCCGTTTAACCCGGGGCCCCCAGCGTCGGGGTTTCAGCTGAAGCGATGTCGCCATTAATATAATTTCCGTTACGCGAAAGCTCGGCTTAACACAGCTAGGCAGATAAGCAAAAATTAGCCTTTCCTCATCGGCCACTTAAATGATGTGATTAATCTACTTCGCCTTCTAGTGTGGAAATATTTTCTGCTTGGTAGCTTTTCCTTCCCTGCAACGACGCCATGGCAGGGTTATTGGAGGAAAGCTCTTCTAAGACAGGGAGTCGGTACATCGTTCAGAATGTTCAGGATGTAGAAGATCAAATACATTTCACCCCACAGCCGGGTCCATCGAGCGCTGCCATCCCCGACGACGGCCGGATGGTTACCCAGTATGAACGCCAAAGCTTGATCCGGGGTCTCGGGCAACGTCATATTCAGATGATTGCCATTGCTGGCGCAATCGTATGCATACCATTATAGAGACAGGAGCTTTATAACTAACCGAACATAGGGTACGGGTCTCTTTCTCGGTCTGGGTGGCTCAATCGCCACTGGTGGTCCTCTGGGTGCGCTGCTAGGCTACCTGTTCATTGGTCTAGTAGTCTGCAGCATGCAATTTGCATTGGGAGAAGTCTCAGCCCTGCTGCCAGTCACTGGTTCTTTTGTGCGACACGCGGAGATTTTAGTTGATCCCGCGCTGGGATTTGCGGTCGGCTGGAATGTTGTTTATGGATGCTTCATCAGCGTTCCGAGTGAGATCTCGGCCAGCGTGGTCCTTATTCAGTACTGGACGGACATCAGTGCCGCTGTCTGGGTGACTCTCCTCATAGTGGTGTCGGTGGCTGTTGCCATCTCGTTTATCCGCGTCTATGGCGAGATCGAATTCATTTTCGCCATTCTCAAGATTCTGCTGGTGATTTTCGTGGTCATTCTAGGACTTGTGATTGACCTCGGTGGTGTGCCGGGTGTACCCAGACGGGGCTTCCACTACTGGAAAGACCCCGGGCCATTCGTTGAGTATATTGCTACTGGGTCTTTGGGGCGTTTCCTCGGCTTCTGGGCTGTCATGACCAATGCAGTCTATTCGTTCGCTGGTGTAGAATCTTTGGCCATGGCGGCTGCTGAAACAAAAAACCCGCGACAGAATATTCCCAAGGCCTGCAAAAGAGTGTTTGCACGAGTGTCGATCTTCTACCTCGCTGCTGTGCTGGTCGTGGGTATGTTGGTCTCTAGCGCAGATGAGCGTCTGGGATCAGACTCTGGTACTGCAGCTACGAGTCCATTCGTCATTGCCGCCGGTGACGCAGGTATCAAGGCTATTCCCTCCGTCGTGAATGCGGTATGCTTAACCTCTGCGTGGTCTGCATCGAACCAGAGTATTCTGGCTGGAACAAGAACTTTATATGGTCTAGCAATCAAGGGCCATGCTCCGAAGATATTCCTACGTACCTCAAAGTGGGGAGTGCCGTACATGTGTGTGCTGCTGCAGGTTGCCTTCTCCTTACTGGCTTACATGTGTGTTTCCAACAACGCCATGAATGTCTTCTGGTGGTTCGTTGATTTGACTGCGGCTGGCACCTTGGTCTCATGGATCACCATCGCTTTGAACCATATTCGTCTGTTGCAAGCGCTAGATAAACAGGGCATATCACCGACAGAGTTGCCGTGGCATAACCGCATTACCAGTACGTATTACAGCCTGGGTTTGACAGATTAACTAATACTGACATTATCAAGGATACACAAGCTGGTTCGCGTTGATATCTTGTGTCGTGATTCTCCTGACTGGGGGATTCGCAGTTTTCACGACTGGAAACTGGGACCCTGCCTCATTTGTCTCATCGTATCTGTGGGTCTTCTTCTTTGTGGTATTGAGTACAATATACTGACCTTGACACTAGGGACATTCCACTCGTCCTCTTTGCATACGGGGGCTATAAGTTGATCCGCCGGACAGAAATTCTCCCTTTGAAGATGGTCCCGGTTCAACAAGCTATAGACGAAGCCAATAATGACCCGGATAATGTGCCGATCAAGAAAGACAGCGTATTAGCAAAGATGAATATTCTTTGGGGCTGATAGGTCTCCTACTCATAGTTAAAAGACTCATTGTTTTGTTTCTGAGGTGCCGTGGGTAGAGGCAATAGAATGTGACGCGATAGATCCGGGTGGCCAAATATGGGGACTTCGGCTTGATCAACCATGTGTCTAGTCCTCGCGCTGTTCTCGGCATAAATGATGCGATATTGGACTGCCTCGACAGAGCTGAAGATATCAAATAATTGATTGAACCCGACATTATTACCCTGAGTGAGGAGCCTATCACCAAGCCAGCTTTTCAATGGTGGGCGAGCCTTTCTGTCAGAATGGATCCACTTTTAAAATCATAACCACATGGGCACGCAAATAATATCAATGACATTAGCTACATAGTTCTCTCACGACTAGGTAATTGTAACAGGTTATAGATATGAAGTAATTACTGAACACTTTGCTACCATATTACTTTGTAGATAATTGCCCGAGTATGGACTATCAAAATAGGTTATTACGGTTCGGCATCAAGTAAACAAACTGAAATATATATCCCGGCAAATTATGAAACGAACCATAAAACCTTAGCAACCACCAAGGCTAAAACAGAACAGTTATTGTACTAACTTGAATGAAGCAACTCCATAGATATCTAGGGATATATTTGGTATAGAGAAAAAAGTGTCAACTGAAGGCACCGGCCAACGGTCCTCACGTGACCCCACGGGCCAACGGCCTAGTGTTTATCGATTACCGCTTTGAGCAAACTGTTATGGTCCGACTCTTTCTACTCTGCATCCTCCCCCAACCCTCCATTGAGGCGCCGTTATTTGTTTTCAGAGCTTTGTACAGTTTTGCTTCGTTAGCGCTTTGCATTTCGGTAAGTTCTGTCTCTCATTCCATATGTTCCATTCTCAACTGAGAGGCCCTCGGTTTCCCGATAGTGGAGTGAATTCTTACTTGATCGTTGCAGGGATACCAAAATATTGCTGGAACTTGATACCCATTTGCAGACCGTCACATAATTGCTGTTTTTAATGATCCTCACGCTTGATACCCCCTCCGCTACACGGCTCCAACACGGACATTATCCCTTCCATAAAAAGACGACCAGCCAACAATGGAGGCTCTCTCCCCGCGCACGACCAACCAGATGATCAAACCGAAGCTGGCCATGGATCGTAAAGCGTTCGATAAAAATGCTGTGCTGCCGAGCAACAAGCAAAAGCCCGCAACGTCCAAAAGCTACGCCGATCCGCCGCCGTTAATAGTCTCAGAGCCGGAAGATGGCGGGGAGCGATACTCAATAGGCGCATTCTTGGGGAAAGGCGGGTTTGCTGTTTGTTATGAAGGTTCATTGGCTCGCAATGGCCGGGTGTACGCCATGAAGGTCGTCAAGTCAGCGATGCCCCAGAAAAAGATGGAGGAGAAGGTACGCCGAGCCTGTCGAGACAGACCGATCATTGGACAGAACCTAAATTTTTGTCGCAGTTTCGAACCGAACTCCAGATCCACTCAAAAATGCGCCATCCGTTTATCGTCCAGTTCTACCGCGCATTCGCTTTCGAATCGAGCACCTACGTCGTCCTGGAGCTATGTCCGAATGGATCGGTGATGGATATGTTTCGGAAACGACGCTGTCTCAGCTTGCCGGAAGTGCGCCGCTACATGATTCAGCTATGCGCAGCGGTGAAATACCTACATAAACGTTTCGTCGCTCATCGTGACCTGAAGATGGGAAATCTGTTCCTCGATCATAACATGAACATCAAGGTTGGGGATTTTGGTCTGGCCGCTATGATTTTGTCCGATAAGGATGCCAAGCGACGGAATACTCTGTGCGGTACGCCAAACTACATCGCACCCGAAGTTTTGGACAAGAGCAAAGGTGGCCATACCCAGAAAGTTGACATTTGGTCCGTGGGTGTGATATGGTAAGACCGCTGCAATATACTTACGAAGTTGTTGAACTAATGTGCGCACTTCAGCTTTGCCATGCTCGCCGGATACTTACCTTTTCAATCAAAAACACAAGATGAGGTTTACAAGAAAGTGCAAAACCTGAATTATGTCTGGCCCAAAGAATCAGAATCCGGCAACTACATCCCGAGGAAGCAAAAGACCTAGTCGGTCGTTGTCTGAACCTAGTGGATGAGGAGCGACCTGACCCTGACGACATCGTTGAGCACCCATTCTTCAACATGTACGATGGCTGCATTCCTCGTCAACTTGACCCCTCATGTCGATTTGACAAGCCACTATGGCTCAAGAACGCCTCGCCTCAAGGTGACTGTGTGGTAAGTGGATACGGCTTGGATTCAGATGAGAAGCTCCGAGCCTATGTATACCAGGTGGACGACCCTGCCCAGCGATATCATTCCTGCAAAGCCGCGTTTTACTCACTGTGCGGCGTGGGACGCAAGCCTGATGGAACGGCTCGGAAATCTGTCGGGAGAAACTGCTCTAAGTCGGCTTTTTCTGAGTGTGATGTGGAGGATTCCAGAGGTCTACGACCCGTAATACCCTTGTCGCCGGATTATGTCTACCGATGGCCCCATGACTTCGAAGGAGACTGGTGTCTGGAGAGTTCCCGAAAGGTAATCCGCAGTGAGGAGTCTATGCTTAACAGCAGCACAATGTCCCAGCGCAGTGCACCCATTCGTCCCAACCCTATGGCAGCATCACGGACCAATGCGGCGCTTGCCGCTGCTCAACAGCGCCGAATGGAAGGTCAGAGCCATGCCGCAACTCTACGCCAGCAAGCTCGAGTACCCCCAATGTCTCCCCGGAGGGCACCTGGAATCAGCGATCCTGCTGTTCTACCCTCCAGGCCATATCGAGATGTTCCACAAGCCGAGCCAAAACCTCCTGCCGCAGAGGTACCAAGTGGAGGCCTGGCAGAACGTCCTATCCGGACACGAAGGATGGTATCTGCATCGCAAGCAACAACGCTGCGTAACAAGGACAAGGAGATTGCCCCACAATTAGCCAAGTCCACAAGCATGCCATCAGGTTTGACTGTAGGCAAAACACGCTCTCAGTCTCGAAGATTGGCAGCCGCTGACCAGGAGTTGATGCAGCCTTCCATCCAGACCAGAGAACGGCAGCCATCCGCTAGGCCAGAGGAACGAAAAGTGGTCACCCGTCAGACATCTCTACGGTCTACATCCAGAGCAGACCTCAAAGCGAGCGTGGGACTAGGTGAAAGAAGGAGAGATAGCCCCACCGAAGAGCCCGCTCGATCTTCACTCGCACAGTCGAAGTCCTCAGCCGAATCTAATGGACTTACTCGATCAGACTCCAATGGTGTCGCTCGCTCCAACAGCAAGACGGCCGGTGGCAGGGCACGCTCGAGTTTAGGGCTGAGTCCTCTATTTCACGCAGAGGATACCTGCAAGCTGCTACCTGGGACTTCGTTGACCGAAGTCAATACTGACTTGCGTCTCATGCTGACCAACCTGGTTAACCATGCACCAAGTAGGCGCAGAGGTGGAGCACGGAAACAGCCTCATGCCTATGTCATCAAATGGGTCGACTACACCAACCGTTATGGTATTGGGTACGTTCTGGATGATGGCAGTGTTGGATGTGTTTTCAAGGGAGAAAATGGGCAGCCGGCGACGAGTGTCGTAGTACGAGATGGCGAGAGACACATCCGTCGAAAGGCGCGTAGCGTCGCGGACGGCAAACAACAACCAATTTACTACTCCGAGGCTGATCAATTAGTCCCTCGCACTGGAAACCCGGTTGAGTTCTATGAAAACCGTGACGACGACTTGCTAGGATGCCGCGGCATCCGACGAGCACTAATTCCGCCCTCACTCTTTGACGTCAAAACTTCAAAGGCAATGAGAATTCGCTCCAATACAGGAACCGAGCTCGACCGGGCTGATGCGGAGAAAATAAAGCGGATGAAGCTTGTGGATCAGTTCGGTAAATACATGATCGGAGCCCTTGGTCGACATGGCGACGAAGGCATCATGGACGAAGATCTGCCTGAACACAACAGTGCCCAGTTTGTCAAGTTCTACCAGCGCTTGGGTAATGTTGGAATCTGGGGTTTCGGAGACGGAGCCTTCCAGTTTAACTTCCCCGACCACACAAAGCTAGTGATCTCGCCCGGCCGCACCCGTAGCTCCTCCCCCTGGATCGACTTCTACCATCTCTCGTCCTCTGCGGCTCGATTCTTCGCCGCAAAAGGCAAGATGCACCCAGCAGGATTCGACACTCGGGCCGTGGCCTCTGACGAGGCTGCCACGTTCCTCAGCATCGCGAATGGAGATTCTATCAATTCGACCGAAGACCGTATCCGGGATATTCTCGATGCGAACGCTTTTATTCAGAAGATTGCCTTCATTAAAGATACCCTCAGAGTTTGGATTAAGTTCGGACGACTTGGTGGTCGTCCGCCCTCGGTTGACTCTTCTGCCGATGAATCCATGCCCGACGAAGCGTTCTGGCAAGGAACGCAGGAGCGTTCGCAGCCCAATAGCCCTGGAACGAAGTTTGTCTGGGTGACTGTCGGAGCACCAGATGGCGATGGTCACTATCGGTCCATGATGCTCAAAGATAGTGACCGGGAGCCAAAGCGCGCTCCAGCTGCGATGGAATATGACAGAGAAATGGATATACTGAAAGACCGGCTACGTGCACTTGGTCGTTGATTGGGTCTCCCTTTTCTCCTTCCGATATTTATCATGTCCACCTTATGATGTCACGACCTTTGTTTTTGTTTCTGGTGTAATGCTTTATGTTTTATTCTCGTGGCACGAGATCACGAATTGTTTGATCAACATCCCAAGTTGTCTATAATCTTTCTCAACACCGTTTTTGTATGTTTCGGCTACTTGCAGCAATGTACATGTCCTGCACTGTTTCTTATTACTGCCCCATGTGGTGACCATCGACCTTGGCATCCGTACTACGGCAGTGTATAGCCGCCAGTGCACGATATCGTGCTTTTCTATATAAATTTTGACTGTCATACCGCCAATTTACTATGACCTACAAATTCTAGTGACTAATTCCTACTATATCAACTTTCATAGGGTCAATTTCTGTAATATCTCAATTTCTATAACAAGAGTAGCCGGCCGCTTATACAGGCGTAGTCTTTACCTAGGTATAGTGGTCTTCTTAGGTGGTCTTTTTATATGTCTTTTTAGTGGACCTTTTTAGTGGACCCTTTTTAGTGGGCTTCTTAGGTAGACTTTTTAATATCTAGTCATATAGATATTTTCTCCCCTTCTCAATTTATTAGGTAGATAGTAGAAAAGGGCTAAAAAAACTATAAAGGGAGCTTTTCTATATATGACCTTAGCTTTCTCAAATTCCTATAGTGTCAATTTCCATCGGTTTTCATTTCTATAGTCAATAAAACACAGGGATACTAGTTTCATGAAATGTTCTCTTAGCAAAATACGATATGACGCACTGGCAGATATATACTGCCGTAATCCGTACGCTTAAGCCCCATTCCTATACTCGGGATCATGCGTTATGTACCGTTTCTCCGCTTTCCCTCGGTCAAATGTCCGAAGTTCCCTTCCCCCGTGTACAGCCCGACAGCAATCCCCCGCTTATGTATGTACATTAGGTCGTGGTACGTATAATTGGCTGTGAAAGAGCTCCTGGCCTATCAGCCCAGACAGTAATTCTAGAATTGATTTACACGACTGCGTGTTTGGTAGTTTGTCAAACTTCTCTCATAAGTCTACAGATTATCAACTCCATTCCCACCTATATTCCATTGATTGCCCACCTCCCCACCTCTCCATCTCCCCAACTTTCAACATGGAGAACCCCTCCTGCCTCCTATACGGTCCAGGTAGCATCAGATTCGAAAACCGGCCGATGCCAGTAATCGAAGATGTCAACGATGTGATAATCCGCATCGCCTACGTCGGCGTCTGCGGAAGTGATGTATGTATTGTGCCATGAATCTGCCACAATACAAGCAAATGTACCCCATCTAACAAATTCAATCCTCTAGGTCCACTTCTGGCTCCACGGCGGCATCAAAAATCATGTCTCAGCGACAAACCCGCTAGTAATGGGTCACGAAGCCTCAGGTATTGTATACGCTGTCGGGCCTGCCGTGACAACCCTCAAACCAGGCGACGAGATAGCCATCGAGCCCGGCTTCGCCTGTCGCAGTTGCACACAATGCAAGAGCGGCAAATACAACCTCTGCCCGGATATGAAATTTGCCGCGAGCCCACCGCATACACACGGCACTCTGTCTAAATTCTTCAAGGCTCCTGCCGATTGCTGTTATAAAATTTCTGGCTCAGGGGCTCTGTTCGATGGAAGACTTTGGCTGAGTGAGGCTGTGCTTATTGAGCCGATGGCTGTAGCTGTGCATTCTGTGCGGCAGGTTGGTGTCAAGCCCGGGGATAGGGTTATTGTTTTTGGGGCCGGCACTGTGGGGCTTCTTTGTGCTGCTGTCGCGGTCGAGTTTGGAGCTAGTGTCGTCGTGTCTGTGGATCTTAACAAGGACAAGTTGGGGTTTGCTGAGAACTGGATGGTGCCGGGTCGGGCGCGGTTCTCGACTTATCGTTCGCGTGAATTATGGACTCCGGAAAAGAATGCCGCCGACATGCAGAAGTTACTTCGGTCATTGAGGAAGGAACCTGATGCTGGGCTTGCCGGTTTTGATGTTGCCATTGAGGCTACGGGAGCTGAGTTGTGCATCCAGACGGCTATCCATTCGCTTCGCGTTGGGGGCTCGTTTGTTCAGACTGGATTGGGGAATCGGAATGTTAACTTTCCTATTTCCACTGTCTCGGAAAACGAGATTACTGTTAAGGGGTGCTTCCGGTATGGCGCTGGGGACTTTAAGCTTGCATTGGAGATGGCGATGTTGCGGAATATTGATTTGAAGGCACTAATCACGAAGTGCGTGTCTTTCGGGGACGTCGTTGAGGCCTGGGAGGCTACGAGGAGAGGTGAAGGGATCAAGACTTTGATTGAAGTTAACCTTTGATCAAGATAACTGTGTGTCAATATGACTGAGGAATTCAGTCATCATCTTCTGAAAATGCCATTACTTTGTACACTTCATCAGCCATGTCAAGAACAAACATCCACTACCACGCCCAAGGTCGAGGCTCTGCGACAATTCTTCGCTCCGTCTGCATCTCGAAGTCCTTCAGACTGTTAATAGACTCATCGTCGTAAGAATCAAGAAGCCCTTGGTTTGTCTCCAATGCACGGTCAAGATCATAATGTTCAGTCAAGAGGCTGACCACCATCGCAACACCCGAGACCGCACAGCAGACCATCCACACTGTGCGTAGACTGTCCGTATACGCTTCCTTGAGATTGGCCTTGTCGGCACCACCCGCCATCGCCTTGATAACTTGAACCAAACCTGCGGCATCCTTGCTGTACGCATCAGCCATAGGAGCCAGAGCAGGATACCTTGAGATATTGGTAAACATGCGGTTCTGGAAGACAACACCACCGACAGCAACGCCAATAGCTTGACCAAGAGCACGGAAGAAACTAAACATGGCAACCGCAATAGCGAGGTTCTCGGGGTCCGCTGAGGCCTGCACTGCATACCCAAGAGACGGGAAAAGGATACCCAACCCAAGGCCGGGCACGATGTTGAGGAAGATCCATCCGACCATACTGGTGTTCACCTTGATCAGACACATCAAGCCCAGTCCGGCAGTTGAAAGAACCCATCCGATCCAGATAGCCCATCGATAACGGCCTGTCGCCGTAATCAGGACGCCAGCTATCATCCCACTCGGAGCCACAGTAAATGTCTCAGGGAATAGAGCAACACCGGAGATAATGGGGCTGTACTCCTTCACTGCCTCATAATACAGAGGGAGATAATAGAGGGAACACCATAGGATCAACCCCTGCAAAACACTCCCAATAAACGAAGCTACTGCCGTTCGGTTCTGGAATATCACAGGCGGCACGATAGGATCGGAGGCATAATAGGTCTCGTAGAATCCGAAAACGACGAGTCCGACACCGCCGACACAAAGAGGTACGAGTGTATGCCACGAGTCCCAGTCATATGAAACACCACCCCAACTGAGGGGAATCAAGAAGGACGACATGCTTCCAATGAATAATACGGTACCGAAGTAATCGATCCGGCGGAGCTTCTCGCCTAACGAACTGGGTGCAAGCTTAAGACTCAAGAATAGGATCACGAGAATCCCGCCGACTCCGATGAATGGGAAGTTGATATAGAAGATCCATCTCTGCTCATTATTAGCATAGATAATTGCTGGTTCACAATAACCAACTTACCCAGGACACCTTTTCGGAGAATCCACCACCAAGGATAGGCCCCGTCACGGATCCAACACTCCACATTGCACTGAGGATACCGAAGTACTGACCTCTCCATCGTAGAGGGACAAGGTCCGTTATGATGACCTCACTTAGGGATATAATGCCACCTCCGCCGACACCTTGGATGGATCGGCCGATCAACATATAGGTAAAATCGTTGGCGATTGCTGCGAGTATGGCGCCAACACTGAAGAATACCAGGGAGATGAGGATCAAAGGACGACGGCCGAAAATATTCGAGAAGGAGGCGAAACTTGGTTGGAATACTATGGCAATGTTAGAAGGCTTTGATGGTATCGTGGAAATATAATACAACGTACCTGTTGAGCATAGCAGGAATGAAGTTCCACTCCAGAATGCCTCGATGGCCGTTCCATCGAGTTCTTTTGCAATTTCCTGGGCTTGGTTAGTTCCAAGGCATAAAATACTCTTGTTGGGGAACTCACAGGTAGGGCGACAGATAGCGAAGTTCCATCCAAAGCGGCCATCAAGGTGAGAACTGACAAAGTGAAGAAGACCAGGATTCCCCTTCGACCCAAAGCAAATTTTTCATCGTCGACTTTTCTTTTCCATTTCACCGCTGTAGATGCTCTGCTCATGGTATAGTCATGTTCGGCCCTCCCGGGTCTATAGAATGGGAAATCTGAGTCTGCCATGGCGAAGGTCAACGATGATGATGATAATCTAGCAATCAAAAGATGAGTGGGACGTTAAGAAATAAGCTCCCTGTATATAGAGCATCCAGTAGGGAAGGAAAAAAGAACTTGTGATGGGGTTCTGCCTGGTAGATAGATAAATAGCATCTACTATACCACCTGTCCCCTCCACGCGGAATTGCAAAAAGAATTTCCATCGCATATGGAGTTTAGAATAGGACGAAATATTGCTTCGTCATGATTCAAAGATCCCGACTCCACTAGCTACGACTTGAATCTTCATGTTATACACGGGGAGATAATCCCAAGGGTCTCCACGATAGCCCTGGTTTGTGTTTGAATATGGCTGCAGTAGCCAAGTTGGCTTCCCAAGAATCGGCACAATTCGTCGCCGTCTCACCAGTCGGAGCCGGGTAGTTGCATGAATTTCATAATTATGCATCATTGATTCGAGTTTTGATTCTGTTTCTTCTTTCGGTATTATCCCCTCCAGTCGGGAGTTTCATGGCTCACACCGATTTGGTGGGACCTTAATCGCGACTATCCCTACATAGGCTGACTACATTTGACACTTGAACACATTGCTACGTCTTACGTATCATGAGTCTAAACTTTGAACACGATAATCCGCAGAGATTTGAGCCATGAGTTCCAAAATATCTCGTTTTTACACATGTACCACGCTAACAGGTGATAATGCTGGATAGTCGCAAGAGTTGAGACATGTCTTGATTCTGAGGATCTGGCATCTAGCCAGATTGACATGTTACCGGTCAGCATTTAAATAGCTGGACCTCGCGTGAAGTTCCCCATTTCCCTGCGAATCGGGAATATAAGACCCAGCAAAAGCTCTCGGGGTCACCCCACATTCTCACATCATACCCACCAATGTTGATCAATGCATAATCTGAGAACATAAAGAGACAGGTCAAACCACCACTCATGTCAGACCTATGAAGCAACTTGCAGTCGCTGCCACCCGCCGCGAACAACCTCCAGTAGTTCGTCCACAAGTCCAGGCGGCGAAGGATTCTATCCCAAAATCTCGGATGCCTACTGTGAGCCACGAGAGTTCATCCGCCAACTAAGAGACTCATATCCTGCATACTCCTAGGCACGCTCGGAGTCAAGTGCTTGGGTCGTTGCCTCGGGTACCCCAGCTTCGTGGCTGTCTCTGCTGTAGCTTGAGCTAGCTCACCCCAGCAGCGTTCCCGTTCCCGGCAAAGTAGTAAACATTAGGACCTCAGACCCTATTATCAGTTCGGTCGGCAATCGCCGCGTCAACAAGTAGAACTTAGACGTGACTCATGTCGTAGATATAGAAGTGGTTCGAAACTGACTGGCCGGCGCCGAATATCGGGCCATTCTGTAGACGGAACGTTATATTCTTGATACATATCGATCTGACGCGAGCGCTGGCTAACTGGACCTCGTCCTTTGCCTGCTGAAGATTGAATGAAGGGATTATCTATGTTCAATTATGGGTGAATGCGTACCCGTAGATCGTACGCGGACAAGTAAGTGTCGCTTGGGCATGTCGGCATGCTGGGTTCCAGCCTCGAGGGCGAGCTGGTCAATATGTTGATGAGATGTATGATCTGGCAGATTGAGTAATTTATCCATCCCAGTCATTGTACACATGCTCGCTTCTATTTCCGTGTTGGTTCTTGTGGCTGTCCTCCCGTGTTGAGGATCCAGTGCCTCCGGTCACCAGTCTTCCGCCCGGTAATTCCGTCCATGGATAATCCGAATAATTACATAACTTGTTGAATTGCACCAATTGGGAGGTCACCCTGTAGAGGTGCACCAGAATAACTGTCGGAAATTCCGAAATGCATACCCCTCGCTCGTGTGATAACCATCCGAACCTTCCAAGGTTGGAATAAAGTTAAGCCTATTCATCTCAACCTTGGTTAGTCTGCCCTCAGTAAATTAGGCCTTCCCCACATACCTAGTTGCCAACGGCTTTAATGGCTCGGCCAGAATATACCGAATGTAATGTGGGGAATACTGTTCCCCACACCAACCAGGTTTGCAGGCCGTGTAAATGAAACTGCGCATGAATATGAGGCTATGATCAGCATAGGTTGCTGCAGCATACTCGGGATAATGGCGAAATCTCAAGGGAAAGGATTGATATAAAACTTGCGATGCTGCCTCTCTTTTTGTGCCGATAAAGGCTAAGCATCATGGCAATAACACCCTTCCAGTATTTGCCCGTGGCAGCAGCCCTACTGATTGTCTCAACCACCGCAACCTCAAACGATCGCGATGGCACATTCGCAAACCCTTCTGCTCAAGTCCGGCCATTCTTCCGGTACTGGCTACCAGATGGTAGTGTTGACCCGACAGTCGTAGCCTCTGATATCCGCTCCGCCGCTGAGGTTGGCGCTGGAGGAATCGAGTTCCTCCTTATTACGGGTACGGAGGTGCAATTGGAGGAAACCCGCCCGGTTCGGATTGGGTGGCATATGGGTTCGGCAGTGCACCGTTCCAGCATCTGTTGCAGGTAGCTCTGGAAGCTGCTAAGGAGAATAGCGTGCTTGTGGATATTGCGCTGGGGCCAAATCAAGGGCAGGGGGTTCCTGCCTCTCCGGATGCTGATGGAATCCAATGGGATTTGGTGAGTGTAGTGCAACCTAATCTCTGGTGACTTCCATTGGCTAATTTTGTTCGTCGTAGGTGCCATTCGTCCAGAAATTACCAGTTAATCAGACGAGTGAGCGTATCCCAGGGTGGGGGGAAGGGGAACTAGTCGCCTGTGTTCTTGCCTCAGCGGACAGCAAGACAAACGTGTCCATGACTGGTGACTCCTTCTCCTTAGACTCTACGCCACCGCAGAGCTCCTACCTCGAGTTGGTCTTAGACGAGGCGTCCCTACAAGACGTAACACACAATGTGTCGTCAGACGGAATCTTAGCAATGCGGTCATCCGGGTCATCACGCAACCTATACGTATTTTCTTTCTACCAGAAGAGGACCCTGCATAAAGCGCTCGAGGTGGAGTCTAACAGGACAGATACAATTCTGGCCAATGGCTCGTTCGTGGTTGACCATTTCAGCAAGGAGGGAGCCAAGGCAGTGATTGATTACTGGAACAATCACATCCTCACGGAGGACATACGCCAACTTCTGGAAGATGTGGGAAACTACGGTATGTTTCGTGGATCCATAAAACGAAGAAGACTTACTGATCATAATTTCTAGGCTGGGAGGATAGCATGGAATTCACATCCAACATATCATGGACACCGAAGTTGCTGGACGCATTCTACGACAAGTTTGGATACTCACTCGCAAAATATCTCCCGCTCGTTATGTTTGGTCAGAACAATATAATGGCTCAACCCAGAACCTCCGGTTTGGTGAAGGCAGTCTTCAAGAACAGGCAGACTTCAGACAAATATATCAACGACTATCGCTCTGTGCTGGCGGACGGGTATGGGAGTTATTTGACCGCGTTGCGAGAATGGCTAAACCAGGACCTTGGACTCGAATACTCAACGCAGGTCTCGTACAACCTGGCCTTGGACGCATTGACGAACATACCATTGTTAGATGCCCCGGAGTGCGAGAGCCTGCAGTGGAAAGACAAAATCGACGGGTATCGGCAGTTCGCAGGTGCTGCATATCTAGCCGGGAGGAAAGTCGTATCGAATGAGATGGGGGCTGTTGAGACCCGCGCATACTCCTGACAATACCAGAGCTGCTGCAAAGGGTGAACAAGGCTTTCGCTGGAGGCGTCAATAGGGTTATGCTACATGGACAGCCGTACAGTGGGGACTATTACGGCACTACCTGGCCGGGGAGCACGCCATTCCAGTATCTATTCGCCGGTATGCATTTCCCAAAGCAACCTTCGTGGATGCATGGGTTTGATGAGGCCATGGGCTATATTTCCAGAATGCAGTTCATACTGCGGCAGGGGATTCCAAAGTTTGATGTGGCTTTCGTCAACAAAGATTCCGCCACAGACCCCAATTGGGCTACAAAATACGGCCGGGATGACCTTGTTGACGCTGGTAAGCAGTGCTGCTGCAACTATGAATCACATCTTCACTGACTAATACTCGTCCAGGTTATATATACACATATCTTTCTCCTGATAACCTCGAACTCCCGGAAGCTTCTGTTGACAATGGCGTGTTGGCTTCGCAGGGTCCTGGTATCAAAGCAATTGTTGTTACACACGATGCCAACATAACTGTCTCAGCAGTCCAGAGGCTGAAGGGCTACGCGGCGAACGGATTACCCATAATTCTTTCCGGTGGTACTGCACAGTATTACCCAATCTCCAACGACGGGGGAGTCCCTGCGTTCAGGACGGGCCTTCAAGAACTGGCAAATTCAAAGGGTGTCCATACCACAGCGAGCGGCAATGTCGCGAAAGCGCTCGCCTCGCTCGGTGCCTCTTCCCGTGTCAGAGTCCAAACCAACAGTACCTGGCATATAATTTGGCGTGAGGACAAGGAAGCTCAAGTGGACTATGCCTTTGTTTTCAGTGATGGAACTAATTCACAAGGCGAAATCACAACCACAACTGACAAGGTCCCTCATTTGTTTGACGCCTGGACTGGCCAACGCCAACCACTGGTTCAGTACAACCATCGGGCTGGTGACCTTGTCATTCCCCTGACGCTGAAAGCCAACCAAACAGCTATACTGGCATTCAGCGCCCAACCTTTGGATGGGATCTACACACCCTCTGTTCATGTCGAGTCTGCTCCGAACTCGGTCCTTGGATACCACCTTGACTACGATAGTGGAGCCGTTGCCCAACTGGCTCACACTGCCAACCCGACTGCTGACCAGTTCGTACTATCCGACAACTCGACTAGAACTATTCCAGACACATCAGCCATCCCAAGTTCATTCCCGGTCCGAAACTGGACACTCACGGCAGAGCATTGGGAAGCTCCAGCAAACATGCTAAATGCCTCTACAATAGCTTCAATCCGCAATACAACGCACCATCTCCCATCTCTACTTTCCTGGACAGAGATCCCCGCCCTCGTCAACGCCTCCGGAATCGGGTATTACAGTTCCCAATTCACTTGGAATCCGAACGACCAGAACCAAATTGGAGCTTACATTACGTTCTCTCGTATCCTCCATGCAGTCCAAGTCTTCTTAAACGGGGAAAAGGTCGCACCTATCGATCCGACTACAGGAACTGCGGATATCGGGCCTTATCTGCGGGATGGCGAGAATGAGCTGCTGGTTGTCGTTCCGACTACGATGTGGAACTATCTGAGGAGTATCTTCCCTAAGATTACCGAGTCGGGCACGCCTCCGTTGTTAAGTAGCCCGACTTCCCCGATGAGCTTTCCTGGTATTGTTCCTAATGGATTGGTGGGTGAGGTTTACATTACCCCGTACATGTCGTTTGCTCTTGGTATATAAACTGGGATTGTTATAGGAATTGATAACAGTTTGAACAAAAAAATAATAGAAACTGTTCCTCTACGTTCGTAGGAGTATGTCATTCAAGACACTATGAGTTGCATCTGTTATTTGCGCTTCGTGTATAAATCAATATTTTCTTGCAGAATATCAATGGACGATGTAGTATAAAATCAATAGTATGTAATATTCCCCTTCCTTGTGGGTGAGTATATCCCGTAAGACCAGATGGAGTGTCAATGGAAATACATAAATTGCCACATTCTACCCGCGCCGCCTCCATACAAAGCAACGATAACCCTGATGACGCCAAGACCGTTAATATCCCAAAAAGGCAATGAATACGAGTACTGGTGGGTCTTGGCTTTCTAATATCCTATTGGCTACAAAAACTAAGCTAAACGGCATAGCCCCACATGGGTTGTGTCTATTTTGGTTCACATTATTGAATTAGGGCCCTGTTACTCCGTAGTCTCGCCTTGAAAGTGTAAAAGACTTTTCTTCTTGCATGGCGTGGCAAATATATGGAGTATTAGTTGATGATCACTCTTTTCTAGCCTTATATATATTAAGTCTCCACCCTGTGGTCAAATATATTATTTCCACCGATTTCAATTTGGACACACAATGAGCGAGAGATTGATGCCGAATATTGACGAGATGGAAGTCGACAGTACTAGCATCGCTAAATTATCGTTATCCGATAGCCAGGTTAGTACCTCGAGTCATGATGATACCGATCTCACGAAATTTATCGCTGATGCATGTTGCAGATGACTGTTTCCCACAACATGGTCGAGACTATTCCCAAGGCCTCATGGCAAGCAAAGGCCCATGCCTTCATTCGGTGGATGTGTACACCATTGGGAGCTTGCATTACAATTTATGGTCTGAATGTGGTCGCATGGGTGGGATGCTCTTCCTCTTGATGTGCAATGCAGCGCCCGCAATGTGTCATCCAAGTTGCGATAGCCTTGACTCATCACGGCGCATTTGGATTGAGATTGATTCCCAAATACTGAATGCCTTATTCTGTGTCACTGGATTTGGGTTAGCACCGTGGCGTATCCGTGACCTTTACCAATGGTTCTTCTGGCGATTGGGCTGGTCGGAAGCTAGCCGACGGAAAGGGTTCACCCGCCTGGCGGAGATTCATAAGAACTGGTTCCTGAAATCTCAAGAGTCAAGTGTGCTTCCTATCAACACGCAGCACAAGTACCCAGCGGCTGAACAGGCCACGCCCACCCCGTTGTGGAAAATGGATGTTGTAGTGTGGGGCAATATCCTCAATACAGTCTTTCAGGTTTGCTTGGCTGTTTGCATGTGGGCAATGAATCGTTTTGAGCGGCCTAGTTGGACAACTGGTCTCTTTGTCGGTCTTGCTTGTGTTGTTGCCGGTGTTGCTGGTATTTTGATGTGGTTGGAGAAGAAACGCGTGAAGAAAGCTAGCGAGCATCCCGGTGCTCTTCTTTTGATCCCTCGGGCTACGCACCCAATTATACCAGGGGGAAAGAGCGGTGATTATACCTCTATAAAGCCGGAATTATGAGATGGCATATTGACTAGTGGAATATTGGAAGATTCTTCGAGTATCGTGTCTTTTACTTGACTTAGTATAATTTGACGCTTGCAATGAAAAAATTATTTCAATGGCAACTGTTCATATTTTATCTTAGGGGGGCCAGCTGTTATAGTATCTAGCTGCTTTCGCAGGTGTAGGCTTTGAAAATTCTTCTTGCTCAAACGACCATGATACGTTGAGCAGCAGGATTTTCGAGATCCAGAAACTAAGTCTATTCATGTATCCGGTGAGTAAAAGAATCGATCAAATGAGTGCAGAATCTCGCGCCGCTCTTCATCAGTCATCTGCATCCTGCTTGCTTCATAATACCCATCCTTTAGCCGTGCACTCACAATGGCCTTGCGACTTTGTGTACGGAAAGCTGCCTCAATACTTTTAGTAATTCCTTGGAAAGGATAAGCCACCAGTCCGAGCCCGGCTAATCGCACGGCAAAAGTTAGCTTGTTCCGTTTCTGGATTGAGAGAATTGCTTACCGGAGGGGACCTTCGTGGCAAGCCCAATAGTGCCCTTGGCAAAACCCTTGACCGCACCCAAAGCGCCCTCCTCTTTCGCCCCATTGATAGGTTGCATATAGAGACCGGTGAATCCATCAGTCATGCCATCCACGAAATTCCTGCCACCAACGATAGCACCGGATTTCCAATCCTGAACCCCGCCGTAATCCTTGGGCTTTTCCCCATACAGCCGAGGAACCTGTCGGAATCCTTCTGCGGTGGCATGTGGAATGTCAACTATCACCCCTTTGAAGTATGATCCGGTGAATTTGCCAAAGCCTTTCATTGTAGCGCCTAGCATGCTGCCTGCGACCAAAAACCCATTTCTGCTTTCGTCGGGTCCATTTTCGGACCCAGGTCCAACGGATGGTGTCCGACAATTATGTGAACTTGTTTCATCGGCAGCAGATATCCTTGTTGACGAGGGTTCCCGTGAAAGCGGGCTGCCAGGATGCGCTGGGGCTTGCAAGGCCCTCGCTGATGTGTTTGGAGAACGACCGCGTTTGTATTCCTTGTATGGGTTGTAAATCATATCAGCGGTCGAGCCGAGCATACTTGACCCGGTTTTGGTAGCTGCAGCCAACATTCCAGTTAGAGGATCCCAGCGGCGATGTTCAATGATGATTGGATTGATAAGGTGGCTGAAGGAGAACGGAGAGTCATTGGTTAGTAATTTCATACACTGGGTCGAGTCAGGGTACGTACAACTGAAGACGTTTTTCATCTATCTTTTGGTGTTCAATCAAGATCTGCACGGCTGCATTTGATAGGTTCACGTTGGTTTTGCCTTTCTTGTATCTCCAGACTGCAACCTGGTTGGGCATCAAACTACATCTCATTTTGTCCACGGGGAGATTTCGATGGAATGATTCCACAGCTGCCGTTACACCCGATTCGGTCTGCATTTTGACGGCCAACTTACGTGCGGCTTCTGTTGCCTCTGGGGTGAGGCAAAATTGGATAGCAGCTGTCAGCGTCTGAAAATTGAGAGATGAAAATGGAATAGGTTTGGGTCCAGCGCCGGCTCTAGCAACCATATTGCCCCAGAAGGGTTGGCTAGGACAATCAGTACTTATAATTTCGCATCTCAAAGAGAGGTTCGTTAAAGAATTGATAACTCACTCGCCGAAAAAAGGCACGATAGCTGTCGGTCGCCCATTTTGGAGACCACAAGCAGTAGTTCCTGCGCCTCCGTGATGAACCACTGCAGCGACTTGTTGAAAGAGCCACTCATGTGGACAGTCGTCAATATAATAGATATTCGAGTTTCGACTTGCAACTAGCCCACTCCAACCCTTTGAAATGATTGCACGTACACCTGCCCTTACCACCGAAATGACAACGGTGTCTATTAGCTTTTGAGGGTCATCAACCACAATACTGCCGAAGCCGATATAGACGGGAGGGGGGCCAGCTTGCAGGAACTCCCTTAGGTCCGAGGGTGGGGAATATGATGGGGGATCTCTAAAGAAAAATCCGCAGACATCTAACCCATTTAGCTTTCAATTGCAACAGGGAACTAAAGTGATAACGTACCAATGTGACCTGGCCAGTCCCGTGGTTTCGGCACAAGGGCAGGAGACCAACAATATGTGTAGGGTATCTTCAATGTCTCGGTGAGGGAAGGCCCTTCTGTTGCGGGAACGGGCTCCAAGTCTATTGAGACCCGCCATCGATTGATCACATCTCCGAGCCTAAGTTAACCATGTCAGTCCCCTAACCTTTATTTTCCCATAGGTAAGCTTACCCTTGCCATGTTAACCACTCAACAACTCCATAAGAAACCCAATTTGCAGTCCGAGGATCCATAGAAGACGGATTTAGATTGGCGAGAGGATGTGGAAACGCCTTGGTACTGCTCCATGGCATTGTAAACATCAAATGGACTGGAATGCCTAGAGCCTGCGCACAGTGAACGTGCGCAAAGCTAGGGGGATTGGCAATTATGGCATCTGCAACAAATGGCTGTTTCGTGACTGGGTCATCTTCAATGCAGGATCTCCAGCATCCATCGAGCATCGTCGCTACCATAGCCTGTTTTCTTTGCACCTCCCCTGCGCGGAGTGTCTTCATTTGTGGAATCAAACCGGGATTCTTGACCATGAATGCCATCAACTCTGCAGGGTCTCCGCCAATGGGAAAGAACTCTAATCCTGACTCGTGTACGAAGTCTGCAAAGACATCATGTGTGGCAATTCGGACCCGATGACCATGCTTTTGTAACGCATTTCCGAGCGCGATGAAAGGCTGCACATCCCCACGACTTCCGACGATTTGGATGACAATGCTGAGATTAAATTCGCATGACGTCACTTTCTTGGTAGGGTCAATATAGTCGGGAGGTGGATTCTGGATGTCTTCTTGCTGCAAGTCGATGATTTTGGCGAGGGTTCTCGCGATCTTGGATTCCAGGTTCACATCAATCCGGCCGTCCCCTATAATGAATATCAGAACGGGCCGACAAATCATTATCCTCGTCGCTCAACCTACCTTGGACGTTCCCCGATTCTGCCACAAGTCCACCGTCGGCAACCAACGAATATGGTGGAGGGGCCGACCCCTCCACTTGTTCTTCACCAATTCCAGGGGGTGTGGAGGCTCCCATGTTTTCGAACTTGATGAGAAATCTTGGAGTCAAGAATCTGGGAAAGCTGAGCTTCTAATAGCAAATAAAAGACACGCTAGCCTCGTACTCGTACCCTCCGACAGATTCGGATTAGTGGATCCCAATTAAAGGTTCAATATTGGTCCGTGCGCGCCAACTAGCGCCTTTTTGGATCTCCACCCCGCCCATTTTTAACTTTCTGATTTTCGGTACCTTCCAGGCAAAAAAAACCTAAAATTTAAAATTGTGCCCCCAAAATTCAGCGGTAAGGGATTTACCACGAAACGGCCATCCAATGGCGAGATAACTAAATGAGAATTCTATTGCGATATAAGATCCTCGGGCGGCGATAGCTGCGAAGAAGGTTGCCATGGTGGTTCAATCACTCAGATTTTGACCCAACGCCAGGGAAATCGGGACTTCAGAGTATTTACTTAGAGGCACAACAACCGATGCACCGACATAGCGCCCCATTCGCGACACGGTTGGACCAGTCTTGTAACACGCCCAGCGGCACATTGGGCTTATATCGAGCATATCCATATGCACTTCAGCTAAGTTTGCGGGATGGAGAGGACAGAAATTTCCGAACATGATGAATCAGTCATGGAATACTATGTGGAAAGAGCGTCATGGACTTCCCAAGCAATACCGTATGGTCGTGTATCCTAATATCACTATTGCCTGTTTTATTACGATCATTGATAAAATGCCGGTGGCTAGGTCGTCCTCATTATGTTACTTTGGAATAAGTATGTAGAATACATTGTATATTGGTAGTTATGAGATCAGGGGCAAACAAATTATTTACTGTTCCTGCAAATCTCCAAGCCAGGCAGCACCCATTTAACCATCCACTCAGATTCCAGAACCTGCTGTATTGTTGGCCGGAACCGGCTGAAATTTCAGCATCTGACGGATGAGAGTGAGAATAGCCCGTGTTTCTTCCTCTCCAAATACACCCTTTTCAAGCTTGTGTCGATAGTGCTGTACACCGTACTCGAAGGACTCTTCAAGCTCGCGCCATACCTCGCGCCCTTCCGTTGGACGCCCATCTTGATCAAAGAATTCCCCACGTTCCTCCCAGCCTTCCCACCAGCTAGTAGGTATCGGGCCTAGCACGTCAACATGCTGGGAAACCATTTCACCATCTGTAACGTATTCATTACTAAATAATGCCTTCATGCCCAATATCTCCCAAATCGCCACTGCCAGACTCCAGATATCAGCCGGGTATGAAAGAGGGGCCTGCGGTTCGAATCTGGCTTCTGGAGGCCGTGCTGCAAGTGGTGTGTGGCAGTCCTCTCCTCTGCGAGTTTCCGATGACGGGGAATATGACTCGCCAAAGTCGCTGAGAAGTACATGCGCATCGTGCAGTTTGAAGTCGTCCGCATCCATTCCCAGGTACAGCGGGATTACTGCTTTGGGGGGAACATTCGGAGGGAGTGGCTTTCCGTCTCGACGCGTAATCGGAACAGTCTCTGGTTCTCCATATTCCTCGTAAAACTGTTCGACGGAGAGATGGTTGAAGCTGGATGGTAGTTTGACCAAGATATTGCGGAGGTGGATATCTGTGACAAATATTAGCCCGGAAGATCCATAACCAAAGGATAGCAACATACCTCCATGGACGTATCTGCGTGAATGCATATGGGAAATAGCCATCGTCAGGCCCCCGACTAATGCCCTTGCGACATCAAGGGGAAACAAATAGCTAAATGACGCCTCTCTTAGATTGCATCGCGCAGGAGCCATCGTGTAGCATGGATGAACCCCGTTAGGTCCACAAACCTCGAATTCATCTAGAGGAGATGGGATCGCATCGTGACCGGGATGTACTGATGGGGCAGAGAGAGCTCGGAGAGACTTCATCTCCTGGGGAGAGAGTTCGCAATTCCAACCTTAACGGCGACATATCCGTCTCTCTGCCTGTCTTGTGCAAGCCAAACGGTTGAATAACCTCCAAATCCCAGCTTGTCCACGATGCGGTAGCGGTCATGGAGCACATCGCCAATCATGATTGGATGGTAGCCTTGGGGCTCGTATTTTTCAAAGTTTTCAGCGCCATCGATCCAATTGTACCCAAAGGGATAATTTTCTGCATCGTCTTTGCAGCGCGATATTGCCGCGGAGGCAAAGCTTGACTGGGGATGCGAACAAAGCTTAAGCTTCCAAGGGCGCCAGGCAGATGGTAATGGAGTTGAGTGCTGAAGGTGTTTTGACAAGGAAAAGGGATTGAGGGGAGTGGCTATTCTGAAGTATCGCGCCATCATAATAACAGCGTCTAATGTTAGCTGTTGTACAACAACGGAGTAGGTTCAGCGGTCGTTCTGTTGTAGCGCCCACAATCCCGATCCGTGCCAGCCCCTTCCCCCACAACGGGAGACCAGCGGCTCCTCCGCTGTTGTCCACCAAGGATAACCCCCTTACTCATCCAATGAAGTCCATTCCTGTAATAGAATTCCGCTACATTTTATTCAGCGACTATAATTTCTATTGTTTATTTGGGGAGCGTAACATCGCCACCTGCACGTAGTCGGGGAATGGAGAGAAGGTATCAACCACCCGGAACCCATTCTTCTCATACAACGGTTTCCCTGCTGGAGATGCAGACAGATAAACCTCCAAGCCCTCAGCATCAGCGCGCGTAAGACCCCACTTGAGGAGCTTCGAACCCAGTCCCTTGCCCTGGTAGGAATCGTGAACACCCAGCATATCCAGATCTATAGGTCCCGGTTAGCGTTCGAATACAAGAAGCATAAAGCAAACCCGAAGACTTTAAGCAAGAGTCAGGAAAAAAGACAAGAAGAAGAACGCACAATAATGAGGCCTCTCCCCCATCCACTTCTCATGCCGCGCCCCCATACCATTGAAAAACCGATCGCAAAGGTCCTTATCACTACTCGGAGGCCAAACAATCTGTTCCTCGTTCCGACGCCGATCTGCAGCGGGCACGGGAAGCTTCCATTTCGCGAATGCGACAATCCCGCCATCCTCCGACCCCTCCGTCACCTTGAGGAATACATCGTGGGTCTCGCCTGCAATTGAGCGCGTGATACTCGTGGTGAAATATTTTTCCCACCATTCCGTCACATCCGGCGTGTTTGGGAACATGGCTGTGTCCAAATCACTATGGAAGCTGCCATAGAAGACTTTTGTGAGTTCGCGCGCGTCGGTGGGAGACGCGGGGTAGATCTCCAATTCCATTTTGGGGACTGGATTTGAAATTTGCGCGTGACAATCGGACAACAAGATTTGATACCCAATGGAGAAGGTTGTGCATTGAATGGGAATTTCGGGATGGAGGTTGCAGTTCCCGAGGTCGGAGATTTTGGTTGTGTCATCCCGAGTGGTGGGGAAGGCTAGGTGGATTTCTTACCAGAACAGATCTACGAAGACATGATTTTACCGATATTAGGGATAAACTCCTTGTCCCGGCTAATTGGTACCTCTGTACTTGATTTCCTCTGCCACTTCTTGGCTTTCCCTTTCCGCTTTAGTGCTCAGGCCTTGCCGCTTTTTGCTCACTGAGTAAAATCGAGCACCCGTGGACGCCCCTGAGTATTATATAATCATCAACGGCCCCGGGGAACTGACCTCGAGACCTTGGGAGCATCACCTGAATATTACATAAGCTAGATAACTCGCTCACTGAGCGTGGCCTGAGCGCTCTGGTTTGCTCACTGAGTAGCTTGATCTTGATTCTTAGGGGAGTTGAAGGGAATTAAGCCCCCGGATTAGGCCTGGTAAAATGTCGGGCCGATGTATGCACTCACCTTCCCACTGTAAAAGCAAGTTTTCTAGCCAAGTGATTGATACACCAGAGGGAAATCAGAGTTTCCATGCCGTAGGTTCGTCTAGATCCTTTGGGTTGGAAGGGGAATGGCAAGACCCCCAGAGTTTCCAGATACGATGCATGGGGCCCCGGTCCACCTCTGTATGGGGATTTTGTTCGTGGCGTAGCGAGCGGATTCTCTTCAGCCAGCCCGCTTCCATCACTTTTCTGAAATCGACGAACCACCTATCCACATAGTTAGCGAGCAGCTCTGTGTCAGCATTGAAGGGACATACAGCTTCGAGGAGTCAGGATCCCACACAAGATGGTCGGCCCAGGGTTCGTGGAGTGACCAATTCAACTCCGCCAGCTTAGGGTAATTCTTGTCGAACTCATCACGAATCTTGGCTCGTTCCGCAGGCTTGAACTTTCGAAAGAACGTATGTAATGGATGCCCAGGGACAGGCGCTCCTTGATCATCGGCAAGTCGAAATCCGGGTACGTGCTGGAACACCATGTAGACTATGTAACCACCTGGAACAACATCATCGTCGCCTTGGAGTTCCTCCCTAATCCCGAGGAGGGCGGGTGTCATAGTGGCATGTTCCTGGTGGAAGCACTTTAGGGCGTTGACTTCATGATGTGGACAGAGAGCGGCTTGGCGACGCCGAACTTCACGAGGCTCAAATTCGGTAGATGGATGTGGAACTTGCATATATACTCGCATATATGCCGTTGGACCATGGTCCTGCTGAACGTGGAATGTTGCCTCGGCTGTTGATGGGCCAGACTTCGAGATCCCATTCCTCTCGCTGGTAGTTATGCTGGGACTGTTTCTCTCGGATTGACCATGCGCTGATTGTTGGCTTTTCAAAAAGGAATGTTGAGCCCGGACCAAATTTGGCACGGGGAAACCAGCCTATTGAAGCCATGGCTGATATGGAAGATGAAAACAAGCATGAGGCGGGAGAGTTGGAAGAGAGAAGATGATGAAGAGTGACGGAGAGGAGATATAGTAGAGTGGTGGAGTGGGAGCCTGAGGCACCCTGGAAGGAGCCGAGGATATCCAGGCACTCAGGCACTCAGGCAGCAACAACCAAGTGATGCACATGCTAACTACCTGGGTATATGCAAAGGTATTGGCAATAATAATCGTATCGCAGTGTTCTTTTACCGTTGATGGTCTCATCCTTCACTCTAGGAAACTCCTTTTCGCGTATTATAAAAGCCCATTCCCACGCTACCGTAGGGCACTAACTTAACGTGCTCTGAGACCATATCTAAGCAGAGTGTCGCCATACCACGCCATCTCGCATAAACCACCACCGTCTCCCAAAAAGTGGCAACCAGTTCCAATAAGAAACCGCCATTAGACCCGTCCCCAAAGAAGTGTTACCCTTTGAGATGTCGAACTGCCTTTTTAAGCCACCGAGGCGGGGAAGTTCGATAAGACAACCATTGCCCGCGGCTTGTGATAGTTCTCACTTAAAATCCCCAAATCTCTTTTGAGCCCAGCACGCATTCGAAAAGCAATTCCGCCGTAATTATGGGTGACGCAGCATTCTTACCGGAGCATGTGCTCGTTATTTTCTATCAAACGATGCCAGAAGAACTGACGGAGGTTATCCGACACAAATTCCCCGATGCCGAGGTCATTATTTACCACTCTCAGGGAGATGCTCCTGTTCCTTCTGGTGAGTGACTGTTATTGTTAAAGGTCTGAGGGCACAGAACCTAAAATCTCGCGCAGAAGTATATCAAAGGGCCACCATCCTCGCGACTTTCAGCGACCTTCCAGATCTCGAGGACTCGAAGAAGTAAGCATTCATCCTAACTGGCTTTACTATCCATTAACCATTATTAAAGCCTTAAACTAATCCACACCTTCTCCGCTGGCGTGGATCATCTTTTGCAACATCCAATTTTGCAAGTATCCGACATCCCCATCACGACAAGCTCGGGTATCCACGGTCCTCCCATTGCAGAATGGACCGTGATGAACTGGCTAGTATCATCCCGGAAATATATCAAGGGTTATGAGGCACAGAAATCCCACCTATGGGATAAGTCTGCGTACAAGCCAGGCATTCATGACCAAGTGGGCAAGAAGGTAGGTATTCTAGGATATGGGAGTATCGGACGCCAAAGTACGTTTCACCCGTGGTCACTCGATATCCACAAGCTGCAATGTCCATAAAACCGAAAGCACCACGTTAACCACCGACAGTTGCCCGCGTCTCGCACGCATTAGGTATGACCGTCCACGCATACACGGCTACTCCACGCCCAACACCTGAATCCCGCCGTGACAGCGGCTACATCGTTCCCGGCACCGGAGACCCAGACGGCTCAATCCCGGCATCCTGGCACCACGGAACAGATCGGGAATCCATCCGTTCTTTCTTGGCTACCGGGCTCGATCATCTTGTGGTCTCACTTCCTCTTACTCCACAAACAATCCATCTCCTCGGCGCACAGGAATTCGCCATTCTCTCCGAGCACTCTCGCCACCATGCGAGCAAGCCTTACGTGACGAATATCTCTCGCGGCAAGGTTATCGATCAGAAGGCATTAGTCGATGCACTGAATTCTGGAGTCTTGGGTGGTGCCGCACTTGATGTCACAGACCCTGAACCTCTTCCTAAGGATGATGCTCTCTGGGAGGCATCCAATGCTCAAATCAGTCCACATGTCAGTGCTCTTGGGGTGGAGTATTTCCCGCGCTCTCTTGATATCCTCCAGGTAAACCTGGGGCGCATCGCTCGGGGTGAGCCATTGATCAACTCGTATATACGGGGCAAAGGGTATTAGCATTTGCGCATATGGGTGTCGGTTGCGCTAATGCCACAAGTGAGGTTGTCCCTTCGTCAAATGGATCAGAGTATAAACCGTGAGATTGCCTATGATCAACGGAGCTCACTAGCAAATCCAAACATCCAGGAATGGCGTAGATTCTCCCGTATATTCCTGATCAACCGTCAATGGGTAGCTGATAGTAGGCTTAATTATCTGTTGTGGGTCGTTAATCACATTCTGTAGGAAATATGCCCGCTGTTAATAACTAAAGAAGCAAGCATATAAGTAGAATACTATAGTGCATATATTGTTCTTCAAAGTTGGAAGGAGCGTGGAACAATATATCTTAAGTCTTACTATTTAATATACCAACTAGACAAATCTAGACTCTAAACGAAATATTAATAGCTTAGCGAGGCTCGAGGAAGTGAATCGGTGCGAGGTTTCTTCGCTGAAGGCTTAAATCGGATCCGAAAGAGTTCTGCTAATAATTCTAGAACCCGATGTGCTCCAGAATCTCAACCAGGACTTTCTCGTTCTCGTTTCGGCAGTTTTGAATGGCTTGATGGGTTTGCCTCCTCAGAATGTCTGAATTTGTCACGCGCCAGGGCAGGATAGAACTAAGCAGGGCATCGACATCAGCGACAATGTCAATCCCTCGGATTGTCATCGGACGCTTGCAACCCTCATTCTCAAGGGCGTCTTCCCAGGCCTTCGCAACTTTCCACTGAACTCCCTCGCAGTCTTGCTGGTCATCGGGGAGAGGGTCTGGGAAGCCGTGTAATTTGGCTTCCTTTAGGGCCCTTTCTTCGCGGGCCTCAATGTCGGGCCAGCCCCCAAACTTGCCGCCGAACCCACTAAAGGAGCAAAGGAACTCGTATGAAGGATGGAGAACGCACGAAAAGTCGAAGTCAATTAACCCTGTGATGCGACCTGAGGAAATGTCGAATAATAGGTTGTTGGGTGCTGATAGAAAACATCTATAAGAACAAGCGTTCGGGTTCGGGGGGGTGAAAGGGAAAATTGCTTACTAAAGTCTGCGTGGATTATTGCCTTGTCGTCGCGCGATTCAAGCTGCTTGAAAGATTCCGGGAGCCCTCGCTCTATAAAGGCCTCTAGTCGGTCCCGGACGCCATTCTTATGCCAGCCCCGGATATAAGAATTCTCGTCGGTTTTCTTCAGAGCTTGCTTAAGCCGTGCTTGAAATGCAGCCTCGTACGAGGGCCAGGGACCAGTACTAGTGGTGGTCATTGGTGCACTGATTATATTGTTCTCGTTATCAAAGGTCAGTCCTCCAAATTTAGTAATAGAGGCGGGTAGCGGGAAGTCCTGAAGGCCTTTGAGGAGCTTTGCGATCTGTGCAAATATTTCTTTCTTCTCCTCGAGTTCCATGTTGTCTAGATTTTCGTCTAGAGGAACACCTGGCATGAGCTCCTGGAGGATCCAACCTTGCTGTGGCTCCCCTTTTTTAGATGTGTTTCCAGCCCAGCCATATAGACGAGGCACAACGTTGGGTTCGAAATTTGGGTCTAGCGCAGCCGCAGCTAGAGTCATCATAGCAACCTCATTCTCGACACGATTCGCTGCTCCCATAGATGTGGCATCAGAGTTTGTCAGACGAAGGATCATATCACTAGTGCCGGAAGGAATAGCCACACAACCGGGCTTGTTCTGACAGGCCCCATTTTCTTTGTCGAGTGGAGACGGCAGAGAGATGCGATACACAAAGTTATTATACTTAAAGGGGCACTCAGGATCATACGCAATTGGTTCAATCAGGGTATTTACCTAGTGAGCCTCTTTAGCAGGGTTCATAACTCATTCTATCTTCAGGCACATACTGGCAGATCGAACGTTCTCTTCAATAAGCCATGATTGCCATTAATAGAATCAAGCCGGGCCTGATAATTGGAATGATTGTGATTCATATCGCGTTATTCGGTGAAAAATGATGTGCGTTGGGAAAGCACTTTTCTGGCGGAATTAGATTGAAGTAATGGTGTGGACCCAACGGTTACTTCCTCCCAAGCTTAGGTTGGGAGCATGTATGCCTAACTTGCATGTACCAAGAATCCCAAAATTTTCCTGCCCGAAACAGCGGTCAACTTTCAGGGGTTCATGAGAGTTGGATTATTTACAGTAGTATCTTTGCTGGCCGAACTTGAGGGAGCCCCGGAGAGAGCTGAAGAGAGAAGTCGGAGATGCGTTTAATAGCTTATCGAGCCTGCTGGGAGGCTCAAAACAAGGTGAGAAAGGTAAACCAGACACCGTCTCGCGAGCCAGCACGGTATTGACCGTGCTGGACTTCGCCGAGGCGTCACAACGGTTTCGGAGTCACGGGATCTCGAAATCAGGCTGCTGCTTATTGACAAGCTTCTGTACGAACTCCAGTGTTGCAGCTTCAGAAGTTATACCTGGGCGGCATAGTTTGACCTTGCAAAAAGCGCTGTTTTCTACAGACCAGACTGCAGAGCTATCCCCAGCATCGTACACCAACTTGAATTTTGGATCATCCAAGGGTACGGTCGGAGGCAGGGGGTCAGCTGCGTCGGTAAGAGTGTAACTGAGATCGTCGTCTTCGTCGTACCAGGTAAATATACCAGAAGAGCCTTTTTTTGCAGTGAAGTTGGAGGGGCCCTGTAAGCTATGTGTTTGCATCCCTATCCAGCTATGCGATTGACGCCCTGACAGGATCACTCATAGTCTTGGCTAGGCAAGCCATGGAGCGTTGTTGATTATGATAATCGTCGAAGAGGGGTTGATAATGGGAAAAACAAAAAGTGTATAGGACCAAGAAATTTGAGGTGGTATGAAAGAAAGTAAAAGACGGAAGAGAAGTTGTTGGCTATTATACACATCCTGGGGAAAACATAAACAACGCTGACGCTCGGCCTAAAAGTGGGCCCCACACAGGGCTGTCGATTGGTTTGTGTACGTATTTGCCCTATAAGTTGGCTGGATACAGTACCTAGGTATGTATGAATGGATGGATGATTTCATTTACCCTGATCCCTCGGTTTTGGAAATATATAGGTTACTACTATGGTTAAATAGGTGATTGTGGAATTGTTCCAAATTACTTGCGGTGAACTTTGAGCCTCACCAGCGAAGGTCTGTGATAGTTCCACATTAACCTGAGAGGAGACTAGGGCACTACCCCAGACTTTAGTGTCTCCCTATAGAGACGTGATGATAGTTATTGAGGAGGCGGCGTAGGGAATCGACCCCATGCCCGCAGGATGGAGAATGGTAGTAGTTAGGCAAAAATTGACGTAAAGATCCGTGGTTAACCGGGAATTTAATATCATTATTAATTCTTTCCCCCTGAATACGGAACGGTGAGGAGCGTAAGGAGGTTCCTGAGGTCGCTATGTATGTTTTAGATAAGCACCTCTAAATCCCTCCTCAATCACCACACCAATAAATCCACACCCGGCAACGGCCAATGCCCATGGATTCACCAAGTCCCGTAAATCAGGCCAGAAACTATTCTTTTCTCTCTGCCACTGTCGCAGCTGCTCATGCTTGTGTGGATCCTGAGACTTATAGCGCTCTTCCTGGCTAGCCTCAGTCTGCTTGTCGCCACCCACAAACCGAAGGAAGAGATAGTTCGTCAGAGGCCCCAGTATCACAACTGGATTGAATGGACCAGCCATGTTAAGCAAAGCAAACGAGCAATGAACCAAGGTATCGCCCAGGTAACTAGTCAACCATCAGCAATCATCACCCAACATGAAGAAGAGCGATTATATATATTGCGACCAAACTTACTTGGGATGCCGCACCAAACTCCAAACACCATGTCGACACAAATCCGTCCGTTCCTGTTGGTGCAGTGCAAGCTGTGTATCTGCCATAACCTCCATCGCAAACCCAGCACTAAAAAGGCCAACACCAAGGGCCCGAACAACATTCACCAAATCATCGCCTATGCGAGGCATAGCATCACCCATAGTGAATGGAACCGTGAACGGCAAAGAGATGACACTCAAAACAGCAGCTTCCGGTAAAAACATTTTCAAAAATGCACGTTTCCAAAAGCCCGGCTCCTTTTTGACTTCCTCGTACCGCGCATCATCTGTCCCGCGGGATAATGACCGACACGCGATGCGGGCAAAGAGCCTCGCGCCCCAGATGGTAACGCAGCTTAGAAGAACCCTTTCGGTCCATGGTAGAGCCCGACAAGCTGCTTCAAATGAGATGTCGTGTTTGCACATCGGTTGTCCGACGGCGGTCCACCAGGCATTGAGGACTTGCGCCGAGGGCCAGAGCCAGTCTTTGAGTTCGACTCGGTTTGTTGTTTCGGCTGCAATGTAAGTTGCCAGTGAAAGGCTTGAATAGAGGCCGAACGAAGGTAGGAGCGTTGATTTCAGGATTCCCACGTCGCCGGGTGTTATCTTGTTTCTAAGTGGTGGCGAGTGGAGAGAGCTGTAGGCCTGGTTCTCTAGGGTTGAGGGGGGAATGAGAAATGTCATTTTGGGACATAACCTGGCTTCTTGGATAGTTGGATTAAAATGTTATCAGTGTACTGCGACTTGCTGGTTATTTTATACATGGCTTGTTTGGTGTCGCCCAGGTGTTGATGTCAGGATTATGTAATGGTCAAGTGGACATCCCAAGCTGGTTTTGCTTGCCTATCATTTGTACTAAGCATCATTAGATTGAATACTTGCAAATGGCAAGCAATATATAAGTCGGGTATGGTATGCAAGAATGGTTGATAAAGACGTGGGTGAAGACTGGCGGTTATGTTCGTGAACCCTGATTCGCATCTGATCCTGACATATCTTTTACACTTCGTCCACAACTTCGAGATTATTAGAAGTCTGAGGCCATTACCCCACACCGTTCAAGCGGGATATAAGACACAGGTAAATCACAGGGTCCGGAGCATGGCGGTCAACGGACATTGCTTCCCGGTATTCTGTGGTGGCCCGCATATCCAGGCCAGTCTAGGGCAGACAGTCTGAATTACACCGGGGCCGGTGGCACAGTGCATGCATTACTCGGCGCCTTCTCGACACAGAAATTTGGTAAGGGATTTGTATGACGAACGGGAATGATGAAGTGTGAAATCTCCGGTATTGAATTGATCTATAAAATATGAGGTAATATTTGAGGACATAAGTAATATGAGACATATTAAGGGTATTCTGTGGTATGGCGTTCAGTGTAGAATACCTCTTCCAAGGTATCCTATGTAAGTATAGTCAGCCGTGATTGTTGTGGGCTTTTTGCACATATCGAGAAATAATGCCAGCAAGATCAATCTGGATACTCAAAGGCTCTGATTCATCCTTGTTCTTGTATTGCTCCTTCATGAGAATCATCAACCGTTCATTCCAGAACGGCAAGCAGGTTTCAAGATCAGATGCAGAAAATGCGGTAGTTTCGTTGTCGCTCTCGGTATATAGATCGTCTGGCATATTCCACTTGAAAGAGTTCGAGCCGGATGGCAGGTCAACCGAGCAGGTCACACCGAGATCATGCAGGTCGAAGCCATCGGGTATACGTTCGAAGGGAAGCCGCTTGGTGGGTAGTCTCCGGGCATTTCCATCGTTCGTTAAAGGCTCGTCGGTAGAAGTTCCCCTTTCCTGCCGGATAAGGTATGCTCGTGGATCATGGGGGGAGAGAGTTGTCGCAGAGACCGGCTCGGCGACCGAAGTCTGTGACGAAGTTAATGCGGCTTTCGCCGCAAGATATCGACTGCGGTGAGGCGAGTGCGACACCGGTGCAGACTGCGAACTGTATGCTTTATCGTTTGTCTTGAACCGCGTACGACTGTGCTGGATGGCCTCTTTCTTCCGCCTTTCGAAGTCAAGCGCTTTCTCCAGGTCAGATGGTTCCTCCTGGCTGACGCCTTCGTGAAGTCGAGCCGCCCATCTTTCAAGAACCGGAAACCCTCGACCACTATCGATTGACTCTGCATCACCATGGTCTGCGTGTAGCGAAGGGACGTGACAACCAGATTCTGGAGTCATGCTATTATTAGATGGGCCGTCCGAACAACCATCACTCTGCGCATCGACGTTCACAATTTTCGGCGAAGTATTCGTGGGCACACCAAATCGTTGCTGGGCAAGGAAGGAAAGCGGTGAATCTGGTTCTTGGGTCGGTCCTTCCTCAACAGGATTTTGCTGCTCAACAGGGTTTTGCCGCAGCGAAACTTGAGTAGTTCTCTGGAACCAAGTGTCTAGAGCTCCATTCCCATACCGATCTCGATCACGTTCCCTCTCGGCGCGTCGGGCGCTCGAAATCAGATTAGTCTCAGGGGAGGATTCGGTCGGTTCTTGCTGATGGTACCGACGGCGCCTCACTGGAGACCCAGATGCAAGTTGGGAAGTAGGAGGCCTTGTCGAGTCTGACTTGGGCGTATGCTGAAAGCCTCGCGATTCACTCTCCCTTCGGATTGCCCCCTCTAGGCTACCACTGGATAAATTCACGGGGCTTGTTTGGTTGGCAGAATTGCTCCCTCGTCGCGGGGTTTGAAATGAGGCATTGATTCTGGAGATAGACCACGGATTGAGGAAACTGGAACGCTTGGTTCTGGCGGTGGCCGATTCGTCAGGATTGTCGTGGCTATCGCTGCTAGAAGGGACCGTAGGCGAAAAGTCGTACTCAGAGCGGAGGGCCTTCTGTGTGACAGGGGTGAAAGGGATAGCTTCACTGAAGGGGTTCTCAGCATCGCGAGGCTGAGTGGGAAGTTCGGTAGTTGGTTTCCTAGCCATCAAAAGTTCAAATCCTCCTGACCTTTCGTGAGACTTGCAGGCATCATCTTTGCCTTGGTTGGAAGTTCTTCTCTCCGTCCCATCTATTTCTCCGTACTGGTCGCGGAACAAGTTGTCTACCAAGGCCAAAACTACATCTCGGTCTTCGAAGAGCAGGTCATCTTTCGCCGGCTCGATGTTGACGTCGTATGTTCCTCGGGGACAGCGAATTTGCAAACAGAGAAAAGGATCGCTAACCGATTTGGATGATTCGCTTTTGGACGCGGCGACACGGACATATTGCTTGAAAATTTTCACGATCTCATGCCCAATCCCCCTGTTACTAGAGAGAGGGCGGCCATCCACACTGATGTATTGGCCTGCGTTGTTGATCTTGGAGGTATCTAATTTGTTGGTAAACACGTCACCGGATACTCAATAAGATGAGCTCACCAAATTGTGTCTTGGGAAGAAAGGCAATGACTTCATACTCCTGCTGATCTGATGCTCCTCCTTGGTTCCCAGCGGTACTTTGGGAGGAAAGTCCCTTCACGGCACAACAAGAAGACACTTCTGAGCCGGCTACCTTCAAAGCTGCATCCGAGAGCGAGGCGTCGGCATTTGGCGCATATGTCCAATTGTTGTTTTCGATTTTCGCTTTCAGAACTTTGAGTGAGAACCTCTTGGATGGCTGAGCTATAGAATAAGCCTGGACAAGCTTTTTGATCCTGGATAGATTTTTCGTAGCACCCTTCAAGGCAGTCTGCCTACGGACAGGGATGTGTTTGAGGAAGTCTGTGATACGAACAGTTGTTCCCACAGGATGTGAGGTCCGTTGTGTTCTGCGATGAAAGATTAGAAGTGGAACACAAGCCAAGAAACTGGCGAGGTCAGCATACCCAGTAAGCTCTCCGTTTCTTCCGTACTTCAAACAACGCCCGGCGACTTCGGACTCAACTCGAGTAGTGACAGCCAGAGCTCCGGACAGCTCCGCGACACTAGCAAGCGCTTCACCGCGAAATCCCAATGATGACCCGCCGACATTTTTGAGATCATCTAAAGTTTGGATCTTGCTGGTAAAAGCTCGTTTGCAGACATATTGCTGGTCCTCTGGAGAGATCCCGTGGCCATTGTCCTTGATCTGTATGACATCCAGAGTGTTTTGGGAAATTTCAATGTGCAGAGATGTGGTAGAAGCATCCAGGGCATTGTCTATAAGTTCCTTGACAACAGAGTAGGGATCTGAAATGACAGATGTGGAGCCAATCGCCCGGATTGTTTTCTGAGGGAGAGCCTCAATCGGCATCCTGCATGCCCGGTATTAGTTGTTCATCTCAGACAGTGCCACAAATAGTCTCATTCAGCTGACTGAGGCTGGGAGGAACATGGGAACAATTTCAATTGCTGGTATTAGATGAATATCGACTCGAGGAGGATGAAATTGTCTTGGCATATTGATTCACGTGATATTGATGCCTTATAGCCTTATAGCACCGGCCAGAATCATTCACTGCTCACCAACTCGTCCTTAATATTGGGTTGGTCTTAATTATACCCAGCCAACTGCTTAATGATATGACTGTTGTCCATAGGATGACAACATACAGTAACATGAAGTGATCGATCCGATATTCAAACCCATCTCATTATCATCATCTGCCTTCAATTCGATTCTCTTGTACAGGAGTTTTCGAATTCAGTTTGACCTCTCAATCTCTAGACTTGATCTCCGTAAAATAAGTCCGAAATACGCTGATCCTGTTTAGGGTCACCTCTCTATTAGTTGGGCAGGACTATGGTAGTACTGATGTACCACATCGCAGTACGTATTGTAATAAATTCGTAATGATACACCGGATGCCCTAGAACTGCTTGCTTTCCGTCTTCCCACCAGTCCAAGGTTGCCACTTCCCTCATTCTTCCCACATGCAGCACAGCCTTCGTGTATCTCTGTACACCCGCCAGTCATCACAGAGAAGTCTGTGCTTACACTGTCCTTGCTGCTTAAGCGAAATCTTGTGATTTGGATATGATTGGATCATATGAGTTATGTATCACCTTAATTGACTCGTTCCTTTTTAGAAATGTGGTATGCTGGTCATCCATCCCACAGTTGTGTAGGACCCAGTAGGAAGAGCTCTCAACGACGAAAGGACAAGGCCCAGAATCCCCAAGCGTGCAATAATGTAGAAGTTAAAGCTAACAATGACAGTGACAAGCATAGTCCAAAGAGCGGCTGGGCGAGTGAGGCCAACCATGAAGGAAGGAAGCAGGTTCTTTGAGTTGGCGAGCGTTGCAGCGTCTGCGAGACCACCCACTAAGCATATGATGAAAGCCGTAGCAATAGATGCGATGGAAAAGACCCGCCAAGATATCAGCTCAGCGCGAGTTGCGAAAGGAAAATCCCATCTATCCGGGAAAAGGTTACCGTTAGCTTATAGGGACAACCGCAGCAAAAGAAAAGTTCAGTCTTACGCGGCCACATGAATCCCGCAGTAAAGAAGAGCAGTGAGACTGCATATCACATCAAAGATAAAGATTTCAAATGGCTCTTTGAGAAGATCATTACCACCTCCCTCATTGATTGTCTCGAGACGTTCAATATCTCTGCGTAAGAAAGGCGTTCGAACGGTCTTCCAGAAGACAGACACCCAGTTATCCTCGTTGACGAGAGCACGCACATGAACCCATCCGGTGGAATTATCCTCTATCATATTGCGTACCTCAATAGGTATATCATCACGGTTACATCGTAGATTAACTGCGATAGACGTGCCCATGTCTTTGGGCTTATACCACCATACCCCATATATTAAAATAGCACAGCTCACATAGGCAAGAGTTGACAATTCGATGGGGGATACCGGTAGATCGTACGCCCATCTTGTGATGACGTTGCATAAAAACCAGGTGCTTTGAAGGACGGTAAAGAACTTCGCAAACGAGTCTGCTTTCGCTCGATCTTCGATATCCTGGTCTCGAAAGTCTGAACAGTGGACCATACCGGCCTGGATGAGAGGTTCTATTTTGTGGGGCTGTATTGTGTAGATCCATTGATCCTGTGTCTGCAACACTAGTCCGCCAGCGATGACACAGAAGCATTGACGGAGCGTCCATTCGGTGTGGACAGGATGTAGATCCACGTGATCTAAGTCTTGGACTTGTTCAAGCGGCCTAGCCCGTTGTGATAGCCATAGTTTTGGCTCTGATGATTCCGTGTCTCGTGTTTTCTGTGCCTTGTTGCAGATTTTCTGCAAATTTCTCGCCTCTGCGAGCTGACCGGTCGCTCGCAGGAAGGTAACCTCAGGGGCTAAGATAACTAGAACCCACTCACGTATCTTACTAAGTGTACATCTTGCAATGGACATATTGCGGGGAGGAACGTCCATGTGAAGAAGAGTCCATGTGCAGGCAAAAATTGTTGACAAACAAGTCCACAAGATGTCCCATGCCGAGCGACTGTTCCCGTCCAACTGCCAGCTCAACAGAGGTGCCGAGCTAGACGCCATACATTGGCCCACAAAAACGGACAACAAAATAGGGATGCGTATGGAGCCCAGGGCAGATCCATCCATCGATGAAGGTTATTGCAGATAAGCCGCTTCTAGTGGAAGACGCGGGCGTTATGGCCAGGAAGTTGCTGATTGTCGAAAGAGAGGGGTACAGGGGTAGGTACCGTGTGTCTTACTAGTTTCGTATAAAATACACGATCCTTGGTACTGATGTCGTATTATAAAATACATGCACTACGCGCTCAAAATAACACCCAATCAGAACTCGCATGTACTATTTTCCGCGAAGTCCAAAGAGGTCAAACCGAATTCGAAAACTACTATACAGTCAACAGTCTTCCTGAACAGAGTGGCTTCTCAGTTATCGGCCTTGAAAGAAGCCTCCAAGGCCTTCTTCGCCTTTTCTGCGTCCATATCATTCGGATAAATGATGCATTTTGTCAGAATCCGGTGACTGTCCTTCTGAGCTTCTAAGGTTCTTTCTTCACCTTTGCGTTCCCCGCGCCCTTATTTGCTTAAATAACAATCTCATGTTGATTTTTGCTAAGGGTTGCACCGTTGTCTAATCTGAAGTTCTTCTAATCATAGCTCTAGGACGGGTGAAGGCGACCCTTTAGTCGTATTCTCAGTTTTCTTGAATATTTTCGCCCACAGAATCCCATCGGTGAATGCACAAAGGGTTTTACTCGCTTGCTTTGGAGATTTTCGTGTTCGTTCAGCCCCAAACTTCGCTTGCTGCAAAAAAATAGAATTGAGGAATACAGACTTGTCTGAGTTTGGTCGGGGAACCGATACAGTATGGATAGATGAATGATTTCATTTAGCTGACCCCTCGGGAGTTGAAATCCTGAATTGAGGTACAAGTGTCATTATTTTCTTTCAACCTATGGCGTAATGTCAAGCTACTTGTAGTCGCGGTAGATCACCTCTCTTCAGACTAGTGGAGTGACAGCAGCCTAACAAGTAGCCACTCCTACGGTCCTAGACGTCGCCATATTGCTCTTTTGGGTACCTGTTGGATGCCTGTGGCATTGCCATATGATAGAACCCGGATAGTTTGATAGTTCTGTCTCCTGCTTCCTCTCCCCTCTCTCTTCTGGTCCGTCTGTCTCAATAAATACAGTGTTTTCTCTATTGACTCTTTATTGTATCGAATCTCTATGAGCACCCTACGGTGTCGTAATATAATGTAACGTCCACAGTATAAGTATATGTAATATGGTATATATTACAATATTCAAATTTTTGACGGGTTTTGGGCCAAGGGTCGAAACCCAACCCGCGATTTTGGCGAGGTCTATACAACAGAAACTAAGACGGTGGTAAATTTTCTGATTTAGCGAAAATGAAAGGCCTATCTAGATCTGACAATTTGTGCGGACAAAATTATTAAGCAAAACAACAGCTTTTCTGTCTCGTTCCCGCGGTAAAAAGGCGGGAGTATCCTCATCTTGCCTGACACTATACAGTCCTATATAAATCACTGACGTGGGATCCAACTCATTCCCTTGTGCGACGGATCGACACATACCAGCTTCCCATTTGGAATAAAGAACAATTCTCGCCGTTAATCTCCGAGAGGATAGCAATGTAGGATTTGGCCAGCTGCTAAGGGATCAGTGACTTGAAACGAGAATGGAGGGGAGCTCAAGCCCATACAATAGAAAGAAGCATCTTTGCTAGCCAAGAACACGAAGCTGGGGGCCACTTCACTAGGCTGCCCAGGCCGGCCAAGTTGCTTGTCTGATCCCCATCCTTCCATTGACTTGGGATCCCTTGTATCCACTTGAATCGGTGTATAAATCGCACCGGGGCTGTCAAGAGGCATTAGAATATGAGACATGTCAGGGAAATTGACTGCTGACTTACGCAACAGCATTCACGCGAATACCCTTCGGAATTAATTGCAATGCTAGGGATCTGGTGAATCCAACAATGGCGCCTTTCGTGGAAGCGTAGTCGACCATACTGCTCGAGCCACGGAACGTGACAACAGACGTATTGTTAATAATCCTGTGTGCTTGAAGTCAGTTGACAGCGGTGACGAAAGGAAGACGCAGTATGCCTTACGAGTCTCCCTTTGACATGTGCGGGAGTGCATATTTCGTGATAGCAAACATTTGCAGGATGTTGGTTCGGAAGAGGTCCTCGACCTGGTCAAGGTCAATTTGCGTAAAGTCTTTGCATATATATTGCTGAGAGGCATTATTGACAAGAACATTGATTTTCTCGAACCTGTAACAAGAGAAAAAGGGTTGAAGTCAGTAACTAACTTAGCGCCAGAAGAAAAGGATATCGCCTGCATACCTATCCACATGCTCTTTGACCGCTCTCTCGCACGTCTGGTTCTTCCGTAAATCGCCTGGGATTAGAAGGCAGCTGCGATCCTCGTTTTCAACTAATCCCTTTGTTTTCTCTGCATCTTCCTGCTCCTGCGGAAGGTAGACAATGGTGATATCGGCACCTTCCCTCGCCATCAACACCGCGACGGAACGGCCTATGCCTGAGCTTCTAGATGTCAGTAGAGAACCCAAAAGCAGGAACAAAAAATGGCCACTAACTCGCCCCCGGTAATTAGAACCTTCTTGTCTTTCAGCTTGTTTGAGCCTACGTACTCGACGAATCCGTGGCTCGACTCAAGTCTGGAAGATTCACTCGGTGGCGCCATGCCCTTCTCTAGACTATTGTCAACTAAGCATCTATCACAAGTATAGTTTCTTTATTGAGCCAAAAACTTACCCCGGTTTGCTCTGGGCCTGTTCTGACTCGGGGGCCTGGAATGACCCATCATCACCCATTTGCGACATTTTGGTATAGAGAGAAATATGCGGTAGTTTTCCGGCTCCAGAGCAAAGAAATAATTAAATAATTCGAATAAAAGGTTAGTGTACTTTAAATAAGGAAAACTGGATGTGACTGTGATTATTTACTATTTCATCAACAATGCATCATTTTATAGGCATATCTAGATTTGACCAGCACCGGGAACTAAGATGTGGACACAGAACTACTTTGAAGCGAAAAAAAAAGAGCTAGATTCCTTGAATCTAACGTCACCATTTACCTGGTCATTTGAGTGAACGCTCTGTAAAATGTGGGTCCCCACTAAACCGCCACAGTCGTGCAAAGCAAGCTTTCCGTCCTTCCTGTACAGGTTCTCATATTTGTCAATAAGAGGGAGTTACGCGCCATTTTGGTACAACAGCAAGTTTTTTATCGAAGCGTCACTGCGAGACAGCTACCCGAACCTACCGAACTTAGCCAGAACCAGGAACCCCAAGAACCAAGCCCTCAAGCCAAAAAAGACACCGTTCAGTTCACTATCCCTCCGCATCGGCAGGTAGCTCATAGGGTAGCTCATGGAATTGACTTTTTGGTTTCATTTGTGTCCAATCAACAGAATGCGCCCACGGCTAAAGATATAATGCAGAAAACCCATTGGTAGAGTGGCGTATTCGGCAGTATGCATACAATCAGCAAAAAATAAGATAGATACCCGCCGATTTTTTTGTAGCCGTCCAGTCAAAGTTTTGAAGGGGTCTTCGGCTCGTCGATCAAAGACTGACGTATGTCGCACTTGGCTTTACTCCAGTCAAGCAAGTTTTCTTGAACGCTAGCTACATGTGACTACTTTTGACCAGTGAGATAATTGACCTGTCAGAACTACGTCCCCGAAGTTTCAGGAGGCAACATATTTAGTTCCAAGGTTGGTAGTTGTTCTCCTCATAACCTATTTTACGAATATCATTTTAGTTGATTATACCTAGTGGGTCGCTTCCCAGATACGTTACCTAGGAGTGGCCCTAATTAGTTAACAAAAACGAAGGTGTCCCTATCGAATTTCCCCTGCTCCGCAACAGAATGCGTAAGACATAGAAAACAAGCGGAATACCAAAATGTCCTTTCAACCACACCTGGGCAGTACTCGTACGATGATGTAATATATTCATAGGTCACGTGCCTCTTTAGAGAAGCCTACGTCAACCTCGTTGATTAGTTTACAGAAACGGATTCCTGCATTACAATTTACCAGTAGAGTGGTCACTTTGACAGGATCGTAAAGTTTCTATATTAGGGTCCTTGAGACTCCATATACGTGAAGCCAATATGGCATCCAACACTCTCTTCCGATTATCACTCCCCGCAACAGCAACAACTTTCTCTGTCGGCTTCTTAGGTCTTGGTGCCTTTCACTTCCTTACGCCCGTTCAGATCTGTGGATTCTTCGGTTTGCCATGTCCTTCCTTTAAGCTCCCAACGCATGTTACTGTGATGGGAAAAGATTGCCACGATGAACAAGTAGACCCAGCGGCTCTTCCGTTCATCTATGCAAACGGAGGGCGGGAGCTGATGTTGAGCATTGCTTTCGGGATCATGGGGTTGCAGCACAACCGAGAAGGGGATGAGTGCTTTGATGTATGGGGTATCTGTACGTTTGCCTGCTTTGGAGTTAAGAGACTATTTGCTGATAGACTGCGGGGACAGGTAGCAGCGCAGATAGACGCGTATATCGTCTGGACGTACGGTGGAGTAAAGTATGGAGGGTGGAAAGGAAGGTGGATCATGCATTCCTTTGGAGGTATAGTTGTGGGACTTCTTGCTTGGAATCAGTGGTTTTATTGATGCTGCGCATCTAGTATCAATTCAATCAATGACAACAATATTTCGCACCTGAGTGGTATCTAGCATGGTGTCCCAGGACTGGAAAAGATTATGTGATCAATTGTAGAGATACCTACCTAGTTACCTACCTACCTAGGTAGGTATCCATGGATCCATGGATAGAGGTGGTGATTCCTAAGGGGCGGTCGTTTGTAGTGTTTGCATCCTTTGCAGGATCTACGCAACTCTGAAAGCTGATTTGTAGCTCATAACGAGCTTTCATGCAGTTTCCAACGGTTATTATAATAAACCTATGATAGACTCAGCTTTCGGCGTCGTTTTCACGCGAGGCCGGACACAGCCGCGTTAGTCAGCATAGCCACCGGGCCAGCCAGTCCTGATAAACAACACGTCGAACTTTATGCGTCGGCAGCTTCTCAGCCTTGCTCACTTAAACAGCTGAAGACGCTGAAATGTTGGCGCGGACTTTTCAATAACTCAACTCGCGGTTCCCGCTGTTAGTGCGCTGATCGCCTTCCTCGCCTACACATCACAGTACTTCTTTCTGCATTTTGAGTCTGTGCCACTCACAAGGGACGAAACTTGGAAAATCAATATCTTCGCCCTGTGCATCTGGATATGCTATTACCGAACCTGCTTTGTAGATCCCGGTCGACTTCCCAAGGCTGAAGAGCGACCGAAACCCAAAGAGCAAGAAGGTGACGCACACGGTGGTCGCCAGCGATGGTGCCTTAGATGCGAAGCTTACAAACCGCCTCGTGCTCACCACTGCAAGACTTGTAAAAGGTTCGATGGGGAATGTCTGATGTGGAGACTTTTGCTGATCTTCTTCCAGATGCATTCCCAAAATGGATCATCATTGCCCCTGGACCTCGAACTGCGTCTCGCATTTTACCCTCCCACATTTCATGCGGTTTTTGTTTTATGCAACTGTTGGAATGTTCTACCTGGAGACTCTTCTTTGGCAGCGTGCCTCATTTGTATGGAAGAACAGCCACATGCCAAGCGTAAGTAACTCGAATGCTTTACTGTTCATGCCGCTAATGTTGAATAGTATCTCGGCCCGACATTGGGGCAGCTCATCCACTTGTTTGTACTGCTTGTGGTAAATACCCTCACAGCTTTCGCTCTCTTTGTCCTCCTGCTTAGGAGTATATGGGCGATTGCATCTAACACAACCACCATTGAAACTTGGGAAATCGAGAGACATGCTACTCTTGTCCGCCGAGCCCGTGTGCTGGGCGGGTATCTTGAGGGTCCTGGGGGAATTCGCGTTCGCATAAAAAAGCAGGAATACCCCTACGACATTGGGATTTGGGCCAACATTAAGCAAAGTATGGGCGGGAGCGCGAATGTGAGTATGCCTGTTCGTGTTCCAGATGAAACATGTGCGCTAATATCTCTCCAGTTTATAAGCTGGTTCTGGCCTCTGGCCGCAACACCTGATCGTCGGTCTGGCTGGGAATTCGAGACCAATGACTTTGAGGGTGAGTGGTCGAGCCAGCATTCTGGCTTTTCGATTACTGATCATTCTTGTTAGATCCTGGCGTGTCATGGCCACCGCCAGACCCAGATCGAATCCCGATGCCGGCCAGTGCAAGGCCACCAAGCAATGTCAGCATGCCTACATACGCAACTATTCAGGACGAGATTGATGCCTTCAACCGTCGGAAACAGGAAGACATGAAGCGATTCCAGCAAAGCTCGGGTCTACAACGTCGCAAGCCATTTCACGATCGGTACAAGAAAGGCGACTACGCTCAAAGAGATAGCGAGGAGTCCGAATCTGACTCTGAGGGGTACTCGGACGAGGGAGAAGAGTCCTGGCGAAACGCCGAAGGAGAACGACTACGCGACTTCGGTGTGGATGAGGAAGCAGAATTCTATGATGAGGAAGACATCCCTCTTGGTGTTCTCATTGAGCGACGAAAGCAGCAGCAATCTGCTAACTAAATCCTTTCCAACGAAACCCATCTGAATCATTAGATCTTCTTCGCAATACCCCTCAGTCGCACATATCCCAGCCACTGGCTCCCATCTTCAACACGAGTAACCACGTCCTGGAGAACACCGCAAATCTGCTGCACTACGCCATCCCGCTTTTCCTCGGGTAGCACATCCAGGAACTGGGCTCCCATCAGTCTAACCCATCCCTCCAATCCACCCTTGGCGTCAGTGGTGAGCTTTGTTGGGCGGTACTCGAGCTCGACATTTTCAACCTTGAACCCGATCTCTTCAAGAGCATTTCTCATCCACGTATCAGATGGGAAGAACCAGGGGCTTGTCTCTCTGGCTTGTTCGACAGGGATGCCCTGCTGCACCAGAGCGTAAACAAGAGCCGTCTTAACCTCAGCAACGTTACCATGTCCGCCCATCTCAAACACATATGTACCACCCGGCTTCAGACAGCCGTAGATTGCGCGGAGTGTCGACATGCGCGTCGACTCGTCGCGTAAGATCCAGTGGAGAGCTGCGTTGGAGATTCTGTCTACTGTTAGAAGTCGAGTTCATCCATCGGACACCTTGTATTATAATTAATGACATACACTTTATCCCATGATCCATTCACAATGGAGGTTTCTTTCTCCAGGTACCGGCAATCCACGACACGGAAGCTAGCCTTAGAGCTTGCGTAGTCTTTGTTGGCAGACTCGATCATGGACGCAGACGAATCAATGCCCAAGACGGAGTCGATGGCGGGGAGGAAATTTGCTGTGAATTTCCCATCGCCGCAACCGACATCGAGGACCTTGTCTCTTGGCTTGGGGTCCAGAGAGGCGAGGAGTTTTCCGGTGAGTTTCGCGGAGTGCACGAAGGATGCAGATGCGGAGTATGCCTAGACTTCTTAGTTATGGAACAGGCACAGTATCGTGGGAATACGTACTTCGACTGACCAGTGGTCTTTAGGACCCTCGGTATTGGACGCCATGGTGTATTTGACGGATGACAGTATGGGGAAGTGGAGAAGTCGTCTTGGCGTGGAATGAGGGACGGGAAAAGGAGAGATGAGAGTTGATCAAACACGTGAATGTTTCAAAGGTTGTGTCCCTCTGAACTCTCGATTTGCTTGTCATTGGGAAGTTTGATGGCCTCTCTTATATGTTTTCTCTGTACAGGGGGTAGTTGTTCGATGTAGTAAAACGAGGCCGATATCGGACCGGAGATATACTTGACCCCATGCGCCCTATGGAAGTTCTGGAACATTTCTCTTTTGCAATAGCATAGAGATGATAGGATAGTAATATCCGAAACTGGGCAGCTTTGTATGGGCCGTAGGAGTTTCACTAACCAACCCGATTGAGACGCGGTATCCCACATGCTCACGGAGACAAGGCTCTATAATCACAAGCCAGGATAAAAGGCATCGCTGCCTTCTATAACCGTGTCCAGCCTATCCACACCTATGTACCTGGTATTGGTAGCGGATCCCATATTATCACTGGATCCCAGACTGCAAAATTAGGTACCTTTTGTATGGAGTTTCCATACAAAAGGTACTTAAACGTATATCGGTACAAAATCATTCTTCTCGACCGTTGAAAAGGTTTAGAGATATAACAAGACATATCTACGTTGCAAATGGTGTCCTGATTATACGCTACTGACTATAGTAAGAAAGTCCCAGTGTGTGATGTAAGAGTATCGTTATGCGATATACGTGGTTCTAGTTTTTAGTGCTCTTTCCACTTCGATATAATACAATTCAGGATTAATTTTAATAACAGATCGATTTAAATAGACTGATATTAGGCTTAGCCATTTTACTTTTCCTTTCGCTAGTTTAAGACTTAAGTTATGCTCATATCATGATTAAGTACCTTTTGTATGGAGTTGCCATACAAAAGATAACTAATTTGCAAATCTGCGATCCTTTGAAAATCTACACCAATGCCGGGTAGATGTTGGTGGGCTTAACACGATTACAACTCCCATCCTTTCTTCCTCGAATTGTTCAAATAATCAAAACCGAGACATGACGCAATGACGTCGGGCGCGGGTATACGGCAATGACGGGAAGATTCCTTGAGTTCCACTATTTTCACTGGACAAAATCCACACATCCCTACGAAATATATATTAGCAAGTGAGATCCAACAAGGTCCTTTGTATTGAAAAGCGCACCTCTTCTAACCAATCAAAAATCATGTCTTACCAAGGCCATTGCAATTGCGAGAGTATTCGCATCACTCTTCCCGAGCAGCCAGACAAGTCATGTGTTTGCCATTGGTATGGACTTGGACTGCAGTATACTCATTGTGGCAAATGAACTAAATTGAATTTTCAATGCAGCGATTGCTGCAAGAGATCTGGTGGTGGTGGTAAGTGCATTTGCTAAGTCTAGCAATCACGTTGGAATATGTATTTTGCTTACAGTCACTTAGCATTCTCTGTCAACTACTTCGTCAGTGAAGATGAAATGACTGTCGACGATCCGAATGCGACATTGAAGGTCTACGAAGACAAGAAGTCTGTAACTGGCAATGCTGTGAAGGTAAAGGAATGGCTCTTTTGTCAAGCTATATAGTGTTTATCGCATTCGAACGAAGGCTAACGTGACCTCCGAATAGCGACATTTCTGTTCGGCCTGCGGCAGGTAGGGATGATCTTAAAGCTGGTCCAGCTAGTATTAACAATAGCTGACATCCATCACAGCCCTGTGTACACCAAGTCACCCATAGCCGCTGGGAAGGTCTTCCTCAAGGCTTCCTTGTTCGATACCGTCACCCCTCCTGCAGCTGAGAGGTTCCTCACTAAGCAATACGAGTGGGTGAATCTTGAGCAATCAACGGTGAAGCTATGATCGAGTTGATATCTGGAGGAAATGTACACAAATAAGCCGAATGTATTTATGCGATGGTGTAATTGCTCAAAGCCTATTATTGAACAATTTTAAACACATCCATGGATGCGTAAAATGTTGTACCTCACGTTTATATCCTTTTCTATATAATATAGCATTAGTCTTAGTCGTATGATGTTCAGTAAAGTTAGGAGTAGATAACCTGAGCAAAATGCGGGGCCAACGTCGATCCGCAGATAACCTGTTTCGGCCCTTCACCCTTAAGACGGGAAAAAGCACACCACGCCATAGCCATGCTATTGTATCCGGGGTGATACCACTCGCGAAAACATGACAGAAAGCTCTGCTCAAGATTCTGGTCCTAGACAACCATCGGGTGTCATTTTGCGGAACGCCCGACCGCCCAACGACAACGACATGGATACCCGCGAAGCGCTCGAGCTCCAACAGACCCAAACACAGGAAGACAACGAGCTAAACTACTCAACGCCATCTGCGTCCTCCGGCGATGAATATCGCGTTGTAACGCGTCGCACCACATCGCATGCCGATGCGCAGCGGCGCCAACAAGCTCGAAAGGGGACATGGGGGAAGCTCACTCAGCTTTGGACGCATAATGTTACTCTAACGGTGCCACATAAGAGTAGTCGAGATTACTTTGGTGCGTATCGCGCCGACTATGGCTGACTTGCCGATCTGGGGAAATTCTAACTTGGGCCCGCAGCTTTGGAGAGAACATTCCTTGCGTATATCCGTACCTCCCTTGTTGTTGCGCAGCAAGGCGTGCTTATTGCGCAGCTGTTCCGTCTGCAGGCGGCGGAGGCGTTGGCGGACCGGCTTGGGTTTCGTCGGGTCGGTACACCCCTCTCGGTCGCATGTCACTGTGTGGCCATTCTTGTTGCTTTGGTTGGGGCGTATCGATTCTGGAGGCAGCAGAGTGCTATTGCTAGGGGTAGGATCTTTGCTGGAGGGTGGGAATTGAATTCTGTGGGGATATTACTGGGTTGTGTGAGTATACAACATGCAGATACTTGGCCTTGGAGATGTAACTGACACAAGCTAGATCACTCTAACGGTGTTGATTGTGTCTATTGCTATGGTGGTCGAGACTCCTACAGACACGTGGGGGATTTGTTCGACGAATATTGGGTGGGTGAATGAATGGTGGCACGGGCTATAGAAGATATAGGCGAGTTCGTATTCGCGCTGTCTTGGCGGGTCCAGCCATTCAAGCATCTTAGCTTGGTATAGTTAAAATAATTCTAATGATATCCGTCAATGTTGTTCTCTCGTAGTCGGAAGCCATGTTTCACTTGATAAGAACGGTTTTGCGACTAAGACGGAGACCAACTGCACAGCCCCCCTTAACACGATATTACATGCAGCTGTTGAGATATCAAACCCAATCAGATGACTATCGAATGTGACTCCACCTGTTGCGCCCGATACAAAACAGGACATTTAATCTGATGCTTCGGCCTTGGCATGTCTCGTATTCAACAATATATTATAACTCCCGGCCCCTGAAGACAAATCACACATACACTGACCTTGGGGGTTCATGTCAACACACCACCACTGACCTGAACAATTATCCTATCCAACATGTCAACCCTCAACGAGGCCCTATCAAAACAACACCGCCTATCCATCTGGCATGTCTACCACAAAGGCGACGAGCACATCACAATAACACCATTCATAAACCCGAAAAAGGAGTTCGGACTCAACAAGAAGAGTCACAAAAAACTCGCAGCTGAATACCCCCAAACCCCAGACCGAAACAACGAATCTAACAGTTATTTCGTGCACCATCCAACTCTGCTATTCCACAATGCGCCACGGACTCTCCGTCGCGGAAACAAGAAAACCGGAACACCGGTCTGTCTAATAAAATGCGGGGCATTTTGGCTGAACTGGAAAATCCAGTTCGGGGATAATCTGAAGGACGTTATTGATCCTAGAGGCGTGGTGAAATGGGAATGTCGGAGTAACCCGAATAACACAACGCTAAACGATGATCGTGCTTTGAAGGGGTATAAGGTCCGCACGTGGAGGGTGTGGGGGGAGAGTGGGAAAAGATACCACCGTCAGGTAAATGCGCAACGGAAGGAAAACAAGAATACGGAAGCCATGGATGGTGATCCTGTTGAGATGGAGAAAGTCACTGAAGATGGGAAACACGATTTGAGTTATTCACAAAAGCAAGACCCCAGCCCTCCTTCTTACTCTGCCGCACCACAGACGACTATACCACAACCAGCTGTCGCTGAAGAGGCAGTCCGTCTCAACTGGAGTTCTCCGTTTTCGTTGAATACTCGACGCTATAGCTTCGAATACGCCAATGTCAAGTTCTTCTGGAAAGGGACGAGAGATGTCCATCCGGATAAACAATGGACGAAGTGGCTTATGCCATTTAGTCACTTGAAGCTGATTGCCAGACTTCCTGGGATTGAAGGTGAAGATATCCTCGTTGGGCAATACACACCAAGCTTCGCGTGGCGGAAGTTTGGCGAGTTGTGGATTTTCGATTCTGTTGTAGCCAAGCTACTTGGTGAAGTCGGTTCTCCCACTTTGACTGGGCAAGGTGTAGTTGATGAAATGCGGGATATTCGGAAGACTCGATTGTATGAATTGATCATGGCGACGGCCATGTGTATGATAATTGGCGAGGCGCAGAAAAGGGAGATTCTCATAGCGTTGCTTGCGATGGCTGCGGAGGGGGGAAGTTCGAATTAGATAAACTACAATATTGAGTAATGGATAATTCTGCATGGAATCTATGTGAAAGATACGAATATATACTCAAGGTGTGTGATTTCTCACGGACTGCACCAGAGGCAATCCAATTCCTGGGCGTAACGAAATCTTTTCGGAGTGGCAGAATTGCATGATTCGATCAAGTTCATAACGCTCGTAGTTTATCATCTCAGCTAAATAATACATATATGTACATGATGTCTGTGCCATCCTTCCGCTGGTATCATACATGAGGCGCCATTAATACCAAAGATCCATAATGACCGCGGTGTTGCTTGGCTGTTCGAAAGATCTCATCAGTAAGAGACTCGCAGGTCCTCTTCAAGCAGACGCCATTTTCTAGCAACTTCTGCTCGTTCATCGGCGGTAGATGCCCGCATCTCTTCGATACCTTGTGCTATTCGCGACGCCATAATGGACAGCTCCTGAGTCCTTCCTAACGATTTTTGAAGCTTTCTGCGGAGTCCAACCAAAGGATATCCAATGAGTCCCCAGAGACCTAGATGAAGTTTAGTCAGAATGAGATGCGCATGGGAAAGAGCTGTTTTGTGACGCATTGCGTTATCATACCTGCTGGTGGCTTGAGGAACACACCGCCAATCCCTTTCCCAATTCCCTTGACCATTCCTTTCGCTCCTTGGTGCTTGGCACCATACCGGGGCTGCGTGACCAAGCCCGTGATACCGTAGTAAAATCCGTCGCGAAGTTCCTAAAGAAAGGTCAGTGGGGTTATTTCGATTGCCGAAGATGAGTAACGTACCGTTCCAGCTGCCTCGAGTCCACTGCGGAAACCGATAACCTTCGGCGTGTCTTTCACCATTCGGTCGTGGTACAACATCGGCGCATTGTGAAACCCTTTAGACAGGCTGAGAGCCAAGTCTGTCGGGAGCCAGAGTATGTTTTTCAAGAACTTCTTCGACATTCGACTGCCGTGCGTGCGTATTTCGTAGATAACACCGTGGCCTTTGGGTGACTCTATATAGCTTAACAGTTCTGACTGGTCCACCGGCTTGCCTTGTCTCTGGCCACAAGCGCTAGCTGGTAAATTATCGTTCATCTTGTTGTGTCTGACATTATCGTTCTCGTTGTCGTTTGTATCGAGGCTCATCTCATCATCATCGTTATTTGATCGGCCAAGTCCACGACACTCGGAAGGCCCATGATACTCTGCAGGCTCATGATACTGCTCCTCATCGCTGTCCACGACTGGATCTTGACTTCTGCGGGATCTCCTCCATGAAGACCTTGATGAGGGACGTGACCTTGATGAGGGACGTGACCTTGATGAGGGACGTGACCTTGATGAGGGATGACTGCTCTGACGAGTATGGCGTATTGCGCGACCCGTGGTGACAAAATCCGAAACGACTTCGTAAGGGACTTCGCCGATCCCGGTCACAAAGTTTGCAATGGCTCCCACTAGCACCTGGGCTCCTGCACTTATAGGGCCTGCAGGATTTCGATATGTGTCGTATTCAGATGCTCGGTTCCTATGTAGCTGGTTAGTGATGTGAAAGGATTTTGCGAAGGTCAACCTACAAAGCGACATTCTGTGGTTTTATAGCCCCCCATTTCAACCAGTACAGCGGCAGCAAAGGCACTAAGCCCAATAGAAGTATGCTTAATGTGCCACACAGCAGGGCGATTGGGACATATTGCGCACCGTAAAGTCTTCAAGTTGAGATGTCGATGAAAGCTTCGTACCCCATCCTTCACACCGGACTCTTTCCGCATCTTATTGGCAATTTCTTGTGCCTTATCTTGCGTCGAAGGCTTCAGCGCTGTCTGGATGGCATCGGTCAACTTCTCAACTGAGAGTTGCTTGTAAGGCACAGGCATCGGCCCGGCCCCGGCCATTCCGACGATTCCTCCCCAGAACTGTTGATCTCCAAAGAAGGGAACGATAATAGTCGGACGACCAAGAGCAAGCCCTGCGGCAGTGGTACCCGCACCACCATGATGAATCACGCATGATACGTGCTGGAACAACCAGTCATGCGGTACGTTGCCGATGATGAGGATATTATCTGGCACGTCGATACCGTCGACCCCGAGGTTTCCCCAGCCTTTTGAAATGATCGCACGCTGGCCGGCGTTCTTTATTGCTTCGAACACGATTTGGGTCAGTTTAACTTGATTTTCTACCACGATAGAGCCGAATCCAACGTAAAGCGGAGTGGGTCCTGCTTTGAGGAAATCGTCGATCTCTTTCGGGGGTTTGTAGTCCGACTTTGCAGGTAGCACACTAAACCCGCAAATATCGATGTGGTCAGCCCAATCACGAGGCTTTGGCAACAATGCCGGCGACCTGAGGCAAAGTGTAATTAGTAATATTCATTGGACGGTTCAAATCCGCCGACTTCGGGTTAACCCATACCACAGATACGAGAACGGAACACCGAGGCGCGCGGGCAAATTCGGCGCCGTGATCGAATCTAACGGATCGAGCGCGAGGCATTTCTTCCGCCACGAGTTGACAAGATCCCCTAGTCCCTCCCAAATCATCATATCCACAACGGTATAAGAAACGAGATTTGCGACTGTTGGTTTGCAATCCTGCTGGTGGAGAACGGCCAAAGGATGCGGGAACGACTGCGTAGCTGACCAGGGCATTCTAAGAATTTCCATTAGATGATCCCTCAGTTTCATGTTTAAGATATACTCACGTAAACATCATATGAAGCGGGATCCCCAGCCTCTGTGCGCAATGTATGTGGCCCAAGCTTGGCGGGTTAGCGATGATTGCATCAGCGACAAATGGCCTCCGACGATAGTCCACCGTGTCACTCCAAAGATCCTCCTTGATTTGGTGTAGGTCTGTACCGTCCCCTGTTTCGATACATGACTTCCAACACCCGTATATGATTTCCTTCATCTCGCGCCGACGTTTTTGGATGGCACCGCTGCGAATCGTGCTGAATGCGGGGAGTAAGGATGGGTTTTTGACCATGAATGCCATCAGTTCTTCGGGGTCACCACCGAGATTGAAGAACTCCAAGCCGCCGTCAAGTACGAACTCTCGGAAAGCGAGATGGGTTGCTAGTCGGACGCGGTGACCATATGCCTTCAGCTCTTTTCCCAGCGCAACGAACGGTTGGATATCGCCCCGAGATCCGATAACTTGGATGACGATGTTCAGTTTCAGTGGGAAGTCTCTGCCCTCATCCTTTGGTATTGGTTCGGGGGTCGGTTTGCCCTCCAGATCCGCTAGGTCTGGTGGCGTAGTCTTTGTTTGGACGCGATTCAATAGGCCTGCAAGATGCGGCATATGCTCATCGATCTTTATATCAAGCCGGCCATCGCCTAGGAAAGAGTCACTGTTAGCCACAGCTTGTAACTATTCACTTCAATCACGAACTCAAGATTTTGACACCGGTATTTCGTCGATCAGTATTGATGTGCTTCCGCTCGCCATTCGGGGAGAGCGAAAACACTGACCTCCTCAGGCCAGTCCTCCGATCGGATTGAGCCTTGGCGGCTGGATCTGCGCCTCCTAGTTGGTGATGCCGGCTCCATTCTTCGCGGGAGATCGGCCTGAAGTGGCCAACTAGAGTGACACAGGTCGGTATTAGCTGGAGGTGTTTCGTGTGTTTTCACGTAGTGGGATTTATAATGTGTGTATGGATAAAGAGCATAAAAAAGAATATGATCCCAAGGTTAGCTGTACTTCGATGATGTCAGAAGGTTCCAGTCTATTACCGCCCAGCTCGGATTCTGCCTGCAGTATAGTTTAATATACAACTAATATGGTATACCATTAAAATTTAAGTGCCTATGTATAATCCATATGACTTGTTGCTTTATAGGCATTATTCACAAATAGAAGAATTATCTAGCCAGTGAATCCGGTCAAAATTGACTAGATGTAGTTGTAGTGTAGTTGAGTGCAGTCCCGGCACCCCGGATCTTCCATTGTGGGTCCCGATCGGGATCAGCGACCTGGACCTCGGGATCCCCTATGTACACCTGGGCATATATTTAGTTACTGGTTACAATATGCACCTGGGAAAACCTCGAGGTATTTGCAACCGATGTACAATTCTGTTGCCATCTGTATAATTTTGTACTTCGTATCAGCAAGGATTGTTTGAAATCCATTTGCAGATTCGTAGATAACATATGTGGTTCCATCTATTCTTGCGCTTTGTCGCATAACATCTCGAGTGCCTCATCTGCAGTGATACGACTAGCTGGTAGGAATCGTAGTAATCCTTGAGCCGCTTTTAATAGAGGTTGAAGCTCTGGGTCGTGCACGCTTTCTGCAAACTTGTGTTCTAACTCGGAGGTTTCGTAGTCTTTGAGCGGAATTAGCGGAAACATCTTGGATTATTCGAGATCAGATTGCTTACCTTCTTTTATGGCCAAATCACGGCCAGTGCTGGTCTTCATTTCCTTCCATCGAGGCTCCCACTCGACTGGCAGTCTCTCCACAGAACCAATCATTTGGAAAACCAGATAATCGTCAGCGTCAAAATACCAAGATGGGTAGATCGTGAACACGAAAGCGTAAATCTAGATTTCGTCGCTCTATTAGTACTGTTGCTACAAGTAAATGAAAGAAAAGGAGCTTGGCATACCATGCAACCTGCTCGCCATAGATCAAGGCGATAATCAAAGTGGTCTGTGAAGATCGTCTCAGGTACCTGTAAATTACTCGGCTGGGCAAGCTTCTCGGGCTGCTCCCCTTCGAGAAAGCTCTCTCCAAGATCAAAAAGCCGAATATTTTCCTCGTCCTCGTCAATCCAGTCGACCCATTCTGCTGCCTTAACTAACTGGGTCGGCAACCCGTTGTCTAAAGGTGCTCCATCAATACGGGCAAGCGGCTCAATTTCCGGGAAGCCAAGAACGTCGAAGAACCCTTTATCGGGTGAGTTCAACAGCTTATTGCAGGTAAATGCGATGTTCCGGCCACTGATGTCTGATACGAGGTCAGTACAACTGCGCCAGGCTACAAGAACCCCGCCGGAAAAATTGCTCTTACCGCCATGGCACATCCCTGCACTATGAATAAACCTAACAGCTTCCAGGAGTTGTGTAGACATTCGAAGTATATCTTCCGGCTCGAGCTTGTCATTGCCCTCGCAATAATCTCTGAGGACAGTATCGACTGTAGGGCCAAGTAATTCGAGTACAAGACATTGATGGACTCCGTTAGGGCCATCGTGAGTAAACTCGTCAAGCAGCTGAATGATATATTTTGAAGAAAGGTTCCCTCCACATCGCTTCTGAAGAAGTCTCAGGTTTCTCAGCTCCCCTGACTCTGACGCATTTGCGGTCATGATCTTCAACGAGACCCACTGGTTTTGTCTAGAATCATATTAGCCGTGGCTTGGCGAAAATGGTTCGCTTAAGGACCTGACTCTCTGTCCTTTGCAAGCCACACAGTCGAAAACCCCCCAAATCCTAACTTATGGTGGATTTCATAGCGACCATTCTTGAAGGTATCTCCAAGGGTGACAGGGTGATATCCCCCAAGTTTGTATTCTGACAACTCCTCCTGAGTATAGAGAAGATTATGTTGGCGGAACTCAGATAACTGCATATTCGAATGCTGACAAATAGAATGAGGGGAGGGGGAGTGAGGGGAGTGAGGTGGGGAGAGGACGTTGGTTTGGAAGGTCATGTGCCCTGGAGGTTGCCTAGCCGGGGGCCTGCGGGAGGCGCCGAGATTTGTTGTCATACCGCCCCGGAGAACCTCCGAGATAAGCAGCCTCCTCCCGGGTTCTCTTGCGACATTGGAAACCGGAGTAATTGGCTATAACACGCCGTACGGGACTCAGCGGCACATCGGACAACCTCCCGAAATCGGGAATTGATACTAATTCAGGCCCCTCTCCCTCCGCTTTCCCCTCAATTCTTCGACTCCGTGGTATAATATGGCCCATTACCCATGATGCTAGCGACATTGAGAACCTTTCTAGAAGACTTTTCTTGGATATCCCTTCAAATGTTCTTCGAGGTCTTTTTAAAGTCTTTTTAGAGATCTTTTGGGTTTCTCCTTCCGCCTTAGTGCAAGATCGGTTTCTTGGAAACTCAAGCCACCCGCCAGATCCCGAACTAGCCGAATATTTTGCTCGCCGATGCTTCTGAAAGTGGTATTTGAGCCGGCTATAGAAGGAAAATGGTGTCCGAGGCGGAAAATGGTGCCCGACTCGTTGAGACTCCGGGGCCCCGCGAATTAGGCGACCTGAAAAGCTAGTAGAGATGTATGGTTTAGGGAGTTTTCCCCGCGTCCTCTTCCCCGCATCTTCCCCCAGCCGGTGGAGACAACGTCAAGCGTAAACTCTAAATATCACTTCACAGCACAATGTAAAGGAGTGAAACCGGTTGGGGTAATTGATATTCACCTGATTGGTGTACAGGTTGGACAAAAGAAAGTCCACATCCACACTGTTGCGCTTATATCTGAAAGATATCCTCAATTGTTGTTTTCTTAATTGGATACTAAGAGACTCTTAGAGAATACATACCTTATTATCTCAGTTTGCATATAGACCCTTCTACTTAGCTACCAGACTCCAAAAAAGACAATGGTGGAAAAAAAAGGAATCCCCAGAGACCGAACATCTTGAATCCGATATAAAACCAAAACCTTCTACTCTCATACTTCCCCCTGGATCAGAACGACAACCATATGGCGAAGCTGGTATTATCATCTCCCGATTTCTCTATACGCATCACGTACTAATCCACGATCACGCAAAACAGGCCTCAAGGGTATTCTCACGAACAAGTATGTCGCAGTATGTGCCGCCTTCGCAACATTGGGCGGAGCAATGTTCGGCTACGACCAAGGCGTCGTCTCCGTAACACTTACAATGGACCACTTCCTTGCGCGATTTCCTGAAGTTGGCCCCGATGCACCCGGTGCAGGATTCCAAAAGGGAATCCTCACTGCCATGATCGAGCTGGGCGCCTTCATTGGAGCAATGAACCAGGGATGGATTGCTGACAAGATCTCTCGCAAGTGGTCTATCATGGTTGCAGTTATAATCTTCCTGTTTGGTTCCGCCTACAGACTGGAGCCATGAGCTTCGACATGCTCGTTGGCGCCCGCTTTGTCGGGGGTATTGGTGTCGGCATGCTGGCTATGGTGGCACCGCTATATATCTCTGAGATCGCGCCGCCGGAGATTCGCGGTACTTTGCTTGTTCTGCAGGAGCTTTCCATTGTCACTGCTATCGTGATTGCCTTCTATATCACATATGCCACACGGTACATTCCTAATGAATGGTCGTGGCGCCTTCCTTTCCTCATTCAGGTGTGCCTTCCCCAGTGGCGTTGATTTGTTCTTTCCTAACCACGTGGATAGATGGTTCCTGCCATATTCCTTGGCATCGGTATGCCTTTCCTACCATATTCACCTCGATGGCTCGCTGGCCGAGGCCGAGATGAAGAAGCACTCCAAGTACTCTGCAAATTACGCGGTCTCGATACCACTGACGAGCGCGTGATCCGAGAATGGGTTGAGATTCGATCCGAGGTCGCCTATTGCAACGAAGTGAGCATTGTGAGACACCCAAATTGCCAGGATGGGAGTTACACCAGTCGTGCTATGCTGCATGTCTGGAGCTATCTGGACTGTTTCCGCAAAGGGTGTTGGAAGCGTACGCATGTCGGCATGGGGCTGATGTTTTTCCAACGTGAGTATTCTGCCTATTGTCGTGGAACCACCACCTTCCCCTCCTTTTCCTCCACGGAGACTAACTCGTATTCTCCTCACAGAATTCGGCGGTGTCAACGCCCTCATCTACTATTCACCCAGTCTATTCGAAGGAATGGGTCTAAACTACTCGATGCAACTTCACATGTCCGGCGTCATCAACATCTGCCAGATGGTAGCCTGTTTCTGGTCACTATGGGGAATGGATAAATTCGGTCGGAGACCTTTGCTCTTTGGCGGTGCTAGCTGCATGATCCTTGCGCATCTCATCATCGCCGTCTTAATGAGCCAATACCAATCCAGCTGGCCCGAGCATTCCACGGAGGGCTGGGTTTGCGTCGCCTTCTTGTGCTTCTTCATGCTGAGCTACGGAGCTTCTTGGGGTCCTGTCCCTTGGGCCCTCCCAGCTGAGATCTTCCCTTCCTCGCTACGTGCTAAGGGTATGGCGTTTTCCACAATGTCGGTTTGGCTTAACAACTTCATCATCGGACTTATTACCCCGCCGCTTGTGCAAAACACTGGGTATGGAACTTACGTGTTCTTCTGCGCATTCTGCGCCCTGTCATTTGCTTGGACGTGGTTCTTCGTTCCTGAGACTAACGGAAAGACTTTGGAGGAAATGGATGCTGTCTTTGGGGATAATTCTTCGAGTGTGGAGACGGAACAGCGCGCGAGGATTGAAGCTACAATCTGGGCCAATGCTGCAGCACGATCCGATGGACTCGAAGGCACTCAACAAATTACTTAGATGGGCATTTTGGTTTCGGGTTGTATCTTTGATACAATGGGTGTTTGACTTGTATCAGTTTTCTCTGTGGTGCCCATATAGATCATATAGACGTATGAGGTTGTGTGACCTCTCTGTTTCCTCCCCGGCTATAGTCTTTGCCCACTGTACATAGCCTTTTTTACTTTCGCATATATAAGAATTTCATAGACTCCCTGCGGCCAAAACCTCCAATTTCTTTTGTTCAAACCTCGACTCCGATCTTCTCCGACACCTTGGCGCCGACAGTGTCTTGTTGCCGAATTCAAACACCGAATGGCCCCGATTTCCTCTTGGTATACTGCAGCAACGCAAGTGGGGCTTCGGTATCATCGCCTTCTCAGTTTCCTTGGGCAAAAGGCACATTGAATGCCAGCAGTCGTTCAATCGCTCGCCTCTCATGAATGACACGGAGCCAATGGGGGGGGGGGTTTATTTCGGTCAATGACACGGGCTCGACTACTGATGGCAAATAGGGGTTTGGAGCCGCTATGCTTCAAACTCCTGCAGAACAGGGAATATTTCCATCACCTTATCGGAAGGTGTATAGTTCGCATTTCAGAATGGTCTCGATCACTGCTCGTATCGTGGCTTCGGTTCGTGCCGCTATCCGGTACTCCCCGCGCCCTAGTAATTTAAGTTGTAATTTAATTAATTTTACCGTTCATACTCCTTTGAATAGAACCTTGGAAACCTTGGAAAAGACCGGGACATCAGTTTCCTTAGTCAGCACACCACCTATTATAAGGCGGTGTGTTTCTGCCGGAAAGTGGGGTTATATTGAACTAAACGCATAGATATTTCGCCCTTCGGGGCATATGGTCAACTGAAAATATACAGAGAAGATTAGCATGGCCCCTGCACTAAGGATGACACGCATAATCAAAGAGAAGCTACTTTTTTTTTCTTCACGCAAGCTCAATTAAAATTTTAGAGTACGACCTTTTTATGTATATTGTATATTATTGTAATGCTTGCTGTGTACATGTGGCATGTCACGTGGCCATCGCCGTTCGACTCGCCATGTTGTCACAGCTACATTAATTATCAGACTTTCATCTGTGGTGGCCATATGTCGCCTTTCCTTATTGCCATTTGCTACTAATTTGTGAACACGGTCGGAGTAGCCAATCCGGTTCTTATAGCAATAAAACACACGTGGTGTGCGGGTGGTTAAAGCACGAATGACGTCATAGCCACAGGTGGTGAAGTGGGGCGTAAAAGGCAAAAGCGAAGGTGGGTTTTGCGATGCTCGCAAAACATCATGCCTTATTCCCCACCCGTATGTTTCAAGTCGGACAAATCATTCCCTCACGAAACGCGAAACGTAGATGCCGAGGCCAATTGAACGGAATCGTAAGTCCTGGTCACGCGGCGTTGGATCTCTGAAATTAATCTGGGGGTTATCTCATCTCTAGGTTGGTAAGTCAGTCGAATTATTCCCTGGTCATCGTCGGCCTTCCAAGCCGTACCATCGTACCATCTCCCTTTCCTTGTTGTAGGTTCGCTGTGGCCTTGAAATAAATTACTAATGCATTACTACTCAGTCAGACTTGCAGGTCACGGCGGGTCAAATGTTAGTCTTGCATATTTTGACTCTTACAAAGCTGTCAGTCACTAACCGGGCGACCATTCTGATATACCAAAAGGCGACGGAAGAAGGCCCAAATGCTCACCATGTCAACGCATTGCCCGTGACTGTCATTGGATCGAGGAAGCAGGCACAATAGCGGCAACGAGAGTTCCATCATACCAGTCGAGCCCTCTGGCCCCAAATACTCACCATGAAACCGAATATACCTCCACAGAACATCCTGGGTATACCTTGCAGGACCCACAAGTTGCCAAGTTATTCCGCCACTACATAGGAACCTTGGCAGCATGGTATGATCTTAATGACAGCAAACGCCATTTCAAGGATATCATTCCCGTCAGGGCTCGACATAATCCGCTATTGCTTAGTGCCATTCTAGCCTTTTCTGCTGCCAACCAACACCGCACCCTTGGGGAAGACGCGTATCTGGAGATCGCTGAATTCTACCACTATGATAGTGTGCGCAGATTGATTTCTCTTACTAAAAATATTGATAGCATTCCTCTTGGTGAAACACTTGCCGCCATTTGCCTTCTGCGATCTTATGAAATTATTGCACGTCAGTAGTTTGTCGATACTCCTAGCTCCAGATGCTAACAACTTAACACCTTTAGAGAACGTTAGCTCCCAGAGTCACTTGCAAGGATGCTATTCTCTGCTGGCGAGTCGGCAGATCCATCTCACAGCAGACCTACTCAGCGCAGGATACTGGAACTACCTACGAGAAGACATCACGGTGGCTCTAATAGAGCAACGTGGTCTAATGATCACGCTTTCCGATCAAAATTCCCCACCAGAACCAACAGAGGATGCGGACTTCGCTAACTACATCACATTCTTGCTCGGCAAGATTATCAACCGGTGTCTGTCTGTCGATTCAAGTGCATTGAGTCCCCTCGAATGGGAAGCTATGAAGGCTGATCTTGACAATTTCAAATCATCACTCCCGCCGTCGTTCGACACGATACAAACACCCGGCCTCGGGAGACAGAGTAGTTTCCCATCTATTTGGACACTACGAAGCTGGCATGGTGAGTATACTTGACCTACGCTCCATTCAGGGCTCTAACCTCATAAGTGTCGACTCTCCATTACTACCATACCGCCATGGGGATCCTGTGGCTGGCGCAGCCTGCGACTCAACCCCTGAAAGCTCTACAACGCATCGATGATATGGAATGTTTACGGCGGAAATTGGAATACCACGCGACTGAAATTTGCGCCCTGGCCATTTCAAGCGACTCGGCACCGGTCTGGGTTAATGCTTTTGGCCCAATTGCGTTTTGTGAGTCCTGTCGGACTCTTTTTTCCTGTTATTTAATCTGACGCATTTTGTGCATAGGTTGCGGTTGGATTCAAGATACCCAGAAGCGCGTGGAGATGGCAGAAGAGTTGGGAAAGTGGGGAAAGCTGACTGGATGGCCGGTTTCCAGTATATTAGATGCTCTTTGTCCGTCGGAGATGGTCCATTAGTCAACCACGCTGTTGTATTGACACACTCTATACGATAATAATAAAATGTCCTATCTGAAGCCTGACGACCCGTATCGTATTGATATCTACAAGGTCGACACATATTCCATTTCATTCCTCTCCTATTGACGACGTGCAGGTGAGCGGAAAGATGTAAGATTGCTGAGGGTAAAGAGAAAGAAAGAAATATGAAGAGCACATTTCGGTTCAAATTAGCCTACTCTTCCTTTTGGGTCTCTTGCAATGGCCTTTTTGATAGTGCAAGATCAGTTTAGGTGAGGATGGCCGGTGGTCACTTCCTCTTATAGCTCGGGTGACCTGCCCAAAGATATACAGCTAGTCATCTCAAACATAAATTGCACAGAACTGCTTCTCGCGCATACTGATACTGGGTGGTGTGACTGTCTAAGGCCTGCCCTTTCCTCCATTTGCCATGACCTCCAGGGCTGCCTCTTTATACATGCAGTCAATCAAAGTTATTCTATCTTGTGGCTTCGTAATCAATTACCAGTACGAGCAAGCTCCTCCAGCTTAAGGGTACTGGTTAAAGTCATAGGCATTTCCAAAGCCCCGGTTCAGATACCGCGAAAGTGCCGTCGACTTGCTCACCCAGTCCACGGGAACATCCAGGTCGGTCTGGCTCTCAATGACAGGTTTCAGATCGTCCGCAAATTCGAGTTTCATAGGGTTCCTATACCACGGCGCGAAGTGAACTATCGATGTTAGAGTGCTTTCGTGAAAACGACGAAGAGAGCACTTCAACTTACTCATCGCCAACATGACTCGGGGGGTCCTCGGTCTGATTCCCAACTCCAGCATGCCAAAGACGAAGGTCTCTAACGACCAGAGCCCCCTTTGGCACCACGGGTTGACATGGCGGGCGGTGTAGACGACGCTTCTCTAGCTCATCGGGCTTAATACGACCACTGGCACGCTCGCCGTGTTCCCCTTCTTGAACATGTAGACCCGTGTCACTGTGTGTTCCTAGCCACACCTCAGTAGAACCATTCTCCGGGGTCATGGTTATGAGGGGAACATTTATCACATGTGCAAAAGGATGAGACGGGTGAGCGAAGTCTGCGTCTGAATGGACAGGCTGGGACTTTGGAGGGTTCTCTGCCGTTGGAGGCATTGCAGTATTGCCCGAGCAGAACGTCCATTTTGGACGGGGTCCTAGTGCTGTTGAGGTGATTTGAGTGGCGATGGGGTCTTGACATCAGTTAGAAGCTGCGGACTGAAGGTGTAGTTGGGGCTTTGTGGACTAACTCATGAAAATACTGCGCTCGAAATACTCCCTTACTGGAGGAGCATCTTGTTGGATATTCCCCGGGTTGTAATTGAAAGGACTGTTTTCTTTCTTTGACTGAAGATAATAGGCATCTTCAACCATCCTTTTGTTGAGATGGTCGAGGCAGTCATGGGGGATAACATTTTCAATAACCACCAGCCCATCATGATGCAGGCTACGTATTGCGACCTCTAGATTCTGATCGGAAAGGCGTTCATGCTTGATCTCATCTCTCGATGGACGGATGGATGTCGGATGGCTCGTTAGTTTTCCGATTTGGGTCGATAGAGGCCGGATCTGACAGCGGCTCAACACCTTTGGAGCCTTGAAAAGGACTTGACTCATGGTAATTCGAGTGAGAACGATATAGTTTGAAGAGGACAGTTCGTAATTTGCGGTGTGGAACGGGAAGAATTGCCAATTATTTATGCGTCAGTTGCACGAGGTGTCACTTCAACGTGATAACCATTGCGGAGACTGAATGTTTGTCCCTATTCTCTTCTCTAGTCTTTCTCGCCTTTTGGTGGAGCCTTTCTCATCGGTATGTAACTACGCGGGGAGTCAGATATGCGGAGGCAATTGGATGAACCTATTATATTAGTTGGATTTACGAGGCACTAGTCATTTCCAAGGTTTCCTTGTCTTCGCAAATACTATTCGGTGAAACAGCCTCGCAAAAGCGTATGTTCGCTAAACGGCTCGCATTTGAATTGATTTCCCGGTCGCTTTTCGCCAAACCATTAAGCGAAAACGAAATCCACTCACCCCACGCCACGTCTACATCCAATCAAGTCGTTATCAAACAAAAGAAAAGAAGCGGCGCCAGGACACCCATTTAGACGATCCTCGACTATTTGAACGACACGCAGATCAAAAGCCTAACGTCATGGAGCATTAACCTGCTGCTGGAAACTGCATATCTCCACAATGATACACCAACCTCTTGTCCCAATTACTTGAAGATCTCTACACAAGGCTACACAGAAGGGATCTCTAAGAGAGCTAATGTACAGATATATAATAACGCGGCTAACAATGTCTGACTAGTCCCTTGCGATGTATCCCATTTGGCCTCATTTTGGAACCTTCACGGCCCACCTGGGGTAGGAAGTGGACTCGCGGGGACCGTCCGGCCTCCTGCCGAAAGCGCGTCTGTCTCAATCAAACCACGATCGACATTGAATCGATACTGCTGTGCCAATCGGGCAATGCAAGTTACTCAACAGGGACAGTGGAGACGGATGTTCCTCCACCGGAGGATGGAACGTGCAGAGAGAGCCCACTCCGCAAAACCCTGCTCGGTCATTCTGAGGCTTAACTGAACCTCAAAAGCTGGTGGCCTGAACCTCAACAGACGGCGGCAGAGAGATGCCTATCAGTGATATTTCCTCGACGCAGACCCTCTTTTTGCGACAATAGTTTGACCGCCGCCTCAATAGTTCCATGGAGGTCATAAGTAGAGATTACAACCACTCCACAGGTCTGCCAATCATTCAGCGTCACCTACAGGACCTGTCTTGTCCATTATCAGATAAAATAAGAATTCTGTGCAAGTTCAGTCAGGCAATGTTTGTAGATTATGTCTACTGTTGTATCTTCAGGGTATCACGTTGCTCGCCAGTAGTCTGCATGCATGTTCAAGATGACCTTCTTTGAGGAATCGACAGGTCAATCGGCCGTCTCACTAGCCCGGAATGTAGCTAACCATTGCGGATGATCTGCGATAGTCTGGTTCCAAGGATCATCGGAATCATAGAGAAGACGACGAGCCTCCGATTGAAACATTTCATCGGATGGAACAACCCCAAGGGCCATCTGCTGTTGGGCAAAATGGCTCAGATGCCGCGTGAGGACCTGTGTGTATGAATCCAAGGACAAATTATCTGTCTCAAATTCGCCTATTACGGACGTCATTTCCGGTCGTTCTTCATGGCGTTGACCATCATTCTCATGGCCACCTGTCTCATTGTTGAATGTTGCCCGCGAAAGCATCTGGGAAAGATGATCTTGGACTTGCGTGTTTGTAGCAGAGAAAGGCACCAGCGTGTGCGATTCGAGTTGAATCAAGTATGGAGGCACGCTATGGGTTACTTGCTCTGCGATCCACGGAGGAAAGCCATGGTCCCCTTTCCAGTCAGCCATCGTCAAGCCATTGCGGAAATGGAGAGCTAGGTGATCAGTTCGCTCGTCCCAGCTAGTAATCTGGGCATCACAAAAGCCACACCGGGATGTGAAATCAGTGAGACCGATCTTCCAGTCGTCGATTAACGGAATAGTGTCGACATTGTGGAAGCGACGAAGGTGCTGGACGAGGTGATCTTTTCGTTTAAAAGTGCGTGATTGACTTTTCATGCAAGTCCCATGCTTGTGTTCATCAAGGTGTTCACTGGAAGGATCCAGTTTGCTGCAATAAACGCAATGCATCCGGCCTGTTGATGGCAATATGACGGATCCTCCGAATGGTGCGCAGACCCAATTTTCCAAATTCAGGTGAAGCGATTTTTCGTGTCGTGCCCAGTCATACTTAGTCTTGAACTGATCACAGCAGAACGTGCAGCAGAATATACGCGGCTTTGTTGCGGCCGGCTTTCTTTTTGTTCTTCCATTGCCTTGCGATTTGCGCACTCGACTTGAGACTCGGCCGCTCGTTTCCTTTTGTGTTGAGCTGTGGCTTCCATATGATAGGCCCGACTTAACTGATTGTTGAGACGAAGCACTGGCAGAGCTTCCAGCGCTCGTTGTCGAAGCTGGACGAGAACGGGTCCGACGATGTGTTTCGAAAAGGTTGGTAATGCGGTGGGCAGAGATTGCAGATTCAGGGTCAAGGCATGTCCCATCTCCGTTCTCTAAATTGTTGGTATATGAGCTCTGAACTGCGTCCTTGATCGCAGATAAAGAAGCGGGCTCATCTTCAGGAGGGGACTGCTGCCACCGCGTCAGAGGATCGGCGGGGCTTGCATTTGTCGGAATGAAGACAGGGGTAATCTTGTCACCAATCCTTTCAAAGTTATATCTGCTTCTACGTCTTGGGAGAGCCCGGTTGAACTTGTTTCCCTGGTTTGGTCGGATTTCATTGAAGGGTAGCTGTTGGTTCTCCGACGGACTGTAGCCATTTTTCCCTGTTGCGGAAAATGGCACGTCGTTGGGAGGCCACATTCCACATGGTGCGTTGGCCCGGTCTAACGCAGAATAATGCGAAAATGGGCCACGAGATGTCCCGGACTGTTCATTCTCACCACCATAGGTTTCGACCCTTGTGGATAAATCAGCATTGTGATTAGATTGTCCTGTCCAGGCTAGACAGGTCTCATCGAGCTGTCCATTGACACTGGGCCCCGACATGTGAGGAGCGGCATAATCCACGGAATCCTCGTCAAAAGAAGGTAATTGAGCATCGCTGTCTGTGAAACAAAGATGATTGCATGTGACATTTATATTTTCCGGCACGGCGTCAGGAAATAATGTCAGCAGGTCAAGTTCGTGTGAAAAATCTGAAAATGCGAGTGAACCAGTCACTGTTTGGAATAAGTTAAGTGATTGAGAAAAAAAGTGACAGTACACATACACTCGGAAGGATCGTCAGGTGTGGACATCTTTCAACGACTTAAACTAAAAAACGGTATGCCGGATGGACGGCCAAGCACACCATATGTATATCGTCCGGTATTTCGACCGAATCGAATGAGAGGTTGATATGTGGTCACACACTCTATCTGCTCAAGGATAGTATCTCGAGTTTACTATACGCTTGATGGGTTTTCATGTAAGGAAGTTTTCCACATTGTCTGGCCGTGTAGGTGGCGAAGAGACGTCCTCATCTGCAGACACCGACTTCGTCCACGGGTGGACCCGTGGGCCTCAGAGATGCTGACTAATATCTGCCATGATGGACCTCGGGATCCACCTGGATATCCATGGGTGGTGGCCACACACCACTTAGGACTACATGAACATATTGCTGTCAAGCGTGTAAAGAGCCAAAAAGGGTGACAAGGGTACCCACATAACTGATGGGGGATTGCACCTAACAGGATAGAAGAATTGTTTGCCGAAGTCCCCCATTGTAAATATATATTGAAAAGTCAGCGAACCTTGCTTCAATCTTATCGTGAACGTAAAGATGCAATAATCTGCGGGCCCAGTATAGATAGTCACAGCGTCTTCTAAAGAAACCCTTTACGCACAGCTTCATGAATACCTCTGCGCCAAATCATTGCCATCTTCGCATAACCCACATCATTAGGATGAGTGCCATCCACCAGATCACTGATGCTCGGCCCGTCGAAACCATGCATATCCACAAAGATAATTTTTCTTCCTTCGGCTGCTTTCACTTTCGCCATTTCCCGAAATTGCTCATTGACGCGTCGGACTCGTGATTCAATCTTTCCATCCAAATTTGGAAGGAGAGTAGAAAGGACGACTGTTGAGCCAGAAGACGCCGTCCAGAGGTATTCAAGCATGTCATTCATTCGCTTACCAGCAGTGTCAATTTCAAAGCCCTGCACGCAATCATTTGAACCAGCGTTGACGGTGAAGATGTTTGGCAAAAACCGAGGAACTGATATTTTGGCTTTGTTGGTAATTTGGTCAATTCTGAATCCCCGCCATCCTTCATTGTCATCGTTCTCCATCGAACCGGATTTGCGAGATCCGACCATGTTCACATTGTAGCCATCAGATATGAGAATCTCTTGAAGAATTCTCCTATACCCGTTTCCGTCAGTAGACTCGGAGCCATAAGTGACAGAGCCGCCTAGTGGCATGATTCGTAGGTTTTGCTTGGCTCTATCTATTCGCGCAGTTCCTATATAATGTATGAGCATAGTAGAGACACCATAAGTAAAAGGTCCTATACCATGGTAACCTGCCAACTTAGTCTTGTTTTGGCCTGTCTGTGGAAGAAGCTTAATTTGACGGGCGATATTTGGCTGGATCCTACTGATTCCGTGCGTGAGGCAGTGACTGTTTAGTTTGCTGGATAGTTTGCGATTATGAAAATATGTCATAGTCGATAACTAACATATCTGAGCGCGTCACTGAGCGCACTTCGCAGCAACTTTGGAACTTCGGAAGAGACCAATGATCTTACATAAGCTTGCTGATTCCTTCCCCCCCCCCCCGGGGGGCGCCGTCCATCTCGGTGTCTTTATTTTATCCCGGAAGTCCCTACCTATGTAAATAGGTAATACCGGTTAACTTAGTTACTCACTAATTGTAGAAGAATGACCTCGGGAGGAATGCGGAGCAATCATTTCTACATTCGGCAAGAGGGAGTTGCGCAAGGGGGCGTCTCAAGGCAGACACCACGTCAGTAATTGAACCACTTGCTGGACCCATTCGGCGAAATCGTTAGGATGCCGAGTATAGAAACAGATGATAGGTACCTAGATAATTCCTTGTTTTGACCGAATATGTAGCTGAGAATGCTCGTGCGACCAACAGGCAAGGCGAAAGAGGTAGAAAGGGGTAGTTTTGCAGGATCATCTCAGCTCTCTATGGCCCGTATTTGCCTTACACTCTCCTTTTACTATCATTAGCCAACTATCTGGCATTTCTCGTTTTAGATTTACGAATAGAGAATTGCAAACAATATTGACAATAAAAATCATATTCTATCTCATAGAAATTCACAGATATCAAAATAATAATAAAAGATCATCTAGCATACAGAACCATCTAGTTCAAGAGCCACGCTCAAAGAATCAAAAAAGAAAATCGTAAGAACATCAAAATCAAGCCTCGGCCTTGGCGCCAACACTCTCATGGTGCGTAGCAACCTCAGCCTTCTTCTCACCAGCATCAATCTCAAGCTGCTCAGTGTAGTTGACGGAAGGAACCCAGCCAACCGAGTTCCAGGCACGAGGAACCTTAGAGTAAAGCTCATCGACCTGTTCAAGCGACAGGCCCTTGGTCTCATAAATGCAGGTGTAAACGAACACACCACAGATAAAGCAGAATCCACCCCAGATGAAGAACACCTTGGACTGGAGATTGGCGTTTCCAGCTCCGCTGTTCACCATGTACGGGGTGGCGTAGGCAATAGCCCAGTTGAGAAGCCAGTTGGTGGCGGTGGTGATGGAGAGACACTTGGCACGGGCCTTGAGAGGGAACAGTTCACCGGTCACGACCCACGCGACTGGACCCCAGGAACTGGCGAAGAAGAAGATGTAGATGCACACGAAGGCGATGAGGACTTTGTTCGAGACATCGTTGTTGATGGCTGTGCCAACGATGGCGACGATCAGTTGCGAGACGCACATGCCCACGGCACCGAACATGAGGAGAGGGCGACGACCCCATTTCTCCACCATGTAGAGACCGGGGAAGGTGGAGACGACGTTGATAATGTTGGTGATCAGGGTGATGATGAAGGAGTTTTGGATTCCAGAGTTCTGGAAGAAGGTTGTGCCGTAGTAGACTGTGGATTTGGTTAGTGAGATGTGTACAGGGTGGTTGAGGTAAGGGGCGACATACAGATGAAGTTGACACCAGCGAGCTGCTGCAGACCCTGGACGGCGCAGCCAGTTGCGAGACGCTTGCCGAGGGTTCCACGGACGATCTCGATGTAGGAAGCCTTTCCGAGGCTCATTTCGTAGTCATGGTTGGCCTGGATCTCGGCGAGCTCGGCGACGACGGCGGGGTCGTTCACTTCCATGCGACGGAGACGAGCGAGGGCCTTAGTGGCTTCTTCGTAGCGGTCTTGCTTGATCAAGAAGCGAGGGGTTTCGGGGAGGATCAGCATGCCGACAACGAGGATGATAGCCCAGGCGAATTGGACGGCGATGGGGATACGGTAGCAGCCGGTGTCGTCACGGTCCTTGGTGGAGTTGTTGACGATGGCAGCGAGGAGGAGACCGACTGTGATGGCGAGTTGGTATGCGCCGACGATTGTACCACGGATCCATTTGGGCGCAGTCTCAGATTGGTAGAGAGGGATTGTTGCGGACAGAAGACCGACACCCAGACCAGCGAAGAAACGACCGGCCACGAAGAGAGGAATAGATGTTGCGATGGTTTGGAGGATGACTCCGAAACAGAAGACGACACACTCCATAATCATACCCCATCGTCGACCGAACTTATCGGCAATAGGGGCGGCGCCAAGGGCACCAAAGAAAGTTCCAGCTGAGAGCAGAGAGACAATCATTGATGATTCCGAGGATGTGACATCGGGCCAGTTATCCTTATCGTTGATGTAGCCGGTTGAGAACATCTCACGCCATTTTTTCATAGCGAGGATACCGCTGATGGTACCTGTGTCATATCTAGATGACTGTTAGACCTGTCTTTGAGAATAGGAATATAGAACTTTAGAGTGGCACATACCCGAAGAGAACACCACCGAATGCAACAAACAATCCAATCATAATAGCCGGGGCAGCAGAGCCCACGGCATCATCTGGCCTCTTCAAAGCGAAGCCCATTGTGATTGTGATCAGAGAGAAGCAAGTTCAACCCAAGTAGGTGTATGTGGGTGAGTATAGAGAAGATATAGAGAAGATGTGGTAGAGAGGATGAGAGAGAAAAGGTTGAAAAAAGTAGAGAGAAATATACAAACAAAAAAGGAAAGAGAAAAACCTGGAGGCCAACTCCCTCTATTTGTACTTCCCCAGGTCCCCCAAATCCTCAACCACATGGCCCCGGCCTTGGGGAAAATTTGCAATCAACAAAACCCCGGCCGAAAACAGCGCGGGGCCCTGGAAGGTCAAAATCCGAATGTCCAATCCCAGAATAGCATTTTCCCCATTTCCACGGATTTCTGGATGTTTTGGGCCTGGGGATAGAGTTTAGACCGAGACTGGAGAAACTAATGCGGTCTAGCGGCTCAGCCCCCGGACTCTACCGGGCTGCTCATTGGCCCAATGTAAATTGGCTCGACGCCCGAACCGAGTTTTTTCTTGTTTGTCTTTTTCACGCTGAACCTTACCTCGCACAGGCTTTGCGACCTGCGTTGCATTTGCCGAGCACAGTGGGATCGGCGAAATTACACGCTGAGGATATGGAGTGTACGTAGTCTTGCATCAGATTGTGGCGATTTAAGCTATTCCAGTGTGTAAACACATGTCTTAGGAATACGGGACGGAAATAGCCCTTACATACCACATGACAGGCCGAAAACAGGGGGAACCGAATTGAGCCAATGCCGATCGGTATCGGCGTCCCGCATCGGGGAAAAGGCAACGGCTTCTCATTATTGTTTTCACATTATGTAATTTTACGGGATTTTAAATTGATTTGGTCGTCGATATGGTTATAGAGTGGATTATATTACATATTGAAATTACACAAATACAATAGTTGGAAGACTGAAATATTTTAAACGTTCGATTGAACTTCCCCCATCTTTTCCCCTCATCCCCAGACCCAAATTTTCCCCAGACCTGTACGGAGTAGGGGCCCGAGATTCTGAGAACCAATAATGGAAGATGTCATGATCTGTTCACTGTTCACCGGCGCCAGATTGGGAAGAGAAAAGTATGAAAAGATTAATTTCCCCGTTTCGTAGTTTCACTTTTCCGAGGACATGGAAGTGCCAAGATGGCCGGGGAAAGCCAAACAATTGGCTTGTCCGTGGATTGCGCCATTTTTCCCGAGTCGTCGATTGGACAGACTACCCGACGCTATCCCGACGTAACGACCCACGGGGAATTATCGGTGACACCCGAGGCCTGTGGGTAGCTGAACCGGTGTTGGGCTCGCGGGATAAGTACATCCCGGTCAGTGCCGGTGATTTTTGGTGAGATTTTTGGCGAGAAGTGGCGATTCGGGAGCTAAGGCGTTAGCTGTTGCCCATTCTACCTTGCCCCTATTTTTATGTATCACGAGGTTAGTGCTAGGAACAGATCACACGATCACATCAGAAACTAGGAGTACACCAATTTGGCAAGTTCTGGCGAAATGCTTGTCTATTATGTTTATGCTCGCTGAATAAAAGAAAAAAGACTGGCCGGACCAGCTACCAGCGCCAGATCAGGATGAAATACACAGTCAGCACTACTTGCACCACAAACTTGACGGAGTGGTACAGATCCCGGACGATGAGAGATACCGTCGAGCGGGGGCGGGTAGCCGAGGCGGGGCGCCATGCAGCCTTGTCCTTTGAGGTAACAGTCCCAAAATCCTCGTCTGTACCCCGATAAGCATCTTGCGGGGATTTAGTGCCGGGGTAGCGGGTGGAGGCTGCCATGCCATTGCGGCTGGCTAAACCACCCACCGATGAGAGAGTAGAGCTCGACGCACCGGAGGTGTGGTACTGGTGTGGGAGGGAACGCCGCTCGGAGAGGGGGAGAATGGCACCGGCTGGGGATGGTTCTGGGGTGTAGAGGACGCGGTAGATAGAACGGAGAAGGAGGATGGAGACGCTGAGGCCTAGGATGGTGAGGTAGTAGATGAAGATCCCCAATTGGTCTGGGAGGATGCAAAGGCGGTTTTGGATAGTAGGTGGTGATCCATCTTGGATGGCCTTGCCTGTCTTAGGGTCGATTGGATTCCACAGACTGGTAAGTACGAATCCCGGTTGGCGGACCCCCATCGCCCAGGAAAAACTTTTGACGGTTATTTCATTGGGCGAGCCGTTGAATTCCCGATGAGACACTTCACAGTAGTCATGGTCGTCGCCGGAATACACCTGGACTACGTTGGGTCCTGCCTTCGAAACCAGTTCCGTGGAAACGGTTTGGGTTAGGACATTCTGGTACTGATAGCCTCCAGCAATTCGTAGAGAATTAGGCTCGTCCTCTGCCAGTTCTTCGTCCAGTGAAGCCGGCGGGTAGCGTTCACGGAGAGGACCACAGGGGGTAGCTGGCTTGCGGTAGAGAGGGACGTGTGTGAGAATAATAGTGGGAAAGCCGACGCCTGCTGGCTGAGCCTTATGGTGGATGGCGGGCTCGACAGCGTCGACAACCCGATAATCGAATATATTATGCCCCCTCAGTCTGGTTCTGCAGCATTCGCAGCTCTTCGGTTTCCGCCTTCGCCTTGTGGATAGCCATTTTATCCAGGAAGTCATCCGCGTCTTTCCAGATCGGGCGGAGGGAACGGTTTTCATCGCTAGCTGTGGGAGAACTGCCCGTCAATGGATCGGGTTGGTCCATCGCGCTCAGCGAAGGAGTGTCCACCGAAACGAAAGTATGGTTCCCGATAACATCGACGCGGTTGGGGTTACCAAAGAAGGACTGGAATCGATCACGGACTGGTTCCTGGATGCCGTTACCGAACCCAAGATCATGATTGCCAGGTAGACTAGCAATCATTCTGCGCCCTCGTCCATCGACAGGTGGCTTCACTAATTTCACCCAAGGGTCCACGAAAATTTTAATAAATCGCCTATACTCCTTCTTCCAAAAGGAGTCTTTATACTTCTTCCACCGCGTTTCGGGGCTGCTACTTGTAGCCGTGGCCCATTCTCTGCCGCCGTCGAAAAGGTCGCCAAGAAACAGCACTGAGTCCGGTTCCAGGTGATCTTGTATCAAGGAGAATGACCGTCGCATGAATTGGTCTGTGTATTTGACCGTCAACGTCGACAGAGGCCATGGTCGACCGGGGTAAGTGTGGGGATCAACGAGTTGGGGGTCGGCGACAAAAGCAATATGATGTGGGGTGGCGCCTTGAGGCTAAAAACATTCAACTGTTAGCACCAGCTGACGCAAGTAGACTGAATGGCGGCAGGCGTGCCACCGTCAACTTACCCATTCCTCCCAGTTCTCCCAAAGGCATTTATTAATGCTGTCCTGGAATACCGTCCGTTCACCCCACCGAATCGAGAATACCCACAGCAAAATAATGGCATTGGATATCGTAAAGATACGTTTGACAAGATTGATAGCCGTTATCTTTATCCCCTCACTATCCCGATTTCTGCCAATTCCCCGGCTGAGACTCCCGGGAAGCCATTGTTTTGCCTGCGGGGGAATGCCGTCCCATACGCGACTGAGGATATTTGACGATCTCGACGACTTCGATTGGTTGAAGGAGGGAAGGGAAGAAGCGCCCGTGTTGCGTGGGTAGGCGAAGGTCATGTTTAACTTAGCTTAACAGCGAGGCTAAATTAAGTGACAGGGTGGCTCGACCCCGGACAAAACGGGGCTGATGTTCAAAGAAAGGAACGACTGGTCATGCTCTGGGCATATGACTAAAATCAACCAAAAAGAATGAATGGCGAAGGATCAAAAAGGAAAAAGAAAAAGTTCATGACATGGTGTTCAAGTTGAAGACAGGGGGATTTGCAGAACTGGCAATTGTTTTAAGCTTCGGGTCGAGATGTGTCGATCGCCAGGCATGGGCGGTCACGTGTGCACCCTTAAATAGAATATTGTCTACAAGATGTGTGCCTAGGTAAATGTCTACATTTCCAAGGCTGATTCGGAGGTTTGGTCTTGAATTAGAGATAAATAGGAGTACATAATACCATCGAAAGGATACAGCGGGTCAGCGGGTCTATGTCCGCAGATAGGACGATATTGCTTCGCCATGCATTTCCCAAAAACTGGTAGGCCCAAAAGAGACTACCACTTCTAAAACCAGACAATTATTATGGAAATGAGTAGGGCGGGTCTCTACAAACCAGCCCGGGCAAAGAGGTGAAGATAAAAGATAGGGTATCTGGATAGAAAAGAACCGTAGGGTTGAGATTTTTGGCGTCATGGTACCAAACGAGACACGAATGTGCGTTGAAGGTCACCACGTGAGGAGTTAAGTTCACTTTTTGGGGCAACACTGGCCTCCGCGGGCGCAGTTCGGGTCACACTCCAGAAGGCATGCTTGAGGGTCACCTTCCCGAACACTAGCAGCACGACTGGGAACGTGCTCATCGGTGTCCCGAGATGATCCTTGCCCATTGTCTTCGACATCACTTTCTGGAGCGAACTCGGGTTGGATAGTGGAAGAGTGAATGCCGTAGGCATGGAGACAGCGTCTCACTTGTCTGGCCAGACGCATGTACCTTTCTGACCCTTCGCCCTTGATCTCGGTGTCAACTTGGAGATGGATCGATGCCACAATCTTGGTGTCACTGAGTTGCCAAACGTGCAGGTGGTGTGAACCAATGACACCGGGAAGGCGCTCGATGTCCTCCTTGATATGATCGATGCTCATACCAGGGGGCACGGCCTGAAGAAGGATACGCGAGGCGGCTTTGCAAAGCGGAATGGCAGACGCAAGAATAATGAATGTGATGACAAGGGAAATGCCCGGGTCGACGTAAAAGCGCCATTCGTAGTCCGTCAACCAGATAACAAGCGCAGAAACGATCACACCAATGTTTCCGAGGGCGTCTCCCATAACATGGAGGAAGACACCCCGCATGTTGAGGTCGTGACTGTGACCCTTCTTATGGTCCTTCGGCTTGGGTTGAGCATGGTTGTGAGATTTGTGAACATCTTCATCGCGGTGGTCGTGGACTTTAGTCGGAGCTCCCTCCTCGTCGGTATAGTTGGTAGTTCGATCGCGGTGACTCAGAAGGCCTGAGCGCTCAGATGGAATCTCATCCTCGTCATGACCATTCTCCGAGTCCGACGATTGTTCATTACGGTATTGGCTGGCCGCGATAATCCCTTGTCTCAGTCTCTCAGGAAGCACGGGAATATCTTCCGGGCTCACGAATCCGCGTCCGTTCGAAGTGCTGTATCTCCCTGGGCCCCGGGTCTGGGTATCGCGGCGTTTTCGGGATGGGTCCGTGGGAGAGTTGGTGAGGGAGTTTCGGGGCAAGCTTGCGGGTCGGCCATAGCCAGCAGTAGCCCCCGCCACGCTCTCGCTCTGATCGGCGATCGGTGTGGGCTCGTGATCATGCTCACCAGCCTCAATGTCATGGTCGTGCCCTTCGTGATCGTGACCGTCGCCGTGGTCGTGGCCGCCGCCGGGCCCGTGGGAGTGATCATGGAATAGCGCCAACCCAATGATATTGGACGCCAGGCCAAAGCAGCCAACAATGCAAACAAATCGGGGGTTTTGCACCTCCTGGGGTTCAAACAATCGCTGCGTCGCCTCCAAGAAAATTGACATACACAGAGCGACCAGGAACACGCCATTGACCAAAGCACCAAGTGTCTCCGCTCGTTGCCACTGTATAGAGAAATCCAATTGTCAGATTGTCCTTCGGCACTGGTGTTGACCATCAACTTACGCCATAGGTGTAGGTGTTGGAGGAGGTCTCTCGGTTCGCAACCTTCACAGCCCATAATCCGACACACAATGATAAGACATCATTCAACTATTCTGGTTAGTCTCAGCCGAACCGGAAGATCGTAGATGGTAGCGTACCATATGGAAAGAATCGGCAACAAGGGCAAGGGAGTGGACGGCATAACCTAGGAAACCATTTGTCAGAACCCCGTCGCATGCGATCAAACTGCCAAAATACGAACCAGTGATTAATTCAAGCAAGAAAAACGCTGTGTCGATGACCAGCAGGATCAAGATCCTGTTCGTTTTGGACAGCCCCATGATGGTGGCTTGTTGCGGCGCGCTCAGTCAGAGCTCCACAGAATAAAAGGTGTAGGTTGCTAATAAGCTGTAGGATAGAGAGAATCTGTAAAGGAAATGGGAAAGGAAAGGGAATGACCGAGATATGGAGGGGCTGAAAGGATGAAAAATAAACCGATCAAGGCGACTGACGGCAGTGGAGCTAAAACGGCCAGGGCGGAAACACCTCCGGTCTGGTCCGTGGTGGCGACACTTCTTTCAACTACCTTTTTTTTCTTTGCGCTTTCAATTTCGAGGCAACATGAGTCAGTATGTCTCAAAGAGATTTGCTTTGATCTCAAGCAAATTTTGCTTGGTTTTGTATCTCCACAACTTGTTCCCAAAGAGCTACCGGGGCCCACCTCCCGAGCACTTGATCGGTCTAGCCCTACAGGAAATCTCCCATTGGACCGGAGCTTCATTATTTCACCGTTGCAGCTTGCCAACCAATCCTAAGTCAATCTCTACCTATCCTCAGATCCTGATATACACTGCTACTCCAAGCAAATGGGAATCTAAGTCATATGCCCATATCCTTTGAGCTCTGTGAAAGGACATAGCCGTATGGATATCTGCATGGAGTAGCACACCGGAAATTATTATGAAACCAACTAGTTTCTGTGGGACTGGTCACTACAGTTGCACTACGGATGTTATAGGTATACCTTGACTCTCTATGCTCTTGATAATACCCACTTATGCGGCTAACTCCTAGTAAGGTACCACTTCATACTCGTTCGGCCCCCATTCTAACCTGAACAAACCTGGTTAAAACGAATACCCGGTTATAACGAATGGATACGGACCCGTCAATTAATCCGCCGTACTAAATTCGCTATCCCTCCTTAGTAAATTTCTCCTATACAAAATGTGTTATCACGGAGCTGAGTTAACGCTTTTGACCAATTACAATGCCATACTGGTCAATCCCCACTTCTTAGAAGCTCGGTCCATCTCTCAAGAGGGCCACTCTCCGAGAGGAGCGGCAATTCTCTCGGATTGAAATTTTGCCAATTATGATGCTTCTATAGAAATATGACGCCGCTATAGGTGACGAAGCTATTTGTACAGAAAACAAATTATACGAGAGTCTTTGGGGGTCTAAATTTGTATGTAAACCGGATGTATATATGTGGTATACGGCACTTCGATTTTATGGAAATCTCGATTTAACCGTGTCTCATTCATTTGGTCATAAAGGAGGATTTATTGTACTCACTTCGCCAAGCTCTTAGGAAACCGGCACCGGATGTCGCACAACTCAAAAGCCCTAACTCGCAGTTTTCTTTTCCTTTTTTTTTTCCCTATAGCCTAGAACATTTAGCGCTCCTTCATCGGCATACACGTTCCGTATGCAATATGAAACTTAAAATAGTGGACCCGATGAAGCAATATCAAAGGCAAGTGTCTCTATGTTGTATTCACATATCCGGAATAACGTCGGTCTAGTTGTACATTGTCGCCGGCTGTGTTTGCCCCAGCATTATGTCTATAAAAGTAAAATTCTCCCACAGTGACTATGTAATGTAGGAGCGAGCAATATACACTGCCACGTGATGAAGTATGTCTTCTAAAGTTTCATGTTTCTGTCGCTAAACTAGTCACTACCATTTGACGCCGTTGGTAAACTATGTGGGCTGCCAGATTCACTACGCGGAAGACAGCGCTAATCCCCACCTATAGCAGCCTTCTATGTGGAAAGGTTAGTGTATGTTGTAGTTATTTCTCCGAGTCCGTATTCCACTTTCTACACCACGCTAGTTCATCCGCGTAAGTCGCCTAGGAAATATGTCAACGCCCATTGGCATTTTACACATGTGGACACCCATTGGGCTGGAAAGGAATATAAAATAGGTATTGGACGGTTTACATCCACTGGATGACAAGATATATAGTGCTCCTAGCTATTGCGACATAAAGAACGTATGGGTAAAACGGTGGCATCCATATCAAACAAGGCAAAAAAAATAATCTGTATTACCCTCAGAGTACTTTTATATACTGAGAAAAAGGTAAATATAGGTCAAATGTGACGACGGCCAATGGGATTAAAAATACGTCGAAAGAGTGGGTCCCAGATCGCTTCCGCTCATAAAGCATATTTTGGCCGAATCACACAACAGCTGGCCGGCTGGCCCAATGGCAAGGCGCTTGACTACGAATCAAGAGATTGCAGGTTCGATCCCTGCGTCGGTCACTTTTTTGCTGATGCAGCATCATTCTTTTGGTCTAAAAGTGGCCATCGATGGTGATTATTGTAGTGCGAGCAATTTTTGTCAGGGGGCGGGGGGGGGGTGCGGGATTATGGGACATGAGCTGCCTTGGATCTTGTTGCATATCCCACACCAGCAATAGATTATAAAAGACATAGGAAAAATATGTTTCTACGTATGAGTACACGGAGAGAGAGAGAGAGTATCAAGCATTTTGCAATGTCAACATCCAACTATAAGTATGATAACAAAATTTACTATGCACTGTATCATTAAGAACCATAAAGGGTTAGTTTACATGAGCGATATGAATTGGGCTAGCCATACTATCTGTAGGGAGGATTATCCGGAATGAAAATAAACTTCTTGGTCCCTGACATGGACAAGCCAAGATCTGCGCAGGTACCCGTGGAGGCTTAGATGGCGTCGGCATTCAAAGGCTTAATTAACTATACATATGGGACAGTGCCCGCAATTGGTCACCATTCTCAATTACTCCAACGGTTCACTGGAGACACGCGATACGAAATATATGACAGAATCTCCTTGTTTAAATCTAACGGACAATGCAGCTTCAGTCTATCTACATTTGATAACACCTGCCATCTATCTAAACTAGCTTCTTCCGAACCTCCAGAATTCTCTGGGTCGCAGCAGAAAAGGCATCGTGGTCCAACGACCCATCCTCCAATGCAGCAAGCAGAGCATTGTATATATCTTCTCCCTGCGTGACATCCCTCTTAGATGCAAGCAAGATATCAATACCAGCCTGCGCAGCTAACAACCCACGAGCAGCCTGATCGCCGAACGCCTCTAGCGCCCCCGCCTCAACAGCATCAGTGATAGTGACACCCTTGAAGCCAAGTCTACCCCGCAACTCATCTTGGATGATAGTCTTGCTCAGCCCGGACGGGTAGGTCGGGTCCAAAGCAGGATAGACAGCCCACGAAGTCATGACCATGTCTACACCAGCCGCGATCGCCTGGGTATACGGTGCCATATCGACCTTGCGCAGCTCTTCGATGGTCAAGTCAATGGTGACTGGCTGCAAATCCGTATTCTCGCCTGCACCTGCTGCACCAAGGCCAGGGAAGTGCTTAGCGGCAGCGACCACACCGGCCGACTGCTGCGAGCTGATAAATGCCGACCCGCATGTTCCAACGACGCGGGAAGAGTTGCTGAAGGAGCGCTCGGAGGCATCGGCGAAGTCTCCGGCCTCGCGATAAACATCCAACACAGGTGCTAGATTAACGTTGTTCTTGTATGTCGCTAGGGTGCTCGCAGCATCTTTGCCCATTTGTGTCGCTGCCGCTTCAGGATTGGCGGCTTGGCCGATTTGCTTCGCGCTCTCTACTGGTCCGCCGGGCAATCGGCGCACTTTGCCACCTTCTTGGTCTGTCATGATGAATAAAGGACTGCCTGAATAGTACGGGCTCTGCTTGTAGGTGTTCTGGAAGTCGTCGATTGTGGTTGTGAGGTTGTCGCCGACATTTTCGCCGAAGATTATGATACCGCCGACTTTTCCTTCGGCGATTAGGTCTAGGAGGTGGGCTGGTGGCTCGAGGCCGGGGTAAGAGTATATGACATGGTGTCCAATTTGAGCCTGAAGATCGCTAGGGGAAGCAGCCGAAGCTGAAGGCGCGAGAGCGAGGAAGAAAGGAAGTAGAAGTTGTGTAGAGAACTTCATTTTGATTGTAGGGTGTTTGAGCTGTCCAACTCGTGACTATCATTGGCTATATAGAACTACTCGGGGTTTATGTACACTTTGGGAAACTCCAATTTTGTTCGGATGTTACATTGATTAGATTGATCGTCGTTGAAGATTCCTAAAAGGGACACCTTGTATACGAGGTTACTATCTAAGGGACGATGTGTTTGGCACGATTGCAACGGTCCTGGGCATTTTTGACATTTAAATTGTTTATCTCTAATATATATATTCAAAGGAGAATAGGTAATTCCGTTCTCTTTTCCTGGCATATTACTAGTAGCTTACTTTTACTAGGGCTTAGAATAATACAGAGCGGTGGAGTGACACCGACTCGGCGATAGGGAAGTAGACTCATCATAGGTATAGTAGAGTAGGTACGAACTTCACCTCGATCACGTTCCTGCATGCCATGCGCAAAAACTGACGAGATTCTACTCCTGACGATACAAGGTGTTTATGGAGATGCGATGGGTACACATTAACCTTTTGGCTTAGGATCGTAGATATCCACGACAAGTTTTTAGCGAGGGAAACCTGCCGATAGCGATATATATATAGACACAAGGATAGTGAACGGTGGTAAAAGCTAGCTGAAAATAGGAAGGTCTTTGAGCCTACACCGCGCTGTTATTGAAATATATTCGCTACACAAGACTGAACTAGGTACTGTTGAATGTCTGGGGCAACCAATGGGTGACAGGACAAGATAGTCAGCTAGCTCTCTCTCTCCCTCTCTCTGTTCCTTTCTCGTTTGTCTCTCTCCGAGGGCTCCGCTCGGAATGCAACACAGTCTTTCTCCATGGACATTCCTCCTTGCGTAGCCTTTGATCAGGTACCCGATATTTCTCACCACCGGGCCTGATCATCCTCTTACACCGAAGGCCATCCGCTCGAGAAATCAATGGCGTTCCATCCAAACAGTTTCTGGCCGTCGGCGTAGCCAATGGTCGTATCAACGTAGTGGTAGTAAAGCACAGGGCCAAGGTTCGGGTCGGTGTAGACACCCCTATGATGGTTAGTAGATATAATGCGAAGTAGATAGACGCCACATACTGTCCACCAGGTCCATAGACATTATCATGGCTTTCAAGGACGACGGTGCCGCCGCCCTCGGTGCATGCAACACCGTCCGCATCAACCTGCATCATTAGCCAAGCGTCTTACATATTGCATAACTAGAAGAGAAAAAGGATAACTCACAAAGCCCCCAGTCGGAGTGCTTGACCGACAAACTTTGATCCTGTACTCTTCCCCTGCCGCGGGCATACTCTGATCATACTTGCAGCAGCTCCCCCATGAGTAAAACAAGTAGTAATAGTCCCCGTGTTTGTACAGGAAAGCTCCCTCAACTGCGTGCGTACCAGCCGGATCAAACGCGACATTAACTGGTGTCGATGTCGAAGACGTGGCATCCGCATTCAGTGTGACTTGGAAAATGTCCTGCCAGAATGATCCAAATGTCATGTAGTTGGTGGAGCCGTCTACCAGGAGGTTGCCATCGATGGCGTTGTATTGGTCGCCCGTTGTGGATTCAACTCCAATTGAGCCCTTATCAGTCCAAGTACCCTCTTCCATGGTTTCGGAAGTCGCAAGGCCAATGGCAGAGATTTGAGTTTCGAAGGTCGATACGGAGTAGTAAAGGTGGTAAAGGTTACCCACCTTTTGCACATTGGGGGCCTAAGAGTTGTTAGCGGTCTAATACTAAATAGGGAGCGCGGAAGATAAATAATGGTGGTGCATTTCAACATGGCTCACAGTATGATACCAGCAAACAGGAGGGGAAGCTAAATGAAAGAAAGAAAAACGTACCCAAGCATCATCGCTCCCGGAATTGTCAATCGAGGATCCGCTAGGCAACACAGTTCCAAGAGCTGTCCAGGGACCCTCAATGGACGAAGCAGAAGCAATGGAAATGCCACCGCCCGTGGAGAAGCGATAGTACGTTCCGTCGTCGTTCTGGATCAAAGCAGGATCATGGATGTTGCAGGCACCTGAGCAAGCTCCGGGATTCGCGTAACCATAAACGGCCGCAGCCTGAAGCAGGGCCAATGTAAGGGAATATTGGAGATTCATGTTTAGCAGAAATCGATAGAGGAGTAACTTGATGAATAGGATTTCCTACGAGATATATTGTACTATATATAGGGAGACTCAGGTTCCTGCATCTACCTCCGTGTGTACGTATGTCCCGCCAGCCTACGTGAATGATATCCTTTACCCCACCGGAGACCAACAATAAAGTCAACCATCATGATTCTCCATTAGTATGTTCCACGTACTCTCCACTGGAAAGTTCCCAAATGAGAGAGAGATGAGCCGATATGACCAATCTAGAACACAGACAGGAGGGTAAGTGCATCTTGGTGTGTACTCTGTTTGGCACGTAGCCCCACTCGTCCAGGAGTTTTGCCCATCATGGCAATCGGATATGTACTCTGGTTGTGGGGAAGCTTGATGATCCTCTTCGCTTCGAGAAATTACCCGAGTGGATTCGTCAACTCGGGATCCGGATTCCTTAGCGCCAGGCTAATTTCCTCGCGCATCGGACGAGTTCCACCAATGGTAGGGATAATTAGACCAATCGAGGATCGAGAGACGAGGTCGGGGGCGGGGGCGCCACAGTTGAAACTATTAAGCGAAGAACTATTCGGTAATCCAACGACGCCAACCGAGCTGGCAACCTTCATCAATAACAGGCCAGCCATTTTGGGACAGCGCCTCGCTCTAGGTGAGACACGCATCAACCCCTTCACCCCTTGCACTCGAATCTCAAACACAGGCGCACACGTGGGGACCAGCCCCGGGCTCGAATTAAAGTCCTCCCGCCGGTGAAACAAATGCCGCGTAGTCATAGCTATTGTGATTGTTGCTATAATTAACTGGCGTTGTATGTTGTAGTCGGTGGAGCGGATACAGACTAAAGCGGGACCGGAGCCTTGTGGGGCCAGCACATTGGACGGCTGATGCTGGTGCGACAGGGGCAACAGTGGCTGAAACGAGATACGTCTGACCTTGGCGAAGGCTTTCCGGTGCTTGGCCGTCCTTATAAGGCGATTTCCCGACGTTCAACTTAATCAACTCCAAACTACGAATGATTCCGTGCAATCTTCTCGGTGTTTCAACCTGAGTAGTAGACTTCCTCATCTCACGACCGTGGCGCAGGAATTGCGACAGATGTGATTGAAGCTACTGGCAGATCGAACACGGTGAGGAACAACGCGGCCAAGCCGGAATAACGTAGACAGCTCCGGGTATTGATAGCAGTGATCCAAGGCACCAGAAACAGTAGTTCACGTCTTATTAGAATGCCCACTCTTAAGCTCCAGAAATAGCACCGGAGGAAATTGAATGGCAAAAGCCATGAGGTCCCATGATTATATATATTGCATCCTGACTATGAGGGACATATGTGTGCTTGAACCCAGCTCAACAGCATGATACTTATTATGTTGGGGCTATACAATCCCAATGAAAGAACAAACCAAAACAAAACAAAACAAAGTCAAATAATCAATGACTGTGGTGTCCCTCAATCAAATCCTTCGCAGCAACCTTTCTGCACTCCTCCATCACCCTCAATTGCTCAGCGACCTCGCCTAGTCTACTAATGACTTCCTTATTCCCGCGCGTAAAAGTAAATATTACGTAGGGGATGCCGACATCATCGCAGAACTCCTTGACATACTTCTGTGCCCGGCGTAGGTTATGTCTCGGGAGGCGAGGGAACAAATGGTGCACGACTTGGAAATTGAGACCTCCATGCATAAAGTCCAACCAAGGCGGGCAATCGACGTCCATCGTAGTCCGCACCATCTTCTGAGCAAAGGACTCTTGGACACCCCCATCGACGCTCGACATGGCAAAGTGACTGAGCGTGAGTTGGACATGCAATGGAGCGGTGACCATATGTGAGATAAACAGGAACGTGATGCGGGATGACCATGTCGGGATCGAGAGGTAAAGCGTTCTGTAGCCGTACCAGTACCAGAAAAAGACCTGGCCGGTCATTTCAAGGTAGCGGTGCCACCATGCTGAGCCTTTACGGGGCGATTGCTTCGGATCTAGTAGGTATGACCATGCTAGGCGGTATAGGTTGAAACGACCCATTAGAAGTATGGGATAGTACAGGTAATGCTGGTGCTTGATGAACCACCGCGATGCCGCGTCGAAAGGCATGTCGCGGTCGTAGTAGGTTGAGCGCAGGGAACCAAAGAATCGAGAAGAAATGGCGAAAAATGGCATATGCTGGATATCCGGATCGTGCTCGGGCGAGTTGGTTGCTATGTGATGCACATTGTGATTCCGTTTCCACCAACCAACCGAAAGACCACCAATGAAATCGGCAACGAAAATTCCAATACAGCTGTCCGTGTGGAACCCATGTGTTATGCTTAGATGACCGGCGTCGTGAACGAGGAATGATAGCAGGTGCCAGAATAACCCGAGGAAAATGCTCGAAAGAGTGTAATAAGAATAGTGAAGACATGTCAAGAAGAGGACGAAAAGAGTTGAGTATCGGATGAATTCCACAGCGTAGGAGCTATATCGGCACTGGTAGAGTCCATCGGATCGCAATTTTTCATTGAGCTGCCGGTACTTCGAGATGACCTCTGCTTGCGACATTTGATCAAGACGAGGATATTTTGAAAAATCGGATGATATTGCGTGAGCTATTGATGCTTCCGCACATTTGAATTGCTTCGGCGCTGGCTCTGATGATGAAGCCCGAGAAATAGGCGTATTATTGCCTACACGCCTCAGACGAACTTCATCTCCTGTCTCCTCAGTGTCGAAGATGAGTGATGGTGGTGTTGACTGGCCGGATGAGATGATATCTTCAGCTTCGTCGTTGTCCTTCGATACTAGTGTTCTGAATATTCCTCCCTGTATGGGAGGCAAGAAATTCTCCCAACTCCCATGTGTTCTTCCTATCACATATTTCTGCATATATGCCTGTGCTTCCTCTGAGTGCAATGCTGTGATTTCGTCCGTCCCATCCCGACCGACCATGTGCAATATTGATTTATCACCCCCTGGGTGATATGGTATCCACGCATCGACCTTTAGTACCTGATCACGAAATATGATTATCTTTCGCCCATCTGCTATCAACCCTTCGATTTCTCTCCGGGACCACATTCGACCTGTGCGTGGCATGGCCGGCGCCATATCCCAATGGTGCAGTAGAGAGCTCTAGATTGAGTTCAAATTCTGGACAGATAAAATCAGGAGTAAAGGGCAAGGTATCGTCGCGCATGTATGCTGTTGTTCTTCTTGGTTCCTTCCAAGGTTGGTATGACAAGTCAGCCTTGGAACAGATCAGGCAACTGCAATAGTCCAGGCACAAGGGCATAACTAAGTAGGTAGTTATATGATGGGATTACATAATCTGAAACACGGATATAACGAAGCCGGATATAAGGAACCCGGATATAACGAATACACGGATATAACGATCGGAAACCGGTGCTTGATTCAATCCGCCATACAAAATTCGTTAAAACCTCTCTTCCCCATACAAATTTCGTTATATCCGGGGCTTAGTCAGCTACCTTAGCCAATTAAGATGCCTCGCCGATCTATCGTACCCACTAGCACCCCCATTACTAGGGGGGTGAAGCCACTATATTTACTTTCTAAATCCAGCAGATGAGCTTGTGTATGATAGTATCGACACTATTGATGATATTATACTTAGTGAGTTTTGTGAGGAGGTTGATGAGGATGAGATAAGAGGTTGCATAGCCCCGGGTTTTATACAATGAGGCTATTCGGGCTTTAAAAACCCTTCAGTTATATGAGGAGTAGTAAGAACAGGGTGAAACCCAGTTAATTAGTGCTCTATCTAAACATGAGAGGTTAATTGAAGCAAGCAGAATAGGAGGGCAGAAGCAGAGAGATATAAGGAGCTTTTCTGGGGCCTGAATTTGTATATAAACCAGAAATATATATTTACTATATAGCACCTCGATTTAACGAATACCTGGATATAACGAATTTTTTACTGTGTTTCTATTAATTCGTTATAGCGAGGTTTCACAGTAGCCACGTGGACCTGGGCAGTTATGCAACTAGTTGGGTGCGTGGAGGACCAGGCATCAAGTGTGTCAACATCACCTTTTGATTGAGCTCGTATATAGGGTCCTGACTAAGAGCATAGTGGGATCCATGGATGCTATAGACACGTGCTTGATAAGATTCCCCTTAGCAATCTTATCAGCCTTAGAGATATTAGTTCTAGGCATCTTGATAGCAGAAATACCTGTAAATGAGGATAGTAGTGGAAGGTGAGTTAGTATAAGAATCGTGTTTAGTGAAAATTGTGAAAGGAATTGGGTCGAACCTAGGGGTGGTCACATGTTTACCAAGGATGGAGAAGCCCCTACAGCGGGTTTGTGTAATTGTGGTATTCTGTTCAACGGTGGCTGTGGGGCTGCCCGACAATGCTTGGTCTAACCGTTGCGGCCAAACCATATGCATAGTGTCCCTCTCGACTACGTGAGGTCATCAATAAAAGCAAAATTCAATCGTGGAAGCTTGTAAAATTAGCTTAACAATAACAATACATAAGCAGCTGGCACCAATTTCTGCTGTCAGCATTGTCCGACTGTGGCCGATTCAGACCTTATCCCATCACCAACACCGCCCACCGCCTCCACAACCACGGAATCACCACTAGTCAGCCCATCCACAAGAATAGTCGTCTCAAACCCATTCCGCACAGCAGTTTCCTTCACCTCAGTTCCAGAATACACCTTCCAATACTCCACATCCGTTGCCCCATTCCAGCTAACGTAAACCGCAGTCTTCCCGTTCTTCCCATCCACACAAGCCACAACATCAGGCTTGGTAGCTGGGCGCCCAACCCAAGGGTACCGATAGGTGCGGTACGTCTGCATGGTTTTGTCATAGCCAAACCTCGCACGCATGACGATGGTCCCATTCTCATCGAACTCCTCAATCTTGGGCGTCGAGCCATGCTGCTGCAAAACGTGCCCATTACCGAGCGATTGATAGCTACCCTGCGACTCGGCGTACACAGGTTCAGTGGCATCCCACATCCGACTCTTCAAGGTGACTCGTTTTGAGCCTTGGAGCTCCACGTCCAGCACCATGCCCGTTGTTAGTGAGGTGTGGCCTGTGAAACTGGCCAGCTCATTGTTGTGCAGGCTGATTGTTACTCGTTCGTCGCTCTGGAACCTGAAGCGCGCGTCGTGCTGGTAGCAGAAGCTCGTGTCGAGCCCTAACTCGAAGTCACCGCCAGTCTGGCCCTGCGTCTTGTTAGTATATCATTCTCTCAGAAATGACCAATAAGCTTACGTGGAGCTGCCATGCCACCGAGCCATTTGATGCAATAAAAAAAGAGGCTGCACATATACCGTGAGGACACCAAGTACGAGTCGCCATATTTGGCAACGGAATTGAGATGAGGGTACCCATATGGATCAGTTTTGTTACCGCCAGATCCCTCAAGCGGAGCGCGCACATCCCTGAGTGGCACCTGGTCGATGTGCTCGTAGGTACTCCAGCGGAACAGGATCTCATTGGTTTCGATATCGATCTCATAGACGAGTGCGTCCTGAATCCATCCATCCTCGGGACCACCAATGGAGCTCAGATCCGCTTGTGTGACGTTGACGGCAGTCACAAGAATGGTGCCGTTATCCGTGATCTCACTTTCGTGGATATCAATACAAGAATCAAACGTCAGTGGATCATAGATTGTCACAAAGTTCTCTGCCTTGCAGTCCAGCGTGACTCTATGGATCTTGTCGTATGAGCTGTTCACGATAGTAATTGCTCCGAACCCAAAGCCACGGCTGACATCGCCGGACCAGTAGGCTATCACGGGTTCGTTGTTGAGAATCTGAGGCTGTAGGGCTGAGTAGTTTCCATTGGGGCCCTGCCATATAAGCTGACCGTCATCTGAGTAGATGGCCGGGTGTCCTGTTTCTCGTATGATATCGCGGGGTGTCAGGAACAGGAAACCTGGTTCTGTCGTGCCCATCTTGGTGACGTTCATGAACGGTGTTTGGATGGACGAGCTTTTGAACTTCTGCAGCGGCCACAGTTCCTCGTCTGCGGACTTTGCAAGACTGAAGCAGCTCGCGAATAGGACGAGAGCTTGCGAAAACCGCCTCATGGCTAACAGACCCATCGTGATAAAGGAGGTAGACTTATAGCAATGTCTTTTCTCGTGTAATTCTCAGATGATACTGATTCCGAACCTGGGAATGACTGAATTTATGCTCTTCGCGTCAGTATCATGTCCTTCTTCTCCGCAATACGATAGATGCTAAACCCCGCATTATGCTCTCCAGCTTAAAGTCAAGAGCGAACGCCCTCGGCAATCAGAATGCTGTCCATGCATCGATTCTAAGATATACAACCGAGGCTCTATAGGAGAACAAAAAATTACAATCACTGGCCTAGGTTTTGGGGCTAGGGTTGGGTTGTGGGGGCTCGGCAGTGTCATCGGTAGTTTATAGTTTGGGGCAATTGGGATGATAATGCACGTCCTTATCAGGCCGCGGCCTATCTGTTTGACTCCTATAAAACACAGACTGTTCGAAGGATAAACTAGCTTTGTGATGTAGTGAGACGTAAAGGCTCCCCATTCTATGATCCTCTAGGTTAGGTTCATTCCTACCTGGCCGCAGCCACAAGTAAACTTCGCTCAATTGGCTGTAGAGGATATGGAAAGAAGCCTTTCCTGAAAAAGGACACGTACTCCTTCCCCTACACACAGACAGCCGCACTAACGTACGCATGCTAGCATATATAATCGCCTGTGATGTGCAGCCTGTGACAGACCTACGGATCTTAAAGTTTGCGCCGCTTGGTGTTGACCAGGCTGTTTGGTCGAAGAATTTGATTAAGGACGGTCAAACCGCGTTGAGACTGATGTTCCAACATTTGCGGGGAAGTCTAGCGTTGGGGATCGGATCGCAATTGCGGGTTTGAGTTTGATTCTTGCTGCTTGTGGGGTTGAGAAGGTCGGGGTAGATATGGGACTATGTATGATTACGAGTGGATAGAGAGGAATTTGGAGGAGGTGGATGTTGTTAAGCATAGGCATTACATAACGAAGGAGGATACGCCTAAAGCTCTAAGGGACGATTGCAAGCAGTAAACTCGGTCAAAGTATGTACTGTTGTTATGATTGATTGATTTGTACCAGTTGAATTGTCACGTTATTGCAGGCTCTCTTACGGTCAAAAGCATTGAGTACTAAATAAGCTTACATTGTCGAGGTATATAATACTATTAGTAGGATAATCATACTAGAGAAAAACCATTAACTAGTTTTTATCCAGTTTCCTATTATTTAGAGCGCTTTATTAGATTTTAAACTTATATAGGGCGTATATTTAACTATGCTAGCGGTAGGTGGAATAGGTAGCATTGATGTAGAGCCCTGAGTTGTGATAGTTATATAAGAAAAAGTAGTATAGTATTAATAAGAGAGAGATGGAGCCCTGAGTTGCACGTAGTTACCTAGCTCGCTACGCATTGGCCCTACCTACCTAGGTATCCTTTCTTTTTTGCGGCTTTTGTTATCTAATAAGGGAACCTCACTCTAACAGTTTGAATCACACCCCCTGGGTAGAAGTGTATCATTGACAGGAGCCACAGAACTCTTGGTGTCTGATAATTCTGTGAAAGAAGGAAAAGAACCCTAGGCAGCCGGATCCGAACCGCCGAGTTTCGTGACAGGCAATCCGCAGCTGCAGGAATTTGCGGATCCTGCTTTATTCATTGACCCATTTCACGAATGGACAAATGATAGTATCATGGATTCATGGAGGCTGCATGATGACTTTCGTTGGATAAATGGCTTTGAAATTCAGGGGTTAGAGGTTGATCCCAGTGTCATCAAAGAAAGATGAGCTTTTTGCTTTTCTATAGGCTTGATGCCAAACATGAACTTGGAATTCGTGAAAGGTGAATTTCCTATATATAGCTTCTGATATCTTAACTTTACACTATTAATTTCCAACAATTTCCTAAAGTTGAAGAACGCACATATACTACTAGTTCTATGAAATGTTCTGCTAGAAAAATACCATATGGCGCACTGGCGGTTGGAACCCTGATTTTCAATGACGTATCTTTTCCAACACGGAGACTGCATATATATTCCGTGGGGTAGAAACACGTGGGTATGATACATCACTTTCGGAACTAGTATATGCAGAAAATATTCCGAAAAGCGAAGCCTGAAATAAGCAAATCTACGATCTAACAAAGCGGGGCCAAACATGTGGCTGAACATATCAGGGACCATGCCAAGAATGTTCTAGATTGTCAGTAGTTCTTGTTATTTTCATCAAAGTTACTTTATAATATTGTTGTGTGGGTTGGGGCGGGGGGGGTTAGGGAGGTGGTGGGGGGGGGGGGGGTCCTTATATCTTAATCTAGAACAGTGTCAGAGAGAATGTAAAGCCGGATTCCATTATTACTGGAAGGAGAGAGAAGACGGTATGTATGTCGCTATTGGAAGACGTCAAAACCCAGTCCGCTGGGCACTGATATGTCGAGCCCAACATCTTCGAAGAATATGCGCCGACAACAAGACGTTGCATAAAATTCTTCTTTCTGGATGAACCTCGAAGACATCCAACCTGAGAACCTTGGACGCTCCTGAACGAGACCGATGCTGAACCTGTGGACCGGTGTCGCCTCCGATTTCATCAGCCCCACTCCCGACAACTTCCTAAAAAGGAAGCCCAAAGTAGAAGTCTTGGCGCGGAGATTTAGCACCCCGGAATCCATTCGCATGCACAAATCATCTTGCTTTCCTCGTGCGAAAATTTCCAGCAGTCTTCTAGAAACGGGTAATATTCATCAGATAGTCATTGTACTGGGTCTGGTAGTGTGTAGTTGCTGGGGCGTCATCGCTTAGAAATAGCCACCAACTCCCGCGGCCACCACTTCGACATGGCTATAAAAATCTTTGCAACACCACGCATACAATGGTGCACTGCTCACTTGTAATCCGACACCAACAAAAGACACACGTTTCTGACAAAGTATCATGGGCTCGCCAGAAGCCCCTGACCCGGGCAATAAGGCCATGCCACATGATCCGGAGCAGACCAGAATAAATCAAGAGACTGCCGATTTGGAAAGACTGGGAAGAGAGCGCCCAAAGTGCTTTCGTGGCCCTTGGTCAGAGATTTCTTTCTGTCTCTCAATTTTCATGTCCCAAATCCTTGCAGTAAGTCATCCACGACGGTCTTACACCATGAGGAAAAATTCTGACATTTCACCAGGAATACTACATCTCAGGCTCAAATGTCCTCCTTCCGACGCTAGTCAAAGAGCTTGATCTGCCCGAAGCATCCGCAATATGGCCGTCTACCGCATTATCCCTGGTCGTGACCTCGACCCTCCTAATCTTCGGTAGATTGACTGACATGTTCGGCGGATATATCATTTACAGCGGGGGAGCCATTTGGCTCACCGTATCCTCGATCCTATGCGGTGTCTCGCAAACATGGCTGATGTTGATCATTTGCCGAGCATTGCAGGGCTTTGCTCTGGCCGCTTTTCTTCCATCAGGAATCATGGTTCTTGGTAGCACCTACAGACCGGGACCTAGAAAGAATATCGTCTTCAGTATCTATGGCGCATGTGCAGCGCTCGGCTTCTTCGTGGGAATTTTCTTCTCCGGGCTAGCTGGTGAATATCTCACCTGGAGATGGTACTTCTTCATCGGTGCGATTCTCTCCGCCATCACATCGGTTCTGTCACTCTTCTCCATTCCCCGCGATTATTCCGAGAAGAGACAACTGGGCGTCCAGATGGATTGGCCTGGTGCATGTCTTTCCGTTCCGGCTGCTGTGTTCATTGTCTTTGCCATTGCGGACAGTTCCTACGCGCCACAAGGATGGAAAACGCCGTATATCCCTCTGTTCCTCGTTCTTGGGCTCATTTTTCTCGGGATAATGGTTTATGTGGAAGGATGGGTCGTGAAAAACCCTCTTCTGCCTGGCGACGTGTTCCGAGTCAAATATATGCTGCCTCTGGTCATCGCTCTGCTATTTCTTTACGGCACATTGGGCATATTTCTACTATATGCGGTTCTTTAGTGAGTTGCATCCTGGTGATCTTGTTTACATTGGAACTTCACTGACAACTTCTATAGCATGTCTGACATAATGGGTGCTTCGCCAATGCAAATCGTGGCATGGGCTGTGCCTATGGGCGTCGGTGGTCTTATTCTCTCAGTCGGGGGAGGAATGATCTTCCACAAAGTCCCAGGAACAATACTTATGTTGATATCATGCCTCGGCTACGTGGGCTCTGGGTTGTTTTTCGCCGTCATCCCTCTTGGTGGAAATTACTGGGCTTTCGTATTCCCGGCGATGATATGCGGAACAGTGGGCATTGACATCAGCTTCAATCTCGCCAATGTCTTCATCACGACAAACCTCCCAAAGGCAAGGCAAGGCTTAGCTGGTGCATTGATCAACTGCACGCTACACATGGGAATCGCCGTGATGCTTGGTTTCGCGGATATTGTTCATACGCAGACTTCTGAGTTGGGTACTAAGGACAGCTACAAGGCTGTCTTTTGGTATCAAACAGGACTCGCGATACTGGGTCTTCTAATTGTCGTTTTCTTCGTTCGAATCCGCGAGGCTAAGAGTGAGTTGACGCTTGATGAAAGAGAAGCAATGGCAGCGGAGGGAAATGAAAGAGTTGGCGAGGTCTGAGGCGTTTGATACCCCTTGTGTTTGCATTTCATTAGAAGTAATATTGGCCTTTGATAGAATCCAAGATATGACACTCCTTGTCTGTGAACATCGCAGGAACTTCAATAGGTATAACATGGGTTGTACATCGCCATTCTATTTATAGAGCAATACGCCTGTGATCTCCGATTGGCCAACCGGGCCCGCGATCACATGGGTGTCCCTGGAAGGATCACGTGATATAGCTCGGTCCAAGGTCTTGGCATGCATGGCCCGGAAGCAATGCACGGTGATACTTGATGATGTTTTAGGACTCTTGTACTCCGTACAGTCGCCACCCCGGAGTCTAGAAAGAGAGATCACAATGTCCCCTTTGGACTCCGGATGACGAGCGAAATCCATGACAATGTCGGTCACAACAATTCCGCTCGAGCCCCTCATAACGACCGCACGTGCGGAGACGAGTCACGCCGGCGCGGCCATGCGACACGCTCAATCAGACCGAATACAGCCCGAGAAGGAAGGGAAGGGGATGGCGGTCGAGGATAGCAAGGCTGTGTCGCCCACGGGCTTCGCTGGGACATCATCGTTTAGAGAAAAACAACCCTCGTCCGGCCTTGATTTCCTGACTGCAGAACACCCGCTTTTCCCACCGATGCCATCGTATGGGCCTCCGTCTGCCTTGCGCAGAGTCCAATACTATATATTTATTGTCGCCTCGTTTTTTCTGTCGCTATGCTTTCTGGGGGTCATATTTGTTGGGGCCCTGGTCCACACAGCCGGAGCCGCAATTTCGGAAGCCCGTCTGCGATTTAGCGGAACCAACCCGGACACAAGGAGGGTGTTCTATACGGAGGAACAGGCGCGCAGGAAGGCACGGGCTAACGCCGATCGGAGATGGGCTCTGCGCCAACAAAAGAGGGATATGGACGAGGAACAGGGACCAGAAGAATGCCAAGAATGTCCGTCGTTGGAAGGAGGAAAGGACCCTATAGTTGGTGATGTCGCATACTATGCTCGCCGAGTTGGTCTCGATGTGGAGACATTCCGTGTCCAGACCGAGGACGGCTTTATCATCACCCTATGGCATGTGTACGATCCCCGAGAGTATGAAGCGTTATCACCAGAAGAGCGGCGTGAGCGTGGACCCAATGTTTTCACCAAGCCGAAAAGGCCGAATCCGGCCCGTTCACAGTCTAACCGTCGGTATCCCGTTCTGTTGGTCCATGGGTTGCTGCAAAGCGCTGGTGCATTCTGTACCAACGACGAGGATAGTCTGGCATTTTACCTCTGCAAGTCTGGGTATGACGTTTGGCTAGGCAATAACCGCTGTGGGTCACATCCAGAGCATATCACTTTATCGACCAACGACCCACGTATGTGGTCTTGGGACATTCGTCATCTCGGGACCTTGGACCTTGCAGCACTCACTTCGCGTGTGCTCTACGAGACTGGCTTCGAGAAGTTAGGACTCGTGTGCCACTCCCAAGGAACCACGCAGACCTTCGTTGCTCTAGCCAAGGAACATCGCCCTGAGTTGGGTGAATACATTTCGGTCTTTTGTGCGCTTGCACCGGCTGCATATGCCGGGCCCCTTGTCAGCAGACCGTATTTCCGATTCATGAGCCTTCTCTCTCCGTCTATGTTCCGACTCGTCTTTGGAATCCACTCGTTCATTCCGTCCATGATGACTGCTCGGCGTCTCCTCCCTCCTAAGATATATGGAACTCTAGCATATTGGGTTTTCTCCTTCTTGTTCGACTGGTCCGACACGCGCTGGGAGCGTGATCTGCGCCATCGAATGTTTCAATTCGCTCCTGTGTACGTCAGCGCCGAATCGATGCGCTGGTGGCTGGGAAGCGACAGCTTTGCGAAGCATAAATGTATTTTGTCCACAGATAACGAGCTGCTCCAGGAGACAAACGCGAACCCGCATATGCGAGACCCTGTTTCTGAGCACGGTGACAATCCCGGAGACGCATGCTTGGGAAGTCCAGCCCCGAGCCCTTGGTATGGCCCGAGAACACCTCCATTTGCATTCTGGATCGGAGGCTCCGATGCTCTTGTTGATGGTCGCCGGCTTCTGAATCGCTTCCAAAGTGGCCGCGAGCCTCACGTGAGTCTCGTTCATTCAAAGGTCATTGAAGAGTATGAACATCTTGATGTCCTTTGGGCGATGGATGCGATCGATCAGGTTGGTAGGGAGGTCAACCAGGTCATTTGGGCAACTATGCCTGATGAGGCACGTCAGGTATGTCGTGCTCCGCGCGGTCTGAACTTAGACATGGTAGACAGAGGTTAGATTTTATATGTTTTATGTATCTTACTCTATAACATTCTTGTACTGAACAACACTTGAAGTTTAGAATAACCGAGCTGTGTTCAGATGTTTTACGAACATGTAATGGTAGCCGATTGCTATATTCATTTGTATCTTTCCTTTACACGATTTCAAGTGTTAGCTGTCATCTGCCGACTTGTTTCGGGTGAGACTGCATGTAACCTGGAACATTCAAATGATTATGATCTTCTGTCTGCGCCACCCTGCTAGATCCCGATAGTTAAGGCAGCCTTACCACCCTGCTTCAATTTTGTCAAATGACCGCCGAGGAACGAAAGATATATAAATGCCATGCAGAAGTCAGTTGTCAAAGTTGAACATCACTCTGGCTCAGATGCTCCTAGTATCAGCTTCCAAATGCTTATTCCCTCCATTTTCGGCAACAAAAGGCTCTCTCTCATGTTGATCGCTTACCACGGCGCTGGACGAAGTGAGCCCCGGCCATGCTCCGGTACACCACATTCGGGCACGACTTGTGATGCCATCAACATCTATTCGTAGATATTGAGAAGCAGTGAGATGAGCCTTGTCTTATCTGGACGGATTACGGGTGAGACTCCGACAAAAAGGCAAAGCACTCGAACGTTGTGGTGTTACAGACCCCTTATAATGTCAACATGATCCAACCCTCCTTGACTTGAGGTACTTCATATCTGCAGGGTCCCTAAAGATAATCCAAGTCTCAACGAGAGAGCATTATTATGCAAGCTGGTAATTTGTGGTGGACTGTAGCGCGACCACGTTGCGGTGCTTTGCAGGGTTCTCGCAGTCTCACCTTGACTCGTCGATATAGGACAGACAGGTTACCCCATCCACTCTTCACGATACTTTGTGTTATATTATGATTCTAGTGATTGAGATAGATGCCTTTGATATCCGGTCTAAGGTTAATAGGATGAATCGAATGAACCTGGTCTCAGTGTTCATCTTGACCCTTTTCATACTTGAACTGGAGTTAGCGTTTCATACTTGGATGTATTCCTTTTATAGATTTGTAGAGCTATGCCTAACTTCGAATTTACGGCGAACGCCGTTGTGCTTATGTATATATTGTACTCCTTTAGGTCAGGTACAACCTTGGAAGCACTGGTCAGGTGACTATGTATATTCGCCTCAGGCTTTCATGTCACCAAGAATTGGGTGATGATGCATTTGTCCTTCAATGGGTATTCTCACAAATGCCAACACATTTTATCAACTTCCTATGCCAATAGCCTTGAGAACCATTGATAACCCAGCACAACTTTCCAGTCTATTGTTGAAGTACTTCACTTACAGCCCAAGTCAACCTAAGCTCTGGCAGGCCCACTAACCCCGCAATCCCCAGATTTGGGTGGGACCGGGCCAAAACCTCCGGACTCCACCATAACATTCCACTTTTATCGGATCATAACATCTATATGCAGATGGCAATCATAGAAGCAACAAAGTCATATCTACTATATTCCAATTTAGCCTCCTCCCTGTGTGGTATTTCAGGGGAACCCGCCTATGGCAGGATGATGATCTCACCCGGCCAGGCCCCTATTTGTCTGTGTCACGATGTACACAGCTGCGAGTAGTCGAGGGCACACAGGTACTTACACTGTCCGAATATACACCCATTCGTGTACTTGGGGTCAATATGTGGCGCCAAACCTGACCAATGGCATACACGTAAGGCTAATCAAGACTGTTTCGACAGGACAGAGAATGTGGGGAGAGGGCTAATGCGGCCCCATTGTCATCGACTGGCACCTCCCATTAGTTGGAAGGGCGGTTTTTAATAGACATACGTGTCGAGTCTCTTCAAACATTTGCAGTTTTGTAAATAAACAATTGTGTACCTTGATGTAGATATTACAATCCATGCAACAAAGCTAACGAGCTCACTTGGCTGCTCACCACATCAAAATCAAGGCCACTTAACCTTGGAAGCCATCAGGGACATAGATTCGGAACCTCTGTCGAGGACACCATGGTTATGTGATGCATCGCGACTATTGGTTTGCCACCGAACAGGGGTGCCGTAGATGTCACCTTTCACTCAGTCCCAGGTCCTGACTGACTCCCAACCCCGCATTCAGTCAGATGATGCCTGTCTATATAAGTACTTCTTCCATGTCCCTCCGCTGCTTGGGTACTTCTTTGCTTTTCAAGAAACTCTCCCCTCCATCGTCCATATTCCATCCACTTCCATCAACTCTCATCGGATTTACACCATCAACTTGACTTCCTCATCAAAACTGTATCCAAAACACTACATACAAGATGTCAGCAGCCATGGGTCCTATTCTACAGCAACTGCAGGCCCTCCCTGCCCGCTCAAGGCAGGGTCTGAATAACCTGCGCCAGCGTATCTTCCAGCAAGGTATGATCTTCCCCCTTGTCTTCCGACCGTCTCATCTCCCTTGATCCCGATATTCAATATAACTAACACTGCCTAAAGGAGAGAGACAACCCAAGGAAGCCAACCTCCTACGTACTTCCCTTAGTGTCCACCGTCCTGTTTGGATCACCGCTGCTGGTGGTATATACACTAGCATGGCAGCTGTGTACCTCACGATGCGATATCTGAAGCGTGTTTCTCGGTAGATGGGTCAGGCCAGGCACTGTTGCCTACTCGACCTCTACTCGACTCGACTATCCTACAACTCTCACGCCTGTTCCTTACTACTCTTCACATACATACCCCTTTTATGCCCCATCACCATGTATCTATCGTCGATTTCTCTGTCTGATCAGTAGTTGTGTGCGACTGGAGGAACTATCCATGTCCTGGATTGGGCTTCTCTTTCTTTTGTTCGGTCGGTTTTTTGTTCGGTCGGTCGCTGGAATCTTTGCCATAGAATGGCAAGATAGACCTGGAGTTTTGTTTTGAGGGCTACTTTACCCTAAATCGATAGTAACACAATGAATATCTTACAAATACCCCAGGCTTGGCATTATAATATATGTAACTCCACATCTAAACTGTGTCGCTTGCTTTTTACCTAGAGTCCTCATGTGTGATGATAAGAATGAAATCGCCTAGCTGAATGTGCCGGCGATGACCATGAAGGTTTGAGCAGTGCGTGGTAATAATGACTGACTGTCCAGGTAGGCACAAAGAAGAAGGTCAGTCTAGACCTAATCCCAGCCATGGGCGATACACTCTCTCAAATGAGAGGTGTGTAAACAAGCGAAAGCCAGACGTTTTTCCAAAACAGTACATGCACACACACATCGAAAATCCACTGTATGAATACCCAATGTACTTTCGCACCTAGAAATTCAGATTATGTACCAGTACAAATAAACAAGTCACTCAAAGGAGAAAAGTAGAAGTGACAGATCCACTCGGCTGAAGAATCCACCCCAGAATCTGAGACGCTCCACTTCGCCATCACCCAAAGGAATCAGGAGTGCGCTCGGCCCCTCCCTTTCCACCATACACGATACATGATACCTCATGCAGACACTTTGTAAACAACCTTCTGTCCTATCATATCGCTGCTCTTACTCAGGGCGTCGTCACTCTGCTGGGGTTAGCCTGTAGGATGACCTCATTGCTGATGGGTGCATGCGTTAGTTTCTGTTTAGGGGCTTGGCGACCCCGCGTTTGTGTTTCGTGTGCGGAATTTCCTTATTGGGTGGTTTGACAGGGGCTATGGAAATGAGTATCTGCCCATATTTGCAGATTGAGCCAGTGATTATTCGGAAATATGAGACAAGCATTGGGAATGTGGTATGATGAACGCGTTGTGAAACGATTGTCTGGAGTGTTGGAAGCCTGGTGTTATTGAAGTCGGCGCTGTGTCTGTCTCATTGGCAAAATGATGGGATACTATGTTTGACTCAGTTATCTAAATAGCTCTAGAGGGAACCGGTCTTATCCAAGCGGCCGCGGGCTCCTAAATTACTTACGTCAGGCATATGTTCACGACTTCCTTTGTCTGCTAGGAATACAGGAGAATATTAACCGGAGTTTCCGTCGCTCTAATATCACTTAAGTGCGAATCAACAACTATGTACAATCGAACGATTTTTCTCTTTACCCTCACTTATAATTCAAAACCCACGTAGCTATTGTATCTTCTATATGGAAAGTCATTGACCCCGCCGGAGTCACGCTTCCCAGGATTGCCAAGCTTCCATTTAAACTCCGGTGGAGCCAACCTTAACTGCTAGACTACCTAAGTTACTGTGATATATTCCCACTGTAGATGAATCTAGCATTTCCCAATTTAAGGCCTTAGCAAAAGAGCCCAATACAGAGAACCCGCCCAAAATAAAGACCCCCGACCATCGAACAAATGAACGGGGACACTTCAAACTGACTAGCAAATTTTGGAGGCATAGTAGGTTGGGTTGTAGTTTCCTTCCATTTACCACCTTTTCACCACAGCCATCAAAACAAACTCGCACTTTGCTCATCTCCAACTCACTTCTTATTTTCCTTCTCCTTAATAACTGCCCACCTCAGACAAACAATGGAGTTCATCTCACTCGTACTATCCACCTCATATTGATTTGACGAATCTTTGTTCAGGAATTCAATTTCAAACATCATGGCATCTCCTATCTCTTCCCATTCTCCAGAAGTGCTATCATTGCCGGCCCCTATCCATACTACAGTGGGAGTTACATCATGCCAGCCTTTGATATACCGATTCCGCGACCTATACCCCCTTACCCCCTCTCCCACTCAACGACATCACCAACCTCGCCATCATCTCACACATCAACGCCAACACCAAATCAGTATGGCAACCAACCAACAGACATTAGGACGACGCCGGTGTTATTTAGGCTCTCCTCGCTCTGCCGGCTAGTCGAATACCTGACCTATGACTTCGATAAGCGTGGAGAACTCCGCAAGGCTGGGGTACCTCGGGCTCTGCGGGTATCAGCTTATGCCAAAGTGATATCCGGCACCTCCTCGCCCAGCCAATTCGCTACATGCTAGACCTCCAATATCAGTATGGATTCCTCACTAACTACGATGAGACGATTTTCTTGCGACAAAGATATAACGGAGGACGTGGCTCATCGAGTACTGGCCAATTGTGCTATCGGACAACCAATGAGCGCACAACCCGGATTTTGCCCGCGGCCCTCTGGGTGCGCGACACTGATTGGACGCCAGACACTCAGAAGGGGTGGATACTCAGCCGTCGCCGCCATCACCAACAGACGAAGACCAGCTTTCCTCCAAAGACGTTCGTCTCCACCGGCGGTTACAGCCGAGATTGGTGGCACAATTCCGCTCCGATATCTAGCGCTGTGGCTCCCCCATCTGATCCTGCCTAACACAGTGCCGTTCTTGAACCCTGGGAGCCAGCAAAAGGCCGAGGCTGCACTTACGTGTGCGAATGACATGTAAGAAGCACACGATACTACCCTTACTAAGGGAGTCGTATCCATCGTGTCCGTCGTGTGTGCCAGAAGGTCATGGAGTCCGTAAATATGCCTGTGCGCAAACGGACAGCTGGCATGGTCGGGTTGAGCGGGGACACGCCTGCCCGCAAAAAAAGGATTACAGAGGAGACGGTGGAAGGCAACGCATCCCTGTTTCTTCCCATTTCCGACAGATACGTGATAGATACAGCTGCCAAAGTTCCAGAAGTGAGTTTACCAACTCGTTCGCAGCCAGCTTAGTGTGTGTAGTACTGACAGAGGTGCCCACCCAGCCATCTACACCCACGGTAGACAACTCCTTCGCCGCGGGCTGGTTACCGCGCCTGCAACGTCACCCTCGACACACACGAGCCATAATGAAGAGATTGTTGGCAACATCTGGCGATGGGGCCAGCTGAAGTGTGACTCGACCACGCTCGCAAGATTGCGGTACCCTTCACACAACGTATGGCACGAGTAGTACGAACACTCTTGATTCAAGAAAACAATTCATTTCAACATAGGAATTTTCAACTCAGTGCAGAACGAAATTCCAGCAGGCTGCTCTTGCTATTGTAAGCAAACCCAGCGAAGGAATACTACCCAAACAGACTTTTCTTCGTTTTCTCTTCTCCGTCCGAAACTTACCTTTTGGACAATATGTTTTCCAACTTCTGTAAATTCCTTACCCAGAAGTGTGCACTAGTGACCGACCACCTCTCCCTAATTACCGGTCTTGTTATCGGCGTAGCGGTAGCGCGGGAGGCTCGTAAAGGTGAATTCGAGATCAAGGACATAGGAGAACCCTCTCGCTTTCTTGGTAGGGCAGCTTCCTGCAATTACAACAAGAAGATGATCCTTGCAGCCTCTTAGTAGTTACCCTATTTATGAACTGATAGTCGTATGATCTTGGTTGATGGGTTTAGGGGACATGTACCGTAGTGGCTTCAGTGTCGCCCTAACACCGTTGAAACGATACCGAATGATGGTACAATAACTCAAAAGCATAAAATGCTCACATATCTACATGTAGTATTTCCACCTTGGAATATACTGTGTCTGTACTCTCAACAGTCACCATGACGGCGGGTTCGAGTATTTGAGGTGTGGCTTTCCATCCTTCTAAATCGAGAACTTTATTTGACTAGGGGCCTAAGTAATAATGTCCTCTTCTTTCATGAAAGTAAGAGTGGCCCCCCCCGGCTAATTTCATCAAACCGTCTACTGATTCGATCATAATTTTGCCCGTATTTCCCAAGCTCCCGTAGACGGATAGACACCCAGTCTTGATAGATCTGGTCCGAAGTTGCGATGCCCGCAATGAATAATGGCCAGGTGATCCGGACTAAAAGACGCGGCCGGCTTCGGTGCAGTTTTAAACTCAGTTCAAGGACTAAAGACACCGCAGTGGTTAGAGGGATCATGCTGGTTTGGAACTCGGGCTGGCGGGCTGCGAGATCCTCGAAGCAGAGATGGAAATAGACAACCGTGCCGTAATATGTGATGGCTGACCAGAAAATGGTCTCCATAACGCGACGGTTGCCAGCGACATCGCAGGAGGGGGACAATTTGGCGGAGGTGAGGAGTGTATCGTACTCCTAAATCGATTGGTTAGAACAATTCAGGCCGACAGTCGATGGTCATGAATGGTTATGATGCATGGACTCACAATAGACAATGTGTTTATCTCATTGGCGATCCGCTGGTATGGAGAATCTTCCCCGAAGCTGGTATGACCTGAAGTATGTTTGAACATTTCTGTAATTTTGAATTGAATCACATGGCTACGGTGGTATAGTGTCAAGCCCGGAAGATTTTCTAAATCATCCAACTGGGACGACATCGGGTACCCATCGCCCCAGAATCGTGAAGGGGACTGCCTGCTCAGCCTGTAGAGTTCAGAAAGGCTAAGCGCACTATTTCCGGTCTCAGACTGTAAGAAAAACCGAAAAATGTCAGTGTCCAGCCGTCCTGTTCCAGAGCCAAAGAAAAGAGCTGCAGGAGTGAAGAAGTATAGTGTCCAAAGAAGGAAAAGAGGGACACACGTGCCTCCCAGTCCGCCTGTCGACCCTGCGGGTGGAGCAAGAGTAGCAGAGTCACTATTGCTTGCATGTTCATCCAAAGTTGAAACGTTCATGTGGGGCTTAGGTTGCTGCGAGGGTACTCGGCAGTCCATAATGGCAGCTGGGCGCGTGTGGCACTCGAGCAAAGGGACAATGTGGTTGTAGAGAAGTGTCTCAATACCCCGGATATGGATATTGATCGCGGAAGCACCGCTGCCAAAGCGGTTCTCATAATCTATCATCAACCAAAGTGTGATGAAAATAGCCTCGATTTGCTGTGGAGATTTCACCTCTTGTTTGAGAGCTTCTCTCAGACTCGACAAAGCTCGCCCGTAATGTGCCCTGCCATCCATGTCCGGTTGTTCACTGCTCGGCAAATGTCCGAGGGACTTTTCCTTGTCATAGAGTCTAGACCGGTAGATCTCCCTCGCAGCACTAGCTAACATCATGCTCATCACCATGGGCTCTTTAGTCGCTATTTTGTGGTACGCGTACGAGACAGTTGACCATGGCCAGTGCTTTCCGAGAACGACGACCAACATTGAATCCTGAATATAACTCAAGCATTCGCGATCGAACCCTGACAGTGACAAGGAATTGGCAGCCTGGATACTCTGGCCCTGCAGACAAGGTGAATTTCGGTTTGAGAGTGATTGCTGTGGACATGATATAATTCGTAGGTGCGATCCCTTCCTTGTAGTTCTGGCGTAATTCGTAGTGCTCGCCTGGTCTCTTGGGGATCTGTTGGAGGATATAGTTGTTGAGGTACGCGTCGACCTGCGTGGGATTGGGTCGCCTTTCCACTCGCAAAGGATCCGCGCGGCCAAGCATCGCCTGCACTGTGGCTCCTTGTGGGCTTGACTTAGTAATTTTTCCTCGTCACACTTCACCTTGCGGACACGGCAAGTTCGGCAACCTTTTCGAGCTGTTAACCCCAGGTATTGATGCAGGGGGAGGGGTGTGGATCCTTGCCTGTCCTGGAACGAGTCCTCCCTGGTTTATGCATTGTTGTTCAACCATCCCAAGGCCAGGGGATTCTTACAAGGTCGTAACTGTGTCGCCCCGCAGACTTTAGAAGCAACCTGAAGTATGACAACACTTGCCTAATACGCTTTAAGAGAGTAGACAACAAGACATGAGGGGAAAGAGGCGGGGAAGACTTGTTTATTGGCAGATTTGCGCTGGAGCCGAGTCGACGATGCTGATTGGCTGCGTCGGCTACCTCCATGTGCTGCCGAAAGCCTATCGCATGGGAGCCCTTTGATTGGTCAATCTGCTGTTTATCGTGACAATCGCCTGTCCTCCACGTAACGATAGCAAAATGTTGGGGAAGCATTATTTAAGAAAGTGAACATCACAACAATCCAAGTTCATCTCTACTCACTGATAACAGAAAAGATGCAATTTTCCGAATCCAAAAGCCGATTCCTCGAAGGCGTGCAGGATGCACTTCGCCGCTATGATTCCCAGTTGAAGGATATCAATCACAAAGTAAGGATGAAATTGGGACGAATGAGGGAAGTCACTAACATCATGTCAGATTTGGTCAAACCCTGAGCTGGCATATGCAGAGTTTGATGCTCACAACAACGTTTGCGAGCTTTTTGAAAGTCTCAAATCTGAAGGGTATTTAGTCACCCGCAAAGCCTATGATCTCGAAACTGCTCTGGAGGTTGAATACAAGTACGGAACTGGAGGCCGTGTCGTAACCTTCAACGCTGAATATGATGCGCTTCCTGGGATTGGACATGCGTGTGGTCACAACCTCATTGCAACCAGCTCGATTGCTGCCTTCATTTCGGCTTGTGAGGCCATGAAAGCCCAATCACTACAATCATCTGGAAAAGGATTTACCCTCCGTCTCTTAGGCACTCCTGCTGAGGAGTCCGGCGGTGGAAAGGTACGCCTGCTCAACAAAGGAGCTTATAAGGGAGTAGATGCCTGTCTTATGGTGCATCCGGTCCCGATGATGCCAGACAACCCCGAGCTGATGGGAATGGCAACCGTACTCGAAGGTGGATACCTCGCCAATGACAAAGTCAAAGTCACTTTTACTGGTAAGCCGGCACATGCCGCTGCTGCCCCATGGGAGGGTATCAATGCTCTGGATGCTGTTGTTTCAGCATACGTCAATATCTCAATGCTTCGCCAGCAGATTCTTCCGACCCAGAAGATCCATGGAGTCATTGTAAATGGCGGTGATCGACCGAATATTATTCCGATGTCTGCGACTGTAGAATACTATATTCGGTCGCCGACCGTGAAGACACTCAAGCCTCTGACGGAGAAAGTGGTAAAATGCTTCGAGGCTGCTGCAACTGCCACAGGCTGCAAGGTTGAGCTTGACTGGTATGCTTACATGCTTTGGGCCGGTATTGAAAAGCAATTAACCGTTTTGTATTCACAGGGGCGTGTCATATGCCGACCTGAAAACCAACCTGCCCATCTGTGAGAGCTACGTCTCTGTAATGCGCGCACTAGGCTATCACACTTTGCTTGATAACTCGGGACAAAAGAGTACATTAGCCGGAGCGTCTACTGATATGGGTATGTATCCGATTTAAAGTCTCCAGTTTGAAATGCATTCACTAAGTGAACTTCTAGGCAACGTTTCATATGCAGTCCCAGGATTCCACGGTATCTTTACTATTCCCACTGACGGAGTCAACCACACACCCCAGTTTACCAAGGGTGCTGGATCGGAGGAGGGCTTCAAGAGGGCGCTTGCCTGCGCAGCGGGCATGGCCGTAGTTGCTTGTCAAATCCTTGTTGATGACAAATTTGCCGAGGATGTGAAGAGAAACTTTGAGGGGAATTGATTAAATGCGTGAGCCACAAGTCCGATGTTGAGACGGAGATTATATTCCTAAATATGTGGAGTTTTTACTATCTTTCGAGGACTTGAAGTCCCAGTCTTCCGAATTGTATATATTGAATGCCTCTCATGAAAACATTGCGCACCTGATAAGCATGCCTATCTGAGGAAATAGCCTAGATACGAAGACCAATCAGCTCTGATTTAAAGCTCCGGTTGCAGTTCTTGGTATCTTGCCAGCCCACACAATGCCAAGGTCGAACTAATTTGCCGAAACAGCCAATGGGAAGATGAGAGAAGATACCGTTATCTCGGTTGGCTTTTGATATTGCGGGGAAAACTCTATTCTCGTATCAAAGCAAAGTATACGAAATGGGAAGCATACCTGCCACATAAATAGACAGGTTGTTCCCGCACAGGATGCTTCTCAGTTCTGCTTGCATTTGCAGTTCTTATTGCTACTCATCGCTTCCAAAATGTCAAAAGACTCAATCAAGAAGAAAAATCAGTACGATGATAAGGTGGACGCCCAAAGTGTTGAAAATGGTGCCCTTGAGTCTTCATTCCAATTCTCTGCCGACGCAGAGAAGAAGCTGGTTCGGAAAATTGATTTGATGTGAGCCTTTTTAATAGGCAAGACCTTTCCCATGGTGACTCACTAATGATGCTGTCTAGGGTTCTTCCAATTATGGTGTTCGCCTACATGATGGCATTTCTGGATAAGCAGACATTGAATTACACCTCCCTTATGGGTATTCGAGAGGACCTTCATCTAGTCGGCTCCCAGTACAGTTGGTCATCCAGCATATTTTACTTCGGATACTTGTTCTTCTCGTGAATATTCCCTTCCTTGGTGATGATCTTGCATTTTGGCTGATAACTACCAGGTACCCGGCATCCCTGTTGATGGTCAAGTTCCCACTAGGCAAATATCTTTCTACAGTCTTGTTCGTGGTCCATTCCCTTTTGTTCAACAGGCTATGGGGTCTAACAGAGATATAGCATTTCGTGGGCCGTCGTTCTGGCCTGTCATGCAGCTACTACTAACTTCGCCGGTCTGATGGTGGCACGTTTTTTTCTCGGGTGTACAGAAGCAAGTCTCTCACCAGGATTTACCTTGATCACTTCTCTTTGGTACAGAACATCTGAACAGCCACTCCGTCATGGTATCTGGTTTTGTGGAAATTCTTTATCTTTGATTTTTGGCAACTTGATCGCTGTTGGAATACTCCAAATCGAAAACAGTCTTACGGCATGGCAGGTGAGCTTCAATACATCTCAAAGGGTTTAATCCCTAGCGTCATCGCTCACATTATCCTGCAGTGGCTATTCATCATTTTTGGAATCATTACATTCCTGTGGGGAATTGTCATGCTTTTCCGATTGCCCGATTCGCCGACTACTGCCAGTTTCCTCACCGAAGAGGAAAGACTCATTGCGATAGAACGACTGAAGGCAAATCAAACTGGGTTCAAAAACTCGACCATTGATAAGTCGCAGATTATGGAAGCTTTCATGGATGTTAAGACTTGGTTGCTTGCGATCTTGATATTGGCAGGCAATATTCCAAACGGTGGTTTCACCGCGGTCAGTTAATGACGAATGGCCCGAATAAATTAAAGGGCTTCGTGTGCTGATATGTTGCAGTTCAACGGATTGGTCCTACAAGGGTTCGGCTTTTCAACTTTCCACACGCTGTTGCTTGGTATACCAGGTGGTGCGGTCGTTTTCATCTTTGTGTTGCTATCGTAAGTCCTTGTTTTGGGATCTTATGTATGGGTTGCGCTGAAACAGGCCCTTAGGGGTGTCATCTCATCAAAGGTGCCGAATACCCGGTGTCTCGTTATGGTCGGATGCAACGTGATAAGGTAAAAGATTTCCCTCTTCGAAGTGAAGAACTCAAAGGACGCTAACAACTTAAGCAGTATCATTGGTAGTGCCCTTGTTTATGCCACCAGCTCTGTAGCTTCCCGTTATGCCGGCCTGCTTCTCATGGGGATTTACTCCGTTGCAATGCCTATCTCAATGGCAATGATCAGTTCTAACGTAGGTGGTTTTACAAAGAAAGCCACCGTCAGTGCAATTTACTTCATCATGTATTGTACGGGAAATATCATCGGTCCGCAGTTGTTTTTCGAGAAAGAAGCACCAAAATACCAGGTATGTTTTGAGCTTTCTTCTAGCCACCTACAGAAAGTATTAATTATATAACAGAGTGGATTCCTGGCGATTATTATTTGCTTGATTGTTTGTGTTGTTGATGGATTCGTCCTTCTATTCTATCTGCGTTGGACGAATAGTAGACGCGACAAGCAGCAGGGGGCAGGGACAGTGTCACAGGACCAAGAGAAACATGACATTGCTCCCCAGACGCAGCTGCTCGATACTACAGATCTACAGAACAAGGAATTCAGATATGTGTTTTAGGCATTGATCCGGAGCCGACGAGGTCGATATCAACAATCTTACATGACCTATTTACTTTATTGAGTGCGAGCAAGAAGACGCTAGTAAATTAGATTCCGGCCCTACCTAGGTAGAAGAGTAAGTTATTTACCCAATGATACCACAAGAATATATCTTCACGTTCCCGACATGTACGAAATTTATATTTGCCATTAAAATGCTTATCAATTAGGTCATGCTTGTTCAAATACAATACTGTATTCTATCGCATTCATTACTGTGTTTTGCAGATGCCGGCTCGCATGTGAAATAGTCAGTGGAGTGTGCCATTTAGACCACAGCTTGATGACTAATCCGGTATATGGCTGCGTGTTGTTGCGAAATCAATTTAATCTACTTTGTAGTGGATATCGCTTTAGTTATATAGTGGGCTGGGTAACCACGCCCTACGCCAGCTGACCAGGTCGGTAGCCACGGGGGGTGTCAGCCATGGCGTCTAGCAGGGCAGGGCGCTGGCCTGGAAGACAGGGCGAAGGCGCAGAGTGACCAGGGCGTAGATCGAATTGTTTTGAAGGTGGCTGCCTAAATATGCGGGCCAAATCAATGGACATTATCTGCCCTGTAGGTGGGGGCTTCAAAATAACAATGCATCCGGGGAGTCCTTGCTTCTCCAATAGATGCGGAGTTGTAGGTAATAATAACTGTTCAATTACGAGATTAATGCGCACCTAATACTCAACTGCTTACCTAGACTAAAGGGTGGCCTCGCCCGACTCAAGAACGCGCGGCGTTTTGCACTATTTTTGGAAAGGTGCAAGGTGCAGTCTCGCTCGGTGTCTCAATTCGCTTAGTGTGGGTCAAGAATCTTACTCACCCCATTAGGAACAGTCCAATCTACATAGGAGGATGTTATCCTTGGGTTAACTGTCCGGGTCCTCGTGCCACCCGCATAATGACCCGCAAACGTTGAGACCACAGTGCTCCTTAAACACAACTGCAGCAATGTGCGCCCACGAGAAGGGTTCGGTTTGGAAACCTGAACCTCAATTCTGGATAGTTTGATACTGAAAGTCTTCAGGTTAAAATAGTATCAACTAGAGTCAGACAAGGATAATCAGTGATAAACGCTGGGCTGTGGTCGACCGGTGATAGACGGGAAGTATCAGGCCATCAGTGGCACTAGTGAAATATCGAAGGCTTCTTAAGTGGAGATCGCGCATTTTTTTGTTGTTTAAGTACGGAGTAGACCGAGCGGGGATATAACGGGGATATTCCGTCTTTTAACGTTTCTCGGCGTCCTTGGCTGTGAAGCTTAGCACATTCCCAATATTGATCGATATTCCTGCTCGTTTGTGCAACGTACTAGGATTTTATGACGTGTTCACACACCTTGTTGATAAATCGACGCAGCCCAGATCCTATACGCATTGTTGGAGAACCTTGCTGTTCCGACGTGTCCTTACTCATAGCGGGTCTAGGTAGTTTTGCTTTGATAACGACTCAGATTGATAGGCTCGAAGGAGGCCCGCGGCGCCGGGGCCGGCAGGACTTTGTAGTAGCCAGCGCACCACCTTCACGTCAGCCGCAACTGCCCGCAGTTATTACTTCTATCATGCATCCCGTTTCCGGCTTTGGTTGGCATCGCAATATGCAGCAAGCGGCGATCCCGGAACGTCTACTAATTTTAGTGAATCGCTGAGGGGAGTGTGGGGTTACCTGGGATCTTGTACTGATTCCTGCAGGTGAGGGGTGGTGTCACATTCAGCCCTATCTCCGATCCATCACGTACTCCTACGTACCTGGCCCGTCTCCCCGCTTATGACTATAATCCCTCGCAAATAATAATGTCTCATATAATATGTTTTAGAGCCGAAGTTCCGGTGCCTTGCCTTGTTTGGTATCGGTATGAGGGGAACCTCAGCTCCATTATGCGAGGTTTTGGAGAAACCGCCACCTGACTATGTCGAAGGAATGATGCAATACGAAAGCCTGTGATTGAGAATGTTCAACCTTTGTTTACCAGTCCCAAGTTGTAGACATATAAAAGGCGCCTGGTACGTGACACTAGAGCGATTTTTCATTCTACTGCAACCACCTTTGTTTTCAATTGCACCCAAAGCCTTTCCAAAATATAACATGAAGTTCCAACCCATAGTTACTCTACTTCCTGTCGTGTTACCCTTGGCGCATGGTGCACCTGCTCGTAGGGATACCCCCAACCCCGATCTTCGAGGAACCAACTCCCTAGTTGGATATTCGCCAGACAACAGTGGTGGCAGCGACTCGCGACCCGACATCAAGTATACTCTTGTTCCTGAACAAAAGGAAGATCCCGAAATCGGGTCTCACCTAGATTTCGTGAAAGCCGATAATCCCCAGCCGATCCGTGGTTCCACGGGTTCTGATGATCCTGGTCCGAGTACGACGCCCTTCACTACTATGTATTATCACGGCATTAGACTACATGCTGACTGCATTGTCCTTTATTGCAGGAAACTATTATTATGATAGAATTAATAGTGACAAGCTTGCACCTCCCGGAACTGACCATGGACAGACAATTAATGCGCAGTGGCCGATGGGTAAGTCTACAGGTGACCGTCAGTAAAGATGCAAGTTACTGACTCCGTTCTAGGATTGAGCCATAACAGGTAATCCTTTCTACCTGAACAAGTATATTGTAATACTTATGTTTTTCTTTATAAGACTTGGAATAGATGGAGCTGGTTGGGCCCGCCAAGAGAACACCAACGTGATGCCGGACGCGACGCTCATGGCAGGTGTCGATATGCGCCTGGCGCCTGCCGGCTACCGCGAGCTTCACTGGCATGTGGCCGCCGAATGGTCCCTGGTACTCAATGGATCGTGTCGAATTCAGGTACTTGCTTATTCTGAACTCACAAAATAAGTACTAACAAGCTTCCAGGCTGTGAACGAGAACGGGGAGACATTTATCGACGATGTTACTGCTGGGGATGTGTGGTTTTTCCCACCGTGAGTATTGTGACATGCGTAAGCAATGTTTCATGCTGATGGTTCGAATTTTAGTGGCCTTCCTCATTCTATTCAAGCTCTTGACGATGGAGTCGAGTTCCTTCTAGTCTTTGACGATGGAGACTTTAGTGAGGATAATACATTCCTTGCAACAGAGGTCTTCCTCCACACCCCGGTAGGAAAAGCGAATTCTGAATTGAAAATGAAGTCCAATTTTGCTAAACCCCACACAGAGAGAGGTCCTCTCGAAGAACTTCGGCGTCGACGTATCAGCCTTTGGCAAGATCCCGGACGACGAACTATATATTTTCAAGGGCACGCCTGCCCCAGCTGACATCGAGGAACAGAATGTGACAACAACTGCCGGTCTCATCCCTCGCGCCAAGAGCTACTCGTATCATTTCTCCGAGCAGCCGGCCCACGAAGTCGCCGGTGGTTCAGTCAAGATCGTTGACCCGCTCACTTTCCCTATCGCTAGCAACTTCTCCGCTGCTATTGTTACTGTTCATCCGGGCGGCATGCGTGAAATTCACTGGCATCCAACTAGTGACGAATGGACTTTCTTTATTTCGGGTCAAGGGCGAGCGACGCTTTTCACTGCTCCTGACTCTGCGACGACGTTTGATTATAGTGGTGGTGATGTTGGGTACTTCCCAAAGTCTAATAGCCATTATATTGAGAACACCGGTGATGAAGACTTGGTCTTTGTGGAGGTTCTCCAGGCGCCTGAATTCACAGGTACTTCTTCCTTGTCAAATGGTTTCTGTTTCACGTGCTGACGGCATTAGATATGGCTCTTGGCCAATGGATCGCGTCCACGCCGAAACAAATTGTTTCGGATACACTCAATCTCAGCGATGATATGCTTAACAACCTGAAGACCGAGAAGCAGTACGTTGTCGGTGGTACTAGCAACTAGATTGCTTCACAAGAGGACTATCCAGATGTTTATAAAGTACAGGTCATGAGGTCTCGATGATGTTCTTAGTAATTTAAAGAAGTACTGTTAGAAAGACCGGCACAAAAAACCTTGAAAGTCGCCGATGCTCCAGAGTAATGCCCCAAATCACCTCGACCACGGCACCACATCCTTTCCCTCCACCTTCTTATTTCCCTCCCCGCTCTTGAGGGGATTAGTCACTTGGGCCAGTGCGTCGGGCTTCTTCAATAACTGATTCCATCCGAGGGTTGGTCTCGTCCCCAGGCAATGCTGCGAAAACTAGATCTGTGAAGTGAGCGTAGGTGCTAAGTGCAAATTCCAGTCCTATTCTCATCCACTGGTAGGCATATTGTCCATGTATGGATATCACGGGAAACTTTGTATTCGTCACCAGGCTTCATTGGGACTGCCCAATACCCGCATGCCACATCCACAGGGAAGTATCAGAAAGCTCGTCCTTATCGTATTGCCTTGGCCGCGAACTGAAGTACCTCCCAAATGAATCTCCTTATGGCCGAACTCCCCCAGCAAGTCGGCTCCATCCGCCTCCCTTCAGGCAGGGGCGTGTCTCTTGTTGGAACATAGATGGACGATGCCGTTGATATTGGTGGTACGGATCGTACCAGAATGATTGAAGGGCTTTGGCTGGAGCAGTTCCGGTTGGTTTGAGACAGCATAGTTAGCAGCCAAACTGCGTCTCGGAGAAATCTTGGCATGTGCACTAGAGGCGAGCATCTTTGGTGAGAGCGTATGCAGCATTTTGCATGGGGATAAAGTTCCTCCGAATGGTCAGGATAATTTAGAGGCCAGGTGTTCAAATCACCTATTGACGGGCTCAAGTAGATTGGTATTGATGGCACACCTGTTCCAGATAATACTAGCACATAGGCCACCAAATAGAATACACTGACTCCGCTTACTGTCAGGGAGATGGAGCTAGATCCGATTATATCCCACTTCGTGGACTTGGCCCTCGTTGGAAAGCCTGGTAGATAGGGATAAAGTCACCCAAAATGACGTCAATGTGCTTCGGGCTCCCATCCACCTTGACCTCCGACATATTTGCCTAAGGAAAAGTGGTACTGGTTTTGGCGATCGGAATATCGATGTGGGCACCATCGTTCGTGGCAAAGGCTTCCACGGGTGGAGGAGGGTGAGTAAGAGAGAGAGAGAGCCTCGATCTAACGTAGTGCCTCCAGCCTTAGGCAAACTAGCCACGGCGTTCGAAATTTCGTACTCTGGTCTCATCTCGTGGTAATTTGGTTGTGGTTGTGCGTCTTCAAATAACAGTTCCAGGATACCGTTCCACATACCACTGTTAGCGCCGGTAACGAGGACATTAATGTGATCCATGGTGAGACCCAAAGAGTTGAATCGTCCAGTAATTTGCCCATAGGTACTTACCGAGGTACACCATGCGCCTTTAGAAGTCCTGAACAATCTAGATGGTGTCCTCAACGGCTTTCAGTTCTCCCCCCGCCTGATGCTGATGTCAGTCTCGGCTGCAGAAGACCTGGCTTGCCGTGTGAGTTTCTCGAGCTGAATTACCAAGAAGCATTGGAAACTACAATATTCTGCGTACTGGGATCCTCAGTGATCTTTGATACGCTGGGTCCTTGAGGATTGCTGGTTTATCCCGTCCGATTCCCATTTGTCGAGCGTCGCAACCGGCTTTCTTGCATTCAACTAGAGTGTCACCGCTATATTGGCGTGTCACGGGTCGGACTCTTGGGGGTTGGGCGGGTCAGAGCACCTCTTCCAAGGTAATGATGAGTGGTCGGGTATCCGATGTGAGAATGGTTGACCCTCCCCGCTCGGTGTCTGGGAGACCACAGTTGGCTGGCGTGTCTCTGGTTGGTACCGAGGTTGACAGTTGCGCATATATGTGGGTGGCTGCTGGAGAACAGTAGATTCGAAGTTCGCTCACGTCTTTGATCCCGTAGCCTTAGAAACGAGATGAGGTCTCCGTAGACGATGAGTCGGGAGAGGGAGAATCAAACAACGGCCTGTCGGTTGCTCAGTGGGCTGTAAAGATGCGCAGGGGTGATGGTTGCATCAACGCACGGATCTGTTCATGCTACCTGGGACGATGATGGATGATGAACATGGAAGGAAAGGGCAGTCAACACACAGGAAGGGGGTGTTACACCCCATATGGGAGAGTAGTGTACAAGGAAAGTGGCCCCGTGCCAACTGGTAGTTAAGGTACTCAATCGCCCCTTCCCCGTACGGCAGTCTATTGCGTCTTAGACTCATGAAAGGAGATCCGAAAGGATAAGAAAAGGCTATATGAAGAGCGAGGGAGCTGTTTCTATCCTTATAATTATGTATCCAACTATGAAGGTCTCTAATACAGCTTCCCGGAAATAGGAATAAAGACCCGAGAAAGATGAAAAACGGTATGCCAAACCGCATGCAAGTAAATCCTTTATGTAAGATCCCAAGATGTAATAAATGATATCTTGACGGACTGGTGTCTAAAGATCCTTACTTCGAGTGGCATTATTTAGTTGACTCAAGTCGAACTCGACAGGATGTCGATTGAAGACTAAGAATATTCACCGCACCCTCCATACCAAAACCTGAACCCTCAGTATGTCTTTCCGGGGCCACCTGCACTTTCTGAGCTCTTCACAGCCTCCCCCGCTGCTTCTGCGCGGCCCAGTAATTGCTGTATTCTGAGGGGTTATGGCCTTAGTACGTGAAGCTCTACTGGAAACGCTTCGCATCCTCCTTGAACCTGCGAGCTGGGATCTTCTGATGAAACAAATGATCCAGCGTCTCAGTCGTCATGCCCTTTGTTTCCGGTAGCCTGTAGAACGCCCAGACCAGGAGAAGTATAGTAAAGGCCCCAGCGGGAAATGCTGCTTTTCCCTTCAAATTACCCTCTTTTGGATTCAGCATGTACGGAGCCACCACAGAATTCACCACGGAGAGAATATAATATGTGCCTCGGCCGAGGGCGATCGTCTTCACGCGCAGATTGCTCGCCCCGACTTCGGCGGCAATCGCATATGGAATGGGCCCGATGGTCGATCCTAAGGTACATAAGTTGGTTTGAAGTCCATGTATTGTACATCGATGGATCCTACCATAAAAGAAGAACCAGATCAACAGCAAAGCGCACTGTGTCCATTGGATACCGGAAGATGAGGGTGCCACGCCCAAGAAACCAACAACAAGCATAAGCGGCAGCATTGCCACGAGGCCACTGAGGTAAATGGTACGACGTCCGTAATGCGTTTGAAGCACCCAAGATAGACAGGTACCGACAAAAGCAAGTCCAAACATGCCTAGGGTTGTTAGTCGATTGGACCCGGCCAACGAGAAAAGACATACCAAGAGAAAGTTTGAATGAGTTACCAGAGGAGAGACCAGCGAGTGTGAAGAAGTAAGTGATATAATTTTGAATTGCCCAGCCTGGAAGGAGCTGACATCCCCAGCTAATGATGGAAATCTCAGAGCGGCGGCAGTTCGTCCCCTTGAAGCATTCGCGGTATGAACTTCCGATTTGCATATCCCGCTCTGTCTGGATGGTATGTTGTATCATGGCAATAGTTGCCCCGGTATCGATGACTCCATCTGGTGCTGAAACAGTTCTCTTGAGAGACGCCTCTGCTTCTTCTAGGCGGCCCTTACGGACAAGCCACCAGGGTGATTCTGGTGCCAGCCAGGCTACGATAAGCAGGGGAATCGGGAAAGCCCATTGCAATCCGAACGGGATTCGATAGGACCACTGGGATGGGATCTTCATCGTAGCGGTCAGGATACCAGTTGCGAGTAACCTTCCAATGACCCAGCAGAGGTTCACAAATGTTGTGAGGTATCCCCTGAGAGGAAGAGGGCAAATTTCAGCAGCGTATGACGGGGTGGCAGCAGCAAAGAAGCCCCAGGGTAGTGAACTGGAGAGAGGAAAAACGTCAATAGTCTAAATATGAAAGAGATAAACACAGAAGCATACCATAGCAGCTCACCGACAAGAAGCACCTCGATCGAAGGAGCGAAGAATGTGATAGCAACGAAGCCGGTCAATGCAACAAGCGACACCATGATCACTTTCCGGGCTCCAAACCTCTCCGATACGGACCCGTTAACGAAAGTGCCGGTCATCAAGCCTAGAAGAGCGACGAGACTCAAGGCAAGCTGCCATTCGGCTGTAATGGTATAGCCGCCCTCCTCCAGCTCGACACCGTACTTCTTCTGAAACTGGGGAAATGCGTAAAAAGAGTGGATAATCTGCATATCGTATGACTCCATGATAGTAGCAATGGAGATAAGGGCAGACCACATCACAGCAGGGCGATAATAGCGAAAGGCGTCGCGCACGGTGAGGTCAATTTCGGCTCTTCTACCCACCTCGATATGTTCATGCTCCGCTTTCTCGAGTACCCCGGCTGGTTCGATGGGTGGTTTCTTGAGATCGGCCATGATGAGGTTCAAACAGGAGGCAAAAAGCACTCTTGGGATGATGGATAAAAGTTAGAAGGGAATATAGATACTTCCTCTAACATCCTGCTCCATGGTGCCAGTTATATAGGACAACCAAGTAAGGAGGATACCCCAGATTCAGTGCCGTGATCTCCGCATTGCGGGGGATATCCAGGGAAGGACACTATGCTTGGCTGACAGGGGTGGGCGACATATTGCCGTTCCCTGCTGACGGCGAGCGGCAGTCGGCCGGGAGTCGGAAATGGAGGATTTTGGCTGGCCATCCTGAATGTTTGTGGCGAGCTTGGGTACAGTACGTACGATCTCCCAGATAGCCTTTCTCATGGACCTCCCCGCCCCAATGACCAATCGGTTCATATCACCATAACACGTCCTTTCCCATATGTGCCTTTTTGTGACTGGATTGCTCGAGAGGATGCCATGGCACAGGTATCCGCTGTCGAGTCATGTCGAATATTTCGTCATAATATACCGGTAAAAAAAAGTTCATCCTACAGGCGTTCAATACACCTCCACAGATATATCTTGGTGCGTAATTAGCGCGGTAATTAATCCCGTATTCCTACAGATTAAGTATTTGAATAAGTGGACTCTCAGTTCAATCGCTCGGTACTAACTAAGTAGAATAAGGTAGGTCCCCCCATCAACATAAATAACTCCCTGGCACAGTGCAGGCATACTGTAACTTGTTATAGTCCACCAATAGTGTGATAGCGCTCTCGCAATGGGGTAGTGGTTTGAAATGGGCTGCTTATCTCCTACTTGGTAGATACATAGGTGTGCACAGGCTCATCCCCAATTTCCTGCATCTTATCCTCCAACAACTTCGTCATTTTTTCTACAACCTCACGGTATTCAGGCTCGTGCCAGCAGTTGAACAGCTCCAGCGGATCCTTCTCACAATCAAAAAGCTCCCATTCCTTTTCCTCCCCTCCAGGCCGCGTACCTTCAAGCCCAAAGTCCTCGTTATACCAGTAGATCAATTTGTACCGCTGGTCACGCACGCCGTAATGTGCGTAAGCTTCGTGGATGACATCTCGGTGCATCCAGTAGCGATGGTAGGCAACTTGCTGCCAATCGGAAGGCGTCTTTTGTCGCAACAGCTCACGGAAGGTGACACCTTGCATGTACGTGGGGACACGCAGCTGCGCAAAATCAAGGAAAGTAGGTGCAAAGTCGACGTTGCAGATGATGTCGTCGCAAACAGTTCCAGCGGCAATCTCTCGGGGATATCGAATCAGGAACGGCATCTGGAAGCTCTCTTCGTACATGAAGCGCTTGTCGAACCAGCCGTGTTCACCGAGGAAGAAGCCTTGGTCAGAGGTGTAAATCACGATCGTATTTTCAGCAAGGCCTTCAGCGTCGAGGAAATCAATGGTACGCCCGACATTGTCGTCGATACTCTGGATCGTACGAAGATACCGTTGTATGTATCGTTGGAATTTAAATTCCGCTAGCTCTTCGGGTGTCTTGAAAGTGAATACCGTCCCGTCTTGCTTGTCGATTAGGCGTAACTTTGTCACATCCTCCGGAGCAGGGACCTTCCGATCGTGCCACCACCACGCATCGATCATCTTAGGCCCGACCACATCGCTCCCACCGTCTGGCTGAGCCAGTCCCAGATCCATGTATGTGAGATCCTCCGCTACGCGCATCTTTGCCACCTTCGCCGCTTTGGCTCGGTTCTTGTAGTCGTCTGTGAAGGTGTCTGGGAGACGAACTGGCTCAGTATAGAGATGATGGTGCTTGGGATCGTACTCCCAGCTGCGATGAGGGGCCTTGTGGTGACACATTAAGAAGAAGGGCCGGTTGACGTCGCGGTTTCGGACCCAGTTCAGACTCTTATCGGTGATGATATCTGTGGCATACCCCGATTCTCTTCTTATGCCTTCTGGGCCGATAAACTGAGGATCATGGTATTCACCCTGTCCCGGAACGACGCTCCAGTAATCGAATCCGGTCGGTTCGTGATCCTTGCCTTCGCCCAGGTGCCATTTTCCCACCATCGCAGTTTGGTAGCCGCCTGATCGGAGATGTTTGGCGACGTTGGGCATGTGTTTATTTATCTTAGAATCGAGGGTCATGACCCCGTTGACGTGGTTGTGTGTCCCTGTTCAGGATAGCGGCGCGCGACGGAGTGCAGATGCTGTTGGTGACATAACAGTGGTTGAAGCGCATTCCTTCGGTCGCCAGTCTGTCAAGATTGGGGGTGTGATTGATGCCTGCACCATAGCAGGAAATAGACTTCGACGCATGGTCATCGGCCATGATGAAGATGATGTTGGGGCGGTTTCCGGCCGCCATATTGCATAAAAAGCAGTGGAAGTGTGACGCCGAGTACAGTAACTCGCCAAAGCAAAATATGTTCGAGTGCTGAATGTCTGAAGGGGTGGGCGGCGGGCCTGCTAGATTTAACCGTCCTTCTCCCCACTGCGATTCATTCGCAACCCACTGGAGCGGGGGAATATTGATGGATCCCTTCGGTCTCCCCGCAGGAAGCGGTTATGAGAAGGGGCAGAACATGGGAGCACGCTAATTTGATATGCACGGTGTTTGTATGATCTCCACACTCCACCGGAAGTCGGCGGCAGTCGGCAAGAAGGACCTCGTATTGGCGTGGCCAAAGGATGAGTGGGGATGCGATGAAAGGACATGAAGAAAACTCCGACTAGACAAATAGGGCCTACGTTGCAGATGACGGAAGCTCTGCGGGGCATCACGATGTCAACCTACCGAGGTAGAGAAGCTACGATCTCCGCAAACTTGGACGATAATGGACTCAATTTTAGACGGACTGTGGACGATTCCCGTCCTACGTGTAGGTAAACGGTAAACCCTGAAGCCGCCGTCAACATAAATGATAATTACTAATAGTACCCTCGACGGAGAATGGATATCTCGCTACAGCGCTCACTTGGGTATGTGTATTGTCACACCATTTGTAGTATACATCATCTAAATTGGGTTAACTCGCCAAAATTGTATAAGCGCCAGTATACACCCAAGGGCGGATTCATTCTAACTCTCGTAGTCGTCATCCTCAAACTTCGCCTGACGGACCAAACTGTGCACCGCAAGTTGGCTATGCCGCTGCCGACCACTGTCGGACTGAGCATTCGATAGGTACCCTGGTTCCCTAGCCGTCGCAGACGACATGACGGACGCTTGCATAAGGTGTTCTAAATCGGTAATAATCCTCTCCGCAAAAGGGGTGGACGAGAAGAACGTATGCAGGACGCTCAATGCCAAGTTAGCACTGCGGATGGCGCTTTCTGTAGTTATCTCGGGTCTTGAACTGTGTAAAGATGGCAGAAACAGAATAAGACGCGCACTTTGGTAGGCACAGACAGCAACATAGAGTGGCAGCACGGGTGTATTCGACAGCGCCAACACTCCGGCAAGGATCTCGGTAACCTGCATGACATGTATATGGCACATTTGAACCGCATGCTCACAGAAGCTCGCGTCTGTTGTATTCATGATCCTGGCTGGAACTGCCTCAGGATACCCGGGCAAGAAAATCCTGTAGAGATCACAATGGACCTGATGCCACGAAAGTGCAGCAAGCAGATAGCGTGCAAACCACCGGGAGTGCTTCATCTCCAGCTGTCGGGTCATGGCTGAAATGGAGAACTCAGACGTCAGTTCCACATCGTCGTGCAGGCGCCACAGATCATTCTGAATTTCCTGAACGAGGCCAGGCAGTGCCGCCAATGGCTCTTCGGATATTGCAAGCTGTCGTGTTAAACGCATGACATCACGCTGTATCTTGCTGATTTGATGGCAAGCAGCCAGCAAGTTAGGGGTCTTGGCTGAGTTGGCTTTTGTCAAGTTTTGGATGGCTCCAGTCGATGTCTGGGGGTTTCCATCGGAGAATTCCTCTTCATGGCAAGGCCATCTCTGATAGATAATGGCATAAGAGATAGTCTCATGCTCCGGAAGGCCAACGGAGAAATAACCATCGATGCTCGTCAACGCCCATATCACGCGCCGGCGCGTCTCCTGGGCAACAAACGTAAGCTCTGGGCGCTCGTAGTTGAGTCGGAGAGCCGTAGCAGCTCGTGCAGCTAGTCCTACTAGCATGTAGGCGCGTGCAAACTCGCCGGTGCGGATATAATAATGAACTGTCAGCAGAAGAGTCTGGACCCGACGGATGGACGGCTGGTGCAGATGTTGGATATTTTCTGCTTCTGCTCTGAGCGTCCATGATGCGCACTCCTGCAATAGGCGTTGATCCGAAGACAAATATGCATTGGTGACAGCTGCTAGGGACAAAGCAAGGCTCTGGTCTAGGCTACCGTTCAGGCAGTGCTGTCGAACTGAGGGTTCATGAAGGAAGGCAAAGGACGGAATGGGGTACAGATGGCGGAAGAATTGATCAATCGCGCGCAGAAGCTCCTGACGACGGATGGGAAATAGGGCACTGGCTGGCTTTAGAAGCTGAGACGACTCGACTGGTAAATCTGAATCTGTATAGCGACACGCGCGTTGGCGTTGGCGACAAGTCTCACAGCTGGGGAGATCGCCTGAGCAGCGCGCCTTCTGGCGACGGCATTCGGCACACGCCCGACTTGCGCGCTGCCGTTCCGGTGGCAGGGATTCGTTTGTCTGCTTGTTGGTCTCCTTACAAGAGACGTTCCGCCGGTATGAGCAGGAGAATTCCAATCTCTTGCAGTTACTGCAGGTATCTTGTTGACGATCGCAGCGGACCTGGCCACTCTCAGCGGAAGGACCTTAGGGGGGACAATACCTGTAAAAGCACGTACCTTGCGATATCGGCACTGGAGGCATGGGGCGGTGTGGGACCGGCCCATGATGATACTGGCTTGAAATAAATGAGGGAAATATGCGAATGTGGTGCATGCAAGGTAACAAGACCAACGATATATTCTTGTCAACCAGTCGTCGGTGAGACCCCCGTCGTTCATGTTATAGTTATGCTACCATGAATGGTTCATAAAATAACTTTGGAATGTACTTTGTTGTGATTCATAACTTCGAGCTTCTTATGTCGACAAAGAGGGTCGCGCTTACTGGGGCGCCCGAGGGAAATCAGCACCCCCATCACTCCTCCGTAGTGTGACCACAGCTCTGCGGGTGTGGAGAATGCTCATCCGAGGATCCACTATATCACGTGACCATCTACTACCTTATCTTTACGGGCGCGATCCATGGATGACCTCGGGAACTCCCCTTTTTAACCCACCCAGTCCCAATTCCGGTCCCGGTATATAATAACAGTTACAGTGCTGCTGCAGCTTTGAACAAGGATTTGTCCAATAAACCAAACATGCCAATTGGGATACGCCTGATTGATACGAAGGACAACTCGGCAGATGCATTGATGAAGGCATTACCGAAGCTAGATTTTGGAAGGACGAGAAATCGATTGGTAATAAGATGAAGGATTGATGGAAAAGCAATTAGGACCTCATAGGTAAGGTCGATAAAGAGTTGCTAACAAGGAAGGAGACATCTCGCTTAACAATATCTCATGAAGGCCTTGCCTTTTATTGATGCCCATCAAAGACAAAGACTCTTCCACGGATCGCAACTTTTTCCGAGCTCAGCATCTTAATTCCTGCTCTAGCGGTTATTAGGGGACCAGAACCTATGCCTGCTCATCAAAGTGTCCCGCATTAACCCAAAGAGGGTGATTGGTACCGTCTACTACCAAGGCAGGCGATTTCCAAGAAACAATGTACGCAGGATAGAGGAAGCTGCCCGCTATAGTACTAGGTGGTACCAATCAGCCTCTTCGGACTAATGGGGGCATCAACAAAGGCCAAGACTTTAATTATCTGTCTCATCCTTTAGGCAAAAAGGACGAACGACAAAAGAAGTCTCATAAAGGAAATCTTGTCCATACAAAGGGTTTCGGAGGTAATCTTGACGAGGTGAATAGGGAACTGGCCCTGGACGTTGGCAGTACCAGAAACAGGGAGATAAAGTTGCTTGATAGATATCATGGGGTAATTCAGTGCAAGGTCTCTAGCTTTGGGGATAGGGAATCAGGAGAACAATATATGACAGATTTGACATGAGACACGGGCGAATGAGGGGGGGAATTGGATCATGGCGGTCAGTGGAAGTTGCTTTGAGCATTCAATTTGAGCCTGCATATCTAGGCTGGATGCATGAAATGCCACTCTGATTGATTCTAGGCAGTTTGCACTGTCAGATAGCTTTATTCGCAGCAATCTTCATGACCATATTATCCTTCATTATTGGACAAACCTTTGCTTAGAAACACACCACTACACGCCACGGGTACTAGAACAACATCAAAAAATATTCATGTCTCAACAATACAAGCCACCTTACACCCTTATTATGCTATAGCTTGTAGCGAGGAGGTAGATCAAGACGAAAATCTTCTCCATTATCTTCACTTGCACATGAGTCAATATACTAGTTAGGATGACCAAGGGCCTGTTGATCGTGACCATTATTAAGATTCAATCCAGAATTGTGGCCCCAACCTGCACAGATACCGATTCCTATCAAATATTGTCAGTGGGTACCCACGGACGGCTTTGTGCTAATTACCGGCATCTAAGCAACTTCCCCGGCCCTGGTGCTATAGTTCCGAGAAAAAGGTAGGATATTGATGCTCAGCCGTCCTAAATTGATTTTGCTTCCAGATTCCATATTTGGGGACAAGTCTCTGGAAGTCAGACCGGTCGATAACGCACTCAGTGGCAACGCAGTTTGTCAAAGTAGCTCTTGTATAGTTTGACTACGCGAGACAGTCACTCCGGTCATGGTAAAAGTCCGCTTCACCCCACTCTTGTGCTCAATGACTGAATGTCCACGAGGATCTATGCACCGAGATTCCCGTTTATATGGTGCTATTTTGTGGTATCAATGAGCTCGCTAAGAGCCGCGTCATGGGACTGAGGCTTTTGAGCTATAGTCGGGCTCACATCTTTCATATTCGCTAGTAGGCAGTTGTTTAACGTGTATCGTACAGAGGAATTGTTAATTGCATAGTTGCTAAGATCGCATTGTGTTATGGTGTTGCCATCCTTGTTGAGTACTTGATTGGGCTTCAGGGTTGTCTATGATATCGACGGGGATTCAAATATTTTGCAAATGAACGAGGTATGAGTAATTTCCTGGTAATTTATGTTGCTTAAGAGGACGTCTTGACTATTTCCACAGATATCCTGGGGAAGTTCGTAGATTTTGAGGCAGGCTGATATCGGCGGTCTGAGAACCACAGCGAGGTAGGCTGTTGCCTACATGAACCTTTTCTTCTATACTAATATGGAGGTCGAAGACAGGTTGCTAATTCAAACATATATTGTACATAGTATCCAACATTTGTATCGAGTATGCTCATTCAACCACCACTAGCCCGCCGTGTGGTAAAACATCCAACATTCACACGACCAATTATCGTATTCGGGCATGGTACATGGGCCAGCACAAGAGGTAATGGATAGCTCCACTCCCAGTTCCCGAAATGCTACAATTTCACCTTCACAGTCCTCCCCACTCTCTTCCTCATCCATGCCGTAGAACTTGCGATACATGACAGCACGCAAATTAGGTGTCTGGCCGACCTTGACCCTTTCGAGTATGCTTGGGAAGCTGATACCCGTCCTATCAAATTCGCTTAGTTCCAACGTCTCCAGACTGATGGGAAGAAACTGGATAGGCACTCGCGTACCCAATTCATGAACTCCATCCAACCCCCGTTCATAGTACTGATAAGCATCCATAGGGATGCTCAAGTGCTTTAAGCCTTCCAAACACTCGAAATCAGGGTCGCTTTCCGAATACCAGATATCAAAATCAAGGTATTCCAACCCCGCCGAGCTGCTCTCTTTGATCTTGTCGACGTATTCGCATGGGTCGACAAAGTTATCACATGCCCAGCTATTAGACGACCCGTTCGGGTCCGGCCATCGGCCCTTTATTGCAAGGTGGGTAAGGGCCTCGGGAAAGGCGAGAATTTGGCCAAGTGTGTCGGGTGAAAAATCACGGTTCAGAAACGCGAGATATTTTAGAGCTGTTTTCTTAACAGACGAGCTTGTCGCAAGCGCCCCTGGGTGTAGGAGTTCGATTTTGGCTCCTTGGATGTGCAGCTTCTCAAGCTGTACCATAGAAAAGACAATCTTATTGGCACCAAGCAACCATCCACCTCGGTCAAACCCCTTGTATGCTGCTCCAAGATATACTAGAGGATATTAGCCTTTTCCTTGCACCCACTTGCCCGATTCTAGCACTCACAGGTCCGCAGCTTCTGTCCGACGTGCTCAGTCGGCGACTTAATCTCAATGTTGTTTTCGCCCTTCCTGAGCAAATCGAGCAACCTGTGGTTCGTTGACTCGAATATATCTCTGAGCGGCACGCTGCGCACGCTCAGGCTTTTCAGGTTGCGCATTTCAAATACAGCAGTAAGGAGAGGCTCGTAACTTTGGCCCATCTCCTCATCGTGGAAGTGTACTTGCAATTCCACAGTAAGACGACACAGCCATGAGCTTTGTCGTAGAGTCCGGGCAAGCTGGCCAGAGCTGACCGGACCCGTCAAACAAATCGATGAGTAGAGTAATGGCGTTGTGGCAACATGGACCCTGCGACAGGTCAAGGATAGACTGTAAACTGAAGACGGGGACCGTCGCAGGTGCTCGAATATCGTCTGCAGCAGTTCAAGTGGAAGATTCTGAAATATCGACATTGGGACAGCCATGGCTGACTGGTAGATCGATAGATTGTGACAAGAAACAAAGAAAGAAAACGAAGAATTGGATGAGAGAAAAGATCGAAAATGAAAGGTTGGATGAGAGGAAAATGAGAGAAGAAGGGTAGATTATCTACAAGCACAAGAACCTAACCTGACGAACTAGGCATCAAGGCAGGTGCTCCCGAGGCGTGTCTCAAACATATTTAAATATAAGCTCATAGTCTCTTTAAAATAAAGTACGAATGCCGACGAGGAAGGTACGCGATTCACATGAGCGTGAGGTAGCAAAAAATAAGAGGAGCCAATACCGGGCAGCGGACCGAAATACATGCCATGGGCACATTGCAGTCATATAAGGTGGCTGTTCTAAAAATCGATATCTAAGGGGCCGTTTATTTAAGAGAAGTAACGTTTCCACAATTTTAGTGCCCAATTTCAGTTTGGAGGTGGTTATGGTTGGGAAATTGAACATAACGCTAGATGTGATGGGAGACAGTCTCTATATTTATGGTGATGTTCTGACTACTGTCGTCTAGCTTTCTAAGTAACTTTATCCGGACAAAGGGACAAAGACCTGAATGCTGTATCACTTCTGACAAAATCAGGTCTGACAACCTACATGTAAGCAAGGGAAGCCTCAATACAACATATATCAGATTGCGCTCTCCTGTCGCATGTAACAAACTCACATTAAACTGGCCTGATTCCCGCGTGAGTGCAAAAGGTTAGTCTGAAACTGCTGCGTGGTTGTGAATGTTCGTAGGACTAGATGATAGGTTGACTGTCACCTAGTTCTTACCGACAGAAAATAGAAGAGCGGACCCATCTATGCCACCTTGGCAAGGGGCTTGTACTCCAAATATCCATGGACTATGTGGAGGATAAGCCGCCCAAAGTCGACGAACGAGGAAAATCATCGGTTTCCAAAAGTATGCTCGGCATAATGTCTTCTAGGGAATCTACGGGGAACCAGAATTCCTAGTTAGTAAAACGAAAGGTCCAGAATACAAAAGACCCTTGAAGGACGACATAGCCGACGGATGAGCCGCATAGGAGGCAGCAGAGCGCGAGACCCGCAATGCTGTCACAATGGAACAGTTGTCATCAACTAGAAGGAGGACCCAGAATCGCCAGGGAGAAGCAGCACTTCGGCGTGCCTGAAATGAGAGTGCCGGTGGTCAAGCAGCACCGGCGACTCAAGGAAGCACCGTGCAGACCGCGGGTCAGGGACAAGCATGAAATTAAATACCTCCCTGCTTCAACTTGCAGAAGGTGACCCAAGGTTAGGTGGTTCTCCTTGGGCGCTTGCGAAGGCATCACGAAGATGACCTTTATATATCTCTTTGTCTTTCATCTTGCCGTCAAGGAATTTTCGTACATCAGGTGCCCAATATGGCGAGATGGTCCGTTCAAACTCCACCATCCCAGGATCATCCAGTTTCGAGAACAGTGGTTGTATGTGCTCTTGGAATATATTAGATAAACCTTTGGGAGTTCGAGGGCATGAAAATACCAGAAATTCCCAAATTCCCAAATTCCCGGCCTTTCCTCATGATGCTTGTGAGACCTAAGGTTTTATCCACCGCTCGAGAATGAGCCTGTTCTTCCTCCTCGAAGATATTCATGAATTCGGCGTGGACTTTGCCGAACGCATCAAGATGCTCCCCTTTGTATAACCGGTCCACTCCACGACTAGTGAGCCACTAAGGCGGATGGAGCATCTCAACCGGTAGTGAACATGTCCATTCTAGATGGACAAGTGACTTAATGTTCCAGTCACTATCGACAAAGAGGTTACTTTGGCGTAGATCCGTCAAGGTCATGATAAACGGTCCACGCCGGTAATCGCGACAGGAGAAATGTGGTAGCAGAGCTCGCATAATGGTCAGAGTTGCCAGCTGTGCTTCACCATCGGCCTTGTCCCGTATTGAATTCGGGGCATGCCGCAAGCGACTGTCGTGATAGGATAGCAAGTCCATAAAGTAGCTCTCGGTCGTTGAATATGTAAGGTCCCTGTCGATGTTGGTGGGAACGGACTCGTTTTCTAGGTGGTAGAGACGAAGCGTTAGAGGGCGATTGGTGTTTTAAAATCCCTTGATCATCAATTGTTAGAGATCTGATGCGATCAAAAGGAAGTCGAGCTAAGGATAAGATAATTTGGCTCAGCCCGCGAAAAAGGTTGGTTCTACGTCTTTGGTCGTGGCGTAGTTTATCCCAGGATTCAGAAAGCATCACAGTATCGGTACCTCCAACGTGATCCATGATCAGATATCCGGTTGTCAAGTTAAAAGGGCAATTTCGATTCAAGTAAGGGGGTCGCAGCGGATACCCGAGAACGGACGACACTACACGATCAAAATGCCATTTTAGTCGGCTGAAGACCGGGGGTGTTCAATCGCGGTGAACTAGGCCAGTGTTAGATTGACTTGGAGATAAATTCAGCAGCTCACTCACACATGGGCCTTGTGCAAAGGCAAAACCCGATAATCGAGGTATTGGTATAGAAGGACAATTCTGGCGAATCCAGATAAAGGTTGCAGCCTCGCAGCGGAGCTTCTCGTCTGCATTGCCCGGGTGTTGAATCTCTCCGACCTTGCACGGCAAAGAGAACCTGACGAGAATCCGTTTGCGTGAGTTGTCATCCTGCCCGTTAATGTCGACTGGTATGCACACGTTGAAGCTCCCGGCAAGCCACTCTTTGACTTCCCCGACACGGCATGTTTGATTTTCGTTTAGATTCATGTGATATGACACGATCGATTCGATTGAAGTGCGGTGCTGATAAAGGTATATATAGAACTCGAGTCGCCGTTCGGGATAGGAGAGCTCTTGGACGACATTGTCATCATCGTCTAGGGCCGTGGAGAGACTGATCTACCCGTGGAGAAGGGGCAGCACGCGCGGCATGCTGACCGGTCGAATGGATTGAGAGCTTTGCAGTAAGAATATTAGTAAAGCCGTATATAATGTAGAAGGGTCAACCTCACGGATTGCATGTACCCACCCACTGGCCTAAGAATATGTGGAGATGAAGGACGAAGATGATGACTCTCAAGGTGGGGGACCTGGCGGTGGCCGGTAATAACACGCGGATTTAAGGATTTGGTGGGTCCTGTGGGTCATGGTCCAAGCGTTCATATAAGAGGATCTTCTCGCTGTTTCAGACTTACCTAGGTATCCTTCCGTCTCCTACGAATCATAGGGATTCACTCACACCGAAATTCGAAATGGAAACCCCTCAGCATGATCTCGCTCAAGGCAGTGGAGAGCGCGCCTTCCTCGCGAACTCAGATCTGTCATCGGAAGACAATTGGCAAGGGCTGACAGATGCAAAAGAACGCCGGAAAAGACAGAATCGTATAAACCAACGAAATCGCCGTACGCCATCCGCCATTATCTGATTTGTCTCGGCTCAATGTTCTAATCTTTATCCGTATAAAGGCGAAGCCACGAAAAGAATGCAGCTTGCAAATGGACAGTCAACAACACCAACAAGACCAAGCAGTCTTCGTTCCCTCCCTCGCACTATTCTACCTATACTACCCGGGCCACTAGCTATGATGGATCGACCAATCAATTCTTCCCGGCAAGTTTCAAATGAGCCACCTGCCGAATTAGAATCCCATGGTGGTGCCTCAGTTTCACAATCCAGTCATCTACCATCGAGAGGTGACAGTCCATCCTACCCAGACCGGTCGTCATCCTCCTCAACCTTGATGACGCTTTGGTTCAGAATTCTATGTGACCGAAAGCGAAAAGTGTTGATACAGCAACTCGCCACATTCTACACTAGCTACGCCATGAACTCTCCTACGTCCAGCCACCTCCTCACCCTGACAAGATTGAACGTTCATCGGGCCTTTGTGAGCAACATGGTTTCCCTTGGGATTACCTGGGAATGGATGCAGGAGGATTCTACATCTCCACTCAGCGTGGTCGGACCGATCAGAGACTTCGGCTCATTACCAAATAGTTTGCTTCCGACACTTCTCCAACGAAGGAGTGTGCACCATACTTGGATTGACTTGTTTCCTTGTCCAGTTATGAGAGATAATTTACTTCGGGCGGGCAATGAGTGGGATGATGAAGAGCTTTGCATAGATATTATGGGTTTCTGGGATGGGAACGTAGGAGATTCTCATGGGCTGGTCGTTTGGGGTGATCCTTCTGACCCTCGCAATTGGGAAGTTCAGCCAGGCTTCGTGAAGAAATGGGGATGGGTTATTCGGGGCTGTAATGAGATTATATATTCCACAAATCGGTGGAGGGCAAAGCGAGGGGAACGGCCGTTGTTCGCTGCGTCATTCCTCACTTCTTCTAGATGATAGAATTTTATGATTTTTGTTACCAGCCAGATCTTCAAGGGAAAGAGTGCATTTCAACTAATATACTAAGTATAGGGAGTAAAAGAAAGAGAAGAGAAAGATCCTCTAGTGTAGGATCTTTTATAGGGTCCTATTATAAGTAAGTACAGAGTGTAAATAAACCCGAAGCGGAAATATCCGGTAGGAAACTCGTTATAGTCCCTAGATCGTTATATAAACCCTAGATAGGAATATACTTAGTCCCTAATATAGGCTTAATATTATCGATATAGTCCTTTAGAACTCGTCCTTCTTTATCAGTATTGAGCTATTCTTATAGACGTATAAAGGGACCGGATTTCGAGAGATATTATCTATAGAACTCTTAGACCTTCTTTAGTATATACTTAAAATTACTAGCTGGATACTACTATAGATCGAGATTATATCTAAGCTATTATATCTAGTACTATAACTTTAGATAGTATATAGGAGAACCACTCTAAGTTAATGTAGCAAACGCAGCTACTTCAATATTTAGGATAAGGGGCCCTGAGATATGCAGCACTGGATCTAGCTAGCAGGAGAGTGTGTGGAGACACCATTTGGCCCTCTTGGGTATATACCCTGATAGTTGCCGTGGCTGTGAATGGCAAACCTAGGTTGACTCCATTCATGGAGAGCCAGCCCCTCTTAAAACAAATTGCACAAACAGAGAAGATTTCGTATGTTATAATCCTTCTCTGTATTTCCTGGGCTAGTTATGTTACTAGTAGTGACTGGGTGGTGGATGACGCGACGCCGACTTTGCGCCTTTTTTGGTATATGACGGATCCATATTCCACATTGGGTTATCCTATTCATGCCTATAATAAAACTGAACTGGAGTTACCAATCCCGTGTTTTACAATTGATACATGTACAGATAGTTGCTTCAGTACGGTAGCCGACTGCTTTACGAAGATAGCTCTTATAACCAGTGTTGAGAAAAATACCTATACCTTGTGTTCATACTTAGGTGCACCTAGGAATGGTGACAAGGCTAGAAGTAGGGTGATGACGGAGAAAATCAAATATCAGGCACCAGTGTATCATTTGGGTAACTTACAAAAGGCCGGGTTAGGGGTGGTATGCCCTTATAAGAGGATATAGAAAAGAAAAGAAAAAATAGTTGTTTTATTGGTCGAATATAACTCCTCCCAATAGGCTTGCTGGAAGGCAGACCTCCTACATACCATAGAAAGCTCATTGACACACTGATGATTCTCAAGCTACGTGGCTCAACTACAAACTAGCACTCTAAGCCACGAATTATATTTCATTTTTGCCAAGTGCCAGCGGTATAGCGCCCACAGAGCGGGGTAATTAAGCACAAGCAATCTATATTTCCTATTTGAGCTATATACCTGGCATTTCGGCTATCTCATACACCACAATTGCCTTCTACGTATGCTGTTCAAAGGTGGATGTGGACTCTAGACGTAATTCCCCGCTGCTTTTGTCTAACCGCCAATAAATCTGCCACCGGCTGCGGGCCGACTATATTAGCATGCATAGGCCTGGTGCTCAGGCCGCTTGCTTGTGTATATATATTCATACTTGTTTAGCTCTCCTGCCTTCCCACGATATCACCGATATCATACATCGTGATAAGCAACATTCCTCTGTAAGTTTCTTGACATCTCCTAGTTGCATCTCTGTTGACATCTTCTGATCATGAAACCACATCAGTGTCACTCACGTCAATCGGCATCAGAATGGCATTCCAGGTCCCTACGTTTTCTCGCCCATTCTCTTCTTCCTCTATGGACCAAACCCCGCGCTTTCTCCCAGATGATACCGCATCAAACTTCTCAGTGGCCCTCAACATAACCGACCAAATCCATCCCATTCAGTGCGGAGCAAACGCCTGTAATGTATGCAGTTGCCATAGGTTTGTGGGTAGTGAAAGCCCCGCCGGACAAGACCTTTGCCGCAGGCAGAGTGCTTCAGGACAATACACCTGTGAACACGAATGCTCGGCACACGCGTGAACTTGAGGGCCAAAGCCTATCACCATCTCCATCAGTCTATAGCGGAAAGCACTTCCTCATACTTACTCCCAGTGTCGTCTAATATAACTACGGATCGCCGCTACTATTTTAACTATCGTAGAACTGTATATACAACACAAATACTACATCAGAAGGGACACATTAAATACTTATTACCTTCAATGTAATGGCCTAAGGTATGTGATTAATTTCCTCTCAAGAGGAATCTCCCATGAGACAAATCCTCTTCAGAGAAGTCTTTTATTTTCTGCCTTCCAAGTGACCCTCACTCTTGAAATGAGCTAGCTGAAACAATCTGTTGTCAACATCCTTTCATATGGAATAGCCAATCAAACATACAGCTCATCTCACTCGTGACGTGGCAGTTGCTAACGTATGTATTGTAACTGCGGTCATGCTTAGCCAGCGTTCATTGCTTGCAGTGATCCTTTCCTGCAAACTTTATGCGCGCACTTTTGTAGCAAATGGTCTTACTATACAGTGGCCTGTCAATGCAGATCGTGTACCCAAAACAATCGATAACCCGCCTTTGGCATCTCAAGCCGATACCACCTTGGGATTCTTACTGGGGAGATGTCTCAGTATCAAAATGAGAAAGAGCAAAGAGTCGGAACGGGGATATTTGTCCAATAACTCAAAACCAAGTAGGACCGTCAGAAAATTCCAAGGCGTAGAAAAATGTTTCAGCAACCCTACATCGCCAGTCCAACTGCAACAGTCCGAATCCTCTTCAAAAACAGTGGATGTGAAACCTAACAGACTTTGGAATTAGTATGCACATTCTAGTTGCAGAGTATTTTACATACCTAAGCTTTGGGTATCCGTCTTTTTTCAGACCCACGTTATATAAAAAGCAAATTCCAAGGAAGGCTTCTAAGAGAATACAAGTCGGTCGCATAAGCGGGGTCGAGTGTAGTCGTTTCAATGTAATTATTTCCCATGTCAGGCGACCTTTGTGCTAGGATAACTCGCTGATTATCTCTAAGATCCAACCGACTAGTCCGAGCCTGATAAAAAGTTTCTTCGCTACATTTAAAAGCCATCTACCCTTACTCCGTACTCCTCCTGAGATTATCTTGTCGCATGGAAGTTTCCAAGGTTAGTTTAAGTCCGTACCTTGCAAGGTTGAGATCCCCGTAACCTTCCAGAAGGAGGCCCCACTTCGGCAGAGCTCTCCAGACTCCTCAGCCAATGAGACGGGGAACTTAGTTTGCCTTAACTCCGAGATCCCGACTGACCAAAATGAACTTTGGAATGTCCTACAGTTTACAGAGACCGTATAGAAATAACTGAATTAGGAAGCTTCATCCGCTGGAAGCCATAATCGTCAATTAGTTTTCTTTATACGTCGAGCTCATCACACTGGGATACGTCAGGCACCCTCATCCACCTTCGCCCCACCGCGTCGTGACAGGTCAGCACCGGGGTGAGGCTTTACTGCCGACAATCTACAATATTAATAGTAATATTTATCCTACAAGTCAGTCCATCTTTAGACCTAGGATCCGATGTTGTCATACCCCACAGTGAATGTAACGCAATTGACTAAGTGCATAAGTGGACAAGCGGACACCAAGATTTGGTCAACACGAAACGTCTACAGATCTGACAGGTATCAATATAAGAACAGAAATTGATTCATATTATATAAAAATAACTCGAGGAGAACTTCATCCCCAAAAAAGAATGTACATCCACAGTGGTTGAGCAGATGGATCAAGTCTGCTTCAACCACAACCCGTATATACCTGTCAACAGTTTCAGACCGGACCTACTTAAGATCCGCGCATCCGAGGGCAATGGTGCCACCCTAGGGATCCGTTAGTCATGAATTCTCCACGAAGGAGTCTGGGTTGAATATTATCACTTACCAGGAGGTTGGCCTCGGTACAGCACTGGGGCTTGGTAGGACAGCTAGTTTCTTCGTACCCGTGGCCTGTGAGGAATGTTAGAAGAATTTCAACCTGTGAGATGAAAGATAATCTAGACATACAGAGAAGGCCAATGGAGCCGACGATTTTGGCAGCATCAATGCCAAGAGCCAGCAAGAGGGGGTCGACAAGGGGGTCGAGAGGGGTGGTGAGAGTTCCACAGCAGAGGAGGGGGCCGACACACTCAGAGGTATCGGGCTGCGAGCGCTTCAGGGAGAGGTTAGTCTCCTGGGCAGGGCGGATACCACGCCGGCGCTGATGACGGAAAGAACGGAGAGGATAGAGAGTCTCATTTTGATAGAGATTTTCGATTTGGTCGTTTGGAAAAGAGAGAAGTTGCTGTTGTTCTAGTGAAAGGATTGCGATGGTGGATGGTGTCTAGGATCCCTGGAATATTCAAATCCTTATATAGTTTTCGCAGAGGGATATTCGAGACATTAATCGCTTTCCGCAACACCCCTATGTCGAAAAATGGAGTACCCTTATCATCAGGTTTAGATTGTGGAAACGTCCATTTGTGAGTCGTAAAAAGAACTGTCCGAGTAGTTCCTATCTTGGTGGCGAGAAGATCTGCAAAAGTCTAGATAGTATTTCACCCCAATTAAGAGGCCAAATAAGAGGCTTCGACGTCGAACCGAGGTATAGGGGTGGTGGAACGGCAGTTATTGTTACTAGAAGGGTGGACCAGTTCCTTCGGTTGAATCCGACAGAGTTTGCGATGTGCATATGGATAATTCAGATCAGTTCCAAGCGAGCTGTCGATCACTCTTGATCCATGCTCAATATCATTGAAAGGCTTACAATCACTGGCTCCAAGTCAATGCCAAGTCCAATAGCCAGCGGGGCAATCCCCCGGTTATTTCCTCTGTCTCCGCATCGGGGAGTTCCTTATCAGTGGACCCGGTTTCTGGGATGATCAGCCCTGTGGCATCGAATCAAAATCGCCAAGATGTCGATCCGCTGCAAGGAACAGGCAGAGCCCATTCCCTCCGATCGATGTATCAACCAGGCACAGAACTCAATTGAGGAACAAAATGCAAATCTATCCTCCACACTCCGTAGCCTTATCAGCGGTCTCCGCAGCCTGGAAATTTCTTCAGTTGGGTTGCGATTTGTCATTTCACTCGCACTCGCGTACGGCGGTAGAGCCGGATCGATATGTTCGCGATAAGTCTCGCATCGTTGATTGCATGACCTTGAACTAGCATGCGGGTGTCAAGGGAATGGAGAATTTTTTTTTCTTGTCAAGTTACGTCAAAGGGTGTTTAATCACAACTCCGTCTACTAAGACAAATAGATGGATAGGTAACTTGCAAGATGGAAGAAAGAATTGCCTCGGTAAGTAATTGCTAGCGAATATAGCGTACTTTCACTAGATGCCAAATATTCATCAAACGCAAAATGCTCATCCTCTGGGGTTGTGGCTTATTACTCAGACAACCGGCTTCTTTTCATAACTGCGTCGAAACATCTCGTCAACGTGGACAAGGTAGTAAGTACTAGGAGCCAGGCTATCAACGCTTCCGACCGGGGTATAGCTCTTCTGCTGGTAGGCTTTCTCCCGGACGTTGCACATCTATCATTGTTAGAAATGAACTGCCTAGACGATATGCTTCTCAAGCAACCTACCTCGTTATAAAACTCCGGCGAGACCGGCGTGCGAGCTTCCAAGCGCTCATTCAACTGAACCTGCTGCGCGATCCCCGAAGTATCGCCCTTGACACGGAAGCTAAATAGAGTGCTGGCTAGACCACCGCCGTAGCTGAACATGCCAATGCGCTTGTTCTGCAGTTCCTCGCTAGGAACATTGCTCAGCAAGCTGACTAGCCCAGAGTAGACACTAGCGGTGTACATGTTCCCGCAATTTGTGGGCATTGTAAGGGATGGTTGGACACGCTCGAGGAACCTTTCCTTAGTCAACCCGATGCATATCTTCTCAACTTCTTTGTCCGTCAAAGACGCTGTCTGCTCGACGTCGCGGGCATCTGCTGGAATCTCATCAAAATGGTCGGGCTCCTTCCGGAGGTCGTTAAACAATAGACGACCATACGCCTTGGAGACGAGCTTGCAGTAAGGCGCATGAAAGGCAAAATAGTCAAAGGTATCCAAAAAGCTACCTTGGAAATCCGCTGCTCCATTCGTCAAACGGGCATTCTTAGCCAGACACTTAGTACGATACCGCTCATAGCAGTTGTCCAATGCCTCAATATAGCATGTGTTGGAGTAATACCCATCGACAATGGGGTACTCTGAGCTGAAGTCCGCCTTATAGAAGTCGTAGACGTGCTTCATGTACGTTCCACGGAAGGGTTCCAGCACCAGGGGCGCATCGGCACCAATCAACATGGCTACACAGCCGGCGCCACCGGTCGGGCGAGCGGCGGGCTTGTCGTATAAAGCGATATCCCCGGTCACGACAATGGTGTCGCGACCGTCCCACGTGGATGATTCGACCCAGTTGATTGCATTTAACAAGGCATTGGTTCCCCCATAGCAGGCGTTGTAAGTGTCGACTCCCTCAATGTCCGAGTTGTCCCCGAACAACTGCATGAGAACAGACTTGCAAGACTTGGATTTGTCCAGCAACGTTTCCGTTCCCACTTCCAAGCGGCCAATGGACATCGGGTCAATATGGTACTTTTTCAGCAGTGACGATACCACTGTGAGCGCCATGGAATAGAGATCTACGAATGTAGTCACATCATATTAGCGTAAAGCATGGGACATGGATTGAAGTTTTTTTCCCATACCTTCGCGGTCATCACAAAAGCTCATCTTATGCTGACCCAGGCCAACCGTGAATTTTCCAGCACTGGCTCCCAGATAGATCTCGAGCTCGCTTTGTGGCACGTACTATATAGAAGAAATTATGTCAGTTGTCCAATGGCTTGAATTTCAGAGTAGGCACTGAAATATACGTACGCGACTAGGGAAATAAATCTCCAGGGCCTTGATGCCCACATTTTGGGCGTTGGAGGACATGATTTTTACAACTGGAGGCAGCCTAATGAGATTGCCAACTTATGGTTATAGAAGGATATAAGGAAGAGAATCTGAAATGGTAGAGCGAGTCAAGGAACTAGAAGAAGGGGCATACCTTATAAATCCCAAAGCTTTACCATGTTGGTTCATTTGATTGAACAAGTCGAGCTGCAAAATACAGCGTTGAGATGAGAATGACCGTATCAGGTCATCCACCGTGGCGATGGGCCAAATGAAACAAATTTAGGCCAACGCATAACTGTGACGGCTGCTACCCTGTACATCAGAGCATTTCCCTTTGACATGATCCGATACTCGGAGACAGTATAGGTCACTATACCGCTGTAAGTTTCAGGTTTGCAGAGACTCGGGGCATATGGCGACAATGCTCTCATTGAAGAGAACATGAAGATCGACCTAGTTGGTATGCTCTCATCACTCTCCGGGGTCGTAGGTCAAAAGGGAAAGCCACCTATGCCGCCACCATCGCCTTCTTGAACATCTCACCATCTACCGCGGCAGCCTCGGCTTAGGCAAATCTGTCGGACTGGGCGCTAGGGCGCTGCTCGGGAACTCGGCTACATGAGCCTCCGCGTCGACCTGCTAGAAAATCTCAGCTCCGACCTTATTTCAGCGATGGCCCAGATGCACGCCCCAATAAGGATGGTAAGGATGCAGTTTTCAGGCGTTCCAGATCTTTGTCGATAACACGGCGGCTGTTGGCGTAATTCACGATGCCTTACTTGATGTGACGGCCCACGGGCGGCGGGTCAGCCCACAATGCTGAGTGAGCCAATTGGGCCGGCCATGGCTCCTTCCAGATACGGACTCAATTTCCTCACTGCAGTGGAATTCTGGGGTTGGGTGAGGTCAGATATTTAGGCGGAAGTAATGACTCAGGACATTTCTAGGCCTAGAAAAGCTGGCCTGGAAGGTTGTTTCCTGTGTAACGGCTCCTTACATATAAGTGTGGATGCTGTTAAAGACCTATCGTGAAGGCTTGGTTGCTTGGACTGAGGAGGGGAGAGAAGGAAAGCGAGGGAAAGCAAACTGTCCCTATTGATGCCCGGCCTACCAGGGACCATATAACAGACGCTTTTTACGGCCATTTCAGCCTAGAATGCATGACAAAAATCTTGGGGTCTTTAGACACGCAGACCGGTCAGTTAAATAAATCCAAGATTTGCTGCTCCAACATTCTATCTGTCTCAAGAGTGATAGGGTTGAACGTGTCCCAACATCAATCGAAGGTAATCTTAAGCTCTGTATTGTGTAGAGCCCAATATTGCTGGATTTCTTGATAGAAATTAGCATGCATATCAGTTATTTTATCCATAGACTTACACGTTTATATACTCATTGCGAGTTACTGCAAATTTATACTTTCAATGCTTTCACGGATTGAAGACGCCGATATATATTTCAAGCCATATAGTGTTTTCGAAACTATATGTCTTAACAATTAAAACATTGATTTTGAGCTGCAAACAGAAAACAAACAAAATATCAAATCCAAAATTTGTGGTGATTCACATCTCACATTCTATCCGTGCAGGATGTGTCTGATACTCCCACTCTCCTCGTTACGTTCACCAATATATCCCTCTCTATTTCCTTCACACAAAATTACCATACTTGCTTCAAGCATGGACACGGAGCTTGGCAACCTCAACATGGGGGAAGGTCTTCACATCAATCTGAGCCTGGGTGATTTTCGCCTCGATAGCTGCTGCGCCAAGAGCAGCACGAGCAACAGCATCAGTGTCACAAAGCGTGACCGAGTTGACACCAGGCCTGGCACCAGCAGCGGTCACCCAGTGGACTCCTTCAGTTGGGACACCGACAGCAAACCGCTTTGGGTGCACACGACCATGGGTATCAATGAGATGGTACGGGCTTTGAGTCACATCAAGACCACCAGTCTCGTATCCGTCGATTGTATGAGCGCGACATTGACCGGTTTTGAACAAATGAGAAAGAAGCTCATCCCCCGTGTTGCGGAGGGTGGGCTCTGGCAACCGGGCTTCGATCAATGTCGTAACTCGGATTGGCTCTCCTGGCACCTCGGGCGAGTGGACCAGCCAGGCCTCGTCCTGGGCCTTGACTTGTGGACGGGGACCAAGGACTTCCAGAACTCCGGCTTCTATTAGCGCAATCATTTGCTCAATGCGTTGGCGAGGAGGCCCGATTGACACATAGGCGTTGAGAGGTGTGTACCAGCGGTCGAGGTCCTTCCGGTGAGAAGTGCCGGTCAAGCCATTGTGATCCACAATGAGTCGGAGTTCGTTTCGCAGATCACGCATAACATCCAGAGCTGCCTTTAGTGGACCGTTCAGGTTTCCAAGTGCGGCCTCCTTGGCATCTTCGCGAAGGTAGTCGATCAGCCACTCACGCCACTCAGTGGTAGTGTTGAAAGCCCGGTCGCCCTGTGGGCGCTGGATACGTTCCCAGGACCACCACTTCTCTTCCGAGATACCGAAGTTACGAAGGACTTGCTCTTCCTCGGCACTCTTTGGCTCTGTTTCCAGGAACCTCTTCTGGAAGTCGGTCTGGTCTGACCCGTCGCGCTTCAGTAAGGCCAAGTAATAGACGGTCTCCACTTCTTTTGACACAAGAGGCCAGATATCCCGGAGGAAGTCAGGAGCTTGTCCAGCATCGGAATGCTTGCGGAAAGCGTTGATGACTTCTTCAGTGAAGACGAGAGGCATGTGGCGGCCGTATGCTCCTTTGCCGTTATCACCACGGGAGTGGTATGGAATGCCACGACGAGATCCGGCAATCATCCGAGGCTCTTTTCCAGATGGGTGATATTTCAAGCCGGTGGGTGTTTCTGAGAAGGTACCACCCCGCGATGTTGTTAACAACGCCATGTAGTCGAAGAAGTTGAGACCAAGACCACGCAGGAAAACGTTTTCTCCAGGAGCAATAACAGAAAGATCAACATCTGCTGGGTTTGACGGCGTGATGTGATGAAGACCATTTAGCTCTGCGTAAGCATTGAGCTTCCGCTGTTCAATGTCCAGAAGCAGTGGGACGTGACCCTGTGCGAGGATGACAGCTGCGAGGCTAGAAAGCGTGCGGCCATTCGACAGCTTCAGCGTTTGCTGCCCATAGGAGGTGTCGTCCAGGCGGACAGCAAAAGCAGGATGAACTTCAATTTGCACTTGAGGTGGTGCTTGTCGCACAGTCTCTTGGAAGATCCATTCGAGATACTGACCGTACTGGGCACGGGTTCCATAGTCATCAGGCCCAAGGCCAGGGATCTTGTCGGCGGCCCAGGTGTAGAGACTTGGCCCTGGACGGATTGGGCCTGAGCAGACAATGCTATCATCGGTGAACAGGGTCACCTGGGAGGTGACGGTGTTCATTAGAAGTTGATCCGACTGCTCCGTACGCCAGACACGGCCCGCGCCTGGGGCCGATGGATCAACGACATGGACCGTCAGTCGTGCTCCTGGGGCAAGAAAGTCTGGTGCTGAGGCACAAAGACGCTCCAGAGCGCTGGTTCCTCGAGGTCCAGCACCGACAATGGCAACATGGGTGTGCACCTCGGTAGGTTGAAGGGCGGAAGGCATTGTGTTTTGTTTTTATGGGGAAAATAAATATGGCGAAGCAGAGATTCTGAAGACTGACAGCGGAAGTAATGTTTCCAATCGTGGTGCTTATACTCTTCGTATACTCGAGTGTTTTCGGAAGAGGCCGTTGGAAGTTGTTGGGAATAATACAGAGGAGTCCAGAGCCCTTTTTATATTTTGTCAGTACATCAGGTCATTATTGAAGTTTTTCTTCAGCTCGCATCCTTGGTCTCGCCATTAGGACGCCACCCTCAGGGACGGTGCCTTCCGTCATCCACACGCGTATCATTACGGACCGACAATCCGCAACATGAGCAGCAAATAGGCTGTTCCGATGATGAAACGCCTGGACATCCCGTCCAACCTCTGGCAAGTGGACGCCGTGAGCGTTGAAGAATTGAAGATCTCGATGCAGGGATCGGGATCCACACTCTCTGAATCTACATTCGGGGTAATAGAGGCACGAAAACCCGATGCCGAATCTTGCGTTGCAGGCCGAATTCTGTTTCACTAGGGGCAAAAGTGGATTCTATCTCGCAAGCAGAATAACATATGAGGCTACTAAACGATGACCTTGCATGCATATAGTGACCATGCATTAGAGGCATGACACTGTGGGAATCTGTAGCGCAGATCAAAGGGAACTATGAGACACTGGGGACTCTCCGTTGGTCCGAATTGCATACGCAACTCGATATTCTAAAACAGTTTCCTGATGAAATTATTTTGAACATCTCATCATCATTAGAACGAGCTACAAGCGAATCGACGATCCCAACCCCATTCCCTTGAGATATGTAGCTGGTAATCGATGCATTCATAGACATAATAAGCTAAATAAACATGCCAGTTCGGTGGCGATAGATCTACATGGCTTAGAATTGTGAAGGCCGAGACCAGGCCAGCAGGATCGATATTCTAGTTTGTTTTTACATTGGATGCGCCTGGATCAGAGAGAGAGTTGCATCGGGACTTTGGGACTTTACTTTTCTATTTGTACAAATGCCACATATCTAAATTGGGGTATGAACATCGTACGAGATGATTGTATCAGAGCCAAGCACAACAATGATATGAACATTCTGCTGGCATAATTTCTATCATAAAACGATAAAACACGGTGAGATGGAATTTCTCAGTCAAACTAAATCAGACCTCTGGGCGCTTATATTCGCCTTTCTCTATCATCTCATTGATGGTTTTCTCAGTCACCATCATTGCCTCGACACCGGCAGGGGTGCCACAGTAGACTGTTGCCTGCAGAACAGCCTCTCTAATTTCTATCTCCGTAAGGCCGTTGTTTATTGCACCACGGGTGTGCAGAGCAAGCTCAAGCCATGCTTTCTGAGCAATGATGATTCCAATATCTATTGAATATGCCCAGTAGATATTAGCAACCTCAGACTGTCTACCTCTCGGAATTATACTAGAATTTGACTTACTCAGAAGGCTCCTCTGCTTCCGGTCTAGCCCGGGGCGTTGCCAGACAGTCCCCCATGCCCATTCCGTAATGAGCTGCTGTCCGGGCATGGTGAAGGGTGTCGCATTTTGCAACGCGTTATTGACGTACTCGTCTCCAAGCACTGCTCTCCGCACTTTAACTCCTTCGTCAAAGAGCTGCTTGTGCATTTCCTCAAACTTCGAGTTGTCGGACATATTTGTAGAAATTTCGGATTATGAGATTGATACTTGGGATGCAGTGGGGATGGCGATTCCGATTCGCGGGAAAATAGACCACGGTTTTCACTGCTTGTTTGGACACGCTTGTTTATTCGACATAGAGAAGTATTATGAGACAAACAAGCTGAATTTAAGCAATTGAGTTCTGCTGCCCTTGGTCAGATTGCAGTTCGTATGTGCAGCCTCCATAGTTACTTTGGGTCATCGGGCCCACTTAAGATCTTCAGTCAGCGGGATGAAACATCTGTGGAGCGAACTCCGGGCCTCGCCTATGACAGGAAGCTTACATGCCTTGAGGCTTCGCGCGTGCCTTTTTCAGCTTAGCGGCAATTGCATTCGTCAGAAACATGCAGGAAGCAATTCCCGCTTGTGGGGCTTTGCTCGCTCAACCCCGGCGAACTTGCCTTCTCCATACAGGATACGACCTCAAAAAGGCTTCATGTTCGTGAGATGCACTATTTTCCAAATGGACAGCCTGTTCCACTAAGGTGGCTGAGCTCACTGCAGCTAAACCCACTTATGTGTCATAACCATGGTCTAGATCTAAGAACTGAAAATTGTCTTGTCTTGACCTCGCCAAAATCCAATTGATCCTTCGATCGTAGACATATCCAAATCGGTCCCCGGACGGGTTTAAGCACCCTTCCGGTGTTCAATAGCGGGTCCAAGGGCCCCCAGTCCGCCACCTGGGCGTCCTGTCAGTCCAATGTACCAAAAGTGGAGACATTGTATTGTATGTGCATAGAGTTATGTAGATTATGCTGTATTCAATCTTATCAAGCTTACGCCGATAGGTAAACTAATTGTGATTATCTGCTTGTTCCTCAATTTATTCTAGCTTACGAAACTGTCTTTAACATCCATGGATATATCATGTATGTTAGACATTTAGCGGGTCTACATACTCGTCGAGTTTAGCTACATCCACTAGTTGTAGAATTAAACGGAGTTAACACGTACCTCTTTTAATATATTTTTCAATCTTCTTACTGTGACGATGTATTAGGTTTCGGTCCGAAACGACCTGCGGGATGGGTGCAAAATAAGCTTTAAGCCCTAATTTATTAGTGCCTGCCTAGGTACACATAGTTGTTTAATAATTCTTGGCTACTAGATAGATGCTCTCGATAATGTCGAATATAGTCTTTAAACTCTCTCGATATCTCCCTCTGATAGCCTTATAGGGACAGGGTAGGTAAAGGAAAGTCTGATAAGCTGCATATAAGGAATACATCACTGCGCCAATGCATCAATGTGTACATATTTAGCGTGGGCGGACTTAGTTCCGTCGAAAATCCGGAAAATCCGCTCGAAGGGCTTGCCCCCAATGTAGGTGATCATTTTATAAAGGACATTTTTCGCGTCTTGATTATACACGTGGTACTGCCAGCCTATACTCTTAAAGGACTAGAGTGACTATAACTAGAGCACGGAGTAAAGAGCCGTTTCTTATTACTCCGGATCATCAAGTTATGCAGCGGATTTATGCATTTGGGCGGCTTACGACACTGTTGGACACTTCGCGTCCCTGAACCTCTATGGGTCGGGGCCCACTCCCGTTGGAAATTCCATTCGTCACTTGAGCATATCGAAGCCGTTTCAATACCTCGGTAGATATGGCTGTTAGCGCAAGAGGAGGATTTCAATACGGAGGTCTGTTTGCTTGATTAGACTTCGGTAAATGATCGTCTAGTACATAGCCTAAAGACCACCGAGAAAGGCCAAACCAGAATAAAGATAGACCATGTAGAGCATCAGCTTAGGCCATAGTTCGCTTCTACATCCGCCATAGAATTAGTCGTCGGCTCTGTGGCCGGCATTACTTCACCGCCGGAATTTCACACTAAACTGTTGCCTACTCCGTACGGTACCGTCCGGTGATCTCAACTTCCGGGAGGCCGTTGTTGATCTCGGCCGTATGTATGCAACGTCAGTTCCAGCCCCACTTCTCTCCTGCCCTCTTGCCTGCTCTGATCCATAGGTGGGTGCCTGCAACAGACATGTGTCTTCATATTTGTGTGTTTTGCATATTGTTTGATTGGCTCTCAGCGGTCCATCTACGTTTGACTATTGCAGGGGATCTCCAAGTGCTTATGCCACGGCTAAGTCAGCGGGTCTCGGGGAATCCTCGGTAGATCTTCGGTGGATCTCAATGTTTTAGATTAAGGTTTGGATCTACAGAGTGGGTCAACCTTCTCGCTTCACTTCACAGGGATCAATTAGCATAGCCCCAATCCGTCGTTTAGAGCACGACTTGGTGTCTATTTGTGATGGCAGTAGCGTCTAATTCAGGTGAGAAGAATCGGCGGTCCGGGGTCCACCTCCCTGTAACCAATATATCATATGGTCAACTCCGTACAACATAGTCCAATTACTTCCCTTCTTGGCACTGATCAAGCATTTTCTGAACACAAATTGGTCATGTCTTAAAACTGTAGGTAATCTGGGCCGGCCCGGGGCGCAGTGGCCTAGACCTCACGACGGCCCGGGTTTGCGTCGCCTATCATGGGCGCTCTACCTCATCGAGGACTTTCAGCGTTACATCCGACCATCATATATAGAAGTTACTATAGGACCAAAAGTTCCCTAAGGTTACCCGTAATTTTAGGTATTTAGGCAGCTACCAGGAGAGGGCATGATCGGCCGAACAAACGTGGGTCATGGCAAGAAATCTATTGCCCATGAATTTTCGTATTAACGCAATTTGGAACAAACTTGAACCTTTTGGGCCACGTAGACCTCCTATTAGGTTATATAATTTGCTAATTGTCGTGTCGTTGGTAAATTACAGCTGGGTTGTAAATGATCTGGGGGCTATACAGTATGTACTGCCGTATAGATTTAGTCTGGAGTCCGAGACAGATGCTAGAAAGCCAAATACGTTGGCGTTGCAAATTTGGAGTTTATTTGGAATAAACTACCGACAGGTAATAGAATACTGTAAACTTCACTTTCTAGGTATAGCTTTCAACGAGTCTGGCTTGGTTATCGCTTTCCGGGTCCTTCTTCTCAGTCCGGAGACTGGTTGAAATATCTGACGCGAGTTTGTCAGTTATGAAGCGGCCAACGGGTTATAATTCAATGCTTACAAAACGACGTGAATTCTCCTAAAATAGTCAAGCGGGATCCATTACACTTGTAGTGTGGCAATTATTGGCCAACTTAAACGAACATCATCTTTGCCTTCGCTGAGCCAATTTCCGCCCCGGAAGATCAGGGGACTAGACGCCATGCTGACAGTAGCCTAACCATATAAATACCTAGTCATATAATAAGGTGAATGTCTTCAAGTTACATGTACAAACCCACGAGCATCAAATACTCCGCACTGACCAAGACTTGATTCTTTCTCGCCGTTCTACGCATGGTATGTTCTTCATGGAAGAGAAATTAGCACTAGAGCGGCGGAGGGAGAGGAATAGGATCGCACAGCGAAAGCATCGTACAGTAGGCACTATGCATTCTTTCAGTCCGTTTAGCTAATGTGGGATAGGTGAAAATGCAAGAAACAACACGAAGGGAACAGATCCACAAGTGGAAAGTAGCGAATGCAGCAGCTCAATATCGCCACCTCAACACAGAAGCCACCAAGGGCAGACAACAGACCGCAGTAGCAGTTCCTCAAGGAGCAGTGAACATCAATGCCTGCAGTTCCCAGCTGTTTTCGGGTCCGATATTGAGTACACTATGGACCACAAGCCAGCAGAGAATATGTTTTCCGACATACAGTTCTCACCACACGCCTCAGAATACAATCAAGTTGACCCGACAACCCCCGAACAACTCCAATCAGGCCTCTCCTCTTTTACCATGGATGCCTTATTGTCTACCAACCCAACCAAAGGTATGTTGTCTACGCGCAACCCCCTCGTCCACATACCAAACCTAATCCTACGCCATAGCCATAGTCGGCCCCAGCCTTTGTGCAAACTGCTACGCCCATACCAAACCACAGTTTCTGCCACAACAAAATTTGGAAGCGATGATTACCTTGTCTACGAACACGACCACCCAGCCGCTAGGCCAACATACGGACCACGGCCCGGCCTGCGCTAGTGGAGCAGGGTCCAAAGTATGGACGACTCCCCTCCATATTTCCGTCGCTCACGGCCATCTCTGGGCTGTGCGCCTCCTCCTTGACCACGGCGCCGATCCTAACGCCATTGACGGAGCCGGCTCCACCGTGCTTCATACAGCCGTTCAACGCGGCCATCACACCATCGTGCGGGAGCTGCTTCGGCATAATGCGGATCCGAGCTCCGTAGACGTGGCAGGGTGGCTACCGTTGCATTATGCTGCCGAGGCGGGCGATGAAAATTGCATGCGGGCTTTACTGCAGACAGGTGGAGTTAGAAATTGACGGGAGACAAGCGTTACTTTGGATTGGGGCTAAGGCATTCGAAAGCTTAATGCCACTATTCGAAAGCTTAATGCCGCTCAGTGTTGATTCTATTCTGGCGCTAGTGTCCATTGTGGAGTAGTCGTATTCGGTCTTGTTAGGTCCTTTTGGGCTCCTGTTTTGGATGGTATTGTCACGATGATACACGCTATTCATGCATTAGTGTTGAGCCTGTAGCTATGTTGCCAAATCTCCGATCCATAGAATCCTGCACGACAGTTCTAAGTTAATAGCCTACCTAAACACTAGGAGAAATGTATATCCAACATGGACAGTTGCCACCATAGTAGGTTTGACAGCAATCACCCGTAAACCTAAAACTACCTTATCCACATTAACTCGAATAGGTAATTGTCCCGGCTTAGCGGTGGATGCGTTACTTTTTTGTTCGCTAGGATGTACCGGGCCTAGCGCGACCTGTATATGTCGCACTGGGTTCGAAGGATTCATGGAGTTGTTGCAGTTGTTACATCATGTCAATAGCGAGTTCACGGGCCTATGACCTATTCAAATGCAGCTAGTAGAGGAAGTCACGAAGTATCTTGTGGAAGTTGTAGAGCTATCCATGGATATCAAAAGGTAATCTTATTAAGCAAGAAACTGTAAACCTAAATCTATTCACACTGCCCCAATAGGTTATCCAGGCTTCGCAAAGGCGTAGGGATGTTGTTTTCAATCAACTAGGTTGCACTAGGCTTAGCGGACTCCCACACGTATTGCACAATTCCCTTCTGGCGCCAGAAAAGGCCGCCGATCGGTAAGGCCTACATATGTCCTCGTGAATTCATAGCTGGTCTGCTGCTGAATCTTCCTGTTAGGACCAAAGTTTTCATGCATAGGGATTATCAACTAGCATACGGCCATATTGTCCGAATTATTTCATTTACCTTCGGTGACGGGACATTTGAAAATGATCCGACTCTGTTAACCGTACTCCGCCATGAACCTTCGTCAACAACTGCGCTTTTCACACTTTTTGTTCCCCTGGAGTAGTCCAATATGTCAGGACTCGAGGTTATTGGCGTTGTGTTGGGTACCATCCCGCTAATCATCTCTGCCCTGGACTCCTACAAAGTCACTAGCCAGTGGATCAAGTTTATAATCAAGAAGGAGCTCCTGCTGAATCAATTGATCGAGTAGAAGAGCAAAGATTCTTTCTCCAGACCGAGATCTGCTTAGCGCTCAAGAAAACCCATCTCGAGGAGAAGCAGATCATCACACTGATTGATGAACAGGGGTTCAATCTGTTCCAGAATTCAGAGGTTGCAGATTCCCTTAAGGAATATCTTGGAGAAGACTTTGTATTGTACACCAATGCCGTTGCCCGATGCCAGCATATTCTCAACGATATCGTCGCCAATATCAGCGGTCTTGTATCAACACTTCAGGTACCCACCATGTCCGCTCCCAGTATCTGATACACGACTTGACACAGTTGTCATAGTGGGGAAAGAATGACCTCCCAACAGTCCACCAGACTCAGCCAAGAAAAAATGGCAAATTCGAATTTACCAAGCGAATCAAGTTCAGCGTCCGAAAAGAAGATTGACGGCGGCAAATCCTAGACGCATCCACCAAAACATTAAGCCGACTGAGGAACCATAGCATGGCAAGGCAGAATATCACAGTCCAGCCCAGGTCCAAAACCATCACGAAATACACATCAGCCTTTAACATTGTCCAGAATTACACCCAACATTTGTATTCCGCTATCTCCTGGCTGCATAGCTGGGTGTCATCTGGGGCATGAGGCAAGACTGTTCTTGCAAACAAGATCGTCAGAAATGGATAAGAAACACCTCAAGTCCCTCAAGAAGACAGCTGTCAGTGATAAGATCTACAACGTAAAAGAGATCATGAAAAAGGCTGTACAATGTGGATTGTGCAGAGAGCTATGTGTAAACTATCAAGATGGAAAGGAAGGAGAGTAGTACTAGCTACATGTATGGAGGAGAGATGTCATGTGACATTAAGAGATATCAACACCCCCCACGATAGATGGCATATATATTGAAAAAGCCCCCTATACTCCTGATTTTCTGGATGAAAAGCTGCTTTAATAGACGAAAAGCAGAGCTTTTTAGGCTAATTGAAATACATATTTTTATTATATAAATCAAAATAGTAGATCAACCAGGCAAATTGATATTAAAAGAACTAGAACTTATTAATAGGATTAAATATTATACTAATTATATATAGATATCTTTAAATATATTCAACTAGTTGTACCTGCTTCTGAATCTGAGTGGCAATTGATCTGATGTTACAACTGCGTCGCTGTTCGGCTTTTGCATTTCCAGTCCGCTTCGTCATATTGAATGCCCTGCGAACATTGACATAGACTAAGTAAGTAATCTTCAAGCTGAACTACGTATCGCAACTTTTGGTATAGACCACACCTGGCATTACTGGAACAAGCAACTGCTTGACGAATTTCGAATTTCCACCTTGTTGTGCTACAAAGTTGCGCCGTCATAAAACCTGGATTTTTGCGTAGTTTTCTACCCACATGAAGGCTTTAGGCACGAAGTTCTATCAACGCCTACACGAACTTGTATACAGTCGCGGTAGATTCCCAGGGCTAAAAATTTGTCAAATACATATATTTTCAGTATCTTAGCGACCGAGTCACTCCGCTGTCATCACCACAGTGGTAACTCTAAGCGCGACATGACTTTGAGGCGATGCACCTATATACGTGGGTTACCATTCTATGTAGCCACATTGTTACTGCGAATGGTAGCCTCCAGCGGGAAAACCGAGCTTTCCACAGTCACACCGGCATAGACCCGATCAAACCGCTCCTGCAACTCTTTGGGCTTGGTCCACTCATGCTCCGGATCGCGCAGCCAAAGTCGAAGAAGGTGTCGTCTGTGTTAACGTCAGCGTGCCTCCAGCTAGAAGTCTGCATGAATGCTCTTACTGGTTCTCTCTCGAGTCTGTAAATGCTTCTCTTGCATGCAGAATGCTCAGGTTGTTGGCAAACTGGATGTCACCCTTGTGGAAGTCTAGCGAAATAGCGTGTTTCTCGGCGGTAAAATGAACAGCATCTAAAGCCTCCGCCTGGGCTTCAGTCAACGGTGGAATGTTGACCGACCGCTTACAGTCCCAATATCCAGTCAGGTTTCTTCGCGAGTACTGAATGATCAGTCGCTCGGGGTCGGATTGACTAGCCTGCTGGTAGTACAGTAGCGGTCGCAGCTTGTACTGATCACCAGTCGGGGCAAAGCTGGAGGAAACTATATTAATCACCATCCGGGATAGACCTGGTCGTCACTCAATCGGCCGGCAAGAAGATTATGGACTCACTCATCAAAAGGCCAAGGCTCGGAGAGAGTCATGATCAGATCAGGACGCGTAGCAGCTAAAACATTATAGACGTGGCAGGTACTAGCAATGCAGCTCTCTCCGCCCGATTCACCTTCGCTTAGGCAGAAGAGGGCAATAACGTCACCAGCGTCGGTGTGGAAAACCTGCTTCTCTGCAGTTACCACTGGTCCGGGTATGTCCTTCGAGCTGCAAGAGTGACTCAGGTCCTTAACATGGGCAACAAGGACATCAGCTGGTTTTCCTTGCCATTTGCTGTCTTGACGGCCGCGAATGGGTGCAACGTGCGAAGAGAGACCAGAATAGATAATTACATTTTCTTCACGGGTGTACGAATCCACAGGAAGACCACGGATAACTTTGAAACCGTGGCCATTGTGAACCTGGTCAGAGATTTCGCGGAGGGTAGTGTGCAACTTGGGCAATGGAAAGGTGGTTGGTGCGAGCTCGCCCATTGGCTTATTCAGTGCTATCAAGGGGTCCAACTGTTAGCATGAAGCTGGGCAATTTAGCCAGGCCGAATAGAACAGAAGCATACACTTGAAGTGCTGCAGAGCACTGTTGATCTCGTCGACGTCCTCGCTAGTCAGATAGTAATTCCAGTTGTAAGCGTCCGCCAAGTCCTTGCCATCCCAGACAAGGTCCCCAGATAGACTGGGTGGAAACCCCTTGGGAAGGTGCTGATCGAGTTTCTCGGTTTCTTGCCTGCGTTTGCCGCGGGCCAGGTACTGGTCATAATCGGGCATATACCCAATGCTGACATTTTCTTGAGACGAAACAGTCATAGTTTGATTGCAAAAGTGCTTGCTAGCTTTTGAATTCGAGCGAAGAAACTAAGAAACCGCAACGATGTGCCTGGTATAAGAACATACTTCCAATTGACTATTGGTGGAGACATAACGATGTCGCAATAATGGCTGCATAATGCAAATATGCCATCTGAGCCACTTAAATACGATTTTCTTCGTGGGTTCCAGTGGTTAATAGCTGAAAAGATACACGCGTTGTCCGGCATAAACACCGGAGTCGGCGTGAGGATCGGAGTCGCACCCAGGAAAAGCGGGTCTGAGTGGATCGTCTCCAATAGGAGTTCTCGATTTCACCCGGAGCAGAATTTACACCGACAACCACTTCCCTGAATTTACTCCCTGATGCCGGGCTACAATCGCTTGACGTCAAGGTCCGGGAAGCTCCCGGCATGTGAGCCATGCCGGGCAATGAAGATGAAATGCGACCATGGACGACCTAATTGTTCCAGGTGCAGAGAAAGAGGCCGGGCTGCTAGCTGTACGTACCGGCCCAGACCTTTCAAACGGCCTTTAAGTCGGGGTCATCAACAGACGCAAGTGGCCCACCATTCAAGTCTATAAAATAGCTAATCTAGAGTTCCCCAAGTTGACAATTTCAAAAATTATTTAGACGCGGGGAAGATGATGCAGCCTCTGTTACGCCAAATATAGGAGTTTCTGGAGATTTGGGGGTTCCATCGGTCCAATATCCAAATCCGGGCTACTTGGGCTCATCCAGCCATACGAAACTCTTTGACCAGCTGTCGTTCCAGAGATATACAGAAGATGACGCCGGGGGTCGACAAAGCGAAACCAACCCAACCTCTCAAAATGGGTATATGATCAGTGACAGCTGCATCGAAAAGGGCGCAGAGCTTATTCTTGAGCTGCACCGCGAATCTGCGCTCCAGCCATTCGCTCATCTCTTCCAAAAATGGATTTCAACTGGGGCAAATCTCGCTTTAGCTGGCCCTCTCACCGGACCATGTGCATCGACGGTCGAGTACACGCTCCTGAAGTGCGATGGGACGCATGCAACCGCTCGGAAAATCTCTAGAGACCTCTTTTATCGTTCTTCGCAGCCCATTCCTTCGGGCCAAGAGACAAGCTTTAGTGAATACTGCGCTAATTTCTGTGGAGAAAACGCCGGATGGGAAACTTTTGGCATATTTTTCACTGCCATCTGTCGAGCCTCCGTAGACTTGGCTTGTGCAGAGCCATTATATGACTCAGAGAAGCAACGCCGTAGGCTTCAAAAGCTTGCGCTTTCATACTCGGATCGATGTTTGGATCATTGTTTGCCGCTGGATTGTATGAAAGATCTACAGCTTTTTCTGCAGTATGAAAATTTTATCTCTCATTCACAGGTCGATGGTGATCAGAGTAAGTGATTTCTAGCTTTGGCCACATTCGATTTGAGGGTATTGACAGGCATGCCAGGTTATCTCTCTTGGCGGAAACTCGGAGACGTGGCAGCCTCGCTTTACGCCCTTGGCTACCACCAGCAACAGACAGAGTCATTTCGCACTGCCCCTCATTTCCTTCGTGAACTTCGTCAAACAGCCTTCTGTCGTACATATTCCGCCGATAAAAATGTCTCAATATTTCTGGGCCGACCGCCCCGAATCTTACGGAAGTTTTGTCACTTTGACCTTCCAGGAACACTTATACAGCCTGCTCAGAGAGCATCTCGCAGACCAGCGGTCTGGGACCTTACCGAGGGGCTTAGCTTTATGACAGACTCGAAATGGGCTGCTTTATGTGGAATATTGAAGGAGGATATATTGGATCTCTTCGCCGAGGAGAGCTACGAGGAGAGGGCACGACGGGGCAAGTACGTTTTGTCCATTTCTATGATTTCTTGCCTTCTCGCTAATATATACTGAAGACTTATAGGGACCGATGCTCGTGCTCAATGGGACGCTCTCCCTGAAAGCTACCGCCTCCAATGTAACCTCAAGGCATGCGACCGGCGACCAGTGGACCGTGACTTTATGGTTAACATGAAACTTAATTATCTTCATGTGCACTTCCTGCTGTGGCGAGCATTGCTCCGGCCGATGTCGATGGACCCCGCCCCAGAATTGTTCAAAATTTCCAAAGACATGCTTAGCCTTGTCGTCGAGACGATTATGCTCAAGGACAAGACTATCAACTCTGGCACATCGCTAGTCTGGAAGGTATGTCTGGGATCTTGGCATTTGAGCTGGGCTTATTTACTGATTTTCGACCCCAGGTGGTGTACTACGGATTGTCAGCGGCCGGACTCATTTCACTTACCCTTGCCAATCAGTCTCACGCCAATGAGACCGGCCAATCAGACATATCCAAGATCTTTCAAGACCTGAGTATCCTAGTGGGAGAGGTTGAAAGTGGAACCCTGGTATACGTTGACTCGCCCAATTATGCCTTGCTCTCTCGGGCGACGCAAACGATCAAAAGTCTGCTCGATCGGATGATTTCCCCATCGCACATTTCACATAGTACAGCAGCCACATCTGGAACTCCATCCGTGGGGCTTGCAGGCTCCGAAAATATCACAACCTTGAATGATGGAAGTTGGGGTCTGTGGGATGATAGCAGTTTCCGGGATTTCGAGATCAACTTCTGGCACAACCTTGCTGACCACCCGTTTCTTAATGACTAGAGCAGTGAGGGAAAAAGGAGTTATATCTTACAATCGGTTGGGCATTAGTGACCGGAGGCCCGGCCTCGATGCTCCAGGCCAATGCGATCCATGGACGTGTGTTTCTATCCTATAGAATTATATTCTCGGTATTTTTACAAGAGTCCTATAATATATATAGGACTAAAATAACTTATTTTTACTATATATTTTGTATACAAATCATAGGTATCTGCTATCGTCTAGACTTCGGCAGAACCCATTTTGGGTCGGAGGCTCCGACCCAAAACCTAACCTATTAGGTTTTGGGTTCCGCCCTCTACAACCCAACCCAACCCAAAACCTAATAGGTTAAACCTAATAACCTAATAATAACCCATTTGAACCCATTTTGGTATAAAATATGGGTCTTAGCGTTTATAATAATGCCAAGTCATCGAACAAAATCACTATTTTTTATAACTGTTCTAGTTTGTCTGTCGAACATTACTATATTATTACGGTAATAAGTTAGAATTTTTATATAATTACTCTAGATTTGAAGCCAATTTACTTTGTATTATATTAATTACTAATAAAAATTCAGATTAATCATAGTATAGTGGTGTTCTATTAATTTATATATTTATTAACTATAGACTATTAGAAATATATATTTATAGCAGAGGTAAGTTTGTATATACTGCACTCCAGCCCACTCGCACGGTGCGTTTACATCCATCGTTTCTACACAATGAATACGATGTGAAGGTGTTGGAAGAAGATTTGGACCACTTCGGAGACGGGTGAGACCTAACTCTCTCTATTACTGGATATATGCTGACAACAAACTAGTCTAATAATTGACAGAGCGAAACAACCAGTGGTACAAATAAATCCCCCTAGCACCCTAAGGACTCCGAGCCCTTCCCCGCGACAGATTGAAGATCTCAGCCAATTCCTACATCGAGCATACGATAACAGACAGTCACTTGATCTCTACTTGTCACGATGTGCCAAACTCTGCTACTGCAGTGGTCCAACAAATCCTGGCTTAAATATAAACATCAATGATAGGGTACCTCATGATACTCTCACACTCAGAGATGTCTTGTTTATAATACAAGATTCAAAATCCACTACGCCCAAATGGACGATAAACCAACAAGTGGCTCTCTCGTTCAACATCACATCTTCCATCATGCAACTTCATTCTACGCCATGGTTAACATCTCCTCTGACCAGCTCGTCTATACTCTTTATGTCTGATTCTCTGAAGTCTGCAAATATTCCTTGGCCGTTTATCGTCAGCGAATTTCCTACACAAAATCGTACAACATCCCCATGTACCGCAAAGGCTTCCCTTCTGGAGCTAGGAATAATGCTCCTTGAAATTTGGCACACATCAAACCTATCGACTATTATGCATCTGAGAGGGATTTGCAGACGAATGACAGCTATGGAACTCGCTATGAAATAGCCAGGCATTGGCTCAGTTTCAGCGATGATAATATGCTCCCATTCTACCTGGAATTGGTAACGAGATGCATCGAATGCACATTTGCCACGACAGCAGCAACACCCGACTGGGGCGATTTTACCTTTAGAAAGTCAGTTTGCGAGTATGTGTTGAAACCGCTGTGGGAGAACTGTCCACAAAAGCTCTGGTAGTGGAGCTGTCATGATAAGTCATCTCCCTAACCCACCAGTCCTAGGCAGGACCTAAGGGGATACTTAGGATGGGTAGTGGATTTGGTAAATAGAGACCGTATGTATACTATAATTGTATGACAAATTAATAGCTACTTAGGAGAAGTAACATACGATGCTAACCCAGTTATAACGAAGATGAAAACAAAGTGAGCTGATATGGAAAGATGTGGCGGCTGGATCTGTGGCGGTGCGTTTTGTCCACACCGCCACAGCCTCGCGACACAAAACTCTTGCCGCCTCAATTAATCCACACCACATTCCCCGGGGTTATCGATCAAACCACCCCCTCTATATTTTCGATTTTTGAGCAGTTGCCCAGCGCAGATTGCCCATAGATCATAGTAAAAATGCCTTCCACTTCTCTCGCCGACCTGGTGGCCGCCCTCCCCTCGGAGGACACCTGGGGCCCCTCCACCTCTGCCGATAACATGCTTGCAGGTGTGCCATATGCTCCTTTCTCCAAGGGCGACAAGCTTGGCCGCATGGCCGACTGGACTGCTGAGAGCAAGGAGCGTCAGAACCAGCGTCCCCAGTACAACCGTGGTTTCAGAGGTATGTTTCTTTCACTTTTTTTCTGTCCCCACCAACCTGCTCTTTCAGTCGAATTGCAATAGCTAACACTCAAAATAGACCAGCAGGTGTACGGTGCCGGTACTTCCAACCTCTTCACTGTCGCAGCCGCCGAGGACGAGTCCTCTTTCTCCGTCGTCGATAACACTCGCGTCCAGAAGCGCGGTTTCGGCCGTGGCGGTGGCACCGTTTTCCGTGGCCGTGGTGGTCAGCGCGGTGCTGCCAACCAGCGCGGTGGACGCGGTGGCTTCCAGCGTGCTGGCCCTGTTGGCCGCGGTCAGCAGAGCGGCTACCAATTCAGCGAGCGTGGCGGTGGTCGCGGTGGCCGTGGTGGCCGTCGTTTCGGCTGGAGGGACTACGACAAGCCCCAGCGCATTCGCGAGGCCTCTGTCAACATTCGCCCTGACTGGAAGATGCTCGAGGAGGTTGACTTCACCCGTCTGTCTAAGCTGAACCTCGACGCTCCCGAGGGCGAGGACCTCGAGACCTACGGTTTCCTCCACTACTACGACAAGTCCTACGATAAGCCCCCCCGTCAAGAACGCCGAGCGCAGAATGCAGGCCCTCGACCGTGCTGCCTACAATGTCACCACCTCCCAGGATCCCGTCATCAACGAGCTCTCCGAGAAGAACGCCGCTACCGTCTTCGCCACCTCCGATATCCTGTCCATGCTGATGTGCGCCACCCGCAGCGTCTACTCGTGGGATATCGTCATCGTCCACCAGGGCGACAAGATCTACTTCGACAAGCGCGACGGTGCCTCCTTCGACATGGTCAGCGTCAACGAGAACGCCATCGATGCGCCCCTTGAGGCCGCCGAGGCCGCCGGCAAGCAGGAGCAGATCAACACCCCCAACGCCCTCGCCATGGAAGCCACCATCATCAACCACAACTTCGCCCTGCAGACCCTGATCGAGTCCGACAAGTCCAAGGTTTCCTTCGCCAAGCCCAACCCCTTCTACGACGAGACCGAGGAGACCGAGCCCCTCGCCTCCAAGGGCTACAAGTACCGCCGCTTCGACATCTCCCTCGAGCGCGACGAGGAGCCCGTCTCCATGGTCGTCCGCACAGAGGTCGACGCCGTCATGAAGGGCGGCCCCACCGGCTCCGAGGACCAGCAGCTCATCATCAAGGCCCTGAACGAGTTCGACCCCAAGGCCCAGGGCTCCGGCGGTGCCCTCGACTGGCGCAGCAAGCTCAACTCCCAGCGTGGTGCCGTCCTCGCCACCGAGATGAAGAACAACAGCGCCAAGCTCGCCCGCTGGACTACCCAGGCTATCCTGGCCAAGGCCGACGGCATGAAGCTCGGCTTCGTCTCCCGTGTCAACCCCCGCTCTGCGGCTGCTCACGTCGTCCTCGGCGTTGCGGGCTACAAGCCCCGCGAGTTCGCTAGCCAGATGAACCTTAACCTCGGTAACGGTTGGGGTATTGTTCGTACTATCGTTGACCGTATCCGTTCTCTGGATTCGGAGGAGCCCGCTGAGAAGGTTAAGAAGTACGTCCTCATTAAGGACCCTAACAAGTCTGTCCTGCGTCTGTACAGCGTTCCTGCTACTACTTTCGAGGAGGAGGATGAGGAGCTTGAGGAGGAGAAGGAGGAGAATGATGAGGCTGATGAGTAGATTTTTTTTCTGATGACTTATGTTCCGCCTTACATGTGCATACGTACTCGATACTCGACCTAAAATTTGATGCTTTTTTACTCTTGGCTATAGAGTCTGGTCAATAATCCATTCAATTTCGTTTTGCCAGGCAATCTCACTCTCGCTCTGACCACAGTAGCTCCAGAGTTCGTTCGCAGGGAAATGGCCATAGACTTGGATGTAAAAGGCTTGCTACGCAGGACTTGTGAAGGTCGTTTGGTTCCATGATGGGTTGACGCAAAACCCCTCAAAAGGTGATTTCCAAGCGTTGAGTAACACCAATGATCAACTTTTGTACCCTCGGGGGAACACAATGGTTTGCCTTCTCGGTGACTTTGCGTTTTCCTTGTTTTACATGAGCGTTTCTGGAATTGCTGTTTACGGCTTCTAATCCTCCTTTTGGATATATCTAGGTATGCCTATATCGAGGGTGAGGGTGACCCTCTTTTTGGTGATCTTTGAGGATCAAATGAACCCAAGTGCCGTTAGAGTTATGAATGTACATTGTTAAACCAGATTCAAGGCAACACAACAATCGCTCTGAGTGATTCGAGCAACAAGAAAGAAAGGGAATATATTTCCAGATACATATCATCTGTACCTGCGGTGATTTCCACTTATATACAACCCTCTCAACGGGAGTATGCAAGACAAAGACAAAAGAAAGTAGAAAAAGATAGTAAGAATCGAAGAATAGTTCACAGGCACAATCAAACCCGAAAGGCAGCAAAGAGCGCCGAGTCACTCCATGGCAGTAGCCAACACAGACAAAAAGATAAGTTTTTCCAGACATCAGATCATAATAATTTTCATTGTGTTCGACTCCCTCAACCATACATCGAGTCGTCGGCTGTGCCGGACATGCCGAGATCGACCTTGGTGCCGAGCACGCTGCTCAGACAATCTATCAACTCGAAGTCCTCGACGACAGCACCGAACCCGTAGCAGCGGACCTTGGTGTTGAGCGTGTCGATGATGATCTTGATGTCGTCGCGTCGCAGTGTCGTGTACAGCTCGTGGTTCTTGAGACACTGTAGCGCCATGATGGGCGTGATCTGCCCTTCTGTCACGAGCTGTCGGCTGAGGTTGAGGAGCGTGCTGAGGTTTGCGTGTGGCAGATCCGGCGCCTTGTGCGGGTATGGTTGTTCGGGGGTGGTTTTCGCAATGTAGCTGGGCGGTGGGCACGTTGCCATCAGGGCGTGTCCGGAAAACGGCATGTCCTCGTCGTCGGCTTCTGTGACGGACCGTCGGCAGAGGTAGTCCGTATGTTCGCGGCAGGGGCCTTCGAGTCTGTAGGGATGTATTGGTTAGCTCGGGTATTTGATACTAGATTAGAATGCGCCTCACGTTAGGATAAAATCAACCTGCAACTGGGGGTCTGACTCGAAGACACCTCCCTTAGCTGGCATGGGCTGCATGGTATCAACGGGTGCGCACGAATGGTCCATGCGCATGGAATGCTCGCCGGCATTCGCGTGGAACACTTGCTGGTGGGACGGATATCCGATCGGGGGCGACACGTCAGGGCGGTCCATGCCATTGGCGCGGGGGCTCATGCCGGATGAGATCGTGGTTGCAGGGGTCGTGTCGTGGTTGCTGGCCGAGTGGGCGACAGGGCAGTCTGCGAGGTAGTGCTACTGCCAGCGACAGTAACAGGGCTAGATTGGAAGGCCATCATCGGCGGGCGCTCCGCGCGGCGGCGCTCCAGATCCGCTTCGTATTGAATTCCGTTTGCTGCGAGAATTTCCTTCAAGATTTCGTTCTCCTCCCGAATCGAATGTATCATCTCTTTGTGTTGTCGGATTGAGGTGTTGGCCTCCGCGATCTCTGTGGTGTAGGCCTCCCGTAACCGCGATACCTCGGTCTCCAGTGCTCTCATGTATTGTTCCTTTCGCTCACGATGTGTCCTGTGTGGATCAGTCCAGCCCGATGGTTATCGAATCCGCGGGATGTGTACCTCTGGGCCTGACGGTTCAGTTCCTGTCGCCTGGTGAGTGCAGGCTTGCTATCCGGCTTGGGGCCGCGACGTTTGGGCTGCTGGCCATCTGAAAAGACTTAGTTGTGGTCCGATCGAACGATTGCGGTAACTCACCTCGTGTGGTCTTTTTCGGCCCGTTAGCACTGGCGGCGCTGCCACTGCCACCTCCTCCGAAGATCTTGAATATTTCGGCTCCGAAGCCTTTGCTCGATGGGGTCTGTGGTTCTTCTACCATGTCCTGCACCGTGCACTCCGGGGCCGTGGGCCGAGCCGGAGGAGCATTGGCGCCATAATGTTAGCAACTAACATTGGAATGCGATAAGAGAGTGGATATTTGCATTTGGTTGGGGAAAGTTCAGGGTGGTCGGGGAGAGAGGGGTCAGCTCTGGATAGCTTCGTGTGCGGCGAGAACCGGGGGAAACCCGCAATTCCCCTCAAGCTTGACCAAGTTCGCCAGGCTCGCAAGGCTCACCAGCTTGCACACCTGCGATCGAGTGACCAGAAATAATTGGACTGGTGCATTCCAGCTGTGGCGAATTGTATGTGTGTTGAATACCCCCCCGATCGCGAAATATTGACCCAAGCAGATGGGATAGCAAAGAAAGAAGAGACTTACCAGAATACCCCATCGCATGATCCATAGGGTAAACCCCACCACTGACAGCCATTATATATATAAAAGGGTGGAAAGGGAGAGGTAAGGGAGAAGGAAGTTCGAGAAGGTATGGAAACTTCCGTTCGAGAGTCTGGGGAGTATAAAAGGAACAGAAAGTGGACGTGCCGTTTTCTGTACAACTCCTTTTTTTTTGGACTTATTCTACTTTTTATTGTTATTTTCTTTATAATTCCCTTTCTTATTAACTGATTTTATGCAAATGAAAAATAATAGCCTTGGAAGGCGTTCGATCTGTCTTAGGGCTCCACTGCTAATCAAACGGCCGTGAGACCTGACTAAATAAAGAACTAGGAACTGAAGCAGAACTGGGTATATCCTGGTATGAATTGACCGAAATCGACAAGAATAGCCAAGAATAACCAGAAACAGAAAGAAATAGAGACAAATAGGGACGAATATATTGAAACAGAGGGGAAATCCTCGACACTGCATACTCGCCGCGTTATTGGAGTCATGAGAACATCCAGTACATACATGGTACTGCCTTAACCAGTGAGTTTAATACTGTAGTACAAGTACCGATAAGTACCAGGTACGTGCAAAGCTTAGTGTGATCAGTCGAGCGGGCTGACCAATCATTCCAACGGAGATCCCACCAGTCACATCCAATAGTCTTCAAATGTTCCCATATTGACATCGAGATCGGGGTCAGTGACAAATACTATGATCCCCGAGATCCCAGTAATAGGGGAAAAATGATCCAGTCTGAGATTCTAGTGCATATCGCCGCCCCTAGCACTGCACAAGATGATGCACGCTATAGAGCCCAAGTGGCCGCTATCCTGGAATTCCAATGTGCCTCACGCCAGCCACTGATGGAGAGCAAGTCCTCAGCTCCCGATTCAGATCACGTCCCCTTCTCCAGTGCCGCACATTCCTCGCCCTCGACGACTCAACACGAGGCCTCGCCAATATTGCGGGAGGCGCCCCGGCCCGCATACGCGACCTTATCCTCGGATCGTCGCTTACTCCCTGAGAGTGAAGGCGCGACTCCACGCCAACCCATCAACTCAAATCATCCCGACTCCCTCGAGAGTCTCATCAGCGTCATTCCAGACTCGCAACCCGAGATCGCCGAGGAACTAGTCCAATCTCGTGCAGAACTATCGCCTCCATCGCAGCTTGCTCCACCTCCCAAAAGACCTCGCACATCCCCGGCCTCCCCTAGTCCGGCTCAACCGGTTTTAATTGCAGACTCTCCTGCAGCGGACCAGCCCGCTGCAGCTCACAAAGTGATCCCCGTCGAGAATCAGGTCCATCCTCTCCCCACTGGTTCCCCCCAAATCCCCATCTCAATACCCAGCTCGGATCAAGATGGACATGGACCAGGTTACATTTCTCACCCGACCACATCACATCATATTTCCGCCACAATCCCTAATCTCATCAATCTCTCTGCCCTCCCTCTCGAAATCCATCCCCCAAAACCACCTATCTCCACTGCCCCTTACACTACCCATATCACCCCAACCCTATCAATGCTCGCAGAGCGTCTAAACCCAGCCCGGACCTACAAACCATCCACTCAAACCCGCCCCCTCGACCCCCTAGAACGGGGCTACTGGCTCGTGCACCTCGCTATCGAGAACCAAGTCCAAAACCAAGACCGAGATCCAGCCGATCTGCTCCAAACCCCAATCCCAAACCCAGACCCCGAGCATGGAACCACTAACCCCATTCAAAAGCCAACCGAAAACCCGAACCCAAAGTCAAAAGAGAATGCACGAACCTGGCCTTACCCGCTCTTTCACGCCTTCTGGTCCTTCCTCTCGGATTTCGTAGGTAGGGACGGCCGTGCGGGCTGGGGGGGTCTGGTGTATTCTCGAGGCTGCCCCATCAACGCTCTCACACACGCACGTCTCTCTTAAAGTTTATGCGTGGGGTGAGGTCGCTATGCACGTCTACCTTCTGCTCTACTTGGCGAGTGAGCGGCGGGTCCGTGGGATGGGAGTACAGTGGCGGGATGCGCGGGAGAAGGTTGTTATTCAGATGCCGTAAGAATGGTTGGTTTAAGTTAGGTCTGGGGATCCGGAATATTTGCTTGGAGATTGTAAACTTATAACATTATACCCCATACGGAATGCTTGCAATATCATTTGATAATTTTGAATCTTCAATTGCTTATTTTGATAGAAGAGTTATTGTACATGCTGAAAAAAGACAAGGAAATTCCGTTGGGGATGGATAAACAACAAGGAGATAAAGATAGAAGCCATGTGTCGCGAGTAGAGATCAATGGAAATGATTGAATTCAACAAATGAGCAAGTTGGAGTCAGCGATTCTCCGACGGTCCCACCGATGCGCCAGGTCGCCAATTGGAGGAAAAAAAGAATAAGAGGAAAACACAAGGACGAGAGGTGTGATGAAATCAGCGGATGCAACTAGTACTGCAGCTCGCCACTGCCAGATGCGTCGACGGCATCCAGATCCTCGTAGCTCTTCAGACTGCGGCCCTGGACAGCTTCGCGCGGCGCCATGGGACCTCCACTAGAAGAGTCTGGGAATGGGTTTGCGGCAGCCATGCTGGCTGCGGGGTGGCCAGCTGGAACGCTGACACCAGGAGGCGGGAGACGACCACCGCCATACATGCCTGGCATGCCGCGGGGGAGGGCTCAGTCGGCCGTTGCCGTTGAACCGGCGACGGTCATACGGGCCGGGTCGGTTGTTGCGGTTCTGCCCGCGGCGCATGGGTCCGGGCTGATGCAGACCGCCATCGTGTCCCATTACGTTGCCACTCCAGCCGTGCATCATGCCAGGCATCCCACCTGAAGGGAAGGTAGGCATGTTTGCACTGGGGCCGTAGGGCATGCTGGCAAGGGTGAATCCACGAGGCGTGCCGGTGTGGCCTTGTCCGGAGCCAAGAGGGAAGTGACCGTTGCTGTTGGCATCCGATCGGGACGGGGCAATGCGTGCTGGGTCCAAGACATAGGCGTTCACTAATGCGAGCTATGATAACTGTTAATATTGGGAACCATTGTTGGTTGGTTGCACACTTACATCCTTCTTGATACCATCAAACCACTCTGTATGGCGCTTTTCAACATGCTTCCGCCAAAAGGCTTCCGCCTTGAAAAGCTTGGTACACTCAGGCACCTTGCACCGGTACTTGGAGTCGTCCTCCTGCTTCATGTACTTCTGAAGTTCATCCTCAAGTGCCTGCTCAACGGGTTTGCCGCCGAGCTTGCTGAGATCGACGTTCTCTGGCTCCAGGATCTGCAGCAACTTGTCTTCAAAGGTCTTCACCCAGTTAAAGGCACGCTGCAGTTGCTGCTCGGACTTGGAACCATGGCGCTGTCCGCGTTTCTCCTGGACAGGCGAGGAGGGATCTTCTCCTTCCTCGCTAGGTTCCTTTTTCTTGGCCGGGAAAGGCTGGCCAAGAGCGCTGGCTCGGGCCACTTCCTTGGCCTGGCTGGATAGTCCAGTACGTGGACGGCGAAGGTGTCCACCAGGGCACTTGCGGCCAAGCTCGTGGACCGAGTCACTTTCAAAGACACAGAAGAAGCAGAAGTTGTAGACCCGGCGCAGGTATTCAACAACCAGGTCTAGCTTCTTCTTCTTAACTGCAAGTTCCTCGTCATCCACATCATCTTCTTCGGCAATTTCCTTTTCTTCGCCTTCCTCAATCTCCCCTTCGTCCCCTTCATCACTATATCCGTTTCTCTGTTTCTTCACACTGACTGGTCCCGTAGCGGGGGGGCTGGAGTTCTCCTTTGCCGCGCAGGTCATCAACATACTCTTCGATCTTGGCGAGACCATCCACATTGGCACCCATCTCGGAGTCCAACTTGGAAGTTAAACGTTTAGCCAGTTCGAGATCACGATCAATTCTCTCAGGAGCTGAGAAGAGATCCCAGAGGGCCTTCTTGCGCGGCTGAGCAGGGGGAACATGGACTCCAACGTGGCAAACGAAATCACCGTGGACGGGATCATGGATAGTCTTGTCATTAACAGCCTCGAGGGCTTTCTCAGCTGGGCTGACTGTGACACCACCGTTGGCACCTCCATCGTGGTCCATATTCTCGAACTCTTCATCGCGTCCATCTCCCCGCTCCACTGTGCTGGTGTTTGCGGAAGGATGCAGCATGATCCATCCCATACGATGGAATTTCTTGGAGGGGTTCGGGTCACTGAGGCTGAGTCCCTTGAAACCTCCATCTTCCTCGCCAAGATGCTCCTTGCAAAACTCTTCGATCTTGCTGCGGCTGACATTTGGCGCAAGGGTTTTTATAAGGAGCGCGGGCTGTGAAAGAGCTTCATCACGAAGGTCACCACCACGGACAGGAAGCAGGTCAAGCACTCCCATGGTCTCGGCGGCAGCCGTAGTCTCGCCTTCCTCCTTTTCAACCACACCACCGGCACCGTCGCTTTCGCTCTTGTATATGCCTTCAAGGGTAAAGTCTTTGAAAAGGTGGTTTTCAATATCATGCTCCCATTGTTCATATGCACCTTGTCGAACCGCCATGAGGCGGGCGCGAAGAGGGTCTCTGACTTCAGGGACATAGCGTTCTTTGAACCACTCCTCGTTCCGGTGCTGTTGGACGAACAGTCTGGCCAGTCGAATTTGCAGATCAACCTTGTATGTATCATAAGCTGCCTGGATTTGCGCGCGTTCCTTCTCGCGATCTTCGCGCGCTTCGCGTTCTCCCTTGACTCGACGACCGCCGTTCTTAGCGCGCTCTTTCTCCTCATTCACAGACTCCTCCAATCTCCACCACTCAGCAAACCAATTGAATCCGACCTGGAAATCGAGTGTGAGGGGGTTGGGCATAGGGTTGGTCGGAATAGGACGCTTGCCACCGCCACTGCTCTCTTGTCCGGGAACATAGCGGTCGATGTTTGCCACAGTTGGCGAGGGAGCACGTCGACGGTCCTCGCGTTCTCGCGCAGCATGCTCCCGAGAGGTGTTGTAAAAGTCGTCGCGGTGAGAACGACGCTCCGAAGGCTCGTACCGGTCAATCACGGGCGAGCGGGAGCGCGGCCGTGCACGTCGTCGATCTTGAGAGGCTGGCCAAGAGTTAGTTTCGCCCACCTCGCTCTAATAATATTCAATGATAGGCTTACCAGGTGACCGACGTCTGTATGATTCTCCCATTGACCGTCCCGTGAAAGAGTCCGACTCACGGCTCCTTCCGGGGGATCCATAACCATCGTAGGAATCCATTTCCTAAACCTTCCGGGACAGGTATATTTTATCACCTTCGTTGCGATCACAGTATCAACAGAACCAAGGACTCAGCCCAGGTGGGTAAAAGTTCAAAAGGAACAATCTGCGTTGGTCGATGAGGGAGTCGGGAACCGCAGGGTGAGCTAAGATTTGGTATCGTCAACATTGAGACCAAACAACTTCATAGAGCGAAATAGCGATGGTGCCGGCTGGGAAGTTCACGAGGAATAACAGAGGCAGGGATGGGAAAAGATAGAGACAAGAACACACTGCCGCCGGCGACATGTCGGCCCTGGAACTTGGCAGGGGGTTGAAACATGTTTGCAGCAGGTGGTTTCGGATAGCAAAGAGAGATTATGAAGAAGACTGCTGGCCAGAGCCAATGCTGTTATCATTCAAGGAGCCATAGGCCACAAGATCCAGCAATGCGCAGCGCGACGGCTTAGAAAGGAAAGAAAATAAGATGAAGCAGGGGAATGGAAAAGCAGGGTCAGAGGAGCGGAGGCTCATAGAAAGAGAAAGGGCAAGGGATAAAAGCCAAAGAATAAACAGAAACCGAATTGGAGAAAGAAGAGGGCCACCTACAAGAAGCCTCGAGCGGAACGCGATAGATTGGTGATAAAAAGGAAGAAGCCGAGGAGGCGGACGAAGCTGGAGAGAGCTGGCCGCTTAACCGAAAAGGGTATGGCGTCACGGGGATCACTGGCATCCGGTGATTGGCGGGTTCTCAGGAACAAGTCCAGATGACAATTGTCTGCCCTAACTTGACAAGTTGACTCTGGAATTTTCAAGTCTGGAATAAAATGAGAAGAAGAAGGGGAAGAGGAGTTGGTTAAAGTTGAAAATTCGTGAGCCCGGATTAGCCACTGCAATATCTCCCCGTATGAACGAAGTATAACTTCCTGGAACGGTCAAGAGTACCGGATACTTCAATCTTGTTCGATTATTTCCTTCATGGAAGTCCGCTTCGGTGCTGTGCTACTTGTTTTCACTCAGCGGCCTATCAACTGTTTCGGCTTTTCTGAGCCCCCTCATCATCCATGTTAGTCGCCAAGTCACTTTTCGCTTGGCTACATACATTGCTAGCGCTGGCAAACGAGGTGATACATCCATGCATGAATCCCTGTACGGAGTAATCATAAATTCAAAGTCTCTTTTCTTGGGGCTTGCTCTTTAGGATATTCGTATTCTATACAGCATACCGCGTATTTAGAAAGTCGAATTGCAATGTCAACAAAAAGACCACTTCTATACGATTATCAGAAATCCCTAGTCTCCTAGTGATGTTAAGAACCCATGTCCTTTGCAACCATGTTAAGCGTAGGCGAAAAGGCCTAGATGATATTCAGTCTTGGAAGAATATCCTCGGTAGATAGCTAGAGCCTATTTGCCTTGTCGATACCAAACAAAGAAGCTTGGTTTCACTAGGAATCAGCCTCCCTCATATTAAGCCTACACTTAAAGCCTTTCGACAGAAAACGCAGTCGCATGGGGAGTTTGGGTCCGGTACTCAACCACATGCTGAGCTGCACCAGATCTGCTAAAGACCCAACAAGAACGGGAAAAGGCGATAATAGGAGTTGAGGTGCAGCAATTCATACTATGTATAGGTATACAGCCTCGTCAATCTTGACATATGACAGATGACACGTAAACAGGTAGGCAAGAAGAAAAAAAAGACCCCGTTATGACACCTCAACTCACAATTTCCCCACAGGCCTTTCACGAGATATTTGATAGGACCATGCTGACCGCTGATTGGTTGACCAGATCCCCCACGCCCGCCAAATCACACCAGCATAACACGCCACATTTTACCTCCGGACGACCATGTCGGGTCTATTCAACTCTCGCTGGGCACCCGTAAATGGGGGGAAACGATACCCAGCAAGTCAAAATGCTCCCCGCTGGCCCTCCAACAACTCCAATCCCGGTGGTAACAGTAGCATCCGTCCGACTATCACATCTCAAGATGGCCGTTTGCTGCCGCCAGCCGAGGAATTATCACGGTTTATGAAAATTGTCGCCAGGCTGCGATGGAAGCTCCCATTTTTAGCTGAAGGATACCGTCTTGCGACTCTGGAAATCAGCGATGTCGTGTCGGCAGAGGATGTCGCCCACGCTGAAATAATGTTCAAGATTGATTTCCATGAATATTATGCCCTGCTTGAACGTGCTATTGTCCACTTACTGGCGGTATTCAATATCTCGGTCACATCCTCACCTTGGGGACCACCAGATAATGGGAACGGCATCGGTCGGCCTGTTGGTATTCATCGATACCACGCCAATGTGCTAGAGGCCTTGCGGGAACAATCAACCCCACTATCCCCAGTTCTTGGTGGTGGTAATGTTTATTTGCAATTGCAAAAAGCCAAGGAATTGCGGAATAGGTGGAAAACTGCGGATCTGACCACTGAGGAGAGAGAAAAGCAAGGTGAAAGGAAGGACGTTGTGACGCTTGCGAGTTTTGACTTTGAGGGTATCATCTCTGATATCTTTGGTGGCCTAGAAGAATCATATATTCGGGCAAAGGAGCATGTTGACAAGTGCATCCGCCCGGAGGAGATCACTGCGGAGGGAGCAAACTCCGAGGCGGACTGGGGCTTCATGGTCGATGCCATGGATTGGGAAGCTGTATGAGAGTTGGCCAACTGAATAATTCAAGGCCAGTGTTCATCGGCATTCATTCAGCGGTGTTATGGATGTATCTGTTCATGGCAGCGGGTGTCAAAGTCTATTATGCGCACGGTCAGATAACCAGATCCGGGCTTTTATAGCTATGCAGATCTACATTGACACTGCACATCTGGCTCAGTCATGACCCTGTGTCACCCAGATCTTGTTGTCGATGTATCTTGGACTTGGCGTTTTCTCTCGCTACTGTGGTCGATTGGAAGTTTCCCGGGCTCCAGGAGACCTACACACGATTTATATCGAAGGGCAAGATGTTCAAGCAACAAGAAAAGCTTCTTCAGTTCACCCCGGAGTACCAATAGGAAGGACCCCGTTTCCTCCTTGTACATTGTCTTCGCTCCAGGTGGAAGCAAGACTCAACACCTCTGATCCCCACGACTGTCACATACTTAGCTTGCGGTTACTTTTTTTTCTCATATATTTCTCTCTTGCTCCCATACACCCTTTTTTCCCGCGCTATCTATCTCTCAACTTCCCTGTCGTGACGGGCTCCATAGCTTGGCAGCCCAGAAGAGCGCGTCATTATGCCACTGCCTAAAAGCGACTCTGGTACACTCTCCGTCCTCCCTGGTCTCTCATTCCCCTCGGTCTCTATCTTGCAATATGATCCCAAGGGTATTCCGAGCCTTGGTACCCTGTATGCCATTCATGATGATCTTGACGGTTAGGTAGATGTTTGAGTAGAAATATAATGCCACTTCCTCCATACTACTGGGTTCCTTCTTCTTTATCAGATGAAAAAGGACTCTCATATATATCTTGACTATGCAAGTCGTCCTGTTAATGACCAGAAGGGGATAGGATGAGCAATCAGCTAGCATACAGACAAGCTTGATCAAGTCGCCTAACCATCGCTATAGCCATCCCGAAACTACCGATACAGACAAAAACAGAGACAAGGCTACAAGACAAGTAGATACATAAATATCTGCAAAATATATCCATAGATTCAAATCTACAATCCAATTTCCATCCTTGCCCTGCGTAGCCTTGCCAAATCCTAACCGAAAAACAAACAACCCAAGGAGAAATAAGAAAGAAACAAGACGAATACTAAAATTCAAATGATATTCATAACACAAACCAGTCTTTCGAAAACCGATATCCCGATCTGTTTTTCCAGTGATGGAGACCCTCTCTAAAAATCCCAGCCGGAGACCCATAAACCCGCAACACGAGACACCGAAGCAGAATGAAAGAAAAGTAGGAAATGGGGATGTAATAGGAGAAAGAAATTGCAGAAGAATATTCATAATAGAAACATGAAAGTGGATATAACCATGGGGACAGAAAGATGGAGGTAGCACATCCGGGTGAAGAATATTTAGCCAATTGCTATCTGCCGAAAATTATGAGGTGGCATATCAAGCACAATCATGCGATGCCCTTCAAGACCCTACATGTAATATGAGGGTCGGCAGGTAACACAATTTCGAGCAGAGTAAAGCAGAGCATGCTATATCTCCAGTCTCACATATCACTTTCAACAGTGTGAGAGTGTAGATGCTTGAAACGGTCATTCTTGTACAAGGTATCCCCAACAAACTAGGGAACACCATTGAGAAAGAGGATCGAGGATATAAAATAGGCAAGAGGGGGAATGAAGAAGAAATAAATCGTCCCAGCATAGCAAATATAGACAGACATCACGGGCAAATGGGGGTAAGATAAATCAAAACAAAAAGCACATCAGACGAAAACACATGAAACAAAAGCATATCAGACAAAATCACATCAAATGGGGCATAGAGCATAGAAAGGGGGGATCCATACACATCGCTCGCTAGAGAAAAGGTCCAAGACATCCATCCATAAAGCCGTGACGACAAAAGAAAACAAAGAAAATTCAACACCGCTGCCACCTCAGCAGGACGTGGTGTAGCTTTTACACAGTCCTGTGGGTGGAAACGGTAGAGATGAGGGCGTTTAGCCATCCTCATCCGAGGCTTCAGCAGAGTCCCCTTCGCTTCCATCGGCGTTGGCATTGACCTTCGTTTTCTTGGAAGAGTTCGAGCCATCGCCTTGAACTTCACTTGACTTACGCTTCTGCCCAGCACCATTTTCAGTTGGCAATGGCTTGCTAAGGTCCTCGAAGGTAACAGGCTGGCCTGTTACCTCTTCTCGTTTCTCCATGGCGGCCACTTCATCTGCAGTCAGGAAGCGTCCACCGGGCCCACGCGGTCTTCGCATGGCGTGATTGTGTCGTGACTCGTGCAGATAAGGTTTGCGACCCTTCGATGTCAAACGTAGCTGCTCCTCCAGCTTCTGTCGCGCCACACGGCGCTTCAGAATCCTGTGGAACTGCTTGGCGTTCACGTACAGTGGCGACTCTTCTTGGTTGCCACCAGGTACCATGTCGGGTGAGGGCTGGTTCTGTTGTACGGGGGCCTGGGGAAGTGGGGCGGCGATAGGGGCCCGGCCGACGTGGCTCATGACAGGCTGTGCAGTCTGGACGTTGGGGCTGCCGACATGGCTCATGCGACGCTGGGTAAGTTGCTGGTTTGGCGGCATCTGAACCTGCGATCCCATCGGAGGCATCTGATTTTGCATCTGCGACGGCGATCGGGGGTCACGGTCCTGCTTCATTTGCATGCTCGCCATGCGCGGTGAGGCTCGCGAACCCTGAGGCATCTGCCCAGTCATGGAGTCCTGGTGAAGGGGATAGAACTGACCAGACGCAGCTGCAGTGGCCATTGCGGCAGCCTGCGTCGGCGAGATGCCGTAGCCCTGGGCCATGGGCGCGGGGACACCATAGCTTTGGGGAAAGTTCATTTGTTGGTGAACAGATCCGGGTCCATTCTGTGCTTGTTGGTAATGGGGTTGCGACGGAACGATAGGAGAGGACTGGTGGGTGGAGTGAGGTTGGATGGGTGCCTGGGCGTTGGTGGGCGAGGCCATCGACCCAACAGGAGCACCGGCGTTCGGTGGCCCGGTTTGATAAGGACCAGGGATGTGAGAGGGAGCATGTGGATGTTGCCCATGGGTCTGTTGATATTGAGGAGGATATTCCATACTGGCGAGTTGGGATAGTGGATCTTGTCACACTATTGGGCACGGCGCCGATTCAGTGGATCGATCTGAAATGTCGGCTTAGTCTATTGAGATCACCAATCAGAACCCAACGATGGCTTTAGGGTGGCAGGTCCAAATATGTCAAAGTTGATGGCGACGTCTGTTTGGTAGATGTAATAAACCGATATCGCAGAGCGCGCGCAATGAGGGACAAGAGTCACCACAAGTGCTGGGGTAGGCGACAGATGATTCGACGAATAGTCTGCAGGCTCGGGGTGTCGCGTCAGCAGAGCGCATCGCCGAGCGGTCACTGGATTGGCGGGGTGGTGGGGGTATGGGGAAAGGAACACAACCGGAACCAGGCACGTACCTTAAATTGCAGTCGCGTTCTGAGTGACCAATATTGTTTTGTGTTTCGTCAACAAAACTCTCGGGTCGACCTCTTGTGTGTCGAGAATAATCTCGAATGGCTGGCGGAGGGCTTTGGCTCTTTTGTGCAAGATTGTTTACGCCCACTGTCGGGTGTAACGTGGTTGGGCTGTGATGCAGCGGTGCCGGGGGGGTCAACTAGATGTCGGCTTGATGCGTTGTCAAGTCAGAACAGACCTGATGATGGCAGGTGTGGAGACTCCGCAGTGTATTTCAAGCACGGTCGGCAGGCTACCTCATTCACGCAATTCCGAGACTTTCTCTGCCACGTCCAGCGTAGAATTCGGGCGGTGCTAACAGCCTCGACTTGCGACAGATGACGCCTGGGCGTTGATGTCAGAATGCGCCTCTCTTAGGCTCCACGCACCGACACTATGGGCCAGAATTAGCATTTTAAACATCCTAGCCAATAATCGCAATAAATGAACAACCAATGCGCTGTCAATACAGAGTGGTCAAGTGGAGGGGTTTGGGAATCCGGGGCGGGTTAGACCGGTCAGGGTTGAGAGGGGACAGAATGTATGCGTTGGCAAGGCGGGAGTCGAGCTGCAGCTGGGGACTTACCTTGTCGATCGAATTCTGCAGAGCAGACAAAGCAAGGACTTTGATAGTTAAAACTGGCGAAAGCCAAGGAAGGAATCACTTTGCGCGACTATATGACATATGTTAGATCCAACTGAATACCCACGAGGGAAGAGATAAATGCCAGGGACGCGTGGAGATTGGTCGAAAAGAAACATGAAACGCGATAGCGCGCATAGGTAAAATAGAAAGAGCCAATGATAGACGGAATAACAAAGGTAAATTGCAGTGAAGATGAGGCAGTGTGTTTTGGTTTAGCACGCGTTGTTTTGCCACGAGATAAGCAAAAGCGCGCGCAACGTGGGATTGGAGCTTAGCGATTACCTTAATAGGCACGGCAGAAAGCATAGAAAGGATAATCTCCGGGTTGAGGTGACTTTCCAATCCCAAGCAATCAAGGGATCCCAGGGTAGAAGATGATTTGACCAGAGGGGAGGGGGGGAGATCGAGGGAATCGTGCCAACGAGAGCGAAGGCGGTGGTTCTGTGCGCAACCGGAGCCACTGATGTCAAGCCGGGCGGTTCCGCAAGTATAGAAGTGGCAGTAAGGCAATAAAGCAGTACAGGAAGGGTATATAGGGATACAATTGTAGTTTCAAATCAAATGGGAATAAAAAGTGAATTGCGACATGTGTTCAAAAATTGACCAGAATGCGATGAAAAAGTCGAGTTCAAACAAAGAAAAGCAGCAAAAAAGGCATACAATTGCAGTACCATAGCAATATTCCAAGCAATATTCCAAGCAAAAATTGTATATAACTTACCCCAGTTTGAATGGATATACCAATAGAGAAGGAATGACCTTATGCAAGGCAGGGTTTCACCAATAATGATGTAAAAAGGGGGAGATGATACTGTGCGATTGGAGGATGAACTGGAGAGGGCGGGCAACCAACGAGAAGAGGCAGAGGGAAGAAAGGCGAGGAAAAAGGGCGGATGGGGCAGTTTTGTAGGAGATTGACTGGCTGCCGACTGAGCGACCGCCTTGCTCCCCGCTGCTGAGTCCGCCTTTTCTGCGATATTACACCAAATTACATTGTAATACACATCATTACTGGCCCATCGGTCTCCATAGTCGCCTAAATGGCCCCCAATGGTATCCACATGACCGTATTGTAATAAAAACAAATCCGGTGGTCCCGAGCTCTCGTCATGTGCGACCCGAGACGATGACGCAGTTTAGCCTGTACGGACCTTCCTTTTATCTCTTGACTTCATTTTGTTATATAGCTGTCTACTGTATATTAATTTACCCTCCCCTTTACATCCTACCTCACTATTGAAACCCAATAAACATGGAATCATGCCACTTTCAGCTGCGTCTGCATGTCTGCCCATGCTATCACTCGCCTCATTTTAATAATCGCCTTCTTTCTTTTTTGGCCCTTTCTCGTCAGCTTGCCTTCAGCTTATGATTATCGCTTTTGATACCCAAAAGGATGCGCTCTGTTTTTCCTTGCTTTTTCCTACAATAAACACCGCGTACCTCGGCTCTGTGCCCTATTTGGGGAAGTCTCCTCCACTTAATGTCCCATCTTATCTATGACCCTTGCTTCAAAGCTCGTGCGCAATGTACTCCGGGAAGAGCTTCACGGAAGACAGGGTTTGTTTTAGTACCGTCATTCTCGGCACTTATGGTCCTCACGAAATTGTGATGAGATTTTCTTGGATCCTAGGTAGCGGCAATGAAATCATCTCCCCGGGCGGCAACATTGTAATCCAGGCGGGAGTGACGGCGTTATTTGACACACAAGGCCCATCTGGCGCAAATTGGGAAGGTCTGAGTACTACCAGATTTCCACGAAACACGAGTACTCGCTTGGCGCATCGAAGTGTTTGTTCCAGCCAAGCTCATGACGCAATCCAATTAACTGAGTTCGTATCAACATATAGGTACAGCCATACATGCTGTGCAATATACGGAGACCGTTGTTAGAGGACTGTTACTATTATTGAACTTCCAAACTGGCGGTCGAAATTCTCCTCACCGTAGGTTTCTATCCGGTCCAAATATCCCCACCTCGTATTACTGCGCTCGGATATATGTTCCCAAAAATCGCCTCATCTCGAGCTCAGCAGACAATTCGAACGAGAGAATGTCATATGTTTTATATACAACATACCTCTATACTGTTGATCTCCACATGCATTCTAGTCAATTTTAGTAGCTTTCCATGGGCCATTCAGCACAGGCGATAATCCCGATTCGCAGGGATGGATGGGTCCGATCTCCGGACCATGACACCCCCCACGTGTGAGAAGCTTGACCGCTTGACTTTCGACCTTCAACTTCGAGTTTCTATTTGAAAATAAAAGCTTCATGAATAAATTATGCTCATGTATTAAATGATAAATTCTTTGTTCGGTATCTTTTTGGTCCGGTTCTAACCGATATTTGTGGCGTTGGTACCATAGCAACATGCATTCCTTGAAAATATATATCGTAGTCACTTACCACAATAAGCAATCAAATTCATATTTACCTCGCAAATTGGCAAAGCCTATACCGTAGCAAGTCAGAAAATCCTCCTCTAAATCTAATACTAGCCACAGGAAATCTTAGAGCCCCTTGTATAGAGAGTACACTAAAGTCTGGCCGCCCTATCATTCTGAGACTTTGACCTCAATTTAAGTGGTCAGATTATCTGATACAATCTACGCCAGTTTCGGGTAAATACTAGACAGAACACTCAGCGACAAAGCACGAATAGGAACTACTTGCTTACTGGCGCACGATCAATATAGAGTACCAACGCGCTTACGATGTATACCAGTAATGTCGACAATAGCAAGAGTACCGATAACTAGTCAGCTAGTTCCTACATAAAAAAGCAAAGACCCAAATTTTGTCAAAACGCCAAAGGTCGCCTACGCGTACTCCATATACCTGCTTGTCCTTTTATTCTGCAATGTCCAACTCTTGCGACTACAGTATCACTTCGAGACCTTGGTCCCGTTCTCCATCACGTAGACCTCCTGAACGACTGGCTTCCTGACTAGCCCCACCCCTTCTATAATACTGCAGATCTTCTCCGTAAGGGAACCTGCAAGGCTTTTGTCAGCAACAATTTATACAAGCGGCTTGGGAGGGTGGCTGATACGTGGACGGGTTGCGTTGTATAGATTGAGCCAGTTTTCTGTAGTCGTTCCGTAGGAGGGATTAGGCGCAGGCAGTTTTGGATGTCTAAATAGAGAGCTATTGTCAGTAAGTTCCACGAAAAAGAGTGGTTCAGATACTTACCTGCGACGGCCGTAGGCCACAGCTAATACTATCATTAGGGCGGAGAGAGGGATTCCTAGCCCTAAGGCAAGGCCAACAGCTAGGCCCTCGTTTATCATTTTCTGAGATTTGTGGGAAGGCTTTTGGCAATTCTAGGATGAAAGGAATAACAGAGTACTTCGATTTCACTTGTGAGTAGTTCTAGTACGACTAAGAAGGAAAAGAACTGAAGAAAAATAAGAATCGATGATCTCACATTTAAAAAGTATAGAGACAAAGGCCGCGTCCGAATAGGGAAATAAGGTTGTGTCCCAGAACCAAGTTAGAATGGTCAGGGCATAATCCTGGCGAAGGTTACGTACATGTCTGCTAGTATAGATGATGTTAAGAGTGCTTTGACGAGAGAAGCAATCGTTTATTATCCTACTAAATGAGATATAGCTAGATAACCAAATAACCAAGCAAAATTTCATCCACACCCAGCATTATCCTGTATCCTCGTGACTAACGCACATATTGATACCTTTCATTCTGAGCCCAATATCATTGTGATAGTGTCGCTTTGTGGGTGTGTTCTCCATAACATAGACCTCCGGAATACCCTGGCTCTTTTTGAAACCAAGAGCTTCAAAAATATCGCAGAGTTTCTCAGTGAGAGTTTCTGTCAGCCGGAATTACACCTTCCCCGTCCCGTCATTTATGTATTTACACCGTGCAGACAGTAGCCACCTTAGGCATCACTTGCTGAGCCTTGGCACTGCTTTGTCAGCTTCCAACATGTTAAATAGTCGAGCACCCAGCTGCTCTCTCCAAGACACACTCATTTCACTATTTGGTCTGCCACTTGCTGGAGTTGTAGTGTTAGTTCACATCAATTCGTATCATCTACCCTCGGTATCACCGTTCAACACAATATATTCCTAGCGATAATAAGAGCGAGGAGGAGGAGTAAATACCTATTTAACTATATTGTTTATTGTATCTATCAGCGTGGCGCCAGGACGGACTTTATTTCTAAATAAAGTATTAGCTACCAATTGTAATTGTTATAGGGATAGAACAAATTTTGGCCTATTGGCCTAGAGTGATCACCTCTGCTAGATATGCTCTAGGAGCCTATAAGGCAATAGTCCGGGGCTTTGAAAGGTATAAATCATCATTAGTTCTATCGGTATATGTGAGTAAATGAGCTATTTCATAGCTAGCTACCTAGCTACCTACCTACCTACCTACAAACTGGAGAGTCTTAGTCTGTATATGAAGATATCCTATGTGTCAACAAAAACTATTTTTTGTATATAGCCCAGTGCACTTCCTGCTTCTTGATGTTACCATCGCACTGCATGACTCCCTTGCCCTGCATTTTACCGGTTCCGTGGCCCCAGTGCTTCGAAGTGTATCGGATAATATCGACAACGTCCTGGGCCCCGACATATTCGTCAACATTTCCTTTACGACCTTTGCCCTCAATGCCAAAAGTACATGTTCCAAAATTGAGAATTCCGAACTGCCTCTCGATCGGCTTGACCCACGACCCACTTGTTCCTTGAATGTTCTTGACAATGCCCAGGCAATCATCGATAAATGGAGATCCGCTTGTAGTCTCCTCGATATAGGTTGTTTTCGATGTGGTGCAGTACGACCTGCCATTGTCGTTGTTGCATGGGAAGCCTTCCTTATTTCTTGTGGCATCTGTCTTGTCGGCATTTTCCCATGATTTGCGGGCCAGAGTCTCACTGCACACGGGGAGGCGCATGAATCCAGGAGTCGTGATGTCCATCTTCTTGAGGGCGTCAAATGTACCTGAGTCTCTTGGATTCGCCTTGCCTCCGCCGTTCTCATTGCCGTTCCGCTTGTACGTTTTGACAGATCTGGTAGGGTCATTCATTAGTAATCTGTAATGAGGAATGAAAGCAAACATCCATGGATGTGGAGAAAGCGAAGACTTACCCAATAATGATATCGTCGACCTTGAGTCCATTCCAGGCCTTGCCATCGAGCTCTTGAACGCCTTTGGGCGAGGAGAATGCACTATCGGGGCATTTCCAGCCTCCCGGAACTCCGCAATTCTTGTCGCAAGGGTGCGATTTGCCATCAGGATCCGCCAATTGGTACAGCCTTTTTTCATAACACGCAGACTTCAAGTCCTTGGTATACTTGTCGCCATCCTTATCGTCGCAGCTTCGACCTGTGTCAATGATGAAAGGATGATGACCCGAGGCCTGCCAAACGGCGGGAATGGAGTATGCCAAAAATGTAGTTAGGAAACCATCTTCCACCGACTTCTTCTGAGCATCTGTTGCTTCGATCCCCTTACCCTTGCGCTTTGTCTTCTTCGGATAAGGGATGTCTTCCGGAATGCCGTCGAGCAGGCGTCCGTCAGCTATCATGGTGGTGAGTCTTTCAATGGACTTGTTAGAGCCATCGAACAGATTTTTGAGATCCGTTTTGAAAATGTACTCCCAAGCTTTAAGACTCTGACCCATGTACTTGGAGAACTCGGCTTGCTTTTCGGGTGTCCAGTCATCTCTGAAGATGAATCGTAGTCAGCTATAGTTCCATATCAAACTTAAATTTGAATACCCACTCGCCCGAATCGCCCTTCATATTCATTGCAATCGTGACAGGACTGGTGAGGATGGCGTTCAAGGCCGACTTATGGTGAGCGTTCGGCACTCCCCCTAGAAGACAGCTTATCTCTCTTTTGAAGTGTACCGGAGGAACAGCAGACTTGTTGACCAGGAGTCAGCTTTGAACAGAAGCCTTGCGCAGGGTTGTATTTGAGGAAGTCGGCACCAGAGATGCCACATTTCGAGGCCATTGTAGCGCAGCTATCATCTCACTAGACCGTGTTCAGCCGACATTCCCCCCTAGAAGATGGGGGTTCCCCATCTGCGACGTCGAAGACTCAGTGGGTAGAGATGAGCCAGAAGCTTGGATTCTGCTTGCGGTCGTGTTTCTGGACTTGATGGAGGACAGCATAGGCGACGTAAAGTGGGTACTAGCCGTGAAATTGGTGCTGTGTTCGAAGTCAAGGCACTCGGCATTGGACCAGGATTCGAAAGCAGACTGGATGTTTCTGAAGGTGCCATTTCTCAGAGCCAGAAATCCAAAGACGTGTTGAGAGTCATGGTGTGGTCCACAGAGCTGCATAGCCAAACTGTCTCGACGTCCATCGAAATCGTGGGAATCGTCGATAAGAGACTCCAGAGCCACATCGCTAATGTCTTTGCTTTGTAGACTGTTGCCAATGTAGATACCAGCTGAAGTGGCACCAAAGCGAGAATATAGCATAGCTGTTTTGCTGGGGGTAAGGTGTCCGCGGGCAATATAATCACGCATTTGTCTGATCAAGGAGCGGTACTCGGATTCAGTGCCTTCTGAATATGACGACCAGCCAATCTCATAGTTGACCTTATGCTCCTTCACAGGGCGAGAAAGTTACAAATGGGCCTGCGAGTTTTCTGTCCAGTCATTGCCGTATACCGTGCAAGCGAGGATACGGGGATAAGTGTCGGTATCATCGACATCATCGTACATATTGAAGCCATAGAGCAGAGGTAGGTCACACCTTTCGAGCTGTTTCAAGTTGTGGTAGGTCGACTAATTGGAGGGGTTAGGTCCCGCGACAATGCATCGCTCGGGGCAGATATTGTTAAACCCCTGATAGCTTGGGCTGGCACCCAGTCTGGAGTTTCCCTGACCGGAGACGACCGCAGCTGATAGCAGTGTGCCTACAGCCATACCATTCAAAAGCGGCGCCATGGCTTTGGACACCTCGTGGAGGAGGTTGAAAAGAGTGTAATGTGAAAAGTGATATGAAAATTGACCAAAAGAGTGTATAGACAAATGAAAGAACGAGTGGCTGTTGGGAACGGTGAAAGTCCCAAGAATCCCCCCCAAGTCGAGAGGTATCTGATTCTGAGAAGACAATATGCAGTGCTGGAGCAGCGCGATAAATATGCAATCTTTTCTCGCCCCCAATCTTAGACTTGACATGGAATCCCCCCCAAAGTACAAGTCTCCCCCGAGCTGCACTGGATCCGCAGACCCATCTGGTATGGCCCCCGGGTGTGATTGTATCACGAACGACATACCCACGGGGATACTTTCTTCGAGTACGAGAACTGGATCCATCTGGTGTTTCAGAGAAATGCACCGTAATCTCCGTAGAATGCCATGGAGAGGTATAGGACACCCAATTGCAGCGTTTGTATGAATCATACAGGGGCCGCCAAGAGTAGCAAAAGCGCCCCAAGCACTGGCTCGATCCACTGCACCGAGAGATCTACCTAGGTACGGAGCACAATGAACATAAACTAGGGCTATCAAATGCATGATCATATGATGTATGGAGTAGTTGTGTATCGGTATGGAATTCTATATTGAAGTCCACTTTAAAATGTGGACCCTCTTCTGCGACCCCAAACTACGAAACCTTCTAGTCTCCCTAGCGCGCGTACCAAGGTAGTCCCGTTTGTGCCCGAAAAAAGTATGACACATTGGGGGGGGGTACTTCGCCCTACCGCATCAAAACTTCCCTGTCTTTCGATCTCTCCTCCTGACCTTGGGAGCCTTACGATCGATATCAATTGATATCAGCTTTTTTTTAAGACTGTCCTAGTCATCCATTGTTTCACAACACCAGACCTTTCCACTCCAATATTGCCGGACTCATAGGATGTTCAACATCAAGGCGCAACTTCTCGCCCTCGCCCTTGTGGCATCCCTAGGAGGGGCCAATACGCATGACTTGGGCTTCGGAGAGATCGATCTGATCTTCCCACGAAATGGCACCTTTGAGCCGATGGTACTCATGCCCGTTATCTTCGCATTTCAGAACCCTAAAGTGATTAATGGACTCTATCCATACCTTAGGTACGGTGTGTGGCCGGCAGATCTTCCAAGGGGGAACCAAACAATGGCCGCCTATATCGATGATGGTGAGCTGGACCTCAATACGACGGACCTGGTGTCATACCTTAAGGGCAGCATACCGAGCACTCTGCATCCAGAGAGTCTAAACATCGAGAATGAATGGGAATTTGTCTGGGGACTTGATTGGACAAACTGCTCTACACCAGCGAATGGGACCACTTCCGACGATAAGCCCGAGGTCAACTTGAACGGCCCGTCCGATAGCCATTCTATCCGCTTCACTACAAAAAAAGGGGCAGGTCAGCCCAATTTGACCGCTCTTACCGCCGATGACAAATGCGATGACATTTCAGCTATGGCGTTTAACGTTACAAAAACTCTCATAGCTCAATCAGGCGACCTTCAAGGCGATAAATGCGCCGTGCTCGAGACTCCGGCGCCTACTCCTTCTCCTTGCAAGGTCAGCATCGTTCCTTCGGCTGCCTCGAGCATAACAGCTTCCATTACCGCAGCTCAGTGCAAGGGTATTGACCCTATTGTGAGCTGCCCAGCTAAAAACGGCGGGGCTATCATCGATATGGCTTCTTCGCTGAAATGGTGGACTGCTGGTGTATTGCTTATGGGAACGCTCTTGATTTAGATGCGATTTGTTCATATTTCCGATGTATTAGAGCATTATACATCTATGAAGTATTACTGCCACAACGAGAGTTGGCGATTTCAGTATCAAGATAGAACATCCAATGCAGTTCCTGTGGAAATGATGCAGGGGCCGCTGAGTGTCTTGAAGGTCCTCCAACCTTCTGGCTGGGCCCACTCCATTGAGATATTCACAATGGGCATAAATTAGGTCTATGAATTTATTTGCCTACATATACTAGTATACACAACTCCTTAAGTAGCTATTAAGCGCGAAGTGATAGTAGACACTAGCCTCCACTTCTCTGAGATTATCTATATACTTTTAGTCAAACTATAGAGCGGATCAACATATAGTAAAGAGCGAGAGTAGGTCGAGTTTTCCTATATCGTCAATATCTCCGAGTCAAAGGAGCGGAATATTATCTCGGCCGACTTTAGACGTAAGTATGCTCGAGTAGGCTAGGTAGAAAGTATAGCCTTAAATAATATCAGCGCGCAAGCGCTCGCTCTCCGCGTTAACATCATCGACGTTCTTTTTGAAGAGATTGGACATCTGCGCTCGATCCTGTGCTTTGCGCATTGTTGCCTAAAGATATTCTTATATCAATGGCTTTGATTTTGTTGTCCAATTCCTCGTACCATGATGACAGCTTGTTGAGTTTCTCAGTGTGGTTATTGAGTACCTTATCGGCCTCCTCCAAGGATGCATCAACATCATATTGGGAGAATACACCACCCGTCTTGCAGTAAAATGATCAATGCGGGAAGTCAGGTGCAGAATTTCTGACGGAAGTAAAGTGGGCAAGCATCTTAATGAGATCACGTTTACATGTAGAAGAAAAGTTAGAATGCCGCGTCCCCTGGGATTCTTCGTAACTCTATTTTCGCCCACATCCATGCATACGAAGGTACCGTAATGTGTTCACAACGAGATAAGACATCTATCCCATATGAGCTACTGATAGTAGTCTTGTTAGTAGTCTTTTTAGTTCAACTGACACGGGGCCAAAGTAAACTCAGAAAGAACAAACCACAGAAGATAGATGCGAAACCGATGTCAACATTGGGTTGGAAGCTTGAGACTATGGCAGACGGCATCCAGGATTTCTAAAGGGGTCTAGCCTCCAGGGCTACGAACATGTATGTACAACATGTAGGTGCGCAGGTGGGAGCCAGGGGCTTCCAACCATGGAAAGGTTCCAACTTTGGAAGCGGGTTCCTAGGGCGCTGACTCAGCATCACCCGCTCCCCGGCCGGACACAAGTGGCTCTTCCGCATCTTGTTGACTCGACCACAATCGCTTTTGTTTTGCTTGGTGCCTCGAGAAAACAGACTGTGTGGCTGTTTTTCCTCGGTGGCCAACTTCCAACGCCACAAGATCCAGGCTCCCCGCACATCAGCAACCCCCGCGAAAAAAAAGTCACAGACGCGCAACATCAATATTGGACGGATACATGACGTCTTTGTTGACATCCACGGTTTCGAATCTCACTACACACTGCCCCCAAACGATCAAAACGGATTTAGCTACATCCAGCCCTGCGCTCATTCCCCTGCGACAGACTTTTAAGCCGCGCTCCTCGCGGAGTTCGCGCATCGGTGTACCCCTGTCACCACTTGCATCCCACGTCCGGACCCCGGCTTCCATACGCATTCATTGTTGACGAACTTCTCCCGTGCATGGGTTAGAGAGCAAAGATGGCTCCAGGCGGCGGTGGAAATATTAAGGTGGTGGTGCGAGTGCGGCCTTTCAACAGTCGAGGTGAGTCGATATCGAGGGAGGGTTCTCGTTTGGTCCCCAGGCTAACTAGACTGTCTTTGTACAGAGATCGAGCGAGGCGCAAAATGTATCGTGTCTATGAAAGGCTCCCAGACCGTGCTCACTCCTCCACCCGGCGCAGAGGACAAATCACGGAAGGGTGGAAAGGGCGCCGTTGAAGGGAACAAGGTCTTCGCCTTTGACCGATCATATTGGTCATTCGATAAGAATTCGTCAAACTTCGCCGACCAGAATGACCTCTTCGACGATCTGGGTTCTCCGCTTCTGGACAATGCCTTCGGGGGGTTACAACAATTGTATCTTCGCTTATGGCCAGACAGGTTCGGGAAAATCATACTCCATGATGGGTTACGGCAAAGAATACGGTGTGATTCCACGGATTTGCCAGTCGATGTTCGAGCGCATCAGATCCATCCAGACGGACAGTTCTTTAAATTGCACCGTCGAGGTGTCATACCTCGAAATCTACAACGAGCGGGTTCGCGATTTGCTCAACCCGTCAAATAAAGGCAACCTGAAAGTCCGTGAGCATCCTTCAACGGGTCCTTATGTCGAGGACCTGGCCAAACTTGTCGTCGGATCCTTCGAAGAAATCGAGAACCTGATGGACGAGGGTAACAAAGCCCGAACGGTTGCCGCGACGAACATGAACGAAACGTCAAGTCGATCACATGCTGTTTTCACCTTGACTCTGACACAGAAACGACACGACAAAGAGACTTCGATGGATACTGAGAAGGTGTCGAAAATTAGTTTGGTTGATTTGGCTGGTTCAGAAAGAGCTAACTCGACTGGAGCCACCGGTGCGCGATTGAAAGAGGGTGCGGAGATCAATCGTTCATTGTCAACGCTTGGTCGTGTCATTGCTGCACTCGCGGATATCTCTGCTGGCAAGACCCCTGCCAGCAAGAAGAAGAATGCATCCATGGTACCATATCGTGATTCGATCCTAACATGGTTGCTGAAGGATTCTCTGGGTGGTAATTCCATGACCTCCATGATTGCAGCAATTTCTCCTGCAGATATCAACTTTGACGAAACTCTTGGTACTCTGCGATACGCCGACTCGGCGAAACGAATTAAGAACCATGCTGTTGTGAACGAAGATCCGAATGCACGTATGATTCGTGAACTCAAGGAGGAACTGGCACAACTCCGATCAAAACTTGGAGGGGAGTAGCGCCGGGAGCAGCTGGCGCCATAGGAGGAGGTGCTGTTCCCCAGGAGTACTATCCCCGGATACACCGCTCGAGAAACAGATGGTCTGCATCCAACAGCCAGACGGAAGTGTCACTCAGGTCAGCAAGGCAGAGATTGTAGAACAACTCAACCAGAGTGAGAAGCTCTACAAAGATCTCAACCAGACTTGGGAAGAGAAGCTGCAAAATACAGAGCTTATCCACAAGGAGCGCGAAGCAGCTTTGGAGGAATTGGGAATCAATATCGAAAAGGGCTTCATTGGCATGAGTACCCCGAAGAAAATGCCCCATTTGGTTAATCTTAGCGACGATCCCCTTCTTGCCGAGTGTTTGGTCTATAACATTAAGCCTGGTACCACAACGGTTGGTCATATGGATCAGGGTCAAACCGTCGAGATCCGATTGAATGGATCCAAGATCCTTGAGAAGCACTGCACTTTCGAGAATGCGGATAATGTTGTCACCATTGTACCTGCCGAAGGTGCCGCTATCATGGTGAATGGCTTGCGAATCGACAAGCCCACACGACTCAAGAGTGGTTTCCGAATCATCCTGGGCGATTTTCATATTTTCCGATTCAACCATCCCCAAGAAGCCAGAGCCGAACGGGTCGAGCAGAGCTTACTCCGACATTCAGTCACGACAAGCCAGCTTGGGTCGCCAGCTCCAAACAAAGCCCATGATCGAAATCTTAGCAAGACAGGATCTGACGTAGATGCCGATTCATCCAGGGCGGATTCACCCATGCCCTCACAGCGTAACCGGGAGTCGGACTGGTTCTTAGCCCGCAGAGAGGCTGTCAGTGCTATGGTTGGACCCGATCAAATCTCCAGTTTACCCGATGATGAACTGGACACACTGTTGGAGGATGTGCAGAAGGTTCGAGCCGGACGGCGTGGGCTGCCGGAGGAAGAAGATTCCGACTCCATCAGCTCCTTCCCGATTAGGGACAAGTACATGTCAAATGGGACCATCGACAACTTTTCCTTAGATACCGCTATAACCATGCCAAGCACACCTCGACAGAACGACGACGATGAAGTCAATGGCGTCGCATCACTCAACCAGGCTCGTCAATATATGCAGAAGCAGCTTGATCGCCGCAAGGAAGAGTACCAAGAAAAACTCAAAACCGTGGGGGCTTCGTCTGACCCAGACTCGCCGGAGCTACGAACCGAGAAAGAGCGAATGGAGGACGCCCTGCGAACGGCTAAAGAGGAATTCGAAGAGCAACTGCGCAAACAAAAGGAGTCCTTTGAAACCCACATCCGAGATATGGGTAAGCCAGTCCCTCAAATTTTCGAAAATGGCTTTGCCAAGTTGGATGAACGTGAACTCGGAATCGCGCGATCAGTGTACAGCCACTGGTCCCAGCGAAATTACGTCCGAATGGCTGAGAAGATTCTGCAACATGCCTCCCTTCTGAAAGAGGCACAGATAATGAGCCATATCATGGACAAGCATGTGGTCTTCCAGTTTGCCATCGTTGACCATGGTCACAACATGGAGTCGTCTTACGATCTCGTTCTGAATGGAATTTCCGGCGACGACGACATCATGCTTGATGAGGCCAAGAAGCCTTGTGTTGGTGTTCGAGTCATCGACTTCAAGCAGTGTGTGATTCACTTGTGGTCGATTGAAAAGCTCCAGCGTCGCGTTCAAGCCATGCGCCAATTGCACCAATACATCGACCGTCCCGACTACATCCAACACTTCAAACTTGACAATCCATTCTCTGAACCCTGCTCGCCCCAGTATTCTCTTATTGGTGATGCCGACATCCCACTAACGGCCGTGTTCGAAACCCGTGTGCAAGACTTTTCCGTCGAGATCACCTCGCCATATACCCAGAGCGTCGTCGGAATCGTTCGCCTCTCCCTCGAACCATCCTCCGCGCAGGCGCCCTCTTCAACCTTGAAATTTAACGTTGTCATGCGGGACATGATCGGGTTCGCGGAGTGGGAAGGGTCCGATGTACATGCACAGTTATTTGTTCCAGGTATATCAGAGGAGGGAGGCGCAACTACAACTCAGATGATCAGAGGATTTGAGGATGGTCCGGTTCGATTTGAAAGTGTGCACAGCATGAGCTTGCCGCTGTCCAGTCCACGGACAGCCGCATTGAAGGTCTGTGTTTATGCTGGTGTGACCTCGGTTCATCTCGACAAGCTTCTTAGTTGGGATGATATGCGAGACTCAGCGGAGCCTTTACCGCAGAAGCGAACTGCTCCTCGAATTGCCGAGTCGGAATTTTACTCGGAAGAACGTCACGATGTCTTTGCGAGAATTCAAATACTAGAAATGGCCGAATCTGGTGAATACCTTCCCGTGGAGGTTGTTCAGAGCAGCAGTCTCGATGCCGGGACATCCCAGCTTCACCAAGGATTGCAGCGCCGTATCTCGGTCAACATCACGTATAGCTCGACGGAGAGTCTTCCCTGGGATGATATCAACAACATCCGCGTTGGTTCTGTCCGCCTCCTCGATCCGTGGGGCAAGATCCCAGATCAGGACTTCCAGACTCCAGACGTCCCCTTGAAATTTGTTCAAGATCCGACGGTCAGGGAAAACGCCGACGGAACCTCTCATGTTACAATTGTCGGCCAGTGGGACTCAAGTTTACATGGATCTCTTTTGCTCGACCGAGTGACCGCAGAAAAATACCGTGTCCAGGTGACTGTCCGGTGGGATCTTGTATCCAGTCGTTTGCAGAACCCGGTCGTTTTCGAGGCAGACCAGACAATTCAGATCCAAGGCCGTACTTACGTCCGCCAACAGTCAATGTTCAAGCAATTCTGGAACTCGATCCGTGTTGTGCACTCGACGACTCGCATGTACTCGCTGGTTATTCGGCCCATTTCAGCTAAGCGTGCTGCTGATCTCTGGCGTATGAACACACAAAATGACTATGTGAAAGGCGAGGAACTGTTGAACACTTGGTCTCCTCGAAAAGTTTCTCTGGTACGCGACTACATTGCCAACCGCAAGCGCCGGCAGCGTGTGGCAGAGCTTCATGCTGCCCGAGGCGCTCTCAGCGCGGGCTGTCTCGTTCCATCGCTGGCTCGTAGTGGCAGGTCAACTCCAATGCGGGGGGCCGATCTCAATGAGCGCAAGTCCAAACTACTCCGAAAGTATCTTGATCTGTGGTCGCTCAAGCAGGACCCAACAGAAGCGATCCTCATCCGGAGCAACACCGAACCCCCTTCGGACGGAGCGGCGCATATAAAGCGCCCGGATACCAACGGCCTCTCTGACAAACTTTCCCTCAAACCTCGTTTCACAGCCACCATCCAAACTCTTCCCAAAGCCCCCGACGCCTTAAAAACGGGGTACGTGCTTACGCCTGATGATACCAACAGCGTTTGGGTGCGTCGTTTCGTGGAGCTTCGCCGGCCGTACCTCCATATCTACTCGGTCCCAGAGGGAGACGAGATCAACGCCATCAACCTGCGCAATGCGCGTGTCGACCATGCGCCCGACTTCGCAAGACTACTAGACGGCTCAGGAGCTGGAGCCGACCGTTCGCTGTCCGCCAAGGGCCGACCGAATGTGTTCGCAGTCTATGGAACCCAGAACACTTTCCTCTTCGCCACTCGCACCGAGGCACAAAAGGTGGAATGGATCTTGAAGATAGACGAGAGCTACTTCAACAGCAACAGCCCCAGACCCCCCGCCAATGGCGACTAATGATTCTTATTGGGATTTCCAAACAGTCGCGCGCGGACATGTCTGTGGACAAGCTTCGGCTTTGGGCCTCCATCTGCTCCATCTCTTATGATATTACGGGTCTAAGTCTACCTTTTACCTTCTACTTTATTCTTTCGTTTTCCCATTTTCATGACCTGTTGAGATACCCCTTGAATATGTCGACTCTCTGTGGCACTCTCCCTCATATGTACATAATATTCCGATATAGTTGGGACTATAGATTCGACTGTGCGCAGTTTCTTTTTCGCTTTGGTAAAGCGCTTCGTTGCAGTTTGGCTTGCATTTGTACCTGAAAGACGGGGATTATATAGTTCACCTAACAGTCTAGATGAATTAAACCAGCCGCAAAGCCTACTGATATGTCTGTTTTTCCATCCTCATCAATTACCGACTATAATTAGAATTATTCCTGCGCCATCCGTGTCTCCATATATGACACTGGGCGCATGCGCGTTGCCGTGGAAACAATCGGAGCTGACAGTGACATCAACCCACGAAAGACCATCTTCATCTCTTCTAGGCTAAGACCCCAGATGGAAATTTAAATTGAGCCTTAAACACTCAAGAGGGCAAAACTGGAATTGTTCCAGAAAGAATGTTCACTCAACGGCCTTCATTCCGCTACCTGGCCACCGGGGCCGTGGTGTCCTTGTTTATCCTTGCATTCCTCGTCTTCGGCACTGGCTCACCCTCGCTCTCATCACAATTTAATATAAAGACACAATCACGACCGCAGTATTGTGCCCCTCCCGTGAACTCTTCTGCTGGTTGGGACTTTGTTGTTGAGCGCGATGGAAATAACCACGGTCTCTCCGAGGACCAGTGCCGCATTGCTTTCCCAAAGTTATTTGTTGAGATTGACAAGTCGTCTGCATTAAGGGAAAATAAGCTTGTTACCTATAAGGAGCTCGATTCCAGAACAGTGGATGATGGAATGGTGCGGGAATTATTGATCGAGGAGAGGTGAGTGAAACATTCGCCCTTGCGAACTTAGGAGGACTTGATTTAAAATATTCCATTCAGCTGTATATTGTCGACTACGCCCCCATGCCAGTCACAGCATCTCGAGCACGCGCCACCCTCAACTCCCTCCACCGCGCCCTGACAGCATTCCCAGACCGCCACCTCCTACCCAGCATCGAGTTCATCTTCACCACAGAAGACTTCGCAGAAGACACAACCGCACAAAGTCCCATCTGGGCCTACTCAAAACGCGACTCAGACACTGCAGTCTGGCTAATGCCCGACTTCGGCTACTGGGCCTGGCCAGAGGTACAGATCGGACCGTACCATGAAGTCCGCCGTCGCATTGCCGCAATCGACGACGGCGAAACCGCCGCAGACGGTACATACGTACCGGGCCTGCAATTCCAGGAGAAGAAAAAGCAGCTCGTATGGCGCGGCAGTCTGGCAACGAACCCGCCCGTCCGCAGCAAACTCCTCAAGTCTGCCCTGGGTCGTAGCTGGGCGAGTGTGCGTATCATCGACTGGGACAACCAGAATGATATCCGCTTCAATCTTCTGCCTGATTGAAGACCACTGCCGGTACATGTTCCTCGCACACACAGAGGGTCGGAGCTTCTCTGGTCGTGGGAAGTATCTCCTGAACTGCCGTTCCGTTGTTGTCTCCCATGCGCTTGAATGGCGCGAGGCGCATCATGCGGCCCTGATATCGTCCGGCCCGGATGCAAACTATATTGAGGTTGACCGGGATTGGTCTGATCTCTCGCGCAAGATCGATTATCTGATTGATAACCCCGAGATTGCGGAGCGTATTGCTAATAATGCCGTGCGCACTTTCCGTGATCGGTATCTTACTCCTGCGGCGGAGTCGTGCTACTGGCGTCAGTTGATTCGGCAGTACTCTGCTGCTTGCGATTTCGAGCCCGTTTTGTTCTCGACGGCCCGGGATGGGAAGACACAACCCCGCGGTGTTCCTTACGATACTTGGCTGCTTATGCATTGATGAGTCCTGGATCATTTGCCTTGTTATGATTGTGTTTTTATTGCATATTGGTGTTTCTTTTTGCGATATTCCCGGTTGGCGTTGAGGTCAATGACCTGGATGATGTTTTTCCAATTTGTACACGAAAGATGGGTTTACTGTTTATGACTGACCACAATGCACATTTTATTCCGTGAAACAAGTACAGTTTTGTTATATTTTTATAGTCCTTCAAACTGAAGGATCCATGGCTAAATATAAATCCACACTTCGCAACGCGGTCGTCAAATCAGTATGGAAAAACGGCCGAGCTGAACTCTCGAACATTGAGGTATCCGCCGCTTGAGCTGATACAGACATTTCCATCCCCTTCTCTATATCCGAGGACCCATCGGAAGATCCTTCCTTGTCAGGAGTCTTCTCACTCGCATCATGTAATGGCGCACAGCCAAAGCCTGCCGCATTAAGCGCACGCTTCGTCCACCGATTCTTGATACTGGCAAAATGCCACTGCACAGCAACAGGCGTAGACCGACGATCCAGCTGGGTGCGTATATCCATCAAACTCTGGATACATGTTACATCGACATTATTGACAGCCGAGAAATCAAGAATGACAGCTCGGAGTATCGGCAAATGCGAATCATCCGTACTGGAAGAGACCGGCTCATTCCAGGGACGATCGCCCTTTTTCGCATATATCTCTGCGTTCGTCCCGCGGGTGTGTTTGTAAATTGTTTGCACGAGGGTATCGAAGTAGTGGTTTGCGTTGGGGTAGTTGAAGCCTTCGGCGAAGCGGTAGACGAAGACGCCTGGGCGCGGTCTTTCGATTTTGATGGATGGGTCGGGCTTTGGTTCGTCCATGGGTAGGTAGAGAGGGATTTGGTTGTTTTCGTTGTTTACCCAGGCTTGCCCGAGGAATTGGCCTGGTGCTCTTGCGTGTCGGAATAATAGGACTGCGACGGAGATGCAGACGGTTGCGTAGATGCTGTTTGGGACTGTGCTGAACAATGCGACGATTAGACCCACGGCGAAGATGACGGCGTCTCAGGGGTGCGATCAGCCAGAATTGGTAGATCGTGTTGGGTGGGACGATCAGGTCTCCCACTGCGTGGATGATCACGGCTGATAGGGTTGCTTTGGGGATATAGTAGAGGCCAGAGGTCAGAGTGTACATGGCGATTAGGACGACGATGGCGGTTATAATGCCGGTGAAAGGGGAGCGTGCGCCCGATTTGGATTGAATGGCTGAGCGGGAGAAAGCACCTGTCGCTGGGAAGGCACCGAGGAAAGGACCGAGGAGGTTGGTGATGCCGATGGCGATAAGCTCTTGCGAGGGGTCGATCGTGTAGTTATTGACACGGCCGAATGTTTTCGCCACGGCAATGTGCTCGATGAGGAGACAGATCACACAGGCGGGTAATTGGGAGACGATGAGTTTGATGACATCGCCTTTGAGTACGGGAACGCCCGCTTGGTCGAAGCCCTTGGGCACATTTCCAACCAAAGCAAAGGCGGGATTGTCGCGGCGATGCTGGTTGATGCCAAGACTGATAAGAGCGAAAAGAGCGATGATGAACACTGTGCGCAAAGCGCCAAGGAAGAAGAAGATCTTGGCAAAGCTTGGTTTCTTCTCGGCACCATAGTTGAAGCCTGATCGGAGGGCGTATAAAGCCGCCAGGGCGATAAGACCCATGGCAGCATCGTATCCTTGCGCGGTGGGAAGATACTTCAGCGTGTCGATGATTATTCGATACGATGGAGCGCTCGTGTCGATGCTCCCTGTCTGGCCCAGCAGTCCCTTGACTTGTCCTGAGCAGATACTTATAGCAGAGCCGACCATGAAAGCTGTAATTGCTGGAACGGGGATAAAGTCGATGATAAAACCTAGCCGTGCTAGGCCCATAAATGCGATGATGCCTCCGCAAAGTATAGTGATTGATAGAGCGATGTGCAGAGCTGGTATCTCGGGGTGGACCTTTTGAACATCGACGATAATGCCGCCGAGGACTGTTGATATGGTAGCTACGGGCTGTGTAGTTGATCTGTTAGCTCATGCAAGTACCGGATATGACACTACCTGGGTAACTTACTCCTATCGTGATATCTTTGGACGTTGCAAACAACCAGTAGATAACAACGCCGATGAAAGAAGTATAGAGCCCATATTGTACCGGAAGATTCGCCAGCTTGGCGTATCCCATACTCTGGGGTACCACAACAGCCCCAACCGTTATTCCTAGGCCAGTTAGCATGGGCAGGACTCAAGTCAACAAAGGCACTTACCTGCCACCAAATCTCCCAGAAACCATTGGATGTTATAGTGTTGGATCCATTTCGTGAAGGGCAACAGCCTCACAAAGTATTGTCCAACCTGCTGTCCGGAGGGAATGCCGTCGCTTAACCATTCTCGAACAGTTGGATCTGCCTCGTGAGGCAGTGCCCTTTTATCGCGTAGATTGGGAGGATCTCGCAAGCCAAGCACCTTCTTGACAAGGGCCGTCCTCATATTGATTGATGCAAAATAACCAGCAAAATGGCGGAAAAGGCAAAACCCATTTGGCACAGCGGAAATCGCTATTGGCACACCAGTCTAACGCGTTTAGGGTTATCCCTTGGCGCCGACTTTTTAATACAAGTGCCAGTTATGTGAATGGTACAATAATAAATGGCACTTGTATTAAAAAGCGGGCGCGCCAAGGGATATTATTTCCAAAGGGGTTAGACCGCTGTGCCGATAGTGATCTCTGCCGTGCTAACAATAGCCTTTACCTCTGGTTAACAGTTAAGCTTATTGCATAGCTTAACCTTGGAAGAGCCATAGAAGATTATATTCGATTCATCAGTAATCAGCTCGTATCAGTCAATCAATGAGTACCAATGTTGCACGTAATTCAACATCTCGTAGATTGACATAAATAAAGTGGAATGTGGCTAGAGCATCTTTTGGGGAACCGAGGATTGATCGCGTGACCATTAGTATGTTTTGGGAAACCGAAGCCCACAAATGGTGCTAAGCTCTCGCTAGTCTAAGGAAAGGATTGGCGAGGTGGAGCCGCATCATCGTTGATCCAAAGATGTCGACAAGGGCGCATCGCAGCATACATAGCCCCTTGCACTCTCAAGTATGCGGAGAATACTCCGTGACACCCGTGCCAAATGTCACAACGGTTTCATGGTAAATGTTGAAGTATATTGGGTCGTACGGTGTTCTCCGTTCATATATTGTCTAATCTTTTCTCCCGAGAATGTGGGTCAACACTCCGAGACATACCAGAATTTACGTGTGAAGGAGTAAAGCCCCTATAATCTGAGCTAATGGCTACTGGCTTTCCACATTGACGTCTGAACACACGACGTGGTAAAGTAAATGGTAAATAATGAGATACCCTAGATTGAGTCTGCATGAGTGCTTTATCTATGGTCGGTCAGATGCAGTTTTTAGCTCTAACTGCTTGTTGATGTCGATACCTGAACCTGAAACGGTCTATAACGATCCTGTAACGAAATTGGTCATGCATAGGGGCACCATACACTGGGCCGAGGCTAGAATGATATTGTCGCTCTCTCGTATTCAGTTCCCAACATTCGACAAATATACTTCATCGTCTATGGAATCGAAATCGCCGTGAAACCTCTTAATGCTCGCACTTCCTCAACCACTACGAAGTCTCTCATAGTTTAGAAGCATTGTAATCCTAATATGTTAGAAGATAGATAGGTTTTGAGCTTAATCAAGCCGAATGGGAGGCTTATTTGTGGGGCGCCACACGGATCAAAATCTACCCAAAGCCCAGGCCGAGCACGGCGTAGCCCTAGTCGCAGATGCAAGGAATATGTTGTACGATAACCGTGCTACATAGGGAGCGAATCAGCGGTGATGAAAATATTTCATGTACCTAGGCATCGGGTCTTGTACTTAACAGCACTTTGAAAAGCGTTCTGACATAACAGTTCGAATTCTGTTTTGCTATGGTCCTTAGTGGAGTCTAGGGCCTAATATACATGCCGGTTCGGCGACAATCGGAGGTTCCGATTGTTATGATCTTTTGGCCTGGCGAATTAATTGCTCTTATGTAATTACTTAGATGCCGTGGAGCTGGACAGCCCTCTAGGGCTGGACCTGCCTGGAGAAATTGCATTGCCAAGCCCGAAAATCCACGTGACCTATACGGTATACGAATGTTCTTGGCACGTATTCCTTCGTCCTTTTAAGGGGCTACAACATATCGAGAACTGCCAACAACAGGAGGGTTGGGAGACCCAGCTCAGGGCCAAATAACTTGAATTGATCAACCCTATCATCCGGTCGAAAATATCAGACAGAAAAACAGACACATTTCCCCGATACTAGCGTGTACATTGCACTTAGGAACGGCAGTGGGCCATTTTACTGAGACATATTTTGAGCAAATCTACTCTCAATCATCAATTGTGTTAAGCTCACTGCATAAATTTCGTTCAAATATCAGACCGTGGCAGATATTACCTACCCACACCAGCTCAGGAACATACCCACTCGCCAAGATTGGGTTAAATAAACATCCGCTGATCCGTCCATGGATCGGCCACCTTGCCACGTTTTGCCTGGCCTTATGTCGACTTCTCTGATGATCGAAATACGGTAAAACGGATCATATAGCCTTGGCCTTTCCGGCTTCAAACTGCCTGATCTTAGGTTTAGCCTGCCCGAGCTAAACAACGCCCATTATAGCCGTGATGGATTTCCCCGCATTTGCACCTGTGCCTGTGGCTGAATCCTTCAACATGCTTGTTTTCATTTGCCGACAAAGTTTAGCCGAAGAGTCCGGCTGTACGTACATAAATCCCTCAGCTTAAATCGCCGAGGAGTCAGATTTTAGGCTGGTTACAGAATTCATGGATCTCGTTGATGATATGGTCTGGACCACCGCTAAGACTTAGTGGGAAAGGAATCATGGTCCGTATACGGGATATGATTAGTACAATCGGGATAGGTGAGTATGGGCTAAATGGGTCGCTGGCTAAATTGAATTAAGACATCCAGAACATGAAACCGTTTAGAAACGCGCCCCACATCCTCCTGTGAATATAAATGGAAGGTCTTCTCCTGAACAATTCCCCAACACAAGCAACTCAGTTTAATTCATTCTTCTTCCTCAATTATCAACGGCATCGCATCTGACTCTTCACCATGGTCTCTTTCTCAAGCCTCTTCGTGGCTGCCTGTGCAGCTGTGACTGCCTTTGCGCTCCCCAATGAGTTGGAGAAGCGGGCTATCACCACGAGCCAACAAGGAACCAGCAACGGCTACTTCTACTCTTTCTGGACCAACGGTGGTGGCAGCGTCTCCTACAACAACGGTGCTGCAGGCCAATACAGCGTCGAGTGGAAAGACTGCGGATCTTTCACCTCCGGCAAGGGCTGGGCTACTGGTAGCGCCCGGTAAGTCGAGTCCACCTATATCCTGATAAATATACTTACAAGTAACCTTAGAAACATCAACTTCTCCGGCTCTTTTAACCCCTCCGGAAACGCTTACCTTGCTGTCTACGGGTGGACCACTAGCCCCCTGGTTGAATATTACATCATGGAGAACTACGGCGAATACAACCCCGGCCCCAGCTTGACCTTCAAGGGAACCGTGACCAGCGATGGATCCGTCTACGATATCTACACCCACCAGCAGGTGAACCAGCCTTCCATCGTCGGAACTGCCACCTTCGACCAGTACTGGTCTATCCGCCGGAGCAAGCGCAGCAGCGGAACTGTCACCACTGCTAACCACTTCAACGCTTGGTCTAAGCTTGGAATGGGTCTTGGCTCGCACAACTACCAGATTGTTAACACTGAGGGATACCAGAGCAGTGGGTCTTCTTCCATCACTGTTTCCTAAACGTGTGAAGCCCTGCAGTGGCTTCATGTGATATGTCCACTTGGTTTGGCGAAGGTTGTTGGAGGGATGTTGTGAACCTGTTAAATCTCCATGGAGCAGTATGTGTACGGATCTTTGCCCATGATGCGGTTCATGGGGCCTTTATTCTCTTAAATAGCTTTTTGGGAATGTATTCATTTTTATGCCCGGCAATGCGAGTTCCTAGGGATATTCTAGTCCTAACGCTTTTTTGTCCCTTCGTAGATTTTGGCTTACTAGTTTGTGACAAGCATAGAGTAAGGTATAATATTGTGGAAAGAGATAAACGTGGAAGATGGAAGCGAGACTGGAATTGAAGAAGACAAGTCCTAAACTAAATATAGAACCTGCATCTATGCACAATAAAGTTAGGGTGACCAACATATGTCCAAATTGGGACGGTGACCAGGGGATGTGTAAGCCCATGCGACAACTGCTTTTCCGTGGTTTCTGTCGCGACGTCCCCGCTGGGAACATCGTTTTGCCTAACCCGCTTAACCATCGCCTTTGCAAAGAAGGGCTTGCCGTCTCTTGCTGAGCAGTAGAGACCGTTCTGAGCAAAAGCCTTGACTTCGAGTAAGACATCCATTTCCCCACTGGGATCTACCAGACCACCGTCGGCAATTGCTTTGTATTCAGCGTCACCGATATGCAAATTGAGATGATGCTGGATACTGTCCCAATTTAACTCGGTCGGCAGTAATAAGCAGACTGTGTAAAGCAAATTGACGAAGCTCATATTGACCTTCCTTCATGCGTTGGCTTCTTGCCTGCGAAATTGCCAAATGACTTCTTTGCTCGAATGGAATTCACCAGCGCCGTGAAACCTCCAGTATTGTCCGTTTCCCTGCTCTCTAGAGTCAGGTTTTGTAATCCCCTTGTGATCCGCTCTAGTCGATATGCCAGAACGCAGCGCGTGACTTTGCATTCGTTGTCACGCCAGTGGCAGTTGGCAGTGAGCACAGCAACGAATCAACCCGAAAGGACCGTCGTGAATGCCATATTGCCATGGCTCATGATCTCACAGGCACGACTCGTGTTGGTTGCCTTGGACGTGATCCACGGCCTGGATCATTGCAGACTCGACATGTGCCGCATCGTTTCCGATCATTTCTTGCATCCTGAGCGCGGTCCAAAGCGAAGTTCTGACATGCGTGGGATGGCTAGAGCCATGGTTTGAAGATCCTCTGATGGGTGAAAAAGGGAATATGACTGAAGTCTTCCTCAGAGTCTTGATTGGAGTCTTGATCGGTGCGGTTATTGGTGCGGCCGTGGGGATGCCACCGCTGGCACTTGCGCTACGACGTGCCATACCTTTGCCCTTGCTTCACAATGAAATGGGCAACGTGACATACTCAGAGTCACTCTCTATAGAGGCTTCAGGTAAAAAGCATGAAAGGATCATGGGTTGGAGCGTTACCATCGTCTTCTTCCTCCTCCAAGGATCCGAGCGGCCTCAGCTTCAGCCGTAAGCTTGGCAATTGCAGCCTCGGGGTTGGCCTTGACCGCTGCAGCATACCTGTCTGTTTGCTATATTTGACATCAGCCCTGATCAAGGGAAATCCCCAGCATGATCTAAATCACGGCACGAGGTGTACTGTGTTTTCACACATCAGGTGCGGAGTGAGCGTCAAGGAATGCATAACATGTGAAGAAATAGCAGCAATAAGCAAAATAAACCAAGGAATCAGAGAAAACACTTCAATTGACACAATCACAATAGGACTTACTTTGCGCTCCATCCGCTTCATCTTCATGCGCTTCTTTTGGCGCTTGCTGAGCTCACCCGCAGGGCCGCGGTGACCATTGGGTGGCGGTAGTGGGTAGCGCGCTGGACGCGGGGTGGGAATTAGAGGACATGCCAATGCCCTGCTGTTCAGAGGGATGAATTGGAAAAATTGGGAGGAGAAAGAAGAATAAGAGAAAGAAAGAATTGAAAGAAAAATATTGTCGCAAAGGTATCGCTCTGACACCTAACGTATTTGATCTATAACACGAAGTAGCGGTTAAGCGGCTCGCATAGAGGTTTCCGTGGCTAGGATTATTAGGATGGTAGATAAAAGTGAGAGCCGGGATGGAATATCTTACCAACTCCCCGAAGATATCGTGATCCCTGGGATAGGTTGGGAGAATCGGTAAGGAATGCGAGAATGAAGAAGAGAATGAAGGTAGATGAAGATAGATCAAGGTGGATGAGGATGTGAGGATAAAAGAAGCAGAAGGAAAGGCCCGGGGAAAGACAAACTGAATGGGAGAATGTGCGAGTCGATGATTCAGGTAGTAGTTACCTAGGTATATATGCTTTTGACTATTCTTGTAAATGTCGTTGATGTGCCTTCCAGATAATATTTCAGTAGAAACTCTCTGCTCCTTTATCTTCTTCTCTTTACTTTCTCACTGCTCAACCTCTGCACTCCAAGCTTGACCTTGCCTGCCTACAGTTCTGACATCTTCTCTCTTTGATTTTACCTCTCCTTTCACTTTATTTGTACATCTCAAGCTTCCTCTACATTCACTCTAATCTCAACCAATCTCTAGAGTGTCTCAGCATCCAAAGGGGTGTCTATCGATTCCCTTCTTTTATTATACCTAAGGCAAAAATAATCGATGCCACGCTGAGTTTGACATGTCACTTGAGCCTGGTTATATTTTTTTCTTTTCCTACCGATATACAGTATTTTACTGACTTCGGACTCCGCGATCATGCTCGCCGAGAAGAGTTTGCAAAAGATACTAGAATCTCCATTTCATCCCTTACACGCCAAGTGCCGACAAGTGCAGAATACAAGCAACATCAAGTCGACTCCAACCTAATCTCGGCCACCGCAATCGGAGCCCGATACAGCCGGGTGTTTCTTAAACAGTTCCTTCATAGCGGTGAAATACCAGGGTCTAGGGTGAGCTCTGGGGAAAACTTGAGGTGCATCATATAATCCCATTCTCGTTAGGGGGATTTCACAAACAGGTATTATGATATACCAAACTTGCCGGTTATATATGTGACAAATTGCTAATCTTGATAGGATGATCATAATATTGCTGTGAAGTGGGCATCGATCTACACTGCTTTCTTTTGATGAAAGCAACAATGCGAGTTTCAAAGATAAATGACTTGAAAAACGGTATCACGCTGTACAATACGGTGCACCTCGAGTTCCAGGCATTCAAAATTGCGCTTCAAGCAACGGTAAGGCTTTCGTGACCGAGTAAACAGCTATACTAAATTGTGTTTCTTTAGGAGAATACAAACGAATATGTCGTGAAAAAATACCACTGATGTCAGCGGTACAAAGCCTCAGCCCGGCATAGGGCTCCCCACAACATGAAGGCAATCCACCAGTGATAACCGTTCCGTCCGGCTGTCTGTGCCATAGGGAGCTTGTTCGCCCTCCTCGGAAATGTGCTCTACCCGCTTGGAACGGAGCTCTTGCATCGACTGGTCCTTATCCGCCTTTTCCTGATCTTCTGCCACTGACAGATGGCAACTCGATCTATGGGGATGTCTAGGCTCGCTGTCGCTAAATCTCGTGGCGATCCTCGCTGCGATGCCCAGGGAACTTCGGATTGCTCCCGTCACCCACCTTACGACCCTAATACTACGAGCCAAATCCTGCTGACCACCTACAACTACGGTGCGACTGGCCTCAACACGCATGCACATTGTAGGGGGTTGGACCTCATACGGAACCAAGGTTGACATTACGGTGCAATCTGGGAATCTACAATCCCAAGGAATCCCTATCATTTCCAACGCCCCTTTCAATTTTCCGTTTTACCACCTGTTTATGCGACAGCCAAATTCCCCGCAGTAGGCATAGATCCTATTGCAAGACCACAGGACCTAGCATTGGATGGAATGGAATAACATCCAGAAGGTCCTACCCCAGATGGCAGCGCAGTTCCATGACGGACTTCGAGATCACCGGGAGGCAGAAGTCAGCAGCCGGCTATGTCAGAGCAGGATACACCAAATCCCCCTCCTGCGATGTCTAGTCAAGGATCCGAAGGAGCAATGAACCCCGACTAATTCAAGTTCTGCTTTTTCGGATCATCCTGGCTCGACTCACCACAGCAGGCATGGCGTCGGAAAGCAGATCGTCCAGAAACCGAATTCGGCAAAGCACAGCGAGTGAATGTCGGATCTCTCATTCGCTATATGAGAATGGCGGGCTCGGACCACTCCAACAAGGCGAAACCCCACTGTACCTTATCCAGACTGGGAGGTGACATCCCTAAGCTCATCACTATAGTGCTTCAGCCGATCTGTCCTTCTGGATACCCGTTGAGCTCTTTGCGTTGCTGTGAAGGAAGGCCACCTAGAGCATGGGCGAAGGCGTATGATGAAGCGCGAGGACACCGTTTTAGAGCAAGTTACGTTGGAACTATGAATACAAAATTGACCCACCTGGTTATCGTACTAATGCGTTGGTGTACAACTCTTCAACCATCTGCGGTGTTATTCGACGCATTTGAAGGTCTTCTCTTGCTAGCTAAGGGCGGAAAGATTACATATTTCGGAGAAAGTGAGTTTCTACTCCGAGGCGATCAACATCGAACAACTAATACTCATTTGTAATTACAGCTGCAAAGAGCTCGTGCAGGTTCTTGGACTACTTAACTCGGAACAGAGCACCGTGCCCTCCGGATGCCGATGCCACAGAGCATATCATTGATGTTTTTCAAAGGCCTCAGGTTCTCTTGTGGTTTGTCGATGACATTGATCCCGACCGGTGGGGTCCTCATCCACGAGAGACATCCCGAGCACGTATAGACTCCGAAATGGTACAACGACTTTGACAAAAATCGACCACACTTGGCTGGGAAGGATTTCCTCTTCCAGAGGTGTTTCCCACCTAAGTCCAGATGTACGAATAATTCACAGAGCCCGTGGCTTGATCTGAACAATCACAAGATTGAGACATCCCGAGGAAGTAAATGTGACTTCGTCATTTTATGACGTGCTCATTAAGGCCAAACGGGTCTCGCAATTCCGGTGTGACCTTCTGCCTGCAATGTGAATGATGGGCAAGATATCCATGGATGTCACCGTTCGTCTGTTTTATTACACGCTCCGACCACACGGCGCGGGCCGACGAGCCCGGCCCGACCACCGTCTTTACCGTTCCTCGGTTTCGTTTTTCTTCCGGCATTGACCCCTCAACGAGCCAAGTTGCTTTCATATTACCGGGACGGTGGGCCTTTCTCTGGGGGGCAGATGTTACCATTACATAGACATTAGACAACCCGCTGTGCCACATGACCAGCCAGCTGTCTGTCCTTGCCCTTTTTAGTTTACAACAACCAATATAGGAATATCATCATCTTTCTACCCATTCAAACACGCTCATATAGTGTACCAGATTCACACATTCCGAATTGGCGATGATAGTTTCTTGAATATCACTCGCCGAGCATTTATACAATATGACGGCGGTTACAGCCTCTAGATCTATATGTAGGGACATTGGCACGAAGTGTTTACGCGGTGACCGAGAATCTTGCTTGGGGCAAAGGTTGACTTGCTTTCTACTCCTAGTAACACTTTTCCTCCCTATGAAGGTCTCAACATATGCATAGAGGTGGATAGAGCCTCAAGATGAGCAAACCAGTATTAAAAACAGCTATAGTAAACTCTAGATACAAAACACAGCAGGAAGCAAAAGAAAGGAGCCTCCGGGGGTTTATCTGACTCTTGAAAAAATAGAAAACCCGGGTCCTTTCTTATTCCTCGGAGACTTAATATGGCGCTAATACGGAGGTATATGGTACCTAGGGACTTGTAGCCGTGATGTCATTTTGTTTCCACAACTTATTCTAACTTGGATGTTCTGCAGTCGCTCAAGCTCTTTGATCTTGTTAAACCGCCGAGTACTTCGCGTGACGAGAGATTTGAAAATGTCCTCTCCAGAGTCTTCCACATCTGTCCCATCATCTTCTTCCTATCATCTTCTACGCCTGTGCTGGAGCCGGAACAGTAAGGAATCATGGAATACAGATACAATGTGAGATCAGTAGAGAAAACAGTGTATGTATTCAGGTGGACGAAGAGGAGAAAGAGAGAGAGAGATAACTATGGGGTTCTATCTACACATGTGATGCCTCAGACACCCGGGCATCCAACAAGGAATCATTGCCCCAGCGAGACAACTGGTGTTGCCAGGACCTCGCTACGTCTAACTTGACACAGGTAGATGCCTGATAAATTGGTGGGCAGCGGGCGACTCATCTGCCTTCCTTCAAAGCGCGTAGCGACGAAGGTGAGTGTCTCGGAGATCCTGCTTATTATGACGGATTCATACAGCCTTGGAACCATCTCGGCGGTTTCCTTCCATAGAAGGTCCAGTCTAGGATCATAATTTTGAATCATTGGCCCAGCTTCCTGGAAAGCGAACCTACTGGGGATGTGCCTGTCTCGAGACATCCAACATTAAGTGCACCCATCATCTTGTCCCCAAAGGATGCCTTGTGACCGGCCGGCGAAGGGGCGGCCTCTGCGTCGAGGAACACTAACCCGTCCATATATGGCCCTCGGAAAGACTACTACGTCGTCGGCATAGATATGGGCGGACGCAACGGGGGAACGTCCCTTCTCATTCATGAAAGCCATAGTTCCTGCGAAGGATCATCGTTCTCGATTGTTGCATGGGACCGACCAGGAACAGCGCATATCGGAGGGATGTGACCCTAAGGGAGTTTGAAGCCGCAAGTAGAGTTTCATTCACGATTTGCTCGTCCCTTGCTTGTTCCAACGCGATCTCGCTATCGGCAGCGGCTGTCACGGAGCTAAATGCTACATCACCTTTTGTAGCAGCGACTGAGGGCCAGTTATTTTCGTCGGAACCTCAGTTCGGAGTTGGTTGAGGTAGGCTCCGTGTGCGATCCGAGCTTGGAGGGTTCGTAGAGTCTTATACGAGGTGGATATTGGGTGTCAGTGGATTGTTATTGAAATCCAGCTTTCGTCTGTGTGAAGATAGATCGGAATTTGCGCTGCCTTTCTCGTTCAGCGCGACCGCATTGACGGGCTCCTTCAGATTGCGGGCCTCTTCATTGGTCGCCCGCAGTATGCTTTCCATGGCATCTCAGCTTTGTGAATCCTCCATAGACGTGAGAAACGCCACTAGACCCGGATTTCGTAGTATGCTCGTCAAAAAGCCTCAGCTCTTTCTTCGAGCAATTTCTGTTTGAGCCCGCGGCGTATAAGAGACAGTGTTGCTGATTTGCTGGAATCTTCAAGATTCAATTTCCCCAATGAGCTTGATTCACGGCATTTGGCTCGTATTTTGCGACCCCGCTCTGGTTGGCCACTTGTTGGACGTCACAGAGTTCATGCTTTGATTCACAAGACTTACCTGGATTGTGAATGGGACAAAGAGATTTCTTTGAGAACGACACGAGAAATGCGTAATTTGTGCAAGCAAAAACAGACCTGACGTGATAGCCCCTTCAAAGGTTGCTTTCCGATAAGGCAGATCGGCTCTGTACGGTGCCATTTCACTTTCGTGTGTTTGAAGACATCACAATATCGTTGTCGGTATCGACGGTGAATGCAGAAATGGGCATGGCGTGATCAGTAGATGCCTGGCTCGGAGCCGCCGGGTCATCTTCGTTGTCGCGTGCGATTATCCGTGATGGCTCATTAATCCACTCCATATCACCGCCAAAGCCCTTGGCAATATGCTCGCAGTAGAGGTCAAACCCATGAGACTCGCCCAGGATGCTGTGAACTCATAGTCACGCTGGTGATAGATGGGGAACATGCCGAAAACAAGATGTGAAGGGCAGCAAATTTCGTTAGCCTGTCGTAGGTGAGCGTGAAAGTGAGGTGAGAATGAAGTGAGATCAAAATGAGAGTAGTGAAATAAAAGTCCTGGAAGATGAGAGTTGAAGATGACTAGAAGTTTAGACCCGTGGACCCTTAGGGGGTTTGGGACTTCAGATTTTGCGCTCCCTAAACGATAACAAAACACGCTATATATGTGGCTTAACGCGTACCACATAAGACGAAGCCGAATTGTGTACAGTAAATGTTGTATGCCTGAGGCATCACCATGTGATAGAACCCACTAGTTTGATAGCTCTCTCTCCTTCCTTCGCTTCCTTCTCTCCCCGTGCGAGACAGTCAATCCATACAGTGTTTTCTCCATCTGTATCGCATCTCCATTAGTATATGATTTCAAATCATGGGAAAATGGAAATTATGCGACAGGGATAATCTATATTAACTCACACTTTTCTGGACGTCGATCATTGATCGAGACTATGGGCTCATTTACGATGCAACCTCAGCTGCAGTTGCAAAGCTCTTCAATTATCCCCACATATACCACCAGCGTCATTTCCAGCTCTTACCAACAGGGTGGCATAGATGCCGGGATGAATCCAGGGCAATTCGAGCTATAAATGACGGATGTGGCGGGGGCAAAGACACATATGTCGCTGGTCTGAATGGACCTTTTGGCTGCGTCATTTTGAGACCACTTCTTCTCGCATAATCTGGTTCAAACGGCTCTTTTAGACACGATTTAGCTGACCTGTTACAAGGGCCAACAAAAAATGAGCGCAGTTCCAGCATCAATTATTGTGAATACGGGTTTGATAAAGCACCGAAGATTTGTGCTTAGATCGATGTCATCTATATTTGTTATTCACACTCAAAGTTTTTACTCAGCACTCGCTGTGTCTGTCCTGGTGGGTTGCAGTTCGCAAAGGTTTAGCGCCAGCGAGAGCAAAAACCCAGAGTTTGCAATTCATATATCAAAAGTACTTCTCGATGGAGGTCGGTCAAGCCGGGCACAGCTGCAGGCGCCCGACTCCGTATAGTGAGCAACGGGGGTCTTCGACTACATATGTACTGCTTACGCGTAGTTATGGTGCATCAATTCTAGCGTGCCACTGAGTATATGAATTAATTACCCATACCTTCTGCTTCTGAACACGTCAGCGCTCATTTCCCCATTGCGCAAGCGGAGTATCCAAGGCATCTATTGTTTCATACTACCATAACACCTATAATGACTTGAATCTGAGCACATCGTGGCCCTGTTCACTTAGCTGCATCTAGTACGTAAAACCCCACCCCTACCCTGCGGGACCAAGTCACTTCAGAGCGGGGGAATGAAACATGAAATATGCATGCAAAGAAGAATCAAGAGCTGATCGGCTGGGAATGGCCACCGCGCGATCACAGCTGTGGTAGAAGGAAAGAAAGGATGTCCCGGAAATCAATATAAAAGGGTTGAGAATACCCAGGAGGATATAGTCAACAGATACTCTGCAACTCAAACACAGTATCTTCTTCAATTACTTGAGCGAGCAAGAACAGGGCTCGCCATGGACGCCACCGACTCCTTCCTGTCCAGTGCGAAATATGGATATGACTTTGTCGTTTCCACCACCCAGGCGAGCATCAACTCGGATCTTCTTCTTTTCTTGAGCGAGAGCCAGCAGCCCGTCCAATACCTCTGCTTCTTGGCCGATGGGAATTCCAGTCCCACGAAGATGATCACTTTGGAGGAGTTGCTCAGACTCACGGACAACATCAATCCGTTTGAAATTTCTGCGGGCACAAATTATGCGGACGAGAGGATTAAAAAACTTACCGCAGCCAGGTTCATGGTGGGCATCCAGATCCAAATGGGCTTGCCGCCCGGTGTTATGCCGAAGAACCTGCCTGCAATTGTTGACCTTGGGGACGACGCCAAAAATGTCAAGTTCAACATGTTCTGTTCACAGTTTACCGTGATTGAGAATACCCTGGCAATGCGTGGACCCTGGGAACATGGAATGTCTGGAGTCAGCCGTCCGGAGACCCATGGTATGTGCAGGTGAGCGTTGACCTTGTGGTGGCCGACCTTGACAAAGAGCTGGACACGCCATACTTGAACAACCATCCAGATTTGAAGGCCCAGCTGAAGGCTCGTCTCAACAATCTGTCAAGCACGGCCTTTAGCCTGCAACAGTTATTGTTTGATCTGGACAATGCCGTCTTGCAGACCGTGCCCCGGTTTGAGGGCATCCCTGAAGGATCTGAGGCAGAGACCATACTGCAGCGCTCGTTCGTGTCTATCTACAGTGACATTGCAAGCAACTTCGGACTGCCTTTGGTATCAGTCACTGCCATCACAGGAACCCCTGATCCTTCGCAGTTGCAGATGACCAGCTTTGAGAGGCAGGTCAGCCCTCTCAAGGACAGCAATGGCGTTGTGATTGCCAGCCCGAGTGCCTTGCAGAAGTCCGCCACCACACTTGACCATCTCTGCGCTATCAATAACAATCCGCTTCCGGGTATCTCGAGCTTCAACTGGAATTGGGTGTTACCCGAAAACATCAACGAGAAGAGCGGTATCGTTGCGATCAACCGGAACATCATCGCTCAGAATATACTCGATCAATTGCGGCCCGCGGTTCAAAGCTGCTGTTTGCGCATAGAGCCTAGCGTCAGTGCCCATTGGTACTGGGCAACTGGGGACTTCGATGTGACCATTTATGGAGACCAGACCCCCGATACTGCTCAGGTGACAGAAAGCGGCTCCAAAGTCGTCCTAGTCCAGTATTCCTACTCAAGAAGCAAGGACGATCAGTCAGGTGCAACGTATTGTGTGCTAGATGTGGATTCGACCTACAGCTGTGAGGTGTACTTCGAGGAGCAGAAAATTACGGTAAAACAGCATCTTCTCGTACATGTCCATGCCCGAGTGGATTGGGAGGCTGGAGATGCCAACGTCTTCGACAACACAATCACCGATGAGTACACGATTTCGGTAGACCAATATGGTCGTCTCATGATCACTCTGACCAAGTCAATACCAGAAGATAACTCTACTGGTCCTGATTTGAACTGGTTCAGCGATGCATTCTCTGGCATAAACGGGGTTTGCGATGATATCAAGAAAACGGTTACCAATTTTGCAACCTCTCAGATGAAGAAGACCACCCTTGATGGTATTCAAAACTTCGTATTTCCAGGAGGAAAGGTGTTTACCTACAAAGACCCCCGCTTTTCGGTGTATCAGGACTTGGGATGTGACATTGTCTATGTTGATCCTGCCCGCAGTTTGAAGTCCCGAAGAGAAGCCAGGAAAGCTATCAAGTCCGCCGAGCCGACTCTAGCATTGACGTCTACATCCGATATGATGTTGAACTACGTTCAGGGGGAGCTTGTGTCGCCGAGGAGCAAGTTCGAAGCGCTGCAGGCACAGGATGGCCATGCACTCGTATTTGCCATTGACTCATACGGCATCTTGCGTGCCATTCAGGAGCAGAGCGGCTCCACAAGCACGGGATGGCAGCTCCATGACCTATCTACCTCCGTCATCGAGACCTACTTTGCCGGGAAGACCGATGCCGTGGTGCGAACGTTCGATGTCGGCCAAAGTGCAATCGATGGGACTATCAGTCTAGCAATGGCTGTCTCCTCCGATGGCACAGACAATTTGTTCATGTCCTTGCTGAACTCCAACGGCGATACGTCCTGGGTTGAAAGCCCACGCTGGACCCATGTTCCCTTCGATGCCGTCACCGAGTGGCCTGACACTATCACCATCACTGGCATTCTGTTTGCTGAACTGTCCTCGTTGCAGTACTTGATCGTTGACCTGGATCGCCTCAACAATTCCGCAGTGAAGAACATTGTGCGCTATTACATCGACCCATCTAAAGAAACAGGATGCTTTTGGGTGAAACATGACGTACCAGTGGATATCGAAGGCGGCCATTACCAAAGCTGCGTTGGCCGGGTAAGCAATGCCTGGTCCGACGGTGTGTACACCTTAGGAACCGCCGGCGATGCCCCTCAGCTTGTGTATATGCCTTTAGTCAACGACTTTGGGTCGGGGCCTCCTGCTCCACGCCGACTTTCCCTCCCAGGCTCACAGGCCCCCCTCGGCAATCACAACTGCACGCAACGGGGACAAGTCGTCCAGTCTGCTTGCTACGACAGACCTCTACGCCATTAGCGGCTCATCCCTTTACTACTTTGCTGCTAATGCCCAAAGAGATGGCGCAATAGCTGTTCCCCTCATCACCAATGATTTTCTTTCCGGAACCGACACTCTACTATCCATGATGAGTGAGGGGGTCACTACCATATGGGGCAGAAATAGTAGTAATGAGGTCTACTATGTCTCATGTCCCAACACGGAGCTGACCAAGCCCGGATCATGGAGCACACCAGTCCCAATATTGACAAGCATCGAGCGGATTTCTGCTTATATCAATGGCATCGATGGGGGAAACACCATCTTCGCCTCAGGCAATGGACGGTTATTCGTACTAACCCAAGCCACAGTCACCGAGGCAAAAGTGTGGCAGGCGCAAGATATCAAGGTGGCCGCCCCGGCAAAAGCGGCACCGCTGTCTTTCTACTCATATACGACGAATATCCAGGTGACAGACACGGAGAAGGATGTGCCAGCCGGCAAAACCACCCTAAGCCTTGCCGCCGAGGTGCGCACTCCCGTCTATATGAACGGACTCTACTATGTACTGGGACCCAACCCCGTCAAGGTGGCCACAGACGCTGGTGGATCATTGTCTGTGATTCAGGCAACCCAGGACCTCAACGCGGTAACTATCACCGCCACCATTAATGGTGGAAGCGTGGGCACTGTGATCAATCCAATGGATAAATCGTTCCAGAAGCTCACTAGCCTCAATTCCGCTGACGCGCTCCGCGATGCAAGCTTCCCGACCAAGACCACTGCCGGCGGTGTTCTTGAAGACACATCGTCCACGCCTCTCGTGGCCCCCTCAACTGACGATAACGATGTCAAAACAATCGCTTCCCACATGACCAACCTGCAGACCGTGTATGACAAGGCCCCGTCAAAAACCGCATTGCTATCCAGGCAATTGAACAGACAAAGTCTCCCAGGCCTGCGGCCCGTCCGCTCGACAACTCCGGCCCAACGAGTCGTCCCTTCAACGCGGTTCCTCGCCTCTCGAAGCCCGTCGGGGTTCTTCGACGGTATCTCCATCGCAGCCGGTGACGTCTTCCACTGGTTGAAATCAGGGGTAGAGGCCGTGATTGACATCGTGTATGATGCTGTCAGCGATGCGTGGCACTTTATCGCCACTATCGCCGGTAAGGTATACCGCGCAGTCTTAGACACTGTAGACGCCATTGTTGGGGCTGTCGAGTGGGTGTTCAATGTCATCAAAACAGCCATTGTGGATCTCATCCATTTCATTGAGTTTCTCTTCAGTTGGAACGACATCAAGAGAACCAAAAATGTCCTCCACAACGTGGTCAAACTCTACGTGCAAAATCAGGTGGATCAGATCCCCCGGGCTAAAGCCGCCTTCAATGCCCACATTGCGGAGGCCGAGCAGAGCTTGGGCAAGTGGGCAGGAATCACTGACTGGTCTCCGATAGGATCTGCAGCCAGCCAGCCAGCATCGGGTAATACCTCTAACCCAGCTAAGGGGACAAACCTCGGGCTCACGGTTGCTTGCGGATCACTTCCAGAACCAAGTCCATCACGTTAGTATCCTGGGTGACCTCCCGTCGCAGGATGATGTTCAAAGCCTCGTTGACCAACTCTTGACTGGGCTATCCAATGAGGGTGCCGTGCTCGGCCAGGTGTATAACCAACTTCGAGCCCTCGCTAGTGACTTCAGCAGCTTGAACGTGGGTGACGTCCTCAAAAGGCTTGCGGTGATATTAGCCGACGGCGTGTTGTCCAGTGCTCAAGTGGTGGTTGATGCCTTGCTGGATGTCCTCCAACGTGTTGCAGAATCAGCCATCGGCCTCCTGGATACAAAGATGCATATCCCCATCATATCGGACATCCTTAATGCAATTGGTGTGCCTGACATCAGTTTCCTTGATTTATTCACTTGGATTGCCGCTGTTGGATATACCGTGGTTTACAAGATCGCGAACAACGAAGCCCCCTTCCCTGATACCAGCGAGGTTAGCGCTATTATATCGGCGTCAACCTGGGATGATCTATCAGCTCTGTTCCACCCGAAATCTGCCAAGAAGGTCAACAATATAGTACGTCGCGCTCCAGTCTCCGCCTTGATCACCCTCCCCGAGGCCGTGCAAAGTGCACTCTTCATTGCCTCCCACGCCACCGCTGGTTTCATGCTGTTCGTCGGCGACATCGTGGGCTCCCTAGAAGCGGAGTTTGTATCGGGCGAGAACCCGTTCTCGATCCCATCCGCGGTGTTGGGCGTTATCGTCGCTGCGTTCGAAGGGGGCGGCAATGCCCTAGTTCCGAAAGCTCCCATTGACAACACTGCCGTCACCGTGATCTCCGATGTTACGATTGCGGCGGTGATTGTTAGCAAGCTTATCTTCAGCGGCCCCGTGCAGAGCAGACTCGGAGCATCCAGCAGTAAGTTCTCTGGACTAGCAGTCGACGACGGCCGCGCAACGGGCGCAATTGTCAACACCATATTGATTTTTCCTGCGTTATTCGCCACCGGATGGCATTTCTACGAGCTCTCTGGGAAGCCGGAGGGGGCAGAAAGATCTGCTGCGATTGTGGGTGAGGTGTCGAATCTGACGTCGTACATCTCTCGGGTGTCGTATGCTGTCGCTGTCAATGACATGGATCCGGCAACTAAACAGATTCCTATTGGTGTGATGGCGGCCAGTAACCTCGTTGATGCCGGGTTGCAGACAGCTGAAGCTATCATTCACTAGAAGTGGTTTAGTGTTTATATAGTGTTGTTCAATACCAGGGATGAATTAGTCCGTATCTCTGGCTTTACATACCCGATGCTGTCGTGTAATGGGTTCTTGATTTATAAATCATTACCTGCGATTCTTGATCTGATATAGAATACAAGGAAAATGAGGATAAAAAAGTGACTTACTAGGCATGCCATCGGGATTGCAATTCTTCATGCAGCAGAAGTATGCCTCACGGTACTCCTGCCCGGCACACATGCATGCCGCATCTCCTGCGCAGGGGTCGCCGGGAAAGCTGTTGAAGAAGCAGCCGCTCCGCTGAGTAAAATACATATTAGTCATTAAACGTTTGCACTTGGAATTGAAGCAAGTTAATGCCAAGAATTGCCTTGCATCGCATTCAGAATTCTCTAATTCCTACGTTTGGTTGAGCGCAGTCACTAGAGTTGCGCCTAGGAGGGCGAACAGTACGAAAACAGCAGAAAGTCGTGCCATGATAATGGAGATAAAGCTTCACATGAGTGACGAAACAGGGTGTCAGAGCCCCAGATTAGCCCCTATTCATGAAAACGTGAGTGAAAAGGGCCTATACTCGTTCGAGATGGGCTAGCCTGTTGCGAGACGGTTAGCTTGGGCTTGGCGGCCTCAGCTGGGCCCTTCTGGTATCTACCCGGACGGCCAGTGCATTTCGTGCCCTCCACATTAGTAGAGAGGTACGAGCCGCACAATAATCATTTCAGAAGACATCGCACCTTTTTTTATTTAAAAAAAAAAAGGAAAAAGGAAAAAGGAAACTACATGCACCAGCGGGCTCCATTGCTGCAACTGTTGTGTTTTCTTGGGGCAAATCCTCAATTTAGAGTCGATCATATATATTCCCAGTAGACTAAACTCCATAACAGCATGTATTAATCATATCGTGCATTTACATTATATAGAATAGACAATGTGAAATATGATACGGTCCATGTCTCCGCACCTTCACCTAGACAAGAATGACAGCGCCAATTGCAGCTCCAGCAACCGCCATCAATGGACCAGTATAGCTCCCGGCCATATTAGTCGAGACTGGCTGAGCAGAGCCACTCGAGCTAGCCGCCCCACTTTCAGAAGTCTCCGAGTTCGTCGACTGAGTTGGAGCCTCTGTAGTCGAAGGGGCAGTGGTGCCCGAACTCTGCGAGGAGCTCTCGCCAGCGACCCCAGTAGAAGAAGCCGCAGTAGAAGAGGCCCCAGTAGAAGATGGAACACTGGTATCAGCTGTGGCGATGACAGAGGCAGACGTAGTTTCAGCAGATCTAGCGGACGCACTTGTCGAGGAAGCAGCAACGGTCGACGGCGACCAGCAGGAGAGAGTGGAGGTCGTGGAGACGCAGGGCTCTGTGCCTCTGTAGGCAGCGCAGCAGGGGACGTCGTACTTGACGGGAGCGCGGCCGCCGCCGCAATCGAGCGCATCGCAGACTATCCCGTTTGTCGGATCGTACAAGTGGACGATGTTGTCGGCGCAGGATGTGAAGGAGTATGTTTTCGCATGCGCCAAAGGCGGTCGTTGCCAGCATCAGGAGGGATGCGGCAGTGGGAAGTGTTGTTTTGACCATTTTAGGTTGTTGTCAATTATGGTGTGGTAGTCACTAGTTATAGGCCTGGGAGAGATTGGAGAGTTAAGGTCAGGAGAAATGAAATAGATCGCAGAGACATAGCGTTGACATCAATGAGTCAAGAATACTACTACTCGACCACTGTAACCCCTGAACGAACGCCACGAAATTACGGGCCAGGGTTTTGAGATATTTCCTCAGCCTCGTTTGCCTAATAGGGCACCGACAGGACCTAGGCCCTTTTTCAGCCCTATTTTAACTGGCCAGGTTCCAGGGCTTCTTGGCTGTTGGTGGACCTCTTTTCTCGTGGACCCCAGCGTTTGGGAGCCCCATCGATTCCCCGCAATGTGTCCACTGCTGTGACCATTGGAAGACTTTAGCCGCAAAACAATAGCAGCGAGTCATATATTCAACACCACCCAATCCATGCCACGAGTTGACCGTTAGGGCAACTCTCGCCGCAGAGTTCGACGTAGCCGCAGCCTGTGTGGATCCAGCACCGGTCGTTCCTGTTCCCGTTGCCTTTAAGGTCATACGTGTGGAGCACTAGTGGAATAATAGGCGGAACAGAGACTGCGACACGACCTTCCACATCCGAAGCAGCGAAAGTTGTCGTGGCGATAATGGAATGCGAACCAGTAATCGATGAGTTCCGTAGTTTTATGAGATGTTCTGCCAGCAAAATGCGAGGCGCACTAGCGGCTATACACTGCCGAGGTGGGGGTAAGATGATAAGCCACATTTTCCCTTCCCCTGCATTCACTCCTCTCCAAAAAAAATGTCCATCAAAAATTTACCGACTGAGCTTATTCTCCTAATCGCCTCGCTTTTACCATGCGAATCATCTCTCGCTGCCTTGGCCTTGTCAAACCGACATCTCTATGAAATCTGCAACCCTTGCCTTTACCAATACAATGTGCTCCACGGTAACAGCTCTGCTTTAGACTGGGCGGTGGAAAATGACCGGATCGATATACTACAGAAGACGCTAGACGCTGGCGCCCCTTTACCGACAGACCAACCGAAGGATAGGAGTCATCCGATCGAGCTGGCGGCAGAAAAAGGTCATACCAATATCGTCCGATATATGATTGATCGCGGCGTAAGCCCCGACATTGTAATATCTGCAATGTCGGTGGCCGCCTTCCATGGTCATGCTTCTGTAGTTGCATATTTGCTGCAAGCGGGAGCCAGGCCGTGGATTAAAAACCGTGTAGGTGAGCCGCCTATGTATTACGCAGCGTCTCAGGGCCATACGGATGCAGTGGAGCTGCTTTTGTCGGCCCCTAAGGAATGTGAGGATAATCCCGCAAAAGAAGAAATGATGATATATTCCTTGTTCGCGGCAATGGCCCATGGCCATAAGGAAATCGCCCAGATATTGGTGAACGCAACTGCGGGTCTCTACCGCACTAGGGCACTGGCTGACGCAGTCAAATGGTGGAAGAAAGAACTCGTTGTGATGCTACTTCGAAGTGGCGCACCCACTCAGTTTTGTCGGTCCGAGGTGCCTAGTTTACCGGATGATTCACCGAGTAATGGCGAGAAATGGGTGCAGCCTCTTCTCCTTGCTGTGCGGAGTGGCAACCTAGAGCTTGCGCAATTGCTCCTGGAGCATGGGGCAGATGCCAATGTGGAGTGTTTCGCACCCGCTTACGGGGAAATTGACAGACGTTTTGACCGTGTCCTGTTCTGGGCTGTGGAGAAATCCGACTGGAAGATCGTAAATCTGCTAGTAGAACATGGGGCAGATCCGGAGATTACTGATCTATTCGGACGGCCTCCGATTTCATATGCTGTTTACGGAAAATGTGAGGCTATCATTCGCCTCCTGCTCGATCACGGAGCAAATCCTTACCAGGCGGTAGATCAGAGTGGCAGGAAACTTGATAGAGATACCGCTATGAAATGTAGAATACTCTAGAAAAAGTGACAGATTCGTGGGAGAGAGAGAAATTATCTATATGGGGGACTAGCTGACAGAAATCAGGTGCAAAGCGAGCGTACTGTATAAATCACAATGTATAAATTCTCTATCTAAAAAGAACAGCTGTCCGGTTTAACAATTTATGTTGACAGAAGGATCACATTAGACGACGTGAGGAATGGCATTTACCATAATGAGACTGGCCCATTTTCCTAGGGCCGTTTCTAGATCGTTCCAATAATCAGCTATCCTCAAATACATATATGGGCAGATGTGCAGCGGCATTTACACTGGATTTCTAGTTCGCCTTGCAACTGATCATTAATGTGTTTCTCTTATTGACGGAAATAGCGCCCACTGCCATAGGTGTATGACAAGCATGGGCTCTAGCCCCAGTCGGTGCAGCTTGTGGGTGATAGTGGAAATCCACGTTTCCCTTGTAGGTAGCATCGAACATTCGACATACACCATTCGAATATCGGTGAGAGCAGACGTACAGAGTATGCCAAATCCTGCTCCGGCCCGGGTGATAGCAGTAAGGCCGTTTCCTCCGTACTCAAAGTTGAGCTGCCACACCTTGGGGAGTAGGAGGTCCACAGTGACGGGACTGACGAGGTGGCAAAACCCCATATATACTTCCAGTAAGTGACAACAGATGGGGTGGTCCGGCATAGCTCACATTCGGCTTATGGTGTGGGTCTACGGAGACGAACTCGTAAGGAGTCATTCCATTCCACTAATTTGTTTGTGCATGTGCTGGGCGAGAAGGAACTTGATAGGCTATTGAAAAGGCTAAAGCCTGTGCGAGAAAAAAGCCTAGGGAACCCTGCAGGCCTGTAAGTGACTTCGACGGGACTAGAACGAGGGCGACACAGTAGAGGCAACCTTGGAATTATCCAAGGAGCTATCGAGTAATTCTCTGTACAGATGTACCCTTTATGCTCGGCGGATACCCGAAGGGCTCCCAGAAACTGTTTTCTAATCTCACTCCGGATAAATCGTGGTTGGCCTGTGAAAAAGCACCTGAGAGATGAGGGAATTACTTGTTTATTGAGTATTCAGTGGTCTGGCAACCAACAAACTCATCCAAAGGGCTAAAATCTGCAGCCCGGATTCGAATCGAGCGAACTCCAAGCCCCTGTCGCCGGGTTCAAAATTGTTGTTGCGTTAATCGGAGAGGAGGCTCTGCAAACGGATCCGAATAGGCGTATTCCCGTCTGGCTGTTCTTCGGGTCTTTTTAGTATACATGTGCCGTTAGCGCTCAAGAAAAAGGACGATCCCACAAGTCTATTCTGCTGCGCGACCTGTGTGGGTAGCCCATCGCGGTCCGAGCGGTATTCAAATGGAGCGAATTAAGGCCCACTTCGTCCCACTGGGCTGTGCTGCGATAGATCGAATAAGGCGGCATTAGACGAACCTCTCGAATCATGGAAACTGTCTGATAACTCTACCATGTCCATCAAATGGTCTGGCAGATGTTAACAGCGTCTCGAGAGGCAAGAGCTTTAGATTTCTCTACTTTTTCATAGCTGGATAGTCGTGCCAAACGGGTTGGAAACAGTGATGTATATAAATCTATCCCGAAATCTATGGGTCATAAAATGCGTGTATCATTAATCCCGTTTAAACAGGTGCCCGTCATTGTGACAGCCATTCGCTGTACCAATTCCCATCCCTATCGCAATATTTGATGTGGGTCTTGGTGCTGAATTTCGAATGGTTGGGATATTCGGCGATATACGCTAGGGGGGATACGAGCGGACTCGGGTATTTCCTCTCCAGGCGAAATCCCAGCAGACTCGACATCGTACACACGCTGTAATAGGAGAACGGCTACAGCGGTAGAAAACATTCCCTCTCGTCGATTGTACCTTTTGCATATACCCAACACTTTCTGCCGAACGGTCCAGTCCCGACATTTGAGTCCACAAAACATGAGGCTTCCCAAGAATCCTTCCTTGACAGAAAATAGTGGGTCGGGCAAGTGATTGAAGCTACTCAACAAGACTTCGGCTGTATCCGCGATGTTTTGGAAATGGGGAAGGAGGGTCCCATTCTGTTTCCGAGCCTGAAAATGATGTTGAAGCGAGGATAATTTGCAGCATCTCAATCTGTATCTGGAGAACCATGAAGGCACGGAGCTTTGTGGCACAGGTAGTCTTTCTGTGAAGAGCACGACACTCCTCCACTTGCTTTTGAAGCCGATGGACTTTGTTCGCGGGTGTATCCCATGTAAATCCTTGCGATAGATTGGTGGTCTGCGGGTCAAACGACACGGGATCACTAAACATTAAAGCCCAACATTGAACAGACACCAGCATAGTTGCTTTTGACAGTTCGTCGGTATATGCAGAGATATCAATGAGGTTATCATGGATAAGTTCTCGAAGATAGGGATATTCTCCCCCCAGATAATCCTGGAGCCGCGTAGCGCTTGCCCAATGAATATGGAGCTGTACGAATGTATGTAATAAAACCGACGCAACTGGGCTTGTTGTATTTTTCTTTTTCCACTCCATAAGGAGTTTAGTGCCAGCTTGCAGATGACAGCGAACGGCATCAACATCGCCTTGGAATAGAGCGAATGTAATTAAGACAACGCAGGCTACTAGAACCTTCTCTGTGGCCGAGGGATCCGTCTGGTCATCTTTCATCATAGTCGTGCGAAGACAAGCAATGGCCTTTGTGGACTGCTTGATTGGGAAAATGTCATTCCGGTTTGAACCGGGGTTCGAAAACCTACGATGCAAGGCACCGATACCAATAGCTGCATGACGAACCTCGGGGCAAGATTCACAGACTTGATGGACAAGAACCTGCCAGAATGGGTCGAAGTGATACCCAGCACACTGGCCAGCAGTATACGAACGGAATGAATACAGATAGTCGCGTTCCATCCGCGACAAGCCAACTTGACTCGCATCAACGACGTGGACCAAACCAACCGATTGGGCTTGTTGCTGGCCCACATGCACAATGTTGAGGGCACCATTTGTCTTCGCAGTTCGCGCATCTCGGACTTCACGGGTTCTCCTATCGGGTGGCGCCGTGTACCTTGGCATACGCGGCCAGCGCGAGTGCACATAAGACAAGCGGGTCGAGTTTCGTCACATTTCTTGTGGCGAGATCTTTAAAACGGTTATTAGCGCCGGGCTTACTACCCAAGTGAGATCCTAAGCCGGGTAGATCGGTGCATTGTGTTTACGCGGTGCGGATCTCCTCGTCCACTGAGCGTTCACCCGACACTTCTCCGTAGACTTGGGGAACTTACTTGCAGGTCACACAGCCCGTTCGGACCTTCGATGCACTGGTCCTTTTTCTCTTCTCCCTGTCACGTATCACCAAGGTTGATTGGCTCCCAGGCGATAGGGTATGTGGATCTGACATAATGGGGGTGATATTGGGTACGGATGGGTGAACACCGTGGGACAGGAGGATTTGTGGACTTCAGGGGGGGTCGCGTAAAAGCCCCCGCTCTTGCAGGATTTCCGGTTCATCACAAGGACCCTCTGTTGGCGGACGTGCCATTTTGGCCTTGTCCAATCGTTGTTCGGCGATGTTGCTGGGCAGTGGGGTCGCTGCATTAGGTGCCTGAGGCAGCAATATCAAGATGATCTCACCGCCGACCTTCAGATCTTCGGATCTCCAACAGCAATTATCGAGTGAACCATACAAAACCCGCAACAGTCCAGATGAACACAGCACCCAGAGATGCACTGGAATTTCCAGAGTCAGATCGGGCCTTCTTAGAGCCCCACTTGCCACCCCAGGATGGCTCGGCACCTCAGTTGGATCTGCCCTTCACAACACTCACATTCGCAACCTCGCTCGACTCTTCTCTGGCCTTATCCCCTGGTGCACGTACAGTTCTTTCTGGCCCCCAGTCCAAGGCAATGACCCACTATCTGCGATCTCGCCATGACGGAATTATCATCGGCGTTGGTACGGCAGTGGCAGACGATCCCGGTCTGAACTGTCGAATCAGCGGAGTCGGGGGTTATGGTCGGCCGGGCTTGGATGGCCAGCCTAGACCAGTTGTCATTGATCCAACAGCTCGATGGGAATTTTCAGACCATAGCAAGCTGTTCCAACTTTGCAGAGAGGGCCGTGGCCGTGCCCCATGGATCATCACTGCAGTTGAGAAACCAAACGCCGAGAAGCAAGCATTGCTGGAAAGGTACGGCGGAAGATTTATTCAAGTTAAAATGGTCAGGACGCATACCGGCCGACACCAGATTGACTGGCCGGAGTTGCTCGTCACCCTGAAATCCAATGGTCTCCGGAGCGTCATGGTCGAGGGTGGTGGCCACGTCATCAAATCCCTTTTGAGCCCACAGTACATGTCCTTGCTGGACAGTGTCATTGTTACTATTGCTCCAACGTGGCTGGGTGAAGGTGGTGTGGTCGTCTCCCCGGATAGGCGCTTTGACGATGATGGAAATGCGATTTCCGCTGCGAGATTGAAGAATGTCAAATGGTACCCATTTGGGGAGGACGTTGTCCTTTGTGGACAGATAAAACTTTCCGGCTGAGAGACCACCTGATCTATGTCTACCTACGGACATTGACCGATAACATCTGCTGAGTGCTTGCTTGCCCCTTTGATGTACATCATCGGAGAGACTCTACCCCAGAGCACCAAGCAATTGACAGCTATGTATCACCTTGTGGCAATTACCTTGTGGCCCAACAATGCCAACTTTAAGACAAAACAGTGCAGTGCTTCGTCTACTATGTCATGTTTGTCACTCCGCAGCCGTACGTTTCATCGCAAGGGTTCCATTGATCCCACTCACTACAAGCCAATTGGAATGTCTATGCGCATGTACCAAAACAATGTATAATGCCCTGTGTCTTGTACCAAACCATGCGAAGGAAGACTCGCTAGCGCTTGATGAGTGGACTCATTGTGCTTTCCTTTGAGAATCCACTTTGCATACAAAACATTGAATCACAACTTCAAAACATAACCTTGAGTTCTCACGGCTTTATATCGCGAGAGCTGACATGATGAATCTTAAAAACCGGGTCTCATTTTCGAGGCCACTATTGTAAAACCACACGTCCGCTGAGCAATGAATTCAACCTCCACAGTTTTATTGTCTTGTTGTCCAGAATCTTCTCTTCGTTCTGCTGGATTTCGCACGGGCTTGGTGAGCTGGTATTGTGCCTTGTAGGAACAGTTAAACCATTCCCCCATGGCAGAAACCCAACAATGGCATTGTACCGTTCTCTTTATCTACAACAATGGCCTTTGTTTTCGGACGATCCATTTCTGACCTAGTAGGAGTGCCAAAAAATGATAAATATCCGCTATGCCCACATAATCGGGCCTTTATCATCACCGGTCCCCATCTCGGATCAACGTTCGCATCCTGGAATCCATCTATCATGCCTAGGTGAGTGCTGCCTGGCCAATACATCTACTCTCGTTTTTAGGAAAGTACAGATATGCCGCCACTCAATGACAGTGAGCAACACGAGCGTATGCTCACAGCTCTCCGTCGTCGAATTCGCGATCTCCGATCCAACCCAGAGAACCGCTCGCTGGCAATTGCAAGGCTGAACGCAATTTATCGACTTGCACGCATCTGTGCACAGTTCGGGAAGGATGCTCGTTTCACACAGCTGTGTGACGCACTCCGGAGAGGCTTACCCGGCCAAATCGGTCTGCTCAAAAGTGACATAAACAGTAATGTTATAGTTGCAGATGCTCTGGACAGAATGATCCTTGAATCTTCCTTGTATAATTGTTCTGTCACTGTTGTCGATAAAGACGATGACGAGGTTGACGGAGAGACTGACCAGGATATTGATGCAGACTCTAGTGAGATGGATCGCAGCGACGATAACTATATCGCGCGGTTGCTCCTTGGTTCGAAATGGGCTCAACCGATAGTTGATTTGCCGGAGGAGCCATACCTGGAGAAGGAAGTGTCTGCTGCAGGCCCCAGTGAAGCTGAAGGTGAGATAGATCCCAGCGATGATGACTATATTGCACGCTTGCTCCTTGGTCCAGGCTGGGCTACTCCGTTAGCCGATTTTGGGGAGGAGCGATATGTGGCAAAGGGGGTGTCGGGTAAGTGATTATTGATGTACGATAGCTCACCAGGCGACCCGTAATAGAGCAGAAATAAATGGGATTACGAGAACGCGTGGAAAATGAACTAAAATGGAGTAAACACAAAGTAAGGCTTCTACCACCCGCGGGTTGTTAACAGTGACTGTCGAGGCGGTAAGTGGAGGAATAGTTGACGCAGATTTTCACTAGCTGTGGAGGAGATCCCCTATAGCTATACAAGAATGTTGCAGGTCTTTTGAGTACCCTTAGATTGGGAAGACAAAAATGCCAGATTAGTAGACAAGTGCGTAGGATAGTGCAGATCTAAATCAACTATGGGCTAGCATTGCATAGATAAAAGCAGGAACATAGGGAGGCCGTATAAGGGGATAAATATTCTTCTAGACTACCTATGTGGGTAGGGCTAGAGTGATGAAGGCAATATTCCGATTAGGCCGGTTGTCGTGATGGTCCCTATGAACCTCGTGCAAATAATTGTTTACTTTCTGTTCTTTCGAATTGACATGCTATCTACAGAAGTGGAAGGGAAGTGCATAAACGTGGGCTTCTATATCAAGTAGAAGGGGATTAGAAAGCTTTACTATACAACCTGTACAACTTACATATTATTGTGGTGTTGAGATAACCTTTGACCATCGCGAATAACCTTGCGGGCTGTTCACTCTCTGTAGGCCAAGGCAAAGGATGGCCCGGTGCTATCACGGCTTGTATCCGGTCGTTCGACCCTTGACCGTGACATCTCACGGCTGATAATGTTGGCCAACTCCGCTTGATGTGCGATTGATGCCGCGGTGTCTTGTCTTTGAATATCATGTCCTTCCTCACTGTCGGTTTCCGACGTCTCCCTTTCTTGGTCATCACGTGTGGTTTCTCGTCTAGCGAGTTGAGCGTCTTGTTGCTCAGCCAGTGTGGCCGCCACCCGCTCATGGAAAGCCTTTTCTTCCCTCTCTTGGTTGATGGATGCGTAATGAGCCCTTCGATAAACACCGATAGAACTCAAAGTAATACCGAGAACTTCGTAGGCGAAGAGAACAGGTAGCGAGTGATAGAGTTGGGGATTGCAGCCAGACGACCAGATGTCAATGAGTACCTGGAAGACAGCGTGTGCCGGTAAGGCGTAGCCCACTTTGTAGAATCCAGGCGACAACTCGAACGGGAGAAGAATGGAAGTGACATTCAAAATGACCCACGATATCAGAGCCATCGGTACGTAGGGAGGCGGAAGCCAGATGGTGAAAACATCTAGCACGAGGAAGGTCAAATGGGCAAAAAGCCACAGTACCAGCCAAGTGAGTGCGAACTGGTTTCCGTTGACATTCCAGCCACTTCGGAATGCCCAAATTGCACCGGCTGTACACATAGCCCCGACGAGTGTGTAGACTAAAGATATGATTTGGCGCGCGATCACCATGCGATGCGGTGACACCGATGTGTAGAGTTTGAATTGAGCATACAAACCATTGACAGTACCCAGAAAGAAGAATTCCTGGATCAGGATCAATATGATAACTAGTGTATTGTAAATGACCCTTGATCCTTGTGACGTGGGTAGAATATTGTTGTCGGTCAATGTCCAAGGCTCGTATAACGCTGCAAGCGCAGCAGAATCGGAGCTGTTGATACTCTGAACGGCCATTTTCCCGTTGGTCTGCGAGTACTTAACGCGCGCAGTTTCCGAGAGCAGTTTTATGCTATTTGCGACGGCTGAGTCAACGACCGTAGGGTAGCGCACTTCATTCCACACCATGGTGAGAACATCGCTCTTGTCATAGGAAGAGGCAGATGGCCCACCCGCGAATGCGGCACTCAATGCGTTAGACGCATTTGCGGTAGTGTACAACGCTCCCCAGTATTCGATGTCGCAGACTGCACCTTCAATTGAGCCAGGCTGGGGGTACACGGAGGCAGATTGCTCAATGAAAGTTGGAAAACCGGGTCCTTTAAGCTTTTGGAACGCGGCACGGGCTGCATCGCCTATAGCGCCGCCATCGTAGTCAACGAACAAAATTTTGATATTGTGAATGTGGCCGGACTGCTGGAAGAGGGACCCGAATATGTAACAGAATAGACCCAGGAATAGAATTTGGAGAATTAGAAGATTGACAGCAGCTGCCTTGACGACACCCCATCGACGCTGGATAACAGACGGGTCGTGGATGCTAGGTCGCTGTTCTCGCGCTTTTGGGTAGAACTGCATGTGACCTGTTGGAGCGACAGCTCTGTGCTAGCTCCAGAGAGGTAATATGGATCTCACAATATGCGGGGAAAGTCTGCGATGAAATTTTTGATATCTGATCAGGCCAGAAAGGTTAGCCAGTAAATTAGCATGCCCGAATCCCGATGGCCGATGGAAAACTGGAAGTGGATCCGCCAAAGGCCGGAAAGTTTCCGGATAAACCGACCTCGGGCGATAGACCGGATGAGATAAGCTGACATCAAACAAGTGCACCTAACCCCTTTGGGAAATATTGACACCTGGATAGACAGGCCTTAAATTTTAACCTCTTCTGGCCATACGAACCATGGCTCTCTCCGTGTCAAAGCACCCAACAGGTCTAAATTGCCATTTCTAGATCTCTCGTATCCACGGCCTTTCCGCTCATTAACAAGTCTCGAGGAGTTTCCGGCATCACCAAGGTGCAAATTCAATGACCAAAACTGCGTACTTCCCTGAGAGGCGAAAAATACAAGCAACAAATACGCTTCGATCTAAGACAAATGACACAATTTCCCCCGGCAATAAGTCGATTTGGTCTGATTGCAAGACGCTCATGGGGAGAAGGAAAGCTTTTGGGGGATTGACACTTGGGACGTCTTGTGGACTTTCTGCAACTAGACCCCACCCTAGACTAGTCTTTCCGCGTGCTACTCTGACATTTGGCAACGCATATCGAGACTTGTTTTCGGTAACTGGCCACCATCCTCGAAAATCATTCCCAGAGGGGTTGAATAGAGCAGCATCGTCATTATTAGCAACAATATATTGTGATTGATTATCACTCAACTACCATATTCTCTTCGATAATCAGAGTATTCTCTCATTCATCTAGTAGGCAAGGTATATAGTTACCTAAGTACTATTGACATCTTAGGTACTAGCGAAGTCACAATCGCTCTTTCCCTGGTTGTGTCCTTCACTGGCGATTTGTTTACCCTCGTCCCTTTTCCTTCTCCCGTACACCCACGCAGCCTCATCCGAACTCTGTTTACCCGTCAATACCACACGGCGTGTGGCCCTGACATGAATTCGGGGAACTAGGTGGGCTCTATCCACGAGAGGCCCTGGATCACTCTCGCGAGTTTTCTCGGCGTTGTCTTCTTGATCCTCTTTTGCCAGCTTGGCTATAATTGGGCAGGCCGCCGTCTGGAGGCATGCTTGGGAAGGAAGTCCCTTTTAGTAAATATTGAGAGTTCCAAGGCCACGAGAACACGGGAGTTACCTAGGTACGTACATCTGTACTTTTAGCCAAGTTTATTCCCAAATTTGGCAGGGCAGTGTAGTATATCCGCCCGATATATATGGATGGACCACTTGAAGGACAAAGGCTTGTTTTTGTGTCTCACAAAATCTCGTTGTGACGTGTTCATAGAAGTTGCACTGCCCGCGTAACCAGATTCAGACTCTGTTTCATTCCACCCCTCACTAGTAAACTCGGATAAATGAATCTGCAGGATGCCGATCAGCCATTGCTCGGGTCATTCGCCCCCGATGCTTGTCTGTGCATGCCATGCTTGTAACTTTCATGGCCAATCCCCTCCTCGTTACCCGTCCATTCCCGTCAACATCGCAGCTATTCATGTCGATCCTCCCCCGGACATGACGTCTATCGCGGGGTATCCGGAGTTAAGGCACGACATTCAGCCTAAATCCTATACGGCCATTTGCTTAAAGAGATACAGAGAGACGGATTGCGCAGCGAAGAACACCAACGGTCCGACCAGCCTATTGATAGATTCTGGAAAAATGCGGCTTGCGTTGATTGCCCTCAGTGCCATCTGGGCTTCTAGCTCAGTCGCCTCTCCAGTACAGCAAACCACCTATCACAAACCAACCTCAAAGGGATTTCGTATGCTGCACGGCTTCGAAACCGTTTTGGTGCAGCCTTTTGGATACGATGGCTTTCGAGTTCGGGCGTGGCCATTCCGGGCGCCGACGGGCCATGAGATCGGATTTGTCTACGACCCACCTCTTGAAGGACCCGAGGATGGAGAGGCACATGGAATGACTTTTGATACGGCCTTCAACGGCAATCGATCAGAAGAATTGCGCAATGGAAATATGATCGTTCGCACCTCCGGATGGGGTGGTAGCCCGGGAGGCTATCGTCTTGCTTTTTATCGAGCCGAGGCTAATGGCTCGGAGACTCTCCTTACTAATGAGTATGCACCACTCAAGTCACTCAACCCGCGGTACTACTCTTGGACAGGTCCAGGAAGCGAGTTTGCCGCCGAGTTTTCCTTCAGTACCACACCAGAAGAGCAGATATATGGTACAGGCACCCAACAGGATCATCTTGTCAACAAGAAAGGACTGACCATTGACCTCATCAACTTCAACACACATATCCCGACCCCGGTTTTCATGAGCAACAAAGGGTATGGGTTTATTTGGAATATGGCCTCCACCGGTCGTATGGAGTTCGGCCCATTGCGCAACAGATTCACCGCTGATGCAGCATCGGTGGTTGACTATGTGATTGTATCGTCAGACCCCAGTGACTACGACACACTCCAACAACGGCTCTCTGCACTCGTGGGCCGGGCGCCCACTCCACCTGATTGGTCTCTGGGTTACCTCCAATCCAAGCTTCGATATGAAAATCAAAGCGAGGTTATTCAATTAGCACAGCAGTTCCACGATCACAAGATCCCGGTGTCCATGATTGTCATCGACTACCAGTCTTGGGCCCACCAAGGAGATTGGGGACTTGATCCAGCCTTGTGGCCCGATGTGGCAGAGATGGCCCGGCAAGTGAAAGACCTGACCAACGCCGAGATGATGGCGTCTCTTTGGCCCAGTGTGGCAGATGACAGTGTCAACTATTTGGAAATGATGGCCCAAGGATTTCTTTCAGCTACCCGGTCCGGGCCTGGTACGACAGATTCCTGGAATGGATCATATATCCGCAACTATGACTCCACCAACCCCGGAGCACGTCGCTTCCTATGGAACACACTGAAACATAACTACTTTGACAAAGGTATCAAAAATTTCTGGATCGACCAGGCGGACGGTGGCTCGCTGGGTGAAGCATATGAAAACAATGGCCAAAGTGACTACATCCAGTCTCTCCCTTTCCCCATGCCTGATGTATTGTATGCAGCGGGTACACAGCACAGTGTTGGGAAGCTCTATCCATGGGCCCACCAGCAGGCGATCGAGGAAGGATTCCGCAATGCAACCACAACAGAGATGGGATCCCCCTGCGATTACCTGTCCCTGAGTCGCTCTGGATACATCGGCTCCCAGCGATTCTGCAGCATGATCTGGTCGGGCGACATCACATCAGTGTGGGAGACTCTTGGCGCACAGGTTGCTAGTGGATTGTCCGCCGCTGCGACCGGCTGGGGTTGGTGGACCCTGGACGCAGGCGGCTTCCAGGCAGATCCAACAGTTCCGTGGAGTGCCAACATTGATTCTCCAGAATATCGCGAGCTATATGTCCGCTGGTTCCAGTGGTCAACATTCCTGCCGTTTATGCGCACCCATGGATCCCGCACGTGTGACTTCCAGGACGCATACACCTGCGCGAATGAGCCTTGGTCCTATGGATCTGAGAATACACCCATTCTTGTGTCTTATATCAATCTCCGATATCAGCTGTCTGCGTATCTCCGTGCGGTCTTTGTTCAGCTCCACAAGAGTGGCCGAATGATCATGCGTCCCTTATACATGGACTTTGAGAAGTCGGATCCCAATGTCGCTAGATGGACGCGCACAAATACCAACACCACCACTCAGCAATATATGTTTGGTCCACGCTTTCTTGTTAGCCCGGTTACAATCCCCAATGTTACCGAGTGGTCTGTGTATCTGCCACAAACGGCCGGCGATGAGTCTAAGCCATGGACGTACTGGTGGTCAAATCAGACTTACTCTGGGGGTCAGACAGTGACTGTACCTGCACCGAAAGAACATATTCCATTGTTCCATCTGGGCACTCGGGCGGACATTCTCGATGGACGCGTTTTTGCGTAGAGTTAAGCCAGAAAGCAAATAGTTAGATAGCTTTCATCCGGGAATATAACCTTCGAGGAAAATGTCCTTCTTTGTCAAGAGATGCCCTGATGCCCCATGTACCTTTTGTATGACCGCGCTATACAAAAGAAACCTAAAATTTTAGAAATCCCATGTGACAAATCTCGGATTGTGAAACAGCCCTGGAGACCCATATCCCGAAAACGCGGGTGGGGCTGGCTGGGAAGACCCTTCGACGATTTCCGGCTATTTTTCCGGACTTAGCCTAATCGAGCAGGCAAACGAGCTTTCATTGATTCAGAAGGCTGGGCCCGTCGAAACGCTTCCTATTGGTGAGGCGGCTGGGTTTGACATCATCAATGGCTTCGGACTGCAACAGCAAGGCGAGGAATCCCTTGAACTTCAACCATGGCCCCCATTCCCACTCCCGACGGTGGAGCTACCTGACTCTGGCCGTAAGTCATTCCCGAACCCTAGGGATTTCTCTAACGGCTTGATACTTTTAATAGGCTGGAACTAATAGCTAATAGAGAAAATGATTGAAATCACCAATAAGTACTTACGCCTTTCAACACAGAATGAAGCAGCTGCACGCTGTATCATCAACAGCATTCTCTTCTCTCTGTTAGATACAGTTGTGCCGTATCCAAACAATGGCCAATGGCCATTGAATCTTCAGATGGAGACCTCGCTGACCTCTCGTCCGTTCCCCCTGAGGGGAAAGGTGTACCAAGCAAAGGGCACCTACGATTACACGTTGTGGTACGGAGAAAGGGGCGGCGCAGACAAGGCCATTAACTTGGTCCTTGTTGAGGCGAAGAAGCTTGGCCTTGCCAGCCAAGGTGACGACCAGGCCTTAGGGTATATGGGTAAGTCTTTATCGACTTCTATTCGAAAGGCTCTTTACTAACCATAAGTTCTGTTTCTAGCCTGTGTCCACCAAGAGAGAAGGACCCTGCCTTCTCGGAACTCCACAGTTTGCGGTCTAAGTACCGATGGCGAGGAGTTCCGTTTTCTTCGGATCAACGAAAGGAGCGAGGTATATTAATAAATTCCGAAATCTCACAGAACTAGCTAGCTAATGTTAACAGTTCAGCAAAGCCATCATGATGAAAACTCCCCCGTGGGAACTATTCTCACATCACGAGCATGATTGCTTTTATCATGAGGGAGGCGGTTTCCCAGTCGCCTTACACGTCCAGGAATTCTAAGGATTTGTCGATGGAAGATGACCCCCTGACTCTTCCCCCTGATGTGTAGGATACTTTCTATTTCTCTGGGAAAAGATTTTGGCTTGCCTCCAGGCAAAACCTTTACGTTCTTTTTCACCTTGATTTTCTCCGATTTCGAGATGATATGGCTCCTAGGGAAGTCCAAGATGCGAGACACTGTACGAGTAACGCGCTTGAAATATCTACTCGTTTACTGCCAACATTAAATGCCAATGCCGTCAATCATCTGCAAGAAAATCAGTCATGAACCCAAAGGGCAGAATGTGCCAGTCGAGCTTGCGAAGCGGAGACATGTTATAGCGGAATCATCAGATCAATACATGTAACTAATCGAGCCATTGATTCATTGGATTCTGTCGGTGCTCCTTCCTGCACACATTAGCTAGTCTCGCATGTAGATAGTTTCTCTCTTCTCCTATAAGAATCTCATTATTTACTATATTATCTAAAATTGATCTAAATACCCTATCTTCAATTCTACATTCTATTAGGGTTTCTATTGGCGTCTTACTTAGGTTTGTACTAGTATATATACTATAAATAAGCTTAAAATCAAACCGGAATTTCCCCAAGAGCTACAAATATAGCATCTATAGTTTTCAACCGTAAAAAAAAGAAGGTGCGTGAAACATCAGTATAGCATATTGGCCGGGAGACTAATCTTAACATGAAGCAGGCGCATAGTATGACACTTCGAGCACCGAGCTACAGCTAGGCCGAGACCTAACTCAGTCATCAATACTAGTCTATAAAAAGACCGCACGCCCCAACTTCCTCCCCAGGTCCGTCCACACGTGTCGCCCCAAGACCAATCGAGATATCAGTTCAGCACAACCTGGTCCAATGCGGGAAATATTCCCGCTTCCCGTCCATCCGTGTTATTCATAGATATTGCCGTCCGGGAGTCACTCATGTAAATCTAGTTGATGAAGAAAGCGACTGAGCCAATACCCCCCTCATCTCTAGGAACAGTTGGCAAGGTCATTTCCTATCGGAATGCATCCATTGCCCCTAACCTTGCAAGGGTTTGTCTATCATCCAGTTAGTATGGTATACATTCCATCCTTGTGAGTAAGGCGCTGCCATCCTGTTAGGCATTCTGTATGAATCACCCTGGGAAATGGTGGAGCCGATACTAAAAAGGAGACTGTACCGAGACACAGGCATAATGACCCTTATCATGACCGTTCCCAATGCAAGTTCCAAAGGTCCCGCCCTGAGGTAGTACACAGTTCTATAAATTATTTTCTGGTTAGCTGGGATTATCACTTAGTGGTATGGCAATAATAAGTATAGGGTGGCATACAAAATATCCGAAGGCGACAGACGCAAATGAGAGGAAGGCAATCGAAGCGGAGAACTTCATCGTGGATATCAAAAAATGACTGGAGGGATTCACAACGAAACTGATGTAGGTTTATGGGAAATGAAAAGAACTTTTATTCTGGAAAACAAGGCATCCGATGGCATATCGGGGAGGCTTTATAGAGCTTTAGCCAAGCTACTGTCTCACCCACGTGGCCCTCCTTCCGATTGATCTATAGCACTGGGGCGTATCGGTACAGAGTAACTAACGAAAGCTGCGTGAGACACCCCCAAACACCTCACAAGATGTGATAAATTACAACTCGATATGTTACCGGCCAGGGCTCTTTCCGATGATATATTGAGCTCACATAATCCAGATGGGATTTCTGAGCCTATTAGCAATCGTGGAGATATGTACACTGTATTTTATTTCTCCTACATAGAGAAATGCTAGCTCTACATTTCAACCAAAAAACAGCTGGTGGTTGAGCTATAGTCAACGCTTGTCATTCTAGAAAGTCGTCTGCAGCTTCGCAATTTCCCGTACGGACTAGATTACATGGTACCGCGGACTGTGGTCCAAAACATTATTATGCTTTTACAAGCAGAAAATCGAAGCTGACAAGATTGACGAACTAGGTTTCTTCTCACCGTCTTCTCCTGGATCCGAAGGAACCGACCTTCCTAAGGTGGCCAGAAAGGCGCTGATCTTTCCCCAAGATGATAGAGTGGTTCTTCAAACTTGGGCTAGATCTTCGAATAGGAACACATTGTCTCATCTCAAGCTGGTCCCTGTCGATAGATTGTGCTGTAGCTTGCCACAGCGCGAGAGACATGGCGGTATTATTCCCGAAGTTTCCCCTGTGTAAGATCCTGACACCTCGCCATCCTCTCCGCTGACTCATCCTGCTCGTTTGACAGACATGATTCGGCAACGGCGGCGTTTAAGCTCAGGTTAATTATCTCCGAGACAAAAAGGATCACTGGTCGTGTGATCCCACAGCATGTATTGGCATACATGGTGTGGAGACTCCTATATATATACCACTACGGTTAAACTGAGTTCCAGAAGTCAGCTATGCCTTTTTGGCTTAATGGGTAAGAGCTCGGAGTAGTGGCCATCTCCGGATCTCACATCGTTGGGTGTAAAATTGGTAGTAAAGTGATAAAAAATTAGAAAATCAGGGATCTGGTGAGAAAATGGGATCTGGGCTCACCAATACTGGGGGGTGTTGGGGAAGGCGGTGTCACGATTATAGGGGGTATTTTCATCTCCCTTTCTAATTCAGCGAATCAGAGCTCACCGTTTCTCCTATATCTCGATTGCTTCAACGGCATCTATTTGCATAACTTCTACATCGATATCGACCTTCGTAAGAGTGAAACAGACCGTCCATCTCCGGACCATTCGCTCACGTCGTTCTCCCTCGATCTAGAAATCTCTCACATTGACCGTTCGATACCAGGCCGTCTCTCAATAGACCGTTCTTTTCTCATAGACCGTCACATTCGTATTCACATCCTCATTCACACATACCGGATGCCAGTATGCCATCCAACTACGACCTCGACCGTCAGAATGAATCTGACATCTTAAAGATCGCCCCCAAACTGAAAGGGGATTCTAACTTTGCTCAGTGGCAGCACCGGCTCTACATGGCATTGAAGGAAAACAACAAAATTTGCATTGAAATCATTCATGGTATTGTTCAACAACCCCCTCCACCGGATCTCTATAAATCTATAGAAGTTATTCGGGAATTTGCCATGCATCAGGTTGTTAGTACTGCATCCGCTTCCGGTTTGAAAGATCCTACATCTACAGTTACAGACAATGTTGTTAGAGAGCTTGTTAAAGAACGTAAGCGGGAAAACGCTGAGATCTCAGTGAAGCATCAGATAGTCCATCATAAATGGGATCTTGTCAATACTCGCTGCTGCAACCTTATCATTAGCACCCTCGACATCGTTCCTACGTCTTATAGATAGAATATTGAGAATGTACGAGAGGCTTTTAGACTTCTCCGTCTAGAGTATGATTCGTTATGTTGGCAAGGGAACTTTAAACGTTTTGAAGTTGCACCCTATGTAAGAAGAGACACAGTCTCATTTTAATATCGAGAAAAAAGAGGATTTAGTTTAACGCGCTACATACCACCATTGCGCTTCTGAGACGATTCACAGACACAGTCTCAACGATCACTTAATGGACTGCACTAGTTCAGACTTGGATGTCACCTGGTTTAAACTGGGAGGCATGCATTGCCACAGTTGTGGCACAGGATTCCCGAACAGCAACTTTCCACGCACAACCGCAGTTGCATATGGGTGGGATGTCCGTAAATCTATGAAGAGCTACATCGTCAAGAATCCATATAACAAGGAGGGAACGGGTTTTGGCTAACTTCTGGCAGCCAGATTCAGAAATCATGTGGAACGATACAAAGGGGACTATGGAGGTGCCACTGGTATCTTCGACTTGGTTCTGAATATGATTTGTTCTCTCTAAGTTTTAGCGGGGAGCGCGACATATTGAATTTGGACAGCATCTTTTCGCTTTTCTACCACACCTTATGATAATCAGAAGACATTTCCCCCCGCATTTTCAGTAGCAACGTCGTGGAAACCCGGGTTCTCGATGTTGTCATTCTTATCAGCCCCATGTTTCCGATGCCGATCATAGAAACTATGGCCCCCGGTGACATCACAGCCCTGGAGTGGAAAGTCCTCACCGACTGGTTGGGCCTTGGTCATCTCAGCCGCTATAATGCGGGGTAAAAAAGGACAACAGAACAACCTTGGAAGCTCGATGTTGTGACTTTACATATGTACCAATGAGAGGGCTCGTTTTTACGATTCGATGTGGATGGTCGCTGTCCGGGAATGGTAAGAGATCGGTCGATCCATCCGGGATGTACTTTGCTGGAAGATATTCGCTATACAGAGTATTACTTCTATTTCCTTTGAGTCCAAAATATCTCGATTTCATTTTTAAATGGTGCTTTTTAGAATTTTATTCTAAGTTCTAGCATCTAACAACTATAAGTTGAGATTATAATAATCCGTGCGACTCCAGCCATGTGTCGATGACCGCAGTGCCAGCACATGAAAGCCATGTGCCTTGTGAGACCCAACTTCGCTTATTTTGTACATATGTCCACCTGGGCATATGCACATATGTATTCTCCCTATCTTGGCAAAACATATATCGGCTAGGGGTAAATTGGAATTATCTGAGGTATCATATTTGGGCTGCATTTTTCCGGATTATTTTCTTCGCTATCACTCCTTTCTGCTATTCTCGCCCTTGCATAATGCAATTTCGGGTCTTTCAGTTCACTATGGAGAACTCCCTAAGTTGTACAATATAGAATGATATCCCCATATTACTAGGACTACAATATAGGTCACATTACTAAAATTTCGCAGCTTGGACCTTGATCGGCGATCATAAGGCAGTGTGAAGTGCCTTGCCGCATTTGGCCGAGCTTGGCGATTTGATATTCATCTCCCTAGCCCCCAACCCTAGTCGACCCCACAACTCTGATAGAAGATCTTCCAGCCTAATATCTACCCAGTGTCATTACTTTGCACGACTGAGCTCAGGCTGACTTCAAGGTGGGCCTATTACATATTGTATGCAGCCATACTGGCAAATCTAATCATCGCAAAAACAAACTAAATCCAGCAGCTTGGCTTCACATGGTACTCACCCAGTCATCTTGCAGTTATCTAGGGATACCCTGTCCTTTCAGGAATCAGAACCTAGACCCAAATAAAACAATCTCCCGAGGCTGAAAAAACTTTATCCTTTGTGCCTTCGGCATATGGTCGGGACCCTCGATGGCGGGGGATTTGAAAGAAAAATATCTTCCCAAGGTTCTTATGAAGTATCAGGTTGCTTTATCATGTCTGTTTTTGTTTCTTTTGTTTCTTTTTAACTTTATAGTTCCCGAGTGGTCGAGCCACTCTTTCATTTCAAGCCATTAGGACGCCTCCCAGCGTCCTCCCGAGGTTGATACCTTTTAACTTTCAAGTATTCTATAGCGCAGCCCGATAATTGGGTTCCACAAAAAAGAAATAATAATTATAATAATAATTCAGGGAAAAAAGTCACGAAGTGCCAGCAAGCTCGCTCATGACTGGATGGCTCAGACTACCCTTCTCTGGCCCCCGGTGCCACCTGATAGATCTCCATATCAGGCGTTGCGGCTATTATTTTTCTTTCACTGACTTTCCTCTCTCCTACTCGGAGTAATTCTACCCCTCGGAAGCCAAGCAGACGCCCAGCATGTGGCCTTACTTCGGTTCTCTTGGTACCCTCATTCGAATGCGGACTCTGTTCCCCTACATTCGGACAATGGCGGTCAAATCCACATATAAGAAGGCATACCTCCCTTGCTCTGAATAGTTTTGATCTACATGATCAGCGACTTTATTCTTTCAGACTTCACTGTGTTGATAATTCGTCCAATATGTGGTCCTCCATGAAATCCACTTCCACATGGGCTCTAGTAACCCTGTCTCTCCTTCCCGCTGTCCTCAGCTCGCCTTTATTCGAGAAACGAGCAAAAGGTGCCTGGCTAGGTCTGAATACCAATTTCCCAGACCCCAGCTTCATGAAAGCGGCCGACAACAAATGGTACGCTTTCGGCACCAACGGTAACGGAAAGCGGGTCCAAGTCGCCGTCTCCGATAACTTCAAAACATGGACGCTTCTCGATGTTGAAGCCCTCCCCACGTTGTCAACATGGGAAACTGAGAATGACCACTGGGCTCCAGATGTTGTGATGAGAGTAAGTTTTCTCGGCCTCCCAAAAAAAAAATATAAAAAAAAGTCAAAACAACAACAACCCTATCCAACCCAACTAAAAAATAACCAAAACAACAAATAACTAATTACCCTCCAGGACGACGGAAAGTACGTTATGTACTACTCCGGCGAAGCAAAATCATACCTTCGACACCACTGCGTCGGCACAGCCATCGCAGACCACCCAGCAGGACCCTACGTACCCAGCAACACGCCCCTATCCTGCCGACTCGATCGGGGCGGGTCCATCGACCCAGCCGGCTTCAAAGACAAAGACGGCAGCCGGTACGTCGTCTTCAAAGTCGACGGCAACAGCATCGGCAACGGCGGCGACTGCAACAACGGCGTCGAGCCGCTTGTTTCAACGCCCATCTTGCTGCAGAAGGTTGGCGCCGACGGCGTCACGCCTATCGGAGATGCGGTGCAGATCCTCGATCGTAATACTGCTGACGGTGATGGCCCCCTTGTTGAGGCGCCGAATCTGATACTCCATGGTGATACGTACTTTTTGTTTTACTCGACTCATTGCTTTACCGACCCGCTTTATGATGTGCGCTATGCTACCGCGAAGAGTATTACTGGGCCTTATACTAAGACTAATGTTCCTTTGATTAATGCTGCTAATACTGGGTTGATCTCGCCTGGTGGGGGGAATGTTTGTGGTTGTGGGGATCGGATGTTGTTCCATGCATTCTGTACGGAGGAGAGGACTAGCAGGTGTATGTATGTGGCTGATGTGATTATTGAGGGGAAGACGGCATCGATTGCTTGAGGGGTTTGGGTTGTTCTTTGTTCTTTTTTCCTTTTTGGTCGATGTGATTATTTGTACTGCACTTTGGCTTGCGTCGGACTATTATGAAGTCTGGTTGCTTCGGTTGATATATACCCCGGGTTTGAGGTTGCATGCAATATGGCATAGCAATGATATACTGTTTGCAATTTCAAATATATGAATACCTTTTGCATTGTCTAGAGCATAGTACCATGCTACTCTTTCATCCAAAGAACTAAGGGAAAGATGACCATTGGAACAGCAACTGACAGAAGCTCATACATACTAAGTACAAGTACAGCAAATTTGGGTCAATCTTCGGGGAAGTAATGTCCTGATCGCACATAAATGTAGAGGATTATATTATTTAGCAATGGAATTCGGTATATCGTATCGTCGTATCGTTCTAGGCATGCCTGCATGCACCTAAGATTTATCCTTCTCCTCTCCCTTGGCTTCTCCTTCAGGCTCTCCCTGTCCCTCGCTAGCACGCTTCTTATCCCGTGCAGTTTGCACCCACTCTGCTGCACCCTGGATGGCTACCTCGGGTGTCTCCTTGTGATTGAGAAGGTATCCCTGGATCTCCGCAGCCGTAAACTCGCCACTCGGAACAACAGCAGCAAACTCAGACGCCAAGTCGGAAATGCGGGATCGGAGGGATACAAGACTCTGCAGGTCTTTTTCCTTGCACTTTTTCACCCCTCCATTACACTCCTCGAAGTCTTGGACAATCTCACCCTTTGCCTTGGCAATGTCAACAACGCCGGTTGTCGGCAACTTGACTGAACCGTTGCTGTGGGTTGTTGGGGCTCCACACGCAATGTCATTGTTCTTCGCCCCGTAGATCGAGGTGAAAAGCTCCTTGATATCTGCTTCGCTTGCGTGCCCAAAGGTAATCTTCATGTCCACACGGCCAGGACGGAGGAGAGCCGAGTCGAGCTTTTCCACGTGATTGGTAGTCATAATGAGGATGCGGCCCTCACTGGCTGCAACGCCATCAATCACGTTCAGAAGTCCTGAGAGCGTAATTCCCCTTTTTTCGTCTTGTCTTTGTCGGCTGTGCTATCCGCTTCAACGGCGCCGTCCTTGGTGGTCCCATCCTTGATGGGGGCATCTGAAGTAGATGCAGATGCGGTGGCCCGAGCCTCTGTAACACCTGCTGAGTCGATATCTTCAAGCAGGACAATGCATCGGCGTGGTAGTTCCGAGAACAGCAACGACAAACTCTCCTCGTCCAAGGCCGTGGAATTCAAATCAAGCAAGTAGAGCTTCAGTCCAAGGATTCCGGCCGCTGCAAAGCACAGACTCGTCTTGCCGGTCCCTGGAGGACCATGGAGAAGGTATCCACGTCGATACGGGATTCCACGGTTCGTGTACCAGCGCCGCGTGCGGGGGTGCAGGTACTCCTTGATATCATCGAGGAAGTCTTGCTTTTGCTCCTGGTCAAGAATCACGGTAGAAAGAGGACGCGGTAACCGGGCCATGCACCGATACCAGTTGAAAGATTGACCAGCACCGCCAATCCGCGAGCCGCGGTAGATTACCGTGCGGTTCTTGTCGCGCTCAACATACGCCTGCTGTGCCTCCGCCAGCAATGATTTCAGAATCGTCGGGTTCCGACCGAGAGATGATAGGAAGATCCGCTCGTTGTTCATCACATACCACATACCACCTTCCCGGTGTTCGCGCTCGAGCATGAGCGGACGGTTCTTGTACCAGAAGTAATGGCAGCCTTCCGAGGGAGTGAATTGGATCTTCTTGTATTTGTCCCGGGTGGTGACCTTGGCCCAGTACGAATCGAACGAAGCATCTTTCTGACCATCCTCGTCTTCGTCTTCGTCAAGCTCGTCGTCTGATTCGTTTTCGCTCCAGTAACTGTTGGTTTTGGTGCCAGCGACGAATCGGTTTGTATTTTTCATATGTGGCTGGCGTGAGATCCAGAACATCAAATAGTGGAATGTCTCATCGTCTAGGCGAATCTCAGCTCTTGACACGAATAACTCATTGAAGTGCTCCCAAATGATGAGTAAAACGTATCGAGCAGTTGCGCCAAAGACAGCAAGGCTGACTAGGACTTGCAGGTAGGCGCTGACATCAAAATTCAGGTAGGACATTAATATGCGTGATATGAAGCCATAGCCGGGGACTAGGACCTCCAACATGGCTGTGTCCGTTGTGGACAACGGCCCCGTGGCGGTGGGAATGGTCTGGTTGGAATTCATTGTCGGCAGACCTCAAAATCCCAAACGACCGGGTTTGCAAGTAGTAGGATAGGAGGAAAAGGGAGAAGGACCCTTACTAGCAAAATCGAAGGACATGCGAGCGTTTTATGGGTCACGAGGAACTTGGCTGAAGAGCCTCATGTGTTGGCCTGTCCCGCTCGGGCACCGGAACGCGCCGAGCTGAGCCTGAGATGCGCCTGACACGGGCACTCCGTTGGGACAGGCGGAGTTGTGGATTGGATTGGATTCAATTGGGCTGCCTGCGGCTGCCTGGACCTGACTCATTATCCCTGCAGATCGCTGTACCATTTCCACCTCATGTCTCACTCAGGTTGGAAAATTGTCAAAGTCACATATGTTTGTTTAACCGCAACAAAATTAATATTAAGAAAAAAAAAATTTGAAAGCAGAAGAGCAAAAAAAAAAGAGCAAAAAGAAATCTCTCCCTTGGGGAATCGAACCCCGGTCTCCCGCGCTTATCGGTGTTAATGACAAGCGGAAATCATCACCACTAGACCAAGGAAGATGTGGATGGCTGAGTTACTGCTCGGCCACTTGGCTGGTTGATGTAGAGACAGGCCTTCCTAAGTTATATAAGTCAAAATAACTAAACAACCTTAATATTGCCTAAATTGGTATTCCCGCCACAAAACCCTAAGTTGAAGACCATCTAACATACAACGCTCTACAAGTTCATAGATGCATTCATTTATCTACTTTTGACTCTGTTTATAGGTCTATCAATAGTCTCTTATTGTAAGAGAAACAATATACCTACCTGTACCCGCCATGGTAATATATATTTCTCACCTCGAAGTCATTTCTACACATTGGACTTTATTCTCGTCTACTGGTCATATATCCTAGCTTTCAGAAAGACAATAAATACAAATCTGGAAACATTATCCAAACATGGCTGATTATAGTAAGACACCAGACAATGGGAATTGATTGCTTAGGCTGTTTGTGATTTCACCTCGCACAAAAGCAAACAAGTATACAGCGACTCCCTCCACTTCATCCTCTATCCCTCTCTGTTCTTACTTCCAAAGCCACCCCTTTCAGTGGTCACTACACCACCATATTCTATCGGTTCATACCAAAACCGTAAGTCAGCCACGACAAGCATGATTCCTAGTACGAAGGCTGCGAAGTGCAGCTTCGAGAGAATGTTCGACCCAAATCCTCGGATCGACTTCGCCGAGAACCTCCCCGACACCACCAACTTCCTATCGACGCCTGAGCCAACGGACAAACTAGTACAAGCTTACAGGAAATTGGCAAAACTGGCAGACCTTGTCAAAGAAGGCAAGAGCCTTGCCATCCACACTAACTACGCAAAGGCCCTACACAAACAGCGCAACCCCATCACCGAGGCAAAGGACAACATGCTTCCAAGCAAATTAAGCCAATACAACGCCTGGGTCGGCGGTGCTGTCATGCCCACCATCGACTGGAAGAACAGCCGTACAACCGTCGAGCTTCCCCAGCATGAAGACTCTCGCTTGACAAAGCAAGTTCGCGCCATCCGAGAAATCTACGACAACCCGCACATCTCTCGCACGAACGCATACTGGTTCATGAGCAACTTCAGGTACATACTCCCTCTTATTGAGGCAGTCGTGATTGTAGGGAGTGCGCAGCGGAAGTATGTCCGTGACCGAGAAGGACTCACCGAGACGGAGCTCGCGGAATTGGAAACAGCTCGCAACATTGTCCAGGTTACTATGGATATCTTGGAGAAGAGAGAGCGTCGGCTGGAACTGGATGATACTCTGTGAGAGAAGCACATGAGACTGAACTGGGTGATGAACCTTACTTATTCAGCCCGTGACGTTATCCAGGCTCGTCTCAAGGTGATCGAGGAAAAGGTTGTGTGACTTAAGGAGGCAACAAAGGGTATGGGGTTTCCTAGGGCTAAGGAATAGTCGGATGTCGACTCGTACCGTAGGAGCTGGGTGTGCTGCTCATATGTCCGCTAACTGTGTTTCAAATTGCTTGCCGTATGGCTCTGTGGCTCTCTACTGTGCACTCCGCGACATGGATCACAAACAATCCATGTCTACCTAGGCAGAGGTGCGGGTGCCTAGGTACTAAGAAACGCCTATTATTTCGGGTGAAGAGTGTCGTTTGGCCAATAGTATTCTACGAGCGCCGACTTCTTTCACTTTAGCAAGAAAATAATTTATTGGATCACAACCTAAGCCATACATTCGGTACTTTCATTGAACTTCAACCCTAAATCTATCTTCCATTCTCTGTTTCAAGAGACAGACGCCGGTGTTTTCTCATCTCGCAACGCACACTCCTCTCGTTGCCTGCGTTCCGCCGCAAGATTTTGAACGCCCTGACCCCACATCGCATAAGTAAACAAAAAGCACGGAGGTCACACCTTTAGGATGGCCCTCAAGCGTGCTAGGCAGCATCATCCTGACAGCTGTGGCACTTTCGTGTCGCACTAGCTTGGACTTTGCAGTTTGGTTGCCAGGAGTCTGGAGAGATGACGTCTCCAATTCGTTTGGTCTCCTCGGAATGGGATTTTCGAATGCTCCTACTGACTTCTTAGTGTTCCATGATGCAGAACTTTCCGTCATTAGTCAATCAATGATGTAGTATGTTCCTCTTGATACGCAAGTGTAGCTGAATTGTGATTATTGTAGGGCAACGGCTGAGCAATCCACCTGTGTTGTAAAGCATCTTTGGCTGACATTCTACCTCCCGGGCTAGGGTCCATAAGACCTAAGACAAATGCAACTCCAGGTTGACTGACCCCGTTGGTCGAGAGTGGATTGGCAGGAAAGACCATACGCGTTTGGACATAGTTGGAGAGCAATCCAAGATGCTTGAATGCGGGTTGGAAACATAACCTCTCCAGTCGCCCAAATGTCAACCGCATATGGAGTTCCTCTTTGAGTGAATTCATAGAGTTCAGGTGCAATATATCCGGGCGTACCCTTTAGGGTAGTTGATTTTCCAAGACCGTCTTCAATACGTTTGCTGATCCCAAAGTCCGCGATTTTTACCCACCAGTCATCCGGTGGACAGGATCTTAGAAGGATATTCTAGATAGTGTTAGATATACCGATCACACGTAGTTAATTTCATGGTGCAACCGACTCACCCTGCGCTTCAAATCACGATGTGCAAAGCCATTATCGTGCATTAAATCAAGCCCCTCAAGAATTTGGGACATTATGCACCGCGTCTCAATTTCCGGTAGCGGCTGCTTCTTGTTGAGCAAATAATCATGTAGATCCCCAAGCTCAAGATATTCCATTGCAATGACGAAGCTCGCTTCGTTCTGGTACCACCCAAAAGACTTGACAAAACACCGCTCATACTGCTGATCTGTTAGTGCCTTCCATTACGTTGAGTAGCTGGAAGACGAGCCTTTGGGTGTGAGAATTTCGCAATAGCCTCGAGCTCACGGGCGTAGTCTATCTGCTGGTCCACTTCCATCTGCTTTGTTGCGCGGACATGATGGCCATTATTCTTTACGTTTGTGCATTTCTCCAGCCACACTTCTCCAAACCCACCACCACCGATCTTCCTCTCCCGCTGCCAATATTCGGATTTCTTGATTGGCCGCTGGGAAAGGGATTCCTGCTCATAGTAGGTATGCACTGTCTCGTGCTTGCTGCCAGGCAGGAAATGAGTCTCAAGCTTAGAATCCAGAACCCAGTCTGGAACACTCGACATCTGGAAGGAAGTGAGGAAAGAAGCGAACCGTATATTGCGCGAATGACGTAGTTGAGGTTTCTTGACTGGATGTATATAGTAGCGAAACCATGAAATACCGCTGAAGTGATTTCGGGATTTCTCGAGACTCGTGGAGTAGGGGAGGTTAGAAATAGAGAAGAGGGGTTTCTTTCTGCTGAAATCCTGCCAAGCGCCTAACACCACTTGGGCACCTTGCATCAACTTCCCTGTCGTTAGATTAGCGCGTGGATTTGCGGCTCCATACCAAAGGTCTACGCACAGGACCTCTATCGCCACGGAAAGATGAAAACACATCGTGTGTTAACTGAGCGAACATCGCATATCGAGAGAATAAACAGCATTTAAACATTACAAGCGTGAATATGGGTATAGGTATCTATCAAAATGCAAGGCAAATAGACAAAATGGAGGAAAATCATCAACTCTCCGACTCCGGGTGCTTGCCCTGAACAGCATCAGCAACGCCGCCAGCCCAGTTCTTCAGGTCCTCGAATTTGTGCCAAAGTGTGCCCCACCACGTCGGACCCTTTTCATCGTCACTTTCATGGTCTGTGGCGGGTGGTGTCTCAGGTGCTGGAGTGGGTTTCGGCGCTGGCTGTGCTGGTTTTGGCTGTGGAGGTGATGGCTGCGGGGGTGTTGGTTGTGGGGGCGCTGGTTGCGCGGGCCCTGCTGTTGCTGAAGTTTGAGCCGGGGGATCAGGAGGCGTGTCCAACACCGGTGCATTCTCATCCGAGTGAAGGCCGACTGGCTTCAGCGGGAGTCGTAGTGTGCCATTGCCCGGAAGGGGATCGACGCCCAAAGAATCACAGACAATGTTGTATACCTCAATATTTTCTATACAAATCGTTAGGTCGATCTCCAATCAATGGTTCGAAGTAGGTACTTACGGAAAACTTCTACCCGGCTGTTTGGCTTGTGTGGGAAGGCTGGACCACGCGCAATAAAGATTGCACGCATCAATGGATGCTCATGGTCATATCCGTGAATACCCCGAGGATGGTATTCCTTCCCGGTCTTCAAAGCCTCTTTGACGTCAAACTCTGACCGATTAACGATAGCCCAGCCTGTCTTAGGGATGACCCACAACGGCGCAATGCGTTCGTTGTTCGAGAAATGATACCGTTCAGGCATTGTCTCCCGTGTGTAGAATTCAAAAGCATGCTCGTAATCCGGAGCTACCTTCTCCAATTGCTTCCGGAGGGTCTCCAGATCCTCCGGACGCTTTAGGACGCAGACCAGCAGACGGCCAGCCGTCAATGTGTTCAATCAAATCATAATCAATCAGATCATCCAATTGAATCAGCCTTTCTGCAGAGGTAGTGGCCATACCGTGGTCTGAAACAACGACGATGTTAACCACCTCGGTGAGATTGCGTTGCTCAAGACCAGTCATGATGCTAGCAACCATGTTATCCGCTTCGGAGATCGTCTTTCGGATCTCTGTGCTATTAGGGCCAAATTTATGACCGTCCCGATCGACGTCGGGAACGTAAGCTACGATAAACTGCGGCCGCTCAGGTGTCACCTGCGATTTACCCTCTAGACCTGGGAGATCCAAAAACTCAAGGACCCGATCCACCTTGCGAGACAAGACTTCCGTACCATTGTACTTGTCCAAAAAAGTCGGTTCCCTGTCGCCAATGTGCGCCTCAGACCCGGGCCACATATGGATGGCTGTCTTCACACGCTGCTTTTCTGCCGTCACCCAGAGTGGTTCCGCCATCCACCACTTGGGTTGCATGCTGACAGCGGGATGGGTATAGTAGAACTCCTCGTTTATCTTCGGGTCCCAAAATGTGTTGCCAACGATTCCATGACTCTCGGGGTAGAGACCAGTCATAAGTGTAAAGTGGTTTGGAAAGGTGACGCTAGGGAAGCTGGGGTTCATGTATTGCGGGGAAACGCCATTGGCGATGAGGGAGTTCAGCGCAGGAGTCAGGCCGCGATCAAGGAAGTCGGCTCGGAAACCGTCGAGCGAGATAACGATCGTGGTTGGCGCAAAGAGAGCCGTGCCGTTGGAGAGCAAGGGTGGAAGGTGTGCTCGTGAAGCCCGGAAACCGCTCGAGGCTTTATATGCCCCGAGGAGGAGGATGACGAAGAGAATGGCGATCAGAGCAATTATAAACAGGATTTTTCGCCATGAAGGCCGTGGAGGCTAAGCGGCGGACATGTTAGCAGGGGGCGCAGAAACCAGCCACGGTACGTCTTACCGGCTCGTATGTGTATTCGCCTTTCTGGTCCAAATCCAACGATGACCCGCTCAAAAGCGAGGCATTATCATCACCAATTCCCTCTTCCATCTCATACATCAGCTCGCCGTCTTCACTGACTCTTTCACGCCGTGATCCCCTCCGCTGTCGCCGCTCCTTTTTCGTCTTTCCGATCTTCACTCTGCTACCATTAGGGCTGAAAATCCTCCGCAGCCCATGTCCACTGCCACGGCGGATCAGGAGGTTCTCTAGCTCTTCTTCAGCTTCTAGGACCGCCCGATCGTGCTCTGCGATTTCCAAGGTGCTGCGGTTTTGACCGAGGAGGGCGTCATCGTCGGAATCGGAGTCCTGCTCGGAGGGCGACCGCAACGAAGATGCATCGTTGTCGTAATTCCCAGGAGAAAGAAGGGAAGGACTAGTGACTGGGTGGCGCATTGCTAGCCTGTTGAAGACATGGAACAGAGCTGAGATGGAGAAAGGGGATTGGAGGATTGCCAAGACCCGGCAATCATTTGCGATAAGCCCGATCTATGAGAAATGTTTACATAGTCTACTTACGTTGTTTCCAAGGTGATTTTTCATTATTTTGACAATTAACCGATGAAATAGTTTTTGTGAGGAACCTTGGACTTGCTACGTCGAGTCAGAGTCTCAATCGTTGTTGTTCATGGGGTTGTGTACAGCTTGCCGATTGCGGCTCAATAGTCGCCTGCGGTATACACCTGTAGGCGACAATAATAAGAGTCTAAGAGTGGAAGTCTTATGGAATCAAAATATTTTGAGGTCTCTATCCCCCAAAAACACGCGAGGTATTGGCGGTGATGTCCACGGGTGATATATCCTTTCTGACAAGCCTGAGCAAGCCCTCTGCTAAAGAAAAGCACATAGTATCTACGTCTTCACGTCGAATTATGTATGGTCAAGGAGAGTAAGTAGAGATATTTTTGGGTTTAATGGGCCCAAGGGAGTGTAATGTTTTAACTATATATGTAGCCAGTGCATTCCTCACACTCTCTATGAAACACTTCCAGTATCTCGAAGGACTGAGATTAGGACATTCAAAGTTTCTGTTTCCTACTGTGTCCCCAAACTTCAATTAAGTCCACTATATTGACGCCCATATATGTGGAAATAAATGGTAAGGTTGGGAAACGACTTGGAGAGTCTCGCAGTCCCACAAAAATGCATTAAACTGAGTCGCAAGTTATCCATCCTATTGTCTGCCCCGACAGCGAGAAATTACCTACGTTACTCAATAAACGGGATCGACTTCCTCGATTTCCATTCCCGCAGACGACATTGTCCTTCATGCGAGCCTACAATCAAACCCTATAGGGATACCGTCAGTCCTGCAGGAACACATTCCACAGCCAGTACGTGGCAGCCACATTCCTCAGGTTGATCGCAAATGACAAAGATCGGACATTATGAACTTGATGTGACCACCGCTGACGTTTCCCTAAGATAGAGAAGCGCGGGGCTGTAACCGATGAATGCTTGAGCATGTCCAAGTGAAATTTCTGATATTAGGTGAGCTGAGTACGGAGTAGAACCGGATGCAGTTGGTAAGATCGACGGGGCGATCAGCCAGCCCTACGCGGGAAGCGGCCCTGGCCTTGGGGCCTTAGGTGTGCTAGTAACTGCTGAACGATCCTACAGTGGTATCAAACAATGGCAGAAAAAACACAGCAGCTGATAGCTGATTCTCTAAGGTCCTTTTGGTGACCGATTCTAGTGACTTGGTAGTGTTCTACCGGATATAAAGTGCGATTCATCTCTAGCTGTGATCCTCGCGATCTAACAATAACTAAGTGAGAGCGTACCCAGGTAATGGGCAGCTACTCACTAATCAATCCATGGACTCGGAGTATCCAAAGAGTGAGGCTCTCCACCCATTGTCTTAGAAGAGTCCATCCCTTCAGAACGTGTCTTCATCGTATGATCCTGAAAGCAGATCAAGTCACCTACAAAGAAAATCCACTCGACACCCATTGTGACAGGCCTGAGGTGGACCTCCGCGGAATTCCCCAGTGGTGGGGTGTTCAGCGCGGATCCATGGGGTGTCCGCTTTCAAGAGCATCACCTTCCTAATTGGGACAATACATCACGTGATCTCTTTCGACCGAGCCGTGTCCCCACCGTTCAGCCGAACAGCAACACTGGAAGATCATGACGATATCGGCGTCGGACTAAGCCGATCGTGCCAGCCCTGGAGGGGCTGAAGGTGGAGCCTAGGTCAGAGCAGTGTGACATTTTCCCCGGATGCGGAAATCGACCAACCTCACTTCCACTTTACCAAGGGTCCCATCGAGGGCAAAAAGGAACATCAAGGGCAGAGGAACACAGAGAGGCACATGTTCTAATTTGAAAAATTTTCCTTCTAATTGTTCATGTCATCACCAATCAACCTTAATCAATACATTGGCCGGATTAGGATAACACACCAGATCTATAAGAATGGCGTCCTCTTCGCCTCCGATCCCTGCTCGATTTCCATCCCAATCGCACTGCCATTACCACCCCTAGGTAAGTCTGAAGCTTCCAAGCATTTTCTGTTACTATCAGAATCTCAAGAGCAGATACTAACGCCAATCCCAGCTTCGTCGCTCGTTAAGACAGCAAGCCATATCTCACTTCTTAATCCAATCGCTTTTCCAATCTGAAAAATGCACTTCACCGCTCCCTCTGTCGCCTTGCTGGCTCTCGCAGCCGGCGTTCAGGCCGGTGGTGCCAAAAAGCAGCAGGAACCCCCCGTTCACAACGGAAAGGGTATCGGCAAGCACCAAGCTAGCGGTGCGACTGGCACTGGTGTTCACCCTACCGGTGTTGTTCCTACCGGTATTCACACTGGTACTCACCCCATCGTGACTGGCACGCACGGCAACGGTACCCACCACGGTGGTAAGAACAGCACTATCATCGTCACTGGTACTGCTCCTTGCTCCACCTGCCACCGTAGCTCGACGATCCCTGTCAACGTCCCCTACTAAGACCCACGGCGCTGGTGATGCTTCCCACTCTGCTGGTGCTGGCGGTGTTATTGGCGGCGGCTCTGGCTCCGGCTCCGGCGCCGGCGCTGGCTCTGACTCCGGCTCCGGTGGTGCTGGCGGTGTTGCCGGCGGCTCTGGCTCCAGCTCTGGCACTGGCTCCGGTTCTGGCTCTGGTGCTGGCTCTGACTCAGGCTCCGGTGGTGCTGGCGGTGTCGCCGGCGGCTCTGGCACTGGCTCTGGCACTGGCTCTAGCTCCGGCACTGGTGCTGGCTCTGACGCCGGCTCCGGTGGTGCTGGTGGTGTTGCCGGCGGGTCTGGCTCCGGCTCCGGCTCCGGCTCTGGCACTGGCTCTAACGCTGGCACTGGCTCTGGCACTGGCTCCGGCACTGGTGCTGGCGCTGGCGCTGGCGCTGGCTCTGGAACCGGCTCCGGCTCTGGTGCATCCCCCAGCTCCTCCGATTTCACCCCCTCCAGCCCTGGCTCCAAGGTCAGCGCACCCCAGATCGGAGCCGCTGGCGCTGTTATCGGCAGCATTATCTACGGTGCCGTTATGCTGCTTGCATAAGCGTCTCGCAGTTAATGTCTTTTAATGCCGGTGTTTTTCTCTGTTGATTACTTGGTCTCTCTTTGTTTCTTTCTGATATCTCATCTTGGAACTGGCTGCGGCTGGAGACTTGATTTGCTGGAAGTGGGAGTACTGGGATCTCCAGATAGGCGTTGGGGATACATGTATGATGCTTGGATTCTTTTCCTTCTTTGGTGTTTATTAATGGGTTTGATAATTATGGGTACTTAATATTACTGTAATTCTAATTCAAAAGCCTTTTTTTTTTGGATAGTATGTCTCAGTACATTTGCCTGCTTGAACATGTATATGAAAATGAGAAGAGTTCTATCCAAGTCTAGATACCTCAGGAACTTGAAAATAATATCTAACTAGCAGAAAAACCAAACCCCTACATCCTAACCTCGAACTACTTCATAGAAATAAAATTCACTCACAAACCAAAGTCTAATCCCCCATGGGTGGCAAAAATGCAACCCTAGTCATACATCTAATAATAAAATCCCCAAACGCAATCCAGTCGTCCCTGCAGGGTCAGGTGGCGTGTGCCCAGGTGTCTTGTAGCCCTTTACCAAGATATTAGCTTTCTTTGCATTAGGGTTCGCCTACCGGAGATTGGCTTGATCAAGGTTCCAGATTGACTTTTGTTTGATGCAACCTGAGCTTTTGCTTTGTGGGGCTGTGGAAGTCATCCATGGTTGTCTCTTTTTTGATATTACGAGATATCAATATTGATAGATTCGTGCTGCCTGTAGGGTCGTAGGTTTTCAGGATGATGAAGGATTTGAAATCCATTGTAACGTTGATTTTGTATTTTAGGTATGGCTATAGAAATGAGAAATGTATAGACACTCTTTTATGACCGTCGCAAAAAATGAAGCAGAAAAACCGCCCAAACACCAAGAACACGCAATGCAACACACATAAACAAGGAAACCAAAAACCAAAATGGAAATTGCCACCTTCTAAACATCAACACCATCCATGCGCAGTCCAGTCCAGTCCAGTCCAGTCCTACACACTCGAAATCCAATTCGTCCACTGGCACCCACACCCCCCAGAACCACCATCAACACCACCCGCCTCCTCAATCGTAGCATTCTTCGTATCGCTAAGCTTGAAAAGTCCCGTAGCAGGATTAACAAGCTCACCCCCAACAGCGCGGTCCTCCAGCTGCAGCTGCGCAGCAGTGATATTATAATGACCGTCATCTTCAATCGGGTAGCAGTAGACCATTTTCTTTTTCTCTGCGCCGCCGTGGCGGTCCACTGTTATCGTCACCGGGTATGGGAACGAGCCTGGACGGGTGAAGTCCGTTGCGGAGGAAGAAGATGTAGGGTTATTTGTTGATGTTGGAGTTGCGGAGGAGGCGGTGCTTGTTGCTGTGTTGTTTGATCGAGGAAGGAGATGACGGCCGATTTTGTCTGGTTGTGTCCAGATCTGGACGAGGAAACGCGTTTGGGACCATGTGCATCGGTAGTGTGCGTTGGCTTTTGAAGTCCCGCCGTTTGTGTCCGCGGGCGAGGATTTGGTTTGGGAGGTTAGGAAGATGGATTTGTCGAAGTAGCTGTAGAAGCCGTAGTGCTCGGTTGCCAGGCCGCGGTTGTACAGCCGGATTGGTTGTGATGAGGGGAGGGGATACAGCATTGCTGCCGATGGGGTTCCGTCGACGTTTTCTTCGGGCGCTGGGATTATTGAGGAGATGTTGGGGTATGCGGTGCCGTTGGATGTATCTGCGCGGCGGTAGATGTTTGTCGAGGATAGGGAGACTGGTGAGAGGATGGACATGTAGAAGGGTGTTTCTTCGCCGGCGTACGGTGCGGTGTTGTTGTCTGTGTATTGGCCGAGGAAGCTCTGCTCTGTATCTCTTGGGGCTTCTGGCAATGGATTGAAAAGGCCGTCGCTCCTGACACGTAGGTTCGAGCCAACAGCAGTGCTGTTATCGTATGTGCCATTGCGGAATCGGATGGAAACACGGAAATTGGGCTGGTTCGCATCGTACGGCTTATTGGCATCCTGTTCGTCCTTGGGCAAAGCACAACTCCACATCGAAGAAGGAGTGATACAAGTGGACTTTTCCAGCTGCGGCTGGGTTCCGGCCAGTGTTGCAATTCCAGTTGGCATTGGCGGGTAGCCTGTGAGGTTCAGCCACCGCGATTGAACGGGAGTCTCGTCTCTTTTCCTTGTCAGTGTGATCGCCAGAATAGTGGCTAGGATCACGATGATGAGGAAGAAAACGCAGATAATGAAGTACCATCTCCGTCGAGTACGGCCCTCGCGTCCTGGACGTCCGCTCTTCTTGCTGAATGGTCCCCGGCCACGCCAGAGATTGCAAACCCTTCGGCCAGTTGCCTCTTCTTTTTCGAGTCTGCGACGTCGAGTCTCCTGAGGTCCTATCGCGCCGCTTGGGTTGACACTGGAAACTCCAGCTGTAGGATCATGATCATAACGTGGCTGTGTATCATAACGAGGCGGTAGAGGAGGCTCTCGGGGAAATTGCGTATATGCTGGAGCCGGTGCCTGCATTTCAGACATTGGAATCGAACCAGGTCCACCAGCTGCACGCTGGAAGCCCGGAGAAATCGGCTCAGAAGGTTGTAAATGCCCTCGAGGGGCAAGTTCAGACTCTTGAGACAATCCTCGTTCTGCTTGCGGCTCTTCAGATCCAAGCTGCCGATCCTGAGCCACGGATGCTTGGGATTGCTCTTGCTGAGGCGGAACCTCCGATCCAGTGGGCTGAGTTTGTGGCAACGGCGGCACAGGGGGTGCGTTTGAGTGAGGATGTGCGTTGAGGCCAAATGGCCACCCAGACCCAGATTGCCGTCCTTGAATAACAAGCGGTCCTTGAGGCTGTTTAGCATGACCATAAGTTGGCCGCCGTGTCTGGGGAGGAGTCTGCTCAGATGCCACCTGCGATTCTTGAGATGCTTGTGTAACAGGAAGTTCTTGTGGTTGTTCTTGTGGGGCATACGCCCATTCAAACCCGGATACTTGTCTTTGGGTAGCTGGCTGTTGAACCTGGGGTTGCTCTTGTGGCTGTTCTCGCTTTCCCCATGGCCATTCTGACCTTGGCGTTGCTACTTGAGGGGCTGTCTGGATCATCGGCTGGTCCGGAATTCCTCGCGAGAGTTCCTGCGGCTGTGGCTGTGGAAATGTAGGCTCCGTTGGCTGTACGGTCTGGGAAGTGAATACGGGCACATATTGCACTGCCGGCTGTAGAGGCTGTGCCTGAGGCTGTGGTGCAGGCGAAGTGTAATGGAAGTTGGTAACCGGGGGCGAGATATTAGTGATTATCTGCGGAGCAGGAGCGGGAGTTGGCCCGGGCATAGGAATGGGAGCGGGAGCGGGAGCAGGAGCTGGCTCAGGCATGGGAATGTGAGCAGGCGCTGGCGCTGGCGCAGACCTATCAACCGGCTCCGCAGGCGGCGTGACAACAGGAACAGGAGGCGAAGCAGCACGCTGAGACCGAGATTCAGAAACACCACCCCTAGTCCCATGGGCCGAGACCGAACGCTTCTCATTCTCGTCAACAATCGACGAATCCCACGTATGAGAACTAGACTCCGACGCCGGCGATAGTACCTGGTCCTCCTTCGCACGAACCGCATACCCAGCCGGAACAGTCTCCTTGACCTGGGGATCAGGCGAGTCAATATCAATAAGCAGACCAGCATTCTTCGTCGACGTCGATGCAACTGGTGTCTGGTTTCCATTCTCGCGCGTCCCTTCAAGGCCAGATGGTCCAGGCTCATCAACCGCAATAATCGCGAGTCCACGGGTACTGTTTTCAGTTGTACCTATAGCTCCTGCGGGCATAGTGACAGGGTTGGCAGGAGTAATCGAGCAAACGTGGTTGACGCACTCGAAGTACGGCGTCTTACTGAACAACTCGTGCGCACAGGCTTGGTAGTACTCAGCTGCTTCGCCCTGGATTGTCTGGTTGCCGAAACTGAAGGACATGGTATTCTGTCTACTCGAGACGTTTGAAACGTATGCGGGTGGCGGGGACTGATGACGTTCGGGGCCTTGGTATTGGTCTTGGTCTTGCTCGAACCGGGATGTCTCGAACGCCTTCTCGTCAATTGGTGCTGCTGTTTCTGGTGTATCGGGTGAGAAGCAGGATATCTCTTTCTCGCGCTGTATCCATTCTTTTGGCTGGACGCGTGTTGTGGTTGTTGTCGATGGGGTTGATGGTGATTCTTGCGGGAAGGATGGGCTCAGTGGGGATTTTATGGATCGGTTCAGGAGTGGGGAGAGGAGGTATGTCCACCAGCCTTGTGAATGCGGTCTGTCTTCGTCTGCTTGGGTGTTGACGCTGAGACGGCTCGGTTGCTGGTCCTTTGGGCTTGGACGTACTGCGTTTGGTGTCCGGGGTGGACTGTCATCTTCCCAGGTTGAGGCTGTTGACAGGGCGCGGGCGTTCCTTTCTACGCCTAGTGTGCTCTGGTGCGCAGTCTCTGATGCTGGGGTTTTGGTAGCAGCTGAGTGCTGCGCGGGAATGGCTGGCACGGGTGGCACATCTGTTTGATATTGCCAGAGCCTGGGTGTTGGCTGGGAGTAGATACTCGATGTTGCCCTTGGTCGGAGCATCTCGGTGCTCGAGTTTGAGTGAGCGTTCCATGGTGCCTCTCCTCTAGCTGGCGTGACGATGATGGATGGCGTGAGCGGCGTACCTGCGCCGTCGGCCCCTTGAGATCTTTCTACTGACTCGCTGCGAGGAACAGTGAGTCCGATCATAACATGGCGGTCCGAGGGCGAGATCGCATGCTCGTGCCTATCGTGGAACGGATCTTCGTCTCTGGCGGTAAGGAACGAGGTTCCAGTTCCGTTCTGGCTGTGGTTTTGACTCGGCGCCGTCTCGGGTAACCGTTGGAAACCGCGCGAGACCCTCTTCTTGAAGATATCCTTCGATTTCTGGGTCGAGCGTTCCTTCTCTCGCACTTTCGAGAGGAGTTTGAGGTCATTCAGATCGACGAACGGCGCAGCCGTATTTGTCTCTGCGGGGATCGACTGTTTCCTCGGCGCCGGCGCTAAGGTGAAGTCTGTAACGAGGTTCAGGCCGACAGGTTTCCCGACGCTTTTACGTTTCTTGCTGATGCGGACGTTAAATCTCGAGGCTTCGCGGGCGGAAATGGGCGAGCGATTCCCTTCTTTGGCGGTCCTCGCCTCGAGCTTTTGTCGTGCTGCCTTCGATAGAAATGCAAAGGGTCGGTCTCGTTCTTCCTGATCTTCCGAAGAGCACGACGGACTGGAGATTTCCTCGCTAATCGGCGATGATAATGGGAAGTTTGGTACTGGGACCTGGAGGTCCTGGGGCTTTCGTTTGAGCATGATGTTTCAGTAGACTTGACTGTGTCGAGAAGTTGGATTGCAGAAATGACGAGGTTCGAATGTCTGCATACCACCGGAAGCATTAAAGAACGAAAGTGCAGGGAAGCGAAACAAAGAGGGCGTCTATTAATATTATAGCGAGTAGAACAATGGAGGCAACAATGCACAATAGCCCTGAATAGAAATGAAGAGTCCAATGCAAAACAAAAGAAAGACAAAATGACAAAAGACAAAAGACAAAGAAGAATAAGAAAAGCCCCGGGATTTAAGCCCGCAAGCTCTATTTCTAAATTTCTGCATCTCTGCATCATCACAGTACAGAATCAGAGTCCCGGGTCACCTCGCAGCACAGCTCAAGAGCTATAAACAACCCGGCCAATAATCATCGTCGCTGGTGAATTTCTGCAGCAATCCCAGACAACCCGCTGCAACTAGTTCCGTGCGGCTTCTTCAAGTTCCGTCATTGGATGACTGGCAGAGAGATCACCAGGGGAAAGAGAAATGAAGGTGATGGATTGGATGGATGGGATGCAGCTGTCAGACCGAGGCCGGTCATTACGCGCCGGACCGGGGGCGGGCGCTTCGAGAGGCCAATTAGTGGAAGGACAGAAATAGACCGGATTCCGATTTATTTATGGCTTATTTAAAGCAGGATCTGCTTTCTGAAACAAGTTGTTTTGCTACTTTGTTTATGTGTCTAAATGGTCTATATGATTGTTGATACTCAGAGTAGGTGAGATGAAGAAACATGAATATCCATATTCATATTCATATTCATATTCCATATTCCCTCTCGTATTCCATGTAGAGTGGTCCCAATAGAAAAAACAAAACAAAAGCAATTGCGGGTATGAATGACAAAATATGAGAAAAATAGAGACCACTCCATAAGATCAAAGAACAAAATCAGTATAAACCGATCCAAGTCGAAAACGTTGAACGAGGATCGCATCTATAACAGGGATATATGAATACCAAGAGAACAAAGTCCAAAACAAAGTCGTAGGTTTTCCGTGACTAGTCATATCTCATACACAGCTTCAAATTTTTCACTTCCTACCGCCGCTCATACTCAATGCCCTGCATAGGCGCACTAGAGCCATTCATAAGGGGCGGTAACGTGCGTGGCTGCTCTGGAGTAACGCCATTGCCGAACCCACTGAAGACAGGGCCCTGGCCATTGACCTGGTTGGAGCTCATTTGGTGGTGCTCGAAGATCGAGGGGGGGCCGGGAGACCCCATTGGCTTGCTGGTTGAGCTGGGCGCGCATCTCATCCATCTCGGACTGCATGACAGCCCGGTCGCGCTGCGACTGGGCAACGGTTTTCTCCAGCATAGCTATATAATCAATTGCCCGTGTGAGCGTTTCCCATTTGCTGGATTTGTTGGTTTGGCCCGGTGGTAGACGCAGCCGGAGCGCTTCGAAGCAGTCTTTCATTTCGCTGCGTCGTTTGCGCTCGGCGAGTTTGTGCGTTACGCGTAGTTCGGGCGTGCGGCTGTACGGGGTGCTGCCGGGCGGTCCGTCTTCTTCGCCGATCAACTCTCGCACGGCCTTGTGTTGGAGGGAGTGGTGGTGGTGTACATTTTGGGGTAGGTCTGGAGGTGAATATTGTTAGTATTGTTGCGCGCAGTTCGTGTGTTTTGACTGGGTCATCTTACCGTGTTGTCCTCGTGGCATCCGTTCCGAGTACATGCTGTTCATAGACTCCGCCATGCTGCCTTTCCGAGAGAACGGTGGGTTGGACTCTCCCTTCGAGGAGACGGAGCTTGAACGCGCCATGTCCGGGTCCGGGAAGGCATATGCCATACCTGCCGTGGGGGCTTCAGCGTTGTAAATCTCCGACCGAGGATTCGAGGAAATGGCCGGAGCAGTGCGACCGGCTGCGAAACTCCGCTGTTGGTCGGTTGCACGAGGGCCCAATGGAGAGAGTGGCTGGCTGCCTCCTGAGTACCGAGGTCCCCGGTATGAATTCATGTCGGTCGGAATCCCTCGTTCCCTTTGCAGACTGGAAACGATCGACGATTGGGAGGCATTGGTGCTGTGGTAAGGTGAGGCTGGGTTGATAGCCAGAGCACTGATCCCTTGGTTCATGCGACTGTCGACACTGCTGCGCCGGGATTCGGTCTCTGCCACACTCGCTCGTTGGGAGGGGGCTTCGTAGTTCTGGTTGATGGAGGGGAGGGTGGAATTGGGCTGGCTGAAATTTGGAGAGGGCTGTTGAGTGCCAGCGGAGGAAGGAGTGGTGGATTGATCGTGGGGGGTAAGGGGATCGGTCGACAGCCGGGTGTCCGCGATTCGGGGAGGGTTGCGACGCGGAGATGAAGCTAAGGGAGGGATAATTGTTGCCGGTGCCATTGGTTGCCGTGGAGTAGGTGGACGATCCTACATGGTCAGCACCGCGCCGCTCCCATTCCGTACTAGGTGAGGGTCTCCTACTTGTGCTTTGCGGCATTGACCAATTCCCCGAGTCACGCTCAATCGTGTTCAGTGAGGCGTTCCCGGGGGATTTCTCCGCGGGGGCTCCGGTACCAGGCATATTCGCGGTGAGGGTGGAGATAGAGGGGAGGGTTTGCGTTGAGCCTGCAGTCGACTGAGGCCCTGAAACCGCCTCCCATGGGCGATGTGCGACAGAAGGATCCATGGTGGGAGAGTCCGAATCAGGCGGGGGAACAGTGAAGAAGAATCGAATATTAACCCGCTCTGTTTCTTTTCCCACACTATTGCATATTCCAAATCGAGAGAGTAGAGATTGAATTCGAGAAACGATTCACCGTGAAACCGTTTCGTTTCGAGTAAAGTTTCGAGGTTCGCGCAAGGTAAAAAGGAAGGCTAGATCGACGTGAAGACGTCTAGGCAACACAGATCAAAAAGTAAAGTGTCAAGGTATTAGGGTATATATGGATATTAGGAAGTAGACAGGAAGTAGACAGGTAGAGAGAGTGTAGAGGGTTAAGAGTCGAGAAGAGTCGAGGAGATTAAAGAAGTAGAAAATTGGAGACTCGAAACCCGGCTCGAGTCTCTGAAACTCCTCTTTTCTCTTTTTTTAACCTTCTTTTTTATCCCCTTTCTGAGGGCAAATTCATTATTAAATTCAGAAAAAAACAGAAAATATATAAAATATAAAATATAAAATATAAAATATAAATTCATAAAATAAAAAGGGAAAAAAAAGAAAATCCAAAAAGAATGTACTGGTATTACCGCCAAGGCCCTACTGCAACTGTGTGTGCCACGAGGCTGACCCTGAGTAAGGACTATATGTTAACTGACTATACTATGTACTGACTATTACCTAGGTACTCTATCAAGGACTTATTTCTATTCTCACTCTATTACTATATCTATATATATTACTTCTCTACATATCTACCTCTCTACTTCTCTCTGTATTCACATATCGCATTCCTGAAGAACAAGCAAGGAGAACACGAGTCTTCACGTCATTTTTATATAGAATACTATTGTTACAATACACTTCACGTGGCTCTCCCTTGCAGTCTTTTTCACTTATTGAGTCTCCTTCTCTTTCCACCCAGTCAAGCTGCATTCGCGACCGGGGCGAACTGCACAATCCCGTTTGGGAGATTAAGGTATAAACATGTCGAAATGGAAACATGTTGACGTTGGACACATGGCATGAGCAGGATCGGCAGTCTCGGGGCGCAAATACAACATAGTAGCAAATACATAATTTCTGCTCGGGAGATTGAGCCTACGAAAAGTACCTAGGTACCTAGGTACTCAGTACGAAAGTCCATCCCTGTTTAATCCTTGTCCTCCATGCGAGAATATCTTTTCTTCAGTCCCACACATGGCATCTTTTAGGGTGTCCTTTACTCACCGAAGGTATATTTCCAAGGTTGATCGCATATTATACCTACATATTATACCTACATATGTATTATAATTTTATCTTATACTAATACTTTCCCACTACTTAGGTTATAATTAGTATTATAATATAAAACGTGATCCACTTTCTCCCCTACATATTTTCTGTTTGTAACACCTCGGACACACGCAGAAAGTGTCACGGATCACCCACGCTTCCATGAGCTTGAGCTTCATACCGTAGACCTGCAACCACCCGTCCCTGCCGCCCAAATCATCACATGTTGACCTGTCATAGAGAGGCTACAGGGTAGTACGGAATCCTATGTCGCGCGGCTATGAAATTCACGGGGCGAAGGGTAATATCCCGGTTCCGAACTGTGACATTGGGCGTCTTGGCGAATATGACCAAGCTTATTTGATTTCGGATCTGGACCCTATTGATTGATCTACAGGTGTCAGGTACTATTCCATAGTCTATGGGCTTTTTGGGAAGTTTATTTGAGACATGGGGAATTTACCTATTTTATAGGTACCCAAAGGGATAGTCTGCAATCGCGATACGTTGCCCAGGCTTTTGGGATGTATCGATTTTATTTCAAGTCCGTTTGATCGGGTGTTCGTCCAGAAATAGATCTAGTCCGTTTGTAACATGTAAATCCATACTCCATATAAATTACAGACTAAAAAACGAAAAAAAACAAATAACTCGGCCCAACCGGTCTAAGCCGACACCGCCACAACTGTGGCTGCACTAACACGTCGTTCCCTACCCACATGCACTGCGCAACCTCCAAGGCTATAAGCCATTATTTAGGCAGCACAGATTCAATACAATAAACCTATGCATGTCAAGTACCACTGTCCATCATCTTCCCCTTCCAGCATGCCACATGGCATCGTTGCCTTGCAGAATGTCTCGAAGATCGCCACCCGATCTACGGCACATTCCTCGATCCTCTGACACGGTAGCACTTCTCCATACTTGAGAAAAGGACAGCTTATCCGGGACTCCAAGCTCAATTTTTGCCAGGTCTCCCAGGAAAAACGGTCCTGAGTACCACTCTACCTCTACAACGTTGTACACCCTCGCCTAATCTCGATCAAGGGATGGATCACTAGTTGTCGAGCTTTGAGTTCACTATGTCAATAGTGCGTGGCTCATGCGAATGCCTCCTTTCCCCATGGCTCATGGCTCACCCATGGCAAACCCCCATGCTCTCCCACCCATCTGCCCGGAGCCATCATGGCAACACCGTGGCCCTTGCCCATTCCTGCCTCCACGCCATTTTGGTCGTGGTCATGGGCCATGCCTTGCTGCCCTTTCCCAATAGTCTGTCTTGACACACGGGTCGTACCGTCCAGGGATGTCAGTACTTTTCTCTGTTTGCTCTTTCCTTTTTCCTTTTTTCCTCTTGCCTCTTCCAAATTCCCAATCCAGCTCCTATTCCCTCGCATGGCAATATCCCCCTCGTGCAAATAATGGACTGGACTATAGATCCCTTTGAATAATGTCTCCACAGTCTCCGGAAAAGGTATCCAGCTATCCAGCAGGGACTCCGATCCCGTGCCTCTATGCATCTGCACTACTACTTATTACTTATACATATGTATACCACGTACAGAGTATTGCACATACCTGCCTATGTGCATATGTACGGATTACGGATTATGGATTACTAGACAGAGTACTCCGTACCTCCCAACTCAAACTCCTGCCCTGCCGACGATCCTCGCACCGGCCCCCGTTCCCCGAAGCTGGGGAGCGCACAGCCAAAGCTTGAGGTTACATACAGACAAGGTTGGAGATCATACCGGGATTTACAACTAGAATGTGAGCACAGATGCAATATTCATTTCTCGTCCAAGATATCCTCTGAGATCAGAAACCCGTTCTTGTCCTCCCGTGACTTCCAGCGTGTCCCCCCAACCACCTCCGTAGCACAACTATTTCGTACCCACCTGGACACTACAACATACGTATTGTTAGCTACCCCACTGAAACAATATTGACGCTCGGATTTGCCATGTTGTTTCTAGTGCCACCCGTGGCTGAAATAACACCAAAACTCCCCACTGTCTTCATACCTGGTTCCGTCCAATATCGGCCAACCTCGTCCGGTTCGTATAAACGCCCTCTCCCTCCCTCTTCTCTCCTTACACATGACCCCACCACTGTCCACTCAAAGCTTCCAGATAACATAAACTCTCAAGCTTGGCTCCCACAACTCCGAACAACCGTCCTCCTCCCCAAACTCTTATTCCGCAGCCCGAGATTCCTTGCCTCAGCTTCAATATCATCCACACTGCGAGTGAGCATAATATATCCCTCGTCATCGAGCGCAAAGAGAGCTTCCTTAAGCCAAACCCGGCACGTGATTCTCTCGCGGAATCGGACCGAGTCGACGATCGGGACTTGGTGAAGACGTTCGAGAAAATGCGCGTGCAGGATCGGGTCCAACTCTCCTATCTTGAGAGCCCCAGTTGGACACTGGTGTAGATACAGGCGCCAGTGGAATGTGTAGCTCTTGTCGCCGCGGTCAGAGACGAGGATGTAGAGGCCGTTTGTTTCGAAGGTAAGATTTGGTGTGTCTATGTCCGACTGGTGAGTGTCATGTGCTGTCGACATATCTGAATCTATAGAAGTCGTGTGTTACTCTAGTGGGAGTGATGGTTATGATGGGAAGACCTCACACCATGGCTTATGTGTGTTTTTTTGGCCTGGTCGCTTTCTCATTGTCTTGACGCTTAATTTATATCCAGCGCTTAATCCGAGTAGTTCATTAGTTTGGTCTGTTTCTCCCGTTTCAGTTAAGGTCTAGAGCGTTAATTAGGAAGTTGAACACATCCTACAGCCTGGAATGGTAATATGGATCAACTAACGAACTAAAGGAACTAAAACACAATCCTGTTGAAAGACTCGTAGTTCCAAAAATTAATGCCTCAGGCTCTCAGGTGTCGATGGATCCATCGCCCCTCTTTGGGCCACTTTCCCCCAACCTCGGCCCATCCCGTCGAACTGAAGTTCGTCAAACGAGAATAGAGACAACATTCAGGAGTGACGCGGTGATCTAGCCTGTTTCCACCAGCTCGCCACTGACCACTCGATCTACAACATAGTGAAACCCTCCGGACGAACCCACTAATCTGAAATATGCTGCTTGCAACTCTGTATATCTGCTATTATAGGAAAGGATCCACGACACGCCCCAACGGTCACCCAGCACAAGCCTGCAAATCAGAACTCGATCGAAGGATTTTGCCTTCGATGTAACTGTCAATCGAAGGCGAGGCTCCTGCTGCCTCAGCTAACCAGCAAATCACAACACCCAAAATCGAGAATTGCAACGCTCCACGCACGCTGTTTATTGCTGGATCAGAAGCCTCCGCGTACCTATCCAACCATGTCTGATGATCCTACCATTGGTACTCAGTGCCATCGTCCCCGATCACCAGGTATGATTGGTAGATCATTCCACGATCTCCCTCTCCTTGGAATCATCGTGGCAAACCCCCTTGCCTGCCAAAAGCCCCACTGGACATGTATCCTGTTCTCGGTCTTGGTTTAGGTGTTGTCGCGTGTCGACGTCAAAGCCCTGTAGGAAGGGGCAAACTCAATACGTAGCCCTGGTGGAGTAATTGTTCCCAGACATGTCTTGTCTTGCAGCTCGAGAATTCCACGGGGAATCGGCGCTGCTTCCTAGGTTACCTCCTTACTGGGTAAATAGATGTTCTGCGCCATGTGTGTCTCCCTGTGGAGGTATGGAGTAACTACTACATGCATGAATCGTGCATGTGCGCTACGACATCATGGATGAGATCCTCCATTGTACTCATTTTGTGTTTTTGGTTTACATGTTTTTGGTGAATCCCCGCATTGGCTGGATGAGGTATGTTTTTGTTTTTCCAGATCCGAAATCATTACTGGAATAGTCTTTAATAGTCCTTAATTAATATCCAATTATTCCTTGCTATGTCTCAGGTTACTTCGCACCCCGAGGTCCGTCCATTTTATAACGGAGTTACTTGCCATTTTGGAAATAGGCAAGATAATAATATAGTAGAAGAGACTACTCCGTATAGTTAACCTTAACTACTAGATAGGTCTGTGGTCAAGTATACATGGTTAATCTACTTTTGTTACTAAGTAATTAATAAAATTGGTTCGAGTTTCACTATAGCCCAGAAAATATATAGTTTGAACACGACTATTGAAATGCCACCGTCACCACCAAGCAAAGTCGATTTGAAAATTATGCCTTCAACTCGTTAAGCTCTCGTACAACACGCTGAGTACTCTGTAGCATCTTCTCTGTCTTCCCAAAACGAGTCTAAGCGCACCTGCCAATACCGGCGCCTTTGACCGTCGACTGTAACAACTGTATAGAAGTCTCTCACCATAATGTCTGCCGATTCAGTTACGCTCTTCTCCAGAGTATCGAAAGAGTCAGTCGCAGCAGTTGTATACTCGTCAGAAGATTCATGATATTTTTGCTGTTTTTCAACTCTCACAGCGCTTGCGCAGAAATATTTCCTCGTCTATGCGATCTGAGTATTGTTTTCGCAATATCTGTACCACTGAAACTAGATTTTGGGTACAGTTTATGTTATCTCGACTGGCTGCTTGGATATGTTGCGATCTACAGTTCCTTTTGGCCCCCGACGGCTAGCGTGCCTGCGTGCATTTGATCCCTGTCGTAGAACGGCACGATGGCACGCTGATGCTCTGAATAGCCAATGAAGAAGCCCTTGAGACCAGAATGAACGTAATTCTGCCATCGGAAACGCGCTAACTCGGAGAGAATTTGAGGAGCGCGAGGATAATTGGAATAGTGAGGACATCTGCAGGGCCTCGGGAGAAGTAACATGGAGTGATAGTGGATGTCTACTCCACATGTCGATGCACTACACAGTCAAAACTTGATTTCAATGATTTCAATAATTTCAATAATTTCAACTCTCCTTAAACAACCCTAGCACCACCTGGCTACTCAATCTATAGTTCCACCACTATCCTCCCTCGTAATGCCTGACCAACCGATCCCACTCCCCGACATGTCAAGTGTCCAACACCCAGCGAATGTGTATTACTTCCGCCCCTACAGTTTCTACTGGCCCGCGGTCTTCATCTTCGTTGGCGCGTTTGGTTGTTCCGGCCTGACTGGGACCGTGGACACTCACATCAGTATCCTCCTCTGGACCATCTACATAATCTGCTTTCTTATTATCCTTTTGATCGACCCTCTATGCATTTTCGAACAGAAACAAATTGATGAAAATGGGTGTCCTTTTACTGTACGCCGCCCGCTGGTCGGGTTCCGCTCCTGTGAGCAGGTCGTACCTCTAGAAGTCCTTGAGAGGGGGCCCTATCGTGTAGAGGACGACGAATACCAGCCTCGTCTTCATGATGGATATCGCTACGGGCCCGCATTCTGGCGCATCTAGATTATATACAATCGGCATTGGTGGTCGCGGTGTGAGGGGTCCTCGATCTCTTCGCTTCGGTGCTGACCTTCTGGTGCCATTGAGCGTTGTTCTGGGATAGCTGCTTCTTCTTAACTTTGTGTATCTCGTGTGTTGGGCCTGTTGGCCACCGCTGTCCCAGCCTGCGGCTCGATTTATGTCACATCAATACGTATTGGATTACTACTGAAAGAGAGAGGCTCTATTTCAGGTAAACAACCACTATATGATCCTGGATAATCTAGTTGGCACCTACCGCGCCAATGTAACCACTGGTGCTAATATATGTCACCAAGACATGGTCCTGCAGTAGCCTTTCAACCAGTTGAACACGTTGAATTAAGCTATTGGATGCTAGTATTCCCGCTATTATCTGTTTCGAATCTGATTCGAGCTAAAAAAGCCTACGATTGTGGTGATCGAGAATCTTTCTAGTATTTTCAACATCTATATGACTATTTATTCAGGCGAGAATCATCACCTAAACATACAATGCTCCTAATATAATCTGCAAACGAGAAGTAATATATCATCAAGTCAATTCGAGTCGTACATGCGCCATATATAATATCTACAATATTTTTTTCCGAAACTCTATGCACGGGCATGCATATAAGCTGCCACACGTTTATCATTTACTCTTCATCCTCATCTTCACCCTCATCCCCATCTTCTTCGTCTTCATCATTTTCCTCAAACTCAACACCAATCTCACCAGTGATATCCCACCGATCACCCTTAGCCGCAGCACTGACATACTTGACGAACTTGAGAGTACCGCTATCCCGCAGCACAATGCTGAGCCGGTTCCATCCTGCTTGCGTGCTGAACAGAATACCATCGTCCTCGTCCGCATCCGCAGACCGGTAGATAGCCGGATCGGCCTTGGCCTTCTTCCGACCCAGGACTTGGTCGGCGTTCTCGGCATCCTCCTCGTCATCTTCTTCATCCTCATCACCAGCCATGTAGATCTCGTATCCGCCCAGCGCAGGACCTTCCACAGCCTCATCATTTGTCTTCTCCTTCGGCTTGGATTCCTTGGCAGACGAGCCATTGGTTTCTTCATCCTCGTTCTCTTCCTCATCATCCTCCTCTTCTTCCTGCTTCTCCCACCCTGGGCTCGGGTAAGACAGAGCGAGAACTCAAGACGAGGCTCCTCGCCCTCATACGCACTAGCAAGAGTATAGTCCGCACCGCGACGGAAGCGTCTCGCAAGCAAATTGTGGCTCGTGAGGTGATCCACACCAGTAATAAGTCCAAGCCACTTCCGGAAAGGCTGTGACGGGAACAGCACGTTCAACAACTCCTGAATCGGGTTCTCGGTATCCTTCTCACCAGAAGGATGCTGGTATAGATACCGATGCTTGTGAGGAGGACGAGCAACCGTCCACCCGCGCTGCGCCTGGATCTCATCCGCAGAAGCAGGGAGAGCCTGTCTCTCCTGCTCCTCGATGTATGCGCTCACGCGCGATCCAAACTTATCACTCAGGAACCGCTCCAGGCTGAGCGAGGACTCAGCCGAGAACGCATCCGACATCTCCTCGGCGATATCGGGCGTCAGGTACGAAGGGGCAATGTACTGAAGCAGGAAGGCTAGGTCGCTCTCGGTGAACTCATCTTCGGTCTGCTCTTCCACTTTGCCCTTGCCCTTGCCTTCGACTTCGGGCTCCTCCCAGGATACCGGCTTCGGCTGTGGCAGGTCGTAGATATCGCCGCGGCCCTGCAGCTGCGCCAGACTGCTGCGCTCGGCGAGCTTCTCTTCCAGTCCTTCCTCGTAGCCGTCTTCGCCTTCTTGCGGGATGTGGAACCAGCCGCTGATCGCCATGCGTACGCGCTTCTTTGTCTTGTCCTCATCGTCGCGTGGGTGGTACACTTCCTCGACATCGTGGAAGCTCTCGCCCGGTTGCACGGTGAAGAAGCTCAGCTGGTTGAAGGCGGGAGGGATGGAGAGGCTGTAGTCCGGGCTGGGGATCTTGACATCCTCGCCTTTGGCATCCTTCTTGGTTGTTGTCGGGTACAGGCGCAGGGCACCGCCCCACTCGGCTTGCCAGGGTGTATCTGGGTCGGTCAGGTAGAGAATGTAGCTGAGGCGGCGGCTGCCAATGACATCGTCATGGCACAGAAGGTGGCAACCCTCGGTGTAGACGTTGATAGCCATGTCTGTCTTTTGCCCGCTCAGCTTGCCGGAGCCAGTCACGGAGGACAGGTACTCGCGGAAGCGGGCTGAGTACATCGCGTCGCGCAGCTTCAGTACTGACGGCAGTTTCGAGAGGGAGGAGTCATCCAATCCGTCGAGGTTTGCGAGATCGCCAGACTGGAAGATCTTGTAGATGTCTGTTTCCTTCTCGGTGAAGGACACTTGGGTTTCGATCTCATCGCGGACGGAGCGGAGGAGATTAGGCTCGATCAGAGGGTGAATGACGCCGTGAAGGTAGCTACAGATTCAGAAATGTTAGTCCTTGTCATTGGACTATTTCCCTGTGTATAATACATACGGGGATGACTTGGCGTATTCAGCGGTGTACTTCTCCTGCTCCGCGGTGTCGAATAGGCCGTCGCGGAAGCGGGCGGCGGCCTCCTCGCTGGAGAGAGCCCGTTTCTTGGACTGGGGCATGGAATTGCCATCGAGAGAGGCCCTTGCGTCAGTCTTGCGCTTCATTTTTGAGGTTTGTAGAGGAATGAGAGCTTCAACAGCGAGTGGTCTGATGTTTCATAGATTTTTCCGGGCGGTGAGAGCGCATGATGAGGCGGTCAACTGTGTTTGTGTTGCCTCAGCAGCTTTAAGATGGAAGATCACAGTTAACTTCTAAGGTTAAGTCTATCGGATGCATATCTTACATACATAGTTTAAATGTAGTCTAAAACTTTTAATATTGTGTTTCGAATACCTGTCTTCTAGGGTGGCTGGTCTTCGTATATGAGTGGCGCATAGCCGACACGCTCATTCCTGTCTGATGGCAAACTTAGTTCCTGCACGTCTTTTCTTTATCTTTGCGATCTGAAATAGCAAAAGTTCCTTCATAACAGCCACAGTCTTTGTTTTGATCTTCGAAGCCATCACACATGTGATTGCGGCAAATCCAGGCACCGCTGTCGTCATAACCCGCATATTCCGCCTTATCACCGAAAAGACCTCGATTGTTCCCCCCACTTAGCCCCGACTTGCTTGATCCTCTTCAACTCCGTCGCATCTCATCATGCAGCAACAAGGGGCTGAAACCCCAACAGATCAGCCGGGAACTCCGCCTCGCCCGCCTTATTCCCCGGTGACGCCCGTGTTTGCTCATCTCGCGCCAGTCGCCTCCAACGAGCCCTCAATCGTACCGCCACCTGCATCTCCCTCTCCAACCTCACACCTCCCTCCACATACATATGGCAACTATTCACAACCACCTCCTCCGCCCAATCCACCCGTCTTCAAGTCACAGCCGCCACCTGTCCCTATCTCCGAGAGCGAGAATCCGGATGCCATCGCGCTCCGTTCCGCCATCTCAATCCTGCAAATGCAGAAGCAGCAAAGTTTGCGCGACATCCAGGCATTGGATCGCATGAAAGAAGCTGCCGCTGCTGATCCAGAGGGGTTTGCGCACGAGCTGGCGGCGGGTCGGTTGAAGACCGAGGACCGGGGTGCTGTGATCCAGTTCTCCGAGGATGATGCGAGGGACGACGAAGAGGATGAAGAAGGTTCAAAACGAACGAATCCAGATGGCTCATCGGCTTCGAATTTCGGCCATATCCCCGTTCCACAGAATATTGTCCGCATGCCCCCGATCAACTGGGCCAAGTATCAGGTTGTTGGAGAACCGCTGGATCGCATGCACGAGGAGCAATTACATCGACCAAGCTCTGGGGAGCCGAGACGACAGCGCGCGCCGGAGCATGTGTTGGCGTCGCCGTATCGGCCGTTGGTAGATCAGTTGGACGGACCGCCGAAACTCGGCCGTCCCAGCAAGGCGAAAAAGACTTGAGCCCGCAAAGTGGCTTTTATGATTATGGGATTATGGACTTTTACGAAGTTATGTACTTTAAACTCACGAACAGAACTGGATTTGCATTTTCATGACTGTCTAGTATGATGTCTTGGGTTGGCGCTGTGTTTTGGGCGCTTCACTGATTAAAAGACGGAGAAAGGAAAGATACCTCATATACCCATGCCTTCCAAGTTCTAAACTTGTTGTGACTCATCTTTGTCCACCAGTGGCTGTGAACCGAGAATTTCCTTTTTAGACCGCAGAGTGCTTGTATCAAAAATGTCAATATGCAGTAAACTCTGCCACGCGTACCAGATACGTCTTGACTTTGGATGTCCCAATTTCTTCATCGTTCAAAGGTTCATGTGGTTCAAAGATTCATCTACTCTTCCAAATTAATCCTGAAGGACCCAGATAGATTTTCAACATGCTCCAGGCTAAATTATTAGATATTATGCAAGATATCAGTCCAACTGCCTGCCAAAGACTCCACTACAAAAGAAGACCGTGCCATTATATATAACAAGTTTGATTCTTATAATGTACTACAAGGAAGGCCCTGGGTTCCAGTTCGTTACATAAACACAGAGAGAACAATCGTGACTTATTTCATCCTGAGATGCTCCTGCAAATCCTCAGGTAAAACATACGGCGTCTCTTCAGGCAGATAACTCCTAGCAGCATCAACATCCCCATCCTTAAGATATCCATCAATCTGCCTCATAGTATCAGTCACATCAGCAATTGAAACAATCCACTCATCAACATATCTCCTAACAGCCTCCCCACTCAACCCAATCTGGATACTCCGATAATCCAAAGGCCGAAGTGAAAGATCCCGCTCGGGATCCCACTGGACGCGAACTGGACTGGCACGTAATTCCTTTTGCCATTCCTCCTGGCTTGTCTCCTCGCTAGGCGTATAGTGACTCAAACAGCAATGCCGCAATGCCCATTCGAATCCCTCGCGGGTAATCTCTATTGCTAGGACACGTTCCTGTAGGGGTTTTGTTGCCCAGCCTGATCGGTATGCCATCCATAAGAATGAGGGTTTGATCCATGTCATTCTATGTCGTGAGAATGGTGGGACAAACGTTTGGGCTTTGAGTGCTGGGTCGGCTATCTCAGGGGAATAGGCTTGGTACACGGTGATTGTACTTGGTGTCTGTTTGGCTCTAATGACCTTGTAGGTAGTTGAGGTCATTGTTGGATGGTGGACAAGTGTGGATGTTCGTGTTGGAGATGAATACAAAATATTGATGTGTGGGGAAGAGGAATTGTGTGTGATATAGCGAGATCTTGCAGTAAGCGTGTGAAACGGGACTTTGACTTTGAAAAGTCTATAGAAATATCGTTCCTTTTGAACAGATCAACGTGTCAGCCTCATAATATTGACTCACAAGTTGAAGTCCACCACGCCAAACCCAATCGGGACTCCGCGATGCAGAATACATCGTGTTCGGCTTATCACGAAGAACACCTAACCTTCGAAGTCAGCTTGCTCATCATTCATAGTACTTGCTTGACCAAACTGCCAAAATACCCGTTTAGAGTAGTCATCAGGACAAACAATCGATAGTTTGCAATACTTTGACAAAGGGCTTGATCTGCCTAGCTTCAACAGCCACAGAGCGATGCTGCGCGAGACCCCTTTCCTTCGAAAATACCATGTATTTCCAAGATATCGTAGCCTGATTTGGAACTGTCTAATGCTGATTTTGTGCATAGAAACTACCAGGATGCTTCCAAAATTGCCGAGCGGGTCTTTGATCGGCATTACCCACATGGCAACTACAAAAGTCAAGCAGGGCTGGCATAAACACCAAAGACCACTGGCCACATGGGCAGCTTTGTACAAGGTCTACATGAACAAGGGCCTCTTACGTACATTACACGAACGAGCCCTTACTTTGTCTAAGAGGATCTACAAACTGATCACGAATGACTTCGAATTGTGATGCTATTACCAGCAGTCTGCAAAAGACCAAAGGAAATCGCGCCCTTGAGCCACTCCACAAAGAGAAATATGTAAAGATAAACGCACGACCGTACGCCCTAGAAGAGTTTCCACTAGTTGGGCGGCTAGGGAAACTGGTCGGCCGGATTTGTGGGGGTTGCGGACGGCCCGTTGTTAGAGGAGGATGGGGCAGCGCGGGGAGATCTCTGGCGCGGGACCGGGCTTGGGGCTTTCCCGCTGCCGATTGCCGCTTTAGGTCGTTGAGGGGAGAAGAACCTGGTACATTGCCAAAATTGGGCCATAAAGGCAAGATAGTCGCCTTGACGATTCTTTCTTCTCTTCCTACTTCTATGGTTAGCGTCCTCGTAATATTGCAAACAAGTTAGTCGATCAGATATGATGGGAAATGATGGGCATCAATGGGCGTTGATGACAATTGACGCCCAGTCCTCAGCAAGGGGCTCTCTCACCATATCGGCGAGGAAAAACGTGGGATAGGAATTGCAGGATGTTACTGCGATTGCGTAAGTATGTTAGAATAGGTGTTGGTGGTGCTTGACCCGGATTTCGCTGCCAAGGAAGCGGATATGATAGATGGTCTATCTGAGGCTAAGGATATCGCCGCTGGTTGATCCCCGCGGCATTTTGGTGCTCGGTATCACAACCCCTGCCCCTAAGGACGATTTCTTATTATCCTGTCGGTTCCTCCTATCCCCTGCTAGTAGCGCACATGCCCCTCCTGGACATACTTCATGTTCGTCTCGACGTCGGGAGAATCCGAGATCTCGGTTTGCTCGAAGAAGGCCGCATCAATGGCCCTGTCGGACTTTGGCTTCTTAGCAACAACAGCATCGACGAGATGCTGCGCATTCTCCCTGACCCATTCCTGCGGCGAGTTCGTCGGGCCTGCATTCTGAACAACATTATTGCCAGCCGCGCGAAGAGGCATCTGGTCCTGGTGGACCTAGGTTACCGAGGTCAGTAAAGGAAAAGAGGAGCATGACCTGCAATAGGTAGTTTACTTGGGAGCACCAGATGGAGTAGCGGTCTTTGAGGTCAAGACGCTCTTGCCGAGAGGAAGCTCGGGACTGGTAGTGGCCGGGGCGGTGGTCACTGCGTGTTCACCACGCTGCTGGTTGTACAAGACTTTAAGGTCCTTAGACCGTTGAAGGGCCAACATCTCGGAGGGTAGGGCATCGTGATGTTTGTCCCTCTTTGTAAGTGGTGGTGAGATGACGTGATAATGTTAGCTGAGATCGATCAGGGTGAAGATGGGTGAAGGTGAAGATGGGTGAAGGTGAAGATGGGTGAAGATGGGTGAAGGTGAGGATAGGTGAAGGTGAAGGTGCGCGAAGGGAAAAATGAAAGGAAGAAAAGGAAGAACTGATTCGGATAGGAGAAGTAGATGGACGCTCAGTCTAAGTGAGAGACCGAAGGCGTTTGCTTTAAAGGTTGACTTCTTGGAAGAAGAACCCAGCATTTGAAAGAAATGGCAATGTTAAGCAACTGGGACAATCTGAAAACCCTTGAAGTCCACTGTGAGAGAGATGTGATAGAAAAGTGAGAGAACTCTAGGGCTCTAAAGACGTACCATATAAGTATTGCTGACCAGTTGGTGCCTATGTCGACTGTTCTGAGGCATATTATCAATTGATTTGAATATCTATAGGGTTTATATGACTTGAAGGCCTTGCTACGTGCATGAAACCCTCCATGTCATCGTACAAATCCCGGTGAAAGAACCAGAAGAACTCCATACTCCGTATCCCTCATACGTGCACCTACCGCATAAACAAAGTGCGACGGTAATTGCTGAGGAATCCATACTGAAGGCTCAGGTAGGTATCATTAGTGAAGTCAACGTCCTCTTCGGTAAGCTTGAGCTGTCGGAATTTTCAGTGAGCTCGAAGGAAAGAAACCGGTGGCCTTCACCGCAGTGCGGTAGTATTGAAGTGGAACAGGCGCTATGCTTGGGGCTTGGTCACGGGGACTGGCCAGCCTCTCGCTCCTGGGGCTTGAAGAATTCGTGAATTGCCGCCTCGACACCGTGGGGCTGGGGGTCATTATGCACCCCGATAAAGCTTCATCGAGGAACTGGTCACTATCGTGGGCGGTGGTGCGTAGGAGGCCTGGTAAATCAGGGTCATCCGAGGATAATGACCCAAATTAGTCGTCAGGCTCAGATATGTCATCGTGGAGGCCCTTAGCTTGCTGAAGGGCTAAAATCTCGTTGATTGAGGGTGGATCGGATTTGTTAAGGTGAAGATAAAAGAAAAGAAGGGAAAACTAGGAGTGATGGTTATTTGAATGTGAGGACTGGAGGCTCACATCCTGAGCGAGAGAAGATGCCGGTTTTGGTAGGGCGGCAGGTATTTTGCTCTTTCTGAAATAGGAGCTCAGCATGAAACAGATGACAATGCTAAGTAATGGTACGATCAACCTTGAAATAATGAGAAGTGACGATATAAAAGTGAGAAAAGACCAAAGAGGTGACATATAAAGATTGACGAGTGGTTGATAATGCCATCGATTTCAATTCTCTGATATAGAAACGGCGATGGCCATATCTACTGGTCACTAAGACTTCAATACATTAGGAGACTACAGTACTTTTTCTACATCCTTTGACGTACATAACGTACACCATCTCAGCGCCCCTCATCAACGCACTTGACCATTCACACCTACACCCCCGGACATCCCAGCGCGGATCACCACGAAATCTAGCGAGAGGAAGTCGAAAGACATAACTATAAATCCAATTGTCATCGGTTAGTGGCAGAAGATCAGGAAGGGTGGATGAGGACCAGTCGATGAGCGCCGTTCCAAGTAGATTTCCTAAGAGGCCAACTAGTTCTCTGTGGCACAGACAGCCGGAAACGCTGTCACTAGTGGAATTGCCTTTGTATCGTGGAGCGGGGGAGAGAGAGGGGGCCGGGGCGGGGGGGGGGGGTGTATGCCGTGCTTGCGCTTTACACCGCTGACATCAGTGGGGACTCGCCCATGAGCAGTTAGCGCAATCATTAGTTACCCTAGGCGAGTGGTTGGCGATATATAGGGGAACGTCCCTACCTAGAGATAGTGCTCACGCTCGATATTCGTCGTAAAAATGATTGAAAAAAGCTTCGACCCGCTGTAAAGACTCCCCGACAGGGGTCTGACAGACGGGGATTTTGACCCACCTCTCTTCGAGGCGCCCAGTTCGCCCTTCTTGGTGGTTCCTAGAGACGGAAAACGTTCTAGGGGCTAAATTTCTTCGGAGAAAAGCTCTTCTATATGAAAATTGATGAATGTTCTGGAAGAAGTAATGATCCGAATGTCTTCTTGATTCCGTAAGAACTAGGGAAGTGTAGGATACACAAGAATTAGAAGGTGCCCAGGTGTGATTCCTGCCGACACGAAGGGAAAAATGTTGTGGCATATCACCTCGCGAACCCCGGTTTGATGGGGCTTCTCATTTACCTCACGCAGAGTCCCGTCCTTCTCCTCGATCCTTGCTCTTTAAGCAACGCCGAAGAGAGCAGTTTGTAAAAGCTCGCCAACGTTGGTTGATCCATCCTCCTGTAAGACATGGTGAGATGCTTCCTGCTTGATTTGGTCCCAGCGCCTAGCGTTCTTTTCGATCTCTTCAGCCAAGCCAGATGCATGGAATATCTCGCAGGGTTTTAATTTTTTCGGCCTAAAGGATAGTTATTTTATCCTTAAGTTACTAGATCTTATCTTTTAATTTCTTATAATTATAAGCGAGTTTATAGAACCGCTCTTTACTTAAGACCTAGTATAGACGTTTATAGATTAAAGATTTATCTTCTTTATTATATTTACTAGTATTAACTAGTCTCTATAGATTAGGGGTTAGAGTATTTAGATCGAGGGTAGCGACTATCTCTTACTTAAAGCTTTTATTATCTTTAAGTATAATAGTAGGCTACTTACCTCGGTTTATTAGTAGGTTTCTTTTCGATCCGGCTATTTTAATTAGTTAAAGACTTTAGTTTAGGATCGGGATTAAGGTTTTAACTATATAATACTAAAGAACGAAAGTAGAGAGGTAATAGGGCCGAGACTAATTATAATAATAGTCTATATAAACATACTATTAAAGAAATAAAAGGGGTATTTAGTATTATATTACTAGCTAGATCTTTAATAAAAAGAGCGTATTTTAACTAGAATACTAAGTATAAAGGGGAAAAGAAAAGAAGAAGAGAGAAAACATATACGATAAGGCCTTTATACGCCCTCGTCCTATCTCCTCATATAAATATAACAAACATCTATAAAGCGGAGTCATATAATAGAAAACTCCGCGGGCGGTGAACAATAGCAAAAAGACTTCGGCCGAAAAGATCCTTATAAGGCGGCCCGTCACGGCAGAAAGTCCAGTCCAGCCTCGATCGTCACAAAAGTCCCCCTTAGATAGCTCCTAGGTAAACGCCTAGGAGTTCTTTCTACCTTTACATTCATTATCTTCGCATACCGGTGCTCATAGATAAAGAAGAATATAGAAGGTAAGCCGTCAAGGAATATAATAAAAATAAAAGTATTTATAGAAAACCGGGCTATATCGTTAGGTTATTTATCCTAAAGAATAAAAGGGTTATCGATCTCTTCTATAGATAAAATAGAAAAGCCTATAATATTAGGGTGATATTAAATAAACTTAGGAAGGAAGAGTATATTACTATACACTCGCTACTCATTCCTAGGGGAATACTAGATATTTAAGCTACTCGGTCCTACTAAATATTATATTCTATTACTATCTAGAAGTTCTAAATAAACCATTGTTGGTATAATAGTGTATATATATATACTATATCAGTAAGGCATACTATGGAGGGAAGAAAAACTGTATTTATCTTACCGGTACTATCTAAGGCTATCCTAGATATATACTATATGGTAAGATTAATAATATAGAGAACCTCCTAGTATAATAATGAGGTAATAAAGATATCATGAAGATATCATAGATTATCTCAGATTTGCCTCCTAAAGGGGTTATAAAAGTATGCCTGATTTCTATCTCTAATGTAATATAACTAACTTCTCAATTTATTCTGATCTCTATTCTAACCCTACTTCCTATTTAAGATAAGTATAACCCTACTAATATATCTTATATAATCCTATTATATAAGATTATATAAGATAGGATTCCCCTAATAAGTTATAGTCTATATTAGACTATAATATATTATCTACTAAATTGCTTATAGATTATAAGCCCGGCTAGTAACCTATTTCCTATTTAGGAAATATAGGTATATATTTCCTATTAAAGAAAGGCTGAGCTTTTCCCGATTTATTTCCGATTTATCTCCGAAACTTATATACTATTATAGTATATTACTATAGATAGTATATAAATATTATATACTATATCTTAATATAGTATATATTTAAAGCACTATATACTATTAATAGTATATAGCACTACTCTAATATTATATCTCTCTATAGCCTTCTTAGAGAAGATATATCTCGCTAAATTAAAGGGATCGGAGAATTATATTATCTAGTCTATTAGGGTAAAAGCTACCCTAATAAAAGACGATCTATATACCCCTATAGAAAGTCCTTCTATAGAAGTAAAGAATAATAAAGCTATATCTATTTTAAAGCTTTATTATAATAACGGACTACTACTATATCTTAAAGATATAGAGAGTGCTTATAAAGCCTAGCTATGTCTTAAAGCCCTATATAATCCTAAAGGGTTTACTACTAAATATTTAACCCTAAAAGATTTCTTTAATACTACATTAAGTGATTTTAACTTAATAGAGGAGTATCTTAATAGGGTTAAAACACTAGTAGATAACCTAAAGGATGTGACGAGCCAGATCTACAGGCAGAGCCAGAATAGCAGAGCAAGAGAGTGCATTTCAACGAGAATACTAAAGACAGAGAAGAAAGAGAGAGAAAGGAAGCAAGGTCTGGCGAGCTCTGAGAAAGCTAATTAAACCAGAGATTTATGCAAACCATGCAAACCCTGTCCTTACTCGCTAAGCGAGAGCAAACAAATAATAAAGCAAACTAATCAAAAACATGTGATCTGGCATATGACATTATCAGATCATAATATAACCCCGGTACGAAAATCTATCTAGTCTCTAGATGTACGAAGACTAGCAATGGCGGTATCGTAATCAAAGGTATTACTAGACTCGAGAA